CAGTAATACTGATTCTCTCAGTAATATTAATACTAAAATAAATATTAATAATATCAGTAATTTTAATAATAATAACAGTTATAGTAATATTAATATATCTATATATAATAATAATACACTCTCTCTTAATATATATAATAAGAATATTTTCTTTTTTCTTAATAAACTAAAAAATCTTCTGATCTTGCTCTCTCAAGATCTCTTTTATTATTAAGATAATAATATTCTATAAAAGTCTTTTATAAAATATTCTAGTCTAATATTAATATCTTTTAGATTCTTTCTTTAAGTTTACTATAATTCTTAAATTATAGACTTTCAGTACCAAGATCTCACAGGCTAATTATATAATACTGATAAAGATATTATATTTAATAATTTTACTTGAAGAGCTGCAATCTATTTCTACAAAGATAGATACTCTAAAGAGATATATATATAATTTTTTATCTATACTATTAATAAAGATATATACTATACTAGTTAATCTTAATACTCAGAGTTCAGTATTATCTAATAAGAAAAATTTATCAGCACAAGTAATATTTCTATAGTATATTTATAATCTATTATATTTATTCTATTTTATTTTTTTATCTGATTTAAGATTAATTAAACTATATTTTAAAATAACAGAGTATTCTGATTATTCTATTAAGCTTTGGTATTAATATATATAGAGCTTATCTCTGATTACTATATTTAGTTAGTATATCTTCTTTTTAAATACTAAGAATATTTTTTTTTCAAGCAAGTTTATCTAATTTATCTCTCAGCTATAACTCTAGTATTTAAGTATATTATTTTAGTATAGCAGAATAATATTTATTAATAAAAATATATAGTCTAGCTCACAGATACAAGACTAGATTATTTATACTATTTAGTCTGTTTTTAAACCGCATCAGCTGGCTAAGATCAGAAAAAAAAATAATAGATTTCTTAAGTTAATAGATTTTTATATTAACAGTAATTATTAACTAATTAAGAATATAATATTTAAGATTCTTATATTATTAATTAGTAGCTGTTTTAATTTTCAGCTTATTTATATTTATTATTTCTCTATTATATTATCCGAGAATATTATTTTTATTTATTATATTCTAAATTTATATAATAATTAGGCTTGATTATATACTTTAATATATTCCCTGCAAGCAGAACTTGAGCTTAAGATCTTTAGATATAACTACTTTATCTAATTATCCTGCCAGTTATAAATTATATTACTATTTTTTCTTTTTTTTATTAATAATTTTAAAGCCTATTATAATATATTTAGAGTATTAAAAAAAATCTATTTTATATCTGCCAGCTTGTTCTATATCGGGCGAAGATATCTAATAAACTTATTTATTATAATACTAAATTCTTATAAAATCTTCTTTTAGAATATTCTTGCTAATATTTATACTAATCTTAAGACTATAATAAAAGATTTTTATAATATAATTTATAAAAAATAAGTACTTATTACTATGTCTGTTATAGCTCTTATTAAAGATATATTATAATAAACTAAAAATAATAATATACTCAGCTATAATACTGATATCAGATATTAAATATACTACTATCTATATAGTAAATAATATCAGTAATTATATAATACTATTTTCTATAATTAATATTATTTTCAGTATTAGTATTATTAAACTGAGAATAATTATAAGATTACTATTCCAGAACAGCAAAGATATTTTAATACTATAGAAATATAATCTATATTTTTACTAATTAAATAGATTATATCAACTCTTAATATTATTTTAGACTGTCTATATAATATATTATACTTTAATTAAAAAAAAATCGGCTATTATCTGCTGAAGTATATTTAGAAAATTCTTATATTTTTAAAGATTTCTAACTTTACTATAGTCTTGTAAAAAATTATTTAGCCAGCTTAATAATTTTATTTTTCTTCTCTAAAATATCTAAAAACCTGGATATTATCAGATCTTAATTAAGAGATTATTCTCTTATTTATTATTCTTTAAGTATATATCTATCTTAACTAATTTTATCTAAGATTTCTGCTGCAGATTAAAAATATTATATTATATCTTTTTTTAAATATTAAAAATATATTCTTACTATAGATATAGCTGATCTGTGCTTGTACAGAGATTATATTAATAATTATTTTTATTTTAATCAGCCGCGCATTGTCTTTTATATTAATAAATATAAAAATTACTTATAGCTACTGAATTTTTTAGTATTTAATAATTATAGCTTTAGTTATAACTAATTCAGAGCTACAGATATTTAGTATCTATAGTCTATATTTATAATATTTACTGGCCAGTTATCTAATTAATATAAAACAGAAAAACTATTATATAATTATAATAAAAAACATAATAAAGATAAATAATTTAAGTATCTTAAGATATTAATTATTTATACTAACTTTTATTTTTATATATTTACTGCTGAGTATAATTTATTTATAAATTATAATATTCTAGCCAGTAAGTTGAAGTATAGATAAATATCTATTCTAAATTATAGCCAGCTGCTGATAGTATTATACTATATAAAAATATTTAAGAGATAAATAGATCACGCCTCACTGTCTTAGCTAATAACTTATTTTTTCTGATTAGATTAGCTTTATTATTTTTTATATCTAAATCTTGTGGGTTTCTGATAAGATAATTATTTAATTCTACTAAAGATTATTTAGAATCTATATATATTCTATTTATATCTAATTTAGAAATATATTCTTATAGATAAATTTATTACTAATCTGTAAGTTATAATAATATATTTAATTAAATAATCTTATTCTTTGCTTTCTGAGCAGAATATACTGAATATATTATTTTTAATATATTAGTAAGAATATTTAATCTTACTTTTTTATCAGTATAATAAAATATAATTATTTTATTATTATCAGATTAAATTCTGTTTCTGATATAATTTCTTTATTTTTAAAAAGACAGCTATAAAAGACTTTTATAGCTAATTTCTATATATCTTCTATTCTAAGATACTAACTATATTCTATTCTTCAGTTATTCACAGATAATTATTACTAAAAATTTTATTAAATACCAGTCTTTAATAGTATATATAAATTATAATATAAAATATTATATATAATCAGAATGCTTCTTTTTTTTTTTATTATAATCTTAAATATAAAACAGAAATATAGATAAGATAATAATTCTTTTTTTTTATTATTTTTCTAAGAAATAGATATTATTAGAATTACAAAGTAAAATTAAGTCAATATTTATAATTAATATAGATAATATTTACAGACAGATATTAATTAATATTAATACTAGACAAGATCTAGTATACTGTTTATAAAATATTAATTTTATATAAATAATAAATTATTATATTCTGATTTTTTACTACTTTTATATAATTATATATTACTTTTAAGAATATTTTATATAAGAATCTTACTATTATTTAAGAAGTATAATCAGATAATCTCTAGAAATTATAATTAATATTTATTATATATTTATAAAATATCAGATAATATCTAGAAATTATAATTAATATTTATTATATATCTATAAAATATCAGATAATATCTAGAAATTATAATTAATATTTATTATATATCTATAAAATACAGTTTCTATTTATAAGTAATAGATATCTTCTGTATCTAATCTATTTTATTATAGAACTATTTTTATTAAATTATAATTATATAATAATTTCTGAATTATATTCAACTTTAATAATATTTATATATAATTATCTGATTTGGGTGAGGTTGTATTGTTAGTAATTATTATTATATATAAATAATAATAAATAACTGTTTTATAATTATAAACAGCTGTAATATAATCTAGCTATAATCTAACTATTACTGTAGATAACAGTTTAACAATTATTATAAAATAATCAGTAAGTATGGCAAACTATTAAATATATATAAATAATAATAAGCTATTATCTTTGACTTTTACTGAACTATACTGTGACCCTCTCTACGCACGCCTCCGGGCCCCTATGTTATTCTGAAGTTTATCTAGAAAGCGATATCTTGAAGATAGTCATGAAGCTCTGAATTAGACAACTATGCCCCTCCAGATACCAAGTCCCAAAGAAGTTACCAGGATACCCACCCGAAGCCCCCCTCCCAAGACCACATCCATATATATAGGCTGCTATATCGAAACAAACAACCGAAAGCATCCCTCTACCCCCGACAATAACCAACCCACCTCCCCTCCTCAACCCAAGAACCAGAGTTCCCCCAAAACCCCCATCAGATAACCCCACCAGCAAATACACTCATCCCCACAGCCCAGCCCAGACCCCAACCCTAAAAACAATCAATCTGATATGATCCCGGTGCCAACCAATCAGAAGCCCAGTCCGGTCGAGATGTCAAAGGAATCGCGAAAATCCACATTGAGTGTGTGACCAATGGGGACGCGTCGCCGTGACGCGTCTTCTTATCCGATATGAGGGGGTTATTCACTCAAGGAAGGAGCGGGGTGGGAGAGGGATGCCTGCCTAGCTGGGAAGGTGCGTTGGGGTGGCCTGCACGGGTTTCGGCGGGATGGTTCTGGTAGGACTTTCGATCGGTAGCAGTAGTCTTGTAGGTTTCAGGTTTTGGGTTGTAGGGATACTGGAGAGATAGCAGGATTGGTATCCTTGCATGGTATTTCCTGGTTGATACTAAGGTCTGGAGCTAGTTGCATTGTTAGATGATCCGGTGTGGTAAGTACTATTATCGAGATGGATGCCAGGTGGTTGTGATGTGTACTTCATCGCTGTGGAGCATGGAAGCTGTACACGAGATAAAATTGACGTGTTGGATGTTGATCCACCGGAGCTATAAGATAGTACAGCGAAGATCTTTGTAACAATACCAGTAAACCCCGAATACGAGTAACCGGCTCAGCGAACCGCTTCAGTTCGCTATATCGGAATTTTACTTGTAGCAGTACTATTCTTATTTACTGACCTCAACAAAAAGACATCAAATGGAATAACCGCCAGTCAATTAAAAAATCATCACACATCTGCAATGCTTAGGTACTTCTATCGTATCGATTATATATACATCATGCTTCTATGTCATCACGTGTTCATATCATAGGCCCAGAAAGCTGACGCAGCCCACGACGACGACGCTGAAGAGCGAGAGCCACGTGTAGGAGACATCGACAATGCGGGATGCCGCGCTCGACGAGCCTCCACAGCACTTCCCGTTGTAAGTGACATTGTTCAGCTGCGCTGCGACCTCGAAAACGGACCCCTGGACGTTGCCGTCATTGTAGTAGTCCACTAACAGGAAATTAGGCGGGCGGTCCCACTTGGCTGTAAAAGAAGTGGTTAGCATGTTGTTATACACTTCCTAGGAAGCTGGTAGACTGCAGATGGAACTTACATCGACAGTTGTTCGCCATAAGGCCCACACTTCCGTACCCGGACACGGCATTCGTCACGTTGATCTGCGCGGAATCCGGAATCAGGATGTCGATCCCTTCGAAAATTACCTCGAGGTTCAGATTATGGTTGATCATGTACATCCGATCCTCGGCCTCCGCGGCGGTGATACCGGGGGGTCGCTGCGCGGTGCAGGGGAACGAGGCGTTGACGGGGGAGAAAGGCGTTTCCCACATCTGCGTGAACTCGTCCAGGATGTAGGGGTAGGCGGTTTGGTTGGCCTGGTAGTCCATGAACACGACAGCGCGCTTTCCGCTCAGGATCATCTCCGAGAGGGTAGGCCAGTCATCGAGACTCATGGGAATTTTCCAGGGCTCGTAGGCGTAGTCGATCAGGCCGGAGTTCTCGATGGGGCCGGTGAAGTTGGCAGGGCTGACGTAGTCAGAGTTGACAATCATGATGGTGACGACGTCGTAGGGGTTGTCCTTCATCCAGTCGGTTACGGTGGTGAGGTAGGCTTCGAGCGTTCCCATGTTGAGGAGGTCGCAGGAGGTGTGGCAGAGGTAGATTTCCTCTTCGTAGTAGTGGGCCTCGAAAGACACTGGGGACGGTCAGCGCGGGCAGAGTCCGATGGGGAGAGGGCACTTACACATGCGCACTCCATCCTCGAGCTGCGTCTTCACCGGGTATTCCTGGTTGGACGCAATGTTGTTCTTCTTCACGAAGGGGCTGTTGTGGGCCGTGACCATGGTGATGTTCGAGTACTGGCGGCTGCAGAACTCGGGGTAGCCATTGCAAGGCTGGGTATTGGCCGGGGTCGTCGCGGTGGAGGTGGAGGTGCCGCGGGTGCCAGTGAGCTCAACGCCCGAGGTCGTGGTGATGGTGCCATTGGTAGTGGTGTTCGCGGACGCGGTGATGGTAGAGAAGGTAGTCTGGTTGCTCTTGCCGGTTGCGACCGTGATGGTGGTGCTGTAGCTGATGTAGTTTCCGGTGGGAGCGGCAACGGCGGTTTCGGTTGTGATGACGCTGATGAGGGCGCTGGTGTCGGTTGAAGACTCGGAGGCAGTGGAGGTGGAGGAGTGATCGGAGGAGGGGGAGGAGGTGGTGATGGTGGAAGTGGAAGTGGAATCGGTGGTGGAATCGGTGCTCTTGGCGCCCACGTGGAGGACCCCCCGCAATAGCAGGAGGAGCCAGAGACTCTTGAACGCAACCATGATGGGGATGCGCGAGGGAGGAAGAGATTCGACAAGTCCGTCAATATTAATCAACAGTCAACACCCCTTTTAAGGATTTTATCGCGCGCGGGTGGCCACTCCAGTCGGGCCGGTCGAGCCGATCTCTTGGCTGTCCCACTGAATGCGCATCCCCGGATCCAGGCCCACGAGACGCTTCGGGTGACGTAGTTGCAGGAAAGCTTGGCCTGCTCTGAGTCTGGTTCTGGCTCTGGCCTTCACGTTGGGTTGAAGCGGACAAGGGAAACAGGCTCGCAGGTCACTGCTGACATCATGCAAGTCAGTCCGACCGAATCCATGCTAGCCATACTATAGATAAGTCATGTCCGTCCAGACTCCGTGAATCTTTCTGCCTAGCCTCAGCAGCCTCGCGTGGCCTGCAGAAACTTTTGCCGGCGTGGACCGATTCAATCCACCGCCCCTTCTCTCCCACTCCACGAACCAAGGCTGCCATCCGGTGTCTCCACGATGATGCGAAGGGGGAAGGCACTAATCTAAATCCAGATCTCAGTGTGTTCCGACCGCGTGATGAGAGACGGCAGGCTAGATACACTGGGGAGCCACCTGTTCTTGAGGAGTGATGAGGAAGCGATCGGCAATCGGCGATGCGATGCCAAGCCATTGTTAGATGATTCCCTCATCATCTCGTCTCGTGCCTCGGAGTCCGCCCGAATACGAGCCCTCTCTCCCGGTGGCTTCGATTATTACGAATTGTTACACCGACTGACTGACCGACCGACTGACAACGTGCCAAAAACAATCCATTGTCGAGCTGTCATAAGTCGTGGAACCAATGGCGTTCAATAACCACCCCTTATGAACACACACGCCAATGATGTCGCCCTGGCGGTATCATACCCAGCCGAATGCGATGCCACGACAGAACGCTCACGTTTGACCATTGCGCTCGGCTGGAAATGAAGCATCCAATATCGAGTCACTAGTCAGGCAGCCGGATTCTCGAGGGTCCAATGACCGGAACCTCTTCCTCGATGAGTCGATAACAACTCTCGCTTGCCCGAAACCAAGTGGGCCGTCGCGACGGCGGCTCGGCCCCTGGCGGCTGGCGCAGTGGCGTCAATCGCCAGGTCAGGTCTTTTAAGGGGCGACCCTGACTCCATCCCCGTCGCGTCCTGTTCTCCTGAACATCCGCGCGTCGCTTTGTCCTTGTCGGTTCGGATTCAGGCGTCACGATGTTTGGTAACGGCTTGATGGCGTGGCTTCGGCCCTCTCCCGAGGCGGCTGTCCCTGAGAGCAAGTGGGATCCCGAGACCCTGACGATGCAGCAGCCCGCCAGTCCGGCTCGTCTGTCGATGGAGGATGTTGTGACTGAGCAGCCGGTATGAGGCCCGTTGATCTGTGGTCTTCACGGAGACACTAACCAGAATAGCGAGCGGGCGAGTCGATGCAGGTGCAGATCCGTGGTGGTGGTGAAGGAGAGGATGTCTGCTGCGGAGTGTAAGCGTCACTGGCCCAAGAAGGTGACCCAGCAACTGTACTGACTAACGTGGTTAGGTGCGCCGGACTCTGCTGCTTCGAATGCTGCGAGTGCTGCTGTGATTGCTGCGGCGGCGACGACGGCCCTCCCGGCCCCCCCGGCCCTCCGGGACCCCCGGGACCTTAGGCCATCTCTCGGTTGGAGCCCGAAGACTGCGCTCGCTAATCGATGACGATCGGATATGGGGTTGGATCGGAGTGGATATTGGTGGGAAAGCAGTGCTGTGCTTTGTATCCCCAAAGGTTGTTGGATGCGATATACCCTATTTACCATGCCTGTATGCAGTAGTGTGGTGCAGTGTCAATCTATATCTTGATTTCAACCAAAGTTCCTGGAGTGTCTGCGTGTTGTGGGGTGCATGCCTAACGGAAGCATCGGCTTTACCTATCTTCTTCGATGATCGCACTGACCCTGTCGCCTATTCGAACCACCGCGAGATCGGGGCTGCGAATGACGACGATGAAGGCCCAGGATGTCGCCCACCCCGATGGGATAGTCATGAAAGCTAATGGCTCTCCGGCTCAACCATACCCCGTCCACTATCATAGTAGATGCTTGTTTGCTGACTGTTTTCCATTTTGTCCCCGATCATCGGTGGCTGTAGCCCGGGTTTATCTCCCCGTTCCCCCCGCATTGACCGACGGAAATGGTCGGGCATGATGGTGCAGCCAAGTCCCTCTCCCTCGGCGTTAATTTCCCGATTGTCCAACTACTCCAACTACTCGCGCTCGGGGATGAAGCGGGACTGGCGGTGCGTGGGGGTGGATCCCCGGATTTTCCCCCGCAGACCCTTCGCGGGGGGCCCTGGTTGGCACATTCTCCTCATCATGCCACGGACACTGGCTCCAATATAACCTTTGATGCGTGATTGATACCTCGCCTGGACCCTCATGTTACCCCCGCAGGACGGCATCGTCCGCCGTACCCCCGCGCAGTTGGTGCTATATAAGATGGCTGATAATCTGTGGCTGGGAACAACATCAAGCGAGTCTGCAACTCTTCAACCGACATCATGGTTCAAGCGGCGGCATTGGGATGGCTGGGATGGCTGGGATTGGCAGGCGTGGCCCTGGGTACCTACGCGCCTTATTATGCGAACCTCACTTGGGAAGCGCCCCGGGCTCTGTCCAACTGGTCGAATCTGACGGTCGAGAATCGGACGGGGACGTTTGTTGGCATGCTCAATGATACCTACCCAGGAGTTCGCCAGTTCTCGAGGGTCCCCTTTGCTAAGGTCAGTGCTCTCCTCGGGCCTTCGCCTGCGCTCGCCTAGCGTGTCCCACCAGCCTCCCATGTCCGACCTCCGATGGCTCCCTCCACAGCGGCTGGACAACTCCAGTAAGAAGTACGACTCGACCTTCTATGGCCCAGGTAGGCTTCCCCAATCCAACCTCCATCCTCATGTTTCTCATGTCTCTGGCTAGCATGTCCCCAATATGTCCCCTCGACTTCTTCGTTTTGGAACGAATATGAACCGGAAAACCTGCTGCTTAGTGTTGGAGAGAAACTCGATCAGGGGTCCACTGCCTGGTCATCCGCCGAGGACTGCCTCTCCCTGGCAGTCTGGACTCCCTCCTATGCCACCAAGACATCACAGCTTCCGGTTGCCTTGTTTGTCACGGGTGGAGGGGGTATTACAGGGGGCATCGAGATTCCGTCTCAGTTGCCTTCCGCATGGGTTTCGCGTTCCCAGGAACACATCGTGGTTACCATTAATTACCGGTCCAATATCTTTGGAAGTCTGTGATTTCCACTCTTTATCTACTGCTGGTCCTCGAGCTGACACTCTCAGACCCCAAGTCTCGGGCTTTGAACGAGACCTCCCTCACGCTGCTGGATGTCCGGGCTGCTGTGGAGTGGGTTTCCGAGAACATTGAAGCTTTCGGAGGCAATTCCGACAATATCATGGTCAGTTCCCTGCCACATAGCCTGTTCATAGTCTAACTGCCGTACAGCTCTGGGGACAGTCCCAAGTTGCCCTGCTGACGCACTTGTACACGCTCGCATGGCCGGAGGATCCCTTTGCGGCCAAATTCGGAGTCATCTCTCAAGGGGCCTCGGCGACCATCAACCTCACGACCACACCCGATGTCTACCAAGACTTTGATATTGTGGCGAAGGGTCTTGGATGCAACTACGGGGATGATGCAGAGGCTGAGCTCAACTGCATGCGCCAGGTCTCGTGGGTGCAGATCGAGGAGTACATCAACCGCTACAACAGCACACCGTCAATTGCCTTCACAAACTACATTCGTGAGTACACCCGTGGCCTATGGACAGCCCAATGCTGATATTTTGCAGCGGATGAGCGATACATCTTCTCCGACGAGGCGCAACGATATGCCGAGCGCAAGGTTGCTCCGGGGCCGTCGATCCGGTCTGACACTGCCAGAGAATTCCCCAGCGCAAACACTACTGAGATCAACATCGAAGAAGGGGTGCGTCGGATTGCCTAGCGGCTTCAGATTCCGCTCTGAGGGCTTCGATTGGCTTGGTAACCCATCGGTATTACTGGGCAGGTGAGTGACTTCCCCCTTCACACGACAGCTTGATCCATGCTGATCCGGTGCAGGCAACTTCACCAACATCAGCCCCGTGCCCTGGCTGGGCGCATTCCACTGGACGGATCTGCTGATGATCTTCGAAACATACATTCTCGATGTGGGAGAGATCTCGGAACTGGAGGTAGACACCTCTGCCACCATGCAGGACTACTTTTTGGCGTTCTTGAAGAACTCGTCGACCGTCGGCGAGACTGTGGGATGGCCAGCCTTCCTGGGCAACTCCACCGATGGTGGGACAATCCTGGAATTCGGCAATGGGACGACCGTCGGGAACATCCCCGGCGACTGGCTGGATGCCGGCTGCTACAATTCCTCGATCCCGTTCCGGATCTGGGGGTGAAGCAGCTGAAGTCTAGATCGCATACCAAACAGAAAGCAGGACCCTCCTGGCTAGAGGGCCATCGAGACAGTTTCCTAGTCTCGGGTTATATGTCTATTTCTCGACACAATATCTACTTTAGATAGCCTAAGCCATCGAATACATATATATACACTTACACAATCTACCCTCTAAGCAAACCCAACCACACCCTATTTACAACCCCTCAGCCCCCTCCAACTGCTTCTCCAGCTGCCCCTCCTCATTCCTCCTCGCCCTCTCCCCATTCCTCCTCGCACTCCCCTCCAACCCATACAACACATCCTCCGACATGCCCGGAATAACCATGTCAAACGTACTCTCCACAACGGCATACTGAAAATAGCCACACCTGGCAATGGGCCTCATCTTCTTCACATCCAGCAGTCCATCCGTAATCACCCCCTCATCGACATGCACCCCCACCACCCGACCGACCACGACATCGACCGTCCCCATCGGCGGATTCCCAGGCAACCGCATCGTCGAATGATACACACACTCAAACCTAACGGGCGACTCCTTGACCATCGGCACGCCATCCAGCACCCTGCTCATCTCCTTGCTCAACCCCGCCTCCTCGAACTCGTCCACCCCGTACGGGAACTGCTGCGCGGTGATGTTCATCGCCTCGCGCAGGTCGTACGTCGCCATGTTCCAGACGAATCGGCCGGTGGATTCGGCGTTGACGACGGTGTCTTTTCGGGTACCGTCGACGGTTTGGTTGCTGCTGAAGAGGACGTAGGGCGGGTCGAAGGTGAGGTTGGTGAATTGGGAGTACGGAGCGAGGTTGGAGGTCCCATTTGTGGAGGTGGTGCTGATCCAGCCGATGGGGCGGGGGATGACGCAGGACTGGTGGTGTTAGTGTTTGTTGGGTGGGAGGGGGGAAGGCGAGGGAAGGGTACCTTAAATGGATCATGAGGCAGACCGTGGTCTGTTTTGCCGGGTTCGTAGAACATTTTGATTATCGGGTGGTTCGTTGTGGTTATGGCTGGGATGGCCAGGTGTCGGGTGTAGAGAATTAGAAGTTAGTAAGATGGATGCAGGAACAGCTGCGCTTTTAAGCTGCTCATCGGGTAGCGCGGGCCTCGGAGTCTCCTGTCCCTGACGACGGAGGGACAGTCTACGGGATAACCAATAATGCCTGGTGGGGGGTGTGGCGACGATCTCCGAGATGCCCGACGTTCCGAGACGCGGTTCGATACTATAGATATAATATGGGGACATGTGTTACATTCAAAGCTACCCCACAGATAGCTGAAATGGCTGCAGTCTCATAGCACAGAGTCAAGGAAACATGAGTTAAGATACGACGCTTCGCATCACTCGATCAAATCACTGTCCGCGTTGCCACCCGAGATCTTCATCTTCTCCAACTCAAGTTTCAGCGCCAGAGTCTCAGCCTGGAGTCTGCAGATTCTCCAGTCAGATAGACTGCTCATTTCCTCAAGATCGCGATTCACTTTCAGGGCGGCAATGCAGAGATCGCGACAGAACTCAGGCACAAAATCCAGAACAACGTCATCCAAGATCTGTGGCTCTCCCTTCTTGCGGCTCAAGAACTCCAGGCTATTCACGACAATTTCGATCACAACCTCTCTGATTTTCCACATACAGTTTGGGGGCGACTGATAAGCCTGAAAAATGGCAGCCATGAATGCCTCCTGGTCCCGAATCTTAAGGAACGAGGCGCGGAAGTGAATAAGCGCCAGGGCCTCCAGCTCGCGGATTCCAAAGTGCAGGGCTTCACCGTGCATCATGGCATGGAAGCAGGGAGTGTAAGTCTCTCGATCGGGACAAATCAGCTCCATGCCTGGATAGGAGCGGGCCAGCTCGTTGCCGACTTTTTGGTTAGGCACATCAGGCACAGTCAAACCGGACGTCTTCACATTGTAGTCTCCGAGATAGAGATACTCGAGCATTGCCTCTACCAGGTGAGGTTGCTTATCATGCAGTTCGACCACCCCGTCCATTCCCTGAGACGCTTTTGTCAGTCAAATCAGTCGGTGGGTCGGCAGTGAGGAAAGAAATAAGATCGGCACGTACCTCCTTGATGTTTCGACAGGCGTGCTCGAAGTAGGGGGACTGAGGACAGATCACCTTTCTATGACCAGGATAGATCCGGTCCTGGCAAACGATGGTGAAGTCGCTTCCATGTCGGGTGCGGTAGAGCCTTCATACAAAGTTAGCCGTGGCTCAACATTATACCGTCAGGTTCTATCTGCAGACCTCTTGTTTTCCTCCGAATCCATGTTGTTTGACGCGAGGCCGACGGCACCGGTGGGAGATGGATTTAGGAGTTTGGCTAAAAATGCCCGCAGTGGCATTGAAGATGCGGACAAGGGTGTAGACGCGAAGGAAATACCAGGCCTTTGAGCAACACTTCTTGTTTACATGACATGGGGATGCATATTCACTGCAGGGTCTCGTGACTTGGTCGCCTTCGTTATCAGGCGCCCAGGCAGATGCTCCAGGGGATCGGCAGGTGTTTGACATGCAGTTTGCGCAGCTGGTCAAATAAAATGTCTTCTAGGTAGAGCCTAGGTCTCAACTTTGTGACATGATTATATCGTATACTTCAAGATCACAGACATGGTGGATATTTCAGAATCTAACTTGGCTGACATAGGGCAATGGTGTTTGCCATCACAACAGCCACTGCAGGATGCACAAACCCAGCGATGTACCCCCTAAGGATTCATATATGGTGCAAGACAATGAATAATGTCACAAAGCTCGAGAATAACATGACCCCCCTTTCTCCTCTTTCTTCCATTTCCGTTCTTGGGCAGCCTCCGATCCCCCGAGCCTCCGAGCCCCCGAGCCCGAACCAAGAGAAACATTAGCAGAGGCTTTTAAGGATAGAGCTTGAAATTTCATATCCACTCGAATGTCTGGACCCACGAAGGCAGCTCCGATATATCCGGCCAGGCAATATGTTGAGTTATAAAAGTCGTCCTTGGAACAACACTCAGAGCGATTCCCAAGCCCTGGACCAACCACCATCCCCGAGGATAATCAAACAAGACTCAATATGTCTGCACAACCAGCGCATCTGTGCTTCCGCTCGTTCGTCGAGGCCCTCAAAGCTGACAACGACCTGGTGGAAATCAACACCCCTGTCGACCCCAATCTCGAGGCGGCAGCAATCACTCGCCGAGTATGCGAGACCAACGACAAGGCCCCCTTGTTCAACAACCTGATCGGAATGAAGCATGGCCTCTTCCGCATCCTCGGGGCACCTGGATCTCTCAGAAAGTCCCCTTCAGACCGTTATGGCCGACTAGCCCGTCATCTCGCCCTCCCTCCTACGGCATCCATGCGCGAGATCCTCGACAAGATGCTGTCCGCCAGCACCATGCCTCCTATTGAGCCAACCATCCTTCCCACCGGCCCTTGCAAGGAAAACAGTCTGAGTGACTCGGAATTCGACTTAACCGAGCTGCCTGTGCCTCTGATCCACAAGTCAGATGGAGGCAAATATATCCAAACCTACGGCATGCATATTGTGCAGTCGCCCGATGGCACGTGGACCAACTGGTCCATCGCTCGAGCGATGGTTCACGACAAGAACCATTTGACCGGCTTGGTGATCCCACCTCAACACATCTGGCAAATTCATCAGCTATGGAAGAAGGAAGGCAAGAGCGATGTCCCCTGGGCTCTGGCGTTCGGGGTTCCGCCCGCTGCCATCATGGCTTCCAGCATGCCCATCCCTGACGGGGTCACCGAGGCCGGCTACGTGGGAGCGATGACAGGATCGTCTCTAGAGCTGGTCAAGTGTGATACAAATGACCTGTATGTTCCCGCCACCTCCGAGATCGTCCTCGAGGGCACTCTGTCTCTCAGCGAGACAGGACCGGAAGGGCCCTTTGGAGAGATGCACGGATACATCTTCCCTGGGGATGTCCACCTCGGTGCCAAATACAAGGTAAACCGCATCACCCACCGCAACAACGCTATCATGCCTATGTCGTCATGCGGTCGCTTGACCGATGAAACAGTAAGTTTCCCTTCCCGCGCACCTTCATCGAGTCTTCTAACGCTATCAAGCACACCCTGATCGGCTCTCTCGCGGCAGCAGAGATCCGCAAGATCTGCCAACAAAACGGCCTCCCAATCACCGATGCATTCAGTCCGTTCGAGTCGCAAGTCACCTGGGTTGCCCTCCGCTTCGACGCCGAGAAATTGCGCGCTATGAAAACCAACTCGGAAGAACTGCGCAAGCGGGTAGGAGATGTTGTCTTCAACCACAAAGCCGGCTACACCATCCACCGTCTCATCTTGGTCGGTGATGACATCGATGTGTATGAAGGAAAGGATGTTCTCTGGGCTTTCTCCACTCGCTGCCGCCCGGGCATGGATGAGACTTTGTTCGAGGACGTTCGCGGGTTCCCGTTGATTCCGTACATGGGACATGGAAACGGCCCCGCCCATCGCGGTGGAAAGGTTGTGTCCGATGCTTTGATGCCCACTGAGTATACGACGGGCCGGAACTGGGAAGCAGCCAGTTTCAAGGAGTCGTATCCCGAGGAGGTGCAGCAGAAGGTGTTGGCGAACTGGACTACGATGGGATTCAGTGACTAAACCAGGGAGCCTGGGGTATCTGGAGTGCAAAATAGACCTAGATATACGATATGATAGAGGTATAGAAGTAAATTCATTGTGGTCCTTTGGAACCATTTCTGTGGGGAGTATCTAATTCGTATAGTATATATCTTTGTTAAGTTCCAAACCCGCTTGTCGGATACTATGTACTTCAATCCATGATGCTCTGTGAGCCTCCAATACTTGTAAACCATCTTCCAACGCTAGTCAATGAACATCCTATCACACCCCAATTAATCCCCTTTTTACTGCAATTGTGAGTGTGAAAAGCACCGATGTCCCCCCCCCCCCCCCCCCAAAAAAATTGCTGACTCATCCGGGCCGAGAAGCCGACGAGATCCGCGGCGGCGGGTGTCCCGCCTTCCACTCGGACATCAACTGGCACATCAACACCAAAACTTCCTGAATGTCGGGCACAAACGGAGGGAGGGTTTGATTTCGTTAATTCCATAGCAAATAATGAGCTGTACTGCCTGAGCAATCCAAGTGTCGCCATGGCAGCCTCTGTTGACCGCCAAGAGATCGATCGCGTCCTTCGACAGAAACGCAACCAGCGGGAGGCCAGAGCGTGCTATCCTTGTCGCCAGCGCAAGGTTAAATGCGACAGCGCCCTACCATGTCGGACCTGTCGTCGCCGTGGCCATCCTCAGATCTGCGTCTATGACCAGGCGACTCCTGGATCCAAGCAGGCTCGGAATGTGAGCCAGCAACTTCGTCCCACTGCTTCCCGTGATGTGAATCGGACACCGGCTGTGCAGCCAGGCCCGTCCAACGTCGAGCTCCAGACCCAGCCTTCAGTGCGCAGTCAGTCGGTACCCCATCTACAACAAGGGCAGTACTATCCGAACCGGATTTCTTCGTCCGATGGCCCGGACAATGAACTCGTCTATTCAGGCGACAACTCTGTGGTGTCCATCCTCCGTAACCGTACGCAAGATGCCAACGGCTCCATGGCCCGTGAGGTGGGATCGGTCCTTGGCCTGCAAAACACCTACGACAGTTATCCGTTCATGGAGGCCAGGACACCCCAAGACCGCTGGACAGAGCTCCTCCGGATCATCCCGCAGCGCGCGGAACTTTTAAAGTGAGCAAGCTATGCGTCTTTCATCGTGTCTTCTAACAATTGACAGGTTCTTCCATTTCTTTCGCCTATCGGCGTACCCATTCAATCCTATCCTCGTAGATATCGAACGCTTTGAGCTGGATGTCTGTTCGTATCTCAATGACCTCGCAGCAGGAGAGTTGCAAGACCCTAGGCGGATTTCCGAGCGCTGGGCCACTGATCGGTCCGTTGGCCTTGTCAGCCTACTCCTGGCCACCTTGGCTTCCGGTGCGCACTACTCTGATCTGGAGCATATACAGCGGTCAGAGCTATATCAGGATTTCGGTACGTTTGACTGACTACATGCGTGATATGCGCTGACTCTAGAAAGCCAGGAGGTCTTTCCAGGCTCTTCGGCTGGCTAATTTCCTGTTCCGACCGACGATGGATATCATACAGACCCTTCTGATTATTGGGAACACGCTGCAGAACAACGGGCAGTCCGATGCAGCGTGGGCGTTGCTGGGGACGACAGTCCGTCTCGCGCAGACCCTAGGCCTTCACACAGAGAGGGGAATGGCACGCTTTCCCGATCATGTAAAGTGGAAGGCCAGGAAACTATGGTGAGTAGAGACTGTACGGCTCAAGGCGTCAAACTGACATAGCCAGGTTTGCGGTTGTTTGGCAAGACAGTCTCCTTTGTCTCTGCTACGACAGACCGCCCATTGTGTCCATCACCGGATGGACCCCCGACAACTCGATATTTTCGAGGACCGACTTATGTTACACCGAGGTCATGCATTACCTCTGTCGGATGGCTCTGGAGATAAGCCAGTCAGCTGGCATTGAGGGACAGCAGAGCACGCCCCGGCTTGATACCTTGGCTTCTCTTGACAGCGTGTACCAGCGCGCGCAACCCCATCTACGAGAACGACAGGAATGCAAAACATTGCACCATAATCTGGAGCATCTGGCCTTGAAAATGCACGTGTCCCTTGCCATTTCTGTTCTGACGCGGTCGGCACTCAGACGTATTCCGATTCGGGACTCGGCCCATGATGTGATGCGCACTCGCGCCAAAAACAGCCTCATCGACGCGTCCAGAGCTTTTCTGGATTTCCAGGCGCTGAGTGTGGTCCCCCTCCGGAGCTGGTCAATGGTGCATACCGTCCTGAGCTCCACTTTGCTTCTCTGCATTTGGGAGGAGACCCGAAATGATGCCGAGTGTCGTGACCTGCAGCAGAGGGTCATTGAAGTGTTTTCTGCGGCAGGCTCGGTGGGCACAGTGGGGAACTCGGCCTCGGAGAATGGCCAGTGGCTGTCGGAGCGGCACATCCGGGCGTTGATTACGCTGCGAAACGCCGTCAGGACGGCCGTCGACCGCGAAAAAGAGGAGGGCGATGTCGGGATAGAACGTCCGGAGCAGCCCGGGCCGTTTTTCCCTGCATATGGGTATGTTGGCCTTGTCACTTGTGGAGCTCTGGTGGATGCTGATCTCACAGAATGCCCAACGGTTTTCCCGATGACTTTGGCCAGGATTTCTCACCCGCGTCCTATCTGGACTCGATCATGAACGGTATGCCGATGTATCCGAGCTTGTCCGACAGTGCTAATGGGACCAGTACCGATGTTTGACCTGTCCAAGGAGATCGAATTTCTCTGAGCCGAATGACACTCGCACCGACCGTTTCATGACGTAACTTGGTTGTCGGAACTCGGGTCTCGGAACTCGGGGCCTCGGGGCCCTCATGCTGGATGGGCCAGATTCAAGCAAAAGAAGTGCAGAATCAGTCTGAGTCCGGTTGCCACGGAGCTATATATTAAACAGTTCTGAACCTGACACCTGCCTCACAGACTCACAGATCATTCGCATCTAAGCAATATAGCACACTTTGCCCCTCCGACCACCTGCCTAAATCCACAACCAGACCATATGTTCAGCTCAATCCTCTCCGGCACTACCACCCCCAACTCCAGTCGCGCATCCCCCCCTCCCCACGGCGAAATGGCCGTCGACCACGATCAGCCTGTCTCCAGACCGACGCAGCGCCGGCGCCGCATTGTGGTAGCAATGACGGGCGCTACCGGCGCCATCCTCGGGATCAAGGTGCTGATCGCCCTGCGCAAATTAAACGTCGAGACGCATCTTGTGCTCAGCAAGTGGGCCGAGGCTACGATAAAATACGAGACCGACTACCACCCGTCGAACGTGCGAGCGCTGGCCGACCATGTGCACAACATCAACGACATGGCGGCGCCGGTGTCCAGCGGCTCGTTCCGCGCGGACGGCATGATTGTGGTGCCCTGCAGTATGAAGACCCTGGCGGCGATTCACTCCGGATTCTGCGACGATCTGATCTCGCGGACGGCGGATGTCATGCTCAAGGAGCGACGGCGGCTGGTCCTGGTGGCGCGTGAAACCCCCTTGAGCGAGATCCATCTCCGGAACATGCTGGAGGTGACACGAGCCGGGGCGATCATCTTTCCGCCCGTGCCCGCGTTCTATATCAAGGCTGGGGGCATCGAAGAGCTCGTCGACCAGAGTGTCGGACGGATGCTGGACCTTTTCGATTTGGACACGGGGGACTTTGAGCGATGGAATGGGTGGGAAAAGTAGCCGCGATTGGGCTGAATTTTGGCTGAATGCATTTTTGGAAAATTAAAGGGGCGCGACCGGTTTTTGGGACGATACAAATTATTGCCTGTACATACTTTTGGATGTGGTTCGGCACGGCAACGATCGGCCGAGCCACGGACCACTTTTTGCATATGATTCGAGCCATCACACAAAACAGCCGTCACGGTTGGTTGCCATTCTTTCCTCTGTCTGGCTGTCTTGACTCATGCATGTCTAGGAACTGCAAGTGACCCAGCAGGGAATCAAGGAGACACTGCAATCCATCCTGCCTCAACCAGAGGGATAGACTTCCGCCTCGATGAACCGAATTGAAACGGTCAAAGCTCCTTTCCCCGCATGGCAGGACCCTCTAGCCAAGACATGCTGGCAGGAGGCCCGGCATGGTATTCCTGGTGATATCTGGTGATGCGAGCTAGTATATTCCAACCTCGGTTTTGCGAGCAAACGTGAAACGCTCGTCTTTCTGATCCCCCGGTTGGTGCGATGTCCTCCTGCTGACCCCCTGAAGGGAGCTCCTGACCAACAACGGAATCCCGGGAATGCAGGTTGGGCTTCTCCTCTTTGAGACCAACATAGGGATGTCTGTGAGGATCTCCACCCGAGGAGACACATGGAGACCCTTGCAAAGCATGTTTTCTGGAGCTACTACCTGCTAGCATCGTCCGAGGACAGGGGCAGTCTCAAATTGCAGACAGCAAGGATGTCTAGGCATATATAGGGCATTGCGCCCCGTGCAACGGTCAGCGACCCACAGCGACATCGAACAGGCCATCATGAAGGCCTTCCTCTGGCTTTTACTTTCCCTGACCGTGCTGGCCGTTCCGACCAAACGGGACGCAGCTCCCACCGTCGCGATCGAACACCCCTCCGCCACATTCATCGGCAAGGCCGGCGATGTCGAGACCTTCAACAACATCCCCTTCGCGCAGCAGCCCACTGGCTCGCTGCGCCTGAAGCCCCCGCAGCCATTGGAAACCGGCCTCGGGACCGTGCAAGCAACGGGGTCCTCCGTGTCCTGCCCGCAGATGTACTTCACCACGGATACCAGCGAATTCCCGACATCGATCATCGGTATGCTTGCGGACATCCCGCTGCTCCAGACCGTGACCGGTGCCAGCGAAGAGTGTCTGAGTCTTGACATCCGCCGTCCAGCTGGGACGACCGCGGAATCGAAGCTGCCCGTCCTTTTATGGATCTTTGGCGGCGGCTTTGAACTGGGTACAAAGGCGATGTACGATGGCTCGAACCTGGTGTCCACGTCTGTGGATTTGAACATGCCCGTGGTGTATGTGGCCATCAACTATCGCGTGGGTGGTTTCGGGTTTCTCCCCGGGAAGGAGATCAAAGAGGACGGCTCCGCCAACCTGGGGCTCCTGGACCAGCGCCGTGCTTTGGAGTGGGTGGCCGACAACATCGAGGCCTTTGGCGGGGATCCAGACAAGGTGACGATTTGGGGCGAATCCGCCGGCGCTATCTCGATCTTTGACCAGATGGTCTTGTACGACGGCAACAACACCTACAATGAAAAACCCCTGTTCCGCGGGGCCATCATGGACTCCGGCAGTGTCGTTCCTGCTGATCCGGTTGACGGGGTCAAGGGCCAACAGGTGTACGACACGGTGGTCTCGGCCGCGGGCTGTTCGTCGTCCAACGACACGCTGAACTGCCTGCGGGAGCTGGACTACACGGATTTCCTGAACGCGGCGAATTCCGTGCCCGGAATCATCGGGTATCACTCGGTGGCGCTCTCGTATGTGCCTCGTCCCGATGGGACGGCATTAACGGCCTCTCCGGACGTGCTGGGCAAGGCCGGGAAGTACGCCAAGGTGCCGTTCATCATCGGCGACCAGGAAGACGAAGGCACGCTGTTTGCGCTCTTCCAGTCGAACATCACCACCGTGGATGAGGTGGTTGAATACTTGAGCAAATACTTCTTCTACGACGCCAGCATCGAACAGCTCCAGGAGCTCGTGGCGCTGTATCCGGACACCACGACGTACGGATCGCCGTTCCGGACCGGCACCGACAACAACTGGTACCCGCAATTCAAGCGACTGGCCGCGATCCTGGGCGACCTGGTCTTCACGATCACTCGACGGGCGTTCCTCTCGTACGCGGAGCAGATCACGCCCGACCTGCCGTTCTGGTCGTATCTGTCGTCGTACGACTACGGCACACCGGTGCTGGGGACCTTCCACGGGAGCGACATCCTCCAGGTGTGCATGGGGATCTGGCCGGACTACGCATCGAAGTCGATCTACTCGTACTACTTCAGCTTCGTGTACACGCTGGATCCGAACTCCAACCGGGGGTCGTATCCGGAGTGGCCGCAGTGGAAGGGGGACCGGCAGCTGATGCACTTCAACGCGAGCGATGGGGGGCTGTTGACGGATGATTTCCGCAACGGGACGTATGAGTATATCCTGCAGTATGCGGATGTGATGCATATCTGATGGGCTAGCCTATTGGGGGGAGGGGAGGGGAGGGGAGGGGAGGGGAGGGTCCAGATGCTGAGGATCGTGTGATGCCTCGGCAGATCCACAGGGGAAGAGGGGGGGGGATATAATAGCCAGCCAGACCATACCTATATAGTAATGTATACCAACATGCGCAGGAAACCGCACCAATCAGGACCTGATGGATGACCAGGGACGGTGATTCTGCGGACCGAGTAAAATTGCCTCGAGGGTAAGCGAGGACTAATGGCGAGAAAGAGTGGACGAGGGCAATTTCGGCCGGCCCGGCCCGGCACGGCGATAGGCTGGCCTTCCGTGGGCACTGACGAGCCACCGCAGCTGAACTACTGAACAACAACTACTACTAGATACTAGTAGTACTGACCAGCTGCCGGTTCCTGCGCAATCACAGGCTGCCTCGCCACTCGATCGGCCAAGTCCACTTCCTGCAGAGACGGAGTACGGAGTAAGCGATGTTGCATCGCGATGTTCTGCATGTGCCTTCCCCTCACGCGTGATGTGATGGTCGCCTGGTTATAAATTGAGGGGGTTGGCGCACCTTGCATGGGCACTCGCACACCCAGCTCACCTCTCGACTCTACCTTGCCGCCAGCGACAGCGATAGTGACTCCATCCAAGATGTCGCTTCGATCCCTCCTCACCGTCAGCGGCCTCGTCTGCTCGGGGCTGGCCAGCGTCCTGTCCCGTCGAGCAACGCTGGACTCCTGGCTCACCAGCGAAGCGACCGTCGCGCGCACCGCCATCCTGAACAACATCGGCGCGGACGGCGTGTGGGTGGCGGGCGCCGACTCGGGCATTGTCGTCGCCAGTCCCAGCACGGACAATCCCGACTGTACGCATGTCTGTGTAGGAATGTGAATTGATGGATTCTGACGTCTACAGACTTCTACACTTGGACGCGTGACTCGGGCCTCGTCATCAAGACCCTCGTCGATCTGTTCCGCAACGGCGACACCGGCCTGTTGTCCACCATCGAGCAGTACATCTCCGCCCAGGCGATCGTCCAGGGCATCAGCAACCCCTCCGGCAGTCTGTCCAGTGGTGGACTGGGCGAGCCCAAGTTCAATGTCGACGAGACGGCCTTCACCGGGGCCTGGGGACGACCGCAGCGCGATGGGCCGGCGTTGAGAGCTACGGCGATGATCGATTTCGGGGAGTGGTTGATTGTATGTGGCGTCTCCTTTTCGCTTGGGGACGTGTCCAAAGCTGACTCTCCAGGAAAATGGATACACCAGCATCGCGACCGATATCATCTGGCCCCTGGTCCGAAATGACCTGTCGTATGTGGCGCAATACTGGAACCAGACGGGATACGGTGCGTCTTATGAGGATGTGACACTGGGAGGGCGAGGCTAATGGGCACAGACCTCTGGGAGGAGATCGATGGATCGTCGTTCTTCACGATCGCCGTGCAGCATCGCGCCCTGGTCGAAGGCAACACCTTTGCGGCGAACGTCGGCTCGTCCTGCTCCTGGTGCGAGTCGCAGGCTCCCCAGATTCTTTGCTATTTGCAGTCCTTCTGGACGGGCAGCTACATCCTGGCCAACTTCGACAGCAGTCGCTCGGGCTTGGACGCCAACACCCTCCTGGGAAGCATCCACACCTTTGATCCGGAGGCGGGCTGCGACGACTCGACCTTCCAGCCGTGCTCCCCGCGCGCGCTCGCCAACCACAAGGAGGTCGTCGACTCGTTCCGCTCTATCTACACCCTCAATGATGGCTACACCGAGAGTGAGGCGGTGGCTGTCGGTCGGTACCCCGAGGACGTGTACTATGATGGCAACCCGTGGTTCCTGTGCACGCTCGCCGCGGCGGAGCAGCTGTATGACGCGCTGTACCAGTGGAACCAGCAGGGATCGCTGGAGATCACCGATGTGTCGCTGGCATTCTTCCAGGCGCTGTACAGCTCTGCCGCGACGGGCACCTACTCTTCGTCCAGCAGCACTTACACCAGCATCGTGGATGCCGTGAAGACCTATGCGGATGGCTTCGTGACCTTTGTGGTATGTCCCAACACTGCATAGGACGAATTGCCCTGCTAACCGGCCAGGAAACCCACGCCGCAACCAACGGCTCCCTGTCCGAGCAATACTCGAAGACCGATGGCCTGGAGCTGTCCGCTCGCGATCTGACCTGGTCCTACGCGGCCCTGCTGACGGCCAACAACCGCCGCAACTCGGTCGTGCCCGCTGCCTGGGGCGAGACCTCCGCGAGCAGCGTGCCGGCGACCTGCGTGAGCACATCCGCGACCGGCACCTACAGCAGTGTCACCATTGCCTCATGGCCGACCATTGTCGTGAGTGGCGCCACGTCCGCGACGACGACTGCCACTGCCACTGCCACCGGTAGTGCAACCACCACCACCGCCAGCAAGACCACCACCAGCTCGACCTCATGTACCACCCCGACCGCCGTGGCCGTGACGTTCGACCTCTCGGCCACCACGACCTACGGGGAGAACATCTACCTGGTGGGATCGATCTCGCAACTGGGCGACTGGGACACGAGCGACGGCATCGCGCTGAGCGCGTCGGACTACACGACCAGCGACCCGCTGTGGTTCGTGACGGTGACGCTGCCGGCGGGCGAGTCGTTCGAGTACAAATTCATCCGGATCGAGACAGACGGGACGGTCGAGTGGGAGAGTGATCCCAACCGGGAGTACACGGTGCCGCAGACGTGCGGCGAGTCGTCGGTGACGGTGGATGACACTTGGCGGTAGTGATGCAGTATGTTGATAATAATAAATAGATGATGCAACAGGCAGGAAAGCTGTTCGGCATTGCGGATATGGCGGAGATAAGGCACTCCGGCTCCGAGGCGCCACCGCGCAAGGGGTTGGTTTGCCCCTTGGAACAGGATGGGACGCGGTGAGGACTGTCCTATCTACTCCCTACTAACTAGTTACTGTACCATCATCGCTCGCTTGGATAATAATGGATGGATGGATATGCATTGTTCTATCAACGGTCGCGACCATGACTTCATCTTAAGAGGCAAGCACGTAATCCGTAACCGAGCTCCACAGTGGGTCGTCCCAGTCTCTGATGCCAGGTCAGAATCTGGAGTATCTAGATGATGGATAATACTCCGTAGCACCACCAATAATGGCGCATGGCGCACCGCAGTAGCTCCCGAGCGAAGGGACGTTCAATCCACCCGAGCTATGGCGTTATCCCGTGCTGCTGCCTCGCCATCGCCCTCGCAAGTCGAAGTCGTTGCATATTATCAGACACCACACCACTTCCTTGGATTGAGAGCAACGGAGCTTCTTCATCATGTTGTTCTTGTTGGCTCTCGTCGCCTTGTTTACGGGATGCGAGGCTCTCGTCGCGCAGCAACTGCTGCTGTCTGAGACGGGGACCTCGACCCCGGCGCGCAAGCCCAACTTTCTCTTCATTCTGACCGACGACCAGGATCTGCAGATGAATTCTCCGGCTTACATGCCACACACCCAGTCCCGCATCAAAGATCAAGGCGTCGAGTTCCTCAACCACTTCGTGACCACCGCGCTGTGCTGCCCCTCGCGCGTCAGCCTCTGGACAGGTAGACAGGCGCACAACACCAATGTGACGGATGTATCGCCGCCTTACGGTAGTCCTCCCCGATTCATGATCAATCCGGCCTGCGCATTGCTAACAAGAGAGCAGGAGGATACCCGAAATTCGTTTCGCAGGGCTTCAACGACAACTTCCTCCCGGTCTGGCTGCAGTCCGCCGGCTACAACACCTTCTACACGGGCAAACTGTTCAACGCGCACAGCGTCACCACATACAATGCGCCGTTCGTTAACGGCTTCAACGGCTCGGACTTCTTGCTGGACCCGTTCACCTACTCGTACTGGAATGCGACCTACCAGCGCAACCACGAGCCCCCGCGCAGCTACGAGGGACAGTACACCACCGACGTGATGAAGGACAAGGCATTGGGTCTGCTGGACGACGCTTTGGCGAGCGATTCCCCGTTTTTCCTGACGGTCGCGCCGATCGCGCCGCACACCAACATCGATATGAAGGCAGCGACCGTGGGTGCCATGTCCAGTCCCCAGATGACCGAGCCGCTCCCTGCGCCGAGACATGCGTCTCTGTTTTCCGATGCCAAGGTGCCGCGGACTCCTAATTTTAACCCCAGCGTGGTATGTATACGTATACCCTGTCCCTGGACGTGGGGGGCGCAATGGCTGACGAGACCAGAAATCCGGCGCCAGCTGGGTCCAGACGCTCGAGCTGCAAAACCAGACCGTCATCGACTACCAGGACCATGTTTACCGCCAGCGTCTGCGCGCCCTGCAGGCTGTGGACGAGATGGTGGACGCGCTGATCGCCCGTCTCGAGGACAGCGGCCAGCTCGACAACACATACATCATCTACAGCGCCGACAACGGATACCACATCGGGCAGCACCGGCTCCCGCCCGGCAAGACGACGGGATACGAAGAGGACATCCGCGTGCCGTTCTATATCCGTGGCCCCGGCATCCCGCAGGGAGGGAGCGTCGACCGCGTCACGACGCACATCGACATCGCGCCGACCCTGTTCGACCTGGCCCGGCTTCCGCTGCGGAACGACTTCGACGGGACCCCGATGCCGGTGCCCAGTCAGCGGGAGACGGAGACGCAGACGCAGTCCATCTTGCACGAGCATGTCACGGTTGAGTTCTGGGGCCACAGCGTGCTGGAAGGGGAGTACTCCAGGATCGGTACGCCCTCTCCCTCTCTCCGGTGCCGGGATCGGTACATACTAACCACTGGGATAGGATACATGGGCACATCCAACGTCCCAAACAACACGTACAAATCCGCCCGGATTCTATCGCAGGAATATAACCTGTACTACTCCGTCTGGTGCAGCGGCGACCACGAGCTATACGATCTATCCGTAAGCACTTCCTGTCCTGTCCAATTCCCCTCAAAATACCTAAAAGCAAACTAACAAACAACCCGACTAGACGGATCCCTACCAAATGACAAACCTCTACCCCGCGCGTGCCTCCCTTACACTACTAAACCGGCCCCTCGAACTCGTCATCGACCGCGTCGACGCCCTCCTCCTCGTCCTGAAATCCTGCAAGGGAAGCACCTGCGTCCAACCCTGGAAGGTCCTCCATTCTGATGGATCGGTGGCCAGTCTGAAAGACGCGCTGGGAACGGAGTACGATGCGTTCTATGCGGCTCAGCCAAAAGTGCAGTATACGGCTTGTGAAGCTGGGTATTTGATTGAGTCGGAGGGGCCGCAGGCGGGATTGCAGTATCGGGATGGGCTGAGTTGGGAGGCGTGGACTTAGATTTGGGTGAAGGTTTATACTTGACGAGGGATGAGGTATATGATATACGTGTTTTCCAGTGGTTTCTGTACATGAATGATTAGCATGCTTGGATGTTGCCAGGTCGTGATTCCGTAGAGAGAGTGCCGGGGCGTAGATGGAGAGGCGAGTCAGACCAGCAGCCAGAGTCCAGACCTCCGAGAACGAGAGCACAGACAGACATGGCAATCACACCATCGTCTAATGCACGAGGGAAGCTTAAATAGCCGAGATGTGCAGCCGATGATAAAGAATAAGTAAACTTGATATCTGTTGGTGGTGGTGCCGTGGATTCCAGCCATCGATCCCGAAATCCATCCAGGAACAGTACCACCACTATCTCAGTCATTATCCAACCTCCCATCAAACACCCAGGATAGGATCGCATAATATCATATTATGACCACCTCCCACCTGAACCCTGCGTAGTAAACCAGCCCAACACGATCCCACGCCCCGCCACGCGGCCAGCGCCCTGACATCAACCGCGGCGGCGATTGCGCCATCACGCCCGCGTCTCACTCATCGTCGAGTGGATCTCCCATCCACTCGAGAACAAGACCAAGGGAAAGAAAAAAAAAAAAAAAGAGAGAGAGAAAGACCTTATCAGCCCATGACAGGCAGAGATAAGTATATAAGATGCGACCGACCGCCCGTCCTGTCGGAGAAATTGCACGAGTCGTGGTGCAGACTGACACCAGATCCTTCATCCTTCATACTTCGATCGCCCTCGCGTCTCACATTCTTCTTCTTCTTCTTCTTGCAAGACCCCCCACACTCTCAGTGATTGCCAGTGGCAGATATGACGGTGGAGAAGATCGTCGGTGAGGTGTACTTTGACGCGGAGAATGATGATGGCGAGTCGGAGATCAATATCATCAAGGATTGGGATGATCGGGAGGAGGCGAGGGTGAGGACAAAGTGAGTTTCTTCTTCTTCTTCTTCTTCTTCTTCTTCCACTCTTCCACTGCCATTCTACCCCCCCCCACACACACCCCCCGAAGATAACCATCCTGATAACTATAATCAACAGAATCGACATCATCCTCATCCCCATCCTCGCCCTCGCCTTTTTCGGCCTGCAAGTCGACCGCGGCAACATCAGCGCCGCCCTCACCTCCACGATCACCGAAGACCTGGGCATCACCACCAACCAAGTCAACATTGGCACGCAGCTGCTCTCCGCCGGCATCGTCATCACCGAGATCCCCTCCAACATCATCCTGCAGCGCCTCGGGCCGCAGGTGTGGCTGTCCGCGCAGCTGGTCGCCTGGGGTCTGGTCGGCACGTTTCAGGCGTTCGTGAAGACGTATCCGGCTTTTCTGGCGACGAGGTTGCTTTTGGGGATGTTGGAGGGGGGGTTTATTCCTGGTTAGTTGATACCTCCTGGGTCTTTGGCGGTTATGACGGGGCGCTGCGCTCAATATGAAGGTGTGGTGATGGCTAATGGCCGTGGCTCAGGCGCGTTGTATTACCTCTCGACATGGTATAAAAAGTCCGAGATCAGTTTCCGCACAACGCTGTTCTTCTACGGGCAGATGTTCGCCGGCGCGACGTCGAGTTTGATCTCCGCTGGACTGTTGAAGCTGTCCGGGAAGGGCGGATTAGCTGGATGGCAGTGGATTTTCCTAAGTGAGCTTATCTTATATCTGCTGCATGCGATGAGCGCGACGCTAATAATATCTCCAGTCGAGGGCCTGATCACCCTTTTCGCAGCCGTGCTGTTCATCTCGCTCATCCCCCGCAAAGCCGGCGACGGCAGCCCCCTGATCAGCATGGGCCGCTGGAGCTACTTCTCCCCCCGCGAGAAACACATCATCCTGGACCGCGTGCTGCTCGACGACCCCCTCAAGACCCGCGAGCATATCCGCATCACCGGCGGCGATATCTGGAAGACCGTCTCGCAATCCACCACCCTGCAGCACTGCATGATCACCCTGGTGGCCATGTCTGCTTTGCAGGGATTAAACACCTACACGCCCAGCATGATCAAGTTGTTTGGGTTCAGCGCTGTGCGCGCGAATGCGCTGGCTTCAGTGCCGGTGTATGCGAGTATCGTGTTGACTACGCTTTTGGGTTATCTCTCGTATGTCCTGCCTGCTGGAATGTGACAGGATAAGACGAGTGCTGACCAGATCTAGTGACAAAACGGGCCACCGCGGTCCCTTCGTCTTGCTGTCCATCACATGGACCGTCATAACCTACACCGTTCTCAAAACCAGCCCGACAGACGCCTCCAGCTGGCACAAGTACGCGGTGATTGCCATCGCCAATGTCGCGTATTGCAGCATGCAGTATGTCCATCCACCTCCTCCCTCCCGTTCACTTCCTTTCTTGCAATACTAACCACCACCAGCATCCTCAACGTCGGCTGGCTCTCCTTCTACTGCAAAACTCCCCAAGAGCGGAGCGTGTCCATGGCGTAAGCTTTCCCCCCCCCTCTCTCCAATCTACCTCCAAGCCCAACCAAGTAATTAACACCACCAAAACAGCCTAATCGTCATGGCCGCCAACCTCTCCGGAATCTCCGGCTCGCAAATCTTCCGCACCTCCGACGCACCGCTCTATGAGCACGGGCTTACAGCCATCTGCGCTCTGGCGGGCGCGTCGTGGGCGCTGGCGTTAATCTTGAACCTGCAGTATCTGTTTCGGAGGAAGAGGGCGGATAAAGCGGCGGCTTAGATGGATATTGAATTGGGTTTGGTTGGCTGTGTATATAGTATGCTTCTGGACCCTGACCCTGTACCCTGGACTGGACGGGTCATGATGATATGATATGACTAGATTAGATTTTAATGTCGTTGGCTATTGACCAACTGTTCCCAGGCTTGGACACCGACAAAAGAATAGTACCAACTTGACTTCGGGAGCTCAGGGGTTATCCGGGCGGCCAGCCTGGCAAGAAATACCAAAAACCCCGGTTTCTGGCCAGCGGATTCCATTTCCATCCAGTGGGAGCATGTCCGGGTTCGAGGACCGTGGTTTCTGCCAACCTTGCACATATCATGCACTTGGAATACCAATAGACCGGGAAAATTCTATCTTACTTCTTCAAGCAATCTCATTCCGATTTCCATCACTCCCAAAATGGTCTCCCTTTCTCCCCTCCTCTATCGATGCCCCATCCGCTCCCCCCTGTTCGTCCTCCGTCGAACTCTCACATCAACACCGCCCCTAAATAACAAATCCTACATCATCACCGGCGGTGCCAGCGGCATCGGGGCCTCTATTGTGGGAGCCATCAGCGAACTCGGCGGGAATGAGAGCGTGTGACCACGAATTGCAAGAGAAGTTCGGGGGGATGACGATGTACATTCGCACGGACGTGACTGATGAGTGGAGCTTGAGGAACGCGTTCGATAAGACGAGGGGAGAGTTTGGACGGTTGAATGGGTGGTTAGTATGGCGGATGGATGTATGTTGAACTGAAGACCGAGGACAGTGTAACCGCGGCGGGGGCAAACGTCGACCGGCCGTTTCTGGAGCATACCGGCGAAGGCATGACTCGGATTTTCAGGGTAAACGGACGTACTATCCTACATCACATCACGTCCACCCCTGACCAGCAAGCAGACACTGGGAACCTTATTCCACCCCAGGAAGCATCGTCATGATCGCAGCTGGAAATAGGAAGGAACCTTCCGAAAATGTACTCCAAAAACAGAGGGAGACACCCGTAGACCTAACCCACGGAACCACCATGGATATCCATAGTGCCAGTCTCACAAGACAAAGAGCCCCCCAGACAATCCCCAACAAGGAATCCTCCCTCCCGTGAATGTCTTCATTCACAGCCCAACAAGGAACACTCCCCCCCCTGACCCGTGGTTTAATTGTCCCGTCCATTCATGATGACAAAGAGGGTCACCCAGGGTCACCCAGACCATATATATGGGACTATAGTACCATGACAGCCCCAGATGCAATCACCCTCTCCCAAACTTTTCCTTTTCATTCTAGCCCATTGTACTGTACTGCATCAGATCATCATATCATATCATATTATACCATCCAACACCGCCCCCAGCGCCAAAATGGCCGACTACAACCCCAACAACCCCTTCCCGAGCCAAGACTGGATCGATTTCTGTAACTTGCATGGCGTCGACGACGCCGGGATAGTGGATGAGATCCCGCCGAAGGATATCGCTGCAATGCAGCGGGGGATGAATCTGACGAGGCTGAAGGTGTCGAATCATGAGATACAGACGGAAGGTATGTGAAAGTGAATCACAGCCCCACCAGACTAACCCACCCGTCAAATAAACAGACCGCTACGAAAGAGTCGATGTCATCAATTTCGCCATCCAGCGATCCTGGAACGCCTCCGAGGTCCCACTGCGCCTGTACCAGCCCGTCGGCTGGAAGGGCTGCGGGACCTACCTCCCGATCTACATCCACTTTCACGGCGGGGGGTTCCTATCTGGGAACCTGGACACCGAGGACGCGACCTGTTTCCGGATGGTGGATGCTCTCGCTAATGACGGCTGTCCCATCGTCCTCCTCAGCGTCAACTACTGCCACACGACCGAGGCACCCTACCCCGCGGCGTTCCACGACGCATGGGACGTGCTCCGCTGGGTGGAGGAATGGGCAGAGTATCTGCACGGGGACCGCAATCGGATTATCCTGGGCGGGATGGATTCAGGCGCGGCGCTGGCGCTGTCGATGGCGCACACAGTGGAGAGACTTCGGGTTGCGAAGATGGGGATGAACCACCAGTCGGGCACACTGGCTGGGGTGGTGCTGGGCACGCCGTGGTTTCCGCATATGGATGCGGATGGACACGATGAGGAGTCCAGGGTCGAGAATTGCGCGGCGCCGATGTTGTCCGGGCAGTTTCATCGGCTGTTTCGCGAGTTACTGGGCGTGGGAGGGATGGATTCTCCGTATGCTGTGGGGGAGATGTCGAATTTCAGTGCCCTGCCTCGGACGACGGTTCTGATTGCGGGGATGAGTTTGCTGAGGGATCAGGCTGTTAAGATGACGAGGTGCTTCAAAAGGGATGGGTATGTTCTCTCTCTTGAGAGTCTCTCGCTCTCTCTCTCTTTTCTCTTATCTGTTTCCCCTTCTTCGTGATATTTGTTTTCTCCGATTTAGATGCTGACGTGGTCCAGGATTGAGCATCAGGTCGTCCTATTCCCCGGCCTGCCGCATGATTTCCGTCGATTTGGGGACCTTGCTGCCTGCCAGGACTGGGATGATCAAATGATCAAGGCAATCAAATGGTCTTTGGACTTCGCTGTCGAGCACGCGATCTGGCTACAGCTCGACGAGCCCGAGGGCTTTGCTCCGGCACTAGATGCCGAATCTCCGGAACTCGGTGCTGAGTCTGGTAATGGATCAGACGAGGATTATGCTCCATCGGAGGATATCGCCTCGGAAGATCACATCAGTTGGTCTGACCAGTAGACTGGTTGTGGGGTTTCTTTTCATCCGAGCGTGCTAGCCTTAGACATTGATACAGTAGAACTGTCTGTGAATTCATGTAGAATGTTAAAGTGCAGCGAGACTTCAGATCTTCTGCCCCGATGCCTGCTCACTCACGTACGCGAACTCATCCCCTTCTGTATCGAACCACGGCTCCTTCTCCGCCCACGCCCTGTTATCTGAGTACCGATCCAGATACCAGGTTATACTATCGCCGGAGAACTCAGCGTCGACGAACCCCGACCCCAGGTATCCGAACCGATTCCCGCTCCAGTACTCAATCTCGTAGTCACTTAGCGTCGGCGTCCGCAGGGCCTCGAAATACGCCATCCGCGAACCAGGCCATATGATGACCGGCCCGTCCGCACTCCCCTGCTTGAACCAGCTAGAGCACGGATCCACCCAGCACGTTCGGCGCAGGTACGTCTGGGCGTGTTCGACGAAGTCTCGCACGATGGACGCCTTTGGGCTCAGTCGCCGGATATGCTCTCTACGCATACGCTTGACGACTTGGATGAAGTAGTTCGTCAAGTGCGAGATAATCGGCAAGATGGACCCGTGACCAACAGGCGCGAAGGGGCCCGAGTAGGTGAAGTAATTCGGAAACCCGTCGACACCGATGGCCAGATAACTTGTTGGTGAGGTTGCCCATTTCTCGGCGAGGTCTACGCCATTTAGACCGATGATGGGGAAACGCGGGCGGAAAGAGGTGTCGAAGCCCGTGGCGCAGATTATCACGTCGACTGGTTGTTCGATGCCCGTGGCGGAGTCGATAACGCCGGTGGGTGTGATGGATTGGATTCGCTCGGTGAAGACGGTCGTTTTGTTTGAGGCCAGGGCTTCCAGGTAGCCGTTTCCCGGGGTTGGGCGTCGACAGGCGACGTTGAAGGTCTTTGGGATTATTGCGTCCCGGACGTAGGGCTTGGAGGCGAGGTCAGTGCACATGCCCTTGTATGAGGACTGGTGAAGTGTTAGTGATGATGAGCTGTGGATTGTGTTTATGGGGATCTTACGGCGAGAGCCTCGTCCGACTCAGCGGTGTCGCGGAGTGCGAGCTTGAATTGTTGGTTCAAGTCGTGCTCGACGGATTTCTTGTACCGGTGGTACTTTTCGCGGTCGAGATCGAAGTCTTCTTTCTGCTTGGGGGTATCTGCGTCAAATAAATATTTGCTTTCTGGGCTATGGGAGGGGGCGTACAGTCGAAGTTTTGACCATCCTTCCCGGCAAATCGCTTTGCAAAGGCAGTTGTGATCCAGACTGGGCTTCGCACCCAGGTGTACAGATGCGATACGGCGTCGTGGATCGCAGCCACGACTTGGACGCCGGAGCTCCCTGATCCGATTACTGCCACTCTCTTGTCCTTCAGACTGAATCCCTCTGGGTAAGCTGCCGTGTGGAATAGATCGCCTTGGAACGAGTGCAGGCCGGGCGTATCGGGCCATTTCCATGCGCTGTGGTACGATCAGTGTTACTTCGCTGACATCTTAGATGGACTCACTTCAGGAAGCCAGATCCATTGAGGAACACGTCGCATTCATCTTCCCACTCCGCGACATCTGGACCATCCCGTCGCAGCTTTACCACCCACTTACTTTTGCATTCATCCCACGTAGCCGATACTACCCTCGTCCTCAGCTGAATGTACTCCATCATCCCCTCGTCGACAGCAATCTGCTTCAGGTACTCCCAGATCTCTTTCGCGCCGGAATAAAAGCTCGACCAGTGCGGATTCGCGCGCCACGAAAAGGTGTATGCCACGCTCGGCACATCGCACGCACACCCCGGGTACCGGTTCTCGTACCAAGTTCCCCCGATATCCGCGTTCTTCTCGTAGCACACGATGTCCACCCCGAGTCCCGCCAGAGCGGACGGGGCGTAGTGGAGGAAGTCGATACCGGCTGCGCCAGCCCCCATCATGATGATCCTGAACGGTTTGTTGCTCGGTGGCTCGTTGATAAGATTATCCGGCACGATGTAGCCCCGGTCGGAGGGCTCGTCCCATTCTGGATGGTGGACTGGTCGGGTCGTGGAAGACGGGTGAGGGCCTGGTGTGTTGCTTCCCAGACGGAGGTGGCCCGATAGGCCGTACTTTTCAAATACTGGGTTGGGTGGGTTGGTTTGGCCGACTGAGTCCATGGTGAGGTACGCGTGGTTGTTCTGATCTGAGAACATTACATCCCAGGAGCAATCAGCATGTTCGTGGGAACAGGCATGGAACATATATAATCCACGCCATCCCTGCTGGCAGAAAGCAGGTTTATCGTGTGGCGGCTTGCTGCATGATGCTGCATCGTTCCCGTCGAATACGAATCTTCCCTGAGCTGCATGCATCCTTGCATTGTTTGTGACATTCTTAGAGAGTGGGGACGACTGAGGGGAAAGTGAGGGGAATAACTGACGATATCCTGAGGCCTTCATTGGGCATCCGAGCCATCCCGTGGGGCGCGAGTGAGAACGGCTACGATCGGCGGACTCTTTTTGCGCCATCGCGACGATGGCGAGAGATCCCCTGTGCGAGGTTATAAAGGTGGTGGGTCAATCTATTGGATTGGAAGAGGGCTTGGCCCGGTGCTGGCCTTGTCAGCCGCTCTGTTGACCCGACCTCGGCCCGTTGATTCTATCCCTCGGCTACTTCTGTATGATATTATATATATCTTATTTCTATCTAATTCTACATCCATATATCCTACCTGCTTGCGCAGCAGTATTGTAGAATCAGACCTTTATTGCCTCATCTTACTAGCCGTTACCTAGATTACCAGGGCTGATACAATCCCTGTCACCTTTTTATCTCGTATTCAATTGCATCGCGCCCGTCTGCAAAATGCTCGAGTTTCCCAAGTCCGACCGTACGGTCCGTGTGCGCATGGTCGACACAACCACTTTGATGACAATCAAGAGTCAAGTCCTCATCCAACCAGTACAACCCGGTCATGAAATCCTCAATCTCACAGACGTCGCATTCCTTGTCGAGGATGAAGTCTCGGGCGAAAAGGTCATGTTTGACCTCGGCACGCGGAAAGATTACTGGAATCTTCCCGCTGTCATTCGGCAGCATCTTGACGAATTAATTCCCTCGTTGAGAATCGACAAGGATGTCACGGAGATTCTCTCCGAGAGTGGCGTTCCACTAAGTGATATCGGTCGGTTTGTGCAACAGACGTGTATAAATAGACAAATGCTAACCAGGATAGGCTCCGTCGTGTGGTCGCACTATCATTGGGATCATATCGGTAATGTGGCTTTGTTCCCATCCTCCACATCGCTTGTTGTGGGGCCTGGGTTCAAAAGTCACCCCGGCCTATTGCCTGGCTTCCCAGATATCGCCGATTCTCCTGTCCCGACGGATGCGTTTAGTAGAAGGGAGGTGGTCGAGCCTGATTTCGCGACCGGATTAACCATTGGAGGTTTTCGCGCGCACGATTTCTTCGGAAACGGGTCGTTCTATTTGCTAGGTGAGTCTCGGACGTTGGTATAGCAGTATAGAAATGACTGACCATGCCTTGAAGACACCCCCGGACACTGCGTTGGACATATGTGTGGCCTCGCCCGGACCACGGCAGAAACATTCCTCTTGCTCGGTGGCGACATCTGCCACTTCTCCGGCGTCATCAGGCCAAACGCCGATCTCCCTTTTCCTGCGGAGATCCCGACAGAGGTACTCGACAAAGAGTTGCGTTTTCCCAGCCCATGTCCCTGTAGCATCTTCACAGCTTGCCATCCCAGCGCCAAAGTGGACCAGGACAAAACTCCCTTCTATGAGGTTTCAGGCTACAAAGAATCCGCCTTCACCGATCCGGAGCTCTCGCAGCAGTCAGTCAATAAGCTGCTGGAGTTCGAAAACTCTCCCGATGTTTTGATTTGCATTGCACATGACTCCGACTTGCCGCGATATCTTCCCACGCTCAATGAGTTCCCTTCTTCCGACCTCAACGCGTGGAAGGAAAAGGGCTGGAAGGCGAAGTTGCGATGGGGATGGGTCAACGAGCTACCGCGTGGTGGCCAACCGGGAAGAAAGCCTCTGGTTGATGGGTACTGGCGTGATGGGAAGGTTTGGGACGAGGTAGTGGCGACGATGCATCGCGAGTGAGAGAAGACTGAGGAGTATATGAAGTGCTGGGTAGGTCCTGTTGCATCGCAGTTCTCAACATCCTATATATCCTTCAATATATCCACATTCATCTACTTCCTCTTCCCCGGAAAGCAAAGCGTTTGACATACTCACCTGCTCACCCAAGCAAAATATAAATAGTCGGTTGAACTCATCCTCCAGCTAGTTCATCATTCAGCTTTGGACAATGCCCTGGAATATCATTCCAACAAGTGTCTGACAGCCAACGCTGACGCCATGGCTCAAAGAGAGGAAATCGCTGACGGCGAACTTCCTGTCTACAAGTTTTACCGTCCGCTGAGGTTACAAAGGAGACCGTCAAAGGCTACGCTATGGCCTGAGGCCGTGAATCAAGTGAATTGTTACCACATGACCGCCCTCGGCGACTATCTTGACGCGTCGCCTCGCCTCATCTTCTCACCTTTACATGAGACCAACATGCCTCTTCATCTCACTACACCGTCCTCTTTGGCACAATTCCCCTCTCAATATTTCCATAAGCATCCCATTCCTCTGTCTGGTCCAAAGTACATATATCCCCAGCCATGTCGTCGCCCTTCTGTCCGTCAGCTTTCCAGGAACTTCTCTGCACTGGGAAGTACAGTGATCTAAAATTCCTTTGCAACGGGGAAGAGTTTGCCGTCCACTAGGCAGTCGTTCGTGCTCAATCGCCAGTTATTTCTTCTATCTGCGATAGGAAGCTCAAAGTAAGAAATTCCTAAACCTGGCAGCCAGAGCGGGGAACAGAAAACTGAATTACTTCTCTTAGGAGGCCTCAACCGGTATCATCGAGATTGAACGATTTGACACCTGTACGCTGAAATGCATGATCGACTATTTGTACACAGGTAAATATACCATTTCGGAAGATCAAGGCGGGCTATCTTAAATAGTAATATTGCAAGCATATTGCAAGGCCCTTGGTGCCCTGATAATTTCCCAGAATCTGTTGAGGCTGTCCATGAAAAAAAAAGGCGAGGTCGCACCACACCACATGCTCGCAAAAGCAGTAGTCGACCACATGAGTGACTTTTGTAAGGAAAAGTCTTTAATAACCATGGTTCCAGATCAAATTTCTCGTCATATTCTGTTTATATTGAATAACAGATATGAGCGTCTGCATGCTCAAAATTCGGTGGTCAGATATGCCTTGATGCGGAGAGGAAGAAAATATCTCAAGTTCAAGTCGAGCTTGACGGCTTCAGAACAATGCACATTGACTATGCTGCCAAAGTTAAGGCAGGGATAAAACTTCTTCATGATTCATCAAGATGCCGTCACTGTGGGCTCTTGTTCGTTGGCAATCTTGAGGGTGAGGGGTCTGTTGAGGCTGGTTATTTTCTCCGATGCCAGTCATGCCGAACAAACCACGACCAACCAGCCTGATTGGAACGTTAACGCAACCGAGAGATTTCTCAATTCCGATCTTCAATTAAACACCTTTCGCCTTCTACGTTGTTCAGGATTCTGTGACTGACTCGATGAGAGAGTACTGGCTACTGGCGCATGGGCTAAGTGCCGTTGAACATTTACGATGAATTTATTGAAGCCGGAATGCATTTTGCTTGCTAGACTTCTTGTAATCGATGTGTCTATCTGCCTGAAGGGCTCATGGATCTGTCGTATGCCTTCACCCCTTCAACTGTCACAGTCGTATTGCTAATAGTTCACTTTGGGGATAGGATACATACCTCCAAGCCTCTTTTATTTGCTACGATTAATGGATTCACTGGGTCCGTTTAATTATATCATTAGCCTACAGAAACGCTATGGACCAGTGCTTGTACATCAGAAAGAAAGATTTCGAGAGATATGGATGGTCTTATGGATATGATGGCATGTAGTGGCCGGCTTGTACAAGAGGAGAACATTTACAGCTGACAGCACCCCCAAAGCTTCTCTGGGTCCCTTGCTCAAGGGGAGTGAATATGTCTGCCGAATCGAAACTTGTTTGTTCATAAGGAAGATAGTTGCGCATCGCGAGACGAATGAGAGGGCAGGCAGAACCATTCCAATAGCACTTTCACTTGAGACTACCGCCTCACAGCCTTCTCCAAAAGGACCTTTCCTCAATAGACAGTGCTCCTGTAAGACGGAAAGTACCTCTATCGGAGAAAGCCAGGCTGGATTGCGTCTCTTGCGTATTGAGCTACTGGATGCTATCAAGTTCAGCACCTCCGCCTAGCTAGACCGACAAGAGTACCAAGCTACAGTACGCGGGCTAGAGCCTTTGGGAGACATTTGTAGCAGCCATCCATTCGTAATTGGTCGGGTTCGAAGCGATTAAATCAGACCAACGGGAAGCTTCCGGCACCCGGAAAAGAGATCCTGCAATGCACATGAGAAACTCTCCCCTTCCAATTCGCTTCGTCACCCGTATCGATCGGCCAATATGGCTTATCAGTCGCTCGATGCTCCATTTTTGATTAACTCTGGACCGTGGCAGCAAATACCAGCGCGATGATTCGCCGCGTATCTTATCAGTCGGAGACGTCCGATCGCTATCATCCCCCACACTGATACGTAGTGCCAGTGCCGTCCGATGGGTGGGATTGGAGGCTTCAAGGTTAGCTTTGAGGAATCTCTTGCTGCTTCCCTTCCAGGATAGCGCGTCTACGTAGATCAGTGGCTGACTTTTGACTTTGTGGTTCATGGCAGGTACACTCGGATCGTTATAAACACCCGTCCTCACAACTATGCGGCGGCAATCAACACCACAAGTTGTTTGTGCAGTCTATAATGCTGTCTCTGTGGTGTGCGGGCGCATTCCTCCTGGGGATATTCCTCTTTGAAAGACTTTCCTCTCCCGTGGCCAGACTTCCTGGCCCTTGGTATACCAAACTGACAAGTCTGGTCATCAAATTTCAAGAGTTCTCGGGTCGTCGCCGTATCTCAATCCATGAACTTCACAAGGAGTATGGCCCTGTTGTCCGGATTGCACCCAATGAAGTCTCCTTTGCGAGTTTAGATGCGATTCGAGAGATCTATGCGTCCGGGGGTAGTGGATATGATAAGACAGAACTATATGATCTTTTTCGGCAGTTTAACACCAAGTATGTTGGCCATGAAATGTGGGAGGTGTTGCTGACCATGGCTAGAACGATGTTCTCAACGCTTGACAAGCAGTCGGTCAGTTGAGCTCAAATATAAAAGCGACCAGGAGCTGACATCCTGCAGCACAGTGAGCGAAAGCGGCAATTGGCGGATCGATACGCTATGTCTAACGTTATGCGTGATCATCTGTCGACAATTCGGGAACATGCCAAAGCATTCATAACTGAATGTGCCACCGGGGAGAAAAGTGTCAATGTTTATGTGTGTAGGAGCTCGATTAAAAGTGGCAGCAGCTAATCCCGGCAGGTATATTTGCACTGCTATGCACTTGACTGTGTAACCAGCTTCATGTTCAGTCCTGGTGGCTTGAAGTCTCTCAGTGACAAGAATGACTACGAGTTGATGGAGGAACTGACATACCATCAGAGTTTGCAAAGTATGTATTAATCTACACTGTGTACAACCTACTGACTAGTCCAGAAAACCTTCTCCAATATTATTTACCCCAGTTGGCGCCGCATTTCCCATCGTGGTTGCTGCCCCGTCCTGCTCCGATGACCAACGACTACGTCCATAGGATGACCGCTCAAAAGAGCCCCGACAATTGCAGTTTAGTCTCTCGACTCACGAAAGCCAATACCTCTCTTACCCACCTTCAAGTTGCAGCAGAATGCATGGACCACTTGGCAGCGGGTATTGACACAACCGGCGATGGACTTTGCTTTCTGATGTGGGAGCTGTCCCAGCCACACAATCTTCAATTCCAAGAGCGTCTTTATAAGGAGCTGTGCTCAACAGCGAATGATACACCGATCGATCAATTGCCTTATCTCGATGCCGTGATAAAGGAAGCCCTCCGCTGCTCACCTCCAATTCCCATGTCGTTTCCTCGCCATGTGCCACGCGGTGGAAGGACAATTGACGGGTGTTTTATTCCTGAGGGAACTATTGTCAGCTGTCAACCATACACTGTACATCGACTAGATGAGACGGTATTTCCCGAGCCAGATCGGTTCAACCCGGACAGATGGATGGACGATGAAGGACTCCATGAACGCAATCGATTATTCTTTGCATTCGGGACGGGAGGAAGGGGGTGCACTGGAAAAAGGTGAGCTTATTGATACCCAAGATTGAAGAATCTTTCTCATTATAGACAGCCTGGCGATGGTGGAAATGAAGATCCTTCTCCAAGCAGTTTACTCTCAGTTCCGGACTACTGTGGCACCAGATATGAGTGGCTCTATGGAGATTGATGATCAGATCATCTCCGCTCGACCGAAGGGCCAGACTTGCAAGCTTATATTTACTCCTCAAATGGACACACTGTCCTGAGCATCCAGTATCTGCTCTAGTTTAGGGGGCAGAGTGGGAAAGTATGACTTCCACAACCCAGTTTGACAGACAGGCACAGTGGCAGGAGGTCTCGAAATCGAGCGAATGAGCAGGTGTTACAAGGGCCCATAGCCCCCTAGTGTTCAAAGCCATAGTTAGTGGATCTTTCCCCTCGGCGGAAAAAGGCTTTGCGGGGTAGAGGGATCATCCTTTCGGCAGTGATATGCGGGATGCCCTCCATACTTGGCGTTTCAAGAATTCATCGCGGACAGATAACCCCTATCCAACTCATTCTATCCATCGCATTCGTGCTAGAAGTCAGTATAATACACGATTTCTGATAGGCCTTGCGCAAAGCTATATACATTCGCATTCACAATTTACCACTGGAACATGGTATGTGGTTGACAGGGCCTCGGCTCCACCTCCGCCGGCAGTTCGCCTCTGTGATCTCTTCTATGTAACGGATACATAATACCATACTTGGGTAACCGAGGTCCTCCTCCAGTATAGACGATCATATTTGCCCTCGACAGTACCTCTTAAAACTAGCTATATAAAGAACCATCCCGAAATGTGTACACTATTCTTGTTCAGCCCAAAACAATCACACCATAAACCTGATTTCGCATACCCATTCCACACATTATGCGACCCCTCTCCTTCCCAACCTGGGCCATCGCAGCCCTCAAAACCATGCTCCTCCTCTCCCCCCACACAAGCACAGCCAACCCAGCCCCCCCAGCTCCAGAACTTACCCTTTTATACACCGCCTACGTCGAATGCGAAGCAACTCTAATGAACTCCCCCGGCCCCCACGGCATCCGCCGCACAATCCCCATCGTAGGGGGGAACTTCACCGGCCCGCATTTATCAGGTACCACACCTTCTTTATCCCTGCCCTCTCCCCATCAAATAACCAATCCTTAAATAATACCAAATACACTCAACAGGGCAGATCCTCAACGTCGGCGCAGACTGGGGCCTCGTCGATCCCCAGACGGGTATCTTCAGCGCCGACACCCGCTATAACCTGCGAACCGACGACGGGGAGAGCATCTTCATCCAGACGTCTGGGCCTAAGGCACCCAGTGGACAGTTACATCTGCGGTTGGTCTTTGAGACGGGGAGTCGGAAGTATTATTGGTTGAATAATGTTGTGGGTATGTTATATTCTCTTTGCGATATTCTCTTTGTGATGGCCGCCCGCGGTTCCAGGAAAACATGTTGTGTGTTTACTCGGTATGAAAACATGCTAATTTGGGATGCGCTTGTGTTAGCGATTGGTGTTCTAACCAGCGAAGCCTCGACGACGAATACGAGCCTGTTGAGGATTGATGCTTGGCATGTAAGTGGGATGGTTTCCTCTTCTTCATTTCTGTATTTGGTGTGCTGATATGGATATGTGGCCGGGTTAGATGGCTTCGGATTGGAATTCAACTAGCTTTGAGAGTCCGTCGACGACGATTAGTTGATTGGGGATTCTAGTGCATCGGATTTTGGACTTTCTGGTTTGTAAGTGCGGGATGAGGACCTGGATCAGGAAATGCTGTCGGGGTGTATGGTCCGAATGAGAAACCGGCATGAAATTCCCGTTTCTGCCTATACTTGAAGTTCAGGCAGCGTGTAGTCAAATGAGGGAATGAATCTCCGTTTAAACAGTTTCCCTCGTCATGTCGCAGCCTGAGGCTGATGCCTTACTGCCTGACCCTCGGCCGACTCCGAGCGGGGTAATCCCGAGAGAGCGATAACGGCCTCCGATGTGACGCATCCACCCAAGGTCCTCCAGCTGTCCTCCTCCTTCTCTCTGCCATCTCCTTACACAGACGCACAAACCTCTTTCTCGGCGCACACAACCCTATCCCACCCCCACAATGTCAGTTGAAAGCTCCTCTTCGCAAAGCCGCCTCTCCACGCGGATCTCTCTCCGCTGGGTCCCCGAACCCGCCTTCGAAAACACTGACACGATCGTGATGTCCGTTGCGGGGTGGTACGTCGACCTGCGCGTGGACAAGAAATCAGGAGCCATTGACTGGGCGATTGCCGGTCAACGGGTTGTAGATAGCACCAACTCTCGTACGCACCCTCCCTCGGACGTATTACCAAGGCTAACCTCCTCAGAACAAGTGCAGTTTACACACGAGCTCGATTCCCAAAACTCGTTTGATGCTGTCGACTGTGGCACATTTTCCACTCTGCCTAACGGGGACGACCTAGAACAAGGCTCGATGCCACGCGCCGACCTCCCTGGATGCCCGGTGGCTGAATACGAGGAAGTATGGCGTGAATTGGAATTCAGAGCTGGCCCGGATGGTCCGGGGAAGGGTACATCGTGGGTTATTGAGTCGCAGAATGAGATTCCACTGAGCGAGGGCGATGAGCTTGAAGTCAACAGGACCTTTCTTGGCAAGGTCTGGGGTACGTACTTGGCTCTGCGCCAGGTTCAGATCCATGTCCGGCAGGAGGGTTCGTCCAAGGTGGTAGAGGGGAAAGGCGTGAGCGCTAGAAGGGAGGAATGGGATGCTGTAACGGGGTGGCAAGTCAAGTACTGCTTAGGTGCCGGGGATGAACTACCCTCAATGAATCATGGTATCAACGATAGTACCTGGAAGTTGGGTCAAACAGTTCTGGTTGCGGGAAAGAAATACATCGTGCGTGGACTGGAAAGAACTGTCTAAGGTACGTCGTCATGTTCGTCTATATACTCATTATTCTATATTATATACAATTTTTGCTTACAGCTCGTTGCTAAGGACGTAACGGTACCGGGCCTTGCCAGCTTCCATGTCCACAACGGCCTTGTTGGCGTCCTTCATCGAAATCTCCTCGATCCAAGGAGTGACCTTCTTGGTGGCAGCCAGCTCGAGCATCTCCCGGATCTCGTTCGGGCCACCGATCAGGGAACCTCCCAGCTTCGCGCGCTTCATGATCAAAGCAAAAGCAGGGATCTCGAGGGCGCCGTCCTCGGGGGCACCGACCTGCACGAAGCAACCGTCAAGGTCCAGAAGAGAAGCGTATCCCATCATGGGCATCTAGGGTATGTTAGCGGTGAAGTGAGACTAATTGTCGATATAAATACCTTCGAGGAAGAGACGGTTGACACAATCAGATCCAGACTCCTCGCGTGGTTCTTGGCCCATTCCGGGTCCTCGTCGGTGGCGATGTACGAGTCCGCGCCCAGCTTGAGGGCGTCCTCCTTCTTGTTGGCCTTACGCGAGATACCCACGACCTTGTCGGCTCCAAGGGCCTTGGCGAACATGATACCGAAGTGGCCGAGACCACCGACACCGATGATGCCGACCCGCTTGCCGGGACCACATCCGTAGTGTCTGAGGGGGGAGTACACGGTGATACCACCGCAAAGCATGGGGGCAGCGTGGGCGGAGGAGATACCATCGGGGATCTTGATGACGAAGCGAGAGGGAGAGCGGTGGTACAGCGAGTACCCACCGTACGACTTGCCGCCGTTCATGTAGGTGCCGTTGTAGGTGCCGACCATGGAGTGGCGGCAGTACTGCTCCAGACCGGCAGCACATTCCTCGCAGTCGCCCTTGCGGCCCTGGCAGGAGTCGCTCTGAGCACCAACACCGACGCGGTCTCCGATCTTGATGTCTCCGACGGCCTGGGAGCCCACGCGAACAGCGACACCGACAATTTCGTGACCGACACAGCAGGGGTAGGCGGTGGGGCCCTAGATACTGTCAATAACAACCCTGATGGACGGAAGGGCTGATCATACCCATCCGCTTCTGAGGGTGTGCAGGTCGGATCCGCAGATACCGCAGTGGGAAACCTTGATGTCGACATCGGTCTCCTCCCAGGGCTTGGGCTCAAAGTCCTTCCAGACCATGTTGCCCTCGACGGCCTTGGAGTCCAGGCCCATCCAGCCCTCAAACTTGTAGTCGGAAGCAGCCATTATGATTATCGGGGTATTCGTTGGGGATTGAAGTGAGGATTGACGGGATGTGGCTCTCGATCCCCCTGGGGTCCTCGCGACATTTATACGTGGTTCGACCGAAACACGGGCGACGGCAACAAGTGCTTAGAAATCGATTGAACTGCAAATCCACCTCATCATCTTCTCTGATGACAGTGGAGCATTGTTCCGTCTGAAGACCCATGTTGATGACATGCACGCCATGAGTCTGGGTCCTACGGGGGTCTCGCCCTATGGTACGGGATCTTTTCGGGGCTATCCATTGCCGACGCCAGTCGCAGTCTGGAGTCCCGAATCAGGATGAAGGAAGGCGAAACACAGTCTCCTGGAAGTTCCTGACATCATACGCGAGTCGGTTGTCGACCCTGGCAGTACGAACAGGTACCAGGACTTGTGTATTTTTATGCCCGCGGAGCGACAGCCACGGCACGGGATGGGCCTTTCATTGGACAGGGCCGGGGGGGGGAGACCCCTCCCTTTCGGACGAGACCCGTCCTTCTGCATCCCCAATCCATGGATGATTTGCGCTAAATGCCATCTGCTTACGACCCACCCGTCTGCAGCGGACTTAAGAATAAGATGCTGACGGCCGCAGTCAAGCAGCCAACCATGATATCACGCGAGAAAAAAATAGCATCTAGTCCTGTCAGAACACTCTATCCGGCTGACATTCCTTAATTGCTTGGCCTTGGGCTTTATCCGACAATGCCGGCAATTTGCGCCCGGGATGACTTCGTCTGTCTGGAACAATATCTCCGGCGATAACACGGATTTAACGTTGCCTGGTTGCCACTTGGAACCGATCTTCGTCCGGTCCCTGGGACTAGGCTTACCATCATCTCCAACAGTCAAAGCCTCGGCAAACGGCATGATTTAACCGTCGAAAACATTCCACGATTTTCCAGACCCTCCCGAGCGGCAAGCCTATTTATTCTCGGAACCACGGCACGCGGCGTGTGGCCACCATTCGATTTTTCCCTGTTCCTGTCTGTTTAGTGGATGCCAGTCACGCTGCCACAGCGGCCGCCAGCCGCCAGCCTCCGAGCTACAGCCGTAACATAGATTCTGTCAAGGTTTTCTGATCATTATTACTGCATGGCTTGAGCCTGTTGCCATCTGCAAAATCTCTCTACAGCGGACAAGTTGGTGTTCATGTCTCTCTTTGTGTGGATTTTAATTCCGCACTACTGACTCTACAAGATGTGGACTCGAGAGAACCCTGATTCTCCAATGCCCGCGGGCTTTGCTTGTTTCGCATTGGGAAACCTTACCTGAGCCTTCTCCATCAACTCCGGTGTGACCACATACCGAAAATGTCTTGGCATTATAGCCGGTGCACATGGACGATGATAAGCTGTCTTTGCTGGCCAGGTATTTGAATACGTGGTGAATCCCAGCTCATGCTGGGATGCCGACCGTCGGGAGTAAACAGCTCCCCTCCGATGCGTTCGAGATAACCTGCCTTCCCATGCCTCCAGCAAATATTCCCTCGTCTCAAGTCAGATAGCAGCTTCCACCAGAGACGATTCCGACTTTTATCGAACCAAGAACCATCTTCCCGGATAAATTTCCCTTCATTATCTTACTCTAATTTATCACCCTCAAAGGTCATGCCGAGTCGTAAACCAACAAACCACCACTATCTCCACCCCCAACCACACATCGCAACGAATGGCACCTAAGATGCCGCCACCGGCTCCCTCAGCAAAAAGTAATGTACCTGCACTTCCTCTCCCCCGAAGGCCGAATAGTCCACCTCCACAGTATCAACCACCTTAAACCCATGATTCAAGTAGACCTTCAGACCCGCCGGCTCGGACATGACATATGTCTTGAGGCCATATTGATCGGCAATATCCGTGCCGTTGCGGACAAGCATACTCCCGGCCCCACGACGCCAGAAATCGGGGTGAGTGGTGAGGTATTCGAGTGCTGGTGTGGTGGTATGCGTGTTAGCATAGATGGTTTCGCTCTCGATTCCCACAAATCCCAGGGTCAAACAATCACCACCACGACGAATAGGGCGAAAATACATACTCAAAACCTCCTCCCCCTTCTTCAACCCCCCCAAAACGCCCTCCTCCGCCCTCTCCAACGGCCCACTCCGAAACTCCGACAGCCCACCCCCCTTCATCCCGGGCATTCTCCCCGCAGAATCACTCGCCCCATCAAAATCCCTCTTAAACCTCTCCTTTTCATCGGATGTGGGCTCGGCCACCTGCGCAGAAAGCCACACGTCCCCCTTTGCAACCAGAGAAGGCGGCAGCGTCCAGCGTGCATAGGCGATCGCCTGGTCGCTGGTAGTGTCGAGGATCTTCTCGTGGCGGCGGGCGGGCCGGTTAGAGGTGAGGTTGTGGGGGAAGCGGCGGGTGTTGTTGGCGAGGATGGGCGCGGCGGATGGGTCGGTGAAGAGGAAGGCCCAGTGGGGGTCTGTGAGGCGGGCGAGCACCATGCATTGGCTGATGGAGGGGGCGTCGGTAGGATGGCAGGGGTGGACTTCGTAGGGCATTTTGGAGGTTATTTTGGGGGTTGGTGGTGGTGGTGATGGCAATGGAGGGGGATGTTTATATAGCTGTCTGTGAATTAAAGACAGGTGGTCTGGACTGGAGATGCGATGCGTATCCCAAAGGATCATGGCGGGGATGGAGACATTTAGACGGAGTCATAAGCTCCGTCTCTACCTATTTATCATCCCTTATCTAGTGCTTACTCTGAGTGTGCTGGTTGCCAACTAATTGCTTGCTTGTTTATAGAGCCGGTGTGGGAATTTGGCGGTTGATACGGGGTATCTAGAAGGTATGGATGTATGTACCTGCAGAGTAGAACTCTCCCAATAATAAATAATCTTTTTTAAAATACATCAGATCAGAGTAGTCTGACACGATAATTCCTCACTAGATAAGTAGATAAACAAGAAGCCTGTCTAGTAGATCGGATTGCGACGGCTTCGCTAGACAGTCTTGGACTAGTGCTTATGCTTCGTCCCGACAAGCAACAATGACTCGTACGTATCCCACTAGTGGCCATGGGACCAATCGGGCTTAGGACTGTGTGAATTCAGCGGAGGTAACCGTAACTGGTAAACCGATCAGAAAGAGGCAATCCACCAAACTCTACCCAATAATGAAATGGAAAGGGATGGAATATTCCAAATAGGCAGCGCTCAGTCAATTTACTCATCACTCACTCACTTCGGCCTGAGTAGCCAGCCAATCAATCACTTGAGCGTCATAGAAGTATTCTTGTTCCTGGCAGCAATAGTCCAATCCCATCAACAGAGTCAGAGTATCGGTCGACTTTTCATTCATTCTGGATGTTACCGCCATCCTGGCAAGACCATTGTCGCTCCTTTAGAGCCAAGACACACCATTCCTTCCGTTGCTATCTAACATCACACCCTCCTTCTCGGAGTGGGATGCTGTGGGATGTTGTCCCATTTTACCCGCACAGCCATTTGCTCTTACAACACCTAATGGTCTCCCCAAGCAGAATGTGGATCATGTGATGTTCAAGAGGCTACGCCTATCCCAGTTAGCGCCCATACACCCTCTTCTGGATATGGGTGTCGTGTGAATATGGGTGTCTTCCCAACACATTCTCCCCGCATACCAGAAGTCCCCATCTCCCTCTCATCACCCCAGCAGCAAGTGCAGCACGACTTCAATAACATCAGTCATCAACACTCCAGTCTAATCTCTCCAAATTATACATAATACTTTCGCGATGCCAGACCATACATATATCACGGACATACCCCACCCAATCGATGGTAACACCCGATCAAAAATCTACCTTCCACTGCATGCCATGGCGCACATGGGCCCTCCCTAACACGTGCGATCAACCTTGTGCAGTCGGAATCAAAATCCCATGCCAGTGGGACCTTCCATCGCGAATTAAACCAGACATTATGGTTACACTGAAGTATCATGCATAGTATATCTGATTCGCTAATACAGACTTTGGCTTGCACGGCAGTATGTACTCTGTAGGTAGGTGCCTACCCGGCCGGTCCAGATAGCTGCTGAACTTGTTACTCCAGTGCTAGACCTTTCTAGAAATAAATATATACCTCAGGTGTCATCCCCGCAGACTAGTGTGGCGATTACTGCAGCCGCTCAACCAACTCTCAATACCCGGAACAAAATGCAGGCCAGTATTTATCTGCCTACTATGGACGTGGCACTCACACATCGAATACAGCGTCCCCCTTTTCTCACTCCCGCAGACGTCAGATCCCGGTTACTGTTATCTCCTATTTTCGTTATGTAAAGGGCAGCCTAAAATGGGGAAGGGGCGATGATCCGTGCATCAAGTCATACGTTCGCCAAGCTACCAAAGTACCCGTGTGGAGAGAGATAAACAGACAAGCACCTTATGTATAAATGGCCTAAGGCTAGGCTGTCAGGAACGACAACCCGATTAGAATTAAATATTAATAGTATGGACATCTCGTAACGAAGTAAAGAATACAAACAAGCAATCAATCAGTCATAAGTAAGGATGCATGGCACGGCATTCACATCACTCTTCCTTGCGCATCTGCTTTCCGCGCGGACCAGCGACAGTTCCCATGAGGACTAGTGTGAGGTGAGCTTAGTTCAAGAATGGAAAGGGGGAATATAACGTACCATCCCAGTGCTTGAAAGAAGAGGAGTAGTTTCCCCGAAAGTAGCGGTGGTGATCATCGTGCCAGTCCGATCCTCCCCACAGCGGGAAAATCCGACGCAGACTCCAGGGGAAATCGTATCCCGAATGCGCGTCGATCGCTTGGAATTGCCGCAGTGCGACCCACGCCAGGACGGTCATGAGGTGGACTTCGCCGGTGAAGGATCCCAGGACGAGAGGGGGTCCGATGGTTCCGAGACCGAGCAGCATGGTCTCCCATGGGCTGGCATACTCAGCTGTGAGACCAAACGGCGCGGCGTACTGGTGGTGGACGCGGTGGATGGCGCGGTAGAGCGGTCCCCAGTGGAAGGCGCGATGGAGCCAGTAGTGGTATGTGTCTTCGACGAAGAAGAAGATGGCGATCTGGATGGCGAGGGTTTTGAGATCAGGGAACGGGAGAGCGTACTTCAGACCGAAGAATTCCATCATTGGGTGGAATAGCACGATCATGGGCAGCTCGACGATGAAGTGGATGGCGAGGATGTATTTGACGCAACTCCATTGCTCCTTGAGTGACGGAGGGGCCTTTTTGTCTTGGATCTTGTATCTGTGGAAAAGATTCGGTAGGGCGTCCGCAATGATCCATGGTATGCAACGGCTGAAGTAGAGGATTTCATGGGCGAAGAAGGTGATGAGACCTGTGGGGTATTAGCGTGTGGAAGGACGAGGTTTGAGTCGAAGAGTCGAAGAACCGAAGAACATACCGGTAGCGATTATATCGTTGTCCCAGTAAGCGTAGTGTGACCACCAGGCCTTCTCGAGGAAAGATAGTTTAGGGTTCTGGCCTGCAAGGGCAAAGAGCTCGGAGTAGGTGGTTGTGGCGTGCGCCGCGACGGTCGAGTTGAGGTTGAACTCCATGATGCCAGACGCGCTTGAGTACATATCCTCGTCGACTGCGCTTGGTAGACGCCTCGGAAGGGATCGGCTGGAAAATCGGGTATATGTACTTGGGAGGGCAGGTGCATGGCAGGCAGCCTCAGTGGGCTTCCGGATGGTCTGACCCGACACACCACCCGGATGCCGGGCAGGAATGGACCGATCGGATCGGGCCTAATTACCCACCCAACAACTGCGTTTTTCGCCACCCTGATTGGCTTTCCCCGGAATTGGCCATGTTGCCTGTTAACTCTCTGAGACACCCAATTTTGTTTCATCCTCCTACTCGAGTCCAGCGGATGCAATGCCACGGCATCACTGCCAAGCCCCCCCCGGGCCATGATGGCCTGGACAACGAAGTCGAACCATCCCGGATGCTGGTAGGCCATCCGGTCTGGCCATTTCGTCATGATCACCCTGGCTGCCAGGGGCGCTTTCCGCTGGCGGTCTTCTGGGCTGCGGCCCATACGATCACTCTGCTGCCCCGTTGACAACTCTGTCTAACATATGCCAAAGTCCTTGCTATGTCATAATCCTTTTTCCGGTTGTAACTGTCACGGAAATCCTTTGTTCTGGAAGGAATCAATGTGTGGCACCACTCATTTTCTGCATTTGAGAGATCTACCACCCGTGCCCCATAACAAGAAAGCAATATAACTGGTTGGTATACCGCTAGTTTCTCAGGGCCTCAGCCACAAGACTATCAATGGCAATGGCCAGGTGAATCTGCGATCAGACCAAGCCGCGAGTCCCGGAAATCTCGTGTAAGATTACTTCCCACATGGTGGCCAATCGCTGTCCAAGGCCCCCAATGTCCTCCACCCATCGGCAGAGAAGGCTGGACTGGAGGTTTTGGTCGTGCCGGCTTGAAGTGGTGTACCTCAACGAGCAGCTTCGTACCCTCGATGGCTGTGAGGTAGAGTTTGGGAGAGTCCAGGGCTACTGTGTTGCAAGCCCTGGTCAACTGCAGATAGCAGCGCCAGGCCAACTTTTCCTGGTATAAAACCCGTGGCTTGAGTACGGGTAGCTCGGTGGATATTAGTAATGTCTCTAACACGCGAAGGATTAAGGCGGCATAGAGGCGCACCCGTAGCGATCTTGGAAATCCGCTCATTCTGGCACAGAATATCTCTGCCTGCATGTCTCCTGGTACCCTTCACGGAGGACTGCAAGCTCCAATTGAATCAGTTGATGGGCGGGCATATCGCGTGCCCCACGCCTCTGGGAATTTGGTAATAAAATATCATCCACTTCTGAGCGATCTTATCGGAAATATTTGCCGTAGAGATGCCCCATATTAGTCCACAGAGTTTTTCAAGCGGATGGTCAAGTAACCGATGCACTGGCGTCTTGAACTAATGCTGCTATTCGCTTCGTTTACTCGAGATACTCTCTGGGCCTATGTTACTAGGACTTTGGTCAACTGATCTGTTGTTTTCCTCTCTTGCGACTCAAGGAAGCTAAACCTTTTGTGAGTCAGGCTCAATTTCATCCAGATCGATGTCTTTGTTAATCTGGCGGCTACAAAACATGCGATTTCTTCTGGCCCACCGTCCATATTAGTGTAAACTTCGCCCCTCTAACGCGAGGACTTACTTCATAGAACCTCTGTACTCCGTACTAGTAACATAGCTATAGGCCGCCTTTTTACGTTGGATCGGGTTTATGAGCGATAGTCTACGGAGTACTACTGAGTGATACCCAAATGTTTGACCAATCAAGGCCACCTAGGTCATGCACCTGATCCCGGACTCACCTTTTCCGATCAATCCTTCCCACTGCGGGCCCTATCGCGCCAAAATCAAAATCATTGGTGATGAGCTTGCTTGAGATTTGTATCTCGAGCTCGAATCCCCAGTAATTTCTCCGTTGAGTTTGCGGGTGCTGCGTGAGGGATTCCCTGGCCTCGTAGCGGGGTATCCAAACGCAGCGAGGGGTTCATCCATCCCGGTCAGCCTCCCAGGCTTCCAGGCTTCCAGACTTCCGGATTACCATCCACCTCCTCGTCTCCTCGTCTTCTCGTCTCCTCATCTCCTCCGCTTCTCTCTTCCTCTCCACACTTTCGCAACGCTACGTACATGGCTCAGCCTTATCCAATGAATTGGTGTCTTTTTTTCTGCATGTTCATCGCTGAATGAACTAGCCATGCAAGGGCCCCCGATGCGGTGTCCCGCAATCAGGTATCTCTCTCTTCTCCTCCAGCATCTAGTCTTCTTTGAAAGAAGAACATTTCTGACACCCTTCCCACGATACTAATAGCAGTCCACAATTGCCAACCAGTTCTTTTCAGAAACCACCGATGTCATCATCTGCGGATGTGGCTTGACCGGTGCTTTGCTGTCCGCTTACCTCGACCGCATGGGCGTCTTCAATGTCGTCCTCTAAAAAGAACCAGCAATCACCACCGATCCCCGCGGGATAGCACTGGACGATGATGGTATTCGCTTTCTGCAAGGGCTGGGACTTTACGACAACATATATACGAAGACATGTAGGCTGGCCCATGTGTACATCGTGATAGGCTAACAGGATTGACAACCCAAACAAGGTATGGGGAATTTCGGTTTTGTCAGCGGAGCTGACTGCGACATGCATAAGAAGCCAATTCTTGCCTTGGACTACAACACAGTAGGCCCTGTGCGTCTTATTATACTTCTAATCGGTTAATAGTCGTCAGACTGCTGGTGTCACTGGTCATGCTGGGTTCATCGGTCACAAACAGCCAGTACTTGAAATTCAGATGAGGGAGGTCATGCACCCCTCCTTCTGCTCGCTACAATGCAATTCAACCGTCATCAGCTTAAATGAAGACAAGAAGTGGACAGTAGTACTGTACCTATCGCGACCCGACAGGGGTGGAAAATAACATTCGAGCAAGGTTCTTCGTCGGTGCGGACGGAAAGACCGGCTACACCCAAAAGCATTACTTGGAGGCAAAAAGCGTCATATTGGAGAAGTTCCACGAGTAGGTTTACTGGGCGTTTCTGGACTTGACTGGTCGCTGATCCTCGAGAAGTGCTTTCTACGAGGAAACCTGGGTGGCATTGAATTGGCAAATCACGGTTCCAACACCACAGTCCCATCCAAATTTTCCTTTATGGCATTTAGGATACACGCCTGAGCAAGTGTATGACCAGTTCTTTCCTCCCGAGTTTCGTTTTCTATGCAATCCGGATCGGCCAGCAGTCTGTGGGCGCTTTGGCCTACCCGCCGATCAGCTGTGGAGGTTCGAGTATATCATTCGAAGTGGAGAAGATGGATTTGAAATGGCCAAGCCTGAGGTCATGCGACGGATTGTTTTTCCCTATCTCACGCATAGTGGAAGTCGGTACAAGTAAGTGTATCCGTTTCTCAATTGCCCCACACAACCAGTCTGACCCTACAGGCTCTCTCAACCCGTGCAGTTCCCGGAAGATTGCATTGAAGTGCCACGCTGTCGTCCATTTTCATTTTCATCGCGCACATGCAACATGTGGTCCAAGGATCGAGTAATTCTGTGCGGCGATGCGGCTCATGTTTTCCCTCCATGTAAGATACCAGATATCCCGCCTTTACGCATATCCCAGTACTCACAATATCAGTCGGTGGACAATGAATAGCGTCCGGCTTCCGAGATGCAATCTCACTATCCTGGCGTCTAGCCACACTTTGTCGCTACCAGCCCACCCAGAAAAGCCATCATCAAATTCTGAAAGCATGGCACCAAGAACGTAAACAGCAGCTAGAGCTATCTTTAGCGACAACAGTGGAAAATGGACGCATGGTTTGCGAGACGCACCCTATAAATATCTTCGTACGTGACTGGTACCTCCGGTTTATCCAGCTCATTCCAAGCTGGAGACGCCAACTACAACACGGTCAACGAAAGACTTCCCTTGTCCAATACAGATACTCTGCTGGGATGCCCTTCATGCCCGATCTCAACGGCGGTCTCTATCTCCCTCAGGTATACTGTCGCACAATGGAAAGGAAAAGTCCTATTCACAAATAATGTCATCCTTGGCTCAGAGATCAAGTCCCTTTTCCGATTATTTGTATACCTGGAAAGTAGCTCTGAGCTGATCCCAGTGACAGAAGCACTTGAAAGAATCGATGAATGGTCTCGCAGGGAGTTCCATTCAAACGACATCCCCATCATCCTGGAAACTATTGAGATGAAAGATCAATCAAAAACTAGAAGCGTCTTCCAGATCGCGAGCGCAGAAGAATTTGCTGGCTCTCCGCTGTGTGATTCCCGACCGAAACCATTGGACTACGATCCACATCTCCTACGGGACAAGGTCCAGGGAAGATACATCATTGTCCGACCAGATCGGTTTATCTTTGCCTCCTGTCAGGATACTATATCGTAATTGAGAGGGGCAATCCAGTGTATGTTAGGTCATCTCTATGGGTAGACTTGAATCTATGTGGTCTTTTGCCGTCCAGTTCGCCTGATGATTCCCAAAGAACCCGTAGCTCTAAATATATATTTCTGGGCTGGTTAAAGAACTTTGTTCCTCACGCTTCGAATTTATATGTAACGCAATAAAATCTCTCATCATACGTATTTTATGCAAGTTACCATCATCCTTCAAACCAAGCAGATTAAGACCCAAGCCTCGTGGCACCCCTGTATTGATTGATCAAAAGCGACCCAGCGGTCCGTCTCTCGGTTCGGTTATCTGGTTCATTCTCTCGGGACCCGGCAATGATCGGGTCGCAACTGCCGAGATCATTGTCATTCACAACAAACCACCAAACAAAGATATAATACAAAGGAAATAGAGCGATGTGTAAATGGATCTCAACCCCAGGACAAGTGCACAGTAGTAAGCCTGGAAAAAACATGAGAGAAAGAAAAATCATAATTCAAGGAAGGCGTCGGTCGGGATCGAACCGGCGTGAAGTACTACATTCCCAACCGCTCGGCTATAATATCGGGGAAGGCGCGTCGCAATAAATCTTTGTGTCATAGAATACAAGGAAGGGTTCTCCGGGTTCTACGTATCAATTTATGAACCTTGCACCACGGAGCAGTTCGAAATACAGACAGATAAAGCGGGCAGCCTCGTTGACGATGTTGGGGACCAAGCGCAGCTCAAAGATACGATAGCTCAGCTCAATTGGGTTAGAATAAAGAACAGGAATTCTCCGAAATCATCACTTATCAGCACAATAAACAAAACACAAACACAAATACAAACATCACAAAACCCGGCCTTGGCCACAAATAAATCGAGTCCACGCAACCAACACGGACTGGTCGATTGTCCACAGACTCCCGACATCCTGAAATCACGTACAAAAAGAAGCAAATCACAGAATGGATTAATTAGTCCCATACTTCGCCTGCAGCCCACTCATAACCAACGCCGCCACGCCGGCGACAGTCTTTGCCTGGGCGATTTCCAAGACGGATGTTTCGAGATCCAGACTCCGTCGGATCCAGTACTTGACCTCGAGACCCATGAGGGAATCGATCGGGAGGCTAGCGACCTGCTTGTCGTCGAGGCCCGTCTGCGCAGAGAAGTTTCCTACACGCTTTCCCAGTTCTTGGATGATGATACTTTCGCATTGAGGGTCATTCAAGTACGAGGGGTTGTTCGCGATGGATTCGAACAGACGAAGGAGAATGTCGTCTTCCTGATTGCGTTCGGTTGTTTTATTCGTTTTCATCAGGGAGGGGATGTTGAATCGGGCGTCTTGTTCGAAGAACGCTTTTTCGCTGTCCATCTGGCCGGGGTTGAGGAAGGAGGTGACCCCGACGATGATGTCGAGCGGAGGATGGACGAGAGAGGGAGGGTTGGTGGGGGTAGTGTGTGGTAACGCGAGCCGGAATGCGTCGATGACATCTTTTTCGAAGAGGGAGAATCGTGATTGCGCGCGGAACAGTTCCAGGAGTCGCGTGTTGCGACTGAAGTTGCCGACTTCTTCGACGGCGCCGAGCGTCACGCGCGAGGCTGGGAGGCCTAGGGACCGGCGGTATGTTACGAATGCGTCGACGAAGGCGTTGCTGGCGCCGTAGTTGGATTGCCCTGGGTTACCGACTGTTCCTACAACGGAGCTGAAGAGGACGAAGAAGTCTAGCTGCTTGTCGGAACAGGCGTTGTGGAGGTTCCATGCGCCCCCGATCTTCGGGCCTTGGGGAGCGATCCATTGATCGTAGGACATTTTTGCGAGGAATTCATCCTGTGGAGACGAAGGCTTAGTAGGTGTATTGCAACATCCTCGACTGAGGGAGTGGGTGCTTACTTGGAGAACAAGAGAGAGATTGACAACTCCAGCGAGCGGGTGCTCGCTGGCGGAGACAGCTTGCTTGACACTGTTCATGTCCTCAACGCTACCATGGACGATGGTCACGGTACAACCTTGACTTTCCAATTCCTTGGTAAAGCTTTGATCGGATTGAGATTGACCCGCAGATCGCGACATTACCACCAAGTGCCGGGCCCCTTGTGTGACTATCCACGTTACCAGTAGTCGACCAATACCCCCATAGCCACCGACTAGAAGATAGGACTTTGTCGGGGAGAAGGCATATTTCCTCTCTACTGGCCTGTCTTTCAGCGTTTGAGGATTGTCTGGCATCTTGACGACTATTTTGCCAATGTGCTTGCCGGTTTGCATATGGCGGAATGCAGCTGCCATGTCACAACCCTCAAACATCCTTGGGAATAGTCGCGCTTCCAGTCGCCCCTCCTGGCAATAGGTAAACATTTCATCAATCGAACTAGGTGAGATTCGTCAGTAGGTTGTCGTACTGCTTGAGTTTCAGAAATGGAAAGAAACATACTCCCGAACAAGATTTGGACAGTCAGCGAGCATCTCACTCAAATCCACACCATGGAACGAGCGATTATTTGCAAAATGTACCATCGCGAGCTTTCCATGTTCGAGCATATCACGCTTGCCGATTTCGATCATCTTGCCCATGGCAGCGACACAATCCCAGGATGCGTGTAGAAGTTCGCCAGCGAGGGAATTCAGGACTAGATCGACGCCGCGTCCTTTTGTCGCATTCATAACACCGCTCCGGAACGAGACGCTGCGAGAATCGAATATTCGCTCTCGTGGTATATTGAAATTTTTGATGAGGAATTGAATCTTCTCCTCACTGCTGACTGTGGCATATATCTATGCAGGTTGTTAGCATTAGTTGTAGGGGTTGGATGTGAAGCCATACCTCGGCACCAACCATACGGCAAATATCAATAGCCGCAAGTCCGACACCACCACAAGCAGCATGAATGAGGACAGACTAGGAGATACCAGGTTAGAAACAAATTATATGTATAATGAGCAGAATCTCACCTCTCCTTTGATCAAGTTCCCTATCGTCAGAAGTGAGTAAATTGCGGTCGCGTAGACGCAAGGCATCGCCGATGCCTGTTCGAGTGTAATCTCCTCTGGAATGCGCATGCAATTTACATCCTTTGTTACTAACTGCGTTCTAAATGTACCTTGTTGAATGACTATGACGGCATCGCCTTCATGGATATCAGTTACTTTGGAGCCGGTCCTGCGGACAATTCCGCTCCCCTCTATACCCAGAGGCAGGTTTGCCCCAAGGAGCCCCAGTGCTAACATGAGATCCTTGAAGTTCAGACTGAAATACTTCATATCCACTTCAAGCTCATCTGGCCCAAGGACCTGCTGATCCTCCTCCTCAACCCACTGCAGTGTGTCCAGAATGCCGCGTGTTTCAGGATGGAGGCGAAGGGGTCCACAGCCACCTGGAGACTCGAGCTGCTCCTGCATTGAAAGACGGTGGCACCGCATTGTATAAACGGTGTCGCCTTCAATGGAATACTCGAAGTCCCTACCCGAGGGATTCTGAACTTCATTGAATATATGCTCACACACGCGAATCAAGACATTGGCTGCGGTATCGTTGAACTTGTCTAGTTCAATGGTCTTGAAATCGATGCCAGACTCAAGACGGATACTGCGGCCGAATCCTTGGACGAGTCCGTAGCGGGGATCTGAACATTGCTTTTGGGACGAACGTGTAACCCAGAGTGTCCGTCGACCTAGAGACAAAAAATCTTTGATCTGGGTGTAGGACTGTTCGGAAATTTCATAGAGTAAGGGACGTTCAAGGTCGAGGAGTGAAATCACATCGCCCTCTTCAGGGGCTTCCCCGAGATTGCACCATCGGATGGAATACCCGCGTAGGGAAAGCTTATTCCCAAATACTGACGCCCAGGGATATTGTTGGATTTCTGGGGTTCCAAGAATATTGATAAATCGGGCTGTCGGCTTCGACGGTGCAACTCTCGCTATCATTGTGGCACACAGTTGACGTGGTGATTCCGCATCGTATGCAATATCTTCAACCCTGGTAAAACCTGTCTTGACGAGCTCATCATTCCATCTCTCTAGCGCCACGTATGGTCGATCAAGACGTTGGTCTGAATCTCCCAACCACCACCCGGGAAGGGTACCCTGTGATCGAAGATGAGTTTAGTTCTACTTCTGGACAAAAGATTTAAAAAGGAAAGGGAAGGTGGCAGCGGAAACATAAACATACCATCGCCCAATCAACATAAGGAATGCCTAAGAATTAGTAGTTAGCAGACATCTAAACAGTTTCAACATCTGACCATACCAGAAGAAAGCTCGTGAAGCAAGAGCCAGCCCCCAGGACTCAGAAGTGTCCTGACATTTGCAAGTGCCTCGCTCAAGCTTGGTGTGGCGTGTATTACATTGGACGCGATGATAAGATCGAAGCCACCAGCATCAAAACCCTGACCTGCGGGGGGGAGCGAGACATCCAAGACCGCATACTCGAGCTGACTACCGTATTTCTCTTGAAGCGGGATCAAGAAGCCAGCAGTCACATCCGTAACCACAAATCGAGAGAAGGAGCGATCACCGCGGGAATCGACAAGAGTTCTAAGAGCCGCAGTCGTAGCGGAACCCGTTCCAGCGCCGATTTCCAGAATCCGTAGCTGGGGATTGGAATGCCCGACGAGATTAAAAAACCGACTCCAATCGAAGTTGTCAACGGCGTATGCGTAAAGGTCCTTCCAGGAATCTCGCGGGGGCAAAATCTGGGCCGCGGATGATTTCCCTGTCATCAGTGAGTCCATTTCCTCCTCCAGGCAAGACTTGGCATCCGAAAAGAACCCCGACAGTCGGACATCGGGGATTTTGTCCAGCAGCGTCTCCCAAATTCCTTGTCGTTCGCCGGAGTTTAACCGCGCCCATTTTTGTCCCTCCTTGATACCGTGGTATTCTCCCGTTTTTATTTGGAGCGCCTCGGACTGTATCCATTTCTGATATTTTATCATGTGAGGCAGACTGGGGGTGAGATTACGGACCAGAACATCAAAATCTAGCATCACCAGAAGAGCGAGCTTTGCTGCTACCTCTAGTCCTGTGTCTACAGCGGCCTTCTTAACCGAACCAATGACAGTGTTGAGACGAATATCTGGATGAGAATCCATATAAGAGCACATAAACGGCTCTTGACGTACCTGCTTTCCATCGCTCTCGAGAGCAAAAAACCGGGCATCGCGCATGGATAACGCGAGATCCCCATCACCACGAACAAGATATGCATCGCCACCGAGGCCACCACCGGATGTTGTAGCGTCAGGGCTGGGACGGACACCTAAGGACATGGAGTCGGTGCTTTTGGTTATGCATACCTCACCGATGTAGGAAGGGACCCCCACTATCCCAAGGTCAAGTGCGAGGCCACGGCATGCTGCAACAGAGTGTAACTGTAGGCACTGGTCGATTACCACAGGATGGATTAGATAACGGCTATCGTGAAGTTGAGGATCATCATTCACTATCGCAGCAGCTTCATAGGTTGAAGGACTGGCAGTTATTTGCTGCAGGCCCTGAAACTGCTTTCCATATTTCAACCCAGCCTTTTGTAGCTGCCGATAGAGGTATGGTGAGGAGACAGACCTGGGGTAAACTGAGACCTTTGGTGGCTTTGGCATATCGGAGTTGCTGACACCCTTGACTTGTCCAGCACAATGCTTTTTCCACGAGGTGCCGTCATAAGAACAGACTGTAAACTCATACCAGGAAGATTCCACTAGATCATTCACAGTCACTCGTCGCATGTTGGTCAGAAGCTCGTATTCCAGATTTGGTTCCAGAATCAAAGCTGTCCTTATCAAGAAGCCCCGCAGGGATATCGAATCGGATCCTGTAACTTGACGGGCGGCCTCTACGACCATGGCTATGTATCCAGCACAGGGAAAGACGATTTTGCCACTGACAACGTGGTCCCAAATCCAGGGAACTTCATCAAGGCGGAGGATGTTCCGCCAAGAGGGCTCCAAGTCACCCGACTCCAGAGTGCGACAACCAAGCAATTCATGCTGTGGAAATTTCCGCAAGCGCCATTCCCGGGGAGGCCGACTCTCGTCCCATCCCCAATCCTCGTACTGCCACGGATATGGAGCGAGGTTCTTAAGACATGATCCAATCACATTCACTGCTGCAAAGAGAACTGAAGCCCCGTGAAGATATGCTTGTCCCACTGCGCCCAGCAGCGTTCCGGCTGTTTCGTCACCTCTGATGACAGTTGGGCAATACGAATATGATCTCTCTATATTCTTGCTCACCTGACGAATAGGCCCCGAAAGAGCTGAATGGGGTCCGATCTCCATGATAAGTGGCTGTGGAATTTCAGATGTTGATTTCAATGCCTCACTCATTCCAGAAGTGAACTGCACCGGCGACTCAAGGTTTGCCCTCCAGTAGGCCGAGTTTAGCTGGCTGGAACTGTGTATTACCTGCCCAGTCAAAGTTGAAAACATGTCTGCAGTCATAACCGGACTGTAGGTAACATGCGATCGTATCAATTCCTCATAGTGAGCGCCTGCAAAAATCATGTGATCTTTCAAGCATTAGTAGGGCCCTCAATGGATTCGGATTACACTTACTAGAGTGGTAAGCAACATATACAGGGAGTCGTTTCATGAGAGTATCCGGTCGGTCACTGCGTATCCTTGTTTCTATCTCATCTAGCGAACCACCATCGCCTGACAAGGTCACGCTCTCCGGGCTGTTGTAGCACGCAATAACAACACCATTTGTAAGATATGGGCTGACCTGCTTGGGATCCATTCCAACTGCCAACATCGATCCCTTACCCTCGCATTGAGCGGATACCTGACCGCGATAGTATGCTAAGATGATCGCGACCTCCATGGAGATAGCACCGCAGGCATATGCAGCGGCAATCTCCCCGCTAGAATGACCGACTGCCTTGGAAGGGCGGATATTCCAGGAGGCAAGAAGGTTCGTTATAGCCAGTTGGATAGCGGTGCATAATGGCTGTGAACACTCAGCACGGTCCATGACAGCTTGACTGCCATCTATCAATGTATCTAATGTCTGTTAGTATATTTTTGCCAGTGCGAATAGTCGACTTGTTGAGTGGTACCAAGTATGCTCCACTTCGGAGGGATCGGAAGACCTCGGAGAGTGCTGTCCATTATCCGTATATCTCTGTGAAACTGTGGATAGCTCTCGATAAGGCCTCTTGCCATCCCGGACCATTGCGCACCTTGCCCAGTATACGCAAATATTACCTCCGACATCTGAGCTTCAGGTATGTGTGCCCTCTGAAATTGACCTAGCTCTGTACCGTCATTGTCCGCTACCAGAAAAGCACGGTTAGAGAGATGATCCCTCCTAGCACCGAGTGTGTAAACAAGGTCTCTGAAATCTTCCGGGTTTTGCTCCAGATGTACCCGTAGTTGATCGATCTTGCTTTCGAGTGCACTGGGGCTCCATGCTGAAACAACCAAAAGATCTTTCGAATGATTTTTCCGCGGTGTTTGGGGCTCACTATGGGGTTGTTGGTAGCCATCTACAATAACCTAAATCTCACATCAGCAATTATATCCCAAAGCCATGCTTGTCGAATGGTCATATTACAGACATGTGCATTTGCTCCACCGATGCCAAAGCTGTTGACGCTCACTCGAGCTCCACGTCCCTCTGGCCAAGGTGTCATTTCTATTGGAACTTCTAACTTGCCCTCTTTGAATGGGACTATTGTTTTTAGTAGGCAATCGCACAAAACTTGAGATGACTTACTGCCAGGATTTGGATTTTCATAATATATATTAGGAGGAATCTTTCTATTCTCTAATGAAAGAACAGCCTTAATAAGACTGGTAAGACCGGATGCGCCTTCCATGTGCCCGACATTTGGTTTCACCTTGAGAATTTAGATTCAAAATAATGTATGGGAAATGGTAAGACAACTTACTGCACTAATCAAAACGCCCTTCTCCCCAAAAACACTCGCTACAGCCTCCGTTTCGGTTACATCACCCATGGTTGTCCCTGTCCCGTGGCATTCAAACAAGGCTGTTTGACAAACGTCACTGATCCCCGCCCGTCGATATGCCTTGCGAATGAGACGCTCTTGACTGAATCGATCTGGGGTTGAGATATTCGGGGTTTTGCCATCGCTGTTTGTAGCCGTTGAGCGGATTATGGCTCTTATGGGATCGCCGTCTCGTATCGCCGCATCTAGCGGCTTGATGTATATCGCATTGATTCCTTCACCACGGCCATAGCCATCTGCTGACGCGTCAAATGTTTTGCATCTGCCATCGGGAGCCAACACAAGATTATCGGACATGGTGATCGACATGGTAGGTGAAAAAATGAGGCTGCTGCCAGCAACGATGGCGGATGAACAGTCTCCAGAATAAATGGCCTGACAGGCTTCGTGTAAAGCCACCAATGAGGATGAACATGCCGTTTTATAAGTTATGCTACCGATGACAGAGTGTCAGACGGGCGGATGGGAACGCGAAGATGGAAGAACCTGGGAGGAGAAGGAGGACATAATCAAAAGGATTGAAGCTCCACGTACCTTGGACCTTTGAGGTCAAATTCAAATGAAATGCGGTTCGCAAGCGCAAAGTCACCAGTTCCCATCGCTCTAAATCTATCCGTCGTCTGACAGTCCTTGCTCGATATCTCCATCCAGTCCTCTCCAAATGTTCCGACAAAACATCCGACTTCGTGGCCTCGCCAGTCCATCTGACCGGCATTTTCCATGCACTCCCACACCACCTCGAGGAGCAGCCTCTGCTGGGGATCCAGCTTACTCGCTTCGTGAGGTTTTCCAACAAAGCCAGGATCGACCTTGCCTAGGTACTCTTCCTGGAAGAAGTAGCCGTACTTAGTTTTGAGAACGTGAGGCTTGGAGGGATGGTAGAATGAATCTCCATGGTACCTGGTTGGAGGAATTTCAGTCAGTGCGCTCCTTTTCTCCACCAACATGCACCAGAACTCTTCCCCGGTCCGGATGCTGCCAGGAAACCTCATCCCCATTCCGACAATTGCAATCGGGGATAGGAGGCCATTGGGTTGTTGACCATTGCTACAGCCCCATGTAGCGCTGGTCGGTTGGTCCAAGTGAGGTCGAGGTTCGTCGCGGACATCCTCGACGTGGGTCACCGCGGCCTCCACCACGTGCTCGCTCCCACTATCGACGGCCATGTGACCAGTGTCAGCTCGTGCCTGAGGAGCCAAGACAGCGAGAATGGCTGAGAGAGCTCTCGCTTGATGAGTGCGAGAACACAGCTTCAGTCTGCAATGGGTGGGTATAGATATGGTGATTTTGCTCAATAGCGCATCAGAGGGGAATATTTCCGAGCATGCAAAGTCCCCGGAGTAAAAGTCGCCGTATATATATCAGGTGGGATTATAGTAGGCTACATGCATTAAGCCGTATTTGGGTTGCAAGAATATCAGGCTCTGCCGCCGGTCATTGGTGAGGAAGTGGTATATGCTACAGTAGACTGACGGGAGGTTATACAAAGGATCTTTATGTTAGTGAAAGTCGAGACGCAGATATACTCTTTGCACACGTGTAACAGAAACCCGTCTCATAGTTAAGAGTGAGCATCAGTCTGGTATGACTACGTCGAGCAAGTGATCAGCCATATTGCGACCGGTGGGACGCTTGAAAGAGGTCCTTTGTCTGACGGTCGCCTAACAGAATCATGATGCTGGGTATAGATGATCCCACGTCCGTGTCGCAACTCAATCAACAGAATTGTGGGTCTGGGTGGGCATTATGTATACCATGAGGTAGCGAAATGACACTCCAGGGTTGATGAGAAACCTGGGAATACATGGAAAGATATAGTGTCATGATGCTTCTCAATCCACTGGCTTATCCTTCCATTCGGAAGCGACCCATGGGAGTATCCCCCGCCCATCCCTGTCGACCGGGTCTCTGGGTCCGGGCCTTTTTCTCGGGAGTTAGCTGGCCCGGCAAGCATGGAATCTTGTCTGAGATAAGCACATGCTTATGGCTCTAGGATCAGAGTCGCAAGTTTGCCTGGATGTAAGAAAGAAGGACGTGTGGTAATAAGCTGTATCTTGTGCGTTTGCGATGGAGCACTATAAAGAGACAATTGGTTAGCGATCTGTGTTGCCTGATTGATTTCAAAAGCCATGACGGGAGGAAGAACCCAGGGTATGAGCATTGTCTCCACAGCTATCACGAGGGGGGAAATACCCACTTGACGCGTAAGCAGCCAGCCTGTTAGACTACCGAATAGATGTTGAAACGTGGGTGAAAAGACAGAAAACAGGACAGTCAGCGGAGAGAGGATGTGGGACCACCCCGACCAGCCCCGCATCCCCGCCACAGTTCTTCCCCACCCCCGCTTCATGGTAAGGCATAAGTTTGAACCGAGACTGCATTGCTTTGGACCATTCCTTTGTATGGACCATACTCGACCTCGATCACACAATGGGCACTTTCGAAGAAACGGTATGCGAGTCTCCGGATGCCATTCACAATGCTAAGAAACCACCAACAGACGCGTCTCCACGGAGCCTCCGTCTTGGATGTTACGGCAAAGGGACCAGAGCAAGAATCTGTGACATCCTGGAGGGAACGCAGTGGCATAAATCGCGATACGCAGATTCATCTGGTGAAACTGGCACACATGCGGTACCAACATCCTGATTTGGATGAACTAACAACGTTTATGAAAGGTCTGCAGCGCCCAAAGACACAAAATACCTTGGAATTGACTTGTGCAGACTTTGGTACCCAGGTTGCTAAGATAACAGAGGATCAGATCTGGTACCGCGGGTACGGCACGGACGCCTATGTTTACTACGCACGAAAAGGGCCGAGAGCATTTCTTGGTGGCACATTTGAGGTCGAGTCGTACCAGGACCTGGTCAAGTAGGTTGCTTTGTTGGCTTGGCGATTGACCGTGCGACACTGATATATCCAGGGCCCGGGAGCTTCCGAATGCTAGTGCTATCAAAGAGCTGACCGATCACCCTGGTGGGGGTCATTTAGTGACGGTGACTGATCCGGAAGGTCATCCTGTCAATCTTATTCATGGACAGGCACTTGCGGAGCCGGGTGAGTATCCGGAGAAGCTCGCTGTCAATTACGAGTCAGACAAGAATCGTATTCGGAAGTTTCAGCGATTTGTTCTTGGACCCGCACCCGTGCACAAGGTATGCTTGACTTCCCCGAATGGTATACACTGTCTAATCGGATTAGCTCGGCCACTATGGGTACTGCGCCAAGGATTTCCCTGCCATGCTTGACTTCTACACTAGGCATTTTAATATAGTTCCGAGCGACTTCCTCTATGTCGAAAAGGATGGCGAAAAGGTCAATGTCGCGGTGTTCGCGCATATTGACAGGAAGCAGGACTACGTGGACCACCACAGTTTCTTCATGAGTACCAACGAGTCATCACACGTCCATCACTGCTCATTTGAAGTCCACGACTTTGACACACAAAATTTGGGGCACCAGTGGCTTGCTAAGAAGGGTTATAAGTCTGTATGGGGCGTAGGGAGGCACATTCTTGGCTCCCAAATTTTCGATTACTGGTGGGACACCACCGGAAACATGGTTGAGCATTACGCGGATGGGGATCTTGTGAACGACGAAACCCCGATTGGGTATATGCCTGCCACAAATGAGTCGCTTGCAGTTTGGGGACCGGATGTACCTGCTTCGTTTATGGAGTAGATGATATCCATGGAATAAAAAGGACCTAGTTGACGTTTGACGTCTCAACGTACTTTCGCTTCCTGGGAGTATTTTGTATCCAATCAAACTACATATGCATATGCACGTTGCATTAATCTCTCCTATATTATCAGGGTCCCTATCCTGCCTTGGCTTGCTAAATCTAATCTGAGATCAGAAGTCTATATCCAACACTATATTCCACGAACCATCCCACTCCATTCCATCCATATATCGTATACCCTATGAGGCTAGCTCTCCCCACACCTTAACAAAATCAATTCCAATGAGACGGAGTTAATAATGGATCTGTTGACTTGTGGGACAGTGGGAGGGATCACACAAACGCCAGACCACTACTACGGTACTACCAGAGTGTCCCGCAGCCCGATGCCGATCACGTCCCGCCGTGGAGGCGTGGGGCCGGATCTTCCCAGTCCATACCACATCCCAGACCAGCAGCCATCTATTTGCTGCACCCCCACATCGAATGACCCCCTCCAAGACAGAGATTCACCTCACCTCCCCCGCTTGATCGCTATCTCAAACGACCAAGCCTACCCCGGACATCTCCTCGATCCAACTCGCGATATCAGCCAGGAAAACATCGAGGGCGATTTTCAACCGCCGCGTCACAAGACAATCCATGCACATCAAGTCAAATACGTACTACCCCTAGATTTGTATCCACCTTGCAAATCATCACACGGCAGGACAGCCAAGCCACCCCCGAAGATCATAGTTCCCGCATCGCATTTTTCCAGACTAAGCTGCATGGACCCCACGAACGAAGCCAGCCTGGCCCTCGCCCAAACGCCAGTCCTCATTGGAAAGCTGTGGACTGTCGTGACGGGTTTCCAGTCTAGTCGGCCACTATTAATATCCCGATGTGTGCACAGACTGGGACGCACGACTGCCAGGTAGAAATTTCACCTGTGATCGGGAAAACAGGGCGCGATATGCCCGAGGAGGATGAGGCGCTGGATTGTCTGTCCTCTGGGTTGCAAGGCAGCGAATGATGTGTCTGTCCTCGAGGGCATTGCAGATACACATATCGCAGGAACGTTATCTTCTGTATCAAATAGCAGATCCTATTCCTGTCACAAGGAACGACACTCGAGGCGGGAACTATCTTTTTGCCGGGGATTCTAGCGGGTATCGGGTACTTTACAGGACCGAGCGTTGTGCTGCATGACGGGGATGAGATCCGCGTAGGGATTGAGAAATTGAGAAACGCGTCAGAAACTCCAGATATCCATGAACACTACACCACAAGACCAACAAACTGCGCAATGCAATGCTCAACTGAGCAAGATTGAATCAATTATTACTTATCGAAGTGTTATATACACACATGAACACCAACAACAATTATATACTGAGGGCAAGGTTGCGGTACCAAGGCAGAACCCACAAAGCTACTGCGGCGAGGTTGTTCCAGTTCGACACGATCCATTTAGAGGTAGGTGGTGTCAACCCAGTCGGCGTAGTCAGAGCCGAGGATGGTGGAGATGGTGTAGGGGGTGGAGATCTTGGAGGAGAAGGAGGCACGGGTACCCTCGGAGCCGGCACCGGTGTTGTCGTACTCCTCGAAGGTGACGTACTCGGTGTTGGGCTCGGAGGTGGACCACTCAGTCCAGCCGAGAGCGTTGATAACGTCGGTCATGGAGGTCTCCTGGAAGCAGACGCGAGCGTACTCGGACCAGGGGCGGCCTGGGGGTGTTTTGTTAGTCTTGTGGATAGTGGAGGAGGGGGGGAGAGAAATGCGAGAACGTACCGAGGTAGTAGGTGCCGGAGGCAACGTCGTTGCCAGCGGCGGCAGCGACGGTGGACTTGTGGATCACGTAGAAAGAGGTGTCAGTCTCGGAGCTACGGCCGTTGGCAGTGATGGAGGCAGAGCTGGGGCCCTCGACGACACGGATGTCGCAGTTCTGGAACCAGGCACGGGCGTGCTGGCCAAAGATGAAGTCACTGATCCGCATGTAAGCAAATAACCTTTTATGCCTTTGGATAACAAGACATACATAGCACCCTCAATGTAGGAGTTGAGGTAGACCTGGTTTCCGGTCTCAGCGAGAAGGGTGTCTGATCATGCCTGTTAGTAGAGTACAAAGGGACCCGCAGCTTGTGATCGACTACATACCCTGGTATCCGTACATGCCGACACCGTAGAAACCCTGCTCGGTCTCATAGGCGCTGACAGCCAGGGCCTGCTTAGCAGAGGCACCGCCGGAGTTGATGAAGTTGATGTTGTAGATGGCCGCGTTCGAGGTGTGGATGCGGAAGGTAGCTGCATCTATAATCAGCACAGTTCGTGGGGATGGGGTAGACGAGAACACGCACCAGTCTCATCGTCACTGGAGACATCAGCCAGACCCAGACCGTAGGTGACGTTCACGGTGTTGTCAGCGTAGGAGGTGTCACTGGTATCGTTAGCCATGTGACGCTATCATCGAATGCGGAGGAGCCACGCCAAGTACTCCTCCGATCCTTCAGATATAGAACTCCAACTTACTCCTCAGTCTCGCCGTAAATGATCAGCTTTCCGGCAAGGGCGGGAACCAGAACCTGCTCCTCGTACTCGCCAGCTTCGATAAAGATAGTCTGAGTGTCGGTGGTGGTGGTGCTAAGAGCAGCAACGGCACTGCTGATCTGTTGGATGCGGGAAACCCATCCGTCAGTACAGATTCAAGCCTGCGATATGGATGATCGTTGCTCACCGTGTCGTAGTCACCCCCGGACTTGGCGACGGTAATGGAGCCGGAAGGAGCCGTGGTGCGGCTGGCGGCCAGAGCGGTCGCAGCGAAGAGGGCGGAAGAAAGGATAGACTTGACCATGGTTGCGGTTGAGGGTGTTTGATCGTCAAGCTTGGCTGTTTGGATGATTGAAGCACTCAAGAGGAGCATGGGCAGGACTTGTTCTTATAGGAACCATTCTTCGTCCATTCAAGATGGCGTGTTGTTATCCGCCGACAAATGCATCATATGGATCAGGACCTCCGGGTGGAGACCCCGGCGGGGTTTCTTCAACACCAAAAGAAGCAGTGAGTAACTATATGTGAAATGGCTAGAGAGATTCAGGCAGGTCGACCGAAGATCAACCGGGTGGAGGCGTTCGAAGAAGCTTCTTAGGGCTAGCGGGTCGGGACTCCATCGCCAATTGCAGCGTTCGGGGATACCTCGCAAGCAAATGACAGCGGACCCTGGCCCTCCTTAACACGTTCATTATCATAAGCTTAATAAAGAGGAGATATTGTCGTCCATTTTAGATGGGCTTGGCGAAAGGCCAGGAACCGATGGATTCGGCCAAGCCAGCGAGCTCTGAAACAGGGGCTTCCCAATTCCAGTGTGCTTCAGTTTCCACTTCCAAGGCCCGGCGCCGGAACGCCCCGTCGTTCAGAGAGCAGTTTCGACTTTCAAGGCGCCCAGTTATATATGCGGTTTGCGACTGGAGAGGTTCTGATAGCACCGAATTGGTGGCGTTGCAACTTGCAAGGGCACACGTTTTGCTAGTGTCGTGAGTTGACAGCCTGGGACAGCTTAAGAGACATTTTCTCACTTGACAGAAAATGACGCAAGGACCGGCCGAATGCTTTCACGAGGCCGTTGGTGTTGATGCGTTACTCGTTCCGGAAAAGAGGAGCGCGTATCATTTCTCCATTCGTGGGCCTTCCCGTCCCAGTCTCTGGCATCCTTCCCTCCCTTCCCTTCATCTCCCCGGCCAGACTCCGAACCTAAATCACCGCCGGCTTTCTACATTGGGATTGGTGGAAGTTCAGTAATTAAAGCTCCCGCAAATGCACCCCGACAAACCAAGCTTCGTGGTCGAACCTTCCCCCGAGGCTATCTAATATGAACAATCAACTTAACCAAGCATGAAAACAGGGATGCTGCTTGGATTGCGCGTCAAAACAAACCAATTGTGCCGCGGCAGATTTGCATGCCTCGGAAATGGCCAGCCACAAAGACGTCTCCTGCTATATCCGAGGACACCGGCTCAGCCTGAGGCGTCAAGAGGAATATGTTCCTTGATTGAATGCCGACGACATAACTACTTATTGGGAAGCGGATTCCAATGGTAGAAACACCAGCGGTGTAGACGTCCAACGGAAAAACCTGGCCTCGGCGGAAAAATTAGCCGGCAATCAGCATCTACCGGGACATGCCAAAATACGCCCCTGCCGTGCGCTTGAGAACGTCTCAGTCTGAGGACGACGGTGCGTGATGCCGGCGACCCGGCGACGTCCTTGACTCCTTAGGCTCGATCAAGTGCCTGTCAGATAGATACGCACCATGTTGATGTCTCGACAAAACCTGCCCAAAATGGCGTGACCAGCCTTGGGGCGTTCTCTTGGCGCGCCGGATGTGGGACCCCCGATCGGTTTAGTCAGCAGACTGCAACGCCCTACGGTTTTGTGGGCCAAATTGCCTTTGCCGCTTTCCAGAGCTGCAACCCACTTTAAACAACCCGCCCGAATGAAGCTGACCGTGGTCACCTTGGTGGAATGAACCACAGCTCTACGACCCACCCTGTATATGAATGTCGTGTCATTTGAGGACATGACAACACGAATCTGAGAGTCGCGGCAACTACCGGATATACGTATCTACTTCGCGAGACGGACTTGGAGGTTAAGGAGGCAATTGGTTACAGGAACCAAGATGCTGAAGATTGGACTACCCATACCCTCACCCGCCTAGAGCCTTCCATAGTGTGTTCTAGCCCCGCCACCGTCGCCGTCTAAAGAATATACTAATTGACAGTCCACGGAGAAGGATTCGCCATCGGCCATGCAATGCCTTGTCATTGGTGTCGAGTGGGATAACACGGGATAACACAGAGCTACTTTATGGACCTTGAGAGACACCCTCGATTCTCTCTTATGACGCCCCAATGGCCTAGTTCTATTGAATCACTGACACTGTCTGAGAATATTGCCCATTGAAGTCCTCTCCTTCATAGCTCGACCCAGGGATGAGCTTCCGAAACCGGATTCTCAGGAGAGAGTCCAAACGGACCCAACCTGTTGGGATGTACCCAAATGGTTGATATTAAGAGATAGCGCCTCCTTAATCGACTTCAAACGGAGCTTATCCCAATATTACATCTGCTGAACCACGACTAACCCATACAAGACTAAGCGGCAGTCCCATGCGCTTGCTTATATTCCCCCCAGTCAACACTCCGCGGAAAGGGGTTCGAAGGCGCGTCCAGGCCCAGAAACGCACACAGAGGCCCCCAATCATCGCTCACCTCGTATACCAGCAGTTCGGCGACCAGCGCGAATTATTTGACGTGCGAATTAGCTCTCCTTACCGTACATGGGCAAGCTATTCTGCCACAAGCGCAAATGATTTGTCTACCATTATCCTCATCAGGGTATCTGTCCGGGTATAAGGGACACTCTACCACTATCACAAAGTCACCATGATTGAGTCGAGCTAGCTCTCCTCACCGCGCACGGTCACGATGACCTTAGCGTCCGAGAAGGCCCCAATCAGCTCGTCGGAGAAGATGGCCACCAGAAAGTCAGAGACGGCCTGCGCGGAATACAATCAATATTCTTTGTGCCCCGGGGGACGTGTGAGCGCCCTGGAATGTCGTCCAAGAATAATCCCAAGTCACTCGGTCCGAACGGACTCCCCTCCACTTCAAACTTGGCTTCCAGAGAAGCACCATTGCGCTGCGTGCTTTCTTTTGGCGCATGTGGTGCATAGACCACACTTACACTGGGTTCACGTCCTCGGAAAGCCTAGAATTGGAATTTTCATATCATCGGAATCTGACTCCATGTAGATACGAAGTCGATGGACAGCATAAACATTATAGCTCATCCCCCGACGATTTGTGCTGGACTTACGCCATGGTGGTAGTCTGATTTAACCTCCTGTATCAATCGGCAACCAAAAGGATGGTGGGTAAGAAGCTTATCGATTGGGCATGATGGAGAAGGAATCACAGGATCTGAAGATGGCCAATAACTGTCTTCGAAACGTTCGATCGTTCTTATGCCTCGATCCTGTCCCCACTTTTGTGTCTCTTTGAAGTAAAGCGTTATGAATATGTCAGCGGGCGGGGTGCGTTTGGATGGGCTCAACAAACAGTTTATTATTTTTACTAACCCATTACCGACAAATGCCAGTGGTTACACGACAATTAATCTCGCTTCCCGAATTCCTTGGTTTCCAAACAAGTTTTGGCTTTCCACCATCCGGTATATTGTCACAAAACAGAGAGTTTCAAAGGGAAGTAGGTGAAAGTTGACAACATATTCAACAGCACCACTCTCCAACTGTTTTTAATGAAACTGAGACGAGGCCACAGATGATCCAAATCCTATCTGCTATCATCCCATTCATCCCCGATATCCACACCCTACGAACCCCCATTATTGGTGATCATAGCCACCTGGACCGCCGCAAACCTACCCCCAATTAGCCAAGAACCGTCATCCCACACCTGAGGATCCCGAATTGAACGTACGCCGTTGCCGTGGCAAAAACCTCCACGCGTCTCGCCTTAACCATCAACCCCATGACCAGCACAAAGATCATATTATAGACGAAGATGGTCACCAATCTAGCCGCGGTATCCCTAACAAAGTACACGACGATGATAGCCGACGCGGGAAGAAAGCCCGAGATGAGAAGGCTGATGATGTACGTCCGGGACTTAATGGTGTGGTTGTCGTAGTACCACACGCCGGACTCGATATCTTTTCGGTCCTGGGATGGGGTGGTATCAACATTTTCAAGACGGAGAGAAAAGAAAAGAGACAGACGAGGGAAGACATACGGTGCGTTGATGGCCCCATCGACGATGAAACCACGGAACGAAGCGGGTATACACCCAGCGGGTGAAGAAATCGGTGCCGTCGTGTCGATTGCACAGGGAGATGAGGTCCTTTTCGTTTTCCCCGCGCCATTGGTCCAAGGGAGAGAGAAACATGGTCGTGCTCTCTTCGCGGTCGAGCCAGTCCTGGAGGACCTCGAGATCGCTGGTCTCTGGGGGGGTCAGGTGGAGGAGACGGGATTGTTGGAGGAGGGCGCTGTCTGGGTGGGATTGCCCTTGGGTGAGTAGCAGACACAACCCAGTCTGGGAGACAGCGTACTGTACTCATTCAGCAACCTGCGTGCCTCGAGCACTTTCACCCACTGTGCCGGCTGTTCTTCCGGCGACCCCTTCAGACTCCAGACGGAAAAGGGGTAGTTCGCTTTCTCTTCGGAACCGGATACCATGTCCTCTTCGATGATGTCGTCGAGGTCTGCCTGGACGTAGGCCAGCTCGGCTTGGAGGTATAGCAGGTTCTTGGCGTTCAGCTTGGAGAAGCGACGGAAGATGGAGGATCCAGGGTCCACGGTCATCAGGGCCGCTAGTTTGTCGTAGCCTTGGAGGGGAGTTTGCCTCATCTTGCTTGTTGACTTTGGGGGAAGAGTTCAAAAGCACTTGAGCTCGCGTTTGTTGGAATGAACTATCGTCGTATACGTGGAGATCGAAGGGTGTGCGTGGCGCCCGAGAGGAAATGCGGCGGATGGTTTTCTGAGAGAGAGCCTGGCTACCAGGCACGGCGGGTAAATGACGCATCAGGCTGAACGGTATGTCATACTCACATCTGATAGGTGAAGTTGAGTCATTGAAGCCGACGCAAGGCTTTCTTGTGAAGCTTTTGGGGGGGGGACTGTTTCACGGGATCCAGCTCCGCTGACCTTCCAGAACCTGGAATAATGGCTGATCCTACGGTATCATACGGTTGGGTAGGATTGAGAAACCCAAATTGTCTACATGCAGTCAGACTGGGAGTTATTACCACGGATAGGTGTGCTGGCATGCCGGTAGCCGCGCTGTAGGTAGGGCAGGGCGACAGTCCACCACCAATCAGAGACGTAGGTTCTATATGCATGCCTAGGAGTATTATCTACAATGCTCAATGTCTGGATGCACGTCTCAATCACAGGATATCAAATTAACAGTTATATAGGAAAGAAAGGACGGTATCAGAAAGGTTGTTCAACCGACAATCCTCAGTCCCGGAATCTGGGCCATTGACTTCGGTACTTCGCGTTGTCTGGAGTGGATTCACGCTGACGCCAATATTTTCGGTACTTCGAGCACAACGCCTCTGGGGGGGTCAAACCCTGGAGAAATCGATACCACTCCGCAATCATCGGGTCGGCTCGATAGAGCTGGAGCTCTCTCATGGACTGCCTCCCTATAACCAGATCGTAGTGGATATCCTTTACCACGAGGAACGTGGCCTTTGCCCGACGAGGCTTGCGAGGTCCCATCATGATGAACTCCAGCTCGACAGTCCCGAGAGGCTTGACGAACAACCGCCCAGGAGCATGCGGAGGTCCAGTGTAGGGTTGGATTTCCAGATTCAACCTCTCGATGACCAAGATCACACCCCAGCAAGTATTGGACACGGTTTTTGGCATATTGCTCGTCGCTGCTTTCCTGGCCGCTTTGGATTTGGGAGAGAGCTTTCGTCCGGAAGTGTTGCATGTCGTGGCCATCTTGATCCTCGGTATCAATAATTTCTGCTTCAGGCGGCTCTTCTACAATCTCCTTTCCATCCTGCTCCCCCTGCTGTCTCTTCTCTCGCAGTTCATCGGAGGACGGTATGCAATATTGAACTATATATCTAGTCATACCTATTCGATAGGCTACGGCTTGTATGGTTAATGGGAGGGCTTGTGGGTCTGGTGAGAGGGACTACATTTGCGGTGAGGGTGCCCTGAATATATAGTAGCCTACGAGGTGATATCGAGCGGGACACGACTCTGGGATATCCTCTTTGTCATGAATGTGCAACTGGCATCGAAAGCTCGGGGGCGTTCTTTCTCCACCACTTCCCGCCCTGTGCGGACCCCGGTGGTATGATTACCCTTCTGGCTCGGTGATCCTGATTACAAGATTTCTGGGGCATTCCAAGGGGAAATTGTTAGGAGCATGAGAGAGTCACTTGACAGGAGAAGGGAAAGTACCAGAGAAAGGAAACCGAAACAGAAAGAGACCGAACATCGGGCTTCTCCATCAGAAGCATTCAAGATCTGTTTGTCTGTCGAAGAGCTGCAGCCATACGACGCTCCTTTTGAACATCCCGTCTTTCCTTGTCAGCCTTCTGGGCCTTCTTCCTATTCGCTTCGAGATTTCTCCTGTTGTGTTTGATCTGATCTGAGGAAATGTCAGCCCTGGTTGTTCTTATTACGCGTCCAAGTACTGACCTTCATTCAGTACCTCCAGCCCTAAGGGGGCTATACGAAGGAGGTTCTCATCAGACGTTTTGAGATTCACACAGCTGTCCCGGCCTAGAATGACATCCACATCACCAAAAGACCGAAGGTCGAGGCTTTCATCGACGGGGATGTAGAAGGACTCCTCCTCGATGCTCGTCGCGCCGCGTCGGCAAAAGCGCAAGCTGACAAAGTCACGAACAATAAAGTCCATGCCGCTAGTGTGCTGGACTGCAAGGTCCGATCCATGACAAGTTGCCATTTTGACTCTTTGTTGACCTTGAAGAGTGAGAATATTGTGGCTCAAAACATTTCCGACAAAGGCTTGGAGCACCAGCTGTGGCTCACCCACTCGGAAACATTTAATCTCCACAACACGGTATTGAGCCATTGTCTGATGCTTTAATGTATAGTGCGTGGAAGGGGCAGGGTTTTTGGTCTTGTTTGTTCTGTGCCAGGAAGCGCCCGAGCCAGCTGGCTTTAAAAAAGCCTGTGAGCCGCAGAAAAAGTTCTCTGTCACACCCAAACCGGTGGTACATCCAGGGGATTACAGCCCACGTATGCCCAAGGCTGAGTGCAGCTGGTCATGGGAATCACCTTTTCGGTCTGTGGCACAGTTACATGCATTGTCACACATAGGACAAGGCTCCATAACCCCAGGGAACTTTGTCAAAGGCGGTAGGGATCAATCCAACCATCCAGGGCTATGATTTTATTCATCGGCACTGGAAAGCATGAAGTATTTGGGGTATCCAGGGTTCTTTTATTTTGTATTAATTGGTTGCTTGCATCCTTCTACAGGCATGATAGGCCTTTCCGATGATGGTTTCAATTCCACCGACAGCCACCGCGTCAACAGTATCCACTAGGAATGCGGCTACATACAGCCAATGACAAATGATATATGCGAGACAGCAAGCCATTCCAGCAGAAAGTCCCCAATATCTATAACCCATCTCAGATCGGAGAGGGAGCAAGGTCTGGACCCAAGATGACAAGCTGGTGTGCCTTAATTGCAGGCTGGCCTATTATCACGTTATAGCCTTCGAGATCCGCAACATAGAACTTAGTATCGTACCGGTTCGTGCATCCAGAGAATCTCCAGTAAACGTCTTCAACTTTGCCGATCAGTTCGATTCTGGTACGTCGCTGGCTCGGATGTACTGGAACTAAGCATTTTGGGCGGTCCAGTTCTTGCATCGGTATGCCTAATGCGTTGAAGACTTTCGGTGTCATGATACTGATCTCAGACTGGGTATCCAATGCGAGCGCCCATTCCTCGGGTTTATCCATCAGGTAGCCCAAGTATGTCCATTCAGCATCTTTCGCAGGAGTGGTCCGATGCAGCGAGTCCCTCTCCCCCGAGTTCGGGTCCTCCGAATTCGTATCTTCCGCCGGTGGAGTAGAATTGGGAGTTGGTGGCTGGGCAGAGTCGCCGGTATTAGAATCGGAGTCACCATGGTCATCGCCATCAGGTCGGTCAAGCGAGGGTCCACCGGCTTCGGGGGCTTCTCTGTCAGACTGCATGCTGTCTATATCAACGCGAAAGCTAACAGTCAGCCGAAACAATTTCTCAATAGCGAGCTTCACGAATGCGGTCAGTATCTTACCCTGTGATGTTGCGTTTCAACTTCCCAAAAATCACTGTCGATCGAGTGATCCGTTGTCGTACTTTTCAGAGGGGAAAGCTGATCGTGATGCAGAAAGGTTTTGCAATGGATGAGGTAAATGGGTCAATTTTCTGTGGAAAACTGCGAACGAAAGCAGAACGAGCAGAGGTATGCAAACCCCGAAGCATATGAGAATGGGGGTAGAAACGGATGAGAGGAAAGATGCGAGAAAGATCATGGAGACGTCCTGTCAGTGCATCTTTTATATTCCAGCGATCGTGATTGCTATTTTGACTTCTAGAGGGCAATCATCAGGATATGCATTCCCAGGTAAAGAACTGAGTTCTTTGATACATACGCCGTCTGGCAATAGCCAGAGGGGTGAGGCCACTATTGGCCAATGGCGATCACCATTTTCTCCATATCAAACATGCATATCAAGTTGTCTGAGAAAGGGCAATGTCTGGACCAACGACTGAGGACTCCCATGTGTCAATTAATCTGATGGCTGTCGCTTGGACTGCGGAGATGAATGCGTCTATATTGTCTTTCATTGTAAAGATGAATGATATCCACGGGTAGGTGTTCCAACTGCATTGTCGCCAGTATCGGTTACAAGGAACCTGAGATAAAGGGGATGATTACGCGAAAGAACGGAAGGCCTTGCGACAAAGGAAAGAGGAACTCCAAGTGAAGCATACGCCTCTTTCGCGGTCCTGACACAAAACTCTGGATTCACTTTACCCGGGTCTGTGATTCTCTGCCACCCATTCTTCCAGCCCGGGAGAGTTGGGACAACTCAACTCCCGCCCAAATACTGAGCATGAGACACAGGTCTTTGGCCATTATTGACAGGGAATAGGCTAGGGAGAGCGCAAACAATAGCAAGAACAATAGATGTGGTGAGCTTTATGTTATGTCTTTGGCAAAGAGATGAGAGAGTATAGTGTTGCTGTTTTGAGTTCAGCCACGCCGTGCTGGCTTCCAGAATATTCCAACGCTGTACATACAATACGTACTTACCTTACCTTCTGCAGCTCGGCTTTGTGGCGCTGCCATATACCCCCATCCGATCCTTATGTAGCCCGTTTCACCTATGTATCGAAGACCAATATCAGGAAGCCTTCTATGCACCCACTCTGTACGAACCGATTACCAACCTCAATTCTGCGATAGATAGATGTCAGGGACAATCTCCGGATTAGATGATGTCTGCTCAAGACTACTCATTCCACACCCTCAGTAATGACACACCCAGCGCTCGGTGCATCCTTTTCCTACACTTCCTACACTAGCATAGCGCTCGCCAGTATAGGTGGGGCCATGTAATTCGACACCCCGTCCATCTCCCTGCACATCGTGACTTCCCAGTGCGGCCTAGAGTATTTAATCACACATCCCTCTGTCATAATACAACACCCTGTCCCCGACAAAGCATAGCGCCCGACAATTAAGACCGGACAGGAATTATTTGCCGCCCCGGCTCTTAATCCGACGCCCATCGGTCTCTCTCACTCTCTCTATACCCGACTGTATTTGTGTCCTTCCATCACCAAGTTCTTCCAATGATGCCAGATAATCATTTCTCAATCGGGGCATTTTTTACAAAAAGAATGGTCATTTTTACACAGGCTGGTAATGTCTCAAGAAGCAGGGTAAACAAAGGCTCAAAGCTATGTACGGTACGTATGCTATTCTGGGAACTGAAACAGGGGCGGGTGAGGTCAAAGGTGATATGTCCCTAAGGTATCTACCCCGGGTGTAACCGATTCACTACCCCGGGTACCTTAGAGTTCTTAATCGATCCAGTGTGACAGTCAAATCTAATATCTACCCCGAGTGTAACCGGGTAACCGGTTCACGGCCCCGGGTAAACCGGTCGATAGATCGATCCATCGATCCAATCTGAAAGACAACTGAACTCGGTACCAGTAGACGAATTGGATCTAGAGAGATGGTTTCTCGTGACAGAATAAGCCAGTGTTACTGGTTGTGCAGAACCCGAAAGGAGGGTTCTCTACGACCAATAGGTCGCGAACCGGCTCTCCCCACGCACGACATTAACGAACTCCTTCGCGATAATCTGATGGGTGCGCACGGACGGATGCAGCTGATCGAACCACAGGTAGGATTCCAGGTTGGGGAGGTGTTCGCACACCGTGGCATTGATGTTGCAGACGTAGTCGTAGCCAGTCACGTTGGCCGGGGCAGCGAGATACTCGGAGGGGTTGTTATAGATCTCTGAGATCTGGAGGGAACCGTCAGCTTTCTCCCACACGGAGATCTAAGGGCATGCAGGTTAGGAATAGATGGGAACCAACCAACGCAAAAGTATCCATAACGGCGAATTTCGCCCCGGGATACCTATTCCCAACCAACAACTCATACGGGGTCCGGTAATCATACACGTCGTTGGCGGTCGCCACCTGCTCCCACATGCGATAGCTGATCTCGGTGATATTGCTCGGTTTGTCGGGCCAGTAATCATTCGGGCCGACGCCGTGGTGGTCGGACGTGGCGTATAACGGGGCCAGTTGCAAGGGGGCCAGGTTCATGAGGACGAAGTACTTTGCTGCGCCGGTGTTGTATACGCCATCGAGAGAGGAATACACGCAGTCGATGTAGTCCGGGATGGTGGTGTTTGTGACCTGCGAGTCTGTGAGGAAGGAGTTGACGCCGAGGTCGTTGGTTCCGATCCAGAGTGCGAAGATGGTCTCGTCCGCGGGGATGTCCAGGAATTTCTGGCCCGATGGGAGATGGTAGTTGTTGTCTGCCGTGAAGGCGGGGACTTGGTATTCCAGGACGGAGGGGTAGAAGGCCGATGAGGAACCGAGGGTTGCGAGCCGGGGGGTGATCTTGTTGGAACAGGCCGCGCCGCTGACGGCGTAGTTATATCGGTGGGACAGGTTGGCGTACTGGGAGACGTATTCGCCCCAGACGTAGCCCCCGGAGGAGGAGACGTTGGCCTGTTGATAGGCTGTGTTAGTGAGGGAGAAGTGCAGCAAAGGAAAGCACTTACGACAGGCTCCACCCACCCCACCGGAGGCGCCGACCCATCATGGGTGTAGAAATACTCAAACCGCGTATCGTCCGTATAACTATCCCCAAACGTCACCAGATTGGAGAATCTGCTTGGACCCCAGCGTTGCTCCGCACGTGCCACCTGCAGCGCTAGGGCCAGGAGGAGGGGATGGACGTGGCGCATGGTGAAGACGAAGGCTCGGGGGGAGAAAGATGCGATGCTTCCGCATAATATATCAACCTTAGCCATGCCCAGTTGCTTACTACTTATTGTTGCCGTTTAGCCGAATGCGGAGGCACCTCCGCATCCAGACATGGAATGCCGAGATGCGGGAGAGCCAACTGGCAAACATGGCACTGTTTGACTGCTCCGTTTGGTCCGTGCCACAGCCCCGGGGTGTTGGATGATGTCGAATCGTGTTCGAGTATCCATATCTCCCTTCTTGGTCCGGATTGCATTTCTCCGGGCAGCGGTGCCTAAGGCGGCATCGTATCCAAGGTGCCAAATATCCAGGTGTACCCACAGCTTTCTGCTGAGTGATTGTTTCAACCTGAGTTTTACATGTACAGCTCACTTGGCCGCCGTTTCTGTTTACTCTACGTCCCACGAGCTAGGAACAGAGTAATCTGGCATAAAGCAATAGATATGAAAGTAGTATTGACTCGAACAACTAAGCAACCAAGTAAACTCGACATCATCTGACATCATCCAGAATCCGGGGGGAAACAATACTAGGTTGATCAAGCGCGGGTGACGAACATCGTAACTCAATACTTGCTCTGGATCAGGCCGTAGGAAGTGCCATTGAACTCCAGCTCGAACGTAATGGAGGCCGATCTCGGTGTCATTATTAGCACATAATTCACTCGATAATATTTCGTCCCGCGAGAGTTTGTTTTGGCTTCGAAGAGGTAAGTCGGGACTGCGCTGAGGTCGGATTCCAGTGTGCATACTTCAAAAACGGCTGGGGCTATGTTAGATGATTGTTTCCACAACATAAAATGAGCCATTTTGGTCCGCTACTCACTTTCGTCGCGACGGCGAGGGCTTTCAGACTTATGGCACACGAGCAACTCATCATGAAAAATCAACTTGCTGCGATCGATGTCTGCTAGACTCCGGTTGAATGGAAGACGGATTGGCTTATTTTCGGCGATCTCGTCTCCCTGAGAGCTTTGTCAATGAAATCCGCTGCTTAGAGTGGTATCCAGACTCACTTTCTTGATATACCATGCCATCACCTTTGGAACATACCACCTTTCTTCAAGGTCACACCACTCTCTTATGGCAGGTGGATATCTTGCAAGATCCGCACCATATCTGCTCCTAAAAGTGACGCCATAGTGATGCCTCGCAATCCGCTTTGCTACCTGGTTTCCCTCGATACCGTGTTGTACTGCACCCAGCATGACTGCTGACCACCTATACTGGTTGTTAGTCAAGCCAATACACAAACACAAACAGTGGAGGGCCACTTACGAGTTGGGAGGTTGCATCACAGTAATCCTAGTAAAGACATTCTTGATACGGTGGAAGAGGTATTCGGATGAGCCAAAACCGCCGACAAGGAAAACGGCCTGCCACCGTCAATAAATACACAGGGAGCCACGCGGCGGTTGATTACCTTAACTGCCTTTTTGGAATCTTCACAGCTCCTGATTTGACCTCGAATCAGATTCTGGACCTTTTGCACGACTGGATCGAACAAGTTTTTGATCTGAGATCTATGCCGCGATTTGGTATGTCAGCCTTATCAGGTCACAAAGCCGGGGTTTACACACCCATTCAGCTTAAGAAAGCCATCTTTCAGAGATACTTGGCGGTTATCTTTCACCCCGGGTACAGGAACGAAATGAATCTCATCTTCATAGTCCGGGTCGGTGGCAAAGTTGAGCTTGATATCTTCCTGCCAGAAGCGCAAGGCCATCTCCTTTGCCATGATGGGAATATTCTTTTTCCCAATCAGGTCGTCGAGAAACTCACTGAAGCACACGTCTAACACCATAGACCCACATATGCCGCCTGGTTTTGTTAGTATTGACTTTCTTATTTGCAGGCGCACATACCAGAGCCCTCGGCAACCTCTTCTAGACGCAGAGGCGAGACAGTTTTGACGCAATACGAGATAAGATCCTGCGAGTTTCAGCGACGGGAACGGTATAAAGAAAAATCACCACTTGTCGATAATGCTCACCACAGTACCGCCACCAGCATCACACACCACAACGACGTCTCCATTCTAGTACCACTGTTAGTGGGAATACCTCAACCCTCGCATTCAAACTTACCCGGATAGAATTCGGCTGAATAGCCTTGAGACAGTATAAGGCCGCAGCCTCCGGCTCGGACACCAGGGTGATTTCATTAGCGGCAATACCGGCAGTTACCGCTGCCGTCATCGTCGCATGCTTGGCCTTGTCTGACCAGACCTACTTCTTGGTCAGTGGACGATCCAACACTTTGGGTGTCCCTTGCCGAGCCTGTTGTAGCCCCAGAGAAGAAATAACTCACGGCTGGTACAGTCAGTACATAGCTGCGATCCATCTGGTTGACTATCTGGCCAAAGCGACGATGAAGGATTTTGCTACTATGTTCGACCAACTGCTTCAAGTAGCTGCCGGTCACCTCGATTGCCGTCTTACGATTCTTTGTGAGCAGGTCCATGGTGCTCAGAGCAGAGACGACTCTTGGGTCCTGGGATTCATCAAGCAGTATCTTGAGTCCCCGGATATTCTCCCCGAAGATGGTGGTTTGGTATCCCCAAAGAAATTTGCCATCACTGTAGGATACCCTGCTGGGGACTTTGGGGCTGGTCCCTGACGAGTGGGTAAGAGATGCGAAAGTGGATTGGAAGAGACTAGAAAAGCGCAAGAGGAAAGGAAAGACACTCACTATTCCCTTGACCGGGCCACGAAGTGATTACTTCCGGCTTGTCGGGGCAGTGACCGAGAGCCCAGGCAACACTGATCTACTATTAGTAGTGCGTGTTGATAGCGGTTCAACGAGACTCGCCCTGAGTATGTAGTCCCGAAGTCGAGACCTATGACGATGCGTGTATGGCCCATTATGAGGGTTGACAGTGAAAGCTTGGAGACGAGCAGGAGGGCGAAAGCAGAAGGGGTTTTAGAAGGAGAAGGGGCGAGAAGAAAAGGTGGACGGTGGGGATAAGGGGACAAGCTTTGCCGGTGGTAATGTAATGCTACACTCATCCCTGCGTCTATCATGTCAATCAGAATGACGTCGGAGCGCAAAAACCTCGAACTTCTCCTTTTTCCCGCAACGCTAACGGGGGACCAACCTTCTCCCGTCTCAGAAGCTTCATCTCGTTTCTGCAAGTTTTTAACGAGATAGTGGTCGTGCATAATCATCCCAACATGAGCCGTATGAAAAGTTTTCTTGGTCGACTGGACGAAGGGAGACTTCGACTGGGAGAGGGAAAGCCTCGATTTGGACACAGAAGACCTCGACTGGGAGACGGAGGTCCTCAACTAAGAGAGGGGCCTGTGTACGACCTCCTGGAGGTAAGTTGATCCCAACCAGATAGAATCAATATTCATCACGTAGGCCATTGGCACACAGAGATATCCAGAGCTGCACGATAGCTTAGAAATGATCGCGTTGGCACCGCTGCGGGCCGATGAACAGGCGCGACGCCATCGTCAACAGATGGAGGAAATGCAGCAAGAATCGTCAAAGGAGATAGCCGAGAAGAAAGAGCAGATCAACGAACTCATGCAAAGGATACAGCTTCTTAGCTTCCACCCAGATTCTCTAACTGACGAAGAGGCGATTCGAACAATGAAACACCTACGACACCGTCTAGACGCATGTGTGAACACTCTTGACATGGAGCGCCTAGAAAAGGTGAGCGGGCATATTGCGGGGAACAACGCCACTTTTATCCCTCAAGGGCTCCACGAGGTCCGCGCATTTATCACCTCGGTCGTCAGTGTGGCGGTGTATGAGCATATTTTTGATTTCCTGATATTCCCGATCCCGGAGGATGGCCCGTTCAGCGACATCATCAAGACAGTACACGACCACTGTATGACCCCCCCCCAATCTCCGGAAAAGTATAGATGCTAACCCTTCAGGTCCATCACACGTTGCCCATCATTGGCGCGCGGCTACAAGCATCGGTGCACAGTCACAAAAGAGCGAGCGTTTGATTGTCGAAGATGTTATTGCTCAAGTGGCGTCAGACTTGGGTGGGGCCTTTCAGAGTATTGGGAAACTCACGCGCTTTGCTGAGGGCTGCATGGTGTTCAAGCAACGTTTGGATCGCCAGGAATGCGCATATCGCTTCTTTCGCAGTCGTTCTGGGGACCAATATGTTGCAGACAGGATGGAGCAGGTTGGGACTAGCCATGCTCCTGGGAAGCAGATTCAATGCTCTCTGTGGCCCGGGCTGTTTAAGGTATCCCGGGAAGGATGTCGCGTTGTGGTTCCAGAATCTGTTCTCTCGAGGGCCGAGTCTCATGAAACGCCATTGGACGGGGTATGGACTTCTTAAGCCTCGCAGGACCCGGTGAAGAGTCCCCCGGGAGCTGCAATCTTGCTGGAGGGAGGTGCTTCATTTGAGTGACTGTTCCACGGCCTGCATCAAGCTTGACCGTTTTGCTGCTCATAAAACTCTTTGCTGGACATGATATCAATGGGAAACGTTGCCATCATGGCTATATCTTCGGTACGTCGTCCGTTAGATGTAGAAGGAGATGATTTCCCGGCCCATCACATGCCGTAGATGGCAGTCCGCCTCACCGCCTTCACCGCCTTTTGGCTTTCGCTTCTTCTCGCATTCATGTCGTTTTCCAACGTGCATGAGCACGACAGCTTCTCGTCCACTCCAGAGCCTGCAGCCAGAGGTCTGAGCATGCAGGGGGCCAATGACGGACCCTCCAGGGTTCCCCCCGACCACTGCGACGCCTTCCTGCCCTTCCATGATCCGATTCCATCAGGCAGCGGGTGGGGAGGGGATTATTAATTCGCGACAAGGAGTCGGACTAGCATCGGGCGCCGCTTCTTATCATCCCCGGCCATCGCAGCAGCAATGTCTTCTCTGCTGTCCCTATCCACGTCTACACCATGAACTTCGCCCAGGCCAAGGAAGGCGCCTGGGGCCAGAAATGGCGCTCCTCGCCCATTTTCATCGTCAGCGCCATGGCGATGGCCCTTTTCACTGGTAGTTCGCCCCCCATGCGCGTTGGCTCTCTCTGACAGTCTCCGTCCCTTATCTAGACACGTTCCTCTACGCATTCCTCGTGCCGATCCTCCCCTATGTCCTTGAAAACCGCCTCGGGCTCGACGTCTCGCTCACCCAGCGCTTCAGTTTTGCGCTTCTATCAGAAAGTGCCGTGACGGCGCTGATCACCAGCCCGATCATCGGTCATTTCGCCGATCGAGTACCGAACAAGAGAGGGTTGTTGCTGGGTTCGTTGGCGGCTGCCTTGCTTGGCTCTATAATTTTAGCCTTGGCGACGTCGAGTATGTGCAGTCTGGCTACAATGGGCGCTTCAATTGTCAGTTACTGACAATCTGGCAGCGTTCACGCTCTTCGCGGGCCGTCTCGTCCAGGCGATCGCCAGCTCGGTTATCTGGGTGGCTGGATACGGTGCGATCGCGGAAAATGTGCATCCCGACCACCTTGCGACCACGTATGGCGTCATAAGCCTTGTCGTGGCCGCCGGTACTTCCGGGGGACCTATGGTCGCGGGTATACTCTTTGAATTGGGCGGGTACTGGGCAGCGTGGTCGAGTGTTTTTACCATCCTGGTCGCGGACATCATCGTCCGATTGCTCATGCTGGAGAGGCCTAAAACCAAGGAAAGTGCTGAGTATGAGAGTGACGATGCATCGGATCCCGAAAATGCGCCACTGTTGAGCGAGACTGGCAGTGTTCTCCAACCAGACCTGACTGGCTGGAAATTCTACATTTATCTGCTGGGCCATCGTCGGTTCCAGTGCGGAGTAATATCTTACTTCTCCTTCGCGGTCCTGATATCCAGCTTCGACACAACCCTCCCCCTTCATGTCCGCGATGTGTTCAACTGGGGTAGTCTACCTGCGGGGATGATGTTCTTCGCCCTGCAAGGCCCGGGGATAATCCTCAGCCCCCTGTGTGGCTGGTTGAAGGATCGGGTCGGTACTCGGTGGCCCACCACGGTCGGCTTTTTGCTGCTGGCGCCTGTAATGTGGATTATTGGCATGCCGGGCGACGAGCGGTTTCCCTGGATCAACGAGGGCAATCGGGGAATCGTTATCTACGCCGTTGCTGTGACAGTGGTGGGATCCGTTTCCTGTCTTCTGAACGGTGCGGGTACTATAGAAGCCACGAGTATGTTACCATTGTCACTTGAAACGCCCGAGCTAACGTATTGCTGCAGTCACCATCGATGAGATCGAGGCAAAATACCCCGGGCTGTCCGTTGGGTATTCCCGGGCCCTTTCAATGGTCAGTATGAGCTGGACATCTGGAGCGTTCATCGGGCCCGTCCTGTCGGGGTTCCTCGCCGAGCACGTCGGATATTACGAGATGAGTTGCGTTATAGGTTCGTCGCCACGAGAAACCATCGGGATGATGCTAACGTGACCAGCGGTGATCTGTGCCCTCTCTGGAATCAACGCATTTTTCAACCTCACCTCGAAGAAGCGTACGCAGTCCGCTTGATTCCGGCGTCGCGTCCCGTCAATCCCATGATCCATCTATCCCCTCACACCGGACACAATCCCCGACCCAGCCACCCACACCGTGCGTGACATATCTCAAAAGTTAAACATCCTTCCGTAGACCATCTTTGATCCATCATTTCATTTCATTTCATTTGAGCGAAGCATGTGACGATCAGATCGCATCAGCCATGGGTCGGTCGCAGTTAGATAGACTACTACCACTATCACTATCAAAAATATACAGGTCAGGAACCTTCGTCCTCGATACGAGACCCTCACCCTCACCATCACCCGAGACCCAGACCCAAACCCAGACCCAGACCCAGACCCATCATCCGTGCGCCAGCGCATGACATGCCCGGTCCGAGTCGTGTAGACTTTCCGTGCAGACTGCAAACTGCAGAAAGACCCCTTTCCCCTCACCGGAAAAAAAGGTGCATGGGATCGGAATCAGAGATAGCGTAGTTGACATATCAACTGTCAAACAGATGGTTGTCTAGACCATCGGGCTAGCCTGTAGATAGCCCCTCATGGTGAGGGAAGCTAGAGCAGCCGACCGGGTACCCAAAAATGGTCGGCTGCATGGGATGGATGGTAGGTACTTTATCTGTGTCGGAGTTGGTGACGTGCAAACTTTGTTGATTTTGTCACATCAAATTGGATGGAGAATGTGCTATGTCTGATATTTGGGTTTTGTTGGAGTGTTGTACGGAGTGCCGTTTGTTTCTTGGTGGACGTGGAGTGTGGCTGGCGAAGAATAGCAGGTATGCTAAACCCCATACTTAGGATCTTGTTCAACAAAATATATCACGAACGTCAACTACTTTACCCTAAAAACATAAACTTACATCTACTAGTAAGTACTACATGCTACCTCCACTTACCTACAGTTCATGCAGCACTACGGACTATCCCCGTCTATAAACAGAACCAAAATGGAACAGGGTTCGATAAAAAAGGAACTGTTGATCAGGGGGCATGCCCGGTGTCTTAATATTGGCTGGTACTATGCCCAAGATCTACACGTCCGGCCAGGGTTTATCGAACGCAGCGACTGTTCTGCCGATCAGCGATAGAGTTTGAGCCGGGTGGAGAGAAGTCCGCCGGTTGAGGCTTTGAGAAGCGACGGTTACGTATGACAGGAGCCCTCCCGGGCCGGCGGTTTGGTTTTTCGCCGATCGTTGGCCTCTGAGTCTCGAGTCAGAGGTATTGATTGAGATCCGTCGGATTCCCATCCCTGAGATACATGCATGCATAGTTAACTACTACATCAAGCAGATTAATAAACCAGACGGATGTGATTTCCGGACTCCGGGTAGCAGGCGGTGCTCGGACTTCCCAGGACACACAAATACCTGTTTTTGCAGGCTTGGCTACGGTAGCTGCCTGATTGCTATAATTATTTTTTTTTGATTGATTGCTTGTGAAGGTGAAGTGCCTGCGGATAAGGGGGAGCGGAGGTGAGGGGAGGTGAGAGGGGGCGATGGAACACCGCAAAGCGGGAGGGGTCGGCCTTTTCGGCAATTCCTCCGCCGGCTTGCGCGACCTGGATATAGACATTGGACGTGGCTGTTCTTTCTCGCGCGATCATTCGAGGGTCGTTACTCCGCATAAGGCTGAGGAGTCGCGATGACGGAGGACATTCCGAGTTGGAACACTAAGAAGGGGCCCCTAGGACGCCTCCGTACTCCGTACTATTGATAGCCGAAGAAATTGGAAACGCTGGCCCATAAACCGTTACGTGAAATTGTGGCTATGATGCATCGAACTCCTCCCAGGACTGATCGTCAGGAACACGGCTGATATCGGGCATGCGTCTGCCATCTGGACTGATCAGCCTCGGGGTTAAACAGGGATGGCCTACCGTGAGTGGCTGGGGAGAATTGCGCTAGAAAAATTCGAAATCTGACAGATCAGGCTCAACCGTTTTTTGAGTCGGGACAGAAACTTCTGACAGGTGCAGTCGGACTCTCACGCGGACGCTCGCTTGCCCCTTGGCTGGTGGTCGTCTATACGAGATCGGTTGTGGTCAAACCTCTCGCTCCTGGCCAAATGACTCCAGACTTAGTACTCCGTAGTCAACCCGAAACCATGGGGGCCATCTACGTCACGGACAGCTCACGGACAGCACGGAGTGGGGATCTCGAGTATTTGGTTGGACGGAGAAGTACCGTGGATGGAGACCGGAGCCGGAGCAAGGACTCCTATAGTTCTCCGTGTTATTATTCTCCATCCTATCGAAGATTCTACCTAAGTCAACAGAAGGGGGTGGCCGGAGGGCGGCTCGAAGCGGAGTCCAGCCTGTTCCTGGTCATCTCGGGGGGAACGGAGACGCGAGTGATGGCACTTGGACCAGCACCGGATCCTAAATTAGTTCTCCCACCTCCAATGGAGGAGGATTGGTGGAGGATTCGGATTCAGCACCGTACGGCAAATGCACTGGGGACAGGCTCACAACAGGGTGTTGAGCAGACTTTGAAGTGGATATTGGCAATTCTGCATAGTAGTCTGCAGCTGGACGTGTGAAATTGGGGTAGGGTCATTGGGTGGGAGGGACCAGGATCAATCCTGGTACAAGCTTGATTGGCGATCGAGATTGACTTGTGCAGCAGTAGTGAGTAGAGAAAGACTCTCGAGAGGAAGGAAAACCTTCCGGCCGGGCAGGTGACTGCAGGTGACCCCTGGCGTCTTGGCTTCCCTCCACCATCACAATTCCTCATCAGGAAACCTTCCCACTCGCATCCATCGCATCACATCGCATCGCATCGGTCTTCGCTCTCCACTCTTGCTGGAGAATGCGATCAATCTATTCCAGCCAATCTTAATCTTAGCAGCCACACAGACCAGTCTCCCTCCCTCCCTCGACCTCAACCTCGGCAACAATGGCTCCTCCCTCTGCTCTCGCTGTTCCTTCGGAGGACTTAGCCCTCGCTAACTCCCCCAGGAGTACCGAGCCGGACCGTAACGGTTGCGATGGAATGGTCCAGCACCCACCCGCGGAACTAAGAGCGCTCAGTTATTGACAGCTTCCTCCCGCCAGCCTATGACATCCCGAACAGCGGTGGTCTCGGAACGGAGGTGGAGCGCGGACGCTGCTGGCGCTGTTCGTGCGGCCGTATTGTGCCTCCCTGGCCCATCGGTCTTTGCCTCGCCAGTCGCCGCCAAAGCCGTCCTAGTGCCCAGAGTGGAGGCCTGCAGACAAATATTTTGCGTTCCCGAAATTCTTTTTTGGGCCTTGTGCCAACTTTTTTGTCGTGTCGAATCTCGATGCCATGGCAGACCTCCGAACAGTCTCCATTTCCGGCCGAACATGTCTCCTTCCGGCCTCCCCAGACTAGGCCCGCGACGCTGGCATGATTGGTGTGTATATAAAAACATCAATTCCCCGCCCGCCCCAGGGATTCTGTTTGGTAAGATCTTTCGTTAGCGAACCCCCTCTGGTTTGGGCATCTACGCACACGACACCCACTCCCTTTATGGCAGCTTACCTTATAACCGGCCTCCTTCCATCGCTTATGAATAAAGCCCTCCGTCGCTCTCGCATCGGCTGAACTACACCCTCGAAGCCATACCATGATGGACGCTGGATACGAGGCGACTCCACCCCCCTCCGCTGGGAAGGACTGGAGCAGCTTCTGGCAGTACGTCGACCGGCCCAACCGGATCGAGCAAGAATCCGTTCCCCGCGACATTCTGGTCGTCGGCGCCGGCATTGCGGGCATTGCCGTCGCTCTGGCTCTCTCGAAAGAATTAACCCCCTTCATCCCCGATCTTCGGATTACTGTCTATGAACGACACGATATTTTGTCCACCTCTGGTGGTGCCATAAACCTCACCCCCGTCGCCCAGCGGCATCTCGACCGCCTGGGTGTTCTCGACGAGCTGGACCGGCTCGGACCCGAATCCGGCACCGACGTTGATGCTATTGAACTCTACTCCGCCCGCTCGGGCCGCACCCTCGGTGCCATCAATTTCACCGACCAGAACGGTCAAGGGTTCGGCGGGTACAAGGGACGCCGAGTGATGCGCATCATTCTTTCTCTGGCCATGCTGAAGGTCATCGAACGGACCAAAAATGTGAACGTGGTTTTCGGTAAGAAGCTGATACGTGGCAAGGAGACCAAGGACAAGGCCGTCCTGTACTTCCAGGATGGAACCACCGCCACGGGCGACTTGGTCCTGGGCTGCGACGGTGTTCACTCCAACACCCGAACCCACTGGGTTTCCCCCGAAAGCCCGTCGGAATACACAGGCATTTCGTTTGTCCAGACCATCATCGACAGCAAGCACGTGAAAGCCCCCGTCCACTTCCGCTCCACATCCATGAACATCTCCCGCCATGGCTCCTTGCTGGCCAGTTACTGCGACCGGGACCACAGCCAAATTTTCTTGGCCGCGATCGTTCAGTTCCGGGAGGATATGCTTGGCCATTACAAGATCGAGCCGGGCCAGGACTGGCGGCGCACGGCCGCTATTAAAGATGCCCTGTGTCGAGAGATGGGAGACCGATTTGGCCGCTCAGGTCTGGCATCGATCCGAGACATGATCAGTGCTGCGGACGATTGGATGCTCTATCCGGTGTGGCAAGTACGGCCGGGTGGAAGATGGTTCCGCAACCGGGTGCTGCTCCTGGGCGACGCTGCCCATGCGGTAAGTTCAGCCCTGTCTCTTCCAGGATCATACACTAATGTGAACAGATGCCGCCTCGCGATGAGTCTGCCGCGTACGCCCTCGATGACGCCATTCTCTTCTCCCGGATTCTCGCTAAGCACCGATATGATCCTCTCACGGTCAGCTTCAAGGCCTACGAAGACCTGCGCCGGGGGACGGTCAACGCGGCGTTCCAGGTGTCGCGCCGGATGTGGGAGAAGAACCGCGACATGGGCTTCCTGGAGGGTCGCCTGAAGGAGTGGACGATGCCGATGCAGGTCCGCAACGCAAAAGAGTCGCGGGAGGCGGCGTGGGAGTTTGATGCGACGAAGATCCAGATCCCGGGGCCGGATGAGGCGTCGTCATCGCTGTATTCGTCCGAAAGGGACTTTTTCTAGAGGGTTTGCATGGCCGGTGTTCAGGTTGGTTGGCTGGGTAATTGGTTACGAATTACGATCTATACATACAATTATACAACAGGACAGCCTGCGGGCTGTTATTTCGGCTTAGTGTTCAATAATATCTCCTGTCTCGACGTACGTGCCCCATACTACTACCGAGCATTGTTCACCTGCAAGGATTCGGGGATCCTCCGGATGGATACCCTGCGGTGAGTATCTACTCCGTACAATGGATCGATTAATTGGTTAATCTGGGATTAATCTGCCTAGCTTAATCATCCTCCCCTGTGGCGGCGAGAATCGATAGTGCAGTCACTAGACCTCTGTCTCAGCAGGACTAGCTCGGCAGAGTTTTCGCTGCTCTCAACAGTCAACGCTCAACAGCGAGTGTTTGCTTCTTGTTTGCCTCACATCAGGCATCAGCACAACACGCACAAATCTATTACCATAGCAATAATAAACGAACAGCCGACAATAATGATTGCAATGACAGTATTACCGTCCCGCCCCAATCTAATTACCCGGGGTTTGCTCCACTCAATCAATATAAATTATAAACGAGCGGCAACGTCATCCCAAATCCCTCCCCTTCGCGGAATCAACCATTGACTAGTTTCGGTTAGGACGGTTAAAATTTTTCATCCATGGTCTGATCCCTGCATGAACTAAGGCCATCATACCACAATGCAATCAACTGAATGGGATTGTTGAATACTAGTACCCCGGACGAAAATCGGATGACGCGATTCACCCTCCCGAGTCCCGATAGTCTCACATGGTATTCTCTATAGTGTCGTACAAAGTACATTCGGCCCCCGGGTTCCGCTCGCCCCGTCGATCGAGATACGGATGACAAACTAGAGAGGAGATGCTTGGAGCTGTCTATACCCGCCCTGGTTGAACTCGGAACATCATTATTCTCTTTGTCTCGAACTCGATCGATCGCGCTGGCACGTGGTGTATCTAACTCCGTATGCGCGGTAGTATTGACTTGCTGGGGGAAGTTTATGTTCGTTAGGAATCGCCCTACGGGGTTTGGCCGTGGGCTCACTGAGGCTGTAAGCAGTCCAGCCCGTAAGCAGCGGGCGAATCTTTGGCCGGGCGGTCGGTCGGTCGGTCGGTCGGCAGTGGGATTGAGTTTGGTCGTTGCAGGGGAGGTGTTCCTGATGGATTGAGGCTTGAGTTAGGCTTGAGATGGGCTTGAGGGTGGGTTTTTGAGGCTTTTAACTAGAGTCGGGATTTGCGTTGGCTGTTGGTTTTGGCGGAGGAGTTCCGTGAGGGAGCTACTACGCCGTACTACTGAGTAGGTAGTAGGTCCTTGGTTTGAGTTATATATAGTAACCAGAGATCATGAGAGGTCATTAGTATACTATCTTGCCATAGAATTAGAAGATCCAACGATACTCACTGTGCATGGCCTTTGGTTAAAGAATATATAACCCATCGAGCCACACCACCATCCCCAACCAGCCACCTTACCCCAGTCTCCAGCTTCTCAGCTCCCCAACCCGACCCAACCCCGGCCCAATCACAGTAGTCCACGAAGTCCCGACCATCTAATCATACTGCCAAGCCGCAATCCCCCCGGTATACGCCACAGCAGCAGTATCAAACCCCAAACAATCCGCCACATTGCCCAGCGGCACTGTCGCATTCGGCATATTTGCAAACACCTGGTAAGGGCCGGCACCATCCTCCACCGGACAAGCCACGAACCCGCTCACCCCGGCCCCGGAATACGTCCACGATCCGATTGGGTCTCCGGCCGTGTAGCAGAACGTGGCCGTGGAGGAGCCGGGGATAATGTAGTCCGAGTGGGCTTCCACGAACATTAGCGCGCCGGTGGGGGCGATGTAGATTTCCTGGACGAGGGCGGAGTCCTGCGTTGATGAGTGGTGTTAGTGAGGGGTATATGGGGGGGATTGGATGAGGGGGAGGGAAAGATGGGTATCTCACGAGGTAATTCCCCCCGAGATGACGGTCTGGTTCCCCGGGGGACAGGCATCGTAGGTGGCGACCTCCTCCGGGCAGGCGGAGGAGGTGGTACCGCCGAGGTAGAAGTACGTGTCGGCGGCTGTGAGAGGGAGGTATTGGATTGGGGAGGCGGAGCGGAGAGAGAGGACGGTGAAGGCGCCTTCGGAGCAGGCGAGGGCGAGGGGAGCGAGGAGGGGGAGGGCCGTGAACTTCATTGCTGCGACTGACTGATAATGTAATTGCTGTTTCGAATGATTTTAGTGGTTAGTACCGAGGGCTGAGGACTGAGGATTAAAGATGAGGGTGAGTTGTCTTATTTATGTTCATGTTCCTGGTTGTATGTGCAGAATGTGAGGATGGCATCGGTTGTCATTGAGGAGGATGCATGCAGCATCTCGTGTTGATGGTATGAAGCAAGCCGTTGAGATGGTCATTTGATCAAGCGAGAGCTATTATGAGTGAGACCTGCAGCAGATGATGCCTTAAAGCTCACTTTGTCTCAGTTGTGCTGACGGGCGTAGAGTGGCAGTCCGAGCGTCGAATGAGGTCGAGGATGCCTGAGGAGGCGACTGGCTCGCTACGTCATTTGTTCTGGAAGGCGGGAGGAAGCGGCGCGTACCTGAGAGGGAGCCACACTCTGTCTCTCGACTTACCGTGGGTGCCCGCCGAGGTGGGCTGATGCGGGGTGTGATTCCACCATACTTCGCTGTTTCTTCCAACTACAAACGCTTCCATGGAAAGCTTGAGTGATCCGGAGTACTATCAGCACATCCAGCGCACCTGAGTATTGTCAGTCAATATTCCACCTATTATCTAGTGGTGAGACCGACCACAATGCCCGGCATAATATATTACTATCTTTACGAGTCCTGCCGTTTCTACACCAGGTGACAGCCTTCGCTTCCTGCCAACCTCGAGGCTGAGCGTCGAATTCGGTATGAACTATTGGTTCTTTTGGACCCTCTCAGTCCTTTGGTCCCTTTCTTTCCCTCTAAAGCAGGTAAGGGGTTTGGTCCTATCCCCCACTCCCTTGCTCTTTTGACAGCCCTGAAGATAAAGCCGACGTTTTCATGGGTTGATTTCAAGACATACCGGCGCTATGACCCTCATTACCCCACAAACGTTCTTTCGATCATCCCCAGCGAGTCCGAGCTTCATCTTACGTTGTTCCTAAGGTATGAGGTCCGAAGAGAGGATGCAGCAAAGGAATGACACTATGATCGCATGGGAGGTATTCCTCTCCGAGGGGGAGGTGAGCAGGGAATGACTGCTAGCAGCCAGTCCAGCAGTCACTCGGCCTACAGCAGAATCTGAGTTCAACTTACTGCATCGGTTAGCTCTCCTGCCTATATGACGAAGATTGAATGAAGCCCTGGCTGCCTTACACTCTCCACGCGAATGTCTTGCATGAGGCTTGATTGAGGATAAGATCCGTGGCATACACGTTTCACATTTGTTTGCGGAATTAATATCTAAGTGAGTTTATAATTATCTAGGTACCGTATTGAGTATCTATATCATCCGTCGTTTCCATCTAATCGTTTCCCATCTGTCTCAGGCAACCCCCTTCCACCCGGCATAATAAACTCTGGCCACAAAAACAATTGCCGACCCCACCAACGAACTCACCCCCGCAAAGATCAGCGCCGCATTATAATTCCCATACGTGTTGATCATTGCCCCCGTGATCGGCGTCCCCGTCAAACTCGCCAGACTGAGCACTCCCAGCGCCATTCCCATGTACGATCCGATAACATTAGGCCGGGGAGCAGTCAAAGCGATAGTCCCCGTGAACATCCCGATGACATTGCCCGAAAAGAAACCGAACAGGATACTGAAGACAACCATCCCGGCAAGCGACTCGATAGCCATCCAGCAGAGGATCAAGATGCCACAGATCGCGGACGAAGCGACAAGGGTGTTGAACCTGCCGATGCGGTTGGCGAGTGCACCACTGAGGAGTCGTCCGACAAAAGATCCGGCGTTGGAAATAGAGATCAGGTAGTTGGACAGGTTGACGTCGATCCCGATAGACTGCGCATAGCTAGGGATGTAGAAAAAGGGAACGAAAAGCGCCCAGATAATGAAGAAGAGCCCCGCTACCTGGAACGAGTACGCAGGATGCCGCCACGCGTCTCCGATGAAGAGCGTGCCGGATTTCCGCTTCGGAGCTGGCGATGAAACTGACAGACAGGCAATGACGCTGAGAGCCAGCATGAGAAAACCAACAATCCTCACCGACCACCCAAACCCGAGATTCGACTCGTTCAGCATACGGTTCAGCGCGATCGGAAAGATAACACCCGCGAGCGATGAGCCCGAAGAAGCAATACCCATCGCCAGGGGGCGCCTCTTAAAGAAATACTGGTTCACAGCCGCGAGCGTCGGCGTGTAGGTGAGCCCATTCACAAAGCCACCAAAGATGCCCTGAGCAAGGATGAACTGCCAATATTCCGTGCAAAGACTGTTAAACATGACTGAGAGAATAAACAGGAGCGAGAACGGGATCAAGATGACTCTAGGGCCATAGCGATCCATCAACGGACCCGAGATCAACCCGGCGCTGAACATGAAAAAGGCTTGAATTGAGCCGATCCAGGCGATGTTGGAGTCGCTCTCGTTTTTCAAGAACGTATTGCTGTAGTAGGCCTCGTAGATTCTGCAATTCTTAATTAGCAAGACCATTCCCCATCGAGAGAAAGAGAAGCAACCATACCCAAACGCATTGATATACCCAAACGTATTAAACATGACACACCAACACGACAACACGGCCATCCACGCCTTGAACCCACCCTCGGGGAAATGCGGCGGCTTCGGCGCCGGCGCATTCTCCTGTGGGAGGGTAGCGACGTTCGTATCCTTCTCGAGATCGTCCGACATGGTATGGCAATTGCTTCTGCTCTCGTAGAGCCATAAAATGAATATATTTTAAGATGCAGACAACAGAGCGATACGGTCGCAGCAATCGTATATGTATGCCCGCTCGGCCGCCTCGGGGTTTTCCTAATCGGGGTGATTCACCATCTCCGCGGTCGGGGCCGAGAAGGCCCGAGACCCCAGCCAGCCCGAGCTTATTTGCTGACATCGTCTGCTTTGGGGTTAGCGCGATCTGATAAGAGAAGGAGAAGGGTGTGGGTGATGGTGATGCGTCCGGGTTTTGGGTGGTGGTACTGCAGGTGTTGTGTTGCACTAGCGGGAGATTAATTGTATGGCTTGGGTAGGGTAGGATGTTTGTTGTTTGTGGATGGGGTATATGTAGCTGGAGGGGAATTGGACACTGTGTTCGAAATACCATGTTTAGAGTGGATCGGATGGCATCGCGATAGATGTTGCTGGCATCTGGCGTCTGTGTTAGATTATAGTGACGTATTTAAAGACTAGAATATATACCAGCTCGCATGGCTCAGTTGGTAGAGCGCATGACTAGTAATCATGAGGTCCTCGGTTCGAATCCGAGTGTGAGCAATTCTTTCCTTTTTTGCTACCTTGATCCCGTGTTCTAACTAGCCAGTTAGTTTTTTTCCTGGATATAGAGAGTAAGATGAGTAGTAAAGGAACAATGGACTAGTGAAGTGAGTATAGTATATGTAAGTTTGATTAATATTCTGGATAAGGAAGAATGAAACGGATTGTGTTTGGTCCCCCCCCCCCCTCCCTCCCCCTTTTCATGTCACAAATCTTATAAGTATATTATTTTATCTTAATAATATATAAATATCTTATTATATTTATGTACCGCGACAAGCCGCGTATTTAGCAGATTCCCGACAACAGTGTTACTACTAGGCACTGTTGAACTGTCACCAGCCTTTTCTAGTTGAATTTGACTACGCTATCGAGGCGAGGTACCTCGTAGGTAAGTAAAGTAGGCAAGACGCCGAACCGTAATGGAGTATTGCCCTGTACGCACAGTCGCTTAGGCCCCAGCACGTGGCCCTGCCGGGTTTGGAAGGACAAAACGCGCGAGGTCGATCGACCGACCTTCCCTCACTTTCTCTCTGTGACAGCAACGTCTCCATCCCATTTTATCGCAGCGTGGTCCCTCGAAAGGGAAAGCTCTTGGGGACGAAGGCACCGCGTCCTCGTTGATCCGAGTGACAACGGAGAGGAGAAGTCCCCTCTCCACGACGATTGGTGTCGCAGATGCTGGGTGCGTCTGGAAAAAAATAAGATCCTGCCATTGGCGAGGAAGTGGCATCTTAGTGATGCCAGGGCTGGACAGCACTCCACTACCATGAAGAGTGACATCTCGATGAGACCAGGACTGAGGAGCAATCTTCATTCCACCAACAGAGCTTGCTACTGGCAAGGAATAGCCAATATCAAGGTCCAGTAAAAGCCTTTTAGCGGCTCATGGTCATCGCATTTTGACGACGGCAAGATCTCCACGTCAATTGCCAAGAGTACGGCAAAAAAGGCCGACCCGGAGGAGAGAGTCAGGTTCCTTAAGCTATGGGTGTACTAGATTATGCTGGCAAGCAGCCAACTCTAGAAGTGGACAGTCCAAGAAAGCCGATGAAGACCCAAAAGGGCCGTCGTACCATGAGCCGAATTCTACCTCCGATAATAGTGGCCTGGAGAATGAATGTGTGAGATGCATCTCGAGCTTTCCAGTAAGTGTGGTAGTTTGCCTTTGGTCCCAAAGTAGTGTCTGGACCCAATGAGGCCATAACGGCAGAGATTCCTATAACACTATCATTTTACTTTAGCAGGACGTCTTGGAGAATATGTTGGCATTTGAATAGAAACCCAGTTAGATATAGATCTTATTTCTGGATATCTGCGATTAAGAAATGACCTGAGTAGTTGACATAGTATTAAGGCTGAATGCGTGCAGAATTAGATCACAGGACGAAAATAAAAGACGTGACCTCATTTTGTGGAGTTCGACGCACCTGAATCAGGATATGGATGAAGCCATACAGGCTTTCCAGATAGAGACTGGAGAGCTCAGCGGGGGCAGGTACTCGAATCATCCACCCACGACGAACCAGTCAGTCTGTCTTCATGATTGACTAGTTCAGATCTTCAAGGATGATAATAGCAATCCGCGAAGATGTCCGTCCATCGAATACATGCTCACACAGGAGTGCAACACTCACGAAGATTCTCTCCCCGACTGTGTACCCTGTGGTGTCATGCCAATCTTCAAAACCGGGCTTTTCGTAAAATTGGCGAAATCATCGAACGCCATCATTGCCTGTCTACTTCGTTCCACCTCTTCACCTCTCTCGAAGACATCTGTATCATACACATCCACCGCATGCTGAAGTTCCTTCTTTCCATCCCGTACCTCTACCATCGCCTTTACATATTCAAACGCGTCTCGAATGGCCGTATTCCCCCCCTGACCTCGATGAAAGGTCATCGTGTGCGCCGCATCACCGGCAAGAGTCACCCGACCACCCCGGTTATCCCATTTCTCACGCGGTTGCCAGGTTTTCAGCTGGTCTGCGCCGATCATTGTATCATCAGGTAACCATCTCACCGCACTGGCAAAGGGATCCGCCCATCCATCCATGCGACGACGCAACCTCTCCAGTCGATTTGGGGAGTTTTCAATATCCTCTTGGTCTCCTATCCGCCAGGAGGCCAGAATGTAGAACACCCAGGTTTCGGGACGGGCGTGATCGGGTTTATCGAGGAGGAAAAAGCCCATGTACATATTCTTTGGATGCGCCCCGACGTCCACGAACGGGTTGCTGATCGACTCCAAGTATCGTGCTTGTTCTGCCGTGTAGGTGGTGGGGATGTTCATGAAAGCGTATGGTAAGACCTCTGGCGTCCCTTTTTCATCCCCTAAAAGCCAATTTCGGACTCTGGATGACGCCCCATCAGCCCCGACAATGACCGTGCCAGTCTCAGAAGTCCCATCAGAAAAGTGAGCGATCACACCCGACTCGAGTACCTCGATATCGACGAGCTTTTTGCCGTAGTGGATATCGAGCCCTTCTCCCCAATTGCGCTTGGTCTTTTGGATATTAAGACGACGCATACCGGGACTTCTGGGTGTCGCAATGGGCTCTCCTGTTGCGCCGTTTCGGATGAGCGCATAGTCAATTCCCACAGCGTCGATATCCAAGCTCTCATCTGGTTGGCATGATGCAAGCTCAGCGCGCAGTCTAGGGGGCAGGATTTCGTCTAAAAGCGTATGCGCCCAGTTTATCGTGACGCCCCAGTTACGATTGCGGGGTCCGGTTTCACGGTCCACGACAATATAAGAGATTCCATGCTGTGACTGTGAGCTGGGGTCCGTCTATGCCTATTGCGACGTACGGACCTTTTGTAGCCCATGGGCTATTATCAAGCCAGCAATGCCTATTTCTGGTCAGCAACCTTTTCCCGCAGCGCGTTCGGGTGGTTTGTTCTACCTCCGCCGACAATGATAACATGAAATTCGTGTACCGGATCCAAGGGATTTTGCTGCATTTCGATATTTTTCATAATGTTAGAAGGAACGATAAAGAAAGACGAAATATATTGCTAAGCTGGTAAAGTGGAGACCCAAGATCAGCAGCGCAGCCGATATTAATGGGATAATCAGCACACATCAATTCCGGACAAACTCGGCGTTGAACCCTAGGTAGCGAAGGGTGAAGCTCGAGATCGTGTAGATTTTGACCCTTGCGGCAAACAGACTGTAATTGATCGAAGGATGTTCCCGATAGGGTTATGCTATCCCACGTTGGAGCCTCTGATCAGGCGTCCCGTCGTGTTTTTTCTCCATTTTCGCGGGATTGATTAAAGACATGCTCCCAGTACCGAGAAGTCGAAGCGCCAACTCTATCCTTTGAGTGAGATCCTACCAACAGGAATTGACAGCATTAGCAAAAGCTTATCCTATTGTATACATGGTACTTGGCAGGTGGATGCTTACCTAGGTATAAGCTTTCAGCCGATCAAGGAGTCCAACAGGCCACCCGAATGCGGCACAGCGCCGGAGATGACAAGGGAAGGCGGGTTGAATTCTACATTCAACAGTGGAAGGGCATGCATGGCCTGGGTGAGCTGCAAAGGCAATGACAGCAGTGTGCCAGTGTCTAAGCTAAGGAAACCCACGGTTCACGGAAAGCAAAAGTGCCGCGATGAGCTTTCATGACTTCGAAAGGCGACAACTTCTGCCGCATGCGGTAAAAGGTTCTAAACCCACCATGCGAAGTCATTCCAGCCAGTCCCTTTGTCGCATCGCCTTCCACGCAGACTCGTGTTTTATCTGCAGCCCAATCATAAGCCCACTCATTCCTTCGCCAGAGCCCCGAGCCATTGACAATAAGTTTAACCCCTTGCATGCGATTCCCAATATTGCGCCAGAAGCGTCCGACCGATGGCCCGTGGGCTGTCCTCGCGTGGACTCGCATCGTCGTGGCGGAAGGCCTGAAAGGGCACTGCGTGGTGAGTCCATCCGGGGTCTGCTGACGGTGTTTCAGAGACAGAAGCAGATCGTGCCTCCGTATAGCTTGCTGAAAAAGACACTAGATCTCTCCAGTGTAGTTAGATTGCTTGGGCCCTGGAGTAGCCAGTCAACGGAAAGGGGACCCGCCTTTTTGCAGGCAATCATTCGCCTGCATTGATACTGCTGTAAAGAAGGGAGGGAATTAACTTTCGCATCGATCGGGGCCCAGAATCCGATGGATTTCCCCGGGTTTATCCCGCAATGAAAGGAGGGGTGTGGAGGTTGGGAATCGCAGCGTCCGGACTCGGGAAATTGGAATGCAATGAATGGTGAGTCCCAACCACGCTAGGCTGGAATCGGAATCAGCGTGGATCTGCCTTCTTCTCCGTGTTGCTGCCATTTAATAATCCTCGGCAATTCTAGATTATTTATGCGGATAGTTGATTATGGAGAATGAAGGTGAGGCGCAGAGAAATGATCAATCGTAGGTTGGTTTCAGCGAGCCATGGGCTATCGGCCTAAATATACAGGCACCAAAGAAGACTGCCAAGGAGATTATGCAGACATACAGCGGAAATGACAAACAAGCTTAATTTATGTAAAGTTTATATTATACAAGGGCCCGATTCGGGTTTAGCCTCAACAGACCTGAGCATAAGATAGATATACAGACGTGTCAAAGAAACCTCGCAGAGGGATATCTTCTGAATATGTCTTGCTAACGCTGCATCCGAAGGATGAATGACAGGTCACTTCTGACCCGAATCTAGTACACGGTGATGTTGAAAGCATCGAAGGTGTAGTTCCAGGTGTCGAGGGACTTCTGGTCGTGCACACAGTCGAAGGTGGTGTTGCTGGACCAGAGGGGACGAGTGGGCCACTGGCACAGCATCTGGGTCTCACCGTCGTAGGGACCGGAGGAAACGGTGGCGTTGAGGTGGGAAGGCTTCACACCGTTCTCAACCCAGTTGATCATGGTCTGCATGTTGTCCTCGGGGTATGGGCCGGGCTGGAGGGTGTTGGTACCGCAGTGGGCAGCGCCGGGGATGAGGTACAGCTGGTACCAGTCGGCCATCTCGGTCACCGAGTCAGAGTAGGAGGCGTCGGCGTACATGGCCTCGCGGACGGACTGCCAGTACTTGATGGAAGAGGCAGTGGGGACACTGTTATCGGATTCTCCGTGGTAGTGGATAATCTTCCCCCCAGCCTGGTGGAAATCAGTAATATCCGGGAGGGTGGTCTGCAGACTGTCCATGTAGCGGAACATGGCGGTGTCCATCCATCCCACCACGGTGTCGTAGGTGACGCCGTCCAGGTCGCTCAGGTTATCAAGATCCAGGAGCTGAACGAAGCGGGCGATGTATTCCCCGCCAATACTGGTGATGTCGAGGACCCAGCTGTCAGTGGTTGAGTCGTACTGAGTCTCAGCGTCAGCGAGCTCAGCCGCGATCTGCCAGGACAAATACGCCCGCTTGCCGGTGGAGTCGTGGAGACCATCGTAGATGCCCTGAGCAACAGCAACAGCCTCAGCAGAGACAGTGCCGTTCTGAGCAGGCTGGTAAGTTGTGCTGCTGCCCTCAGCACGCTTGCTGAAGCCAAATCCCTGGGATGTGAAGTTCTCGGAAGCGCAGTAGTAGGGCTCGCCGATAATGGACTTCAGGTCGAAGTGCAGTTGGCAGAGGTCGGTACGGGAGACAACACCATCAGTACGACCATCAAGAGGGTCACAGGCCTCAATAGTGGCGTTGACAATCTTGGCCAACTCGCAGGGGGGAGGGTAGTAGTCCAGGGTGTGTTCAACCGTAGCGGAGAAGATGTGGTTAACCTGCTGCTGAGCGTACCTATCAATACGAAGAAAGCATTAGCGTATTCCCGGCTGATTGATCGGGAGAACTCGCCTGAAGGCCGGGGCACCAACGATGACACCATCGTACTCGGCTCCGTAGCGCTGGACTTGAGACCACTAGAATCTCTCCATTAGCTTCACATCAATCCAAATTGATAGTAACGGTCTCTTACTCCTTCACGACCACCATCTGAGCACCCCTCGTAGTACGTGTAGAGCTTGGTATCGTCTCCTAATCCATAGAAGCCGCGGGTGAGTGGCTTGGCGATCGTGGTCATCTCACCCAGGGCCTGATAGGCGAACATATAGGTGGCATCCCAGTTGATAGTGCCGTTTCCATAGAGAACGACCTCGTCGTAGCTGTTACTGAAAGCGTCGTATCCAGCATCAGTGGCCGCGCCAACTGCACCATACTCGAGACCGCCGGTGGCATCGGAGGACAGGGAGAAACCACCCCCACCAGCAACATAGTAGCGGTTCTCGAACTCGGAAGGAGAGGGGAAGGCGTATTTGACGATGACCTGGTCGTTCTTGCCAGTGTGAGTGTAGGCAATGGTGACGTTGCAGTATTCGTAGGTGTCGCTGTCAGAGCGCATCATCATGCCACCAAAGCCGCCCCCCGGCGAAGAGGTGGCGGTGCTGGCGGTCACGGCAGAAGGAATGAGATCGATACCCAGGATGGTGCCGTTGGCCGGAAGGGCGGACTGGACATTGGCGACAGTGCAAACATCAGAGAGAGATGCAGCGTTGGCAGTGGCTGCTGCCAGAGCGGCCACGGCTGCGCGAGAGGACTGGCGCATGGTGAAAAGAACGGAAGAGAAGAAGGAGTGGACTGTAAAGAATGACTGAACCGGTTGATCGAAAGCCAAATAAAGGCCGGGTGTTGGGCCCTTTTATGCTTTCACCCAGGTGCTGGTCGAGATATACCCCTTGACCAAGTGTCAGGGTTTCTTGAGGTCCACCTGGTTTGACAGTCTACTGCGGAAGTTAGTACTGAATCGGAGGCCAACCCTTGTCACTGGAACGCGTACTCCGAGACCACCAGCTCGGAAAGAGATCTGTCGATCACCGTGGTGGTGCCTGGTGTTTCTATCTAAGCTTTGTTTGAAGTCACAAGGAACCGTACACTCATACCACGCAGTTCCGTGATTTGCGTAAGCAGACTGACACCACCTTGCGTTCCTGGCATCTTGGTATCCTTTCTGCCCTTTCTGATCCTCCTGCGATACCTGGTGTCAATACTGCGATGTCGGCGGGGGTGTAGGGCATCGTGATCAATCCCATCTAATCTAATCAGCGCATCTGCGGCAATAAGCTTATCCGGATGGAGCCGGGCCAATCTCCGTTTCCCGGTCGGGCAGCTTGGCAGGGACTGGCGACGCGCCAGGGTCTCATTTTCGAGGACCCTTACAAGGGTCTCGATAATAAATCGCGAATGCCATCAGATCGAGACGAGGAATCAACATGCTCGTCGGCGTAAAAACCTCATAGTTGATGCAGACAGCCTCTTTCCAGCTGTTCTATCCGAACATGCCATTGCAGATTGACGGGCCAAGTGAGCTAAGGCATGGCTGATTCATGCCAAGCAGGGGTTTCGTCAGCTCGGTATCAAGTTGAGCGACTCGTCTAAACGTTCTTCTCCCTGGGCTCCCAAATTCGAAGCAGGTTTGATGGAGGGTTGGACTAGTGCAAGGAGTCGTCACGGTGGTTGAACAGCTAGACCCCATTCAGCAGGTCGCTGTCCGGGTCCAGACCGCTCAAAATAGAGTGAATTTTAGGTGACCGCAACCAACTTCTTCAGCCCTGCCAAGGTCGTAGATATGTACCCATTTCACCCAAGTAGTACGTACACTGCGAAGATCTTAATATGACTTTCACATCTTATCGCAAGGTCCGCTTAATCTTCGGGCCTCAGAGGAATCTCAAGCTGTGCGAGTCTTAACGAGCCCAATGAACTCGACATAACTATTACTAGTGCGGACGAAACTTGGACATCCCGCGTTGAGCAGATTAAAGGGGACGCGGTGTAGTCTGGCGATAAGGTGGCGTGAAATAATGGGGGGAGGTATAGGTGCGTACGTTTCGTCACATCCAGGGTCTGGAGTCCCCAAATGACCCACAAAGTCAACGATATTTTATGTTTGATGATCGGCATTTCCGCTTACTCACCATCTGCCACTAGCTGTATCTGGCATGGTGTGTTTCAATTGTCGAAGTGATTGGTGAATTATTTAGACCCACAAAAGATATCCAAGCAGTGTTGACCCCAACGCTCACGATTTCTCTAACAGTTATATTCAGCTGGGCTTATAAGCGATGTCCATAGATACCACTGTGCTACAAAGCTCGTCCACGTTGAGTAATCAAGGTCCAAATATGTAGGTTAAGTTCCTATCGCGACCCGATCTATCAACTCGCGCTTTGTAACCTAAACCTTTTAACTATTGTATCTCATATATTAATCCCTCAAATTCCGGAATGCACACGCGGCTGTCATTACCCCAAAAAGAAGCCAGTACCGACCCAATCGATCGACATTCTCCTATCCATATCGAGATACGGAATGCAGCAAGCGGAGGTAGTCGAGCAGCGTCCGCGTGTTTTCATCCCATAAGACCACAGGATGCTGTTGTTGTTGTTGTTGAAATACACAGTGATTTTGGGTGTTCCGTGCTTGCAATTCGAGGGCGACTGGACTACAACCCCTATGCTATTTGCATTGTGATTTGTAGTGTTATTCACTATCGATAGGTGGATGGAAGTTACGATGACTTTGGATGGCACGATGGAAAAGATGGGGTCCAGCAGACTATCTCGAGCGAAGTTACCCCATGAGAATAAAAGCTCCGAAGGATGAACTTACTTCGTAACAAGAACTTGGTACTCCGTAGTATCTATTCCACTGCAAAGCCGAATTCCCAGGTCCACCGAGTCCACATTGTGTTTCATGGGGTTCCTTGATTCCGGCAATTCCCGCGCCGATCCCCAGAACAGTTCCCGTGCCACCAGCCAGCATCCCCAGACACTCCAGCACCCCCCAAGGAATGCTTTCGCCGAGGAGAGTGGCAAGCGACACTTTCAGATCCTGTTGAGGTCCCATCACTTTCTTTATGCGACAAGCGGGGGAAGTTGGGTTCAGCCATCTGTCTACCCATGCAGATGGTTTGGCTGCCGTATTTTCGCGTTAGAAGGTTTGTTGGTATACAATCACCCCCAGTGAGTTAAACACTTACCAATAGCTATGAAACACTCCAATAATGCCTTTCATGACACCAAGGGTACCCTTGCTTTGCGACTATTTCCGTCGATGTTGTACCACGAATCCCGGATAAAACCGGATCCATACGATGCCTCGCAACTCCTATCAGCATGCGAGTACTATCCTTCCCTTCGCCATCACACTCATCTGAGTGTACTCGAGGAACTCCTTTCGGGCGATATCCTCGCATTACGCACCACTACTAAGCCTGCAGCTTGTAGAGACGTCACTGTCATACCGGGAGAAAAGCGCAAGAATCCGGCCGGGGTGATCTGGCTTGGCACAAAAGGCTTACCGCTTCATTCCGAGCTGTCAAAAACAGATCCACTGAGCGATCAGCAGGAAAGGCTTGGCGAATAAGGAGGGATACTTTGTCTACAGCAATTCCATCATGATGCTGCGTCAGAGCAACGGCTTGCGATTCTATCCCATACTTTGATGGAGCGTGCCAACTGTTCTTCTGCATCGCAGGTGATAATACCTGTTCAGGTAACGTTGATTGGAATAACTATGACAGCTTTGGTGCTGCGTGAGCGAGCGCTTAGTACTGACGTCTTTCACTGGAACAGCATGTTCACAATTGGCGCTCCCATCGCCAGGTATCGAACAAAAGGAAAGATATTCCTCTTCCTTGTATCTTCATGATCCATAATAAGAGCTCGAGCCCCTCTGAATCACCAACCGATGGTTACTGCTGACAGCCGGAACCTCCTTCTTACATTCTCCACAAAGCATTGAACATCGGTACAAAGAACCTCCTGTCTACGAGTGTTAGAAATCCCCGAAAATCAAATGGCAACCAACATAGGATTGGCTATAATTCCCACCCATCGAGCTAGTCTTGAGATAAGAAATGACATGAATTGAAATTTTGCCAGCTCAATTCTCCGTCCCGAGTCACAGCTCACATCTGACGCTGGAAACGGTCATCTGGTTGACGGTGGACCTTCCAGTGCCAACGTGCTGGGAGTCTCCCGAGCAATCCAGAGTTCTATCGTTATCAGTCATGTCGAACTTGAATAGTTCAGGAAGGGGCAGCATACGAGTAGAGATTGCAAGATCCGGTTGACACCGAAACATCAGTAATAACCCTTTGGTGTATTAGCATAGTTTCATGCAGTGGAGGAAGCGTCCGTGGGGTCAAGTCGTACATTGCATAAGAAAGTGTGCACTGATCCGGGACGGCTTCAATGACTTGGTTGGTACTAGTGCCGTAAAAGGTAACCTGCACCTGTGGGGAATGGATGTTAGTGGCGCTGGTCTGCCAGGGATATCGGATCCATACTTCGATACCCCCCGACGTTCCTTGGGGAGTAGCAACGGAGGATCCCGCCAGAGAGGCAAGAACGAGACCGATGGAAGTGATAGAGAAGTGCATGTTGGATGTTATGGGCTGAGACCAGTAGGTTGGACTGTTGTATGGAGTGCGAGGCTATGAGTTATGAGAAGTGTGAAAGGAGGCAGATGATGGGAGGGATGGCCTGATATTTATAGACCATGATAGTCTCTATGATATGCAAGATATGTTGGATTGTGTTCCATTCGTGCTCAATCATGCTGTCATGCTTATTTTGACTCAACCACAAAAGCAGTCAGCTTATTGCATTGGTGATAGGCAGCAATGGAAGCCTCGTCCTTGGCAGATGCAGTGACCGATTAGCCATTTGATTATGGGTATAGATGTTTAACTGCAACCGCACAGCCATGAACATAATAATAGAAGTGGAAACCTGTCCTTGTTATCCCTACAGAGCCAATTCTTTCCCCTTCGTCTGCGGAGCAGCGAACTTTCTCCTGAGTGCTATGGCCAAGTCACCTGGGTACCAGATCTGTTCGAATCCTTCCTCAGCCTCTAAACTCTGGACAGTGTTTTAAACCCAAAAGGATTTGTTCTAAGCTGCTGCTTGACGGACACAGTCACCAAACACAGCGACCTCATGTTCCTACCCATGTGGGTCTTCCTCCTCTTCACCTCCACCTTCGTGCACGGTGCGAGGGTTTGGACCCCCTGGGGAAGCGGCTGTGCGATGTGCCTGTGGGGGTTGGTTTTTTTTTTTTTTTGGTTCAGAATATTTGGCAGAAGAGACGGGCTTTTGAATATGCAGTCGCCTGTGCATTGTGCAACAGTCATATCTGTTAGTGACTCACATGCAGAAACTCATGTTTTAAAGTAAAGTGCATCTAAGAAGTAAGCATAAGAAGCGGGAATGGCTGTTCTCTGGAGCAAACACAGCATCATATAGCAGGGGACCCCTACATGGAAACTAACCTTCTGTTTGATTATAGGTACTTAGAAGCCTTTGTTCGAAGCACGGCAGCGGACTCTGCCACATAAAGCGGTTTACCACGTCTACCACTACTTGTATATTGTTGAACCTAGTGCACCTTTATGACTAGAAAGATGTCGAGACACCTTTTTAGTCTAGAGGGGGTACCGGGCGACTTCCAATATATATTCAGTATTAAGCCTTGGCCACGGATGAATTCATGTGCGGAGGAAAAGGCTCGCTTTGATTATATAGTTACAAGATCAGTCAAAAAGCGAAGTAAAGAGAGAGAGAAACGGTGTCTGAGTTGTCGCCCTGGGCCTTGACTCAATTTCCCACATCTTCCAAGGAAATGGGCTAACTGGCTGATTTGGGGGGGAGGGTTGAGGGTCATCGTTCACTCCATGTATATAAAAACTCCACGGTCGTGGTCCTTTGGCCGTCAACAACCCGGAAAAAGCCTCTCAGAGTCCTCCGATCGGGTATAATGCATTAATCAATCAACCAATCTATCGATATCTCCAATATGCCGCCGTGACCGGGATTTCAGACTGGTTGCCGATGCGTCCCTAGTTCGGTATCTCACCTGGAATTAATGTCATCCCGAGTATCCTCGTACTTTAATAGCGATATTTGGTTTTTGTTTCCGTTTCCAAAAGATCGATGTCCGCGTGTGATGCGAGGTGGACGGACCAGCTTTCATTCTCGACGGCGGCTGATAATCGCTATTGTCCTAATTCAAGCAATTATTAGCATATTCAACTCCACCGGTTGTTATTACTTACTAGATGGAGTGGAGAATCCCCCATAGCCTCTGCTGCAGTAAAAGTCTTTCCGTTTTTGCTATTAGCGATTTGCCAGATTATCTGCTGGGATTGTGCGAACAAACCGTTTAGGAAATGTTTTTTCTTGAGTATAACGTCTGTATCCCATCACATAATAAAGCACCAAAACGAAGGACAGCCAAGCGATTACACAAGATGGTGTGGTATCGAAGTTTTGAGGCACCTCTCGCGGGCCTGGGTGTGGTCACGTAGGCCACTTTCAAGGACGAACCAGGCGGGGAGTTCTCCTTTGCCCGCAAAGGTCTCCGAAGAGTAAAGGAATTCTCTGCATTGATGCCACGCTGGCTATGCTCTTTTTTCTTCTTTGAAATTGGATGACATTCATGGTATGTCAGTTCGTGCAATATCCACCGGGCCAATGACGTCAATGAGTTCATTTCATTTATTTAATTTCTCTTGGGTTGGCATCGGCATATTAATTCCTGCAGTAGCCACTAGCTCAAACCAGAGCATGAGCTCTTTCCGTTTAACAAATTTCGTCTCGCCTGACGGTGCCCGAGTTGAAGTGGTTCGTTTGCTCTGGGACAAGGTTAAGTAGCTGGGCCCCCGAAGCCACAGCACCCGGCATAGCCGGGGCGTGCTCGACGGAGGCCCCCTTGCGCCATGACACTAGGATCGGCAAAACTAGATAAAGGGTCGACGCCAACGACAGTTGAATAGGGGCAACAGCAGGGCCCCCGTGCCACGGCAATAAAGCCGGTAAGGCTCGAAAGCCAAGTTAATCACAGCCCTGGGCTGTGAATAGGGGCAACGGCAATAGTCACCGGCCCAAACACTGGCCCCGTCATTTACCAAACTTCTTCCGCCCGAGTAGAAATGGCTCGTTGGCCTGGGGACTGGCCCCACGAAGTCTTAATCGGCTGAGGTGGGTTTCTGTTGACCATCAAGGCTATTAGTTCTTGATGAAGTCTGGTAATCGTATTTGTAGGGCACCCACAATCCTACTGGAACATACATTTGTTAGTCCGAGAGTTGCTAGTCATTTGTTGTATGCACATGGGGAAGGCTGGCTCACCATTTAGTGGTATGTGTATAATTTCACATCCTCCTCTATCCTTTGACTGCTTTTGCAGTGACTTTTGTATGGGCCGAGGCTGTTCATTGACAGTAAGGGTAAGATATAAAGATATTCAAATAAAAACAAATTTTGTGATTGGAAATGTATAGTAGTAGTAGTAGTAGTCAAGAGGATAAATAATCTACTACTGGCTGTAGATAGGCTGTGGCTGTCGATTAAATATGCGTGAGTGAAGGAGGAGGCACAGGAAGAGGAAGGAGGAAGGAAGAAGGAAGAAGGAAGAAAGGGAAGTCGCAGTAGAAGAGGAAGGCACTTGGCACTTGCCTGGTCAGCGGTAGTCACCTGACTCACACGCGCAGACCAAACAGGCAAGGGCCAGTCCTCCGGTTTGAAAATTACCTGCCTGAACTTCCTGGCACTTGGATTCGGCGGACTCAGTCGCAGTGGAGGGCTGAGATTCTGGCTGCCTACAAGGTGGGATATATTATTCCCGCACAGTAGGCAAACTTGAATATCAAATCTGATTTGGCTTTCTCTCAAGGGTATTGGAGATAACAACGGGATAGATCGTACCATTCCTATAGGGGTACCCAGTGTGCCCGCAGCTTGACTAGGATTGTCTGTAGATCTAGGAGGCAAGGAATGAGATGGCTGAAGTCTTTATGAAAAACTGCGCAGGTGAGCAGCCACATGACCATTTGCTGATACAGTAGAGCACGTAATTCACTTGCTAAGGTATGAAGAGCGCAGACCATGACGGGGAGAATAATAGGTGCAGCCGATGCTGCTAGATTGTCATTACTCATACATCCTACACACATTATCTGGCGCTAGTGCTATAGCCACCCAGGTGCTATGGCCATAATTTGGACCTTGGCCCAACATGATCCCCAGACTCAGGGGGGCCCATAATCCGAGAAATAAACATTGAGGCAAAATGACATCAAGACCCGACGGTATCACCACCATTTCCTTAGATCTTCAGAAGCGATCCCCTCACCCAGCGCCCAAGCTGAGCAGACCAGAGCTTGTTCTCGTTCATAATGAACATCTGGCCATTGCGTCCGAAGGAGAAGTTGGACGTGCCGTCCTCGATGAGGATCTTACCGAGGAGAACACCGCCCGACGACCAGACGTTAACGCCATCACCACAGCCAGCATACACATTGCCCTCCGTGTCGGTTTTGATGCCGTCAGGAATGCCGGTGTCCGCCATGGCGAAGACGCGACGGTTCGTCAGGAACGGTTCGCCGTTGGAGACGGTCACGTCGAAGGCATAGCTGGGCAGATATAAGCATGTCAAAACTCCAAAGCGATAACTAATCCGAGAAACTCACATAGTGGCAGGCTTGAGCGGGTCAGTCGAACCATCGCCCACGGTGCGACCCGTGTCGGTAATATAAATGGTCTTCTCATCGGCAGTAAACGCAAGACCATTAGGCCGACTAAACCCGTCCGCCACGACGCGGACATTCCCCGTCGCGGGATCAAAGCGATAGACCTGATTCGGCAGCTCCGGCTCCGGTCGGATGCCCTGCAAGTATCCGTAACTGGGATCGGTGAACCAGATGGACCCGTCGGTGTGGACGACCACATCGTTGAGGGAGTTGAAGTCGCGACCGTAGAAGTTGTTCGCGACCAGGTTCTCGGATGCATAGGGAGGGTCGATGGACATTTGGAAGAGGCCACCGGTTTGGTTGAGCGTTCCCTGGCCGCAGAAGAGGATGCCGCTGCCGTGGTTCACGCCGCCGTTGGCGAGGGGGATGGTGCTGTTGATGACCTCGGATGTGACGGGGTTGGCGGTGGTGTTGACTCTGGAGATCTTGACGGTGGATTGGTTTGTGACGGGGTCGGTGAGGATGTTGCTGGTCACGAAGAGTTCGTTGGTGGAGGGGATGAAGACGCTGGCTTCGTGGGCGAAAGCGAAGTCCTCGTTCTCGAGAAGGACCTCGAGCTTGGGGGCCGGGCCGGTGATGTTCAGGAAGCGGCTGTCATAGAACTCGAATGCGGGGGGGATCTGGGAGGCATTGGCCCATGAAGGGAGGATGAGGTTCGCCATTGTGGGTGGGTGGGTGGTGGTGGTGGGCGTAACAAAGTCATGGTTGGGGAGGATGGATGTCCCTTTTAAATAAGATATCCATCGGAATGATGTGGGGTGTGCCCTCACATGATATCAGGGTTCAGGAACGGTGCCAAGATGAAGTTGATCCTGCAGGCTGCGCAGCACTTCCCGTTTCTAGGCCGCAGTTGGGAGGGTTCACGACGATCGGACCCACTCTTCTCGATATCAACCCATTCGCCGGCGTTTCTCCGAGGCCGGCAGCGAAAAGAACATGCAGACCGGCGTGGTCCCGATTTCTGCTGGAAGGCCAAGAGGCTAAATTGCCCAGTAATTACATGGCAAATCAGAGTAGAACCTTGAGCACTAACGGTTCATCATTGCCCACATGGCGTAGATACTATGACTTCGAAGGAGTAAGATCTATCTATCTAGGGCAAATACGACGACATATTTTTCACGTAATGACCGACACCCACTTCCTCGGTGAACTCTTTTAAGGTTATCAACCAGATAATCTGTGAAACCTTAGATCATCAGTCTTGCGGGACAATGCGGTTATACTCACTTTTTGTCTACCGGAATACTTCTCCGAGGATTCAAACTTGCCTTTTTACTAGCTCCGTATATCCCGAATTATGATGGGATTGAAGAAAACCAGAGTCCCAAATCATGAGGGAAACCGGAGCGATTTGGGCCTTTTTTTATACAACTGGCCGATTCGATAAAATATTTGTTCATTTGAAAGGATCAGAAGAGCCTGGAAGGGCACTAAAAGATGAACTAAATCCTGATCTCAATCATAACCAAAGGTCTCCGTACGAAACGGGCACAAAGTACCACCAAGCTCGGAATGGGAGGTACTCACCAAACCACAGTCGTGTCGGGTGGATACATCGCCAGTACTACTAGCGGCCCAGATTGATACCACGTTTATCCGCAGGATCCCGGACACTGTCTGTTATTGTTGTTCCCTTATTCCCTATGTGGAACTGAGAGCTACTTGAAGCTTATACGCGGAAAAGTGCGCGGATAACAAAATCAAGTCGAGATTCTGGAAAAGACGTCCTTTGAGTAGATAAGGTGGATTTGTTCCTAAATTGCGGTACCCATGAGACTCGCTACACAATCATCAATCTACGGGTACAGGGTGTCTGCAACTCACTAGCTTCGGACTTGATCACGGTCGACACTCGAGGGCTATCTATTCAACAACTACCATAAATAGCAAGAGCATATACGCCGTATTCGCGTGATTGATATTTCAAGCTTGTGGCTTGTAAGTGCAAGGTAATTTGTTCTTCCCCGCGGCGCCTTGGTGATCGTGGACGAGAGACTTGGAGTGGATATGGCGCGAACGTCCGACGAGACTAGGGGCTATGATCTGTCTACACCAGCCATGTCTAGGATGTTCTCAATGGAAAACGCGTAAAGATACCGGTCGCCATTCAAAGATCCATAATCCGATCGGGAGATTGATCGCATAGTTGTCAAATCATCAGGTAGATGTTATGGAGAACATCAAAATTGCAGGGGTTCTTAGCTTTCAGTGGTCAGTAGGCGACACCGGCCGAGGAGCAGTGGAATTGATGACCAAATGAAATCCAGAGTTATATGCAAAAGTTGAAGTTATGAAGCTACTCGACGTGTTGAGAGTGAAGAGACATGGGGCGGTTCCTGCCTAAGGCATCAGACGACAGCCGGTGACACGGCAGCCATCCTTTGCCGCAGCGTAGCACAAACCGTGTCTGTCGCACAGGGATATGCCAAAAGATCTATAAGGCCGCCATCCAGCACCATCTTGCTTCCAAAGTTCAAAAAAATCTCCAGAAAGAAAAAGAAGAAGACATACAACAGAAGGGATTCGCTGGTGGTCACCCACCCAACTACTAACCTCCCGGCGTGTGGCTTAAGTACGGCTGAGCGGACGGGAAGCCCTGTTCTCCACACCCTATGGTCGTATGTGCTTGTTTCCTAGCACAAATGTGTTGAATACACCGTGATTAGAGGGAAGTAGAGTGATTAAATGTGGACCTACGGCTGTGGTGGTCTGTTGGGTTGATCTCATTAGGGTTACTTGTATGGCTGGTTCCGAGATCTTATGTTTATGGCGTGGATTGAGAATGATGAGCTCGGAAACCGAAAACAGCATGGTTATCTAAATGCGGAAGGAGGACGGAATCTTTTCCCAAGCTGTCACATCCCCAGGTTACGGCATGACAGAAAGTGTGGTATCATGTTCGTTGTTTCTACTGCTCTCATCGCCTCCCACCGCAGGTGGGATTTAGCAGAACACACCAGCTGCGAAATAATCGACAGAGCAATTAAATACTCTGGACGCTACTATTGGGAAATTCCAGGTTCGTACTGGATCTTAATATAAAGTTCTTTTTTGTCTGTCAGTAAGTACTCCGCGGATAATACGATCTACCACATTTAGTAATACCGTGAAAACAATTGAATGTCATGTCCGTTTGCGGTTGGCACGGGAGAGGGACTATCAATTCATGAGATGCTACTGAACATCACCCTCTATCCCCCATAGAAACAAATGGCTGATAAACCAAATATGCAATAATATTCCAGATCACCATATTCCGTCCAATTCAGACTCAGCTGGTCCTGGAAAGGTCTTATATTAACTGGCATCCAATCGTGACCCGCCCATAGCCTACGCCATGATAATGAAATAAACTGCCATACCACAAGAAAGTTTGAAAAGGCATATCTAATAGCTTCCAACAAAGCAGTTTGTCATGATGTCAAGTTAATGGATAGTGACACGGTTAAAGACTTCTACTCGACAATACGACCACATCTCCCCAAGCCAGCCAACCAGGGCCAGTAATTTCAACATAATCCATGGCAACCACACCACATGTTGGATATGACATTTCGAGTACGGGGTATGACATGCCTCATTCACTTTGCAGTGGGGCATTCCGCTCCCGGAAGGCCCCGAGACGGTCCAGAGCCAGACCAGAGGCGGGGATAAGTATGGCTGTGGTACATAAGACCCGGAATGACGGCTACCATAGCTGCCAGGTCTTCTAGCAAGACCGATATCCCTGGTCTAGCAACACCTTGATAAATCGTCATGGCTTTCTTATCCCTGGTCTGGGTGGCAGCACTTGCCATCCCAGCCATTGCCCAGGATAGGCAGCCTGACTGGGAAAAGTCCCCAATGGTCGCCCCTCAATTACAACCTGACGCCCACAACACGGCATACTGGCCTTGGAGGTCCCTCCCCTGGGGCGAGATTAACTTTCTTCACACAACCGACTCGCATGGATGGCTGGAAGGGCACCTGAATGAGGTCAACTATGGTGCCGACCTGGGCGACCTTGTCTCCTTTATGGAACGCATGCGTGACAAGGCGGATCAATACAATGTTGACCTTCTCGTCGTTGACACCGGTACTTCTCTAAACCCCTGCTTATATAAACGATGAAGTATTCATCCCATAGCTAACTCGTCTGACCATCCCAGGCGACATCGTGACCGGCAACGGACTCAGCGATGTTACGAATCCCCAAGGCCGGATATCGAATAAGATTTTCAGGAACCTCCCCTACGACCTACTCACAATTGGCAACAACGACCTCTACGATCTTGATGTCACAAAGGAGATTAGAACAGACCTCGCGAGAATCTACGGTGACCGGTATCTGACAAGCAACGTGGACGTGGACATCGATGGGAAGAATGTGTCCATCGGGCACAGATACCGATATTTCACTACAAAGCACGGCTTGAAAGTCGTAGCATTTGGGTTCACCGTTCAGGACTTTGCGAGACCAGCAGCCGTCTCCGTCCAAGGCCACGAAGCCATAGTCGAAACAACGTGGTTTCAAGAGGCCATGAGCAAAGACGCCGATCTCTACCTCCTTATTGGGCACGCCGACGTCGCGGAGAATTGCAAGATCGAAAACCCTAAGTACGGTGGAACAGAAAATCCCCTGATCTGCATGAAGGACTGGTTCCGGACGAACAAACCCAACACCCCCCTCCAGATCTTAGGCGGACATACGCACTTCCGCAAGTTCCAATGCTATGATGGGGCATCCTCTGGCCTGGAGTCGGGTCGATACTCTGACACGGTCGGATGGCTTGCCCTTCGCGACGTGGCACCATCAGACTCACTCTCAGGCTCAGGCAGCTGGAATGGATCGAAGACAATAACCGGAGTGGACATGCCGACGAGGACATGTCCCCCATCGAGCACGACGTCTTCTAGCACGGATGCTATCTCTACAAAGGTCGTCCGTCTCGACCGTCGCTACCTCGACTTCAACCGCCAAACCTTCGCATACCATGCAATCGGCGCGACCGGGCCCGACATCCCAGACAGATTCGACACCCCCCTGGGGCTGAAAACCACCGATGATATCTACAATGCGCGAGTGAATCTCAACCTAACCAAGGTGCTTGGCTGCGCTCCTCAGACATACTATATTTGGTCCGAGAGATTCAACTGCCCGGGAAACATATTTTCGATGGTCAGATTGGCGTTGAACACCACTGTGAATCGGAATGATTCTCCCAGGTTGATTCTGATGAACACCGCCGGCATTCGCTATGATCTATACAAGGGTCCGTTCTCGGTGGGTGACGGCTTCACGGTTAGCCCGTACAACGATCCGTTCCTGTACCTCGCCAATGTTCCCTACGACACGGCCACACAGGTCATCTGCAAACTGAACAACGGTGACATGTGTGAAAATGAGGATCCAGCCGGGGCATGTGACATGTCCAGCTCTTCCACCTATCCTCCCGGTCCGAACAACGGCGTTTCCAACCAGCAGCCCCTGATGAACCACCCAGCCATCGAGGAACAACTCAACCCCGGCCATGTCACAGCCGACGACTTCGGCAACTGCAGTATCTCAGTCAGTTCTCCAGACTGTGGCGACGACACTCAGCACCGTGCGGTCCCTGAAAAATACCTCATCCCGAAGAATATCCAAGCCAAGGGCAACATCGTCACGGGCATGACCAAGACGGTAGACTTGGTGTTCACAGAACACCTAAAGAAAGGCATTCTGAATCTGGACATTATCAAGAATCTGGGCTACACTGATAAGAATGTCAGTTATTACATGGAAAAGTCCTTCACGACCAGGAGCTTTCTGCAGAAATATGCCCAGGTTGCGTGGAATGAGAACTCTACCTCCTGTAGTATCGGGCCATGAGGGAACCGGACCTGGACGTTGGAAATAATGCCTGGAGTGATAGGTGTGCGACTAGGATTTTGGGGGGGGCTGTGCTGAATACCATGCACATGCCAGTATCAGTATCCTGTGAAAGGATTTCATGAAAGCGGTTTCCCCCCAAATTTCTCAACGCCTATTATCATTTTCAAGAGTTGACAAAAGTGATGGTTTCACATATTTGCTGTAGCTCGATTTCAAGTTCTAATAATAAATAGGCGACTAAATGTATATTTCAGAATTGAGCAGTAGCATAGAACATGCTTACCCCCCCCGACCCTCCTCCCTCTTGTTTCTTTTTTCTTCTTACAAAGCAAAGGAACATCAATCTTAGTTTTTTAATACTCGTGTTCTTTCTACACCTAGAGGCTGGCTAAGTTCGGAAGATGAGCATTCCTCCGTCAACTTCTAGAATTATCTTCAAAACCAACACCCGATTCGGTTCAACGGAGATTAATTCCTGATATTAGTAAATATAATTATTAATTGCGGTGGCGTGATCGTGAAGCCATGACAAAGGAAAGGAATGGCATAATCCTCAACCCCGTGTCTCATAAATCACATAAGGTACTAACCGTTGCATAAGTGAATAAGGTTGAACAAGGACCGATCACGATTGGCTACAATTTAAATTAGAGTTTATGTCAGGGATTTAAGGTTTGCCGGGACGGGCGTATCCGCTGCTCTACTCCGTACTAAGTAAGCAAAGCAACCCGTTTTCGTTCCGCAGTGAATCTGTAATCAGCATCACGACATTGTCTGGATGAGAGGTCTTTTTCTATATAAATCATGATTTCGTTGGAAATCTATTCATGTCTTCTTGAGATTGATTCCATACCTTGAAGCAGGTCACTCGCCTTATTTTTCATCTAAAATACCATTGTTCTCTTGACCCCCGATCCAGCTGGGTGTTATTATCATCTTCTCGACATGTCTACCTCTCCTGTGAAAGTCGCCCTTTCAGGTGTATGTTTAATTTCCCTCCCACTCCCAAATTTATGGCTCATCTAATTCCCATCAACAGGCGAGCGGAAACCTCGGCCCAGCCGTTCTCCAAGAACTCCTGAACGCCGGATTCCAGGTAACAGTCCTGACACGAGCCGGAAAGGCTTCTCAGTTCGACTCCCGCGCTCATGTAGTCGAGGTCAAATATGATTCGATGGAGTCCCTCTCCTCAGCCCTTGCCGGCCACGACGTTGTCGTGAACACGCTGGGCGCAATCCCCAGAGACATCCACCTCCGACTGATCGATGCCGCCGTTGCCGCTCAAATCCCACGGTTCATTCCGTCGGAGTTTGGCTCGGACACCACCAACGCCAACGCGGCAAACCTCCCCGGCTTCGCCGATAAAGTCGCCATCGCACAATATCTCGACGATCTGTCCCGAGAGTGCAAGTTGACATATACGCGTCTGCTCACTGGACCGTTTCTTGATTGGGGTCTCATGGCCAAATTCCTGATTGACTTGTCAGGCCCAGTCGTGGACTTGTACGATGGCGGCGATCGCAAGTTCAGCACAACCACTCTTTCGGGAGCAGTCAAGGCTGTCGGCGGTATCATCCGGCATCTTGATGCCACGGAGAATCAGGGGGTCTATGTGTCTGAGAGAATAGAATATAAGATACCCCACCCACTTTTTTGCCCGGTGGTTGAATCTCTAGATTGACGGTATGATTATAAAACGGAAAAGTCTTTTATTTTGCCCAAAATACTTCCCTATGGGTTGTATTCAATACTATATCATTTTCGAGTATCTGTATATCTTTGTTTTATAAAGCGATCTCAATATGAAAGAATAAAAGAAGGTCCTACAACACCTTCTTTCATGGAAGGCTGTCCAGGTGAAACCCCTCTACCCTCCACTATCTAACTAGCTAGCTAGCTGGTACCCAAATTTTCCATCGTACCTAATCATAAGACCTGGTATTCACCAGTTCAATTTCTTCACTGGGACTCCCATCTTGGGCCAAGGAAAGTATCAAAGACGCATCCCTTCAAGATCGTCTCCCGACAGCCATCCCCATCCCCATCTCCATCCCCACCCCCAACGCGAGTTCCAATTTCTCAACCCCGATAACCCTTCTCCATTTGAATTTCAGATACTACAGCTCCCTCATGACCATCCACCACATGGCGAAGGTCCATTGTCCGTAGAGCGATCTCCTCTCGCGTATCGACACCCTTTCTTCCGCTTTATATTCGGAGATCGTGTCGTCTGCACACCAGGGTACGACGGTTGCGCTCGCTTGCGTGGATTTTCTGAGGTATCTCTTGCCCGATCAGCCTGTGCTTTTCTGGTATGTGTAACAGGTTGGAATTGTGAATACACGGTCCCCTGTGGATTTGACTTGATTTTGTTTGGTTTGATTTGACGTCCTAGCCCATGATGACAGGTTACTCCCATAGTATATCATCTCTGCGCTTTTTATATTTCTTCTGGAAATCCTTGGCGACCGATCACACCCGGAAACGCATCGCTGTGTAGAGGCCATGGATACCGTGGTGGAGCTTTTTCGATAGGTCAATATAAGAACCGATGGAGAGTTTCGGTCGTTTCTCGAGTTGTCGCAACAGTTGAGAGATGTTTCAAAGATTAGCAATGCCAAAAGCCGGGAACAGCGTCGCTTTCAAAGTGTTTTGGCGTTTGTGTTACGGGAGGCTGTCGATGAACTCTGCCGAGGCAGGAGATCCACGCGACGCCATCCGCGTGCTGGTGGATAGGTGGATGTCCACTTGAACAGTCAAAATATGGTCAGGCTCCGGTGGATATTCAGAGCTGAGAGAGACCTACTTATGGCAGGGGAAAAGTGCAAATGACACTGCGAATCTTAACAACAGGCGAAAGTCCAATATGTAGAGATTGGATATGCTAGCCTGAACCCGGAGTTGCAACGGAACTCTCCAAGCAAAATTGGAGCTACAGGAAGAGCATTGCTACGAAGATAAGATAATGTGGAGCAGAAGACGAGTGACATTAACAAATCCCAGGTCTCAAGCCCCTCACAAACAGCTCCTACACCCTCGCCGGAGTGGGAGAATACAACGCAAGAAGTCTATCGACATCAAAACAAATCAACATGCAAAGCAGAAAAGTGGCAACGAATGGCCAGGTCGGACAAAAAAACCACAAATGCTTTGAAAAAGAGACAAGGAGAGAGTGTCAAAGGAGTGACCAGGTCGGACATAGGGGACACAATAAGAGGGGGGTATATGATGGTGAAGGAACGGCCAGGTCGGACATGGGGAAGGCAATGAGAAAGGAAATGTCTGATGGTAAAAGAGTGACCAGGTCGGACAAAATAGAAACCACATATGCCGTCAAAAGAAGAAAAGGGAAAAGTGTCAAAAGAGTGACCAGGTCGGACAATGGTAAAAGCAAGAACGCAGCAAGAACGCAGCAAGAAGGCAAAAACTCCATATCCCAATCCCAGACACAAGGAAAAGACAAAGGAAACCCATCTCCATCTCTCCACCAAGCAATCTGACCTGTGAAGAAAGTCAGCTTGAGCTGAGCAAAAAGAATGATATTACCTACCCAACCTCGGACAAAATCAAGCCACCAACGCCGTCCCGTCCCTCCGTCTCCCCATCTCTCCAAGCACCCTAATCAATGAACAAGGTCAGCTTCCATTGAGCAAAAAGCATGATATTACCTACCCAACCTCGGACAACATCGAGCCACCAGCGCCGTCCCGTCTCCCCATCTCTCCATCCCCCCAATCGACCTATATCGACCAGAAAAGGTTAGCTTGAGCTGAACAAAAAGAATATATTACTTACCCAACCCCGGACAACAACTAGCCACCAACGCCGTCCCATCTCTCCATCTTCCCATCTCCCCAAACAACCTAATCAATGAGCAAGGTCAATTGCCATTGAGCAAGAAGAGTATATTACTTACCCAACGCCAAACAACACCAAGCCAACAAGCTTCTCCGTCCATCGCAATCGATCGCAAGTCGGTCGCCGGAGCTGCTGTACAGTCAGCAGGGGTGGCTGGTCCCGGTACAACCAACCACCAAACGAGCGACGAAAGGAAATACAAGGAGTGTGAAGCCAGTTCAAAGGAAACAGAGGGAAAAGCAGAATGTGGCAAGGAGTGGCCAGGTCGGACAAAAAAATCCACAAATGCTTTTAAAAAGACACAAGGAAATAAATGAAATGACAAGTGACACCGGTCAAAGGAAGGACAAAAGGAAATCCATGAGAAGACAGATCAAAGGAATGACGAAAAGGAAATCGATGAAAAGTCGGGGTAAAGAGCGTGAAAATGAAAGAAATGAAAGAAAGACAGTTAAAAGAGGGAACGAACGAGCGACTCGATATACATGGTAACGAGGGGAAAGGTCATAAGACCGAACAAAGCGAGGGCACCATAAGCATGGTTAAAGGAACGGACAGGAGCAACAGGCTCACAGGAACGAGCGACACGAGAAGAACGAGAGGAACGACGACGACGCCGGGGACGGTCAAGGGAGTGTGAACGGCGAGGGGTAAGATCCCCACGCCGCCAGGTGTTTTCACCCGGTACAATCCACCGGGAAATGGTAACGACAGAATTGGCCTCAGTGAACTGAACCCGCTTCGTCGACTTGTCCTTACGAACCGCAGTCAGAGCTGCGTCTGATGCAAGGACCTCATCGACTGACGAGCTCAGCCGCCGAGACCGGGAAAGAATGGAACGGGGGAAAGGAGTGACAGAAGAAACAGAACTGGCAGAAGAAGGAGTGGCACCACAAGGAGGCCGTACCGGACCCTCCTTGGGCATAAAAACAGAAGAAACACAAGAAAACGCAGAGGAAAGCGAGGATACAACACGAGGGAACATCTTGAAAGCGTAGAGCGTTGAAAACGATACTAGTCAAGGAAAGCCAGGTGTGAGGAGAGAAAGGAGAGAAGAGGAGAGGAGAGAAAGAAGTCAGAGGGGAAGACGGGGGGGTATGAACAGGAGCTCGCCGTCGTGGAAACGCAGATTGGGAAGGTGGTTGCTGGAGGCACCCGGGGAAGGTGCATTCACTCGCCCAGACGGCCACCCCACCGTCGATGCCAGTCGGGGATGGCGAGGGGAGTATGGCGAGACTGTATGCAAATGTGCAACAAGCTAGCTACGCCATTCCGACAATGTTATGCCACCTCGCAAGATAATCTGGAGCGATTTCCGTCTGGGAGGCTTCATGTTAGACGCCTTGGTGGTGATATTGCTGGGGAAATTAGGGCTAGAAGAAACAGCGGCGCCTCGGTGCCATATCCAAGCAGAGATGGAAGGATCCACTCGGTCGCTGGGGAGGTAGTTCGAAGGCATAGTACTAGTAACTAAGGCCTTGTGTACCTTCAGGAAGTAGTTGTAGTGGTAACCGCAATTACTCTTTGCCATATTGCCTTGTCTATAGGATATTCTTTTTTTATTTCGGGCTTACTTTGCACTAATTACTTCTCTATTTCTCGAAGACCACGTCGTGACTGCCCCGGAGGCGTGGAAACATCCCATCAGACACAGAACCGCAGTGCGCCCGTCTATTCCATGGAAGACACATTCAATGCTTGTCGAAAGTCCCAAACATTTCCTGCAGTAGAGAAAACTATCTGGGTGGATATGTATAATCAAATTAAACCCAACCTCAAATAGTATTGAGTCTCATTCTTGATCTTTCCAACGATACTCGGGTCTATCTTCCATCATATATAGTACAACCTTCTCAGATCGCCATAAACAAAACATTACCATATAACCTACTCCTTAGCAATGTGGTGGTGAGCTGCAGCACAGGTTTCATAGCCAGTCTATCCCTACTCTCCTGGGAACTATATTCCCTCGTCCGATACCCCGGCAATGAGACACGTTTATACCAGGAAAGATGCAACCACCGAAACAACACCAACCCGACCAACCCCTGGATCTACAACAAAATCCACAGCCTAAAATTTCTCGACTCCTTCATCTCCTTCATCAACGAAATCATCCGCCTCCACAGCCCCAGCTTCCAGACAGCACGGAGCGCCAAACAAGACGCAGTTCTACCCGGCGGGTATTTGATTCCCAAAGACGCCATCATGATTGCAAGCTGTGCAAGTCCGCACAAGAACCCTGTCCACTGGGATAACCCGCTGCGGTTTGATCCTGGTCGCTGGGCGCAGGACGGTTTCGCGACTCAGAAGGCCCATCAGGGGTCTTACACCCCTTTTGCGGCAGGAAGGCGCGGTTGCGTGGGGTTCTGTCCGATCCCAAGTTTGTGGTAGTAATGACGGTGGATTTCTATGCAAGGATAACAAGGAGGGTGTGTATATAATGAATATTGGGTCAAGTCCCAATTATGACTGCGCATCGGAGTTACTAGTTTTCAGTCTGGGGTTCTTATACAGAATTTTTAGAGGTCACACAACTAAAAGATTCAATTCGACCTCAGTCATGCTAGATACTGTGCGTTGGGTGGTGCGACAGATTGCTTGCTAGCGGGTTCCTTTTCGGGTAAGCGCGTGTTGCGCGGCCGGAGGGTCTTCTTGTTGTACATCCCTCTTCTCTTCCCTTCTCCCATCTCATTGCTTCACCTCTTTCCTCCTCTCTTCAATGGACTGATACCAGTCCCTTCAATGCAGCGTGTCTCTGATGTACACTACAGGAAATAGAACGAGCTCTGGGGCCCTGACCATCCAAGCAGAAACGGTTGACGTCGCTGGTGCCCCTCGGGTCTAACGCAGAGCTGGTTAATTCTCTCTAATCATACCTCTACACCTAGAATCGCACGGTATCTGCCCTCTCGATACTCCGCATACCTGTCACCGATCCATCTTGACCAACGCCTTCCCGCATTTCGATGTCCTCTACATTGATACCGCTAAGAAGATTTCCCACACGTTTTCGTCCGGTGTCGTGAATTGGGGAGGAACACTGGGCTGTGCAGCAGTCGGATGTCCCTGGACTATTCCCCAAGACTTGCTCGAACGAACACTTTCAAGCCTAGCACTGCCATGAAAGGCTGCCATATTACCAGAGGACGGCCAATATGGGGCCTAGTGCGTTAATGTTATTTACGCGCGGGGTAGATCGAGTCCTCTAACCTTCAGTCCGTACAGGTCCTGAGTATCTTAAACCATTACGGAGTTGTCGCTATAGCATTACACTTTGTCTATCACACCCTCTGCCAGGATTATAAATGGCTTTGCACTCGGCACGACGCCTTGGAGTTGCTTCTTTTTTGGCACGCTGATCTCTACAAGCTCTGACTGAAAATCCTTCGACTCAATTGAGAACCTGATCCTGCCGCTGCAGCTTGGTGTGACGTCGCGGGCAGAATACGTACTGCCTGCACACATTGCCGCTTTCGAAAGGTATGGCCATTTAGAATCGATATTCTGTGCCTGAAGCCGTGGGCGAATAAGTATACTCCCATTCAGTCCACTATCACGTTGACTTTCTAACTACCTGAGACGGAAGACGTCAGAGATGTCAAATATCCGTTGCGATAGGGCTCAATTGCGTGCTTTCAGAAAGTCGGGGGCCGAGCAAGGGACAGAGAAGGGGAAAAAAAGCCACTGGAAAGCAAGTAACCAACGAATGGGCAAATGAACAAGCAAAAGTCCCGGTCGCAGGATCGAGTCCCTAGCAGGTTCCTTCAGGAAGTCCACGTGTACCACGTAACGCGGTCGCCTTGTTATCTCTCCCCCCCTTATCATCACGCAAGCTTACGCGGATGCCGCAACACAACCACAACTCCTCACTTTGTTGGGAACGCCCCAACTTCTGGGTACCGATATTGCTTCCCGAATTCATGATCCATTGGGATGGAATCATCAAGCTGTGCGAGCGACGGCTCGTTTGGCCCTACTGTTGAGGGTTGTCGCGGAGACTTCGATTTCACGCTCAAATTTGAAAATATTGTTCTCTCGATCCTCCCGTCGGCTGTGTTTATTACCCTCTCGATTCCGAGAGTCATTTTGCTCGCCCGCAGACCGTCCATAGTGGGCGGGGCATTTCTCCAGTCTGTTAAAGTTGTATGTCTCGTCGTCCCATCTGAATGGTTGAAACCCTGAAGCGTCTACAACTGACCGGTGCTCCAAAACTCGAAGACAGCGGCTGTGATTCTCTCGATATTATGGCTTGTCCTTCTGGTTCTGAGCTGTATCGAGTCACTTACCTTGCCTATCCTGTCCACCACGGCCAACTCGCTAGATTTCATTGCGTCGATAAGCATCTCCCTCCTGGCCATTCTCGAGCATTCTCGCTCTCTTCGACCGTCAATTCTACTGAGCGCATTTCTCTCGCTGACTATCCTCTTTGAGATCGCCCGAGTCCGATCTCTCTGGCTGTTAGCTCATACTCACTTTGAGTTAATCTTTGTCAGACTTTTCACTGCGGCGATTGTTTTGAAGGCTTTTCTGCTTCTGTTGGAATCCCTGCACCATCAGAGGCGGTCACAGTGCGACCGGAAGGCACATAGCCCCGAAGAAACCTCAGGGCTATACGGGCTTGGCACCTTTCTCTGGCTTCTTCCCCTTGTTATGTCTGGCTATAAGAAGACACTGGATTTATCAGATCTTTTTCCTCTCGAACGACGTGTGGCGGTAGAAAACCTACAGAAGACCTTCGCGAAGTATGCGCAGCGCAGCAGCTTTCACGGAGACCAGAATGGGTTGGCAAAAGCAGTTGTTCGCACATTAGCGATACCCTTTCTTCTGCCAGTTGCGCCTCGACTCGCCCTGGTCGGATTCACACTTTGTCAATCCTTTCTCATTGAGACGATATTAAAATGGCTCACCGATCCGGACACCGACCTAACAATCAAGAAGGGGTATGGCCTGATTGGTGCGACGGGATTGGTGTACGCAGGGATGCCGATTGTCACTGCCCTCTATTGGTATCTCCATGAACGCGCTTTGTTTATGCTGCGGGCATGCTTGGTCTCGGCAATATACGAAAGGACAACCCAGAAGCAGATTTCCGCTCAAGATGACAAGGCGGCTGTCACATTGATGAGCACTGACGTTGAAAGGGTTCAGATGGGCCTCATGCAGCTGCATGAATTCTGGGCCAATCCCCTCCAAGTGGCAATTGTGAGCTGGCTCCTCCAGCGCCAGATCGGGACAGCCTTTGTAGCGCCTCTGATTGTTGTCGTTCTCTGCGCCATCGCATCTAGTTTCGTGATGCGATTTGTTGGCCCGAAGCAAATGGCTTGGATGCAGGCAATTCAAAAGCGAGTCGGGCATACTTCCACCGTGATCGGGACCATGAAACACTTGAGGATAGCAGGACTGACTCAGCCGGTTGAGGGATCAATTCAAAGGTTGCGCAAGGACGAACTCAACGCTGGAGATAAATTTCGAACCTTTCTCGTCACCTCTGTGGGCATTGGATTTACACCATTGCTTCTGGGCCCCGTATTTGCTTTCGCGTTTACCTTTGGCAACTTGGATCCCACTACCATCTTCACCTCCCTTGCCTATCTCCAGCTCCTCTCCGGGCCGTTTTCTACACTCTTTCAAGTCGCCCCGCAGCTGCGTTCGGCTTTTGCATGTCTGTCGAATCCAGATATATTTAGAAGAAGAGCCTAGGTATGATTTTCGCCAACTCGTGGTGACAAATGCGCCTCGGAATGATGCATCCCGGGACGAAAAGGCTTCCGAGGCGAAGTTGCCATCGCTGGTGAAAATCACAGCTGGGGGCTTCGGCTGGCAGACCGACGCTTTGACGCTGAAGAACATCAATATTTCAATATCCGCAGGTCTGAACATGGCTTTTGGTCCTGTTGCCTGTGGAAAGAGCACACTTTGTAAAGCATTGCTAGGAGAGACTCCGATTGTATGCGGCGAAGTCTTCGTACGGACCAAGTTTCGCCAAGTCGGATACTGCGAGCAAATTCCCTTCCTCCCCAACGCGAGTATTCGCGACATCATTCAAGGCATTGACGCCTTTGATGCGGAAAGATATGCGAGTATTATTGACGCAACAATGCTTTCTCGCGACTTGCAGTTGCTTCCCCAAGGAGACCAGACCCAGATCGGTAGCGAGGGACTCGCCCTCAGCGGCGGTCAAAAACGGCGAATTGCGCTGGCCAGAGCATTGTATCTTCAGTGCGATCTGTTGATTCTGGACGATGTTCTCAGCGGACTGGACACCGCGACCGAGGAGCACATATTTCGTGCCGTGTTCGGCCCTTCAGGTATTCTCAAGGCTAGAGGAGCGATTGTGATACTCTGCACAACTGCTATTCGACACCTCCCAGCGGCTGACTTCATCATCGCGCTGGGAAAGGACGGTACAATTGTGGAAAGGGGACTTTACAACGAGCTTGTCGCAAATCGCCACGCTCTCCGCGGTCTCGATTCGCAGGCCGCCGCCAGCGAAATATCTCCTCCACCATCCACATCAACAGTCTCATCGCCACCCACACTCCAATCTCCAACTGCTGGTCAGAAAGCACTCAGTACTAAGCTCAAAGTCAACGAATCGAGCAGAACTATGGGTGATACTACTGTTTTTGCCTATTACTGCCGAAGCATTGGCCCTGTCCTGCTCGTTAGCTTTGCTGCATTTGGCATGTTTTGTGGGTTTCTCTTCAACTTCCCCACGATCTGGGTAAGCTATTGGAGCACCGATGCCTTCAGCCAATCCAAGTCTTTCTATATGGGGATATACGCCCTCCTACAATGTCTGGCCCTGACCAGCGTTCTGAGCGAGGCAGCCATCGGTATGCTGACCATCATCCGCACGGCTGGATCGCGTCTGCACGATGCAGCGTTGCGAACAGTTATTTCCACCCCCTGGTCCACCTTATCACAGACCGACACTGGTATAATCACCAACCTCTTCTCGCAGGATTTGAACCTGATCGATGGTGAACTTGCGCAGGCATTGATCAACACCTCCCTGCAGCTCTGGATCGCGATCGGAGGGGCCGCGGTGATCGCCATCTCCTCGCCCTACATCATAGCCGCCTACCCCTTCATCCTGGCACTCCTCTACGCGATCCAACGATTCTACCTTCGCACATCCCGCCAGCTCCGCCTCTTAGATCTGGAAGCCAAGAGCCCGCTCTACACGCACCATCTCAACACGATCAATGGCGCAGCCACTCTCCGAGCTTTCGACTGGATCAAGCACTCAATTTCTGTGAACAACACTTTGCTCAACACCTCCCAACGCCCAGCCTATCTCTTGAATATGATCCAGCGATGGCTGTCCTTTGTCCTCGACATCGTCGTCGCCGTGCTATCCGTGCTCATCGTGACCCTGACCACTCAGCTTCGTACCAGCCCCGGCTTCACCGGCGCCAGCTTAGTCTCCCTCATGAGCTTTGGTAAGACGCTGGCTGGCCTGGTGCGGATGTACACTGTCCTTGAGACATCTATTGGTGCTGTAGCGCGTATTAAAGCGTTCGGCGATGAAACTGGCCCCCGCGAGGAGAATCGGCCACTTGGGGAGGCGGATGATAGCGTGGGACTCCATGCGACCTGGCCTGATAGGGGTAGAATTACTGTCCAGCATGTTTCTGCTTTGTATAGGTAAAGTTTCCTTTTTGCGTTTTCGTATTTTTGATGCTGAGTTTTAATTTTGAATCATATGCGCAGCGGTGAATCAATGAGTGCAACTGTGGACAATTCACAGGACCTGGCCCTTCGAGATCTTACATTCTCAGTTGAAGCTGGACAGAAAGTGGCTATTTGTGGGAGAACCGGAAGGTCAGTTTAAACCGGATCCAGGGCCAACACATTACTCACTGATCATCAAAATCCAATAGCGGTAAATCATCCGTGATTCTCCTCTTGCTTCGTCTTCTGGACCCAGTCCAGTCGTCGTCCAATACCAACAGGAACACGATACTAACGATTGACGGTATACCCCTGCAAACAATCGACCACTCCACTCTGCGTCGACGTCTCATCGCCGTCCCACAAGACGCCACCTTCTTCCCAGCCGGGACCTCCTTCCGGACGAACCTCGACCCATTTTCCGAGGCAACTGACGCTGAATGCCAGGCGGTCCTGGAGCGGACAGGTCTCTGGACCCTAGTGACTGCGCGCGGGGGGCTCAGCGCGGCGCTGACGCCTGACACGCTAAGCCACGGGCAGAAGCAGCTGTGGAGCCTGGCACGCGCCGTGCTGCGGCGCCGTCTGCGTGACGGTGCGAGGGAGCAACAGATCGTGGATAATCTCGCTTCTGCAAAATCAAGATCGGTATCAGTGTCAATAGATTCCCCTCGCGTGCCAACCGGCGGGGTTTTGCTCCTTGATGAAGTCGATAGTGGGGTGGATGTGGAGACGCAGAGGATGATGCATGATCTCATCTGGAGTGAGTTTGAAGGGTATACGGTTGTTATGGTGGGGCATCGGTTGGACATGGTGGAGGAGTTCGATAAAGTGTTGGTGATGGATGCGGGTCGGCTGGTGGAGGAGGGGTCGCCGAGGGAGTTGATTGACATTCCTGGGGGGTGGCTTAGGGGGCTGTGGATGGTTGGGAGAGGGTGATTCCTGCGTGGGGGTTTATGTATAACCTCAATGTAGGGGCAATCGAGTTTGTACTTCTTCAATACCTGGTTGCCCTCCAGCATCCTTTTGCAGTTGTGATTCTCCGTCTGCGATTTTCCATCAACGTCGAACATCCTCCAGGTTGGTCGGCCAAGATGCGCTAGCAGGGCAGGCGACGAGTACACCCCCCTATATTATAAACCATACCTATATACATTAACCCTTCTCTAGGCATCCCTGGGATCCATCGATGAAAAGACAAACAGAATAGACGCTAGCCCTATAGAGTGCAAATATATGGACACATGAATCAAAGCCCCTCGACCAGGGTCCAGGTGTCCAAACACCTGGACCAGCATAACAATCCCAAATCCACCCGGAAAATAGTCCATAAGAACCATCAAATAACGTTCAAAGACACGCCCGACATCCTCCCAGGCAACTCAAACACTGCCTCACGACCACCCCCTCCCCGGGATCCAACTCAACCATCGGACCCTTCCCCGGCTCTAATTCAAAGAACGGCCCTCTCTCCGCCCCCATCTCATATCTTTCCTGACTGTGCAGTTCGTTCCGCTGGTCCCATATACTATCCGGGGCCTCTACAGGCACGAGCTGATGCGTTAAAGACCCGGGGCCTTGGTGCATTTGTGTCTCTGAGATCTGATTCTGGTCCCGGATGGCTGTGTCCCTCCTCTGTCGACGACGGCGGATGCAGAGGGCGGATAGAAGGGAGATGATTAGAACGCCGCCGACTGTGCTGCCGATTATAATACCGATTTTTACGACCGGGGAGAGAACGTTGTTGGTCTTTGTGGGGGTGCTGGAGGTGGTGGGTTGGGGAGTACTGGTGTTTGATGTCGTGGAGTTTGTTGAGCGCGTGGCGAGCACTTTCCATGTGTTCTGCCAGGTGTCTTCCCAGCTGTTTGTTGAGCCGGAAATGGTGGAGTCGTTGTCGCCGATTGTGACTGTGTCGACGATGAAGGATCCGTCCGGTCCGGGTGCCTGGGCGAGAAACCATTTGCCTCCGAACCAGTTCACGCCAACGAAGGCTGCTTGCAGAAACGCACGACCCAGAGCAGGTGTACTATTCGTGGCCATGCAAGGGAAGTACTGCGTTGGTGTCTCCACCAGGGGGGCCTGCAGAGTGAGATTCAACAGCGCAAAGGGCGCCTTGATGGTGATATATTCATTATTGAGATTATTCTTGCCGAACCTGAACGCCAGATAACTCGGAGAAGTGACGATGGCATCGAACTGCGGGTCGGAGGTATTCCAGAAATAAAGACCATAATCCGGCTGGTACGTGACGGGCAACTCCGCAGCGAGGGCATCACAGGCGCTCTGAGGCAGATACAGGTACGGATTTGCTGGATCGACAATAACCCTAAGCCCGGAAGCGAGGGAGGAATTCCCCTGCGCCAGGAGACCGGACTTGTTGGAGTAGTTCCAGGGCGATCCGCCCTCTGCCACGCCGATGCCCAGATCGAACAGCTCGATCGGAAAACTCCCGCTCGAAAACGCCTGCGCCGATACGTCTCCCATCACGCGGTTCTGGTCGTAACCACCCAGTAAAAGCGAGCCTGGGATCCCCAGCGGGGCAGAGCCAATGTGCATTCCGTATGAATACGACGGGATCTCCAGCGACCCGGACTGGTCATAGAAATAGCTGGTGATGAAGGTGGCGTTGATCTTGATCACCGCCCCGAACGTCTGGTTGATATCAGGACTCCCGAGCGATAGAATTCCAACCTCTAGCGGATACGCCTGTCCACCGGGATAGGTCTGCCACCCCCCGGCTATCGTGATCAGGTCGACTTCCGGAACGGCGGATCCATCAATGGTCATCCAGTCTATCGCGCGTGTTGCTCGGGCGTACACCGGTACCGCGTCCGTGTATCCCCAGGACAAGTCGCCCCAGTTTCCGTCTGGGGCTGTTTCGATCGAGGTGTTATCGAGGGTAACGGATATATCGCTGTCGAAGAGACCGGCTATATCCCCATAGCATACGGACGAGAGCGTCTTGTTGTCGCAGATCGAGGACAGGAGGATCCTGCTTTCCCAGCTCCCGCCCGGATACAGTGCCACCTCGGATGATGGCACGACCAGTTCGGTGTAGTTGCTCCCCATGGACACGGTGACTGCTTGCCACGGGCCGTCGGGTCCAAATTGTTTGTCCGACCAGGTCACTTGTCGCGGGACGGAGCAGAGGGCGCGGTTGAGGCTGAGGATCCAGAGGAGGGCATGATGCTGTGGGAGCCTCATTTCCTGATTGAATTGTCTGTTGGCGATCATATAGGGTATGTGTTAACAGGAATTTATGTGAAGAGGCTCACTCGAATCATAGAGGTAAGGCGGGGAGATTATCCTCGAACATTTGGCAGAGGGCTGACTTGGAAGTTTCCGAAGGTTTTCTGGGAAGGATGTTAACCTGGATCGATGGCGGGCATACCATGGCATAGGATACCTATATCAGGAACACTAAGCGCCCCTAATGTGTTGGTTGTTTGTACCTAGCCGCCTGGGCCCTCATGTTAGCATTTTGCGAAAACGTCCTAAGTGGACGAAACGATGGGAATGTGATCATCCTGAACACAGAACCCATATAGCACACACGCACAGAAGAAACTACTGTATGATCCAAGCATGGACTTGCATAGTCAACGGATTATAAACAAATGGGAATCAACGATTGACCGTTAGCTGACAGGGTTTAGAGAAAAGCGCAGGGTCGGTGTCTAAGAATAGTGGTTCCATGCAACACATAACGCATGTTAGCGCTGAGGTGGAGTCCGGGTATTAACTCCAGATCAATCCTATCAAACTCACATAGGGCAGACAGTAGAGGGGTACAGCGGGAGACAGAACGGAAGCGATCAAGATCAACCAATCAGAAAGCCAGAATACGCCCTGCATTTATCGCCTATTTATACTGTCCCAATCTGCCATCGCCACGAGCCTTAGCGCGTGTCAGGTCCTGCATGAGCAGCGCCTAACCGCCCATTCATGCCTCGAGGCCACCCGCTGCCCTAGGGCTACAGACGGTCAGACCCTCCGACCACCCCCAAGACATCACCCTCTTCTCCTCCTACCTTCCCAAACGTGTCGCAATCCTATCATTCCTCAATGGCAACCCGTTCCCTCCCTCAACCATGATAACCATGCTCTCGCCATCCCCGAGAATCCTCCGCGCCCTCTTCCTAGTCATATCCTCTCTCCTCGGGATCGCGACATTATCACAACTCCCAACCCCGGCAACACCACCTCTGCGCGACTCCAGGACGCAAATTGACTGGTCGCGATTCGCATACACCCAATATGCCACCGATCGGTCGTACCTGTGCAACTCGCTGATGATCTTCGAGGCCCTGCACCGACTACAAAGCAAGGCCGATCGCGTGTTGATGTACCCGTCGAGTTTCATGAAGTCGGAAGATGACCGTTCACCGGAGGCGCGGTTGCTTCGTTTCGCGAGGGATGAGTATGCTGTTAAACTCACGCCGGTGCAGGCGATTCTGAAGGGTGGGGGCGGTGGTATGTTGTCGCATTTCATCTCATCATACCATGTCCCAATTTCCTCGTTCTTTTCTAGAATTCCCCACTAAACATGATTTGAGAGCAGCCCCCTGGTCGCAAAGCTACACCAAGCTCCTCGCCTTCAATCAGACGGAATACGACCGCGTGCTTAATCTTGACTCCGACGCAACCCTCCTCCAGGTCTGTCTCTCTATATCCCCCCCCCCCCCCATCTCTCCCCCCGAGCTAAGTATCTCCCACCCAGCCAATGGACGAACTCTTCCTCCTCCCGCCCACCCCCGTCGCCATGCCCCAAGCCTACTGGCTCGACCCTACAGACCGCATCTTCACCTCCGGCCTCATGCTCATCCAGCCCTCCACATCCGAATTCCTGCGTCTAATGGACGAAGTCTGGGACGAGACGACCTCCCCCGCCATCTACGACATGGAAATCATGAACAAGCTCTACGGCGACAGCGCTGCAGCCATCCCGCACCGTCCGTACCTCCTTCTCACCGGCGAGTTCCGTTCCCAGAACCACGAGGCCTATCTGGGTAATGCGCAGGAAGAGTGGGACGCGCAGCGGGCTTTGGGGCAGGCGAAGTATTTGCATTTTTCGGATTGGCCGGTGCCGAAGGTATTTCTCACTCTCACAGCTCAGCTCCCTTTTCCCTCCCCCAGGAACGATGTGGTATGTTTGGTGTGCTAACGGGCTTGTTTGGTGGTGATTATAGCCGTGGGTTCCGGCCACGCACTTTATTATTGAGCAGAGCCAGCCGCCGTGTGAGATTGATCCCGTGACGGGTGAGCGCGATGATTGTCGTGTAAGGGAGCTTTGGCTGGGGATTTATAGTGATTTTACGGCTAGGAGACAGGTATGTCTGATCTGGTCTGGTCTGCTGTGACGGACGCGATATGCAACGCTTGTACTAACTCGAACAGGAGATATGTGGCGCCGCGCTACAAGATGAAGACGATGAAGTTAATGGTGAAGAGGAGTCGTCATGACAAGACGGCTTGGATTTTCCAAGGATGGATGGTCTATGATTACGATAAAAATGTTCTTGCTCTTCTCCTTTACTTTGTAGACGACGCTGGCCGTTCTAATATATATATATACTATATATAGTATATGTATATATTCTCTCTCTCTCCCTGTTTACTAGATTTACGCACGACCACCGTGATATTGATTCGATTCATTTCTCTTTTTGAATTCCTTGCTATAAACCGACAACTGCGCATTGCGACCTAAAAAAGCATCGAAGAGCAGAATAGAGGAGGGCGGAGTGTGATCTTGTTGCGGGGATTCCATCCTGGCCTGCCTGGCATTGGATTGGCATCTCCAGTCTCCTGATAGAGACCGTAATGTAATGTGCAAAAAAGAATGACCGACGCAGGATTCGAACCTGCAATCTCTTGATCCGTAGTCAAGCGCCTTACCATTGGGCCAGCCGGCCTTGGATGATAGTTCACGAAGATTTAGTGCATGATAAACAAGAGGTAAAGGGAAGGGGCCCATGAAGAAACAGTGAACGTACAAGCGAAGCAATAAAAGTAAAACATGGATAGGGAAGCAGGTGGATGTTGTGATAACTCAGTCTAAACACCTAAACATATGGAATAGTGGCTACGAAATGGGAGTTGCAGGTTTGATAATCGACTTGACATGTCGTCACTCATACATTGATCTATTACTCGTTCGTTGCTATATAACAGTCATATAGACGTAAAATGATATACAAAGGATTGGATATCTCCTTAGTTGCGGCGCATGGAGCGCTTGGCGACACCGCGCTTCTTGAGGACACCCGCGTCGACGAGGGACTCGTAGTGGCCGGGACCGAAGTCGGGCTCGCCGCCCAGGGTGCCGAAGATGTCACCGATGTAGTTGCTGGGCTTGACGCCGGCAGCGAAGGTGGAGTTCCACTCGGCGAGGATACCCTCGACGATCTTGACACCGGCGCGGTAGATGTTCTCGACGGAGGGCTCGTAGGAGCCGGTGCTGGCGTAGAGGAGGTTGTCGCGGGCGGACTGACCGGGGTACTCACGGTCGAAGTCGGAGGCGGTGCGCATGACGATGACGCGGCTGAAGTCGGTGATGTTGAACTTGGCCGCGCGGAGGAGGGCCTCCAGGGTGGCGTTGTCCTCCTGGGCGCTGGCGCAGTAGTTGCCGGTGCCGTTGGTCAGGAGCGAGGTGTAGTTGCCGAAGGTCTCACCGAGGATCACGCCGCTGTAGTAGACGTCGCTAGTGGCGACGTCGCACTCGACGACGGAGGGGGCGCGGGTGCCCGCGGCGTAGATGCCGTCGGGGGTCGCGTAGTTGGCGCGGTAGGCCTGAGCCTCCTCGCTGTCGGCCAGGGTGGCGTTGCTGGCGAAGCTGACGGCCAGCTTGCGCAGGTTGTCGTTCACCTCGAACACCTCGGTGCCGTAGATGCTGCCGGGGTACTGCCAGGGGTAGTAGGAGCCCTGGGGGAAGTAGCCGGTGGTGGCGTTGGCGGGCATCTCGCGGATGTCGATCTCATACTGCAGGGCGACCTGGACGGCGTAGCGGGCGAAGGTCACACTACAGATGGTGGTCTCCTCGGGGTTGACACCGGCGATACCGGCGATGAGGAAGTAGGTGTGGGTGAGGTCGAAGATGGGGTTGAAGACGATGGACGAGACAGTGACAGCGGCATTGATCTCGGACTCGCCGGTGACCAGCTGGCAGATGCTGTAGTCGGCGGTGCAGTGCACGTCGGGGAACAGAGGGGACGCTCCGGGGATGGTGATGTTGTGCGCCAGGATGTCGAACTCGTCGATGCCCCACCAGATTTCGGCTTCAGGCTCGAACATGGAGACGATGAAGACCTTGGGGGTGATCTTCTGCTCGGGCTGGGTCTGTCTCACGGCGAGACCCTTGGCCGCGGGGATGGAACGGGCAGCAGCCAGGGAGGACAGGCAGCTGCTGGCGAGCAGCAGGCCCGTGGAGAGGGATTGAAGGAGCTGCATGGTGGGCGGGCGAGGCGAGGCTTGTCTGGAGAGAAGACCGTTGCTGGCTGGCTGGCTGGCTGGCTGGTGACTGCCGGGGCCGGGCAGGAGGAGCTTTTATAACCGCGCGTGAGGGGTTTTTTCTCGCATCATGGGGAGTCATCGGCGCTGGCCGATCCACATCCAGCTGCCCACATTCTGGAAAAATTTGAATCCAGGCTGGCTGATTAGGAAGGATCCGCGCTGATAGCGGAGACTGAGCAGTTGGAGCCTTCGAGAAGGGACGGACAGGCCAATGATAGCCGGCAATTGACCCCATCGGAGCTGTAGCTCATCCGCGAACCGAACCGGTTGCTGGGTGGTTGCAATGGGGGCCCACCGACAACGTGAAGACTTGGGGCTGCGGACCACGGCGGAACTTGGAAGGCATGACCACACGACACGTCCTGCACGTCAACCACATCGGACGGATCCATGGTCAACTCCCATCGAGCGTTGATAGCAGATAGAGAGAGGGCCTTGCCGGCGGCGAGATCCGAGGGCTAACGCAGGAACAACAGACGGCTGGAGGGCTCGCGATAGTCGATGGAATGGCGTATCGTGACGGCAGGAGATAAGAGTGATAGATAGCGGGCTATCGGGGAGCGATTTTAGCGGGCGAAACAAATTAATTTAGATTGGCTTATCGTGGGTGGCCTATTACCAACAGCCCAGTGATATCGGTCCCCACCGGAAGACCTTTCACCCCGTGCGTCCAGCATTGTCGCATTGCATGGGTGGGAGGGTCTGATAGCGATGGTGAGGGGGGATGGCAGGCAGCAGAATATCGTGCAGCAAGGAAGGTGGCAAAGCTGAAGCAGGAGAATCAGGAGAAGCAGAAGCAGAAGCAGAGAAAATGAAGCCGAAGAAGGCGAAAGGCGGGGTCGAGAGCACGTGCCGGTCGCCCCAACAAGACAAGGCCGGGCAGTCGAATATGTCAAATGGATGAAGCCATACAGTGTCTAGTTTTGATTATTGCGACCATATGAGATGTGAATGTCCGGGGTATATATTTTGTATATTTTCCCTTGACTCTACAGACGCGACCGAGGATTGCTGCACAGCCAATCAGGCGATAGAAGGAGTGGACCGGAAGGAACCGGCTGCCGTGCTGCAAACAAGGCAAACCCCGGAGGAATGCGGAGGGAGACAATGAAAGATCATGTGACTATCCTTCCGCCTGACAGGCACGTGACACTTGCCATTCTTGGCCATGGCCGTCTTCTTCTTCCCCTCTCTCCCCCTTTTCCTCTGGTTCAGGATCAACAATGCCCTCGAGGGTCTCTGCCATGTCTGGATGTTGAGTAGCAGGGAGCAGGGACTGCCTGCACGAACCCAGAATAGTCGCGCAACTACCCCTGGATCAGTGTCTCTGAATGATACTTCTTTAACTTACCTCTCCAGGATATCCGTCGTCTCAATTAACAATCCAAGCCCCTGCAAGATCGTCGATCGCAGCCCACATGGACAACAAGACCCTGGAATACCGGAGACCCAACTGTCGGAAACCGTTAAACGCACCAGCAGAGCCCGCTGCATGCCAAGATCGACCTTCTCTCCCTGGTCCACATCCCAGCCTCAGAGGATGTGTTGCTTGGCTTCGGGTGTCTAAATATTCACCCGATATGGTCGATCCCTGGCCCCGCGCGCAAGAGGATTCATCCTGGTCGGTCTCCGACCATCCCCGCACATGGATGGCGGATTCTGCGCGCCACAAGGCATCGGTGGACAGTCCACGCGGAAGCCTGCCTGGATGAGATGGTGGACCCGGGAGGACCCTGTGAGCAAGTGCAGCTCATCGGGTCCACCCGGCGTGCCGGACCGGTGACATCCTGGCTTCTGGTACTCTTCTGGTGGGTTTCCGCTGCTCGCTGTCAACCCGCCCGCGCACCTTTTATCGGTGAGGTCGCAATCTGTCGATGGAGCGTACCATGGTGTCGACCTTTGTAGCGGCGCCGTGATGTCGGGTACGCGAGCCACGCTTGGAGTGGACAGCAGTCGTGTACGCTGCCATACTGCGGTTAGATGATCCGGAGAATCCTGCAGGTGCACGACGAAGTGGAGCAATCCGTAGAATGGGCTTCACGGGTGATGACTGGTTCTTTCCTAGGGGACGCATGGATGATAAAGCGTAAGTATAGACGTATGAATATCCAGGCAGACGGTCAAGCGGTTGTAGTAGATGGGAGATACAGGAGATACTAATGGCCAAGCAACGGCCAAGCAGCAGCCAAGCAGTGCCAGTACATCAGCTGGGTCCTCCAGCTGAGTGGTTATCTGGACCAAATATATACTCCTGGATGTCTGAATGCATCATCCTGCTTCATAGACTTGTCCCACCGACCGTTACCTCGTGCCACTGATTATCACGCATCTATCTTTAGATGGATTGGATCCTTCACCGGGCATACTCACACCATTAACCCACTCGCGACACGCCGATCTCGGGAAATATCTCCTTCGCATGACGACGAGGATGTCATCGGCCGGGAAGACGTCATGCACGTGGGGTCCGACCCCATGACGTCACCTCCCCTCCTCCCGCCCGCCTTTTATACCCACGCTGTCTGGCTCCAAGCCGGCTTTCCTGCTTGCCCTCCACGCCGTGCTGTTTTGTTGTCCATAGACTGAGATACCCAGGTGAGTTTCTGTCTCGCGTATAGATATCTGATCTGTGTTGAGGGGGAGTTAAGTTAACAGTGACAGGTTGACTTGATCACCGCTTCCTTACCTTGCCTCCATACCTCCCTCCATCTCCACGACACACCTACCTTCCCAACCTTCCCCCTCAAACCACAAACACAACCCACACCCACCAAAATGGTCGGCTCCATCCACGAACGCATCCGCGAAGACCTCCTGGCCAAAGAGCGTCGGCTCTGGACGGCGCTCACGTCCGCGGACCCGGGCCCCGAAATCAAGAAGATGTGCAACGAGGAAGCGAACCTCCTATTCCCCAAGCGAGACATCCTGCACCTGCACTCGAAGCCCTCGATCAGCGAGGCGCTGAAGCCCCCCTTCCACCACTTCGAGGAGTACGAGCTGCAGGAGGTGCGGGTGATCGTGATCGATCTGATGGCGGGCACGGTCACGTACAAGATCAACGCGCGGCGCGGGGAGCAGTCGTACCACGGGACGGGGTCGACGACGTGGAGTCAGGCCAGTGATGGGGAGTGGAGGATCGTGGTGCATCAGGAGACGCTGATGTGAATGTGAATAAGGAGGATTTGTATTAGGGATGGGATGGGATGGGGATTCAGGTAGATATGACAGACGCTGGCGATTCGTTTCGACTTCTATTTCCATTTCGATGTCTTGGGGGTTCTATCTATCTAGTCGTTGAGTGAGTACATTCTTGCTGCTGTTATTGAGTCACTTTGATGATGAATATTACGTGATATGAGACGATCCACCACACCACACCACACTACCAACCCAACCCAACCCAACCCAACCCAATCCAACCTAGTGTCCACCACGCAGTATCTACTATCAACCATCTACTATCTCAAGAAGTACTAGCAGAAACCTATTTCCCCTCGCCAATTGGCCCTGACCCAATCCCCCATAAGCAACCATCACGTAGTGCATGACCAGGCATAGATTTAATATATTGAACGACTAGGACCAATAAAAACGTTGCTTTTCGGGGGGGCCGGCCCGGGCTGACACCATTCTCCGTCAGGTATCACTAGTTAGTAATCGGTAATCAGTAATCACTGCATAATCGGGTCTAACGTCGGCCTGCGGAGCGACTAATCTACTAATCGACTAATCTCGGGGTTGGTCGGATGGGGGTGCAGTAGTGTGGTTTGGGTGGGATGTTCGTGAACCACCCCGGTGAAAGATAATGTAAGGGCAAAAGTACTTCGGAGTGTTTGTTTTGAAGGGAGGGTGGATGGGGTGGGGAGTAGGTAGCAGTAGGTAGTGGATAGAGAGTGGATATTGGATATAGGTAGGTAGGTAGGTAGGTAGATAGATCCCATCCATCGCACTAAAACAGGCAACTCATCCAAACAACCCTCTAGACCCCAAATCCAGACAGACAATCTAGGTAGACAACAACATCCAGACAACAACAACCATTGAAGACATGATGATATATGATATATGGCGAAGAGAAAATCAAATCGCACGCCCGAAAAAAGAATTAAAACCCAGCAAGACAACACCAACTCAACCAAATTCACTCTCAAACTCAGACCCCATTAGCGAACCCATCACCGCCGGCCTCGGTGTCAATCCTCACGGAATCCATCAACCCACAAACCTCAAACAGCTTCTTTGGCCCCATCCCCTCGGGCAACCCGACCACACCATCCTTCTTCAACTTCTCCAGCGCAGCCGTAATACCCATGTAGGCGGGGGTGATGCAGGCGAACGAGAAGATCATGATCCGGAAGCCCATCTCCTTGGCCTCCTGGACACTGATGACGGGTCCGGCGCCGTTCTCGACCATGTTGAGGAGAAGAGGCCAGGGGGCGAGGTCCTGGACGCACTTGCGCGCCATTTCCTTCGAGGTGAAGCCCTCAAGCAGGCCAACGTCGGCGCCCAGGTCGCGCGCGGCTTTGAGGCGCTTGATGCATTCGTCGTAGCCGTGTTGCTGGAGGGCGTCGGTGCGGGCGATGAGCACAATGTCGCTGCGGAGGCGGTCCTTGGTGATCTTGGCGGCACGGACGCGCGTGAGGTAGTCTTCCAGGCTGACGACGCGCTTTCCGGCGAGATGGCCGCAGCGCTTGTTTTGGATCTGGTCTTCGATGTGGAAGCCGGCGACGCCGGCGGAGATGTATTGTTGGACGGACTTGGAGACCATGAGGGGGCCTAGGAGGGGTGGGTTAGTGGGGGTTGGTTGAGGGTGGAGAGGAAGGGGAAGTACCTCCGTAGCCGGTGTCCATGTCTGCGATCAGGGGCGGCCCGTATGGGTCCAGGTTGGCGATCATCTCCGCGTTCGTCCTCATGTCGTAGAGCTGAGCCAGTCCCAGATCGGCCATTCCAAGGCGTGAGGCGGTTGTGCCGGCGCCGGTCTGTTGGGGTGGTTAGCTGGCTGTGGGGGGCGGAATACGGGGTGTGGTTGGGGTGGAGTTGGTTGAGGTGTGAAGAAGTGTCAAAAAAAGGTAGGATTGTTAAAGTGTGGAGGGATAATGTTGCAGCAGTGTAGAAGGAATGTTGAACATACCATGTACATGGCCTTGAAGCCCAGGTTCATCGCAATCCGGGCAGACAAACCGTCATACACACCCGGGCAGACGATGAGCTCGTCGGTCTCACGCAATTGCTTGCGCAGCTTGGTAGCACCCATGACCAGCTGGAGGTTGACGACAGGGTCCTGACGAGCGCCGTTGACCTCATAGATGCCGTCCTGCTCCACGGTGATGGTGATAGTGTTGGTCATGCTGATGGTAGAGGCAGAGTCAGGGGTATCAGCTACTTTCATTGTGAAATGGACTGGAGTGGAGTGGAGAGGAGAGATGGAATGGAAGCTGTTGATGATGAGAAGGTAGCTGAAGTGGCAGATGAACGGCAGCTTATATAGCTTTCGTCAGGGATATCTCCCCCCCTCCCCCGGAGGATGTGAAACCTGCAGTCGGAGCATGGCTGGCTCGGGGGAACATCTCGCCGTCGGCCATTACCAAGATTCAATCCCATTACTACATGGGGATGAGACTATCCCTACCCTCTTGCGGCGCCCCCTCTCGGAGTAAACGCCATTGTAACTCAAGCCCTTGGCCGATAGCCCTCGTCGACCCGGCGCGCCATCAACATTGCATATCGTCTTGGCCACCTTCCCCGATAGGGATCGGCCTGTGATTTGCCCCTGTGCCAGAGCAAAGCATGTCCGATGCAAGACGGCAGAGAAGGAGATAAGCTCGATCCCACACATCCCACACCTCCTCCAAATGGCTGGGCCTATGGAGGAGGCTTCAGCCGCGCGGTGCGCAGCGATAACCAGGTTACGGTTCCGTCGGGTGGGTGGAAGACAATCCCGGGAGTACTGTGGCCATGTGTGCTGGAGTGTCACTCTGTCACACTTCAGCACGAGTTCAGGGCTATCGCGACATAGGCAATGCATGTCAGACTCTCCGATCGCGCACGGGGCCGTTCTTCTTCGCCGCGGTCCAGCCGGGCAGCAGCCTCCGGTGTGTGCTCCTGTGAGGCGGCCTAGCCGGGGTGATAGGCGCTGGCGGGCTTGGATCTGCAGCGATAGACCCGTCTGATGCGCCGGGAAGTTAACGGCATGCTGCTATGGACCTCTTCTGGATAATCTGAAACCCTGACTGGCGAAGAAACCGGAGCACATTGGCGCCGGACTTATCGCTGACCAAGACGTGGCGGGAGGGGTCCGGGTAGAGCCTGGATGGATCAGATACCGATAGCACCATAGAGAACCAGTGGCCACTGATAGCTGTACAGACGAGTTGACGACACGCCGATGGAGCAGTGGGGAGCTGCACTGCGGACTCCCATCGCCGATGTTCACATATTAAGTGCGTCGTCGCTGCAAGGCCAAGTGGCTTGGCGCCGGGGAGGGGGCTAGTGTCGAGCCTGGAGCCCTAGCATGTGGTGCTTGGCCCCTGCTGCTATTGTCTGTGCTATAGCAGATTACATGCCGTACAATGCCGAGTGCCCTGCCTGCCTATTGCTTAATGGCGGGTGTCTCGCCCCGCAAGTCATCCTCCGTTCTTGGGAGGCCTTGGGAGCGAAAGTGTGATCAATTTTGTGTCACCGTCGCGAGCGTGGCTGGCTGGGCCCAAATGGACATTTCAGTCCGAGCCGGACTGGGTCGTCTGCGGGGCAGTTGAAGCCTGGGCCTGACAGAAATTGCGGGTGAAGAAAAGAGGAGCCAGCGACTATCGAGAGGATCGATTGGACTATCAGCTGTAGGCTGGAGCTGTGCCCAAGGCTATCCGGCTGGTACTAGCAGGCTAGCAGCGGCGAGGCGCAAATCAGCCGATTGGCCGCCGGGCCACAGGAGCAGGAGCTGTGCTGGCTTTCTTGGGGGTTTGTCCGTGGCTCGAAGGGGAGCAGGTCGGAGTCGAGGAGGTGACTCGCGTAGGGTTAGATCGTGTGCCCCGTCGAGGGTCTCCGGCTCCGGATTCGTCCGGCTTGGCCGTCTGGGCGATCTTCGGTGGCAGTTTTCAGCAAAGATCCGTCCGTCCCTCAGCCCTGCCCGTCTCTTAAATCAGAGTGGGTTTCGACACTGACGCTGGCCCGTTCCGTCGCTTGTTGTCTGCCCTGCCCCGGCTGTTGTTGTTGTTGTTTTTTCTCTGCCGCCGCCCCTATTGTCTTCCCCTATGCACTCCTCAACCACCACAACCACTACCATGGCTGAGGACTCCAAAGGCCAGTCTCGCCTGACGTCTCACGTCAGGGCCGAGTTGAACTTCAAATATTGCGACTTTCTGTTGCTGGCTTGCTGTTTCTGCTCCGGTCTGCTGGACAGCACCATGTACAACGGTGCGCCCCCCCCCCCCCTGCTCTGTCTGTGTGCGTCGTCGAATATTCTAACCCCCCACAGCGTACAACACCTTCGTTTCCATGCAAACAGGAAACACCATTTTCCTGGGTCTGGGTGCCTCCGGCCAGGATTCCCGACCGTACGACTGGGCCCGATCCCTGACGGCCATCGTCTGCTACGCGCTCGGGAGCTTCCTCTTCGCCCGTATCAACAACTTCCTGGGCCCTAAACGCCGCGGCACGCTCATCACCTCCTTCCTGCTGCAGGTGATCCTGCTCATCATTGCCGCCGCCCTGGTCCAGAGCTCGGTCATCACCAGCACGTTGGCCGAGGCCAAGGCCACCCCCTACATCACCAACTGGAGCCAGGAGGCCACGATCGTGCTGCTCAGCATGCAGTCGGCCGGACAGACCGTCGCCAGTCGTGTGCTGGGCTACAACGAGGTGCCCACCGTTGTGATCACCAGTCTCCTGTGCGACCTGATGATGGACCCGAAGCTGTTCCTGCTTCGCAACGAGAAGCGCGACCGTCGCGTCGTCGCCTTCATTCTGACCCTGCTGGGTGCCATCGCTGGTGGTGGGATCAGCAAGGCCACGGGCAACATCTGGGCGTCACTGTGGATCATCGCGGGCATCAAGTTCGTCATCGCGGTCGCGTTCACCTTCTGGCATGTCAAGAAGTAGATAGCTCGCTAGATAGCCGTGATTAGACCCTCTCCTCCATACAAACCAATCTCCATACGTACCTTACCTCTCTTCCTATTCTCCCTCCTCTTCCATATTTCATCACAACGCCACCCACACATTATCCTCCGCATAATTCTCGGGCACCCACGACTCCCGGAAATACCGCTCCAACACCACCTCCTGGTACGTCTGATCGTCGACGCAATAAGCGCCTCCAGTCGGGCCGATATGGGGGCAATGCACATCCGGGTTGTAGCGGACCATGTTATCGTGCACCTCGCGACACAGCAGGGTGTTCCGTCCCATCTCGTACGGCTGCCCGAACCGGATATCCCGGGTCAGGAAGACGTAACACGCCTCCATGGAGGGGTATTGCCTGTTTGCTCCGAGACAGTACCTCTCGTGTGTCTCACAGATCGTCCGAGCCAAGAGATCTGCCACGCGGGATTGGATCAGGGCGTGATCGGAGACGTTGAACTTGCGTCCGGCAGCTTGCATGATGGGTACGAAGAGAAAGTCCAACCAGCGGAAGACGGCATCATATTGGGCGATGCGGCCGGTCGAGCTGAATTGGAACCAGGCGGTGATGACGCCCGGGGCGACCAGGTCGAAGGTGGTGATGTTGAAGGTGATCACGGCGGTACAGGCGACGGTGTCTTGGGTTGCGGCGAACTGGGTGATGTTGTAGTCGATCGGGATGCCGAAGAGCCCCGGGTGATTGGGCTGAGAGAAGAGTCCGAAGATATACTCGTTGTTGAGGTCGCGGGAGGTGAAGGTGCGAGTCACGTCGACGCGGCCTTGGACCTGGGCTGTTGGTGGTGGTTGGGTGAGGGGAGAGAGGAGAGGGGGCTTACACTGGCTGTGAAGATGGAGGTGTCATTATCGCTGATGTGGGCGAGGTTGGCAGGGTAGAGGAAGTTGTCCCAGAAGTGGGTGGTCAGGGACCAGAGGTGGTTGAAGGTGAAGTTGGGTTGAGCAGAGGTGAGGGGGAGAAGGAGGAGGAAAAGGAGGAGGAGAAGGTCCATTGTGTTGAGATGTACTTCTCTACGCCGAGCAATCACCGCCACCGACCCGGTCAACCAGCACCTATATATGCATGCCTGAGGTTACAGGCCCGGTGCCTTTCTAGGCATCAAGATTCGGCATCCATCCCTGTCGCTGCTCGACTAAGCTCTGGCTTGCGTACGCAGATACTATATGCTGCATGGACTAGATCCGAGAGAGTAAGACTGTACAGCGGACAGCGAAGCTTGACTAGTTGAAGACTCGAAGCTGTGCTCGGCGATAGGGATGCGCATATAGTCATCACACTAAGCTCCTGGGGATGCGCGTAAGGCCGCCAATGAAGGCTGCAGTCGCAGTCATCATCTCGGATGCCTTAGCGAGCTCGCATCCCCATCGAGCCCTGCTGCCCTATAGGGCGGACTGTCCCCAACGGGCGTCCGGGCATCCGTGCATCCCTCCGATCAAGTCCCCCATTGGGCTTCCTCCCGGCACTTCCCGGTATTCCCTTACCGTATCAACGAGTTCTGACGTGCCGATTGCCATATGCTGACGCTGCATGGTTGTCGGAATATTTCCGACACGGAACGAGCGGTAACAGACCTACCTTCCTTGGTATCATATGTATGTATTGGTAAAGATGATCGCGAGCATGACAATGGCTCAAAAAAATCCCATTCTCCATTTGATTCAAAAAGAAATCGAATTAAGTTCTTATCTTTGATGACGGGCAGGTCTAAGAGGAGTGGACGACGGTAAAAACGGTCTAGTACAATATTTGTGGAAACTATAGTGGACGCATGCACATGGTCATAATGGTTACTTCAACACCTCCCGAGAATACCGCTCATATAGCTCCGGATACCATCGCTTTCCGACATCAGGGTGGCTGACGACACGGTTGCGGAGATAAGCCTCGCCAAACTGGGTTGTCAGTGTTTGGACTAAAGTAAGAGAAATGGGGGACATACGCATGCAAATTTCTCAGATAGAAACTCACTCGGCACGTCTTCGGCCCTCTTTCTGGTATTGTCGGATACAGGAACCCGCTCGACGATATGCTTTGCTGACTCGCGCAGCTGCGACAGTGTCAGGTCCAGGCGAACAGCCATGAAGAAGGGGATGCTGTAGCGAGTGGTGTCGGTTGGAGCCTAATCCATCAGCCTGATCTTGCGATACTAGTCAGGAAGTAGACATACAATGACTCTATGTGTCGTAGCAGCACACACGCCCCCGGTGATTGCCTCAAATCCCTGCTGAATATTAACGACCAGGCTGCCCTCAATGGGCGGTGCGTTGATCCATTCGCCACTCTTATTTAGCACCTGAAGACCCCCTATACTGTCCTGGGAGAGGAACGTGAATAGACCCGTGGAATCTTTATGCGGGCCCACGCCTTGCGAATCCGCCGGGGATGGCGGGTACTTGATGAATTTGAGACGGTCCATACCCCCTCGGTACGTATCGAAGGTGGTGGAAGGAAGGGATAGACATTCTGCAACGTAGCGCAGAAATTCGTTGGACAGGGTTGCGGAAGCGGTCATGTACTCCTCTACTAACGATTTTGCTTCAGGCGTTGGGTACTGTATCCGTTAGATACGTCCCGATGGAGTCTGGAAAGGGGGGGGGGGAATACCTGACCATCCCCTTCCAGACGACCCCAGATCGGCTGGTCCGGTGTCCACTCCTTCATGCCGGGGGAACCAAAGTCGAATTGCTACTGTCGTGAGAAACGAATATTACAGATAGACAGGGTGTATACCTCGCGCAGATCCGTCCTCGATGCGGTGGTCTCCGCCCCGAGACGGGTGTATCCGAGGAACGAGGGCGAATTTATCATATTGACGCTTTCTTTTACATCGGATGGGAGGTCAAACAGCCCCGGAAGCTCGGAATGGGCGCGTTTGGTGAGGGACTAGCCATTAGCTTTGATGGTGCATCTTCGGGTCTGCTTACTTCAAGTCCATGGTTCGTCAGGTACAGGAAGCCCACGAGGAAAATGGCATCGCGGAGTTGAGACAGAGTTGCGGGCTTGGTTGCGGGGTCCCGGAGACGGCGGAAGTCAATGATGGGGATGGAGGTGAAGTCGGACATGATGTGCTGATGGTAATGTTGTCGATAGAGTTGTGTGGGTCGAGTGTCCCGATGAGGGGATTCGGAGGGATGTCGCTGACTCAGGCCGAGGTTATTCACGCCTGCGATGACGTGCTCGGATGGCCATCTTAGTTGACCATCAGTTTGTCCGAGTGCCATAAAATAATGTATTGCATCTCACAGGGTGCGTTTTTACCATCGCAGAAACATGCATGCCAAAATAGGTCCTGATGTTCAAATAATACCACATGTATTTCAATACCCGGTAATTTTGATGTCCAGTGAATAGTATATATCTTCTTCTCTAACTTGAAAGTACACACTGCCAAAAAACGAGGATATTTTCTCAAACTCAGCACAACCCCTATAAGCACTGAGTTCATTCCTGACATTCCCGATTTTTTGCATTCATTTATGACAAAGTATTTCTTTCTTGACTTGGCCTCCCCAATGTTTGACTACTATCCTGATGCCCCCCCCCCCAACTAAGTCGCTTACTACACAGGGACTCACTGCATGGATTCTCTGGTCCATGATCCTCCGTAACAGGAGTGACTGAAACGGAGCCATTCACCTCCCCTGGCTAAACTTAGCAGCTCCATTGCCGAGAGATACCACGTCCTTGGCTTCTCCACACCCCAGAGGATATTGTGGTATGAATGCTATGAACCGCGAAGACAACATTAAAGATTAACCAAGCAATATAAATCCCCGACACGCCGAGTTCTTGGTATTTTAGACATCCGGATGTAAGAAGACTTCACTCCGGATCGAGAAAAGCTTCTGCCGCTTTTTCGCCCATTAGGGCTTTCGGGGGGGGGATACTTCCCGACAGACATCCATTTAACCCTTGTGGATGCACAATGCTCCTCGTCAGATGGCAGTGGTCATTTTCTCGAAGAAGATATTTTCATCTTCCATCTTCGTCTCAATCCTGTCAACTCCACCATTCGTCAAGTCCAAGTCGCCAAGCATGGTTCCTGGGCCAGTCCACCCGTTCCGCCAGCACAGCCACGATGAACCAGACAGCGCTCTCTTGGCGGCACCACTGAAACACCAGCGCCATTCGTGGCAGTCATTTGTCGCAGCTATACCAACCGCTGCCCTGACAAGCCCTTGGCTTTATCCCGACCTCTACCTCGAAACCATCCGATTGGTGCGGTGCCAGGTCCATTTGCAGAGAGCGTTGACCGGTATCTTGGCACTCCGTCCGAGGGTTCCTCTTTGCCTGCAGAGCTCAGTATCAGTCCACCATGATCGTGGTCCAGCCAAGCATGGAGTCGGTCCTGATGCTGGATGTGATTTTACTCTGGCGCTTCAAGCCGAATGATGCCGGTGCAACTGATATAAAAGGTCCCCTCAGGAGGACTTTCTCCCATCAATCCCCAACATCGTCGTTCTTTATCATAACCAACTCCTTCATTCATTAACAACCTTCTCTTCACAATGACCAATTTGAAGTGGATAGTTGCCATGGCTGGCCTCTTGTCAGCACAGGTCCTGGCGGCCCCAACCGCCACACTTGCCAAGCGCGCATCCGTCAACGATGTAAGTTTTCCATCCAGGAACCGAACACACCTAAACCTAACCTCCCCAGGCTGCCTTTGGCTATGCTAGCTTGAATGGCGGCACGACTGGCGGATCTGGCGGTACCACCACCACCGTCTCATCCTACGCGGCCTTCACCTCCGCCGTTTCGGGCGATGATGCCAAGGTGGTCTACATCGACGGCACTATCAAGGAGGCTGCGGACCAGGTGAAGGTCGGAAGCAATACCTCTATCATTGGCAAGGACTCTACCGCCATCCTCGAGGGATTCGGACTGTAGGTAGCCCCTTCAAAGCATCAAACCCAACTAACATCCACCAGTCTCGTCAAGGAAAAAGAGAATGTGATTATCCGCAACGTCGGAGTGAGCAAGGTCCTAGCTGACAATGGCGATGCCATTGGCGTGCGTAAGTAGCCCTACCCTCTCCAGGCGAAAATAGCTTCTGAATCGACAGAATACTCCACCAACGTCTGGATCGACCACTGCGACGTCTCGTCCGACAGAGATCACGACAAGGACTACTACGATGGCTTGATCGATGTCCGTACCCCCGATATAATCTACCACAGCCACAACCAGAACCCACTAACAAGACCAGATCACCCACGGCTCCGACTACGTCACCGTCTCGAACACCTTCATCCACGACCACTGGAAAGCCTCTCTGATCGGGCACTCCGACAGCAACGGCGACGAAGACACCGGCCACCTGACCGTGACCTACGCGAACAACTACTGGCAGAACATCAACTCGCGTGGTCCGTCCTTCCGCTTCGGTACCGGCCACATGTACAACAGCTACTACCTGGACGTCAGCGACGGGATCAACGCGCGTGATGGCGCGCAGCTCCTCGTCGAGTCGAACCAATTTGTCGACTCCAAGAAGCCGCTCTACTCCACCGATGACGGATACGCTGTGTCTAACGATAATGACTTCGGGGACGCCGAGAACAATGCCGAAGAGGGGAGTCTGACTTCCGTTCCTTACGAATACACACTCCTTGGATCGGACAAGGTCGAAGCTGCTGTCGTTGGCACGGCCGGGCAGACTCTTACCTTCTAGACATTGTCATATTTCTTTTAAGAGATGATCGACAGGAGAGGGATTAAAGAGGATCGCTTTGCTTTTCTCTCCTTTTCAATCCCGCCTGTCTGTATTTATTGTTGATATATACTACTCCACTCCCACACCCGAATCGAGACATTCACCCAACTGCAGATCCGATCTGCACCGTCAATAGATGCAGATAGATTATCTACCCAATCCGCCCTGTACCACCATGAATGTGATGAAAGACCATGTGACCGATCCTTCTTCGAACCCCGTAGAGCCGCTATCCCCGCCGATCCGGCAATATTGAGCATCCGAAACATCTTTTTCTTTCTTTCTTTCAATATTGCCCCCACGGTGAGATAATAGCTCGCTATGGCGTGCAGAGACGATCTGCTTCTGTGAGGTTCTAGTGTTTTTCTTTTCCTTTCTTTTTTCTTTTTTTGCTTTTGGTACAAAATCATCTAGTGAGGAATATCTCATGTGAGTAATCTTGTCCTGTACATAAGTGTCCTATTTCGGTGAATCATCATCAGGAAGACTTGTCGATTGATTTATTGATTGAGTCATTAATTAATAGATCGATTATCACCCTATACCCAATCCCAGCACTGTTCGAGGCTTTTGCCCGTTCCCCGACGGCCGACCAATATGACCACGGCAGCGGAGTTATTTCCCAGCCTTTGTCAAAATTGCAACTAGACACCGAATCGCAAAAGAGTTATTTTGAAGTCCAACCGCAAATAACCCTGTTTATAACTCTGGTTTACTGTCTAATCTCAACCTCGCTAACCAACCTTAACCAACCCAATCATAACGAAATCAAAATCGTCATGTTCAAATAAACTCTCTTTCAACGATACATACAAGCCAACTGACACAACATCACACTACAGCTACGAAACCTACCAGCCCAAGCATCCTGTAAGCCATCCCATCCCACATCTACCCAGCACCCGGACAATCCCGGAACACACCACATAACCTCGGCATCATCATCATAATCATAATGACAATCACAATCCCACGCACACCTATTTACATCCCACGCACCCAAACGCCACAACCAGGATCCCGATCCCGCATCTCTCTCACCGGAAAACCATTTCCCACCAGCGCAGCCAAGAGATGCTTGGAAATGCTTAACACTCTGCCCCACCTACCGTCTGTATCCCATGGCTTGTCGAATAGGAAGCTAGCGTATCGGCGAGGCCGTGATATGATTGATGTGTCTTGTGTGTTGTGTCTTGTGGCGTGCTTACTGTGCTTACTGCGGGCTGCGGGTGAGTCTGGAATATTGATCGGATGAGATGGGTCTGTTTCTCTGTGGCTCTGTCACCTTAGAATGATGAGATAGGGGCTCGAATGTGTGTTGTTACTGGGTTGGAGTTGTTTGGCAGGGGTGGTGATATGTCGTGATGGGGTGTGCCAGTGTGGTATGGTGTGGTATGGTGTGATGAGGCCAAATAATAGGGGGGAGGATAAGCGATCCATACCCTGGTCCCTGTCTACTGACTGGCACACACAGACCCCTTCAGCCCTTCCCGCATCTGCGAGACTTGAGGTGAGTGGATGGGTGGGTGGGGCACAAAAGGCTTGATAAGGCTTGTGTCAGCTGCATTGCGTATGGCATGACCAGGGAACTCCGAGCCATTCGGGGGCGGGTTGGGTTCATGCAGGCTCCGGAAAACAGTACAGTAAGCCGGACTACGGCAGGGCTAATATTATGGTACTTTAGGTAGGGTGTGGGATAGGGTTACTGGCTAGATAGATGGTTTGTGATAAGGGATCGTCATATAGATCGGAATAGTTAGATGAGGGGGAGATATCTCGACAGACACACCACACGGGCGGGGAAGTAGGGTTCTGATCCGGAATCTATCTAGCTAGTCCCTCTATCAATCTGGATTCTGCAACACGGGTCGGATATCTCTGGCCATGGGTACTGCGATTCAAGGAACTAGCTCGTCTCATCCTTATCCCCATCTTGATTCCGGATGCGGTCCGTCCTGACCACGACGAGCGTCGGCCAGATCTGCAGCACGAAAGCCGCAACCATCAAACATCCCGCGAAGATCTGTGCGCGCAGAAAGTCTGCGGTATTTAGATCCACCAAGGCGCCCGCAATGGGCGTACCGGCCAATGACCCTACCGAGCTGATCCCCCACATCATCCCCATCCTGGTGCCGAGGTAATCGGTATCAGGACAGAAAGCCGGATGGGCGACGATCGACGTCGGCGCGGTGACCAGCACCCCGCTCAAGAAGCCCCAGTAGCAGGCCCAGACGATGAAGCCAGCCGTGTTGGTGGTCGCGATCCAGGTGAACATTGCCACGGACGCGGCCGCCGTACAAGCAATCAGGATACAGATTGGCCTGACGCGGGAGCCAACGAGATACGGGACGGTGCGGCCGAACGCCGACGCGCCATTCGTGATGGAGACCAGGTAGATGGAGAGGCTGGTTGGCGTGCCCAGGGCCGAGCGGGCATATGTGGCGATGTAGAAGATGGGGACGTAGTAGGCTAGCATTACGCAGGTCATGGAGACGGAGAGCAGCATGAAGGGGATGTGGGTTAGGGCTTTCCACTCGATCAGGTTTCTGGTGCGGGTTTTGGTGCCGGGTCGACGACAGAGGATGACGCATGTAATAAAGGCGAGGAACAGGTTGATGAAGGCGATGCAGCGGACGCTCCAGGGGAAGTTGATATGCGGCTGGAGTCTGCGGAACATGATGGGGAAGATGACGCTGCCGACGCTGGAGCCGATGGATGCGCAGCCGATGGCGATGGGACGCTTGGTGGTGAAGTGCGAGGATATCACGACTAGGGCGGGGATGTAGGTGATGCCACCGCCCATGCCCACGCAGAAGCCTTGCGCGAGTAGGACCTGGATGGTTAGACTGTGTTGGGGTGGTGGTGGGTGGTTGGCGGTGGTACCTGGTAGTATTCCGTCGCTAGACTGAGCATCATCATCCCGAACACGACCAGGAAGGATCCGACAATGATCAAAGGGCGAAGGTATCCCGAGTCAACCATGGGACCGGTGATGATGCCAACCATGACGATCAGCGTGGCCTGGATGCTTCCGATCCATGAGATCGTCGATGGGGACTTGCCCGGGAGGAGGACGGTCTCGTAGAATTCCTGAAACGCGCCATAGCAGCTTATTAACCCCCTGGGAGTTGTTAACAATGTCTGACAGGAAATGAGGGTATACGCACCATGAATTAACAAACACACAGAACCCAGCCAGGACACTCAACCAACCCTCCAGCCCTCCCTCCGGCATCGGCTTTCGTTCCGAGCTTTCCGAGCCATCCTCGGCTGTCGGATGAGCTGCCTCGGAAAACACTTCGTCGCCGGACAGTCGTGTATCTTCATTCTTGACGCTCATTCTTGACAGCATGCATCATGATCCTGATTGTATTCGAGACTGGAAGGTGGGAGTTGAAAGTTGGGGAAAGAGACAATCCGGGGTAAGCTCGGCTACCACGCCTACCCCAATTTCCCGGATACGGTTCCCCACAGCCGAAAGAATTGCCGTGTGGGGAACCGAGGGATCTAGTCCCTGTTTTGAGGGCTGGGGAATGGCTGGTCAATCAGCAGTGCGATTCATCGAATTTATCAAGTGGAGACGACTGCGGCAAAACGGGTACCCGCCTGGGCTTTCCTGGGAGCTGGCCGGGTCAATATAATAACGGCATCAGTGCTGAAGTTGAGTGGTTGTTGGGCGATATCCCATTCATTCAGTTGTACAGTCAAATTTAAAAGTCTTCAAGTATATATCCTTCTCCGGGCTGAGAAAAACAAAGAAACAAGATGAAGCAACTATTGGCGATTCACATTGCTCACAGGCCAAGTTCAAAGCGAAGAAACATAATAATTCAGCGAGAAGCAAAAGAGGCCGACCTTCTCCTTCCGACATGGGTTTCCACGACGCCTTTTGCTTTCGACTAGTCGACCAAAAATTGGAACCTCCCAGATTCACCATGAGACAGACATCAGATGAGTCGAACCCACAGCAATGAAACGAAGCCGTAGGATGCTTGTTGTTTAATTCCGGGTGATAGGCCAGCCAGCAGCAGGTAGAGAAAGAAAGAGAAAAAGAGGGGAAGAGGGGACTGCAGGGGCAGAGATTGATGTACTAGGAGTGGTAAGAGTAGTCACTAACAGACGCTAACCTCAGATATCACTGACAGAAGTATTTCTCCAAGTGAATCTGTCAAGATTCAACCATTTAACTGTCCGAACGACTATTGGCATCCACAATGGCTGGTGTCAGGATATACCACCATTCACGAATTGAATCCATTAAGCCTCCCACACCCCCGCATCCCTAATCTATACTGGATATCTCAGTAGACCTAGCTGGATGGTTAAACTATTCCAAGTCATCTGATGGTCTATCGGCTATATACATGCAAAGAAGCAGCGGAGTAGTCATCCTGCCGATATTTGATACACCGTTGACAGGATAGTATGCACAGAAGGAGTGCTCACGGAAGGCAGAATTGACAGGAGCATTATATACACAGCGCAGCGGAGCAGATATAATGTACAACGTACAAGCAGACGCCACGCTAATACGCGACCAAAGTATCAAACCAAGCCTCAAACAACTCGATCTTCGCCTCAGAGGTCAGAGGAATCTGACCCCAGCCGTTACCCACATGCTGGACAGTGCCGTTGGTGTCGGCAGCAGGCCACGCGGCCAAAGACTCAGTGTTGGGGTTACCGGTCTTGATGAAGTTGGCCCAGTAGGTGTTCATCTTGCGTGCAATGGCGTAGTCCAAGGCAGTCCAGGGCATATCGGTACCGTACAGGTTGTTGAGGACGTAGTTGATCTCGGACTCGTGGTAGGCGCCCTGGTCCTGGCCCGGAGGAGCATGGTCCCAGATGTAGGTGTAGACGGGGCTGGCTTTGGCGGTGGCCCACAGGGAGGCCCACAGCCAGGTGCCGACCTTGGAGCGATCGGTCCATTGGGCGTTGTAGGCGGCCGACGCAGTGACGGAGGTGTTGCCGTTGTACTGCTCCAGGAACCGGGCCAGCCAGGGCTCGCTGAAGGTCTCGGCCATTCCTTCCATGAATTCGGCGACGGTGATGTTCAGACCGTAGGTTGCGCCGCTCTCGTCCTTGGTGTTACCGGTGAGCAGGGGCACATCCTGCGCAAGACCCTTCAGCAGCGTGTTGAGGTAGGTGTCTGGGATGGCGTAGTAGTCCAGCGTGGCGGTGAAGTCCCATTCGCTGTCGCTGCCGAAGGTGCCACCGGAGACGATCAGGTCGTTCATGGGCAGCTCCCGCAGCTCGGCGATGGAGCTGACGTTGAAGTTCTCAAGGAAGCGAATTCCCTGGTCGAGGTTGTAGTCCAGCGTCTTGTAGTTCTCGGCAAGGCTGGTGCAGAGGGGATCGTGCGGGTCGCGTACCCCACTCTCGATGATTCCCCCGACAATCAGGCCCTGGGTCAAGGGGCTGTTGACGATGTGCTGGGTGGCAGCAGACCCGGCAGACTGGCCCATCACGGTGATGTGCTCGGGATCACCACCGAAGTCGGCGATGTTCTCGTGAATCCACTTCAAGGCGGCAAACTGGTCGAGCATACCCCAGTTACCGGAGCTGTTGGATCCCGTCACGGCTTCGAACTCCTGTGACAGCTCCGGGTGGGACAGCCAGCCAAAAGATCCGGTACGGTAGTTGTAGTTGACGAAGACGATACCCTGATCAGCTATGCCGCCACCGTCGAACAGAGCGTCGGCAGCCGTCGACAAAGCCGGGTAGCTCCACATGACAACCGGGAGCTTGGCGTCGGTCGAGTTGGCGGGACTCCAGATGTTCAGGTTCAAGCAGTCCTCGTCGATCGTGTAATCATTGTCGCCCGAGGTAGCTGAGGGGCAGACATTGCCGAAGGACTTTGCGTCGCGCGTGCCGTTCCATCCACTGGCTGGCTGGGGAGCCTTCCAACGGTTCTGGCCGCCGGTGGTGGCAGCAAAGGGGATGTTCTTCCAGACGGCGATGTCCTTCCAATGGGTCAAGTTGCCAGCCGGCTCGCTGGTAAAGGCGGGATAGCCCTGCAACTTGCCATACTGGGTGTCGACGACGGTGTCGTAGAGAGCTGCGTTGGCCCGAACCAGAAGGGTTGGAATGAGGGCAGCGAGAGAAAGTCTCGCACGTCGGGTCTGATTCATCTTGGGGGAAAGAGGCAGGAGAAAGATCGAGTCACTTTCAAGCTTGTCTGGGTTGTTGCCATCATGTAGATAAAATGTGACGGTTATATACTGCAAAACAACGGGCAAGCGAGTCGGCATGCAGACGGAAGTCCGTTTCTTCGGGGAGTACAGTCGGAATTATGTGGAGGCAGCCGCGCGGCAACATCTCGGCGTAGACTGTATGAGGCCCGAGCAAGACGGGAAAGGGTCGCTGTTGATCCACGGGGTCCCGCGGAGGTCGGGGCAAAAGATCTAAGGTTATCTCCGACTTCCCGTGGTGCTCGTGCTTGCACCCTCGGCCCTGGAATAGGATGGTGCGAATTTCCACCTTCTGCTTCATATATACGGCACGTATTTCCGCCGTTTGATGACGCGTACCTCGGTCGCTGCTTAGACTAACAACCGAAGAAAGAAGAAGTTGCGTGGCCAGCATTCGGACATAGATACCATGACCCGGTTTGAGATTGGTGCTGTCGCGCACCGTGACTTCAATTGGCTGGTTGGGGGGCCATCTGATCTAGGGACCAGTGAGACAGGTGTTTAAAGGGAAGGACGGCGTTATATGCGACGAGTCACTTTGACACACTGCACTTGAACAGCGGGCAGTAGAGATGGCTCCTCGAATTATTGACAGCAAGGGTCCATTGGTATCGGATGGCAGCATGTAAGTGCTGCTAAGGATGCACGACGTATAACGACCATAAGAAAGAGAGCAACCAATTGGAGTTGACTTGGTGCGATGCAATAACCATTATCCCAGACCCGGCGAGTCGAAGAAAGCTAGCGAAAGGCGAACTTGTCGTTCAAGGTATCGGCGTGTACTGATAAAGGGGGTATGAAGCAAAGTATCTTCTCTGTGACTGATTCTTGTTGTTGTCCGGATACTCGAAGCCGCCGTATCCCGTCTTGGACACTGAAAAGCGATGAACCTATAACCGAAAATCCGCCACTATAGCGATGTCTCATCGCGATCATAAGTCCTACCCTAGTGACCAGAACCCCGTCCAGTCTAATGCCCAGCAGTAGCCACCTCAACAATCCTCTCCTCCATCCCGTCCACAACCTCAACCCTGACACCCGCATCCCTCAGCCTCCTAATCCCCACATTCTCGCCAATAAACGTCTCCGGCTCCTTCATCCCAACATGGACGACTCTAATCGCACCCGCCAGCCCCAGGATCCTCTCAACGCAAGTCCGATTCCCACTCAACCGCCTATTACAAGGTTCCATCGTGGTAGAGAGGACCGTATTCGGAAACAACACCTGACCGATCCGCTCTTCGGGGAAGTTGTGCTTGTCGGCAACTTTGATGAAGCAGCAGTGTTCGGCGTGCGTGTTGCCGGGATCTCCGGGTCGGTCGCCGGGGAGTTCCATGGAGTAGCCGGTGGATAGGATCTCGTTCTTGTCTGCGTCGAGGAGGACCGCGCCGACGCAGAATTTCGTGGGTGCGGGGGGAGAGAGAGACGCGCTTGGGTGAGGGCGTATTCCATGTAGGCTTTGTGGTCACCGGGTTCGATGGTGGGATGGGAAGGGGGCATTGTGATAGCGAAGGTTGCCGTGTTGTGGCTTGAATGTGGAGAGGGGAATTGATCGTGTCGGGAAGATAGAAGGAGGAGGGGGTAGAAATGAATGGCCCGGTAAACAGCGCTGCCTCAAGCCGTCAGGGCCGCTACACCTTCCGGGTTGGATTCCGGTCCGAGCCGTTATCCCGCGGCGCTTCCGCCGCCAATCAGACCCTCTGCTCGGGAGGGGGGGTTGCGCTCTCAGGATGGGGGGGAGGAAATAAATAGTCAAGTGAATTCTGCTCTGACAACTGTATAGATCGAGACATCGAAGCATGACTATATATAATGGTGAGTTGCCGAAGAAGCAGCGCCGATTTGTCCCCCACTGCTAAAACACAACACAGTCGATTAGAACATTCGGAAAGAAAACCAAGGATATATCCTCAATCCCTCCCGACAGCCAACACGATCTAGCCCATCGCGGCGCCAACTTCTTTCATCCTTCTCAAACCCACATAGACGATTGGAAAGGCTCCCTAGGACTGACTCTCCTCCACTCCCCCCCCTCACCTCTCATCGATATAATCTTCGTCCACGGTCTCGGCGGCGGCTCACGAAAAACATGGAGCAAAAGCCCCTCAATCTCCGACTTCTGGCCGCAATCCTGGCTCCCCAACGACCCAGCCTTCGCACACGTCCGCATTCACACCTTTGGGTACGACTCCGACTGGGCGAACGGCAAACGCAACTGCATGAACATCCACCACTTCGCGCGATCCTTGCTGGGGGAGCTCTTCACCTCTCCCTGCATAGCCAATTCCGACACCTCGATCGTCCTCGTCGGACACAGCATGGGCGGCCTGGTCATCAAAAAGGCGTACATCCTTGCCTCCCAAGATCCCATGTACGGGGAACTCGCGCGACGGATCCAGGCGATTTTCTTCTTCGGCACGCCGCACCGGGGATCAGACTCTGCGAAGCTGCTGGAGAATATCCTGCGGATTACGTACTCGCCCAGGGAGTATGTGTCGGAGTTGAAGAAAGGCTCTGCGGTGCTGCAGGCCATTAATGATGAGTTTCGCAAGTATGTGGATGGTGTGGAGCTGTGGTCGTTGTATGAGACACAGAAGCTTGCGATTGGGCCGCTTGGGGTGCTCATTGTTGATCCGGGTTCTGCGACGCTGGGATATCCGGAGGAGCATCGGATTCCGCTGCATGCCGATCATCGCTCGGTGTGTAAGTTTGAGACGACGGCGGATCCGAACTATGTTACCGCGCGCAATGCGCTGGCCTTGGCTGTGAGTGGGCTGGAGAAGCAAGGTGTGTTTGTCTTTCGATTTGACTGCGGCGGAAGGGTTTTATTAACGAGGCCCAGTGTTGGATTTCAGGGAAACTTCCCTGCGTAGTCAGCTGGACCACTTGCAGGGATACTTGGGTGTGCGTGAAAGCCTGGAAGATAGTCTCATGCTGGTCGAAGATACGCGCATGGCAGGGACCTGTGAATGGCTCGCGTCCAGATCCGAGTTTCTGAGCTGGAAGGACTTTGATGCAGACGGTTCAGACATTCTTTGGCTCAATGCAAAGCCTGGCTCCGGGAAGACCGTGCTGACGGGGTATGCGATTCGCCAGCTGCAAAGCTCATCCGCAGACTGCAGTTTCTACTTCTTCAGACACGGAGAGAAACTCAAGTCCCAGCTTGGCAGCTGTCTTCGATCTCTCGCTTTCCAGATGGCTTGCCAGGACGATGAAGTGCGATCGTTACTCTCGCACATGCAAAAGAATGGTACCAAACTTGACAGCGACGATGGCCGCATTATCTGGCGAACGCTATTCCTGAACGGGATATTCAAGTTAAAGCTGCGAAGTCAGTACTGGGTGATCGACGCCCTGGATGAGTGCACGGATCTGTCCACCGGCTTGGAAACCGTCCTCGCTACACTGAACAAGTCCATCCCGCTGCGTGTCCTGTTCACGAGCAGAAGCACGCCGGAAATAGCACGGTATTTCGCTGCTCTTGGCGACGGCGCGTGCCAGTCCGTATCGATTACCACAGAGGATACTTTGCCTGACGTACGACGTCTTCTTCAGGAGAGAGTGAAGTTACTGGGGTTCAAGGGCGATGAACGCGCATTACTCGTGGACCGAATAGTCGAAAAGTCACAGGGCTCATTTCTCTGGACAAGCCTAGTGATCAAAGACCTGTCCGAGTGCCACAGTGATCACGAGATCAATCAAGTCCTGGAAGAGGTCCCCCGAAATATGGAACTCTATTACCAGAGATCCCTCGATCTTATGGCCCACTCCAACCGAGGGAAAGATCTGAGCAAGGCCATTCTCATGTGGACTGTCTGTGCCACTCGACCGCTGGGAACAGACGAGCTACAGTTCGCGTTAGGCCTTGATATCGAAGAAAGGTTTCCCAATCTCCGGAACAGCATCGTGACGCTGTGTGGTCACCTGGTGACGGTGGATAAGTACGAGAGGGTCCAGCTGGCGCATGAGACTGTTCGGGAGTTTCTCCTCGGACTGGACCCAACTTCCGAGTTTGCCATCGACAGAGAAGAGTCGCACACCAGGATCGCCAGAGCTTGTCTCGTGTATCTTACCGGGGAGGAGATGAAGCCTCCGCGAACAAGACGTGGTGCGATCGCATCTGCAAGGAAAAGGGCCCCGTTGTCGGTATACGCATGTTCGGCATTCGCCTATCACCTAGGGCAGGCTAGCCCTGCTGCAGACGACGTGTTCGAGTTAGTGGGCCAGTTTCTGAAAGCTAACGTCCTGTCATGGATCGAATTGATCGCACAATCAATGACTCTGGCCCCGTTAATTTCCACTGCCAGGGGCTTGAAATTGTACTTCGACGCATGCACCACGCATCGCTCGCAGAGCGACTCCTCAATGAAAATGATCAAAGGCTGGACTACGGACCTCGTGCGCATTGCGGCCAGATATGCCGACGCGCTCACCGTCTCGCCCTCTGCGATATACTCCCTTCTGCGGCCCTTCTGTCCGACGGAGTCTACTGCCCACAAGACCGTGATTCCCGGGAAGAGTATATCGGTAACGGGCCAGCTAAGTTCCCAATGGGAAGATTGCCTCAGCTGCATTGAGCTTCGACACGGGCGGGCGACAGCCCTCTGCTATGGGAAAGAGTTCTTCGCCGTCGGCCTGTTCTCGGGAAGTGTCACAGTCTACCATGCGACATCCTGCCAGGAACACAAGTCATTTCACCATGGCGAGATGGTGCTGTTCGTACAGATCATGAGCAAGCGAGAGTTACTCATATCCTGCGGACTGAAAACAGTCCGAGTCTGGGATATCCGCAGCGGACAGACGGTGCACAACTTCAAGGCACCGCCCCGCCCCATTGAAATGATATTGCACAACGACCTCCTGGTCCTTGCATCGTCTCGAAACTTTCTCGTGACCTGGGAACTAGGTAATAACGGTGTTCAACGCCGCCCTGGTCGGCACTGGAATTATAGGGACGAAATAGGCCCGAATACACATCGCTGGCCCTGCGCGATATCAATCTCCGTTGGACACCAGATGCTGGCTGTGGCCTATCCCAGGAAGCCGGTTATTCTTTGGGACCTTCAGGAAGACGCGTACTATGGGGCGTGCGGTAAGAGGGGCGTGAGTGGCGCAACAAGCGCTGACCCGATCGCTGCCCTCGTGTTCAATCCTAATCCAGCGATCGATCGACTCGCAGTGGCGTATCAAGATGGAGATCTCGTTCTCCTCGACCCCTTCCAAGATGAGGTCATAATACAGCTCCGGAGCCATTGCCAAAACCTCACGGCTAGTCCAGACGGGCATCTCCTCGCCGCAGTGATGGGATCTGGGATAATACATGTTTACGAGTTCGAAACCCTGAGCCTGCTCTATCGGGTGAAGTTGTCAAAGACGTACATCAAACAGATAGCCTTCTGTCCAGACGGCTTTCGGTTCGCGGATATCAGAGGCTCGCATTGCAACGTCTGGGAGCCTCCTGGCTTGCTGCAGGATTTGGCATCAAGCAGCGAAGACGCGCCGAAGGTTATCGAGTCGGCGACAACTGACGCGAAAGGGGAAATCACAGGCATCGTGATACACGCCTCCGGAGCGGCAATCTGCAGTGGGGACGACGGGTCGGTATCCCTTTACGACTCCGACTGCGGCATGCAGCGACGGACACTCTACCGTCACAAGTGCGCGGTTCGGTTCCTGACCGTGTCGCACAGCAATATCATCATGAGCGTCGACGTTGCCAACGTGATTCTCACATGGAAACTGGAGAAAGCGGAGCAGGGCTGGGTCGCAGGCGAAAAGCTATTCGAATCGCGTCTCGACTGCGGCGTCGCGGTCACTCAGATTTTATCTACCGACGTAGCGCAAAAGTTCATCCTATCCACGCGACAGTCGGATCACCTGTGGAACATGAGGGGCGAAGAGCAGAGCGAACGGGTTCCAGACCGACCAGGGACCCGGAAGTGGTTCGACCATCCGCACGAAGAGCATCTAGTGATCTGTTTGGACGACACAGAGGCCCGTATCTATACCTGGACTGACTGGTCCGAAATTGCATCAGTCGATCTCACGATTGACATGACCGGACTGCAGATAAAGAGGGTCATCCCCTGCATGTCCGCAAACACGACACACCTGCTACTGGAGACGTCCGAGCTGGACGGCCCGCCACAGTCGCGCGGGGTGTGCCTTCTGGATGCAGCGCCACTAGCGAGCGAACCTGAGTCTTCAAGCCACGATGGCTTCGAGATAATCACCCTCGATCAAGATGATCTAGACACAAGCATGGACAAGTCCTCCAACGCGGTCCTGATGCAGTCTCTCAGCCGAAAAACGGCTGTCCTGGGCCACCACGTGGCTCACATCATTGGCCTACGGGGTCCAAACAAGGTTGTCTTCCTGGACACGCGCTCCTGGGTCAGCACTGTGGATCTGGATGAGCCGGACGACAGCCGGATCCTGTATGTGCGGCATTTCTTTGTGCCGCATGAATGGTTTGCCGGGATGCGCAATATTATAGTCGCTTTGGATCAACGGGATGTCCTTATTGCGCGTAATTCGGATCTGGCGGTTGTGAGGGGTGGGTTTGAGTATGCGCAGGTTGTTGCGGCATGATGGATGCCAGATCTAGTGTCGTTACACTGATCGAGATGTCTGGACACTTTTGACAACAGAGAAGGTGATCGCATTCCGGGTTGAGGAAGCCAATGGCTCACTATTGCTGGGTAGCGGCAGGATTCCGGCATAGCAAGCTATCGGCCCACGATGGAAAACCACCGAGGCAGAAGAAAAACCCATCGATGGAGGCTTCCTAGGAATGCCTGACAGTTGCACAGACCGGCTCGTCCATCCCACAGCTTCAAGCCTTCGTGATGGAAATGTCCGCGTCATGCCGAGTTTAAAGCGGGGAAATCACATGAGGCCGGTGTAACCCTAGAGTTGCGGGTTTGCTGGAACGAAAACTTCAACGATAACACCAACCTTCTCACCTAATTCCAAACATGAACGATTGATCCTGGACAGCCAGCAGCACCAGTGGTGCCACGGTGAAGCCAAGACATGCTATCTCGCCCTGGGACAGGACAGGGGTGCTGATATCGCGATCGACATCCTGCGCGACGGCCGACATCGCGACCGACCCAGATAAGCTCCGCTTCACTGCGATGCAACCCTGCCGCATCCGTCGTTCACCGATATGCGGAGAACGTGGGGATTTCTTCCTTCTGGTTACTTCCTGTTATCGAGCGAGCACCATCATGGCCGGGTGATAACCCGCCCGATCCTTGATTCACTTAAACCAGGGTCCCTCCCCCCTTGATCCCTCCTTGCGTCGGGTGCCTTTATCAACCCGCTCGCCCCTCGACCGGACCTGATCACCATCTGGCCATGGCTTCCCTCACCCCCGAGCCCTCGGGAAGCGACTCCAAGTCCGCGCGGGCCTCCGTCAGCGAGGACCCCGCCAAGCTCCTGCACCGCTACTCGTCCGCGCCGGGCGTCGTCGACGATGTCGTCGCGGTGATCGACCACCAGGCGGAACGGCGGCTGTGCCGTCGCTTCGACCTGCGACTGCTGCCCGTGCTGGCGCTGATGTGTAAGTCCACACACTCTTCCATCTTCCATATCCAACAACCCCCCCTCTAAGAAAACAGACCTCTTCAACGCCCTCGACAAAGGCAACCTCAGCAACGCCGAAACGGCCGGCATGAGCGACGGTACATCCCCTCCCCTCCCCCACCACCTCCTCCGCTAACAAACCAGACCTGCACTTCCAACCGGGGCAATACAACCTCCTCCTCTCGATCTTCTTCATCCCCTACGTGCTCTTCGCGCCGCCGTTCGCGATGCTGGGCAAACGCTTCAGCCCGGCGCGAGTGCTCCCGATACTAATGTTCTCGTTCGGATGCTTCACGCTGCTCTCGTCCGCAACCACAAACTTCAGCGGCATGTTCGCTCTGCGGTGGTTCCTGGGGATGTCAGAAGCGGCCTTCTTCCCGCTGGTAATCTACTACCTGACCACGTTCTACCGCCGCGGCGAGCTGGCGCGCCGGCTGGCCATCTTCTACGCGGCCAGCAACATCGCCAACGCCTTCTCGGGACTCATCGCCTTCGGGGTCTTCCAGATCCAACACTCCTCGATCCCCAACTGGCGCTACCTCTTCATCCTGGAAGGCAGCATCACGGTCCTCTTCTCCACCTTCGCCTACTGGTACCTGCCCCGCTCCGCATCCAGCGCGTCCTTCCTCGACGCCGACGAGAAAGCGCTGGCGCACCACCGAATCCAGGTCGACAGCTCCGCGGTGGTCAACGAACCCTTCGACCTCCGCTCCGCATGCCGGATCTTCCACCACCCGACGACCTACCTCTTCCTGGCCATCGAGATCTGCCTCGGCGTCCCCCTCCAGGGCGTCTCCCTCTTCATGCCCCAGATCATCCAACGCCTCGGCTTCCCCACCGTCAAAACCAACCTCTACACCGTCGCCCCCAACGTGACGGGCGCCATCATGCTCCTCCTCCTCGCCTTCGCGTCCGACGCCGCCCGCCTCCGCGCCCCCTTCATCGTCCTCGCCTTCCTCCTCACCTTCGCCGGCTTCATGCTCTACGCCTCCATCACCGACGTCGCGCGCCAGATCCACCTCGCCTATTTCGCCACCTTCATGATGACCTGGGGCACCGCCGCCCCGTCCGTGCTGCTGAGTACCTGGTACAACAACAATATCGCGCACGAGGGCCGCCGCGTCCTGTTGACGAGCATCGGGGTGCCCTTGGCCAATCTCATGGGTCTGGTCGCGAGTAATGTGTTTCGGGAGCAGGATGCCCCCAAGTACATGCCGGCTCTGGTGACCGTGGCGGCGTTTGGGGCGGTCGGGGCCGTGCTGGCGGCGGGGTTGGGGGGCTATATGTTCTGGGATAATCGGGCGAGGGATCGACGGGAGGGCGTGCAGATTAGGGCGGTGGATGTGCCCACGGAGAGGTTGAGGGATGGGCCGGGGGGGGTTGGATTTCGTTGGTTCTTATAGCGAGTGATATTGTTAATGCGGTGGGCATGGGGATGGGGATCTCTTCGGGGGAGTAGACGGACGGATACTGTATACAGCTGGGTTGGCTATGCGTGTGTCGGTTGGAATGGGTCGAAGGGGAGGAGGTGATGAAGATATGAATAAGCTGATTTACCATCCCGTTACGGATGTATATATGCTCTGATGTGGGATCGTGGGAGTGTTCTAGATAAGGATATGAATTTATGAGCAACCAACCATCAGGTAACCTAAACGGTCTAATCGAATTGAATATCCTTCCTTCACCTCCCACCCATCTCCCTCCATCCACCATATACTCATAATCCTTCCTCTACCATTTCCTGATTTAATATGAAATATCTAATATGAACGTACCAACCCAACCCAACCCCCCCAAACCACCTCTCTCACCACAAAATCTCCCCCAGCCCCCTCCCGTCTTAACCAACGGCCTCATCCCCTCCGCCACGGCGACCTCCAACACCGCGACCCCCTCCGTGTTTATCAACCACTCCAGACACCGTCTCAACTCGTGCTCTCCGCCCGCACACCGTCTCGCCGGCACGCCACAGCCCTCGCCACGCCCACCGCATCCACCACCCCCCCACCCTCCCGCTCCCCCGTCCCAAACACCCGTCCCCCGTAGTCCATCTCCTGCAACTGGCGAATCATCCCCTGCCCGCCATTCTCGCACACGATGACCTTGACGTCCACCCCGGCCTGCTGGGCCGTCAGGAGCGCGTCCATCGACATGCAGAAGCTGGCGTCGCCGTCGATGTCGATGACCAGGTTGTTGGGGACGGCGAGTTTGGCGCCCAGCGCGGCGGGGAGACCGAAGCCCATGGTGCCGAGGGAGCCGGAGGTGATCAGACATGAGGTTGGTGCGAAGGAGGGAGGGGCAAAGGTGAAAGACCGCGCGGTGTGCATTTGGTGTTGGCCGACGCCGGTGGTCAGGGTGACGGGTTGGTGGGAGGGCGGGGGGAGGATGGCTTGGAGGGTGGTGAGGAGGGTGTGGGGGTGGATGGGCTGGGTGGGGGGGGCGTTGAGAGCGTATTTGTGTTTCCAGCTGGCGATGGTTTGCATCCAGCCCGGACGGGGATCGGAGGTCAGATGCTGCCGTAACACCGGGAGGGTGTCGGCGAGATCGCCCTCGATGTGTTCGGTCGCGGGGATGACCTTGGCGATGGTGTCGCGGCTGAAGTCGAAGTAGATGACGCCCAGACCGGTGGCCGGGTGGCGGGCGTGCGGCGCGTAGAGGGACGGGTTGCCGACGGCGCGCTCGTCGAGACGCGCGCCCAGGGCGAGGATCAGGTCGGCGTGCTGGACGGCCATGTTGGCGTAGGGGGTGCCGTGGGTGCCGACCATGTGCAGGGCCGTGGGGAGGGCCTCGTCGAAGCCGCCCAGGCCCAGCAGCGTGGTGGTGACGGGGATGGAGGCGATCTGGGAGATTTGCGCCAGCAGGGCCGGCCCGTGGCGCGCGTGCAGGATGCCGGCGCCGGCACAGATCACGGGGCGGTGCGATTGGCGCACGAGATGGGCGATGTGCTCGATGCGGTCGTATTGGCTGGCGATGTTGTACATCATCCGGGTTGGGGAGGAGGCGCCGCTGGAGGCGCCGCTGGAGGGGGGGCTGGGGAGGCACTGGGAGCACTGGGAGGACTGCCGGAGAGCGTGCTCGTCAAACACCGCCTTGCCGATGTCTTTGGGGATGGCCACCAGGGTTGGGCCGGCCCGGTTGGTGGTGGCGTGGTGGAAGGCCGCGTCGATGCTGCCGGGCAGGTCGGCGATCGATTGCACGCACGTGCACCATTTCGTGCACGTTTTGGCTAGAGACACAATGTCGATTTCCTGGAAGGCGAGCGTGCCCTGGACGGCCGTGCCGACTTGTCCGCAGATCACCACGAGGGGCGTGCCGTCCAGCAGCGCGTTGAACATCGGAGTCACCGTGTTGGAGCTGCCGGGCCCGGAGGTTACGAGCACCACCCCCGGCTTTTGAGATGCCCGGGCATAGCCCTCCGCCATGTGGCCGGCACTTTGTTCGTGGTGGGCCAGGATGAACTGCAGCGAGGAGGCCGCGGGTTGTTTGGCAAACACCCCGTCGAAGAGGGGCAGGGCTGCACCGCCCGGGTAGCCAACTGGTGGGGTAGGGTTAGATATCTGGGGGACAGGTGAAGGAGTGCCAGGGGGGGAGAGGCGTACAGATGTGCTCGACATTGTGAGCCAGTAGCAGTTCTCGGAGAACTTCTCCGCCAGTCCGATTGAGAAACTTATTGTTTGCCATGACGATGACGATGCTGATGCTGATGCTGTCTGTATCCGTGCTGTTCAAGGTCGCAAGACCAAGGCATGGATTTTATATCGTGAACAGTCCTTGCTGAACATCGGCGGCTGCACACTCCTGAGATGACAACAGCCAGCCCGAGCATTGCCCTTTGGGTAAGAGCTCTGCTCCACTCCGATGTGAAATGCGCAGCAGGATAATTCAGGAAAGTTGCACAAGCGACGGTGGCATTCAGGTCAACATACTGTATCCGGCAAGAATCAGCTACATAGGGCACCCTCGGTTCCCTGTCAGGGCAGCCTGCATGTGGGTTACCCGATGCAGCAATGATCTGGAATGTGCATTCTGGGCTGATGATGCCATCCAAACCTTATCTTCATCCCCAGGGCTGGCAGCTGCAGGGCAATGTCTGAAGGGACTCGCTCCAGTCAGCGACTTGCAGATACAACACGTCACATACCACACCATGCCACGTCTGAAATGGCAAATACTGCTCTGTTCGGTGACTTGCACCTCGTTCCGTGGCAAGTATCCCGAACGTGACACCGAAGGGATGTCTCAGGTATGCATGCGATGTACCTCAATTGGCAAGGGTACGTCAATCTGCAATGCATAGACCACCCCAGATCAGGAGACGTGCATCTTGTTCCAGTGGCGTAACATAGACTGCTGCAAAATCCTGAAAATGGACAGAAGAGCTCAGCCACCGTAACCAGACATCAGCCCTGAACCATAAATACCTGCCACGGAGGGATATAAAGTACCAAACCCCCCGCAAGCCTGCACTAGAACCAAAGGTCCGGGACACTTTAACTCAATCCTATCCGGTTTCCACCCCAGCCCCCAAACCATGGAACCCAACCATCTGTACCAGCACTCGGTGCTGAGCGCGCTCATGCAGGGCATCGCGGGAACCCAGTCGGGGATCTCCATCCCCGACATCCGCACGCACGGCGACCACGGCATCGGAACCATCACCTCCCTGAACGGCGAGATCATCATGCTGGACCACGAGGTGTACCATTACCCGGGCGACGGGAAGGCGTCGCCCCGCCAGATCACCTGCAGCGAAGACCCGGACGACGCGCTCCCCTTCGCCATGGCGACGTTCTTCCGACCGACCCTGACCAACCACCTCCCCTCTCTCTCCATGGCCACCCTGTCCACAGCACTCTCCCCGCTCCTCCCGCATCGACAAAACGCCTTCCTTGCCGTCAAAGTCACCTCCGTGTTCAGTCACGTCACCCTCCGCGTCATCCCCGCGCAGTCGCATCCAGGCGAGGGGCTAGCCGACCTGGCCAAGCGCCAGGACCAGCCCACGGCGGAGAACATCTCCGGCACGCTGTTCGGGTTCTGGTCGCCCGCGTACAGCATGGGGATGAGTCTGAGCGGGTTCCACGTGCATTTTCTGTCGGACGATCGGCGCGTCGGGGGTCATGTTCTGGATTTCTCGGCCGGCGAGGGGGGATGTCGTGTTGAAGCGGCTGTCATGGAGCAGTATACCGTCCGGGTGCCGGCGTCGGAGGAGTTCCATTCGGGTGTCGTTTCCGTGGGGAGTTTGGCGGATTTGCTTGCCGCGGAGGGGAGTGGATAGGTTTGCTGGGATTATGGGGGTGGAGAGGGAGTGGATGAGGAGAGAGAGAGAGAGGTATATGGCCTTTGCAGTCAATATTCACTGCCTATCGGCTGGATGACGGTGGCGGGGGGGGGGGGGGGGGGGACTATTAGGGCTTCGCGCGGATAGCGTCATATAAAGACATAGACTATTGTTTAGTGTACCTTCCGGGGCAATCACCCTCCCCCCCCCTAGCGTAACGGCCCGTAAGACGCGTTGAAAGGGTATGAGCAGTAGTACTACTACCACTACTACTACTACCACCACCACCACTACTCATAGATTGAGTTCCCCGATCAATCGGAAATTACACTACAACAAATGCCCCTCAAGGCAAATACTACTTCTACGGCTAGGTAGGATGAGAGTGAGGATTATTTTGGGAAAAAAAAAAAAAAAACCAAATTTCATTCAATGTTGAGTTTGGCAAAAAAAAAAAAAAAACCAAAACCATTTTCGATAGTGAAATTGAATGCAATACGACGGATGGACGATTCTAATTCCTGATCGGCAGCTGACAATCAATCGTGGCTGCGAATCTAGGGCTAGACAAGACGTGCATCAACATCAACATCATATGAAAAAAAGACCACGATAGAGAGATGAAAAATCAACCCGAAAGATAAAAAAAAAGACCAAGAGATAAACCCGAAAATACATGTTGACCCATCATGTGGAGTGTGCAGGACACAGTCTCACAGATGAGGATACAGTGATTTTTTGATAAAAAAAAGACCAAGAGATAAACCCGAAAATACATGTTGTTAACCCATCATGTGGAGTGTGCAGGACACAGTTTCACAGATGAAGATACAGTGATTTTTTGATAAAAAAAAGACCAAGAGATAAACCCGAAAATACAAGTTGTTGACCCATCGTATGGAGTGTGCAGGACACAGTCTCACAGATGAGGATACAGTGATTTTTTGATAAAAAAAAAAAAAAAAAAAAGAACAACGCAAGACAAGTATGGAAAAAAAGGAGAAAACCCGAGAAGATCGAGCGCAGGCTAGACTCCAGGGATCGCTCGGACCGTATCCTCCCACCCCTGGGGAAGTCTTTCGGTACGCAACAATTCAAGCGCATGCCGCCGATCAGGCTCGGTGATCACCATGCGGCGATGGCGCAGGATGACGCCCATGACGTTGCGATTGCGACTTTGGATAGCATACGCGGTCAAGGTGACCTCGCGACGACGGGTTTGCGCTCGTCGGATATCAGTTCTCGGATGTTCAATGAGCATCTGGATCACATTATGCCGCGCGTTTGTAATCGCCATGTGCAGCGGCGTCTCATATCGGATATTCACAGTATTCGGGCTACCCCCAACTGAAAGTAGTTTTCTTAAGACGGGCACGTGCTGAGCCAGATGCACGGGGGTATCCATGTCTTCATTCCCGACATTGACAAGTTCCGGGACATAGTCAGCCTCGAGAAGGGCATCCAGAAACAACCGACCCTCAGTGTAGGTTCTGACAGCGTAGTGAAGGACTGTGTCCCCATTGCTGTATCTGATATCTGCCAGGGGTGCTCCGTTGGTTATGATCCGCTCCATGTGGCGTCTGGAATTCGCCCGCGTGAACCAAGAAAACGCACTCGGGTATCGAAAGATGGCTCCGTTGACGAGGAGAGTCCGGACCATCTCGCCGGCAATATTGTTGGCGTAAAGGAGGGAAACGTAGTCGAGGGACCGAGCGCGCCACCTCCCTCGATTGTTTGGATGGGCCCCGTGGTGAATGAGCACCCGGACACATTCAAGCTGCTCCTGCGCAACAGCAAGGGAGAGAAGCGTGATCCCTCCTTGAGTCAGAGAATTGGGATCCAACCCCGCCTGGAGATGCCGGTCAAGGAGATCGGGCCGGCCGTTGATGATGGGTTTATCGGGATGGAAGTCATACTCGAAGGGGCAACTGCCTGGGATGAATCCCCGCACCCCAATATCTCTTGCCTGTTCATTCACCAGGTCGAAATAAGTCACCCCGGGATTCAGTTGCACCTCGTCCCTCGTGGGCCTTCTCTTGCAATGGGTGAGGTGTAGGCACAACTCCAGGGGCATGTTCCCTATACCCTGACCAAGGTGCGCCTGCTCATGGTCCAAGTAAGTCGCCGACATGTTGCCCGTTCGAAATCGAAAAGAAGGCGGTTGAAGGTGGTCGGTCAATGGGTATGTATTCACGGCTGGACGAGAGAGATCGTTTGGCGAGCGCTGGAACAAGTGTTTCGATCTGGGAGTGGACTTTTGGACAAGTTACCAGAAAGGCGGATCGACGGTTGGTGATTTCAAACTTGATGGACAGGAGGGAAGAGGTGATTAAATAGTCCAGATTCTCAACATCAATCTGGACAGAGCTTGCGATGGACGGAGTATACCGCGCCATCTTGGAGTTGTATCCCAGGGATTCTCCACCCGGGGGAGGAGGATACCGGCTCAATTGATGAGGAATCTCTATTGAGGGATAATAGTAAACTGAGGCAAAAGGAGAATTTCATGCTAGACACGTAAGGATTTGGCGGGGAGCTCCCTGGGCATTGAAGAATAGAGACAGGCAAGCTCCTATAGAAGTTCAGGATGCGTTGATAATTGTATCAGGTCACGTTCCTTCGGGAGGTTGTCTGCTTATAATCGGAGAGGACCGGTATTTCATGACCCCAGACGGGTGTAAGTCTGGGGATTGCCTTGTTCTTCTGACCCCAGGCGTGTGTAAGTATGGAAACTGCCTTACTCTTCATCAACCCTGTGGGTGGAAGCCTCCGACCTTGACGGGGATGCGGTGGAGGAGGGAGAGGAGATGTCCTATTGCACGACTGGATTGGTGGCATAGCCCTAGTAAGGAGGATATGGAGAGCTCCTTTTGCCTCAGGGCCGAACGAGCGGCATTTGGGAGAGAACCATGGCGTATTCGGCGGTAGTGCGCTGGGTAGGAAAGCGGTCACGTTATGTCATGGAGAATGGCGAGGGAAAAGGGAGGGCAAACATGCCTATCAGTATCACCAGGCAGGTTTCTTGCCTCTCATCAGGGAAGGGCATTCACTCGGATAGCTTTCTGGATGGACACATTCCCGGACACTTGGTGATCCAGGCATTTGGAAGGAGATTGCTCGGGTTGACCAAGTAGACTTATTATTGCAATGGATGGGTGGAGGGGAGATAGGACAGGCGTGGCTAGTTGGAATGACTGGCCACGAGGGCTGGCTACAGAGCAAAAACAGGGTCGCAACCCATATCTCTGGCGATCATGCACAACGGGGAGACACCTGGTTAACGTATGTAGTTACTATAGAGTTAAACTATAACTTTATAAGGGATCGTAATGTCTCGGGATAAGATAAAGCTTTTTTATAATAAGAAAAGTCTACTAGCAGGAATTATATATACATACCAAGGGAAAGTCTTATCTCTGGAGTGAAGAGAACACCTGCATAGCAGGCTGTAGTGAATGCTAATGAATACTACTACTACTGTAGCGAGGACATGATTAATTACCATCACTAGAAAGTATCCGATAATTCAAACAACATATCAATCTGATCCAATTCCCCCAATAACAACAGAAACCCTACTTCGAAGCCGGAATCTCCCCGCCCTCCCCAAATCCTCCCCCAGAACCGTCTCCCCGACCCTCACGGCCTGACAATCCTGCAAAACAAACAACATGCGTGTCCAGTTCTCCTTACTCGGATTGCGCCACGCGTGCATCGTGGCCCTCTGCACCGCGATATCCCCCTTCTTGAGCAGCGTCTTCTCGCCCGAGTCCAGCTCCATGATGATCTCGCCCTCCAGCACGATGCCGTAGTCCAGGCTGCGCGTGCGGTGCATGAGGGGCTCCCTGTCCGGAGCGAAGTCGACGACACGACAGACCGTGCCGTTGGGGTTGACGAGCCCGAGGGTGTTGCCGGTCATCAGGGACTCGTGGGCGTTGATGTCGGTGTTGTTGTTGAGGTCCGCGGGGAAGGCGTTGGTGGTGTAGGCGACGCTGAAGCCGAAGGTGCCCTGCTCGAATTGTGTCCATTGGGCGGGGCTGGAGGAGTGGATAGTTGCGAGGCCGGAGGAGTTGTGGGTGGTGATGTGGCGGGTGTAGTTTGGGAGGTTGGAGGGGGGGTGGATGTGGACATGATGATGATGATGATGATTGTTGATTGTGGGTTCCAGGTGGTAGTGGTAGTGGTATGGTATGGTAAATGTGGTCGAAAAGGTGGAGGGGTTGGGCATTTATATAAGCGTTCGGGTCGCGTTACTCACCGAAGTCCGTGAATTCCCCCGCTGCGATCGGCATCAATGTCCATGCGTGATGAGGTGGCATGCAGGAAGGAGGGTATTGGAGGATACGCATCTTGTGGGTTGGCTGGTGTAACAGGTTCATGCTGATTCTGGGAGTTGGGTGAGTATCTGCTGTGGCACAGCCGTCTGGGCCATGTGATTGTGGAAAGGAAGGATGCGCTGAAAAGGTAGCAGTCTAGAAAAAGAAAAAAAAAAAACTAAAAAGAAAATCAGGCGCACAAAAAGGAGGGTACTTTTGGGGTTACTCGGTCAGCTGCTTGTCAGTACAAAGACGGTTGGATTAAGCGTGTCTGTATAGTGCATGTCTGTAACCCTAACTCGGCGGACTACGAACTGGCAAGAATGCTAGGTACCCTGTTTAGGTTCCTCCCAGAGCATAAATGTACATCTCTGATCATGAAAAAGACCAACCTTTTAGAATGGAGTCCGCAGCTGCCGACCGTAGACATATTTATCCCCCATCCCTACGTCGAGGGAGGGTGCAACCCCAGATGTACCTGCCCCAGTAGCACCAGGGACCCTCCCCACCAGCCCAGCAACCCAGGAGTAGTCAATCCCTAGAAACAACACTCTTACACGCATCCTTATTACTACATGGCAACCAGCCTAGCCAGCACAGTCACTCATTCCCAAGCCAATATCTATATCTATTGCACTCGTCATCATACCCTACCAGATTGCAGCCATCAGACACGAGTATCAGACAGAATCTTCCTCGCTCGTTCAGGCCAGCTATCCACACTTACCAATCGACTCCCAATCAGTTCATTCCACCGTCTTACTCGATACTCAATCCTGATACTCCATCCCAACTCAACCCTCAACTCCCACCACCGAAGTCCTCAGAATGCCCCACGCCATATCACCGTCCCCAACCATACCTAATCCCTTATCGTTCAGAAGATACACGCGCCGGCCATCAGTGCCCAGGGAGGAAATACGCTCCCACCACACCACCCCCGCCGAGCAAGACCCAAACCACAACCCGCGCATCGGCAACCGCCCTGTTTTGATTCCCATTCCCATCCCAAACTCACGGCAACCACCATACAACCAAGCCTCCACACAGCCAGCGTCACCAGCGTCAGAAACATCATCAGCGCCACCTCCCCGCCGTCCAACATCCCTCCCCTCACTTCCCAGCAATACCCACCTCGTGACCAACGGCACCATCGTCCGCGCAAACCCTCAGATTACGTCGCCCCGGGACACAGGGCTGAATGCTCCTGCTGCTCCTCACGGCTCCGTTCCTGCATTTGGACCACAATTCGCACAGCCGCGGGAATCGCAGCTGCCTCCCGAGCAGGGGATTGAATGGATTTCGGGGGTGGGACCTGAGCCTGGAATCAGGAATATGCTTGGATTTGGATCCGCGTCGGGGGCAGGGCACGGAGGTGGACCTGTTTCTACACGCGATTTTAGGTCGCAATTTGGATCTCTGTATCTGGATGGACTTGAACCTGGACCTGGACGTCACCCTGGACCCGGACCTGGACCGAGGTCTTTCTATTCCCATAGATCGGGATATCGGTATCAGCCCGGCTATGGATCCGATTATGGCTCTGATTATGGATCTGATTATGGATCTGGATATCACCCTGGACCTGGACTCAGGTCTGTCTATCCTCCCCGAACGGCATATCAGTATCTGTCCGGCCATGGATCCGATTATGGATCCGAGTATGGATCTGATTATGGATCTGGCTCTGGATACGGACCTGAACTCGGAAATGGAAATGGCTATGGCCAGGGTCTCCGAGATGCCGGTGATCAGCGAAGCGATCCCGGACAACACATATCCGGCATCACAAGTGAGCGGCAGGATGATGGAATGGTGAATGAGGCGCGGACGGGAGACGCAGGTCCGATGGATAAGGCCGGAGATGAGGATCCAGAGATTGATATGATTGATGAGAGTCTGTATCACGTCGTGCTTGAGAATGAGCGTGCGAATGGGTAGGGTGTGTTCTCTGCGTCGTCGCAGGATGGGCTGCATCCCGCATCCGTGGCCTAATAAGAAGAACCCATTGTCGTCGGATTCATAGATAGAGAGATCGGTAGATACTTTGTATTTCTAATTCACATGGGGCGTAATGGTAATCTTGCGAAGAGATCAGTCTGGTTGTTGCTTCTGGAGAGAAGAGTTAAGTGTTGGTATTAAGTAAAGTAATGTAGATACATGACTCTAAACAGAAAGTAAACTTTTCACATACAGTGGCTACTCATGATGTCCATGTCCATGTCCATGTCCATGTCCATGTCCATGTTCATCCTCCTCCCCGACTCTAGTAACAGTAACGTCCATCGTCCTGAGTACCCGAATCTTCTCCTTCTCCTTGTCCTTCTCCTCTCCCAGCCCCAACCCCATCCCATCGCCTTGCACACCCACACCATCAAACCCACCCCTCTCCCCCCTCTCCATCAACAACACCCCATCCGTACCCCCAATCCCTGCCCCCATCCCCATCCCCATCCCCGTCCCCATCCCCATCCCTCCCTCCTCCCCCTCATCAAGAACCGAATACATCGGATCCGACAACCTCCACCCCCCATTCCCATTCCCATTCCTTCCCCTCCTCCTCTCCCTACCCCTCCCCTATTATTCCCCCCTTCTCCGCGTTCCCTTTCTTGCTCGACGACCCCCCCGACAACGCCCCAGACCGGAGACTTATCGACTTGAACCCATTACTGAAGCGCAACTTATGGCGGAGCCCCGTCTCCATCAGCAGCTTGGACAGACAGGGCATGCTGAAGATGAAGAAGCCGCAGGTCATCTCGGCGCAGGCCCAGAAGAGGAGCGGGCCGATCATGTACATCTTGTCGGTTTCGGTGGCGAAGGAGATTGTGTGTGCGAGGCGGAAGATGGCGGCGATGGAGGCGCTGGTTTTTTTATAATGGTTTTAGTTGGTTTCATGAAATTGAAGGGAGAGAACAGGATTAATGGCCAGACAGATAACAAACCAAATCAGGAAATAAGAAGGCAGAAGGAAGAAGGAAGAAGGAAGAAGGAGACTCACAGTATACCAGCCCCAAAAATAACCGAAACACCACACTTCTTATGCCACCCCATCTGCAACCCCCAGATCAGCCTCTGCGGGAGCACAAACATGCTCACATCCGAGACGACCTGCACGCTCGCCGAACACAGCATCACGTCTGGCAGCGAGTAGCATTTGCTCGGCACGTAGAAGTTCCAGATGGCCTCGTGCGGGCGACACTGCATGTTCAGCAGGATGATGCACAGGATGCCCCAGATGCATTGCAGGGCGACAATGGCCATGCAGCCGTACCAGAAGAGGCTCTTGGTGCGGTCGACCAGGACAAAAACCCGACACCAGTCGATCAGGATGGCGGTTTTGATCAGCGGGAGGACGGCCGAGTAGCAGCAGCCGTAAACGAGGATTAGCTGATTGGTTGGTGGGGGGCGTTAGTTGTGTTTGGGACATTGGGCTTGGGGTTTGGCGTGGTGAACACACCCAGAGAGGCCGAATCAAGTCCCCGTTCGTCATATTCCACTCATGAACATAGTACCCCGGGGTCCGTATCATCTCGTACCCCGCATATGCGGTGCCCCAGTATGCGCCCTGCGGGTGTTAATGTGGAGCGACTAGTCGATGGGTCAGGGACGTACGTAGGCGCAGATCGCGAAGACTATGTCCGGCAACCGGTTAGTGAATCCTTCGGATGCTATGATTATGAACCCCGAGGCAGGAGGCAACCTACCATCTTCGACGCGGACTTTCCGGTCCAACCAGAGCCGGACATACGACCTCAAGCACAGACACGACGTCGCAATGATCATGCACACCGTAGTGATCCCCCACGCGTAGCTGTTCCGATTCGGTGGGTTCTCGAAGTTGGGCGTGACGCCGTCCGGGGCCGGCATGGCGGGCGCCGCGAGAAGACGGGCCAGTTCTTCTGGGGAAAGCGACATATTGGTGACCTGGGAAGCATGAAGGTGCACAGGTGGTGGTGGTGGTGGTGGTGGCCATCATGATATATAATGGTGTTGGCTGGACGTGTCACTGCTCCTCTGGATACAGAAGACATAAGTACGTTCGTTTCCCGATTCGTTCATTTCCACATCCATAATATTACAGGCAAACTAGGCCAATCATCGATTTGCTGTGGCCTGTGCCGGGCTACGGCCTCCTTTGCAGTGTTGATCTATGCCCGTTGCACTGCTACGGCGTGGCTCCTGCAGGCGGCTGCCAACAGGCGGTGAGTTGATAGGTCCGAGGCATCTAGTTGAGGGTCTGTGGGTTCGCGCGGCCCACTTCCTTATGACAGGTGCTTGGCCTCATAACTAGCCGTCGACTAGGGGCGTTGCCTTCTCGTTAGGATGCGGGGGTTGCGAGATGGTCCGCTGACGCCAAGCGAGGGGCCATTGAGATAGCCGGTCCAAGACAGAAAGAATCGGCGAAACTCACGGAGAAGAATTGCGTCGGTGATTAACAGTAACCCCGGGGATTGAGCCCTGTCTATATATGGACTTGGCACCCCCTCCCTTCCTGGCATTGTGTCTGCTCTCTACTCACGATTCACACCCCTGATCCAAAATGGCCTCCAGTGAGTTGCCCTGTCCTCTCTGTCGGGAGGGAATTGACACCGACAAGGTTCAGGATACATCGACGCCCAAGCGTCCTTGCAGGTCGAGTACCCACCCAAAGCCGACCTGCGGAAGATGATTGCGCAGAATCCACTGCCTGCGATCGCGCCCGGACTCATCGATCCGGACTCGATGGGTGAAAATCACCTGCCGACCGAACAGGTCAACGTCGCACTGGATCGACTGAACGCCGCACTTGTCGCAAATGATGCCACGGCCCTCGAGAGATGCTTCTTCGCCCCGCAGGCCTACTGGAAGGACCAGCTGGCGCTGACCTACCACTTGCGCACATTCTCGGAAGCGGGCGTCATTGCTGCGGCGCTTTTGAGGACAAAGGCGCTGCGTGGCGTCGCAGATATCGCGATCGACGGCGTCGCGCAGTTCATCCCGGCTGCGCCGAGTTTGGTAAGTACATGGGGGCGGTCTGTTGGATAATCGAGCTGACGGAGTAGCAATTCATCGACTGTGGCATTGTCTTCCGGACTGCCTCGCCGGCTGCCACGTGCAAGGGCAAGGTGATACTCTTGCCGGTCAAAAGCGGCGAGTCTATCAGCTGGAAGATCTGGGTCTTGAGCACTTTCCTCGAGAGCTTGGACCTCCAGCCTGAAGACGAGGGGCTGCTTCACCTTCCGGGTAGACCCCTGGATGGACTGGAGGCGTTCGAAACAGATGTCTTTATCATTGGAGGGGGGAATGCGTGGGTGGCCTGCAACAATCATCATGTCTCGCTGGGCGGAGTTCCTTGCCTCAGATCTTCTGCCATGCCGTCCAATACTAATTTTCGATCCTAGTGCCATCTCTCTTGCCGCTCGTCTGAAGGCCTTGGGCGTCGAAAGCGTCATGGCCGAGCGAAATGCTCGGGTTGGCGACAACTGGGCTCTCCGCTATGACTGCATGCGATTTCACATCCCGACGGCGTTCTGCGACCTGCCTTTCATGGGTGAGTATATCGATCCAAGGCGATATTCCAGCCTTTTCAGCCACCACGCTAACCGCCCTAGGCTATGATTCGCACCTCCGGGGCGCACACATGCTCACTCGCGACGAACTAGCTGCACAGTTGCGACGCTACGTCGCGGCCTTCAACCTCAACATCATCACATCCGCCGAGATCCAATCAACATCGTACGACAAATCCGCCCAGACGTGGAAGATCCGGTTCAAGACCCCAGCCGGCTCCTGCACAGTCATCTCCAAGCAGCTCGTGCTGGCGACAGGTATCAGGTCCCAGGAACCCAATATGCCGCACATCGCGGACAGTCACCTATACCGGGGAATCAGCATGCACTCCACGCAGTACGAAAATGCCAGACGGCTGCAGGAGCAGGGTGTCAAGGTAGTCCCCATCCACCACCACGAACACAAAACAAGCACCTCTAACCCCACCAGTCCGTGTTGATAATCGGCTCTGCCAACACAGCCTTCGACATCCTCGAAGACACCCACTCCTCCGATCTGCAAAGCACAATGGTAACCCGCTCCCCGACGTACATCGTCCCAGTCGAATATCTGTGCAACCCGCGCAGTCTGGGCGCCTACGACCACTCCGTCCCCGCCGCAGACAGCCTCTTCATGACGATCCCGGCCTGCATCGACGCCCAGTTCGCCCGGAACCTGCTCTCGCAACAGGCATCCGAAGAGCCAGATCGGTACGCCAGACTCGCACGCGCCGGGTTCGATGTTCTTGACAGCCGCGACCCGAGCTGTCTCCTAGCAAGTAACCTGCTCGAACGGGCAGGCGGGCACTATGTCGATGTCGGCGGAACCAAGCTCCTGGAAGAAGGTAAAGCGGGGATCAAATCCGCCGAACCGATCGCGTACACACCCACCGGATTACTATTCTCGGACGGCAGTACTCTTGACGCCGATGCGGTGATTTGGTGTACGGGGTTCTCGGACGCGAATGTGCGGGATACGACCGCGCGGATCTTGGGGAGCGGAGAGATGGAGCCCGACAGTAGGGACTTGCTGGGCCCGCAGGACATCGCTGCCCGCTTGGACGCGACCTGGGGCGTGGATGTCGAGGGCGAGATCCGTGGCATGTGGAAGCGCCATGTGCGCATGGAGAACTTCTGGGTCGCTGGCGGGTTTACTCAGCAGCATCGCTGGCATTCGAGGACGATGGCGTTGCAGATTAAGGCCGCGTTGGAGGGCGTGTTGCCGTCCGCTTATAGGGATACGCCGCGGGGGAGGTTGGGATCGGTGTTGTAGTTTGATGTTGTCTGTGGGTTGTGGTGAGTGGCTGGCGGGAGGGGTGGAAACAAGGAGAAGACGAGTGAAGTTGTAGAAAGAGTGGAGGGCGAGGAAGAAGAGGAGAGGGGATTGTTCAAGACCTGAGACATCAGGCAAACAACTGCCTCAGGCTGCTAGCAGTTCTACTCTTATAGCACAATATATTCATAGTCTACCTCATCATCGATTAATCAATACATCAAGACTACAACCATTACGAGTCCTCCAATCACTCGTAACGACCCCAATTACACCAACGCGACATGCGGCGGAGACATCACAACATCACCATGAAAGCCCCATCCAGGGGAGAGCACAAAAATTCTATAGACAGAACGCAAAAGGGTATATGGCGAGTCATGGAAGAGAGGGAAAAGACGGCGCTGGAGATGTCAAGACGATAGCTGTCAATAGAAACCGGTCTCGCCAGCAGCTATTAAGTTTATCATGTCATCATCAGGCGCGTAGTGCGCCGCTCGGGGAAGCGTCGAGCCGGCGGGGGGGCCCCGGCTGCCGCGTACGGGCCTTCGGGGGGACCAGGGGGGCGCAGCCCGCGTCCACGTCCGCGTCCTGGTGGTCCCATGCCGGGGGGTCCCATGCCGGGGCCCATACCAGGGCCCATGCCAGGTCCTGGGTAGCCTGGGGGCGGAGGATATCCACGGCCTGACGGGGCCAGCGGGGACGGAGGCATCGTGGGACGCCGGGGACGAGGGGGCGGGGTGGCCGCCGCGGCTCGTCGCGCGTCACGCTCGCAGTACACCTGCCCATACCACTCGAAGTAGTCGCCCTTCAAGGGGATCTGGCAGGTGCGACACTTGAGGCAGTCCGGGTGGAACTTCTGGCAGTCCGCCGGCCCGCGGCCCCGCCGTTCAACGGTCTCAAGGTACTGGCCCTCTATGCCGGTGTGGCAGGTGTGGCACAGCGAGCCGTTGCGCTCGTGGTAGTGCTGCGCGCAGTAGGGGCGGTCTTGCAGCACATAGAAGTCCGCAGTCTGAAAAGGGGTGCGGCAGTGGAAGCAGACAAAGCAAGCCCGGTGGTAGCGGCCGGTGAGACGGCCGTCCGCCGACGAAACCGACTTGCCCAGGATCATCTCACCACAGCCACGACATGGGCCTTTCGGACGAGGCGACGGGCGCGGCATCGGCGCCGTCGTGGACCGCGCGATGGGTCGCGGCTCCTCTTCCACGGGGGACTTCTCTATCTCTGACACCAGCGACAGGCTCCCCTGGCTTATGGCCGGGTCCGTCGGCGAGTCCGGGCTGAACAGCGTCTCGGGCATGCGCGGGGGCTCCAGCGCGGTGGGGCTCTCGATCACCGGTCGGCCCAGGACGGGCTGTTCGGTTTTCAGCTTGTCCATGACCGGGCGTTGGTCAGACGGTTTCCGTCGCGACATGCTGGCCTCTGAGGGCAGGCTCGAGAGGGAGGTGCCGCTGCGGGTGTCCGAGGGGGAGGAGTCGGACGAGGTGATGGAGCTGTCGGCCTCCTCAGGCACATCGAGGCCCAGGGCACGTGCGAAGTTGGTCACGGAGGCACTGCCTTCGCTGGCCGCATCCGAGTTCGTCCGCTGGCTGGCACTCCGCTCATGCGAGCGCGGGACTTCCGCGTCGGTCGGTTGGAGGAAGTCCGAGCTGGGCGGTTTGAACGCTTTGTATTCCCCGTTGGCGGGGCTCGCGGGCGAAGCCAGTGGTTCAGCGGGAAGTTCGAAGTCCACTGGGGGTCCGTACGAGCTCTGGGCGGGACTCTGGAAGAACAACTCGGCGGACCCGCGGGTGCTGCTCAGCCGGCCGGAGCTGTGCGAGACCCGCAGCGCGGCCGCATGGACATGGTCGATCTCCGCCTTGGCACTCGCCGGCCTGTCCGGCGTGCCGAAGTCGAAGCCGCTGTAGATTTCGCCCCGACCTGCGCTCTTGTCCGCCAGTCCGGTGACGGACGAATCTGAGGTTCTTGGTCGGAGCAGCGCCTGCGGGGCGGCTGACGGGACGGGAGGGGCATCGTCCAGATACTTATAAGGGGCGACGCTACCAAACGAGGGCCGACGGCTCGACATGGCCGTCGAGCGTTTCGAGTTTCGGTTTTCGCCGTAGCGGGTGCTTGCGAGGGAGGTCCGGTAGCTGCTCTTGCTGTCGATCGAGGCCCCGTGTCTGTGCATGCCCGGGGGGTCCTTCGGGAGGGGCGGCGGGGGCAAGTCTGTCGGGGGTGGACCGGGATGTGCCTGTGTTTTTCCGAACCGGGGGGATGGCATTGGCGGTGATGACTCCTTCACATCCAGCAGGCCGTTGGGACGTCGGTCCGACATGGATCGAGGGAGGGGAAAGGACGCAAAGGCGGTTTCGAGATTGATCGAATCCGGGGATTGCGGCTCATCTGGGAGGGGAGATGTCTGGCTTCGTTGGAGGGCACGAAATGGGGATCGGTTGCCGGTGGAGAGAGGGGACGGGACGAGGGGGTCATTGTTATTGACTGGACTCGCAGGATGTAGAAAGGGACGATCTGAAGGGAGTGTTATTGCGTGAACGGATATAGAGAATGTACAGGACCACCGCTCGCGCGATCAGGGACACATACTGGCTATGGCCGGGTCGATACGAGGCGGCGGGCCCGATCTCCCGGGCTTGGACCAGCCATCGCTGGGTCTCCTGGTCGGCAAAGCCTCGTCGGACTTGGGGGGCGGCGGGGGGGGAGATTGGGGAATTGGCGATGGGGCTGCAAGGAGGATGAGGGTCAGCATCTTCGGGGAGCGGCACAGGGAATGGAGATAGGTACCAGACACCGGTTTGGCACAGACGTGATCTCCCATGGCGGAGATCTCGACGCCCATTCCGCAGTTGGAGCATTTGATCATGGGCAGAAAGCCCGTATCCATGATGGAGGCCATACTGGGGGAGAGGGAGGGGGAAGGTCTGGAGGCACAGAAGGATATCCACCGGTCGCGTACTCATTGGAATGAGCGACGGTCGACAGGCAGGAGGAGGAGATTGAGGATGGACGACACAGCCAGCACCGGGGACCTCAACCGGGCAATGCAGGCAGGCCTCCTGGTGTGGGAGAGTCAACCCCAGATGTCAGGATGGGAGATCGATCCGGAGGGAGGATGATGTTAGAGAGACATGGATGGAAGTGGTGTGGTGTGTGTGGTGTGTGTAGTGGTGGTGAGTGGTGTGTAGTGAGTGGTGGGTGGTAGATGCTGGATACAGAAAGCTGAAGAGGAGAGAGCACCAGCCATTGTTGCTGCTTGGGGGGGGGGGGGGTCCATCCAAAATACTAATAGTGTAGGCTAGTGGTCTAGTGGTGAGAGGCAGTGGAGCCTGGCGGCCTTCCTCGTGTGTTCGCGGTTGGGCCGATCCACGAACCCTTCCGCCGCCCCGCCCCCTGATTGGCCGCTGGCCGCGCGCGCTGTGTTTGGCCCGGCGGTCTTACTGTTCTAAGCAGCTGCTCTCACTACTAAACCACGCCCGCTGACTAGATAGATACACTACGCCGCCTCTCCTGTTGCTGCTACTCCTGCTACTCCTGCTACTCTCGCTACTCTCCTTCTAGCCCGACACGGCTCACTCTGCATCATCAGTGAGGCTGGTCCCTCCTCCCCTACTCTGACGGTCTGACGGTCTGACGGTGACCGTCTGTCTCACTGTCTACAGTCTACAGTCTACAGTCTACTGTCTGGGTCTGGGTCTGACAACCCCCGACTCTCCCCAAACCAGACTATTGATCGCGTTTCGTCTCCCGGTCTCTCCCCATGCTTCCACCCCCCTTCCAGAGTTTGAACTGCCTGTGACGTTTATTTTTATCCACCCCCTTTTCCCCCAATCAGTGTGCGACTCCCGTCGATTTTGACGTTCGCCCGATAGATAGTGCCTGCCTCAGCGTCCTAGCCCCTGAGCCATCCACCGCAGATCTTCCTTCAGGGGCAACCGTGTCGCGACCACCACCATTCGCCCGCTTCCCCAGTTGGCTCCAACTGGCAACCTCTTCCGCCCCATTCTTCACACGCGCTCGAGCCCCGTCTCCATCGGGACGGCCTTGGTCGTTGTTCTGCCATGGCTGGTCGGTCTTCCTGCTCGATTTCTGGTGATCCCGATTCCTGAGAATGAGTGCCTCGTCCGTCCCCAGCACCGTGTGGCTGCCTGGCAGCCATGCGCCTGGTCCCTGCTCGAGATATCATCTCCAACCCGACCCCCGCCAGATCGTCGACGGGCAAAGTCTAACTCGGAACATTGCCAGGCAAGGGGGACCATGGGGGCCAGCGATTTTCGCTGTCATTCCATGGTCGAGCCTGCCGATCGGGTCGCAGCCTGCCTGTCACGGCGGCAGATACATTGCTGGAATCGCCCGAATTTCGAGAAAGACGGGGGTGGGTTGCCCCCAAACAAGCAGCAAGCACTGCCGGTAGTCGTCCAGGGCATCCCGGGTTGCGACGCAGATCGAGCCTCCTCTTGGGTCTTGGCTCTGCAGCACCAGGAACCGACGATCTGCGTACCACGGCTCGCGCCCGGTGGTACGCAACGCGGCAATTGCAATTCATGCAGCTTGCAACTGAACAATTGGGATGGCATGCTTCAGAGGATCTTATGATCGCATGCGCAAGCCGTTTCCACGGGATACACGGTCGTACCCGGTCTGATTGGCCCAGGGGCTCCTCCACCCGCTTCCACGCAAGCAATATACGGGAATGGGTCGTGTGGGATCGCGTACGGACTCTTCGATGTCGACAGGGGTAACTACTATCTATGGTCGGATCGCTGCTGCATGGTGGTGAGCGATGTCGAATCGGGTGGTTTTCCAGGCGCATTGCCGGGCGAGCCGGAGCCGGGGTGGTAGTGGCCAGGAACCGAATCGTAGACACGGTACGTCGTACAGACGACGGGGATGGAGGACGACTTCCGAGTCGCTGTAGCGTAATCCCCTCGCGGCCCCAGGCAACTTCTGCCTTGGTGCCTGGTTGATGCCCGAGGCCGCGTTGCTTCAGTGCCTGAGGGCACCACACCACGTGATCCCATCCTGTCCCCCACGAGGGTCTAAATTGGTGCAATGAGATTGGTGGCAGTTATTGCTCAGCTACTTACGTACTAGCATCTAACTATCTATCGACAGACCCTAGCGATCGAATCTCACCGTGCAGTGGGGACCAGGCAGCATCGTTCTCCGTTGTCATGCAGGCATTGGCGATGATTCATTCAGGGGCGCGAAGCAACCATGGGCCTCCTGCCGAGCTTTCCGCCCTCACCGCAACATCGGGACGAGTCCTCGACGTACTCCGTACTGTTTAAGTACAGGGAGGATATCTACTGGCCAGTGTGTATGATCTATCTAGTTAATGTAGGTCTCAAGTACCAGGTACCGAGTGTCGCCGCACAAGGCCTCCGCACAAATCGTCTTCGCCCTCAGGTGTTGCGAGCGGAGCCCCGCACTATTGGCGACGATGGAGCCCAGGCCACCGGCCGACCCGGGCTGAGCAGAGAGTTGTTTCACTCCTGGTCCTATCAGCCAGGCTGTCGGGAATGAGGCCTCCGCTTATGGCACTATGTCGGCTATCCTCTGGCTAGCGCCGAGGGACACGTTGACAACTGGCACTGTCAGTGTCAGGAGTCAAGACTCGGGGGACATCGCTGTGATGGTAGTTAGTTAGTGTGGACAGTAACCTGTCGATGGTGGTTATCAGTGGGGCATTGGATACATAGCATGTGAGTAGCATGTGAGTAGGGGCAAGACAGTCAAGAGGCATTGAGACCCATTGACCACTTTCCAGGTCATCAATGGCAATGCTGTGGCCAGGTATCCTCACCGCAACGCTGGCCCAAATCCGGGCTCGGTTGGAGCAGACGGGCTGTCATTCGTGCCTGGCCGGGGATGCGGAGCTGGACGGGTGCGGATCCGGCGGCAACGTGACTGCCGGAGGGCGGAGAGCGGGAGTTCCGGGGTGTATAAGTACAGTCCCTCCCTCTTCCCCTTTCCTCTCTCTCCCCTCCCCCCACCCCCAACCTCTCTCAATTCAGTCAGTCAGTCAGTCAGTCAGCCAGCCAGCTCAATTGCTCCTCATCCTCTTCATCCTTCGATCACACTCTCCGAGGCGTGATCCGTAATACCGTCAAGATTTTCTCCACACATCTCAACTCGTACGTCCCCCCCCCCCCCCCCAAGATGGCAGGAAGCAATTGGACCTTCCCAGCTGAGCTCTGCTAACTCCTTCCAGGCGGCACCACCCGTTCAACGGCCGGCGCACTTCCAACCGTGGTGGAGCACCGGACAACGCGTTATACATCCAGTAAACAACTCGCGTTACACCCCTCTCTATCAACGCAATGGCTCCCCACGCAAGTTCGGAAGTCGCCAATGGCGCCGTGAACGGGTCCGCTCATTCCGCCCCGCTGTTTACCGTCAACTCTCCCAACGTCGAGTACACCGATACCGAGATCAAGAGCAAGTATGCCTACCATACCACCGACATCACCCGCACTGCCGACGGCAAGCTCGTGGCCACCCCCAAGGCCGCGACCTACAACTTCAAGGTCGACCGCAAGGTCGGCAAGGTCGGCATGATGCTGGTCGGCTGGGGTGGAAACAATGGCTCCACTGTGACAGCGGGTCTCATCGGTAACCGTCGTGGCCTCGAGTGGGAGACCCGCGAGGGCACCCGCGCGTCCAACTACTACGGCTCCATGGTTATGGGCTCCACGATCAAGCTGGGTACTGACTCCAAGACCGGCGAGGAGATCAACGTGCCGTTCCACGACATGCTGCCCATGGTCCACCCTAACGACCTGGTCGTCGGTGGCTGGGACATCAGCAGCATGAACCTGGCGGACGCCATGGACCGGGCCCAGGTGCTCGAGCCCACCCTCAAGCAGCTGGTGCGCAAGGAGATGGCCCAGATGAAGCCGCTTCCCAGTATCTACTACCCCGACTTCATCGCCGCCAACCAGGAGGACCGCGCGGACAACCTCATCGAGGGCTCCAAGGCGTGCTGGGCGCACGTGGAGCGGATCCAGCAGGACATGCGGTGAGTTTGCTGTCTATTTCTTTTGATGATCTGTTTCATACTGACTTGAGCAGCGACTTCAAGGCTCAGAATGGGCTGGACAAGGTGATCGTCATGTGGACGGCCAACACCGAGCGGTATGCGGACATCGTGCCCGGTGTCAACGACACGGCGGACAACCTGTTGAATGCCATCAAGACGGGCCACCTGGAGGTTTCCCCGTCCACTGTCTTCGCAGTGGCTTGCATTCTGGACGGCGTGCCCTTCATCAACGGGTCCCCCCAGAACACCTTTGTCCCCGGCGCGATCCAGCTGGCGGAGAAGCACCAGGCGTTCATCGGCGGCGACGACTTCAAGTCGGGCCAGACCAAGATGAAGTCGGCGCTGGTGGACTTCTTGATCAACGCGGGTATCAAGCTCACGTCGATTGCCAGCTACAACCACCTGGGCAACAACGACGGCAAGAACTTGAGCTCTCAGAAGCAGTTCCGGTCCAAGGAGATCTCCAAGTCTAACGTGGTGGACGACATGGTGGCGGCCAACCACATCCTGTACGCGAAGGACGAGCACCCGGACCACACTGTGGTGATCAAGTATATGCCGGCGGTGGGCGACAACAAGCGGGCGCTGGACGAGTACTACGCGGAGATCTTCATGGGCGGCCACCAGACGATCAGTCTGTTCAACATCTGCGAGGACTCCCTGCTGGCGTCGCCGCTGATCATCGATCTGGTGGTGATCGCGGAGATGATGACGCGCATCAGCTGGAAGGGCGAGGAGGGCGAGTACAAGGGCTTCCACAGCGTGCTCAGCGTGCTGAGCTACATGCTGAAGGCGCCGTTGACCCCGCCGGGCACTCCGGTGGTGAACTCGCTCACGAAGCAGCGCAGCGCGTTGACCAACATCTTCCGGGCGTGCGTGGGTCTGCAGCCGGAGTCGGAGATGACGTTGGAGCACAAGCTGTTCTAGCTGTAGCGTTGCTACACAGCAGCGCCTTTTGAGGCAGCCTCTGCAACTCTAGCCGATTCCTGGCTGTCAACTGAGCTATTCTTCAGCTGTCCGAACTAGTCTTATCCAACTATAGCCACTCATTAATCCACATCATCCTTAGATGATATTGACTATCTCCATCTCCTACGGACACCCACATTACTACCATCGTTGAACGGTATTTCTGGACTGAATCCCGCCCGCCATTCGTAGATGCTCTTTCTTCCACACTTCATCCCTTGAGAGTAATATACCCTATTCCTGCCCCGATGCCGATCCCAACATTCATGCCACTCACTTCTTCAATGTTCAGATCAAGTATGATGTACGGAGTAGACATCAATACACCCCCTTCGTACGTACTCGACTAACCTAACTCCAACTAGCAGAAGACAACCGTAGAAGAGCTTCTCTGGTCAGAGGCAGTACAGAAATGAAAAATTGGATTTCATGGATGAAAAAGGGCCCTATCTCTAGTTACCTATTTGTCGCTTGTTTCATTACATCATGGTATTATTGTGCGATTCTGCTCACCCTGGTAGATCTCGTGAATGTTCAATCTAGGGATCTTTGAATGAGATCTCTGGATCTGTGGATCTGCGATGAACTTAACTACTATATAGCCCAGACTCTATTCTATTCTTCTTTTACTCCCAAACTTCATATGTAGTCCAGACATACTTCATATACTACATACGTACCTCTCCATCCAATCCACAACACACCATCAACACAGATCCCATCTCATCTCACCCCCAACTATCACCATCGCGATCTCCCCCTAATCCAATCAATGATACATCTCAACCCCTCCCCCGCCACGCACCTCCTCCATATCCCTCCACTCCTTAGCCGCATCATCATCCCCCTCGGCCTCGTCCTCGGCCTCGCCCTCTCCCTCGCCCTCCCCATAACTCCTCCCCTCGACCAACACCAACGTGCCATTCTCCCTCAACCCCCCCAACCCCCCCTCAACATACCACTGCCACCCACCGCCCGGCTGCCCAAACCAGGGCAGAATCTCGCCCTCGACGGCATCAAACTCCGCGGTGACCCGATACCGCCAGTAATTATACAGGGTGCTATTAGCGAACTTGTTCAGGTTGCCGGGGGGGATGGACCGCTCCGCGAACGGCGTGTCCGCGGGGGCGAGATAGCTGCCGTTGGCGGTGCCGAAGCGGTCGACGAAGCTGCCGACGGGAGGGCTGCCGGGCTGGGCGCAGCCCTTGAAGCCCAGGTTGGGCGGGTAGATGTAGCCGGCGTAGGCGAAGGGGTTGGAGGGCGGCGGGGAGAGGGCGGGCGAGGTGAAATTCGCCCAGGTGCAGAGCCAGTCCGATGGGCATTGGGAGTCGAGCGGGGCGTAGGAGGCGAAGAGGGTCGTGAAGTTGGAGGTTGGCTGGAAGTTCGCGGGCCCTAGGAGGATGTTGTTGCAGGTGCAGTAGCTGCAGTAGAAGGCGGAGGTCGTGGTGTTGGTTGCGGAGGGGGTGATGTTGGCGCAGGGGTCTGGGTTGGGGCAGGTGAAGGTGGTGGTGGTGGTGTCGTTGATGGGGGGAGGGGGGTCTAGTAAGGAGGGGGGTTAGATAGATGGGGGGTTAGATGAAGGGTTGGGGATGGGGATGGGGATGGGGATGTACCTGGCTGGCGTGGGAGAGGGAGATGAGGAGAGAGAGTGGCAGGAGAACCGCCTGGGAGAGCATTATGGCTGTTGGTTGGTTGGTCTCGCTGGACTAGAGGAGGTCGAGGATGCGCTTGAGGATGGGGGTGTGTGATGCGTGATGCATTGGGACATGTTATATAGCACTTCAGGATCTAGAATGGGAGGGGATGGGATGGGATGTTGAGATGTCCTTGCTATTCATGACTGGAATGTGGTAATGGGAGGAATCCAGCACATTGTTCGTATAGATGTAGAGATCATTTCTTCCGCTTCAAAGGAATACTATTTCTGGCTTTGTATATTGATCAGGGACCAATCGGGTCAATTGCCCTCGAGCTATGTGCCATGTCTGGTCTGCAAGGGACTGTGATACATTCCACGCGACCTTGGGTTACCATGCGCCAAAATATTTGACACATGATTGATTGAGTCTGGGATCAGGAAGCCCTATATGGGGGTAGACTGGTGTCTACAACATTGCATGGCTGTGCTCGTCTGCCAACAGCAGGCCAGGCTGGTCAAAGTTCGTCTAGGTTCGATTTTCGAAGTATATCCCAATCCTGTGTTGCTCATTCTCAGACGCCGTGCACACTATTGGTTGCTGTCGGCAGGCTTTCTGTTTAGAAGGTGCCGGGGTTTGTTGGGGTTTGATGTGAATAAGAGTGTAAGTGTGATATCCTGATAATCCTGTCAGGGGCGAAGCTGAAATACTCGGGCACAGCATTGTTGTATGACGGCAAGATGCCAGAGTAAACAAAAATCCAGGTTAGCGGTATGCCTGAAGATGGATCTAGCTTTTGATACTTGCTCGGTTTGCGCAGTCCATCGTGTAGAAGATGGCTCAACGGTACCCAGAATCAAGTTGTCATGGCGCGGATATATCTTGATCGGAGATTTATACTGACTCACATCCCCTCAGTCGCCCAAGCAATGGAAGCAGACACGCGTACACAATCCGTACCGACACGGTGCATCCGCGACGGCTAGAGGGGACGGTGAGGGGAATCTCCAAATCGAAGTCACGCTTCTTTCTCGGGCTTCTTTCTAGAACCATCCCAGGCTAGTTAGTTAGTGTGACTCCGTCCGTACTTTGTAATCAACGGTGAGCGCACGGGCCAAGGCGGAAAACATTGCCTAAGTAAGGCAGACAGTCTAAGCATCGCATCGCCTGTCCCAATGGAGACATCAAAGACCCGACAGTGGAGATGGAGTGGATTGGTCCTTATCATATGCCTAGGGGAATATCTAGGGATGCTGGGATGGTCTTCCTAACAGGGTGTTGAGCTGAGTAGTCAGTCTGTCACTGGTAGGTGGGTGGCTGCTCTATTCTCAGCGGACTGGCCTGTTGGAAGCCGTAGCCGGACCCTCCCTCATCAGTCATGCTGCGGGGATGAGGGGCTGTAGCAGCAGCAGCTGAATGGAAGATAGCTGGGAGGTATAGTGGTATGAAGTGGTACGGACGGGAAGGCAGAGAGAGAGGAAAGGAAATGCCCCTCACGCCCCTCTCCGCCTCCCCCTCTTCTCTTCCCCCCTCATCGGCCAACTCCACTATTTGCCGACTGCCTTCCAATTTATTCCCGCCGCTCCCAAGCTTCATCCCTCCTTTCTCTTTCTTCTTCCTCTTCCTCTTCTTCCTCCCCCATTCACCACCCACCACCCCAACTCAATCATCATGGCCAGCACGGTCGGACAGGTGAGTCCCCCTCCAGTGTCCCCCCCACCATATCTCCCCATGAACGCGTGCTAACCCATCCAGACCATCACCTGCAAGGTAAGCTCACCACCGCATCAAATCTCCAGACAACATACCAATTATACCACAATCTAGGCGGCAATCGCCTGGGGTGCCGGAGAGCCCCTCTCCGTCGAGGACGTCGAGGTCGCGCCTCCCCGCGCCCACGAAGTTCGCATCCAGATCCTCCACACTGGTGTCTGCCACACAGGTCGGTCTGCCACACCGCGGGATCCACCACACCAAAGCTGACCCGCCAGATGCCTACACCCTCTCCGGTAAGGACCCTGAGGGTGCCTTCCCCGTCGTCCTCGGCCACGAGGGCGCTGGAATCGTCGAGTCCGTTGGCGAGGGTGTCACCTCGGTGAAGCCCGGCGACTACGTCATCGCTCTGTAGTATGTGGCTCGTATCCCTCCCTCCCGTCGCTGCTGTCGCTAACGGATCAGCACCCCCGAATGCCGCGAGTGCAAGTTCTGCAAGTCCGGCAAGACCAACCTCTGCGGCAAGATCCGCGCCACCCAGGGTAAGGGTGTCATGCCCGACGGCACCTCGCGCTTCAAGGCCCGCGGCAAGGACCTGCTGCACTTCATGGGCACCTCCACCTTCTCCCAGTACACCGTCGTGGCGGACATCTCCGTCGTGGCCGTGACCCCCAAGATCCCCACCGACCGCTCCTGCCTGCTGGGCTGCGGCATCACCACCGGCTACGGCGCGGCGGTCGTGACGGCCAAGGTCGAGGAGGGCTCGAACATAGCCGTGTTTGGGGCTGGCTGTGTCGGTCTGTCGGTCATCCAGGGTGCGGTCAAGAACAAGGCGGGCCGGATCATCGTGGTGGATGTCAACGACGACAAGGAGGCGTGGGCGCGCAAGTTCGGCGCGACGGACTTTGTCAACCCGACCAAGCTGGGCGGCAAGACCATCCAGGAGCAGCTGATCGACATGACGGATGGCGGGTGCGACTACACCTTTGACTGCACCGGCAACGTGGGTGTGATGCGGGCGGCCCTGGAGGCGTGCCACAAGGGCTGGGGTGAGAGTATTGTCATTGGCGTTGCGGCGGCCGGCCAGGAGATCTCCACGCGGCGTGAGTACCTGCCGTTCTTCCGTATACCGAATCTGAGTACTAACCTGAGCAGCCTTCCAGCTGGTCACCGGCCGGGTGTGGAAGGGATGTGCGTTCGGTGGCATCAAGGGCCGCACGCAGCTGCCGGGGTTGGTTGACGACTACCTGAGCGGGCAGCTGAAGGTGGACGAGTTCATCACGCACCGCGAGGGCCTGTCGGACATCAACAAGGCGTTTGAGCAGATGAAGGCGGGTGACTGTGTTCGTTGTGTTGTGGATATGTCGTAGCTTACTTAGGCTTCGGTCAACCAATTCTTTGATGTTCTAGCAGACAAGGCTCCTGTTAAATATACGTAGCGGCCAAGGTCCTCGGGGACCTTGTAGACATCAAAGGACTGGGATCGAACAGGCTCATTGGCACTGATCCTCATCCTCATCCTCGTCGCCAACCCCCAGCACACTATACCTGATTGTTTCAACAACACTCTCTAACCAACCATCACAACCAATCTCATATTCTGTTTTCATATCAGTCAGTATATCAGTACCCACAGATAACAAACGCCAATCCTTCCCCATAATGGATTCAACAGCCGCTCGACAGCCCCGAATCGCTATCCGGACAACGTCCGAGAGCAGGTCAGCGCTTACATACGGACCAGATCCCGACAAGAGGGGGAATGAGAGGGGTTTCTGATCGGGTTGGTTTCCGCTCCGGCATCGGGCTGATACTGCATGATTGATCACTATCACTGTTACTATCACTATCATGGGCATCAGACAATGCCAGACACTGAACTAGTTAAAGTACACTACTAGATGGTTTGTCTGTCTGTCTGTCTATCTCTAGAGCCCCTCTCTCTGCCACTATCTACCCCTCTTTGGTCAACTAGACGAGCTTGAGCTTGTTAGTCGGGTATAAGTACGGGTTTATTCTACTACTACTACTGCTACTACTACTACTACTACTACTACTACTACTACTACTACTACTACTACTACTACTACTACTACTACGACACCACCCTCAACACTCACACCCAAACAACCAAAATGACCACCTCCACCATCACCAACATCCCCCTCCCAGAACCCTTCTCCTCTATCCCCCGCCACCCCCTAACCCTCTATCCATCCCCCATCCACGCCCTCCCCCGAATCACCGCCGCGCTCGCTACCACCCCCACGCCCTCCTCCCCAGGGGCAACCATCTACGCCAAACGGGAAGACCTCACCTCGGCCCTCGCATCGGGGGGCAACAAAACCCGCAAACTCGAATACCTTCTCCCTGACGCCCTCGCTCAAAACGCCACGACCCTGATCTCCATCGGGGGGATCCAATCGAACCACACGCGCCAGGTCGCCGCCGCGGCCGCGGTGGTGGGGCTGAAAGCCCGCACCATCCAAGAAGACTGGGTGCCGTGGTCCGACGCGGGGTACGCGCGGGTTGGCAACATCCAACTGTCGCGATTGATGGGGGCGGACGTGCGGCTGGATCCGTCCGGGTTCGGGATCGAGCACAAGGAGACGTTGAGGAGATTGCAGGCGGAGTGTGACGCGCACGGGGAGCGGACGTACTACATCCCTGCGGGGGCGTCGGACCACCCGTTGGGCGGGGTGGGGTTCGCGCGGTGGGCGTTTGAGGTTCGCGAGCAGGAGCGGGAGATGGGGGTGGTTTTTGGGACGGTGATCGTGTGCGTGGTGACCGGGAGTACCTTGGCCGGGATGATTGCCGGGTTCAAACTGCTGGAGAAGCTGTATCCGCACGAACCGACACGTCGGGTGCTGGGCATCGATGCCAGTGCGAAGCCCCAGCAGACCCGTCAGCAGGTCCTGCGCATTGCGAAGATGACTGCCGTGAAGATCGGTCTCCGCGAGGACGATGTCACCCTGGACGATGTCGAGCTGAATGAGGACTATCATGCCGGGGTGTACGGCGTGCCGGATAAGAGGACCTGGGAGGCGATCGAGTTTGCGGCGCGCACCGAGGCGTTCATTACTGATCCGGTCTATGAGGGGAAGAGCTTTGCCGGGTTGATGGATTTGGTCAGGAGGGGGGAGGTGTCTGGGAATGTCCTCTTTGCGCATTTGGGGGGGCAGTTGGCGTTGAATGCTTATTCCGAGGTGGGGGCTGTGAAGGAGTGAAGGAGTGAAGGGTACTCCTCTAGACATCTACACTATCTAGCATCTACAGTCTACAGATAGCCCCAGTGGTATATCAATATACTACAACCCCCTCAAGCCAGCAGTGAAAAGGTATGGATCATAGATTCAGAAAAAAGGTACATAACTCCAAATGCTACATTCCATCCCAATATAATACAATCAGAGCAGACGCAGACACAGCTGCATCCACATCCATATCTACCACCACCCCAACCATCAGATCATCCACGCCACGCCAAGACCCCGAGCGAAGAAGCGATGTCACGATTGCAAAAAAAATCTAATCTTTTATACAGAACCCGCAGAAACAAAATGCAAACGGAGCAAGAGCGAAAACCACGGTCATGTCATGTTGCAGGCAAGTTTGAGGTAGACAATCCAGGCAGACAGGCAGTCCAAGCGGAGTAGACAGTTTACCGCCCCGGCAGCTGGCCCTGCATCATGGCAGCGTTCTGTTCCTGGAAGCGTTCGTTCAGGCGCGCCGACCCCTTCATATACTTGTCGACGCAGCGCATAACGCAGCCCTCCTCGCGGTTGACGAGGGACTTGGTGGTGAAGTCGTTGACGCAGTCGTCAAAGCACTTCTGCACGAGCTTGGAGTACATCTGGGAAAGTTAGTTTGGGGGCAGGGATGCAGTGGATGGGGATCGATCGGGGGAGGGAGCGAAGGGATGGGTCGGGGGTGGGTTGGACGCGTGGGGATTGGGATGTAGGTGAAGGGTTGGAGGATAGGGGTCGAGTGTAGGTTTGCATTGCGTGGTATGTGTTCGATGTGGATTGGATAGCAAGCAAGGTGGTGGATTGTGTATGCTCATGTTCTGCTGGCAGGTGCACGTACGGTCATGAATTCCTTCAGCTGCTTCCGCTCCATGCGGTTGGCGAGCTCGCGCTGTTCCGAGGCGTTGAGTCTGGCTGGTCAGCGACATGCGTGTGGAGGAGCCGGGCAGACGCCCGCAGGCAAACACTCACCCTTCCATTGTGATGTGGTCTGGGGTTGATTCAGCTAAAGACAGCGGGTGAATTGAGCTGGCGGGAAGACGGACGGACGGTCGTGATGACGACCGCTCCGGAGCTGCTCGACGCCGCAGGCTCTGATGGGTCACGTGGACCGGGTCATGTGATGTAGTTAGTTAGTTAAGTAGTTAACTAACGTAACTCCGTGCTGACTCAGTCCGCTCTTATGCTGTGCTCATTTCTGTTGCGCTTACTTATGTTGTGCCAACTGATGCGGTGCTGACTCAGTGCTGAGTCAGTGTGATTTCCTGCTGACTCAAATCTGACTCAACCACTCCGGAACCGACAGGCAGAGCGAGCCTGAGAGCCTGAGCCTGGGACTTGGACTCCGCGGTTCCATCCTGCGGCAGGTTAAAAAAAGCACAGCATCCTGGCCCAGACTTCCGCCTGCCGGGAACCATGGTTGTCGCCACGAAGGACTCGAGCAGCGTAACCTGTAACCTGACCTGCAGGGGCACCGACGAGGGGGTTCTCTAGGTTCCTTAGGTTGTCGGGGTTCTCTGGGATATCTACGCACTGCACGTTCCGGGCTGCGATCGACACCGACAGTGCTCGCCTGACGACCGATAAGCTTGGATGGCTTCTGGGGAAGAAGTTAAAAGGCCTGTAGTCAGGTTCCCAGTCCTGGTCCTGACCACTAGACAATGGGGCCTGAGCCATTGTGACATCAATAGTTCGGCGCGCCAAAGTCAAACTCGCCCCGACCCAGGACGATGAGGTGTAAGTAATTGAGTGAGTGAGTGAGTATACTATACTATACCTACCGGGACCGACGCCAGCGGGGAAACTACCGAGTCGCGCTCGTGCAGCCCTCGAAGCGGTCCGCAGGCCTGGTCTCGAACTCTCCTTACGGCCTGGATGGATGACATCACGTCGACTTGGGTGTCACTGGCCTGTTACAGATGTTGCAGACTCGACCCCCTAGTACGGAGGACACTCTAGGCTTCACGACCAAAGCCAGCCACCTGGTTGCTGTCGGTCGGTTGATGCCCCCTACCCCCAACCGCCGATCCCCATCCATCCGCGGAATCATGTTCACGGGTCGTCCCCTTTCTATTTCCCTCAGTCGGTCAGGCAGTCCGTAGTAGGTATGTATCTATCTAGGGGCATGTCGTGGTCTGTCCGTCCGTCCGGACGAACCCCCCGGGCCAGCCAGACTCCAGCCGTCTGCCACAGCACCAGGCCAAACTAACACTAGACGCGGGGTCAGTTTTCTCTCGGGCCGTTTGGGATGACAGCCACACCAGTCGTGGTTGGAGAACCGCGGTAGGACCCTGATGGTGCGGCACCGTCTCCCTCCATGCTCCTCCGCCAGGAGACTATCGAGGACGCGAAGACCAGGAGTCGGAGTCGCGGCCCTTCAGCGTTGCATCTGGTGACTGCCCGCGATCCAGGGCCATATTTTTAGCTACGACTGTCGGTTCTGGGGGGGAGGGTTGGTTGCTGGTCTTCCGGGTCGATGGAGCTTGGCGGAGGGTCTCATTTTCGGGCGGATCATCGCCTGTGGAGGTGACTGACTGGCCCAGTAGTGATCTGGGTTCGAGGGTTGTGTTCTTCGAGTCTGAGTCTTCGACGGATTCGCGATCCCCGTCCGGATAAAGACTAAAGACTGTATACGTAGGCGGATAGCCTCATGTCTCACTGGCGCCCCAACCATCGTAGGGGAAAGATTGAAGAACGGCCTAGCGAGCCGTAGTGTGCAACTAGTCGAGGACCGTTCGGGCGACTAGATCCAGGGCCAGGGCCAGAACCAGGACCGCCGGCTGTTGGAAGCAAAAGAAGGGCCTCGGGTGGGCACCACACCAGCCCTGGATCCCTGGGTCGGGTCCAAAGGGCCCTCCCTCCCTTCTTCCAGACGGCCAGGGAGCTTGGCGGGCGGGGGGTGTGGATTTCAATTTCCTCGAGCAGCGTAGGAGGAGAATGAGGAAGGAGGACGAGGTAAGTAAAAGAAGAGGATGAGGAAGAGAAAGAGGAGCAGCAGACCCGGGATGGATAGATAGATCGATGACTGGTCATGCTCCCGGTCCCGCCTTCAACTCTCATAGACTTGCAGACTCTCTCACACACCTCACTTCCTCTCTCTCTCTCTCTCTCTCTTTCGCTTCCTCTTCTTCAACTCATCCTCCCTCCACTTCTCACTTCTTCCACTTCTACTCCCACTCCCACTCCCTCCACTCCTCCCACTCCCTCTCCTCTCGACCTCCCTCCCTCCATCCCCCCCTCCTCTTCTTCCTCTTCATCCGCTTCAACTCCCTCCCTCCTCGGGGATTATCCACGCCAGTCTCACCATCGTGACCATCCCACCGTCATCATCATCATCATCAACTCCGGGTCCCCTTTCCCTGGTTCAGATGATGGTCATTGGTTTCATCCCCAGACCGGCCAAGAAGCACCTCGTCTGCTCACTCACGCACCCACCAACCCGGTCGGGGGCCTCAAGTCAGCCTCTCAGCAGCCATCGATCGCCCCCCTTCACCCGGAGTCGTCGTTCTTAGAGTGCTCGTGGACGCCCTGCCTGATTTGCCCCGTGGCCGACCAGCACCAACACCACCACCACCACCACCACCAACCACCCTTTCCCCCCCTCCCACGACTCCTACATAGGTGCCATCCTCCCTTCACCTCTCTTCCTCCCCCTTCCGTCTCCTTCGTCGATTCCTCCCTGCGCTCTCCGCGGTCCAGATTCCTCAGACCGTTTCACACCTCTGTACGTGTTTCGGACGGCGCGGCACTTCAACCCGCTGCCTGACTGGTCCTCGTGCTATTTTGGGATCACGCCTCCCAGCCCCGGAATTTCTCGCGCCAACACAAGGGCGGTGACGGAGCCCTCGGTTTTAGCAGGGCCTGGTCCGGTCGCTTCGCTCTATTTCTATACCTCCCCATCGCATCTCGCCCTTTCGCTTCTAGCGTACTGTTCACCATGGTTACTGGCAAGTCGCAGCCCGGCGTCGATCCGCTGCATCGGTTCCCGCCCACCGCCGCGCCCCATGAAGCTATCGCCACCTCGCCCCCCTCCAAACGCGATCTGGCATCCTGGTGGAGGCAGTTCAAGAGAAATACAAGGAAGGAGGAGCCGAAAGGTATGTGGCGTGCCCCTGTTGTGCGATCCCGGCGATCCTCTGCCGCGGTCGCATTCCCAGCTATCCAGGCTAGTCTAACAGTCGCAGACAAACCGCAGGGCATTTTCGGCATCCCCCTCAACGTCAGCATCAAGTATGCCAACGTCGCCATCTCCCTGACGAACGATAACGGAGAGAGCTTCATCTACGGATACGTGCCCATCGTGGTGGCCAAGTGCGGAGTGTTTCTGAAGGAGAAAGGTATGCGCCCATGACGCACGTGTACAGACGGGGCTAAGAAGAGACAGCGACCGACGTCGAGGGCATCTTTCGCCTGAGCGGATCCGCCAAGCGCATCAAGGACCTCCAAGAGGTTTTCGATTCCCCGAGCGCTACGGCAAGGGCCTGGACTGGACCGGATATACCGTGCACGATGCTGCGAATGTCCTGCGCCGCTACTTGAACCAACTGCCAGAACCGATCGTCCCGCTGGACTTTTATGAGCGATTCCGCGAGCCGCTGCGCACCTACCAGAAGCAGATCCAGGAGCAGATTCAAAACAACGCCCCTCCGGCGGAAACCGAGGCCTTCGACCATGCCAAAGCGGTGGCTGCCTACCAGCAGCTGATCCGCGAGCTGCCCCCGTTGAACAAACAACTGCTGCTGTACATCCTCGACCTGCTGGCAGTCTTCGCCTCCAAGTCGGACCAGAACCGCATGACCTCGGCCAACTTGTCGGCCATCTTCCAGCCCGGGCTGCTGTCGCATCCGCAGCACGACATGGCGCCGGACGAGTACAAGCTGAGCCAAGATGTGCTGATCTTCCTGATCGAGAACCAGGACCACTTCCTGTTCGGCATGAACGGCACGGCGGCCGACGAGCAGACCGTGAAGGAGGTGGAGGGCGGTCTTGCCCGCCGGCCCACCACCCACTCCAACATTCGCCGCTCGGTGTCGAGCGCCAGTGGCGGTGCGGACAGCTTTCGGAAGTATGAGAGCCTTCGTCGGAATGTGTCGGTGTCGTCGAAGAATTCGCGCAACTCCAACAACGCTAGTCCGGCAACGCCGACGTCGTTGGGCGCGGTGGGCGTTCATCGCAGCAACACCTTGCCGTCGAAGATGTCCCCTGCCATGCCGCCGTCTCGGTACGGTCGGGTGATTGAATCTACGGGGGTCAACTCGTCGACGCGCACTTCTGCGCAGCACTCCCGGGCGTCGAGCCGCGCGCCCGAGGAAAAACAGGTTCCGTCGGTGCCGGAAGTGCCTGTGGTGCTTCAGGCAGCAGCAGAGACAGCACCTCAGGCGGTTCCTCAGGCAACACTCCCGGCTCCCCAAGCAGCTACTCAGGCAGCTCCTCCGGCGGCACCCCAGGCACCCTCTACAGTGCCTCAGGCACCACAGGTCCAACCAAACAGTCCTTCCCCCGCCGTTCCCAGTATCGCTCCGAACAGTCCCCCTAGCAGTGGCCAGTCCCTCACAGAGGTGGTAGAGCCCGGCACGGGGATAGTCTACGTTCATTCCAGCACCCATGGGCCAGTGCCCAAGGCAACCCTGAATGGGGCCGACAAGCCTGTGCAGGTGCCTGTCGCACAGCCTGCACAGCTTCCCGTACAGCCCATTACCGAAGCCCCTGAAAAGTCTGTTGATAGGCCTATACCTGAGCCGGCCGTTGCGGAAACAGCTATCAGCGAGAAGCTCAGTGAGAAGCTCGAGAAACTTGAGAAGTCCGACAGACCCGTAAGGCACGGCGACAAGCCCGTTTTCCGCGAGGGCCTGCCACCTATTACAGCCTCGCCGCCGCCGGCCATGGTGACGCCGACGAGGGAACGCAAGCTCTCCAGCCTGTTCTCGAAGTCGCCGCCGCCAAGCGGGGAACATAAGGAGGCGCGCCAGCCCAACCGTTTGAAGAAGAAGCGGATCCCCGGCAGCGCGAACGAAAGTGCGCAAAGCTCGTCGCACTCGTTGCAGGCGGCGACCTCCGATGCCGGATTAGCCGCGATCCTGCATGCCTCCCGCCCCCCTGAGACTACCCCTGATGCTGGCGCCACCCCCCGGCCTCCCAACGCGGTCAGCTCAGACGACCTGAGTCCGCCGCGGGAGGGCCGGCCCGAAAAGCAGGCGAACGAGAGCGCACAGCACATGGGCGACACGTCGCTGCGGCCGTACGGGTCGCGGACGCCGTCGATGAACTCCCGCTCCTCGTTCACGGATTACTCGGATGTGGACCCTACGGACGACGCGGCGCGGGCGGAGCGCAAGGAACATCGGCGCAGCTGGCGGTTCCCGCGGTCGTCGAAACGCAGCGGCGATCAGATCGGGCTGGGGCTGGCGTCGCCGCCGCTCATGGCCACGATGCCTGGAGCGGAGCGGAGCACCAGCTCGATCGGCAGCTGGCACCACTCCAGCCGGAGCTCCCCGTCGGACCTGCAACAGTTCGCGAACGACCCGTCGTATCAGCCTCTGAGCCTGGACGCGGAGGTCAGCAACAGCACGTCCAAGGAAGCGTCGCTAGCGTCGGAGCCGGAGAAGCGCAGCCTGTTTGGCAAGTTCAAGGCCAAGGTGGCGCAGGTGCGGGACGGGGTATCCGAACGAGACCGGACGCGGAGTCCTGTGCATTCGGATGGCGAGCGGTCTGTGTCGAGCCATGCGCTGTCGCCTTCGGGCAAGGACAGCCTGCGGAACCGGCCTGCGCCGATCGACGTGGTCAGCCATCCGCGGGAGGGGGCGCTGAGCTCGCCGGTGTCGCCGCTGCCGGGCTCGGGGATGCCGCCGGCGATCCCTGAGGAGCCGCGGACGCCGGAGAGCCCTGTGGCGACGCTGCGTATGGAGCCGAAGCGAGAGCTCGAGACGGTGGCCGTGGCCGAGGACGTCGAGTCGGGGCCGGGGCCAACGGTGCCGTCGTAGTTTTTTTTTTCCTTTGTTGTTTTGGGATATGATGATCCATGGCGAGGGCCTGTTACGCGTTACGGGTCACGAATGATGTACTGCCTGCTGGCATGTGTTTTAAATAGCCGGTGTAGATTTATGATGTACGGTATGACTAGAGGTCCCTCAATTAGAACGGTGTCGAAATCGCTGCAGAAGTTGAGCCGTTAACCTTGAGCAGTAGACCTCAGGCAAATGTAGACACCTGAGGCAACACCTGAGGGAGGGGCTACACCGACACCTCAGGCAGCAACACGAACAAAATGCAAACCAGCCAAACACCCCCATCCACATCCGTCAGCTCCGCTCTCCTCCTCCGTCCGTCCGCATATTTCCCTCTCCATCTACACCAATACCAGAACACACACCCACCCACCCCTCAACACGTCCCCAGCCATTCATTACAAGAGAAAAAGAGCAGAACCGAAAGAGAAAATGCCCAACAATCCCAGTCCACCCTCAATTGCAACCGCAACCGCAACACCCATAATAACCACCCCCCAACAACCCCCATCGCAATCGCAACAACAACAGCAGCAGCAGCAGCAACAATGGCACGACAAATCCTCTGCGCCCCCGACTACCCTCCTGCCGACGTGTCTCGCGTCCACGTATTTTGCGCTGCATACGGCCTGCACGCTTGGTGTTTATGCGGGGCGGTTTGAGAAACTCGTGGATGATCCGGTGAATGAGTTGGCGGCGAGATTGCCGGTGCAGGTGCTTGCGCAGGTGGTTTTTGCGGTGCTTTGTTTGAGGCCGGGTGGTGCTGGTGCTGGTGCTGTTACGGGGGGAGGTGGGGAGTTGGGGGGTGCGAGTGGGAGTGGGAGTTCGAGTTCGAGTTCGAGTTCAAGATCGAAGGGTGGACGGCGGAGGGGAGGTGCTGGTGCTGGAGGAGCTGGAGGTATCACAGGAAGTGGAAATACCGCGACGAATGGCTATGTTGGTTGGAAACGGGTTATTGTATGTTCCTTACTACCCCCATCCCCATCCCCATCCCCCTCACACCAATCCAATCCAATCCGGATATCATATCCATCCAACCCATCAATTCCTCCATCCCCATCGCAATACTAACCCAAGCAAAAACCAAAACCTGCAGCCCGCCCTACTCTCCCTAACACTAACAGCCACCCTCGCGACCCCCATCTTCGCCATCCTGCTCGTCCTCTTCGGCGCCCCCTTCACCACCCACCACATGCAGACGCTGCTGTGCGCGGCCCACATGGCCATCCTGGCGTCTACGGGCATGGTCTACGTTCATGGTCTGGATGGCGCCGTCTGGAAGGAGGTCTGGGGTATTCGGAGGCCCGGGGATGTGGTGTGGGGAGGGGCGCTCGGGACCGGTGTGGGCGCTTGGTTGGGGCTGTGCCGATTCCGTTGGATTGGTAGGTTTCCTTCTTCTTCTTTTTTTTTTTTTTTTATTATTGGTTTGGGAGTGGGGGGTTGGTGGTTGGTCCTTGGTGGTTTGTGTACTCATGCTAACTGTGACTGTTCATACGTGCAGGGATCGTCCGTGGCAGGCATACCCCATCACCATCCTCACGGGCGCGTATCTCGGCTGGGCGGTCGGGATGATTCTCGGGATGACGGTGTTGTTTGGGAAGAGGATACGGTTTGTTGAGGAGGAAGGGTTGGCTGGGACTGTGGCTGATGCTAATGCTAAGGTGGAGGAGGTGAAGAAGGTTGAGTAGGGAGCTTTCCTTCTTTCTTTCTTCCTTCCTTCCTTTCTTTCTTTCATCTCTCCCCCTCTCTCTCTCTCTCCCTCTCTCTCTCTCTTTGGTATTAGGTCTGTTTTATGGGAGGGTGCCGGTGGGGTTGGATTTTCACTTATTGTCGGGCGGAAGAGGTTCTGTGGTGGATTGTATAGATAGATGGGTATGGGTGGGTAGATAGTTACTAGCTCTAGCTGGGTGGATGGATTTTGTAGTATATGTGATGTGATGTGCGGTGGGGTAGGGAGGGGGTAATGTTTTATTTTATTTTATCTTATATTCTATTATTATTCTATCTAGTATTGAGGGTGGCTGTTCTACAAATGATATTTATGGTTCCTGAGGACGGGGTAGTGTAGTATACACACACATACATACCAGATAAAGGTCCTCTCAAGTAAAGGTACTATATATCAAGTCAAGTGCTTAGGTTCATTCTATATATAAGTCTAAGAATGTCTGTCTGTCTGTCTGCTATCTGTCTAATCCACGGAACGAAACCAAATACTCGTTATTCTAGTCCAACAGACCCGTGCCAAACCAGGATGAGTAATGTGTGTGTGTGTGTGTGTGTGTGTAGGAAAAGTGCAGTGTGCGATAGCTGCAGCAAAATAGAGATGAAGATAGAAGTAGAAGAGAGGATGGAAGATGGGGTAGAAGGTAGACGTAAGAGATAGATAGGTAGCAGGTGCAGAAGAGAGGGAGGGGGATGGGAGACGTAGAAGGAGACGTATAGGAGTGGAAGACAGGTGAAGAAAGACGAAGATGGGTAGAAATGAAAAGAAGTATATACAAAGACTTGCATGGCGCAAGTCATACAGTTGGCGCTAGGAATGTACGTAGGTAGGTAGATAGGTAGATAGGTAGGTAGGTAGGTAGGTAGGTAGGCAGGTAGATAGATAGGAAGATAGGGAGATAGGCAGGCAAGCAAGTAGGCAAGAGTAGGTATCATCAAACCAAGCAAGCAGAGAAGCAGAAGCAGCAGCATAGAAAATCCAGGATGGGTATGATGCATCAGTTTGTCGTTAAGAGGGGGGAAGAAATGAAACTGAAAGAAGTGGAGTGAAATGAAACAAGCCAGAAGGAAGGTGAGTTGGTCAACAACTTTTAAACCGACCCAGACGTATTGTATGGGCTGGACATGAAGCGAACAGTGCTCTGCAGATCATATCGATCAGATCAGATCAGATCAGATCATCCCGCTGACCTCGACCCGGCGCGAAGATGGCCATCGCGGCTGGTATCCGCCCTCCTTCGGGGGCAGTTCGGGGCGTTCGTCATCGCTCTCGATGCGCTCGGTGCGGGAGGTCTCTGTCGGGGACGGACCCAGGGCTTGTCGCAGACGGACGATGTCCTGCGAGTCCATGCTGCGGATCGGGTACATGGTTCCACTCCCTGGACTGGTGGGCAGGCCCATGGAGTCCCGCGCCATCTGCTGCAGCTGCTGAATGTCGTCCCGGAGACTGGTGACTTGGTGTTCGAGGTCGCGGCGCGCGTTCTGCTCGCGGCGGAGCAGCATGACCAGCGCGCTGTACTGCTCCACGGAGATGCTGTTGCATTCGTGCAGCGAGGTGGACGAGGGGGCCTGCAGCGTGCGCGAGCGATAGAGCGGGCTGGGACGGAGGGTGCTCGTGCTCTCCGGGCGATCGGTGGGCGACTTTGCGCGAGTCTCGGACGGCACGGCCGATTTCTTGCGCTTGTGGCGGGTTGCTGTGGTCGGGGAAGTTTTCTTCGGCTCGACGGGCGACTCGCGGCCGCTTTGCATGCGTGCGATGGCGAACTCGAGGTCGATCATCTTCACCTCCAGGGTGGTGAGACGCTGCTCGAGGGTCACGTTCTCGTCGTGCTGCATCGAGTTGACGAGGTCGCTGACGTTTTGGTAGGTGTCGGTGTCTGGGGCCTCAAGCTCGGGCTCGTCCTTTTCGTCTTCGTCGTCCTCCAGGAACGACGGCCGGGTTGTGGGCTTGGGGGCGCTGGCGACGGTGGTCCGCGTCGGGGGACGTTCCAACTCGGCCTCGGAGGCTGCCCCGAAGGTTGTTGACGCTGCGCACGACTCTAGACTTCGTCGTCGCCATTGGATTGGCGACATCAGATGGTCCTTGGCCATGCCGCGCAGCGCGGTGGCGCTCCGTGAACGACGCTTGATCTGCCGCAGCTCGCGCCGACGTACGTCGTCCGGGTCGCTGTTCGCGTGGGGACTGTTGTCGCGCTTGCTGATCGGGCGGCCTGAGTTGACCAGGCCCTCCAGGGCGACGCGGGACTCCTCGTCCGAGAAGATCAGGCTGGGCAGGGTGGCCCGGCGGCGGCGCGGATGCGGTTCGAGCTTCTTCAGGGCCTCCTCCCACGAGGTGGGCGTGGTGGAGTCTGGTGGGGAGGGCTTCGCATTGAGGGAGTTGGACAGGGGGAAGGGCTTGTCGAGGGCCTTGTCGAGGGACTTGTCGGATCGCGGGCTGCGGTTGTCAGACCGGGAATGGGCGGAGTCGTCGTCGCGGGGCTTGCGGGTGAAGATCTTGCGCATGACGGTCTTGAGGGTGCTGCCGGTGCGGCGATGGGAGGGCCCGCGGATGAGGGTGGTGGAGGAGTCGGGGGGAGGAGAGTGCAGGTTCGCGACGGCACGGCCGTTGCCACGGAAGTTGGTGGTGATGAGGGCGGATTCGGAGGCCCGCGGGCGACGCGTGCTGACGACGAGCTGCTTGGAACTCATGGGCGGCAGGGCGGTGTCAAGAGCAGCATCTGCACACGGATCGGAGGGGAGAGACCCCCCCGTAGTACTTAAATCGGTGCCGGACATGAAGCAGGTCGAGGCAGGACGAAATGGCAGGCGTGGCGCATGCAGGCAGGCAGGCAGGGAGCGCGCCGTCCAATCACAGCTGGCAGCAGAGGCAATACAAAGTGGAAAGGCGAACCGATCGGTAAAGACTGATACGAAAGGAAGCAGGCCGGCGATTGGCGTGGTGAGGGTGAGTCGCAAGGCTGGAGGGCTCACTGATGCACGGGCAGCGGAGAAGATGCTGCTGACCTTGGCGACCAGCTCAGATCATGGTCGATAGGCTGACGGCTCGTTTTGAGGGGGGGGGGGGGTCAGCACGAGGGGTGCAGCAGCAGTGGTGGTGGTGGTGGTGTGATGTGATGAGTGTCAAGGAGTGGACTGGGGAGGGAACTACTGGGCCATGGGAACGAGCGACACGAGCAGAAGCAATGGGTGGTGGTGCACTGGGATGCTAGGGAGCAATGGCAGGAGATCGACTGCAACCATGGAGATATGGAGGCAGGTCGATGAGGGGAGCTTATCAGACGAACAGGGGGAAGAGGGAGGGAATGCAGGAGAGAGAGAAAAACGGAAAAGAGGAGAGGGAGAGAGAGAGAGAGAGAGGGAAGAGAGGAGAGGAGAAGGGGGCACGAAGCAGGATGAAGCTGCAGCGAACAGCCAAAGAAGGCCCGGAAAAGCGCCGGATTGGCCCGAGTGGAGCCCCGATCCGTTTCAGCGCGTCAGGGGTATTTTTAGTGACATTTTAGTGACAGTTTAGTGACAGTCGAGCACACGGTCTGCCACTGACAGCTCGAGGTCGACACGAGGAGGGCTGAACGGCCGGTGATTCCATCCATCCTTCCATACAGATGTCAAGCAGTGGCGGTTCCAGAACCCGAGCAGGAATCCAGCCTCACCCGCCAGCTCATCGATGCGCTCCTTCGGCCCCATTGCGGATGCCATCTCGTCACGGCGTCAGTCGTCCGACGGGTTTATTGGGCCACGACTGCTGGTCCGCGCTGAAACACGCCAAGTGGCCGACCTCCGCGCCCGTCATGACTCGAGACTCGATAGAGTTGGTTGTTGCTCTCGAACACTCCCTCCAACATTGTTATCTCCTGAGGGCCTGAGTCCGGACTCCTCAGCTCGTTCATTCGGTCGTACACTGCCCGACCCGCTGCGGATCGAGATCCAGCGAAATCTGAGACGGCACGATCTCCTGTTTCGCCCGCGGTCGAACCATAGCAGTCGGAGATATTGTGATATTGTGAGACTACGGGTCGTCTAGTGCGACGTGGAAGATTGGAATCTTCAATGCTCGGCCGGAAACGTCTTGGTTCTGGCCTGCCGCCTGCTAGCTAGCTAGCTAGCTGGCTGGGATGGCGCTGCAAGGGACGCCAGCCCGATTATCTTTCATCCGGTGGATTGCAGGATGCGTGACACGACGGTCGAAGCAATGTCCGAGAGGTGCTTACAGCAGAGAGACTAATGTATCACAGTAATTCGCCCGCGTCCGGATATCGCAGATCCGCATGCTCCTCCAGGAAGGCCATCCACCGCTTGAGAAACCCGCTGCCCCTACGCAAGATGTCATTAGGATCGATCGGGATGCTGACTGCAGGGGACACTCACTTGCTAATCGTCTCCGAGTCGCCGCAGATGCACAGATGCCGTTTCGGCCGCGTCATGGCCACTACTGCAGTCAGTGCATGCACTCCAGGCTCTCTCCGACGGGGTCCTACCGTTTAACCGACGCTTCTCCCCGAGGAAGCCCACCTCGTGCTCGCTGTTGCTGCGCACGAGACTCACCACCACTGCTTCCTTCTCGCGGCCCTGGAAGCCGTCCACGCTGCCCAGCTCGATGCTCGGGTACTTCTCGCGCAGCATCTGTGACAGCACCGCCAGCTGTCCGTTGTACGGGGTGATGACCGCGATGTCCTCCGGCCGCACCCCGGCCCCCACCAGCGCGTCGACGTGCCGGCCCACCACGAGGGCCTCCATCTCGTTGCTTTTGCTCTCGCCCAGGGTCTTCTTGCCCACCTCGGCATCCTCGGTCTTCTCCGGGAAGTCCCCGCCTTGTGTGTCCCAGAACACGACCGGCTCCTTGGTGTCGTCCGTCTCCTCCACTTCGTACGGGAGGTCTTTCAGCAGGCGCGCCTGCACGGCCTCGGCGGCCATCAGCTTCGAGTCGTAGAGCTCGTCCGACGGGAAGCGCATGATCCGCTCGTGCATGCGGTACTGCGTCGTGAGCATGCGCTTGATGCCGGGCCCGTGCATGGCCAGCAGGCGATCAAACAGGGTCGTCTCCAGTGAGACATCCTCCAGCAGCTCGACCCCGCTCTCCTGCGCCTTCTCTGCCGCCTTCCGTTTCAGCTTCTCCATCGCCTTCGTGTCCACCTTCTCGTTGGTCGACTTGACGGTCGGGGGGAGCTGCAGGTGGTCGCCCGCCAGCACGACCTTGGACGCCGACAGCAGCGGGATCCAGCACTGCGCCTCCAGCGCCTGGCTGGCCTCGTCGATGATGACGACGTCAAACTTCTGGTTCTTTAGCTGATGGCCGCCCGCGCCGTGCAGCGTGGCAAGCACGACGCTGCTCTCCCGGACCAGGTTCTCCACGCACTTGGACTCCCGCTCGCGGAACTCGCGGCGCAGCTCGCGCAGATCATCGTAGACGGCGCGCCGCTCGCGCGCGGACCGCGTCTTGCGGATGCTGGCCTGCTTCTGGTCGATCTCCTTGCGCACATCACGAACAATGGCCGCGGCTTCGGAGGTGTGGGTCAGCACCTCGAGGGAGTGGTCCAGCACGGAGGGGAGCAGGCGCGCGGGGTGTCCGATGCGCACGACGGGGACTTTCTTCGGGGCGAGTCGCTCGACGATGTTGTCGACGGAGATGTTGGAGGGGCCGCAGACCAGCACGCGCTGCTTTCGCTGGACCATCTGCACGATCAGCTCGATCAGGGTGTGTGTCTTGCCGGTGCCGGGGGGGCCGTGGATGAGGGCGATGTCTTGCGCGGCGAGGGCGAAGCGGATGGCCTCTCGCTGGGAGTCGTTGAGGGTGGGATCGGTGAATTCGACGGGGCCGACGGCGTCGTGGTCGGGGAGGAGGGGGGTTGTGTGGCCGAAGGCGACGCGCATGAAGTGGGAGTGGTCGGCATCGGGGATTTTGGCCATTTTCTCCATCGTCTGGTTCATTCTGCATGCACCACATCAATACTCCTATCCATCCCCATCCATAGACAACAGAATGGAAAGAAGAACATACCGTCGATACGTCACATCATTCGCCAACTTGATCCTGCCATTCCCAACCAACCATTAGCATTCTCGTCCTCCCCAAAACATCCCAAGCAAGAAAAGAAGAAGAAGAAAAAGACTCACATCCAAACCTTCCTCCCCCACAACTCCTCCACCTTCTCATCCTCCCCATCCCCTTCCCTTCCCTGCCCCTTTCCCATATCCTTGCTGTCCCCTCCCCCCAAACGCAACCCAAACCGCCCTCTCCCCAACCCTCGTAACCACGCCCTCGACCCCACCCCCACCACCCCACCACCACCATCCTTCCTATCCTTCTCCTTCTCCTTCTCCTTCCCCGAAACTATCTCACAAACCCTGACCACATCACCCACCCTCATCCCGTGCGCCGCAAGTCGCAGCTCCCCATCTTTCCCCCCTTGGTATTATTATCGCTATTGGTATTGTTGGATTTGGTATTCGTAACGGCGGAATCAACCCCGAACTCTCCCACCGTGCGGCCCCCGAGTCCCGTCCGACTCTGCACGAGGACTATCCCTGTGAGGGCGTGGCCGGTCGCTTGGAGGGTGCGGCGGGTGCTGGGGCTGGCGGACGTGGGGTTGGAGGTGGAGAGGTGCGAGGAGGCGATTTCAGTGGCGTGTTCGATGTCGAGGAGGGATTGTTGGCTTAGGCAGAAGGAGGGGATGGGGATGGGGATTGGGGTTGGAGGCATGGCGGGTGGTGGGGTGGTTTGTTTTTCGGAATGCAGTGCGGTGGTGAGGATGCGGTGGGTTGGTGGGTTGTCTGTCGCTTCTTGTGTAAGTAAGTAGACAGATAAGTGGAGAATTGAGAAGGAAAGAAAGAAGTAATAAAGATTGAGGTGCTGAGGTGGTAATTCCCCAGCTTGAAGCTACCGAGGCAGAAGATCGAGGAGGCTTGTTATGAATAACCCACGGACTCTGACTCTGATTCTGATTGACTTCCGCGGGGAAAACCAGTGACGTTATGTGCCGGCCAATAGTTAACTAGTTAGTTACTTATGCACTGCTTAGTCATTTCTCTAGTTAACTACCATAACTAACTAGTTAGTTATCCTTCCTACCACATAATAAATTATGCCTATATACATGAACATCATCCTTATACTATTCACTCCCAGAATTTGAAAACCCCCAGAATTTACTCCCCCACTCTCTCTAAAAAGAAATCATACCCCCATCCCCTAGCCGCAATGAATGGTGTTCACGCAGAGTAACCAATAAGCGCCCTGTTAGTAAGGATTCCTCACTTTACAGATAGAAATATATACCGCGGGCCCCGTGTCACTGGAAGTAATATTTCAAAGGATAAATATAGTCTTTTACCTACCCTGCTTACTGCTGGAATAGGGTTCATTTTGCAAATGAACTTTGAACACTAATCGATGGCTCAGGCAACAAGGTGAGTTGACACAGGGTATAATAGAAAAACGTGCATTAAGTGATTAAATACAGACTGCTTCCTGGCTACCTGGGCACTGATGCATCACGGGCAGTCTTCAGAGTGATTAAATGATGAACCACTGACAGCAGTCCATACCCCGGAAAAAAGCCCGCGAACAAACAACACGGGATGACCAGGAGAATCACAGAAAGAAAAGAAAACAGATATTAGGTGTTAGACGGGAGAGGCATGCAAGACTGTAAGTAAGACTGTAAGTCATCTCCTATCATACCTTGGAAGAAATTAGAAAACAGAAAAAAAAAAGCAATAAGCAAAGCCCGCTGAAGCAACAGGAAAGCTGAAGAATGGCGGATGCCGGCTGTCCGGGAAATAAGATTGTGTGGCATGGTCTGGTCTGGACTGGACTGTTCAAGTTGGACACTGCCAGAATTAACGTGTCTGCCAGCGACCCGTTCATAATGATTGACCGGTTGGCAACGAGCCTGTTTGGCAATGTCCCCCGGGGAATGTCCTGTCCCACTGCCTACTTCTTACGGCCAGAAACGTACTTCCTGCGCTGCACGCGTGCCGGTCCCAGCACCGCAGATTCCGCATCCTTTTCAAAACCACGGTCGTCTGTCAGATACACACGGAAATCTCTCAGCCCCTCCATGTCTGCAAACGCCAGCAGCAGCTTACGCAGGTAGCGTTTACGGCTATCCACCGAGTAGACCACCGCCCCCTTCAGCCCGTGGTCCACGATCTTCACCGACAGACGCGACATGTCGAAGTGCTCGCGGATGAAGCGACGCAGCACCGACCACGACAGCAGGGTGGCGTCCTCCGAGCGGGGTCCGGTGCGGGGCGCGCAGCGGTAGCACATGGGGAACTTGAACGACAGATGCTGGATCATCATGGTCGACACGGTAGGAATATGATGGATGAACCGCATGATCAGGTCGGGGTCCTCCTCCACGAACGCAAACCGGTTGCGCGTGAAGAAGACGCGTCGAGCGTTCTCATAGAACTCGCGACTCACCAGGAAATACGGCAGAGGCGATTCAAAGCAGCTGCAGGTCGTCGAGAAGGAGGTCTGGCGCGAGTGGCAGAAGCACATGGCGCCGGCGGGCGAGCAGGTGCCGCAGCAGGTCAAAGTGTGGAACATGCTAAGTCGGCTACGCTTCCAGTCGTGCAGGCTGATCACTCCGGGGGCGCATTCGCTGGGTGGCAGGCACGGGTCAGACCGCTTGATCAGGAGCTCCTCCAGGATCATGAGCTGGATCTCCTTGGGCAGATACATGTACGGGAACCGCGGCTTGTTGGACAGGTTGTCGGTCAGTCTCCATGCCGCGCGCTTAATGACCGGCAGGATGTCCTCATCCGGGTTGTGGTTCATATGGAACGCACACTGCGCCAGAGCGGGAAAAGGATCCATGTTGCACATAAGCTTGCTGGCCACCTCGAGATCGCGGACCTTGCATTTCAGACTGAAGCAGCGAAGGTGAGGCATGCTGGTGCGGGCCATACTACAGAATTCCACCCACATCTTCAGGATGGTGCGGTGGATGCCAGCCCCGAGCTTGAGAAAGCGGTTGTCGCGCGGGCCCAGATCCAGGTGCAGGTTTCTCACATGCTCCATGCCCCATCCGATCGAGGAGCGGAGGTTGTTGAAGTCCGACTTGTTGTACAGGAGCATACTGAAGCGATTGTATTTGAAGAACATCGCGCCGGTGTCCTGGCGGATGTCATTATTGACGCGGAACAGCTCGGTGGGCAGGCGGGGGTGATCACAGGGCCCCTCGAAGAGGGTGCTCCAGGTATTGCTCCAGGTCCCGCGAGTGGTGCGGTGCTCCGGTTTGGCACACAGGCCGCGATCGACCTTGCTGCGGGTCTGCTCGAAGGAGAGATTGATCAGGCAAGGCCGCAGCAGCCCCACGTACTTGAGGATCTTGACCTTGACGTCCTCAGGCAGATTGACCAGCGTCAATGGCTTCTTGCGGACCACAGTGTCATCCACCTCGACATCGCCCGAGTCCGATTCCGACCAGTCGAAGGCACTGGTGGAAGCAGACGCCCAGTACTCGTCGTCCGAGCCGAAGTCCGCCATGATCTACGTGATGAGAGGAGTTAGTTAGCCTTGGGATCCGCGTCAGAGGGAAGGTGGGGACCCACGGTGTTGTCACGCGTCAGACGCGCAGGGGGGACGGAAACGACTCCAAAGTGTAGTAGATTACGGAGATAGTCGATCAGGATGCCCTTAATGGGACACGACGTCATGCCAGGGGGCGGGGTGGAAGAAGGACACGGGGGAAGGAGGTGGCAGAGGCCGGAGAGAGAAGAGGGGAGACGGAGGATCGCGGCGTGGAGCGTCGAGGAAGTAAAGTAAGGCAATCGAGCCAAACGCGCCGGTGAAGGCGGCCTGCCTTGGGCACTCAAAGGCGGGATCCATGCACTTCTTCGTCTTCGTCTTCGACTTCTGCTTCCATTTCTTCCTCCTCCTCCGTCTTCACCTCGAACCCCTCGCCGTCACCGCGTTCCTTCTTCGCCACAGTGACTGCACTGCGCTTCTTCGTCACCAGCGCCTTGACCTCACTCTTGCATAGGCGAGTGCCTGCCAGATCGCATTCCCCGCAACGCCTCCCCACCGGCAAGCAGACAGTCTGCCCCAGGCCGACCAACAGCTTGTTGATCTCGTGCCATTTGTCTTTCGGCAGCCACGACTCCAACGCCATGCGGGTGGCTTCCGGGGTTTTGGTCTGATGCCAGCCCCAGAGGTTGGTGATGCGGTGGACGTGCACATCGACGCCGATGCCCTCGTGCTTGCCCCACGCCGCACTCATGCACAGGAACGCCATCTTTGGCCCGACGCCCGGCAGCGTCATCAGCTCCGGCGCCGTCGACGGGATATCCGAGCCGTATTGGTCGCGGAGGATGAGGGCAGCCGCCTTGATATACTTGGTCTTGTTGTTGTGGAAGCCCACCGTGCGGATCAGCTCGTTGAGACGCTCGGGGGACACCGCCAGGATGTTTTCCAGGGTGAGCGTGCTGGCCTGGACCTGCGCCGTGGGTTTCCAGTCGTACTCGGTGGGCTCTTTCTTCACCGTCGTCGCCTGGTCCAACTCCGTGTGCAGCTTCTGCATGGCCACCGCCGTGACGGTGTCCTTGGTCTGGGAGGAGAGCATCAGCGCAATCAGGGTCTGGAAGCGTCGGTCCCGGGGGGACGATGCTCGCCAGTAGAGCTCGGCGCAGCCCATAGTGTCGACGGGGGCCGTGGGGTTGGCCTCGCGCATCTTCTGGACGATGGCGTACATGGTGTCCCAGTTGGAGGGCGGCTCGATCTTGACGCCGTTCTCGACCTTGATTTTGCGAGCAGGGAGGCGGCGGGTTGTTTTGGCCTTCTTCGGGGACTGTTCCGGTTCCTCTTTGATGGCAGCGGGTAGTGTTTCAACCGGCTCTTGTTTGACAGCCCCAAGCTTGAGTTCAACCGGCTCCTCCTTGACAGCGGGTAGCGTTTCTAGCTCCTGTTTAACAGCGTCGTTCTGGACAGCGGGCCCCGAGCGAGACCGCCCATTCAACGCGCGCCGTTTTGTCGGCGGCTCCATAAGATCCTCGATATCGGTGGGCACGGACGAGAGCGAGGAAGAGTCGTCGTCGCTCTGGTTGCCACCGTAGGCAAAGCTGCGGAGCACACTGGTCTGGGAGCGAGTGCGGCGCGGAGGGGCCAGAGCCTGCATGACCCTGGCGGTGTCCTTTGACGTTCGCGAGGTGCGCATTGTAGTCACAGTACAGTAGTACTTTCAAGTTTCAAGGTCACACTCCGCAGATCGACGAAATTTGCTGGGGTTGGGGTTGATTACATGCGGGAAAGGGGGCGGGACGGTTAGCCAACTAGTTAACTGTACTGGTTACCGGAGTAGCGTGTGCCTGTCCGACCCACGCGAGCCTCGGCTGGACCTCCGCCAGCCACCGTCCCCCATCTTTCTCATCCTCACTCACATTCTTGATCTCCTCACCCCACTCCCCCTCCCCCTCCCCCTCCACCTCGTCTCGGAGTCTGAGACCGACCTGAGACACTGAGACATAGATAGGAGCTGTCAGTGTCAACCATCTTCGATCTGCCGCATTCCCACAGCCCACCATGGCGTCATCCTCCACGACGCACCGCCTCCTCCGCGAACTGAAAGACTACACCAACTCCCCGAACGAGGCGCTGCTGCATCTGGGACCTGTCGATGAGGATGATCTGCTACACTGGGAGGCTGTGCTGAAGGGTGTGAAGGGGACGCCGTATGAGGGTGAGTGTTCTTGCTACATACCCATAGCCATACCCATAATCCCCTCCCTCCCCTCTTCTTCCAATTCTCGTTGCGCATTCCTTATCACCCATTCTCAACCCTAACTCCCTCCCATACCCCTCCAAACACCCCCCCACTAATAAATGATATATTCACAAAACAGGCGGCCTCTGGTCCCTCTCCCTGCGCATCCCACCCACCTACCCGCTCCTCCCGCCCAAAATCACCTTCAAGACGCGCATCAGCCACCCGAACATCAGCTTCACGACGGGCGAGATCTGCCTCACCCTGCTGACAACCGAACACTGGAGCCCCGTGTACACGCTCTCCAGCACGTTGACCGCCATCCACCAGCTGCTGACGGATCCGCGGCCCGAGAGTCCGCTGAACGTCGATGTGGCGGCCTTGCTGAGGGACGGGGATGTTGCCGGGTGGGAGAGTCTGGTGCGCTTTTGGACGGGGGAGGAGAGGTGGAATCCTTCTTTATCATGATTGGATATCTTCAGGGGGGTGGGGGTGGATTTCTAGGCTCTAGAGAGAGAGAGAGAGAGAGAGTGTGTGTGTGTGTGTGTGTGTGTGTGTGTGTGTGGAGAGACGGAGGACGGGGACGTTGGTTGGTGATTGGTGGTTGGTGATTGGTGGTTTTGTTATGCTTTGGTAGCGACTATGACTTGACTTGACTATGTATGCTCTCTATGACTATTGCTGGTTTATGCTTGCGGCGATGGTTATTATGTGTTGTGCTGCGATGCGATGAATACCCCCACATATACGCGCCAATTATACTTGATCTTTATCTTTATATTTATCAGTATCTTTGTATTTATCTAGATCTAGATCTAGATCTATATCTGTATATGTATATGTATCTGTATGCGTATGTTTATGTTTATGTTTATGTGTATGTTTATCTTCATCTTCAAGCATTTTAATTTCTTACTTTCATTCCTCGTCCTACCAAGTAAGTAGCAACCATCACAGAATATAATATGTATTGATCTGATCTGATCTGGTCTGATATGTAGGATACTAACCAGGTAGAGTAAGTAGGGTAGGCATGGTATGTCCGATCGACAGGAACAGTTAAAAAAATAAAAGGAGAGACATGTCATCAGATCATCATCAATCGGATGAAAACAATTCAATCAAAGCAGATCAAAGCATATCAAAGCAACCAACCAAAGCAACCAACCCTCAAAGCCGCGCTGAAGCTTAAGGAGAGACAGGATGAAATGGGATGGAATGGGACGGAACGAGACGCCAGAACATGCACATGCGTTGCGTTGCGTGTGTTGCGCGCGGAAGGATCGTAGTGAGGTATCATCATTAAGTTAAAGAAGAAAAAAAAACAAAAACAAGCAAACCAGTTTTGAAATCGAAATAAAGAAGAGATGTATCGATGAACGCCGGGTATGCAGTCCAATTTAATTCAATCGAGGGACTGGGGTCAAGTGACAGCAGCCGGGGAGTCGATTGGTTAATTGGTGGTGGGATTACAGCGCCATCGCAACAGCAGCCGCCCCGCCCATCATGAGCAACCACTCGCGGGCGAGACCGTTGCTGTGGGATGCGGCCGAGTCGGTCTGCAGGCCTGGAGAGGCCTTGGTGCCCGTGGCGACCTCCTTGGCTGTCTCGGTGGGGTGCACGACTGTCACGGCGGTGACGGTGCTCTGCTGGCCGTCGGGGAGGGTGGTGGTGATCTTGTAGGTGGAGGTGTAGGGGGTTGTGGGCTGAGAGGTGGTTGAGCTGGTGGTGCTGGTGGATTTGTCGGAGGTGGTGGAGGTGGTGGTTGAGAGGGTGGAGGATGTTGATTTCGATGATGTCGAGGTGGTGGAGGTGGTCGAGGTGGTGGAGGATGTGGAGGATGTGGTGCTTGCAGAGACGGTGGGGATGCTGGTCGTGCTAGCTGTCGTGGTGTGAGATGATGTAGAGGATGATGTAGATGTGGAAGACGAAGTGGAAGAAGAAGAAGAAGAAGAAGAAGAAGAGGTAGAGGAGGTAGAGGTAGAAGAAGTAGAAGAAGAAGAGGTAGACGAAGGCGACGAAATAGAGGACGAGGACGACGAGGAAGAGGAGGAAGAAGAAGAAGAAGAAGACGTCGTGACAGGAGAGGACGAAGAGCTAGACTCACTGCTACTAGAGCTCGACTCACTGCTGCTAGAGCTGGACGTGGTCTGCACGGCGGTGGTGTGAGCAGTCGTGTGGGCGGCGGCGGCGGTGGTGGTGGTCGGGGCCGCAGCGCTCTCGACCGAAGTGGTCGCGGGCTGCGTCGCCTGGGCTGTGGTCTGCGCCGCCGCCGTCGAGTTGCTCACGCCCTCGCGCTTGACGAGGTTGAAATGGGCCAGCTCCTCCTCCCCCTGGAGCGCCTCGACCGCCTCGTCGTCCGACCGGAACACCCCATCGCGGAACTTCCCAAACAGATGCAGCACCTTGTGCAGCGGGCTTTCCTCGATGCTGAAGTAGCCGGACGAGCTGGCGACCGCGCTGGTCGAGTCGGACTGATCGACGGCCGGCGCGGCAATGGCCGACGAGGCGATCAGGCACAGGCACAGGAGGTGGAACAGGCGAGTGGTGAACGCCATGGCGGAGATCGATGGGGGGAGGGAGATTGATTGAGTGGGTGGAAAAGGAGGTGGAGGGAGGGAGGTATTGGGGTTGTACAGGCTGATCTTGATCACGATCACGATCAGGCGAGTCGAGTCCGATGGCGAGAGAGGAGGGAACTGGAGCAGATAAAGGTGCGACTGAAGCGAGGAGGCAGTGTCTTCAGCAGATGACTATGATGCGAGTCTGCAAGCCACCCGAGGTTGAGGGAAATAACAGTCAGTCAGGAAGTAAGTGAGTGAGTGAGAAGAAAATGGCCGATGGCGACGGTGCCTGATAAATACGATCGATTATTCACGGCCACGCTTTAGGCGGCAAAAACAAGGCAGCCCCGGCTTGGGTGGAGCAGCAGCAGCAGCACTAAGATTCCTGTGTGCCTTAGTGCCGTCAGTCGTCCATCTAGTGCTTCTTTACTTTTACCCCAATGGGCAGCTTCCTCGGATAGCTTATTGGATTGGATAGGTTTGTGAACAACAGCCGGTGGTTCGGTGGTTTGTGGTCCCTGGTCAGGCAGGGTTCACAATGCCAGGGCAGAGCTGCTGAGGAAATGGAAATTATAGCCATGCGAACCGTGGGCGAGCCTCGCTGTTGAATCGGTCGCTACCGGCGAACGTTAGGTTGGTTCCCGACATACGAGGCCAACGTCAGCAGCGCACAGCCATGCGCCAGGCCATTCCAGAAGGGCTGGATCCGGCGAGCCCGCATGCAGCTGCAGGTTTGCTATATACAGATCATCCGGAGTCTACGGAGTACTGGAGCAATATACCAGTCTACAGCAGACTAGACTACAGCCAGGTAACCAATAAGTATCCTCGTTGTCCAACATGTTGATGAAAGAATGGGTTGGCAGCTGGCCGGTGTTTCAGCTGGCCGCCTTCCGTTGAAAAGCCGGCTCTCGCCCGGGACGATCCCGAACGCAAACGCCGATACGAAAGGTGAATCATGACACCCACCATGAGATCAACAATCCATCCTAACCCCGCTTCAGGAACTCAATTCCAGCATAGGTATGCACTGCATGCACTCGGACCTGGTATGTAGGCAGATACTGACAGACAGACAGATAGACAGACAGAATCGTGATGGTGATACAGACCAGCCAGGTACGGGTGCAGTGCAGACTCCGACCTGGTCCGTCCATCTGTACCTCAAGCACTATTGGCAACCATTGAGGGGCTCGACCAGGACCTGATTACTCTTCCCTGGTTCCTCCCGACCGAAACTCTTTTTATTATTCCCCATTGCTCTGTCTTTGTTTCTCTCCAGTTCCTGCTTCAACCTCACAGACATGCAAGGCAGGCCTGCATCCCCCATCTCCGACCAAGGCTGGCTAGTCAGTCACCCGGAAAAGCTCTGTCACTATCTACTCCGTACTGTCAACGTCAACTCCCGGATTCCGAGCCTCCGCATCCGGTCAAGCGCCGCGGCGATTACCGTCGGCAGCGCGCTAGTCCACACGCGGCTAGCGCCACCGCATCCAGATCTGCTATTCTTGGCCGCGCGATCGGATTGGCCGTGGTCCAAAAGCGAGGCTGCCTTAGCCGAGGCCGGTCGGTCGGCCATCAGTCTCTGCCTCTTTTCAGCAGATTCGAGGCCAGACCAGGCCAGGCCGCCATGAATGGACGTTTGTCAGCTGCCAGCTGTTCTTCAACTAACCAAATTCTAAGACATGCGGGTTATTATTAGGATGCTTTACCGGATCAATTGAAGTAAGCGAGCATCGATAACTACTCAATACTAACGCAAAGCTTCCTGTTCTTCCAAATGAAATCAAAAAGGGTGGTGCGATCTCTGGCTCGCACTCAAAATATACCTACGGTACGACGTGGCCGATCGGGCCACTGGCTACTATATTTATCGCTACCCCCCCCCCCCCCTTCACTACTAAACATTAGACTCTGCGACCTACACCGGCGAATCGCGATTTAGCTAGACTTTATGATGGAGGCTATCTAGTTGGCGGGACGGAGTAACTAGATGGCGTACAGGCTGACACAATGTCTTACTTGTGACGTCGGTGATTTGGTGCGATGCTGTCACATGCACCAACTACCGCACCTACATAGGCGTATTGGTGCGGAGTAGGTAGGGTAGGTAGGTTTCTGTGGCGATGAAAGTTCTTTTGCTGGATAGGTAGAAAATAAAAAAGCAAAACAAAACAAATTATGAATTTCCATGCGGACCTGTCTGCAGTATCTGTTTATTTTTTTCCTTGCTGCATCTAATTTACCTTACTACCTGGTACATCCACAAGGGATGCATCTTATTAATGGATGGATGTAGTATCCTCCCCGCTTCGCAAATGAGGAAAGTAGAAAAGTAAGGCAAGTAGGTATATAGCTAGGTAAGCATGTAAATCGAAATCAAATCAAATCAAATCAAACCCCGATGCATCACACATGTAACTATTGCGTACGTGTAGGTAAGCAGTCAGGCTCAGGCTCAGGCTCAGGCTGGTACCCCATATTTCCCCTGAAATAGGTAGGTACTGAGGCACCATACATAACATACGGAGTATCTTCGTGCGGTATGCTATGCCAGGTAAGGTATCATATCGTGTACCTACTTGCGGAATTGCCGTTGCTACATGACTTTGACTGTATCCAGTCCCTCAATCACATCACTCAGTCACTCAACACTGGCATTGCACTGCTAGGTAGCTGTCCTGCGGGACGTAAGATAGAGGGTAGTGTTTATGAAGTGCCGAGGTGGGAGGTCAGGATGTGTCGGTGGGGTTTATCTGTCTTAAGTAACTATTGGATTCTGGTATCACCGGTGTGGGTGTGGGTAACTCGGTGAGGTATAGTTGGGAGGGATTCAGTTGCAGAGCAGTAGGTGTTATGATGGGAGTAGGAGATAGTACTGCCGGGTCGGTCGAATGGTTAGGGCTTCAGGGATGAAATTTCAGTGGAACATTAGTACTCGTTCTACCCTGAAAGTAACCCGGTAACTCATAAAACATCATGATTGGCTATCCCTAACCTGCGACATATAATGATGTCCAAGTTTTAACAGTCCCCCTCACAGAGTAGCCAGCAACCAGCATAAAACCACCCAAAGGATAATATTTCCAATACCCCCTCAGTCTACTCCGTCACCCCCATCCAAGCCCCCCAAGCGGCAACTTTCCCCTCAACCTTCCCCTCAATCTCCTCCACAGTCGGCAACTCCCCCATCTCCTCCCCACCCAACCCAATCGACTCATTCAACGCCACCAGCTCAAAGAAATACCGATGCAGCCCCTTCACCCTCTCCCCAGCAGGCGGCAAATAAACCGTCCCCCGGCGATTCATACCAAACCAAAACCCGCCTCTCAGCAAATTGCCCCCTTCTCTAAAACTCTCTTCGTCGACCTCGAAATCCAAATGCTGGAGGCCCGTGAACACGCGGGGAATCCCATAGTAGATGCCGTGGATAACCGACTCTGGGTACGGGGCGTCGGGGTCCTCGCTCACGAGCAGGTACTCCTGCGTTTCCGGGGAGGGGGATGGCCATGAGAGCGCGGGGAAGTAGCCTGCACCGTCTTGCGTGTGGTCGGCGTCGAGGTAGGCACCGAAGGGGCCGAGTTCGGTGCAGGTGATTGGGATGGTGGGGTAGGGGTGATCTAGGAAAGCGGGCCTGTTGGTGAAGAGTTTTGAGGATTGGTTGGCTGGGGAGAAAGATGAGGATGCGGATGCTGTTGGGGATGGGGAGAGCAGGGCGAGGCTGAGGGTCAGGGCGAGGACGGTGATGGTGAGGATCTGTGTGGTGCGGTGCATCTGGGGGTTGGTCAGAGGGTTGAGTCTGCTGGCCAGGGTGAGGGTGGGGACTGGGTTACCTTGATGATATGTGGGATAACGGTGATGGTTGGACGTAAGTGTATGATACGGATGCGTAGTTAGTAGTGGCATCTGGGTGATATTGTCTGAAGCATCCCCGTTTCTAGGGGTTGATTCTCTTGAGCCGTGACATCTGGCGGATATGGCAGGAGCCGGTTCTGGAAGGAGCGTCTGCCATGGCGTGTAGCGACATACTATGCTGGCCTGTTGAGCAAGATAATACCACGAAGATCGAGGATTCAAATAGCAGTTGTGTCAGGAAGAGCAAGTGCGGATTGACCCGGCAGAGTTTTCCATTTCGTCCACATTTGACTTTCATCTCCCTATATGGGTACCAAAAAGAAGCTTCTTGATGCTCAAGTGGCCTTGCTGAGAATCCTACGTAGGTACAGCACAGGCTATTGGGCATCGTAGTAATCTATTCAGCTCATTCCCATAGTTTGTTTTCGAATCCAAACTGGCAGGCAGCAATATATGTCTGGTGGTAGTGGATGCGGAAGTTTATCATTTTCGCAGGCCTGGGCATTTCAGTGGGAGGGGCTCAAACTTGCGCATCACGATCGAGCAGTTATTCAAAGTCAGTAGTTAGTGGTCCGTGGTCGAGCACGGCCTTTCAGTGTTCGATGAGTGCCTGAGGCAGGGAGCGAGCGCCAAGAGTCTCGGCGTTGGGTGGCCCTCTCCGCCAAGACCCCCCAAGGTTACTGAGCCGATTTGATCAAGTTCGCAGACGATTGTTATCCGCGTGTCTTCACCTTTCATAATTATCTACAGAGGATCTACCCCTTATTGTATACGATGTAGTGGTACGAAGCGATCCCAGGGTATGGAGTCGCATACTTTACCCGACCAGCCGGATGGACCGCAGTTGGGATGAAACATGCCTCGCGGGTGAATGTGGGAGCCTCTTTCAAGAAGGTCGGGGCGCGCTGATTTGCTCCGCAGGCCACGGAATCCGTGCGTTGACGTCAGCTCCCTATTTTTGGTGAGACATTGTAGGCAGCGGTTGAAGTGTAAGCAGTGTCATGTCTGCTGATGCTGTTCAAGTGAGTGGAAAGAGATGAGCCGCCATTATTACGGAGTACTTATGGGGGTACATGGCTGGTTGAGGACCATGGGCTGCTCGCACCAAGACGTGTTGTGTTGTCTTTGTCTAATCTGGATGCCATGCCAGATGCGATGTCGATGAATAAGCCAGATCAAAGCGACTCGGCCAGATCTGGCCCAGCCAAGTAAGGAGGGTTGCAGGCTGCGCGCTAATAATAGGAATAGGCTCTATTTGGGACCTGGCCAGAATCGCATGGTGCATATAGTAACAGTCTGGTGTCTCAGGTGCGCGCGCAGGTGGGTGTGGGAGAAGCTGCCCCAAGTAACCGTTGGACCGATTACCAGTCATCAAGGGTCCTTGCTCACTTGAGACGACAATACTGGCGCCACTGATGCAATGATTGGGGATAGATGTGGTGGGATGGCACAGGATCGAGCAACAGGGGCATGCCTAGCTCCTTAAAGCCAGAGCAGACATAGCGACCGGGATGATCTTCAGGCACGGCAGGGAGCGGGAGGCGAGTTCTCAGTTTTTGGCCCGATAGTTCGTTTCGAGGACACCTTGCTTCCAGACTCTGGATGAGCGGCAGGACCTGGATTCAGACAAAAGTGTTGCTTAGTGTAGTCTTCTTCGGAGTTGCGGAACGAAATAGTAGCATCAGTTACGATGCAATAGAAAGTACGGAGTCGTCAACAAACCACTTCAAAGACTCCAAGACTCAGGGACTGGACTGGACTCAGGGACCAACCGCCCCACCGCGCCTTGGCGGCCGGGGAGCCCCACCGGGCGTGGAAGGGCGCCTCTGGCTGGTCCATTCCCGGTGCCAGACCCTTGGCTGTGGCCCTCATTTGCCTTTCCCCAGGACCCTGACCCATCACCCTGCGCAGTGGCTGTCCTCCATCGGCGGTGTCGACGATCTGGGTGGCAGAGACTCGCGATGGGGGCCCGGTCAACATACTTGGCGGCCCCCTCCTGTCACTGTGATTGGAGTCCTGGGGCTTGGCTGCCAGACTTGCCAGACTTGCCAGACTGCCCAGCGTTGCCCAGGATTTGGGCCAAATTACCCCAGCCAGCCGATTGTTTCCCAATTGATATTCACGGCGACGCACTCTGCCATGCCGTGCCGTGCCATGCCATGCCGGCCAGCTCCTGCAGGGATGGCCGGGTTGCCTTTAAGGCGGGCGCGCCCCTTCCTCCCTGCCCGCTCCCATTCCTCTCTCCTGCCTGCTGCTCCTTCCTCTGCATCCCTTCACTCTTCCCTTTCCCTCCTCTTCCGCCCCCTCCTCCTTCACTCGCTCGCATACTTCAACCCATTCTTCAGTCACTCGCTCAACTCTTCGCCCGTCTCTCCTTGATCTCTGCTCTTCTTGTCATTATCCTATACCCTATACCCACCCCAATCACCCCCATCATCTAGACACCGGGCCAGACATTCGTTTCGTCCCCCCCCCTTCTGTGCTACATCACAGCACTCTTATCCAACTCATTTCTTTCACCATGAAGGGCTCCGCTGCTGCGACGGCCCTCGCCCTGGGGGCCTCCTCCGTCCTCGCGGCGCCTTCCATCCAGGCTCGCGACGATGTCACCGCCATCACCGTCAAGGGTAACGCGTTCTTCAAGGGCAACGATCGCTTCTACATCCGTGGTGTCGACTACCAGCCCGGTGGTTCGTCCAAGCTGGCCGATCCCATTGCGGACGCCGAGAGCTGCAAGCGTGACATCGCCAAGTTCACCGAGCTGGGCCTGAACACCATCCGGGTGTATTCGGTGGACAACTCCCAGGACCACGACGAGTGCATGAACGCCCTGGCGGATGCTGGCATCTACCTGGTGCTTGATGTCAACACCCCCAAGTACTCGCTCAACCGTGCGGACCCCGCGCCCTCCTACAACGACGTGTACCTGCAGTACATCTTCTCCACCATTGACAAGTTCGCCAGCTATAAGAACACCCTGGCGTTCTTCTCGGGTAACGAGGTCATCAACGATGGCCCCTCGTCCCAGGCTGCCCCCTATGTCAAGGCCGTCACGCGTGACCTTCGCCAGTACATCCGTAGCCGCAACTACCGGGAGATCCCCGTGGGATACTCTGCGGTAAGTCAGGACCCCATCCAGCCTGGACCACGCTAACGAGTCAGGCCGACATCGACACCAACCGTCTGCAGATGGCCGAGTACATGAACTGCGGCACGGACGACGAGCGCAGCGACTTCTTCGCCTTCAACGACTACTCCTGGTGCGACCCGTCCTCGTTCACGACCTCGGGTTGGGACCAGAAGGTCAAGAACTTCACCGGATACGGCCTGCCCCTGTTCCTGTCGGAGTATGGCTGCAACACCAACAAGCGTCAGTTCGAGGAGGTCGGCGCGCTGTACAACACGGAGATGACGGGTGTCTACTCCGGTGGCTTGGTCTACGAGTACTCGCAGGAGCCCAGCAAGTACGGTCTCGTGGAGATCAGCGGCAACGACGTGACGACCCTTGACGACTTTGATGCGCTGAAGACGGCCTTCTCGAAGACCAGCAACCCCCAGGGTGACGGTGGCTACAACCAGACGGGTGGCGCCAACCCCTGCCCGGCGAAGGACTCCCCCAACTGGGATGTGGATGGCGACTCGCTTCCTGCCATCCCCGAGCCCGCGAAGAAGTACATGAAGGACGGTGCAGGCACGCCCGTGGGATTCTCCGGCTCTGGTAGCATGAACGCCGGCACCGCGTCCACCAGCACCGCCACGCCCGGCTCGGGATCCGCCACCTCCAACTCCTCGTCCTCGACCTCGTCCGGCTCGAAGGGCACCTCGACCAGCTCCCAGGGCGCTGCGGCTGGCCTGCACGCGCCAGCCCTGACGATGGCCCCTGTCGTGGTGGGCCTGGTGACTGTCATGTCCACTGTGTTCGGTGCTAGCCTTGTCCTCGTGTGATCAAGATTGATGGGTGATCGTGTTTCTGTTTTTTTATCTTTCTCTTTTGCTTCCATTTTTTACTGGTGATCTTTTTTTGTCAGGCTTTGCTGCCGGGTGGGTCGATGGAGTCGCACTCGGAACTGTACAGCTGGATGGCACATCCTTAGCCCGCGCCGTATGTAGAATATCTATCTAGGTAATGGAAACCCTGCGGGTGGTCGATGAGCAGGTTTGCAGGTTTGCAGGTTTGCAACGGTTGTTCCCTGATTCGATAGCGCCTTGTAGCGCGCTGGGTAGCCCGCCTCAGGCCCCACTCCGAGCGGACCGGCAATCCTCCGAGCCCGAATTAGATTGCGCCCACCGCTTCTGACACTCGCGACGTCTCAGATCGCTTCCCCTCTGCTCCCCTCCTCTCCACTCCTCCCCATCCTGCTTTCCCCTTGCGGCGTTGCAGCACTCGTGCAGAGTCATGCACCGTGTCGTCGCCATCATGCCTCCAATCGAGTGAGTTTGGATTCCAGGAATACGAAGATGCTGGCCGTGGTAGTTCTCCGTATAGCCCGCTGAGCCCCCCTCCTGGCCCGCCCTGGCCTTGCTGTGAGTGTGGGCTGCCCCTCCTTGTCCCTGAAGACAGTCAACACACTAGCCAGTCGACTCTCCGCTGACTCGCTGACTTGCTAGTAGTATCTAACCTGCAGGGCCACAATCTAGGCGCTGTCGGATATTAAGGCTTGGCGCGGCGGGTGGCAGTCCGACTGTACCGCCAGCCTAACAGACCAGCCGCCAGCCCTCGGTGGAACCATATGGCGCTCAACTGCTCTCTACCTATCTAGCTGACTCGGCCTTCCTTGCGCACCCTCATCCAATGGCCGCCGCGGGTTTAGTGAGCAACCCACCGCCGCGCGAACTCCAGGGCATCCTTGTTTTGTCTATATAGGCTTGGCGCCGCATAGCACCACCGGCCACCGCGCTCAAACCACCGACGCCATCTCGTGAAACTCGTGCCGTTTAGTCGCGCTTGGCACGTCCCACTGCTGGAACGCTGAAGATAAACTAGGCCCGCCAGAGATTGCTTATCTTGCCTTGGGCCACTGACAGCTCCCCCGTCGGCCCTGGGCTAGATGCAACCGGGCGTCGCGTGGGTGGGCGTGCTGCACGGCGTGCCCACTCTTCAATCTCTTCAAGGCATTAGCCCTGCCCTCCGCCCGCCCTTTCATAACCGTTGATGCTCCGCTCGCCATGACATGGCCGTGGACCGTCCCCACGGACGTCGTGCGGCGGTCTATATGAATGGCAGCCCCCCGCGCAATGCCTCTCCTCAGCCCGCCAACCTTCACTTCACTCTCTTTCTTGTTGGTTTCATTCTTTTGGCTTTTTGCCGCCATTCTTTTTTTCTGGGTTGCTGCTGGGCCAGCTTGACCCTTTGTTTCACTCCTTACCTGTTCTTTTCTTCTTCTGCATATCGGGTAGATCCACGAGATGCGTTCCTTTCTCAGCGGCGCGGTGGCTCTGAGCTGCGCGCTCGGTGCCGCGGCCAGCTCCTACAACACTTCTGCCTACTCCGACTCGGTCACTGGGATCGACTTCCAGAGATGGTGTGACGATGACACCGGCTTCTGTTTCGGTGTTGCCCTCCCCGAGGAGGCCGGCACCGACTTCATCGGTCAGATGAACGTCCCCCTGTCCAGCTCCAAGGGATGGGGTGGTGTCAGTATGTCGGGGTCCATGACCAACGTGCTGCTGATTGCCGCCTGGCCCAACGGTGACTCGGTCGTCGGCACCCTGCGTGAGGCCGAGTCCTACGTCTCCCCGGCTGTCTACACCGGCGATGCCGTCCTGGAGAACATCCCGTCCGGAACGTCCATCAACAGCACCTACCTCACCTACACCTTCCTGTGCAGCGGCTGCGTCGTCGGCCAGCCCACCACCTGGGCTGCCAACGAGACCGCCTACTACTTCGGCTGGGCTCTGAGTGCCACCAACCCTACCACCCCGTCCTCGTCCTCGTCCAAGATGCCCTACCATGCTGCCGGTTATGGTGGCTTTGAGGCGGAGCTGTACGCCGCCCGGTCGTCCGAGTTCTCCACCTGGGCTTCCAAGGCTGTCGTCTCCAACACCACCACCACTGCCAGTGCCTCTGCCAGCGCCACTCCCTCCGCCAGCGTGGTCCCCACCGTTGCCAACACCACCTACGACTACATCGTGGTGGGCGGTGGTGCCGCGGGTATCATTGCTGCCGAGCGTCTTGCTGAGACCAAGAAGAGCGTCCTCCTGATCGAGCGTGGTCCCGCCTCGACCGTTCAGACCGGCGCCACCGACGCCCTGACCTGGAACAGCTCCATAACCGGATACGATGTGCCGGCCCTGGGCAGCGTTCTCGAGAGCGTCGGCCTGGAGGACGAGTACCTGTGCGACGACACCGCGGGCATGGCTGGCTGTGTTCTCGGCGGTGGCACCATCGTCAACGCCATGTCCTTCATCTACCCTCAGGAACGCGACTTCGACGACAAGTGGCCCACTGGCTGGAAGTGGACCGACGTCAAGGCCGCTGCCGAGCGTTTCTACAGCCGCAACCCCGGAAGCACCCTGCCATCCAAGGACGGCAAGCGCTACGACCAGGGCATGTACACCGTTCTGTCCTCCTTCCTGGAGGGCCTCGGCTGGACGCACGTCAACTCGCAGGAGCAGCCCAACGAGAAGCACAACGTGTACAGTTACCCGTCCTGGGACGTGGACAATGGTATCCGTGCCGGTCCCGTGCGCTCCTACCTGCCCCTGGTTGAGGACGACGACAACTTCACCCTCCGTTTGAACGCCAATGTCCTCCGTCTGGTCCGCCGCGGTGGCCGCATCACCGGTGTTGAGGTTCAGTCCGAGTCTGGCGCCGAGCAGATCATCAACGTGCGTGCGGGTGGTAAGGTCATCCTGGCTGCCGGTTCCCTGTCGACTCCCCGCATCCTGTTCAACTCCGGCATTGGTCCCACCGAGCAGATTGAGACTGTCAAGAGCGGCAGCACCGGCATCACCCTGCCCCCTTCGGCCGAGTGGATCGACCTGCCCGTCGGCGAGAACCTCCGCGACCACCCCATGTTCACCATCACCGTCGACACCAACAGCAACTTCACCCACTTCAACACCTCGAGCGTTATCCCCGGCTCCGATGCGACCGCCGTCAAGATGTTCGATGAGGGCTCCGGTGTGATGACCCAGGGTGGCCACCGTCTTCAGTTCTGGACCTCCAACGTCGGCACCGACGGCAAGACCCGTTTCTACCAGGGTTCCTGCAGTACCACCACCGACGGCGTCATCACGATGAAGCTGTACCTGACCCACGGAGCTACCTCCAGCGGTGTCCTGGGCATTGAGTCCACCGGCGCGACGGTTGTTTCCACCGATCCCTGGCTGCAGACGGCTGCCGACAAGGAGGCCACCACCCGGTTCCTCGAGGGCCTGCTCACCGACATGAAGAACTCGACCGGCGGATTCACCGTCTCTGGCTCTGCCACCACGGCCTCTGCCATCCTGGATGCCTACACCAGCGGCGACCACTACGTCGGTACCGCCAAGATGGGTCTGGACGACGGCCGCGAGCGCAACGGTACTTCGGTTGTTGACCTGAACACCAAGGTGTACGGCACTGAGAACCTGGTAAGTAGTATCCTGACACATCACACTTAACTTATCTAACGAACGCAGTACGTCGTCGATGCCAGTATCCACCCCGACCTGCCGACCGGCAACACCCAGGCGATTGTCCAGATCGCCGCTGAGGCTGCCATCGCCCGCATCATCGCCCAGGGCACCACCGTGTCCAGCGCGTCCGTGTCTGTCCCTGCTGCCAGCACCAAAATCGCCGCCGCTACCTCCGTCAAGGCCGTTGGCGCCGACAGCGCCACTGCCACCGTTACTTCCGTCGAGGCGACCGCCACCGTCGGCACCATCACCACTGCTCAGGGCAGCGGCAGCGACAGCAGCAGCTCTGAATCCAGCTCCGGCTCCAGCTCCTCCAGCTCCAGCTCCGACGAGGGCGAAGGTGAGGGTGACGATGACGACGAGTACGACTGCAGCGACTACGACGACGAGTACGACGACTACCCGGAGACGACCGAGGCCGTGAAGGTGGCCGAGGCGACGACTGCGGGCAGCGTGGCGGCGGTGACTGCGTACGCCGACTCCGAGGCGGCGTCGACGACCACCATCTGGGTGACCTCGACGGACTGGACCACCACCACGGATGTGGTTGTGGCGACCAGCACGCAATACGTGACCGTGTGGCCGACCTTTTCTTAGACGGTCTGCAGACTGGGTTTGCAGATGGGTCTGAGCATGTTCTGGACAATGTCTGGAGCTGTTTTATTCTACTTGTATTAGACTACTATCTATATGTTTTCTTATTTATTCTTTGTTACCATTGGTGCCGGGTAGGATTGATGTAGTATGGAACTTGTGTCAGTAGAGTATAGAGTATTTTCACCATGGAACTACAGATCCTCCCAGTCGGACAAACATCAGGTTAGTTGACCCAGAAAAAGAAACAGAACCAGGAAGGAGAAATAGAGAAATGGCGTCCGATATTGTATAGTACCTCATTCTATACAACACAATCAACTACATAAACCCCCCCCCTTCCAACACACAATAAACAAGACCAAAACAACCACCGCTAGCTTATTCTATTCTATCATAAAAATGCACTTTTCATCTCCTCCATATCCCCCAACACACACACACATATATAACCAAATCATTGTACTCCATCATCTCATAAATCATTCTCTCCCCCTCCTCCCCCAACCAAATATCTACAGTCCCAGTCCCCAGTACTGCAGTACACCTACCCCCCTTCCCCTTCCCCTTCCCCTTCCCCTTCCCATTCCCCCTTCGCCCTAACACACACACACACACACACCCACTCCCACACTCCCCCCCCTCTCACACAAACCAACCATACGAACAAAAAAAAAGAAAAAAAAAAAGAAAAAGAATAAGGATACCTCCATACCACAACGGTATGGAGGCCACTGTTAGAGACCCGCTGGATGAGCCAGCATCGTCTCATCGTCTGGATCCAACCAGCCCCATCCAGCCCCAGCACCAGCCCCAGTCTCGCTCTCACCCTCCCCCTCGCCCACAGTATCCTGGAAAAGCATCTCCTCGGCGCTGAAGCTATACATCGCAGAACTCTCTGCGAACGCGGACTCGAAGTCGGCGTACATTCTTTCTGTTTCGTCGGTTGCATGCGCGTCCGCGTTGGCGTCGAAGAAGTGGGTTCCCATTTCCATGAAGAGGGGGGGGATGGACATGGACATGGGCATGGACATTGGCATGGAATCGGAGATGGATGTGGATGTGAAGACCGGGTATGAGGAGGATATCCCCGAAGCTGAGATGGCGGTGGAGATGGACGGGTTGTAGAGTTCGGTGTTGCAGGGGAGACTGAGAGTCGTTTCCATTTGTAGAGGTTGGGTTATAGCTGGATCCGGAGTCGAAGATGAAGACGGGGCAGGAAGTGTGGAGACACTTCCACTTTGTGACGAGGCCGTATTGCTCATGTTGTTGGTATTGGAAGTGGTGGTGGTGGTGGCAGGCCTGGGCGCAATCGGCCTGGGCGAAAGGCGACGAAGTTCCCTCTTCTTCTGCTGCTGAAGGCTGTGCTGATGCTGATGGTGATGGCCCGCGGCTCCTCTCTAATAATGATAAAAGCGAAGCCACATCAGCCTGTTGTTTCTCTTATTCACGTTCACGTTTCACGTTTCACATGCCCATGCCCATGCACATGCACATATAAACATAGAAATATGATTATATGCGGGCATGGCACGACACTGCACTGCACTTTGCACAGCCTGCTATACACATTTCATCCCACGGTTTATGGGGTATAGTATAGCTGGTGTCAAACATCAGGTGTAGCGCATATTGGTTGGTTGGTAAAGAGGCGTACTTTTTCACAATCACAATCACAATCACTCCCACCACCACCACCACCACCACCGGCTGCTTCGGCGGCCTCGCGCTTGAGTTTATTGTGGGCGTCTGGGGATGCGCAGGGGGTGAGGGAGCAGATGGGACAGGTGGCAAAGGGGCGACCTTTGCGGTTGATGCGGATGAGGGGGCGGTCTATTTATCAGTAACATTTATTAGTAGTGTTTATTGGTAGATTTTGGGGGTTGTAGGTTATTTATTTTTTTTTTTCGGGGTAAATGAATGGGATGATGCAATGCAATGCAATGCAGTGCAGTGCAGTGAAACAAAGAAAGTAGGGCTGGGTAGGGTAGGGCAGGGCAACTTCACCATGATGTTTACAGGTCGTCACCCGATGGCCGCGGACACATGCCTCGCATGCCCATTTCTCGCCGTTGAGGAGCATTGTTTTCTTTTCTTTTTTTTCCCCTCTTCTCTTTTTTCTTTTCTTCAGCTGAATCTATCGCTCTTGGAGAGTGAGATGTCAAGAGACAGAAAAGATAAGAGAAAAAATAAAAACGGAGAGAGGAGGAAAAGGGAGGAAGAAAAAAGCATAATGGCAGTGGTAGATCCCCGGCGGGCGAGAGACGGATTTATAGGTTGTCTCTGGATGGGGGATATTGTTTTTTGATGGATTGATTAATTAGACGAGACGGGTGGATGGAGGGATAGATGAACGTAAGATTTGTATGTATGGATGTATGTACGTATCTTAGTTAATCATAAGTGACCATCTAATCAAGGGGTCGGTGGGGAAAGAGGAGGGTACACCGTAGTAGGGAAGAGGATAGTAGGGTTGATGCAAGCCGCAAAACACAGCCACGGATCGACTGCATGGATGGGATCATCCCCATCTCATCTCGGTTGGCGGGAGCTTAGTTCCTCTGGCCGGGAATGAGGGATTTCTGTCGGCTGGGAAGCCCTGAACCAGACACTCGGACAGTCTACTACAGGCCCCAAAGACACCTAAAGAACAACCGAACCCAAACCCAGGTGTCTACTGTCTACTGTCTACTCTCTACTCCCCACTCCGTAGTAACAAAACAAAACAGTAAAAAAAAAAAAAAAAAAAAAAAAAAAAAACCCCAAGAATCCTCGGACCAACCCGTGCCCCGGTCCTCCTCCTCTTACCCAGAAAGCGATTAGCATGCGGGATTTTCCCTCCCACAAAACGAAGGCGTCCCTCTCGAGCTGCCGCATCGGTCTTAGGGCACGCCTCCCGACTTGCAGCAAATTCCCGCATACAACAGAATCAGAAAGGATGGCGGATGGTTGAATGCTGCTGCCTGAGGATCGAGTAATGGTAATGGGAGTAGTATTGGGGATGGTAAAGTAGGTAGGTAGGTAGGGAGGCACACGGAATAGACAGGCAACAACAGGTACTATTAGTAGTAATGTATCTATCCAGAGAGTCTACCTCCCAGTAGGTGGTACTATAGATAAGTAGGTAACCAACCTCCCACCACCAGAACAAATAGGATGGAATCACAATCCACCGTTATTCCCGGAGGTGGCTGAGCAGCTGCCATCCAAAGAAATGATGGCCGCCAAGCACCGCGCACGAGCCATGATGGCCGCTGCGTGATTATATTTGCCTGCGCGCTGATTGCTGCGCTGCGAGGCTAGCCAGGCCTGGCCTGCAGGGTGCATGCGCTGTGTAGCTGTGCAGCTGGAAGGGGAAGCTTGAGCACTGGCTAGTAACTGGCTAGCAGTAGCTTGGGAGCTCTACTTCTCTACTTCCGAGGTCCATCCAGAGTGTCTGTCAAACAGGTGTGGGGGGGTTGGTTCAAACTTGACAGTTTTTTTTTGGTTCCCCGGGAAAATGTAAAAAGAGAAAAAAAAAAAAGCAGAATATTCTTATATTAAGCCCACCAGTTCCTATTATCTAGCCGTTCCTCATTTTGTGTGCTGATCCACCTACCCTACCATACATTACCTTCCTACGTACGGAGTACCCAGGATCTAGATACTAGATACATACATACTTTCTGTGGATCGGTGCGTGGTTTTTTCTTCTTTCTTTTCCATCTTTTTTTTTTTTTCCCCTTTCTTTTTTCCCCCGGATGCCTGTCTTTATTTTGTGTTGATTTAGCTTTTCAGAAATATAATCGAGTTCCCTTAGATTTTATTTTCTTTTGTTGTAGCTATACATACATACCTATTTGCTAAGGTTTGCCCAAGGTAGATATCTCCAACCCGGCGGTTATTTTGATCATTTTCCCATGCATCAGGTTCTGTCTGCGTCAAGGTTATCTCTTCTTTCTTTGGGGATGAAGGTCTGGGTGTCTGGTGCAGTGCAGTGCAGTCCATCCAGATAATGATTATGAGAGATCGGATTGATCGATCCATGGGATCTAAGCTTCTGGCAGGAAGGGTCCCAGAGCACGATTGCTCCTACTAGAGACTAAATAGACTCGATAGTTACTAGCTAGACTACGTGTCAAGGTGTCTTCACTCTTCACACCCTATCCGCCATGTAGTAGCTATTTCCTAGACAGACAGATTAGAAGAAAAAATTGTATCCACATTCCCCCTATGTACAATCTCCTCCCACTCACTACTAACAATACCCAAAAGCCAAGGCAAGCCAAACCAAACCAAGCCGCCATCCCATGCTCCGATGCAAAACGAATCCACCCATCCACCCCGTCCACCCCGTCCACACCAGCTAGATGCCTAGGTACATCCCCGATAGAGATACACGCCAGTCAAGTCAGGATCAGGACAATCACACCTCCTGGATATAATTCGCCGGCACGCTCTTCGTGACACCCCCCCTCTCGACATCCGCCCAGCCATCCCCGCCGTCGCGATTCACCACCACGAACCGCTCGCCCTCCACCATGCTCCACTCCATGTCGCTGCGCGCCTCATAGTCGTACAGCGCCTCCACGTACTGCACTTTCTTGGCGCCACGCCGCGGAGCCACCGCCGGCCCGATGCGCTTGCCGGCGCCGCCGCCTAGCGACGCTGATGAGTTCGAGTATGTTGATCCGGGGCGCTCGGCTGTGAAGCCCGGGCTTGGGGAGGGGGCCGGGGAGGCGGAGGCGGCCGGTGCGGGCTCGACGTAGGCCGCGGGGACGAGGCCTTCTTCGCTGCCGATGCGGACGCGCATCCAGCCGGAGCCATCTGATTTGGTTAGCTGGGGTGTAGTGGAGGATGAATGGGTTTGTGGTGCGAGGGGGGTTGTGAAGGTATTAGTGGAAGGGAAAGGAAAGGAAAGAAAGTACCATCTGGTTCTACAATGGCCACAAGGTCGTCCTCTTGTACGGTCACTTCGTCGGGACCACCGGCCTGATACGCGTACATCATCTTGCCCCGCGTCTCGCCGGGCTTGGAGCTCGGGGACTCACTGGGTGGGTGGACGTACTGTGTTGGGGGCGGTGCCAGGATGCGATTCCTCCGGGCAGCCGGTTTGGTCTCAGCAACGGGCGTGGGGAGTTCCGCCGGCGGAGATTGGCTGGTGGCGTTGGACAGCGTCCGGTTGGCGCTGACGGCGTAGCCCGAGCTCAACGAGTTCATGGTGTCCTTCCGGGTGAGGGACGGGGCGGTCGACGAGGTCGTGGACGGCTCCAGGTCCAGCGGCGCCGGGGCCGCGTTGGCCTGCTCCTGTCGCTCGGCCTTGAGCTTCTTCTTCTCCTCCTTGGATTGCTCGCCCGGACATTCCGCCGGCACCTTCATCTCACACTTGCTGTGGCACGTGTAGCCGCAGTCGCGGCAGTCGAAGCCCTTGGCCGACAGCCCCCAGATGCGCTCACCGCACAGGTCGCAGTTGGTGGGGATCTTGAACGTCTGCGACTTGAAGTTGTGGTTGCGCGCCCCCAGCGATAGATCGCCCACCACCGACATGATGGTCGACGTTTCCACCTCCGCCGTCAGTCGCCGGCGATCCACCTCGTGCAACGCCTCTTGCTGGTGGAAGATGGACCGCACGACATCCACCTCGCTGCGCTTGTCCTTGCCCTGCTGGATGCCCTCGCGCACCCGTTTGGCGGCCTCCACCTCGCGCCGCTTCTGATCCGTCTCCACCCGCAGTTCCCGAACCTGTGTCTTGCTCTTGCTCAGCAGATTGCGCAGGAAGACCTTGGCGGCCTCGTCGGTGATGAGCGCCTCGTCGTCGTGCCAGATCGGACTCGGCTCGAATACCACGTTGGCAGGCTCTTGCGACTGTGTGGCGTTGTGGCGGACAAACATGAGTGAGTCGAGATGGGGGAGGTTGCGAGGGATTTCGTTGATCAGGTTCGTCATATGGTCGGTACTCTTCGAGAGCGAGCCCTTCTCCAGCTGTGCGGCGAGCGACCACAGCCCATTCAGCTTCGCGACACGCGTTTCGTTGAGGTCTTGTAGGCCCTGCTCTGGTTAGTACGAGTCAGCAGACAGGAGGGTCACCCACGTCGAGTAGTTCCGGCACGTATTCGTGGTAGAATCGTTCTTTCAGCTTGTTGGTCACGTTGATACTAATGAGGTATGTGTTCTGCCTTGTCAGCGCCACCGCACATCAGATGCGCCATCTAACCAGACCACCCACCTTGACGTTGTTCATCTCCAATATTTGCTGCTGGTATGCCGCCTGCGCCTTGGACTTGCTGTGGTCGAACGAGCTCTCCATCTTCTTCCGGCGGGCCTCGACCTCCTGGCACGCCCCATCGTACTTGCCCTTGGCCTTCTTCAGATCACTGTATGAGGAGTCCCTCTCCTTCTCGAGCTTGGCGTGGAAGTCGACATGGCACTTGCGGAGTTCCTCGTACTGCGCGGCCGCCTGCTTGAGCGGCTCGGCGACATGGACGAGCAGGTCGTTGCCGAACTGGTCGCGCTCGCCGGCATGCGACTCGACGGCGTTCAATTGGGTGGTCCACGTCGTCAGCGACGCACTCTCCAGCGAACCTGGGGTCATGCTCGGGGTGTCTCCGACGCTCAGGTTGCTGATCTTCTTGGCCTTGCGGTCGTTGTATTTCTTGCATAGCGCCGTCAGCTTGGAGGCGTACTCCTTCTCGATGACGCTGCGTTCGCGATAGAACTGTTGTATCTCGTCCAGCCATCCGATGCCATTGGAGACCTGAACCGAAGCTTAGTGTGGTGGCGACGATGCTCGCGGGGACGGGGGCGACATACCCAATTGTTGACCGGCTTGAAGGCATCCTAGGGGCGGCGGTTAGCTGGACCGGGCCATGGCGTGTCAGTTATGTCATACCTTCAACTCCGCCCCAAAATGAGGGGCAACATCCGGGGAGGCCATGCTGGTGGAAGATAAACTCTCGGAGATCACGGCCAGGAGAGTTGCGGGAGAGTGCAACCGGGGGGGGGGGGGGGGGGGGGGGGGGAGCGACAGCGACCTCCTCGTGCAGACAGTCTTGCCGTGTAGGACGGAGGGAGGTCGAATGAGCCCGGATTCAAGGGCAGTCGCAGTCGCAGCTGGACAGAAGCAACAGCAGGCTGGTGGACTGGCGGACTGGCGGACTGTTTGGTGTTTGGCTGGAGGAAGCGGGGAAGATGCTGGACGGCCGTGACAATACCGGACGCTGGCTGTCAGGCCACGTTGGCGGCCTGATGCTGACTAACGGTCAGGACGCAAGGCGTATGAATGTGGGATGAGACTAGATCTGTGCTGCTATGCCGAGGAATGGATGATGCAAGCCAGCAAGACTTCGTCATATTACACAGGACCCCGAGCAGGAGAGCTAGAGCTTTCAGTCCACGGCAGGCACCAGCACTGATAGTAGGAGGCACTGTCAAAATAGTTCCCCCGGCACCGCCCCGTCCAGTCGGAGGCGACGTCATTGCCGATCGAGCTAAGGTAAGGTACGGTATCGCCGAGACTGACCGCCTGCTGCTTCCAGTCCGCCGCCGCGGCTCGGCTGCCGGCCCAAAGCGGCTAGCTTGCGGCGGGCGGTCAGCCGCATTGGGTTTTTCGAGCATCGGATGAGAAAGCTGCTGTCCGCCATCTGCCTTCTGCCATCTGCCTTCTGCCTCTGCCTTTGCTGCTTTGCGGTGTTGAGCTCTCAATCAATCCCTCCCCTCCCTGATCCCTCGTTGCTGTGAGCCTGTGGCAACGCGTTCTTCTCTCTTTTGTGTGTCCGATTCCGTCTCCTGTCGTGCTGAGCGCTTTGTTGATCTCCGCCGCTGTTACCCCGCCGCCCCTCCCTCTGGAACACCACTACTACTACTTCATCCGACCTCTGACTCCTCCCTCTCTCCCCATCCATTCACCTCACCTTCGACATGGCGTCGGAACAGCCTACTGGCGGATCGCTCGCCGACCGTATCTCCAAGCCCGATGATGCGAAGCCCGCTGGTACGACCCGGACACCGACCGCTCACCTCGTCCGTCACGCGCTAACCGTCCCCAGAAACCCCCGACCAGACCGAAGCCCCCGTGCAGGAAGCCGACCAGACTGAAGCTACTGAGACCAGCGACCAGACCGATGGGGCTGCCGCTGTCCTGGGCGGCTCCGACCTCCAGGAGCCGGACTACACGGTCGAGGTCAAGCTCAGCGATCTCCAAGACGACCCGAACAACCCTCTGTTTTCCGTGAAGAACTTTGAAGACCTTGGCCTGTGGGTGACGACATTCGTGTTGCTATATGATGCAGTGCTGACGGGAGTAGGGACCCTCGCATCCTCCAGGGCCTGTCGGCCATGAACTTCCGCAAACCCTCCAAGATCCAAGAGCGCGCCCTTCCTCTGCTGCTGGGCAACCCCCCCAAGAACCTGGTCGGCCAGTCCCAGTCCGGTACTGGAAAGACGGCCGCCTTCGTCCTGAACATCCTTAGTCGTCTGCAACTCGGAACGGAGCAGGAGCAGAAGACCCCCAGGCCCTGATCCTGGCCCCCACGCGAGAGCTGGCGCGTCAGATCGTCGGCGTCATCCAGGTCATGGGTCAGTTCCTGGACGGCCTCGCCATCGGCACCGCGGTCCCCGCCGACACCAACGCTCGCCCGGCCCGCATGGAGTGCTCCGTGGTGGTCGGCACCCCCGGCACGGTCATGGACATGATCAAGCGGCGCATCATGGTCGCCAACAAGCTGCGCGTGCTGGTGCTGGACGAGGCCGACAACATGCTGGACCAGCAGGGTCTGGGTGACCAGTGTATCCGTGTGAAGGCGTGAGTTCTTGTCTCGCTGCTCTTAGTATCTGCTAATGTCTGTAGTCTGCTCCCCCGGGACATCCAGGTGGTGCTGTTCTCCGCGACGTTCCCCGCCCACGTGCACGAGTACGCGTCCAAGTTCGCGCCGCAAGCCAACGAGATCACCCTGCAGCACGAGGAGCTGACCGTGGAGGGAATCAAACAACTGTACCTGGACTGCTCCAACGAGGAAGACAAATACCAGACCCTCGTGCAGCTGTACGGTCTGCTCACCGTCGGCTCTTCCATCATCTTCGTCAAGGTAAGTACCCCGACCCGCCGGCTACGACTCGCTAACCGTGCAGACCCGTACCTCCGCCCAGGAGATTGAAAAGCGCATGGTCGCCGAGGGCCACACCGTCGCCTCCCTGACGGGCGGTGTGGAAGGCTCGCAGCGTGACGCGGTCATCGACCAGTTCCGTGCCGGCCATGCCAAGGTGCTGATCACGACCAACGTGCTGGCGCGCGGAATCGACGTGTCGACGGTGTCCATGGTCATCAACTACGTAAGTCGACCGTCCCGACCGGAGAATCAAGCTAACGGGATCAGGATATCCCCGAGGTGTACCAACCCGGCGCGCGCGTGCGGCAGGCGGACTTCCAGACGTACCTGCACCGTATCGGACGGACAGGACGTTTCGGGCGTGTGGGTGTGTCGATCTCGTTCGTGTCGAACCGGGAGGAGTGGGAGATGCTCAACCAGATCCAGAAGTACTTCAGCACGAGCATCCAGCGGATCGACACGAAGGACTGGGACGAGGTGGAGGATGTGATCAAGAAGACGATCAAGAGCACGCGTTCCCAGGCGACCTTTGGGAAATAAGGGGGTGGTTGAGGATTGGGTTACGGCCGGCCATGTGGTTTACGTATGAAGAGTTATGAGGATTTCTTTGTGGCTTAAAATGCAGTCAGATTAATAGATACCATGTTGCTGCTTACTAGCCGCTATGCCCGGGAGGAGTAGTAGTAAGTTTAGTCGTAGTCAGTCAGGGATGGGCCATGTGACTCAGGGGAAGCCGGTAATTTGACGCCTCCGCGCGGAGTTGGCAGTCGAAGTGGGCGAAGAGCCACGGATCGCCGGGCGGGGAATCGTTGATCGGGAATGAGGGGTCGATCATCCGCCTCTCTGCGGCGTCATCGTGCATCACCCACCACCACAGTCACAACCATAGTTAGCTGGTCTTCTGCTGAGTCGATAAGTCATACATTCCAGTAACAGCATACCAAACAGGAATACAGGAATACCAACAGCCTCTTCCCCTCCCCTCCTCTCCCAGGGTTTGGGAAAGGGGGAGGGAGAGAACCGGAGGCGATGCAGCGCATGCAGGGCGTGCAACCTCAACAATGAGGCCGGAAGATTGGGAGTCGGGCCCAAGTCACATGGCGCATGCAGCGCTGCCCTCTCTGACCCTCTTTAACCTGCCCTTCTCCTCTCCCTCCCCCCCTCCCGTCTTTCTTTCTTCCCCTCCCATCAGTCTCTCTCCCCCCCCACATTCCCACCATGTTAGAGACCGACATCCCCAAGGCCGTGCCCGAGGAGGCGACGGTGTCGCCCACCTCTCCCACCTCTCCGCTCGCGAATTCGCGGTACAGCAAACACATCGTGGTATGCTATCTGTCTCCATCCTCTACTTTAATCTCCTTTAATCGAAAACCTCATCTCACGAACAGTTAACCACCTACCCCGGCCAAAGCGGCATCGACCCCGTCCCGCTGGAATGGGGCGCCGGCGACGCCAAATCGCGCGGCCCCGTCATCGTGTCCCGCAGCCCCGCCCTGCTCAAGCGGCGCAACGCCATGGGCGCCCACGGCGGCAGCTACAGCATCTACAACGCCCTGGCCATCGCCGCCGGCGACCTCGAGCCCGACTTCCGCCCCGACCTCAGCAACAGCCAGCCCGTCTTCAACTTCCCCTGGCAGCCCGCCTGGGGCGACAAGACCAAGATCGTGTCCATGGACCCCTGGGGCCATGACATCGTCAACCAGTTCCGCGACGAGCTGTCCGCCGGCTGGGACATCCGCCCCACCATGGCCATCACCCGCGCCAACATGAACTTCGCCGAGATCACCGATTCCGTCCGCGACGGCACGCTCAACGTCGACGGGAACATTGTCGTGGACCAGTCCGGCGAGGTCCGCGTGACCAAGGTCGCCGTCGAGCCGGTGTGGTATCTGCCTGGCGTGGCGGAGCGGTTCGGCGTGGACGAGGGCACGCTGCGTCGCACCCTGTTCGAGCACACGGGCGGTAGCTACCCCGAGCTGATCACCCGGCCTGATCTGAAGGTCTTTCTGCCTCCCATCGGCGGGCTGACCGTGTACATCTTCGGGCCGCCCGAGCGGGTCTCGGACGAGAAGGTCAAGCTGGCGCTGCGTATTCACGACGAGTGCAACGGCAGCGACGTCTTTCAGTCGGATATCTGCACGTGCCGGCCGTACCTGGCGTTCGGAATCAAGGAGGCCATCCGGGAGGCGCAGAACGGCGGCAGCGGCGTGGTGATCTACTTCCGAAAGGAGGGTCGTGCCCTGGGCGAGGTGATCAAATACCTCGTATACAACGCCCGCAAGCGCGGCGGCGACACGGCCGACAAGTACTTCACCCGGACGGAGAACATCGCCGGTGTGCGCGACGTAAGTGAAGTCCATCGCATCGATCCACACACTCAAAACTAACCCCATGCAGATGCGCTTCCAGGCCCTCATGCCCGACATCTTGCACTGGCTCGGCATCAAGAAGATCGACCGCATGCTGTCCATGTCCAATATGAAGCACGACGCCATCGTGCAATCCGGAATCAAGATCCTGGAACGCATCCCCATCCCCGAGGACATGATCCCGACGGACTCGCGCGTGGAAATTGACGCCAAGATCAACGCCGGGTACTTCACGACGGGCAAGCAGGTCACCATGGAGGAGCTGGCTGCGGTCCGGGGCCGGGGGTGGGAGAAGTGGGAGGATATTACGGTGAGTAACGGTGCTCTACGACGAACGGGATGTAGTATGACTGACGTGTGCAGCACTGAGTGACGACTTATCACGAGTTATGAGACCCGGCTTTGCACTCGAGATTGCATGAGGAGGGAGCGGTTGCTGGTTTATTTATATAAGAATGAGTAGAAAAAAATCAGAAGATTATCCATCATGAGCAGCTGATGCGGTGACTGGAATTATCCAGGTCACTGTCTCCGTATTAGTTCCACACTTTCCTTACCCAACATCCTAGGCGTACAGTTCAATTCACAGATTCGATTAATTCAATTACTACTTCCACCCTGAGAGAAAAGACAGACAATACTACTAGTAGTGGCAGTGTTTGCAGATATATATAGTTTATGATATCATAGTACCAAACCGGAACTCACCAATTTGTCCCCCACGCGAATTCTATACTATCACTCCAAAACCTGATACTCTTATAACTACTGATTCATAAACATAATCACCGCCCAAGATCAACTTCTCCGTGTCATCCTCTACACCATGGCAGAGGCCCCCAACATCGTCCTCGCGGCTTCGGACCGAGCCCGAACCCACCCCGCAGATAAGCCAGCCTTCGGGAACGGATCCCGACCGTCGAGACATCGGATGGCTTCCCCGCATTCTCTTGTGTATATAAGTAGATAGATTGGGATTCCCACACAACATAAGAATCACAATCACAATCATAGTCAATACTATCCTACCCTATCTCCAGCCAACCCCTCCTCCCTCATCCCTCTTCATTCCATTCAAACCCCCCCCCCTCCCCTCCCCCTTCCAAAAAAATGACCTTCCCCCACACCCCACCCCCAGGCGTCTGGTGCCCCGCCGTAACCTTCATCGACCCCACAACCGACAGCCTCGACCTGACCTCCCAAACGCAATACTTCCGCTACCTCTCGACGACGGGCCTCACGGGGCTCGTCATCCTGGGCACCAACTCGGAAGCCTTCCTCCTGACGCGATCGGAACGCCGAACGCTGATCTCGACCGCGCGCGCCGCCGTCGGCCCCTCCTACCCGCTGATGGCAGGCATCGGCGCGCACTCCACCAAACAAGTCCTGGAGCTGGCGCACGACGCCGCCGCGGCGGGCGCAAACTACGTGCTGGTCCTCCCGCCGGCGTACTTCGGCAAAGCGACGACCCCCGCCGTCATCAAGCGCTTCTTCAGCGACGTCGCCCGGAACTGTCCCCTGCCGGTCGTGGTGTATAATTTCCCGGGGGTGTGCAATGGCGTGGATTTAGATAGTGAGGTTATTACGGAGATTGTGCGGGAATCGGCCGCGGCGAACGTGATGACGGGCGTGTCGAACGTGGTCGGGGTGAAATTGACCTGCGGCTCCGTGGGCAAGATCTCCCGACTGGCTGCGACGTTCAGCAAGGACGATTTCGCCATCTTTGGCGGTCAGTCGGATTTTTTGCTCGGGGGGCTCGCGGCCGGCAGCGCCGGGTGTATTGCCGCGTTTGCGAATGTGTTTCCCAAGACGGCCGTCCGCGTGTATCGACTCTTCGTGGAGGGGAGGATCGAGGAGGCGAGGTCGTTGCAGGGCGTGGCCGCGTTGGCTGAGAGTCCTTGTAAAAGTGGCATCGCGGCAACCAAGTATGCTGTGGCGTGCTTTTCCGCAAAGGCGGCCGGGATTGAGGGCGCAGAGGACAAGTTGAGGCCCCGCACGCCGTATGAGGAGCCGGATGAGGCGGTTAAGGGCAGGGTTAGGGGGGTTATGGCGGGGTGTGAGGCGGTGGAGAGGGGCCTTTAGAGATTGCGTGGAGGGTGTGTGCTGCTATGTGTGTTATGCGGCTTGTAGATTGGAGGGGGGGGGGGGGGGGTTCTTGACTGCTGGATCTTGTCTGGATTAGGTATGGATTGTGAATGTGAATGTGAATGTGAGATGTATATGTTTCTGGCTCTGTTGGTTGGTGTGATTTGGGGGGATTTTATTTCCGGGGTGCCGGGTACTTTTTATCTATCTAGCATGGGGGTTGTAGAATGGGGAATGTGAAATATAAAATGTATGTGCTTGTATTAGCTTATGCTTGGGGGTGTATACCCTGGACAACTAAATGTTTTAGTCGCCGTGATCGGAGCCGGGTGGTTGTGGTGAAGTAAGTATGTCTTGAACTACGAACCATCTAACAGAATACGGAAGGTGTCTATCCACTAGATAGCCGTGACTCACAACCGACTCATCCTAGTGCAGGCCTAGCAAACCCAGTAGTCCGCTACAACTACAGCTATAGTTCGCGGGGTTGGTCCCCAATTTCCCCGAAGCCACCCCGAGCACTATCCGGGGCTGCGGGGAACAAACAATATATATCGCAAACTTGGGACGGATTACAATTCAGACCAAGTCAGAAAACAGACCACCAGAAACAAAATCTCCGATGAAAGTCCGCATCTCGCATATGGTCTCAGACAGGCGTGTATTTGGTTGCGCAATTGGTTGGATCTCGAAGTTTTGGACCTGCTACGTGTCGGAGGTCGTGCTGGACTGACTCGTTGTTGGGCGGGGGGGCTGGCGGAGTCAGTGTGCTCGATGAGACTTAAATACCTGCGTGCTCGAGGGGTAGGATGTCTAGGACAGCAGGTGGAATACCTAGTTAGCAATTGCAAGATGCGTCTCCCCATAGCTGCTCTCGCTCTCCCGGTGGCCGTCCAGGCGGCCAACTATTCCGGTCCACTTCGACCGCAGGTGCACTTCTCTCCGCCCTCGGATTTCATGAACGATCCCAATGGGCTCTTCTATGATGCCAAGCGAGACCTGTATCATCTTTACTATCAGTGTATGGAGCCTGTTTTCGGTGTCGTTCTTAGCTGATAGTCTGTCAGGGAATCCCTATGAGTTGATTGCGGGCAACCAGCATTGGGGCCACGCTACCAGTCGGGACTTGTACCACTGGACGAACCACCCACCTGCCATCTCCCCCAGCAATGCCGACGAGTATATCTTCTCCGGGTCCGCCGTCCTCGACCGCAACAACACATCGGGCTTCTTCCCGGACCAGGACGACGGCGTCGTGGCGATATATACCCTCGACACGGCGGAGGCACAGACCCAGAACATCGCGTACTCCACCGACGGGGGGTACACCTTCACCAAATACACCCACAACCCCGTCATCGACATCAACTCGACCGAGTTCCGCGACCCCCAGGTGACATGGCACGCCGAGTCGGAGCAATGGCTCATGACCGTCGCCTATTCGGCGGACAAGGTGATCGGGTTCTACACCTCCCCGGACCTGCGCGACTGGACACACGCGTCGAACTTCTCACGGGCCGATCTGCGCGGGGAGCAGTTCGAGTGTCCCAACCTGGTGAAGTTTGCTGCTGACAAGCACGTGCTCTTCATCTCCGTCAATCCCGGGGCCCCCCTGGGTGGATCCGGCACCTACTACCTGGTCGGGAACTTCAACGGAACTCACTTCCACCCCGAAACCGCAAACTTCACGCTGTACGAGTTCTCCAAAGACAACTATGCCTCGCAGTGGTACACCGACCTGCCGGACCGCAGTTCTCCCATCTCCATCGGATGGGCCAGCAACTGGGACTACGCCGAGGAGGTGCCCACCGGCGAGCTGGAAGACTGGCGAAGCAGCATGTCCGTCCCCCGCCAACACAGCCTAACCCAAGTGCAGGGCGTCTGGACGGTGACTCGCTCCCCGTACGATCTCTCCGCCGTGCAAGGCCGCCGACTGCCCAACCACAATCACACAGACGGAGTCAGCGTCGACTTCTCCAGCGTCCAATCCAAGGCGATATACTTCGAGATAGACATCTCGGGCCTCCCCGCGGACCCCGCCGGCGAGGTCCGCTTCCACTTTAGCTCTCCCGCCGGCGACCACCTCGACGGGGGGGTGGTGCTGGACACAGGGCTGTTCTGGATCGACCGCGCCGGAACGCAGCTCTACACCGCGGCGAATAACACGGACTTCACGCCGCTGTCCAACACCAGCGTGGCGGTGGACGGGGGTCTGGCCTTCGCGGGGGTGATTGACCGGTCGGTGCTGGAGGTGTTCGCGGACGACGGGACGCAGAGTGCCACGGTGAGTTACTTCCCCAGCGCGCCGTTGGATCGCTTGGCGGTCGGGGCGAGGGGTTTGTCGGACGGGGCCAACGTTGGGCTGGCCGCTTGGGGTCTGGACAGCGGGTGGGTGGTCTGATGCGTCTAGACTGTAAGACTGTGAGATTGAGGGGTGTTTGGGGTTGGTCAGATTAGTATTGAATCGATGTGGTTGTATCAGAACTCGGAGTTGAAGGGTCTGAAGTGTGTGGAGTAGTTGAGGGTTGTTAACAGTAGAGGTTGTCGTCGTGAGGTGAGTAGTCCTTGGGCAGAAGCATCGAGGGGAGATCAATGATTCCTGAGGCAGCTGTGAGGCAAAGATACCGACTTCTATTCTGGGACACACGTGGGCGTAATATTACGGCCCCTGACCACACGTGACTCCGTCGGCTTGCCGGAAGGGCGGCGACCCGCGATCATACGACGCTACTGCTTGGCGGCCGAACATTGGCCGAGCAGGGTCGCCTCAGGCAGGCAGCCCGTTTCCCTTTCGGTCGCTGGAACTCCTGGAGGGGAGACTCTGTCTGTCTGTCTGGCTTTGCTCAACCAACTGTCCTGCATCCTGTCTCTGCTCTGCATGCACACCCCATCAATCAATTCCATCCCGAATTGCATCCGAGAACCAAAGTCATCACCACATATACTCAAACACACCAACAAACTCTGCGCTCCGTCGGGTCGGACCCTCCACCAGAACCACTCATCAGCCTGCCAGGCGCCCACTCAACCGCCCCCAACGTTTCGATAAGATCTTCCCAAACATCTACTCGACGCCTCTTCCTGCCACTGCCACTCTCCTCCTGCCACATCCTCAGCCTCGAATCCTGCTCGACATTCTGCTCAGTTCATCCACAGTCGTCTGCAGCCTCAACACCCTGCTTCATCATCGCCATTCCCTCAATTGTGCCCGCTGGGTCTCCCTGACCCGTTCTCCACTGTTCACAATCTAGGCTCGCTAGCGCGTGGGTTGGGCTGATCGCATACTCGCACCTCGCACCTCGCACCTCGCACCTCGAACCGCTGCTAGCCGGCTCCTGACTTCAGGTATGCTTTCAGCTCTGCATCACCGGCCTTCCATCACCGAAATCATCCATTGTCATTGCCGTCCATTGCCATCCACCCCCTCACTAACACATCCCTCCCAGGATTCTACGTGGTGATTGCCACGCGCACTGACTGACCCGCTGTTGATGGTCCCGGCCTTGGCCGCTGGACAACTTCACCATGGGGAGCGACTTCCAGCTCTTTTCCCCCCAGTCCTCGGACCGCAGAGAATCCCACGCCGAATCCATGTCCTTCCCGCCGTCGACCGACGAGTCCAGCCAGGACTGGACGCAGTGGATGAGATGGGATGACCAGGCCCTGGCCGACGGCGCCAAGGACCTTTCCCAGTCGCCATTCGACGTGCCCTTCACCTCGCCCAACACCTCCGCCGAAAATCCCGACCTCTTCCGCAAATCAGACTTCTCCCCGGATATCTCGCTCGACTGCGCCAATCTCCCGTTTGACACGTTCCTCGGCCGAGCCTTCGACGGCGTGTCCGAGCCCAAGACCTTCTCCGGCGCCGACCTACAATCCGCCATGTCCATCACATCCGCCTCCCCGCTGTCCTCCGAGGGCGCCGGCCGCAAACGCAAGTCCGGCAGCGACGACGACGGATCGACAGTCAGCATGGTCGCTCCCACCGGCAGGAAGATGCCGGCCAAGAAGCGAGCCCACAACGTCATCGAGAAACGGTACCGAGCGAACTTGAACGAGAAGATCGCCGAGCTGCGGGACAGCGTGCCCAGTCTGCGGGCCTCGAAGAATGCCGCGGGCGGCTTGCTGGATGAAGACGAGGGCGAGGGGGTCACCGCCTCCAGCAAGCTGAACAAGGCGTCCATTCTGTCCAAGGCGACGGAGTACATCCGCCACCTCGAAATCCGTAACAGGCGACTTGAAGACGAGAATACCGCGCTGAAAAACAGACTCCGCCAGGCGGAGAAGGCCGTCGACCACACCCTAACCTCCGCAGCGTCGGTCTCCTCGCCCAGCAACTACACGGTTTCGACGGAATCTGGAGCGAGTTCATCGCCAAGTGTGTTCTCGCACGCAGAAGATAGCCCCAGCGACTCTCCGACATCTGCGCATCCCCCAGAGGGCCTGCTACAGGTACCGGATGCCTTCAAGCGCATGCACGCCGAAACCCCGAAAGACAACGCTTTCTCCCAATCATATATGCAGTTCCCCAGCAGCAATGGTGGAAACGGACGTCGGCGCTACTACCCCAACAAATACATGCTCGGCGCCCTGGCTGGCCTGATGGTCGTTGAGGGCCTGGGCAAAGAGAAGGACACGGATTCCACCGCGAAGGGGTTGCTGGCAGTCCCGATGAATGTACTTGGCAGCCTTCAAAGCAGCCTGCAGAGTCCGACGGCCGCGTACTGGCTCGCCATGGTCCGCAACTTTTGGTACTCGTGGCATGCGCGCGCTATATCGCACTTTCTGATCCTTGCCACGCTCGTTGTCGGCAGTGCGTTCGTGGTGTTCGTCTATCTTTTCAACGCCAGCCCGGGCCGTCAGTCCGCGTCATCGAAGACGGCTTCTCTGTCAGACTCGCTATCGGCATCGAACTACCGCCGCCAGGCGTGGCTGACCAGTATCCAGCGGGTTGGTGTCCCACGTCACCGCTTTTTCCACGAGTGGTACGTCGTGACCTCGCGCTGCTTCGAGTATGTGCTACGGTGTCTCCTGGGGTGGAAACTTTACTCCTCGCTTACCGGAGTGACCGAGGATGATGAGAACGGTCGAGTTAAAACCTGGGACATTGCCATCGACGCACAGCTGGCGGGTGGCGACACCGAAATCAGCAAGAGCCGGCTGGTGCTCACCATCTTCGCGGCGGGAACGCTGCCTCGCAGTCCCATGCGGATGATGCTCAAAGCCCTTCACTGTCGCATCCTGCTCTGGCGAGTCGGCAACCCCGGGTCGTGGAGCTCTGATCTGTCCAACGATGTCGCCCGCAGCCTGGCAAGATACCAGTGGGACCTTGCCCGCAAGATGCATCAGTGTGTGCCGAAGGGTCATGCGGATGCACTGCCCAGTCACCTGGCGGCGCTGCTCCAGCTGGACTGCGAAGACGTCATGATCGACAGCATTGTGCAGAGGGCGGCCAACCTCACCTGGAACCGTCCCACCCAGGAGGGCACGGACGACGACGAGGCACTCCTGGATGTGGTGGAGGAAGACCCGGCCATTCAATCCTCCTTGGATGCTCTTGCCGCCTGGTGGTCCAGCCATCTACTGCAGCGAGCGCTGCTGAGGTACTTCGAGGCCAGTTCCGGCGGTCCCGACGCCAAGAAGAGCCGCGACCTGTTCAAATCCAAGATCAAGCTCGCCCTGGACGTCGCCCCCCAGCCGTCGGCGGCACACACCCGCGCTCTCGTCATGCAGGCGGTGTTCCTCGAGCAGGACCGGGCCGCACACATCGGAGCGGTCCTGGCGGCGCTGCCCAAGGAGAAGGGGAAGTGCAAGCAGAACCAAGGCTTCAACTTCCTCGACTCGTCGCTGCCGGTGTCGATCCGGGAGGAGATTACGATCTCAGTGCGCTGCGCCATGATCGCGGCCATCTTCACTGCGCGGACTACGGGCGACACCTCCCTGCCGGCGTCGTTCACCATCCAGAAAGCCATCACCTGGTTCAACCAGCTGCCGCTGGACCCGGTGGACCTGACGCTTCTCGGCTTCGCGTCCGTCTACCATCTGCTACACGTTCTCGCTTCGGACACCGACTACATGTCGTCGTCCGACTCTTCCGCGTCGCGGAGCTCGTCGCCAGCCTCAATGTCCGACGACGAGGCGGACACACCGCGGCTGTCTGCAAAGCCAGAGATCGTGCAAGCATCCATCCCCAACCTGGGCCGCGTGGCCTCCGAGCTGATGTACTGGGCGCGGAATGCCTACAACCCGGCCTTCTACGGATTTACTCCCCAACTGGTGCAGGTGATCGAGGCCGAGTGCACGACGCTGTGCCATAGCGCCGGGGTCGACGTGGCTGACTACTCCCGCATCCAGGAGGAGAAAATCAAGGCCAAGCAGCAGAAAGACAAAAAAAAGAAGAGACAGGCTAGACGATCGTGAGCCATAGACTAGACTACCCCGCATCCGAGTTCGTGCACCATACATACCTCATACAAACCGGATATCACCGTTACGTTACGTTGCTTAATGACTTGCCTTGCCTTGCCACCGGCTTTCTCCATGCATTCAAACTTTTGTTTTTACTTTGTGGGCGTTTTGTTATGTGTGGGCGAGGGCGACCGCCCGCCCGGCGATCACATCTGGTACGGGACGGCGTTGGATTGTCACTGGTCAGATACTTCTCTATCTTCCCTCAGATTCGGAATCGAATGGATCGGATCGGAACAGACCTGATCTTGTAATTTAATAGTATGATGTTCGTGTCTGATAGTGCCGTCTCTTCCTACTACCTATATACCTACCTACCTACCCACCCACCTACAGTCCTCCCTGCATGCATCAACACGTCAATCAGCCCTCGTCCCTGGCTGGCGTGCCAGTTCCTGGATGTCTCACCCGACAATACATACATACATACCTACAATCGCTTGCTGCGAAACTACTACTCGGACGATTGACTTTGCCTGACACGCGGCGAGGCGAGTCTGCCATGGTCCTGCTGACCCGGGGCGTCATACATGGCATGGCATGGCATGGCACCGCTGATATAGTTTGAGGTTCCAAAGACCTGGCTACATAGGTAGCCTTGCGCAATGCTACACCCCAGCCAGCTACCAGCAGCCATAACCTGGTCCAATTCTGCGGGAATTACTTCCATCCCGCCTCATCCATCCATCCATCCACCCAGACAGACACAGACAGACACAGACACAGACACAGACACACAGCCAAACCCCCATCCTCGTCAGTCCTTACCCAGAAAACTCTGCTCGGATGTCTACTTTCAGCCCGCAGCAATCGACCCGGTCTGGACACCCACCGACTAAGAACACTCCGCTCCGCCTCGCCATGAGATGACATGACGCAAGGCCTCCTCGGGGGTTGGGCTGCCTATCTCCCGTTTACCGTTACAGCGATGGGCCTACCGCGTGGATCTCGGATGCAACGATGCGTTCGCACTAGCAACCCCCTCCCTGAGTAAATAGAGGGCTCCGGGACCTGGACTAGCTAGCTAAGTGATGACGTCAGGATCAGTTACTCGACCCTTTCTGTGTCTGGGATGCAACATGCGACTGCAGGTACATCTGTGGTGGTGGTGGATGGGGGTAGCGGATGCGGCGTGCATTCCGAGTTCCGTTTCCGTTTCCGGCGCCGCGGTTTCATCGCGGACAAGCCCTAGAAACCCTCCCTGCTAAGCTCAACGGGAAACCAATCTGCGACCCGCTCGGAGAGAAAAGAAAAAAAAAAAAAAGAAATCAGGTTGCCTAGCTGGTTCCCCAGCTGGTAGTTGCCCGCTGTTCAGGTACTAGTGCCAGTAAGCTTCTGGTCCCGCGTGCCTGTTCCCCGGATGTCCAGCGCGGAGGGTTTCTGGTCGGGCTAATCACAGGGGCTTCCGCGGAGAGGGCGTCTCCATCGGCGTTGCAATCGGTACACCAGATGGGCGTTTGGATTGCTTCGCCGCTGGTGAAACTTGGAAAAAAACGACTCCAGGCTCGCCTCGGACAATGCAATGCAGTGCTTCGCGGCCTGGCTAGATCGTGGATGACGGCATTGAATCCCGCGGCGGGAGTGGAATTGGAATGGAACTGGAACTGGAACTGGAACTGGAACTGGATGTCACAATTCGATGCAGCTCATACATCCACCATCAACCATCAACCAGTTGACTGTCGGGATTCGGTGTGTGTATATGTAGCTAGCTGAGCGCCCACTTTGCTTCCCCCGCGGCGCAGCGTCTCGTCTCGTCCTGTCCTGTCCTGACAGCCGTGCGATCCCCATCCTCAGACAAGACAAGACCAGACAATACCATACAAAACCAGACAAGACAAGACCAGACAAAATGGGGGTCGACTACCTGCAACCCGGCCAACAGCGACGCATCAACTACCACCCGCCAATGCGCGCAACGCTCGCAACCCCGATCTTCATCCTCGCCGGTGCGCTGTTCATCCTCTTCATCAGCCGCAGCTTCACCCGCTGGCAACACCGGCGCCGACTGCAGCAAATCCTGCAAACCAACCAACAAGCCCGCTTCACCCGCACCAGCGTCCTCTCCGCCACGCTCAACAAGCATGTCTTCTACGCCCCGCTGCTCTCCCGCCGCCACAGCCGCTACTTCCAGCTCGGGAATGGCGTCCACATGGGGGTCATCCCGCTGCGCATCGAGGCGATCCTCCTAGGCATATACATCGCCCTCAACGCCGTGTTCCTGTTCGTCCTGGTCGACTGGCGGAAGGACTGGGATGAGGTTGTTTTCCAGTTCCAGTATTCGGCGGGCAGCATGGCGGTGCTGAATCTGCCCGGGTTGGTGTTGGCCGCCGGCAGGAATAATCCCCTGGTGGGGCTGTTGGGGATTAAGTTCGATTCGTTCAATCTTATGCATCGGTGGGTGGGGAGGATGGTTATCGTGGCGGGGTTGGTGCATACCATTGCTGCTGTGGTGATGAAGCAGAGGGAGGGTGAGTTTGTTCTGCAATATCATTTCATATTATGGTCGTCGATCAGGGCTGGGCTGATCATGTGGGTGGTGGTACAGAGGGCGGCCTCGCAGCTGTCACGAATCTGGTCTTTCATACCAAGTTCTTTGTTTGTGGTCTCGTGGTGTGTACTCTTTCTCTCTATCTCTGGCTATTCTCTTCTTCCGGGATGGTATATTCTAATTCAACAGGCCATCTTCGCCTTCGCGACCATCCTCCTGCAGTCCGTGTCCCCGATTCGACACGCCTTCTACGAGGCTTTTCTGCATACGCATATCCTGCTCGCCGTCATGGCTTTTGTTGGACTGTGGTATCATCTCGAGGGCATGTCGCAGCAGTATGCCCTGCTCGTTACCCTTGTTCTGTGGGGGTCTGATGTGAGTGCTATGCCCGTTCCACCTTACATGCTTCATCTATCTAACAACCCCAGCGCATCGCCCGCATCGCCAGCATCATCTGGCGCAACCTCGGCAAGCAGCGCACAACCGCTACCGTCGAGCTCCTCCCAGGCGACGTCGCCCGCGTCAACGTCTCCCTGGCCCGGCCCTGGTCCTTCAAGCCCGGCCAGTACATGTACCTGTACCTCCCCTCGCTGGGCCTGTGGACCTCCCACCCCTTCTCCGTCGCTTGGACGGCCGCCGACCCCGACGTCATCACCGAGAAACGCACCTCCAGTGACTCGATCAATCGGATCCTGGGCGGGCCGCAGCAGACCACCATGTCGTTTCTGATTAAGCGGCGGGATGGGTTTACGAGTCGTCTGCTGCAGAAGGTTTGTAGGGCGGAGGAGAGGAGATTCTCTGCGACTGCGTTGGCGGAGGGGCCTTTTGGTAGGTTTCATTGTCTCATCTGGGTGCTTTTACTCTTGTACCGATTCCTAGTTGTGCCCTACATCCACTTCTACGGCTACTTCTGTACACTTTTACAACCACTTCTGCACCCATTTCTTTCTATATCTACTTCTACACTCATCTCTATACACCCACTACATCCATCCCACCCTGTTAGACACCAAAACCACTCACACTCACATGCACATACACATACACATCCCGACTAACAACCAGCCAGGCGGCCTCCACCCCCTAACATCCTACGGCTCGGTGCTCCTGATCGCCGGCGGCATCGGAATCACGCACCCGATGTCATATCTCCATGAATTCGTCAACGGCTTCGCCTCGGGCACGATGGCCGTGCGGCGCGTCACCCTCGTCTGGGTCGTGCGCAGCCTCGGTACGTCTTTCCTTTCCCCCCATCCTCCCTCTCCTCCCCCCCCCTTCCCACTCCCAACCCTCAGATTAAAACAACGTCCCCCCCCCCCCCCCCTAACTAACAACTCAATACCCAAAACAGACCACCTCTCCTGGATCCACCCCTGGATGACAACCCTACTCGCCCACCCAACGCTCCAAGCACCCCACATCCCCAAACAAGACACCTCCCCTTCCTCCTTCGCCTCTCCGGAACCCGAATTCTCCCTCTCCATCCAAATCTACCTCACCACCCCCTCCTCCAGCCCGGAGGACTTTTTCTCGTCCTCGTTGTTGTCGTCCTCCTCTGCCTCCTCCTCGTCGGATACTGAGCGTGCAGCAGACTCCACGAAACCCTGGTCCCTCGTCGCCCCGCCCTCTGTCCCTGTCGACACGCACTTCGGGAAGCCCTGCTGGACGGATATCCTGGAGACGGAGATGGGGAGGCAGGTCGGTGCCCTGGCCGTGAGTGTTTGTGGGCCCGGTGGGATGGGGGATGATGTCAGGGATGTGGTTAGGGAGAGGGTCGGTAGGAAGAGGGTGGATTTTTTGGAGGAGTCGTTTAGTTGGTAGGGTAGTGATTTATTCTTTCCCTTCTTCTTTATTTCTTTCCTTCTTCTTCTTTCTTTCTTCCTTCTTTCTTCTTCTTTTTTTTTTTTTTTTGGTGCAGAAAAAATTAAGTTTGTGGGGAAGGGTTCTTTGTGGATAGGTTTTCTTTCTTTTCTTTTCACCTTTTACTATTACCTATTTACTATTACCTATTTACTATTTATTTCTCGGTGTTTTTTTTTTCAGGGGGTAGACTTTGAGGACGGGTATTAAATAAATCGGATTGATGGCTTTTTTTTTTTTTTTCTTTTCTTCTCTTCTGTTACTACCACCCCTGGTATTGATAATATGGATATGGATAGGATGCGCTATTCTTCTCTTCTGCTTTACTTTTAAAAGGTTATATAGTTTATATTTGGTAGGTAGATAGGGTTTATTAGAAGAATGGAGAAGATATTTATATATAGGGAGTGGGTTAGGGCTAGGATAGAGGGGGAGGGAGTGGAGCGGAACAGAGAGGAGACAGGAGACTGAAGAAGAGAGACGACAAGAAACAGGAACAGGCAAGGTAGTAAGGACGTAAATAACAGCAAAAACACCACACCACACCAACATCACCTGGATATATCTATTATCCATGCCAACCAGACCTCAACTCTCCGTCCCAGCACAACCCAACCCAACACAACACACTCCAATCACAATACAATGAAGAAAATTAAACAAAACAAACCAACAAACCAAAATCTAAAATATAAAAGATAAAAGATACATACCACACCCCCCCAACCCCTCCACATCCACCCAATCATACCCAGCCCCCGTCGACGCCATAATTCTCACCCTGGCCGGCAACGAGCTGATCAACTCCCCCATTCCAGAACGGGCGAAACACCGCGTGGAAGTCGCCCCATCGCCGCTCCTGCAGCGCCTGCTTGAAGGCCTCGCGCTTCGGCCGCACGATGTCGAATTCCGAGGCTAGTTTCTCGTACAGTGCGTGGTTGCATTTGATGGGGTCAACGAGGTGGAGGATTTTGAGATTTGTGGTTGTTGGTTTGTGTTTTGGTTTTTGTCTGTGGATGTGGGTGTGGGGGTTATTGATTGATTGATTGGTTGAGTGAGTGAGTGAGTGAGTGTGAGTATAGAGTAGTGGTACTATGTATATGGTGGTTAATTCTATGTGTGATGTGTGGTGTTGCGGTTCTATATCTTGTCTTGTCTTGGATATACTTCGGTCTCGGATTCCGTCAATGGCCGTCAAAGGCCGATGGGCCATGGCCGATGGATCTGCAGATGCAGATCTGCAATACCCGACCCCAGACCCCTACACAGCACACTGTGCACTGTATGTAGGTAGTAAAGTATCAATCCATCCATCCCGACACCGAACCAAACCCGGCTACCCACACCGCATCCTACACTGCATGCTACCTCTTCCCCACCGCCAACCCCACCACCGACGCGACACTCGCCCCCCCCAGAATATCAAACATGGCAATATCCGCGCCTAGCTCGCGCGCAAACCAATTCCGGAGCTCCACCGCCGCCAGCGAATCCACCCCGTATTGGTGCAGGGGCTTGTCGGTGTCGATCTGATCGGCCGGGACGCTCAGCATGAGCGAGAGTTTCTCGCGGGTGGCCCGCATGGCGATTCCGGTCGCCTCGGTGGTGGATTCCGCGGCTGCGAAGAGGGCGGGGAGGTTGGAGATGCCTTCTGCGCTGCGGGCGTTGCTGTTGCTGCTGTGCGCTGGGTCTGTGGCTGAGAGGTGCCGGAAGAGAGGCCGGTCGAGCCAGTCGGCTTTGTGCAGGCCTTTTGTGAGGGTGGTGGGCGTGATGCCGACTACTACTTGGCTGGTTAGGCGGGTGAGCGGGTTGGGGTTGGGGGCGCAGTGGATGTCGAGCAGGGCGTGAAGCTCTGATTCAGTAATCTCATCGAGCACGCTGTTCGCGAGGAAATGCGCGCGGCTGTCCGGGTTATCGTTGAAATAGCCGGCCGTGAGAATGGGTCCCAGATCCAACGAGACGGCTTTCTCGCCGATTCCGACGCGATACCGCGCCAGTCCGTCTTTGAAGGTGTTGCCTGCGGCGTAGCCGGAGTCGCTGATGGCCCCGAAGATCCCGGACACGGAGGACATCAGCACGAAGAAGTCCATCCCGCGCGGGAGCAGCTCGTGCAGGTTCCATGACCCCTGGGCTTTGGGGCCCGTGGTGGATTTCCACGATTCATAGGTTAGGGATTCGAAGTTGTGGGCCTGGGCGGTTAGCTGGGTTGGGTGAAGGGGGAATGCCACTCACGCAGACGACCATCGATGCCTGCACGCAGCCCTTGATCGGGGGGAGGTGGCTATATTCGTCGAGCACGCCTTGCAGCGCCGCAGCGTCTGTGATGTCGCATGAAGGAGTGACCACTCGGGCACCTTTACCTGCTAGCTCCTCTACGAGGCTTCGCGCATGCGGGCTCGCCTGCCCCGATCGAGAAAGGAGGATCAGGTTGCGAGCGCCCCGTTCAACAAGCCAGCGGGATATGCTCCGGCCAAGTCCGCCCAGTCCACCCGCAATAACATACGTCGCATCCGATGCAAACGAAAAGGAAGGCCTCGTCTCAAGGACCGTCTATCCGGTTAGCTAGGCTTCACATGGAGGAAACGACATACCATCACCTGGTCCGTCTCTCGCATCTCCACTACCGCCTTCCCCGAGTTCCTCCCCGTCTGCATCTGCCGAAAGGCATGTTCGATCTCCGATACACCGTACGTTTGCAACGGATGGGGAAGCGTCAGCGTGCCGTCACCAAGCAGGAAGAATATCGTCTGCAACGCCGAGTTGATTACCTGCGGCCGATCGACCATCATCCCCGCCAGGTCAATGGCCGTGAAGCTGACGCTCTTCTCGAATTGCAGCATGGGAAGCTTGGTGTTGCTCAAGATATCATTCTTCCCGATCTCCACAAAGCGACCGTACGGCGCAACCGATTCCCACGACGCGATCAGTCCGTCCCTAGATAACGAGTTCAACACCACGTCTACACCGCGGTCGGCGGTAAGCCGTCGGATTCCTTTGGCGAAGAGCGTATTCCGGCTGGAGAAGATCTGCTCTGCTGGGGTGTGATACCGGTCTATCAGGAGCTGCTTCTTCTCCTCGGTTGACACCGTCGCGAAGACCTTTGCTCCCAGGTACTGGGCTACCTGGATGGCCGCCTGGCCTGTTCCTCCGGCCCCGGAGTGAATCAGAATCGACTCCCCGGGCTGGAGTCGTGCGACTTGGTTCAGCGTGATCCACGCAGTGGCATATGCCACCGGGACAGCCGCCGCCGCCACGAAATCCATCACGGTCGGAATCTTGATGGGCATGTCCTCGCGAATGCGGACATAATTCGCGTAGCGGCTCGGATGGAAGGCAACCACTCGATCCCCCGGCTGAAACCGCTGACACGAGTCTCCGACCTGGACTACCTCGCCCGCGAACTCAGCCCCGAGGGTGTCGCTTTCCAGTCTGCCCAGTGCGACAAGCACATCCCGGAAGTTCAGTCCCACTGCTCGGACCTTGATCTTTATTTCGTCCGGACCCAAAGGCTCCAGAGTCCGGTCCTCCACGAACTGAAGTGTGTTCAGAAGACCGGGCGAGCCGATGGTCATCTTCATTGGCGGCCCTGAGCCATACGCTTTCATTTCCCTCTGCTGCAGCAGCACCTTTTTGGCAACGTCCTGGGACACAGACCTGGCGGGGACTAGGCGGCTGGTGTGAAGGATCCCGTCGATCTCCGTGTATTCCGAGTCCGTATCTCGATCTGTGGTAACTGAGCGGATTATCTTCATTATCTGGTCGACCTGATGTTCTCTCGGAGTGTTTCGCTCAAGAGAGAGAGTCGTCAGCCTCACTCTATATATCTCCCCCGCCAGCACTCTAAAAAGCCCATCAACAAGTCGGTACTTGGGGAACGGCTGATGTCCTCCGCCTTCGTTGACCCAGATGAGGTTCTTTGTTGATTTCACCAGTTCTTGAAGCCCTCCGTATTCCGTCTTGTTCATATCGTAGAGAAAAGGGGCCGTAGATTCCAAGAGAGAGATGTCTATCAATTCCGATGTCAGCTCCCTTCCGGACATGTCATTCAGACCTCCACTCGTGATGGCCACTCCCATGCCCAGGAGTCGATCAGAAACTGCCTCTGCCAGCTCAACCTGTCCTCCGTCTGTTGGGTCCAGGATAATATTCACTCCCCATTTCACAGTACGCAGTGGAGCAACGGCCGTCGACACGATCATGCTTCCCTCGCGACACACTTCGTCGATATAGTCATCCACGACGATATCGCAGCCCGAAAACCCCGTTCCTTTGAGAAGCTCTCCCCATTTCTCGGTACTAACACAGGGGCTCGTCTGGCGGTATTCCTCCCGGCCTGCTACGGTCAGATATGAAGCACTAAGGTTGGTAAACTCACCTCTCCACCACCCATCCAGCAAGCCGAAGATAAGAGTCGTTCGAATAGGATGGAGATAAGTAATCTCCGAAAGAAGCAGCTTGCCTCCCCTGCAACCGTCAGCGCTGCTATCTGCATAGCATAAACATACAACATACACTTTCAATAGCTTCCGGACATTCCTGAGACTAGCAGCCAAGTCCGCAGTCGCATGCAACACCTAGAAGACCAGGTCAGCTTTCATACACAATCACGATGGCCAATCCTACCAAGAAAGCAACAACCACATCGTACGTCCCGCACTCGAACCCCTGCACCTCGGGATCCTTCTCCACGTCCAAGACCTTGTACCTCATCCGCTGTCCCTCCGCAGCAAATTGTCCCTGAGCAGCGGGAAAAAAAGAGCTCGATAGGTCGGTGAAGTCCCACTGGGCGTATAGAGGCATGCCCCCAGATTCAAGTTTCATGGTCAACGCTTTGATGAACAGGTCAGTCATGGCTCCTGTTCCCGCGCCCACTTCTAGGATCTTCATCCGGGGGTTTTTGTGGGCCAATGCGGCGATGAGTTTCTCCAGACGCGGTTTGATGGACGTTTCGCCGAGCTGCACCAGTCAGTAGGATTCAGTGGAAGGGCGTCTCTGTGCATACCATTTCAAAGTAGACATCCGCGAGGAGATTATTCTCGAAAAGACGAGTGAGCGGGTCACGCAGAAAGTCGGACAGGTCCCGACAGACGGTGCTGATTAGAAGTCCACGCTTACTGCCTTGTTCGACTCGCTTGTGCAGTTCGCTGATGTATTGGTCGTCGTTCATGCGATCTCTCCACTCATTTGTGCTGAAAACTGACAAGCCTTGATCCATTGCTTCCTTGTAGCCGAGCATCCAGTCCACGTATTTGTTCAAGTGAGCTGGAAGGTTTTCTCTGTCCTCGCTGTAAGAGTCAGCAAATCTATAAACGTAATTTGTCGCAAGAAAGTCCAGGTCGGTGAGGTGCTGTATGGGCGCTTCTTGAGAGTTGTCGTATTCGAAAAGAGCCCGCGTTTCTTCCTCTCCTAGCAGGTCGATTTCAGGCTGCTGCGCTAAATAGTGGCAGAGATTATCTGCCTTCAGTTGTCTTGAGACAGGTGTATTCTCTGTACTTGCAATGGTGGTTACTTTCAAGCCTTCGAGCGTCAAAAGTGCAGTGGAGGCAGTTCTGTCCACTGCTGTCATGGAGTAATGGGTGTATCCGACGGTAGATCGACTGCACGCCACGTGAGCTTTCAGGATATCTGCAGATGGATGGCTCAGACCGGTGCTGGATAGCCAAAGGCGGTCGATTCTAGTTGGCACAGCGACGTTTGTCGTGCGTCCGCCTATATCGGTGACTAGTCCCGCTGCCATCTGGACGATGGCGTCTAATGTTGTCGGATGGATTGTGTGAGTCGGATATGCCGCGCCTGCAGGCTGGAATGTCCGGATGTCTGAGATGAAGCTGTTGCAGTCTTCTCCGCGACTGATGTTTTGGATTGCAGCAAATGCAGGTCCGTATTGATACCCACAAAGATTCAGATGGTTGTAGAACCCTTCAGAGTCAACGCATGATGTACACATCCGTGCTGCATCGTTGTAGCCCCGCAAAAGAAAACCCTGCCACTCCCTCTCCTCCCGACCATTGAGATCCAGACCCGTCTCCGCGGATTCATAAAGCGCTTGGATAGACCCCGTGCTATTCTCCACCCACGTATCATTGTCGTAGGCGTATACCCGATACTCAAACCATCCCGTGCTGTCTGACTTTCCATCTGTGACGCGTTTCAAGTTGACATTAACCTCGATTCCTTCAGCATGGGTAGGGATCTGTAGCGCGGACGAAAACGCCACGTCCCGGATGTTGAAACCTATGATCACTCGATCCAGATCCGCCAGTTGCTTGATCGCCTCGACTGCCATGACCACCATCCCAGCGCCCGGATACAGGACGGCGTTGTTGATCTTATGGTCCTGCACCCACGGCATGTCTGACCCCCGAATGATGTTTCGCCAGGTGGCTTCCATGGGATTCCCATTGGGATCGGGGATGCCGAGCAGCTCTGAATAGGCGTGCTTGCGGAGCCTGTAGCCTTGGCTCAGGTGGCTTTCGTGCCAGTACGGAGTGGTGTGATTGAATGGATACTCCGGTAGGTCGCTTAATACCTGAGGCTTTACCAGAGCTCTATCAACATTGACAGCTGATATGTTGATCGGATACCCGCTGCAGTGAAGACGGCCTGCGCTTTCCATGACACATACCAAGGCAGAGCGATTGCGTACCAGCAAAGGAACGTAACCCATCTTGTCGGTTTTGTTTGTCGCTTTGATAATATCCCGACATGGTCCTTGCAGTGCCGAATGTGGACCGATTTCCAAAAAATGGTCAATTGCAATAGTGCGACGGTGACTACCATCAATCTTTCGAGGGGTCTTGCTCGTCTGAGCGCATAAATAGCCCACTGCATCATTGAACAATACCGGTGAGACCATGTTGTTTACCCAGTACTCGGGGTCTATCAGCTGTTCATCTGATACTAATGCACCAGTAACAGATGATACCATGAATGGCGGTTTCTTCCGCTTTGGGGGAACCTCCAACGTTCCAAGAGCGGAACAATACTGCTCAGATATTTCAGACATCTGGAATGAGTGATAGCCAACATTGACAGCCAGTTTTCGAGAAAACACGTTGTCTTCAGTTAGAAGAACATGCAACGTGTCGATCTGCTCCAGCTGTCCAGATACTGTCACACTGTTCGGACTGTTGACGCAAGCAACCACTACCTTCAACGCTTCGAACTGCGAAGCAAGTTGATCAAGGTATTTCCGGAAATCCCCTTTCGATAGCCCAACAGCAAGCATGCCTCCTTTCATGTTACTGGATTTTCCCAGCTGTCCTGCCAGTAAGCCTCTGAAATATGCGACCTTCAATGCAGACCGTTTTGATAACGCCCCAGCGCAATATCTGTATCAACGTTAGCAATGCAAAAAAAAATAAGAAGAAGAAGAAGAAGAAGAAGAAGAAGAAGAAGAAGAAGAAGCATGAAGGACTTACGCTGCGGCAATCTCTCCAGACGAGTGGCCGACAACTGCAGCCGGCACAACATGCCAGCTCTCGAGAAGATCGACCAGGGCGATTTGAAGTGCAGTGCAGAGTGGCTGACCGTAGGCCGGGTCGTTCACATTCGATTCCAACGCTGGTTTCTGTAGCTCACCTGTGGAATGTTAGAACCATAGTGTTATATTTCGCTGTTATACATACTGAATACATCCCATTCGCATCCAAACTCCGCAAGGTACGTCGCTGACTCGGATAGACTGTCGGTGAAAACCTCATATTGACCGATTAACTCACGGCCCATCGCGTACCACTGGGCTCCTTGCTGTTCATGGTCAGCTGGAACTAAAGCAATGTTTTGCTGTTCTTACTCCGGTGAAAACAAAAGCCAGATGTGGCGAATCCAGACATTGAGTCGCTGGCGCGAATTGTAGAGTCAGGTCTTGCACGGTTTCCGCTGGCTTCGCAACGACGAACGTCCTCCACTCTAAATGACTCCGCCTATTGCATAAGGTGTATCCTAAGTCCCGCATATAAGTATTCACATCGAGACCTGAGTTTGCTTTGACTGAAAAGTACGATCTCCAGCTCTCTGCCAGTCGTTCGATCCCAGCTTTGTCTGCTGCCGACCACACAAGCAAGTGAGGGTCTGCGTGACAGGTACCATGGCTGGCGCCATTTACACGGGATATATGGGGGGAATGGTGGTCAGATCCTTCATGACCATTTAGCTGTATCCCATCGACCCCCACGAATGGAGGCACTATGGCAGTTTGATGGTGGCCTTCCTTTCCATGCAAGCGAAAGAAGTTGTAAGCATCGTCGAGAACAATATGGCTATTTGATCCACCAAATCCAAAGGAGCTTACAGACGCCCGTCGCAAGCCGGTACCTGGCCATGCGACGGCGTTTCTTAGAATCTGAGACAGTCAGCCTCATGACCGTGTCCAGTCGACAATTTATTACCTTCAGTCTCAGATACTCCTCATCTATCTGGGGATTCACGGTCTGCAGATTACTGCTGTTTGGAGGCATAAGTGCCTTTTCCAAAATAAGAACTGCTTTGATGAAACCTGCTATCCCACTGGCACCTTCGAGATGGCCGATGTTGGATTTTACCGAGCCACTACACATATTCAGCAAGAATAAAACAAAACAACGACTCAGACCTACACATATAAAGGCTCACCACTTGATCGATACGGGCGAAACGCGGTGCCAATGGCCCTGGTCTCAATAGGATCGCCAACAGGGGTCCCTTGTCCGATCAGTCATCCTCAAACACTCTCCGCGAAGAAGAATAGACTTACCGGTGCCATGTGCTTCAAAGTACCTTGTTTCACCCATGTCCAGTCCAGCTTTCGAATAGGTGTCGCGAATCAAACGCACCTGTGCGTCTTTACTTGGCTGCAGGATTCCAGGGGTCTTGCCATCCTGATTTGAGCTAGACGATCGAATAACAGCTCTAACAGTATCTCCACAAGATACCGCATCATCAAGGCGTTTAATGATTACAGCACCAATACCCTCGCCTCTGGCGTATCCGTTTCCTCTAGTATCGAAGCTAAAGCAGCGGCTGTCGCGAGACAATAACCCAAGGTTGTCGAGACCAATAGTCACCTCCGGCGCCAGAATCACATTGCACCCAATGGCAACACCCTGCATCAGGTCAGTATACTAACACTGATGCGTTGCCAACAGGGGGATTAACCATAGTAGCATCGCCACCCCAAATAGACTGACACGCCAAATCGACCGCCATTAGACTGCTCGAACAAGCAGTATCAATCGTTGCACTAGGGCCTAGCAAGTCAAAGAACCAGCTGATTCGGTTAGCGATCATATTTCGGCCGCTACCAGCAGTGGCACTTTTGGGCACGTTCAGCGGGTCTTTGATCTGGAGCATGTGATAATCATTGCAAAAGGAGCCTGCAAACACACTGGTCTTCGAGCCCGCAATCCGGTCGAGTGGAAGTCCAGCATTTTCTACTGCGCGGTACACCGTTTCCAAAGCCAGGCGTTGCTGAGGATCAATGGCCTTTGCATCGGCCTCGGTCATGCCAAAAAGCGGCGCATCAAAGAGGCCGAGATCCTCTGCCATGAAATGGCCGCCTCGGCAGGAGACGGCATGAAGTCGTTCTCGGTCATCATGACAGTAGGCGTCTATGTTCATTCGATCTGGCGGGAACTCGCGTGAGGCACACCGGCCTTGCATGAGCATATCCCAGAACGCTTCGGGCGATGTTGCATCTTCAGGGAACTTTAGGGACAGACCGATGACAGCGAGAGGAGGGAGTGTCTCTTCATCACGGCCACTGTAAGCCATGCTGTTGAATAACGGCAGATTGAAGACTCTGGGGTCGCTAATGGTCAATCACTGGTTTCTGACATAACCGGACATATGTGGACCCAATCATCAAATACCTAAAAGTGCAACCAGCGACCGTGGCTAGCTTTATCTATCCGCACAGAAAGCGAGGGCATTTCACGAAGAAGCTGTGGATCAAGACACGATGTAACCAGAAGGATTGTCATCAGCTAGTGTCAGGCCAGAAGTCGCATGCTCCTCGACCAGCCATCGAAAATAGTTCTGAAAACCCCCGCCAACAATGCTAATTTTCTTCCAGCGGTTCATATCAACAGGGGTCCAGTCCGAGCAAATCGGCTCATTTATCCGATGACGACCAAATCACCAAATAGCCTGAACCTCGGCATCCGATAGGATCGTAGGATTTGGCGCCAGTACGGAGCAGGTGGATTGTACCTAAGTCTGGGAACGGATGCCCTGCATGCAGCGCACGGCTGATCGGGAGGAACTGTTGGGTCCGATGGTCCAACAAGGAAGTGATCTTCCATTTTCAGACGAATCTTGAAACTTTAATGACTGCCAGAACCCATCAAGATAAAAGGCGCGGTAGCCCAGTTGGCATTATCATCACTGAGAGATCCTTTTCTGGGGTTCTACAAGATGCGCATTCTTTGGTATCGTCGCCTTCAGGCCGGCTTTCAGTCTGTTTTGATGCTGACCGATATAGTCTACATGGAGCAGGCACCAACTCTCGAGTGAGTCTGCGATCGCATCTGTGCGAGCCGAGGAATTGATCTCGATCAGGTATTCGAGATACAGACAGCTGCGATCCGATATGAGCTTGGAGATAACCACGTCTATGATTTTGTTGAAGGAACCGTTCCGGCCAGGATATATCCCGGTACGCAGCAATCCAGCCTTGGGAGGCTCAGCTAAATGTCGCAGGTGTCGAGTTAATTTCCTGGAAGGATGAGCCGATGTACGCGTACTTTGATGATCAAGATCCAGATACTGGCCTTGCGGCCTATCGTCACTTGGAGCAACATCTCTGCGACGAAGGCCCGTACGACGGGGTGATTGCATTTAGTCAGGCAGGGACGATGATCCTAACCTACCTGATTCACCTCGCCAAGAGAGACCCACGGGCAGAGATGCCGTTCAGGTTTGCAATTATCCTGTCTATCACTCACCCGCCGCTTGACTATGAAGCCCTGCAGGAAGGCCGGGTGGAGTGTATAGATCTTCAGAAAGCGGCAGGAATCATCCCGATCCCGTCTGCCCATATTTGGGGCTCGCGGGATGAGGCTGCCAGTAAGGTTGCCACGTCAAATAGTGTCTGCAAAGCTGATGTTAAATGGGTCTATGTCCATAGCCGGGGGCATGAGGTTCCTGGGGCTGGAGCGAAGGATGATGTTACTCACGCAGTCAATATCATTCGCAGAGTAGTTGACAGCGCGGTTAATTAATAGATTGCAACCCCGACTAGTCCTAAGGGACAATTCCATATTAACCAGCATAATAATTTGTATCCGCCAGGAATGCAAGGCCAGGAAGCTTTATCCAACCTAAAAGCAGGCAATTTAAATTTTCATTGCCGTAGTTGTTTGCATCCGGCCAGGAATGTAGAGGCCGGGAAGCTTGTTCGGCGAACTGTGTCGATCACATGTTCCACATCTGCTCTGTAGGTTTTGTCTGGAACACTGGATATCAAATCATGTCGTTAGCGCAGACGAGCTGTGGTAACGTGGCCATCACTATTAAGGTACATCAGTAGACGATATTCAACAGACGATATAGATGATTAGTTACCTCAAGGTCGTCTCGGAACATGGGCGACTCTAATGCGCATACCTCGATACCAGGATCTCACAATCTACCCGCATTGACCTCGAAAATTCCTGAGAGATGTGACATCGACCCCCAAATCGGAGATTTGGAGGACCCTTCGCAGTATCTGCATGGCCTCCGCCTATGGGTAGTAGGCTCTAGGTAAGCAACTCCATCCGACAAAGATACACAATTCAGCACTCTGACAGACTGCAACAGCATCGCGCTGAGTCTCTTCCTGGCCACGGCTGAGATCACGATAATTAGCACATCACTCGTCACTATTGGCGATCACCTAGTGGGGCGCGAACAGGGCACATGGATCATCACATCTTACCTTCTCACTTTCACCGGCTTCCTCGCTAGCTGGGCTAAGTTCAGCGATGTGTTTGGTCTGAGAATAGCCTTGCTCAGCTCCGTGTTCCTGTTTATTGCTTTTTCTGGTGGCTGCGGGGCCGCACAAAACATCGACCAGTTGTCAGTACCCCCTTGAGCAAGATGGTCGTGTCGCTCCTAACCATTAATCAGAATCATATTTCGTGCTCTCCAAGGAATTGGTGGCTCTGGAGCCTTCTCATTGTGCCTGTTTGGTCTGGTCCGCATAGTACCCCCCGAGAGGTTCGATACCGCCAGTGCCGTGGGGTCTGGTGTGCTTACTTTTGCTCTCATCCTGGGGTCATTGATTGGGGGCGGCATTAGCAGTTCTGGTGCTTGGCGTTGGATTTTCCTTTTCAAGTGAGTAATTCAAGGTTTGACCGTCTTGCTCCTAGTGCTGAGTATGGTCAGTGTGCCCGCAGGTGGATTGGCATGGGTTTGTCTATTCCTCATACCGACAAACTTCGCTAGGCGGGATACGGCTCGCAGATCGGGCGGTCATCTCCGTCACGCGCAAAGCCAACTGCGGGAATTTCTAATCCAGGCCGACTCGGTAGGATGCGTGCTTCTCCTGGCATTCTCCATGCTGTTGGTGGCTGCACTCGAGGAAGCCAAGGTTCGGTATGCCTGGTCATCGGGGCTTATCATTGGGCTTTTGACAGGCTCAGGTGTACTTTGCGTAGCCTTCCTCGTCTGGGAGTTGCTCCTCAGCCGAGCGCACATACGCATGGAACCCATGCTCCCATGGCGACTGTTCAAAGACCGAGCATTGGTGGGAATTGTCATGTTGGTGCCTCATTTCCCTGTTCGTTTGCATCTATAATGCCGTCGATTAACCTAGTATCCGCAGAGGGTTCTTCCTGACCGGGCCTGCCGTCACAATTCTGTATATTGAGCTGCCTCAGCGATTCCAAACCGTCAATGGCTATCGTGCAATACAGTCCGGGCTGCGAGTGCTTGCCTTTGGCGTTGGTTCCCCCGTGGGGGCCATTTGCTGCACTATATTGGCTGGCCGACTGCGCACCCCGTTTGTATATCTGACCCTGGTAGGGTCCGTGCTCCAGATCGCGGGGTCATTCCTGCTATCATCCGTGCCCACCACGATCAATGTGTGGCCGGGCCAGTACGGGTACATGGCGATGACAGGGATGGGGACCGGGATCTCGATCGCTGCTCTGTATATGTCTCTTCCGGTAGTGGTCAGCGGACGTGATCTTTGTGAGTTGCTCAACCACTGGCAACCACTGCTTACCATAGACTAACATGTTTAGCAATCGCAATGGGCCTGACGCTCCAGGCGCGCATGCTGGGAGCTTCACTAGGCGTTGCCATTGTCAATAGCATTCTGGTCACTTACGTCAAAGGTCATCTTTCCCCGGCTGACGCTGCAGCGGATCCAAACCATCTCGTCGGTTTTCCCGTGGAAACTCAAGACAGAATCCGTACAGTGTATGCGTCTGGGTATAATCTCCAGATGTATGCTGTGGGGGCATTTGGAGCAGCGCAGTTGTTCGCGGCGGCGTTGATGTGGAAGAAGAACCAAGTCCGGTTTGTCAAGTGAATGGCACCTGACCACGCTTGAACAGGTATTGTTGGACCCCGTAAGAAATCGGTCTGCAATTAAAAAACAGCAACTACAGAGGACATGCACCTCGTGTACTAAATATTGTCCTAAAGACCACGCTTGATCCAGATTGGTCTAAACTATCCTGTCTCATGATCCCATCGTGTACATTAACTCTGAACTCGATGAGGGGATAGTGAAGTGGATGGACACGCAGTCTATTCTATTATTGCCAGATATTTAGAAACACGACAGATACTCAACAAATCAGCATCGCGTCATTGAGCCACTCCTCCCTCCCGCAACGCCCAGCGCACTAGCGCCGCGATATCACTCGTGACAGTAGCTGTGCGAGGAATCTCATGGCCGCCTCCATGATTGTACATTCTCCGTTTCGCAGGGTCGCAGGCCTGCGACAACTGGATGCCGGCAGAAGAGCGCGGGTCCTTGCCTCCATATATATGCACCGTCGGGATATTGATCAGAACGTCCGAGGGCTTGATCTCAGCTCGGACATCAGCCTCGGGCTCACTGTACACATTGCCTGCGCCCCAGCGAGCCGCGCCCTGTGACAGAATCGCGGAAGCATCTGCCTGTGCGGCGAGGGCCTTCCGCGTCACGATATCCTTCTCCCAAACCTGCGGGGCAATCTCGTATCCCACCTTCTCCATAATGTGTATCGGGACTCCAGCGCAGATGAAGATGGCGGCTTTGAATGGTAGCGGACGGTCCGGTTCCTCAAACAGGTCCATCAGAGCGGCAGTTGATCCCAGGGCGCATCCCTGCGAGAACATCATGAGAGCATCGTAGGGGCCATTGGTTTGCAGGTAATTCTTGAGCCAGTTGCGACTGGTCAGGACTTCTTCGATTGCGTCGTTTTCCCAGAAGGAATAGAAAGGAGGCGGGTAGAACAGATCAACCCCGGGAGCGGGCGTCGACTCATAGATTCCGTCGACGAATTCGAATTTGATGTTTAGATCGGATAGTCGCGATCGTATCGACGCTGGAGGGGCATCTAGGTCAGCCCTCTGGATTGAAGCAACAACCGATCCGATCACTAACTTGTCTGCGACTCGAAGATGGCGGCACTGGTGCCTTTCCCATGAAGGCAGAGGATCCTCATCCTGACTGATCTTTTGTGCGGATGGGATAGTCGGAGATGGGAGGTCAGGAGGAAGATGAAGATGCAAGGAGGGGCACCTCCCCGGTAGTCGCCCCCACTGCCGGCGCAAATGTCGGCGACATAAGCAAGCCTCGACAGCACGTGTCACCGTCCATGCCGGCGGAGTTCGGGGTATCTCGACCTGCGTTGTTCACGGCCATAATACATGTATCTATACAATAATGGCAGTGCTCCAAACTGCCCTCAACAGTATCTATATTCTAGATCCGATCCACTGCGGGGCATGAATGCGTTAGGACCGGACTGTGTGACACGACCATGCACTAACAATGGGAAAGGCAGAACAGAGGGGCAGCCTTTGCAGGGCCGTAAGGCAAAGGCTGGTGGCCATCTTGTACACAGTATAGTTGAATCTCGTAAAGAGGCAGATGCAGGTTGGCCAGTAAGGAGTTTATCCACGGTTCTGACCGCTATGCGTTCGATACATTCGGAAATCGGTGGCTTGAAGAACAGAAACAGGTTTCCTTCACTAAGAGGTAGCCGCTTAAGAATTTATCAGTCAGTTTGGTAGATCCTGGGACCTCTGCAAGGCAATAGTGACGGTCTTTCAGTAGATCCCGGTCTTGTATTTCTCCGCTGGATGTTATGCAATCTTCATATTCTTGTACGCATAAGTAAGAGCATGTCAGTGACAACTCATGACAAGGATGAATATGGCAGATGCCCGGAAATGAATACCGTACTTGGCTATTGCACAGATTCAAGCTGCAATGGCTCCTGTATTGCAACAAGTTGTTTTCACCAAGAGTCGGAACTCCAGTGCAATGAGATGGCACATCCACCAATCAGTAGCCGCCCCGCACTCCGCGGCCAAAAATTCTCCAGCGGAACTCGCGAAGCTGCCGCAACCGTCCTCTCATAGCATTGACACTCAACTTGACCAACCCACTCCTCTACAACCGCAAGTCGCAAATTATTCGCATCATCATGGTCGGCCCTACTGCCTCTCTCTCCCCCCTGGTCCGCGCCGACGGCTCAGCCTCCTACCAGTGTCCCTCCACGGGATCCAACATTCTCGGATCCGTCAACGCGCCTGTCGAGCTCCCCGGACGCCGTGACGCCCTGAAGCCGGAGGATGCCACCGTGGAAGTGTTCGTCAAGCCGGGAACTGCCCCCGCTAGTGTGGGTGAGCGCTATGTGGAGGGCATCATCCGAGGGGTTGTTGGAAGATTGATCTTGGGGAGAGAACGGGGCTACCAGCGTCGCGGCGTCGTGATTACGCTCGCCATTGTCGGCGGTGAAAACGTCAGCAGAGGAGACTCGGTGAGTACTTGTTGCTGTTTGGATAACGGCGTTCTGCGTGGAAAGGCTAACGTGGTCTGACTAGTATCTAACTCTCCTGCCCGCCCTCCTCCATACCGCACTTTTGGCTTTGCTGTCAGCCTCCGTCCCCCTGTCCATGACTTTTTCCGCGACCGTCTTATCTGTCGACGCTGCTGGAAAAATCACCCGCGAGCCATCCGCAGAGGACGCCGCCGCTGCGAAGTCCCTTCACGTCCTCGCATTCTCGTCTAAGGGTCATCTCCTGTTGAACGAGAGCCAAGGGGCTTTCGACTTCGACACCTGGGAAAGGGTTCGCGAGCGCGCGTCGGCGATCTGTCACGGAACCTCTGTGGGCGAGGATGGAGACGTTGCCATGGTTGAGAGTGCAGATGGCCAGCCTTTGGAGGGCACTATCCGGGAGACTGTTGAAGACCAGGTCCACCGGGATTACTCCTGGAAGATCGACGCTGCGTGATCACTCCCTGTACATCACGACACAATCTCTAGTCGTGACGCACGGCTACGTCCCGAGCGCTCAGTGGTGCTCACAGCCGTCCGTCGTGGCTATCTCCGGGCGGCTTTCACGGTGTACTACCTATGCCGCCACCTCGGCATTTTGGGAGGTCTCGAAAGTACCAACCCGGCCCAGATACTGTTGGTGTGCACGGGACTTTCTTGGCGCGCGTAGGATGATGGTTCTACGGCATTCCACTGGCGGATACGACGGATAACATGGGAAGGATCTCATCTCCAAATCCCAAGCCAATGACTGGTCCAGGGCAAGGGACGTGCGCGATGGGAGTCGACATCTCAGACGAGCTCCTGACGGAGACATTCCGGCGTTAAGGTCGGCGTCCAGTAAACCACATGGGGTATGGGGCACTATAGCGGATAGGATATTAATAGACGTGACTTGTTAGGGAGAAATGCATGTGGTGTCGGATAGGATCATGGATCCCGTCATATAAACAGGGAACAATTGCGCGGATTCCGTACTTTGTCTTCACTTCGTAGTCGGCAGTTGCCAGTTCGCGCCCGCAGTTCTCGTCCCTGATCGCAATCCTATTCATGCATCAATAAGGGGATGGAGGATTGACAAGATCACCGCGGCCTGGAGGAAAGTAGCGCCCCCTTACACATGGCTCAATGGTGTGGAAAGTGGGCACTGCCGCACTGGAAGTGTACGGATGCTCCGTAATGATACGTGCCTGTCGTGACGTGACAAGCCTCCATCTGGCGGCATCTGCAGGATGAAGAATGTGGGCGACTAGCCGGCCAGTCGGTAAATCTGAGTCCCCTTTTTGGAGGCAGGCAGGCATTCCTGTGCAGCGATCCTGTCCATCCCATCCATTTTATCCATCCTATCCATCCTGTCCATCCTGTCCATCCTCCCAAGTCCATGCGTCCCCACCCCCCATTGATCCTCTGCGGTGATATTGATCCTCCATCCACGGGGTGTGTGTGGTGCGGAGTTAGCAACCGCGCCGTCTGAGGGGGCCCTCCACACAGTCCACTCTCGATGACGGTCGCTGGCTCGGTGGAAGCCTATCGAAGGACCGTCCAGCCAATGGTGACGCCGGGGCCGTCCGCCTAACCCCGATACATCCGAATTCGGCTTGCGGCCCGTTCTCAATCCCCCGGCGTTTTTCCCTTCCGTCCCCATCCATGATCAATCATCAATCATCAATCATCATTGACATCCACGCTCCCTTTTCCTGTTCCCCCCCCCCCCTCCCCCCTCTCACGGAGCCAAGAGAGCCAACCACATCCTGCATTGCACCGGTTGCTCGCTCCATCTCATTAATCATCATCTATATATTTGCCCATGGCGTCCTCCCCGCCCTCTCCTGCCTCCGTGAACCCTTCATCCGAGTCGCCGCCCTCTGCTTCACCATCATCTGCGCCGCCCTCCGCAGCCCCACCGCTATCAGATTGTCCGGCTCGCCCTCCTCCTCCCCTTCGCTCGGCCACCGTGGGAGCGTCGCTCCTCCGCGATTATGCCTCGCACATAGATCCTTCCCAGCCCACCACCGAGATTCGCGGGTGTGCTCCCTCTCCCAGCCCCTCCGACACGCAGTCTCCCCGGGGGGCCGCCGCTGTCCCACCCACGCCGCCTCCCTCCAACCGGCCGCTTCGTCAGACAGCCTCCCTGACGGGCCACCAACGGAACGCCTTATCCAGCGACTCGATCCCTCGCCAGACTCTCCTCAAGGCCCTCGCGTCGCGCCCGTCTATGTGCAGCCAAAACCCTAACATGCCGCTGGCGGCCTCGCTGAGGCTGTTCAACCCGAGCTCCAGTTCCCCCGATGAAACAGAGCGTCGCTCGAGCAGCGCCTCGTCGCAGATGCTGTCCGCGGCCCTCTCCAATATCCAACTAGGCACGTATCTCGACCGCGCGCCCGCCACGGCACGGCTGATCATGCAATCCCCATGCTTCTTCCATCAGCGGTTCGACGATGCGGTAAATATCCAGAAGGTCCTCGAGGAAATCGCGGATGATGAATGGCTGTCACATTCCCGGCTGGTCCAAACTGCGACCGGTGTCCGCGAAGTGTCGAAGCAATTACAGCGGCGCCCCATCAAGCGCGCGGTCAAAACGGTCATGATTGTCACCAAGGCGCGCGACAACAGTCTGGTGCATCTCACCCGGGAACTGGCGGAATGGCTCCTCTCCACCCCTCGCTACGGGAATGAAGTCGGCGTCAATGTCTACGTTGATGCCAAGCTCCGAAACTCGAAGCGGTTCGACGCACAAGGACTCCTGGGGAAAGACCCCCGGTTCGCCGACATGCTACACTACTGGACGCCCGATCTGTGCTGGACGGCGCCCGAGAAATTCGACCTGGTCTTGACCCTCGGGGGCGACGGAACGGTGCTTTTCACTTCGTGGCTTTTCCAACGCATCGTCCCGCCCGTCCTCTGCTTCTCCCTAGGCAGTCTGGGGTTCCTGACCAACTTCGAGTTCGAGAGCTACAAGTCCCACTTGAACGCGGTGATGGGCGATGTGGGGATGCGGGTGAATCTGCGGATGCGGTTCACCTGTACGGTGTTCCGCAAAGACCGGAGCAAGGGCGCCGAAGCGGGCGCCGTCGAGGAAGGCGAGCAGTTCGAGGTTTTGAACGAATTGGTCATCGATCGAGGGCCGTCGCCTTATGTCTCCAATCTGGAATTATATGCCGACAACGACCTCCTCACCGTGGTCCAAGCGGACGGATGCATCTTCTCTACTCCCACAGGTATGTGGCTTATACCGACCGATTGAATTTAATTACCGACTGACACGTGCGCCAGGTTCCACGGCATACTCCCTCTCCGCCGGCGGGTCTTTAATCCACCCCTCCATCCCGGGGATTCTCCTCACCCCGATCTGTCCCCATACCCTGTCCTTCCGCCCCATGGTCCTCTCCGACACTCTCCTGCTTCGCATTGCTGTCCCGCATGGGTCTCGTTCAACCGCGTACTGCTCGTTCGACGGGAAGGGTCGCGTGGAACTGCGGCAAGGCGACTACGTGACCGTTGAGGCGAGTCAATACCCGTTCCCGACCGTGGTCGCCGGCAGCGGGGAGTGGTTCCAGAGCGTGCAGCGCGCGCTGCGATGGAACACGCGCGGCGCGGTTCAAAAAAGCTGGCATAGCGGCTCCGACGCCGGCCTCGAGCCGACGGAGGAGGACGAGGTCGGGGAATGGGACATCGATACTGATGCCGGGCTCGCCGGGACAGACAGCGGTCTAGGGCCCAGCGAGGACGGCGACACGGGGTCCATCAGTCCGCTGAAGCGGCAGATGAGCATGTTCAGCACGTAGTCGCCCTTCATTCACCATTCACCATTTATTACTTTGTTCTTCTCTTGCTTCTTTCGGCCTGTTTAACTTGGGGGTCCGGCGCACTGGATTGGCGCAGGGCACACGCTACACTTTGCTTCAGGGAGCGTCGGGTTTGGATAAGCGATGCCTGATAGACCTGGGATATTCTCTAGACAAGGCTACATCTATTTCGATTTCGGGTGGGGGAGGGGGGGGTTTGGCCCGTGATGCTGGCATTTGACGGGTTGGGTTGAAGCTTATATAGCTACTTATTATAGCTGGTGATAGAATAGATACTGGATGGGATGGGATGGTATGGTATTATCATGACTGTCGGTAGTATATCATACCATGTCCATCCACCCTTCCTCGCTCCGAAGTCTATCAATCGCCCCTATCCCTCTTCATATCCTCCATCACTCTATAACCCCTCTCCTTCCATTTCATTTAACGTTTCCAAATTGTTGTTTTCACCTTACCAATCACAACACTCGCTCAACACCTGCGCCAACTCCTCGAGATACTTCTTGTCCACCTCATCGAAACCCTCCGGCTCCGCGCAGTCCACGTCGATGATCGCGACCGTCTATCCCCCACAGTAAAAAAAAAGAAACACATTAGCCAACTGACAAACACTTCCCAACTCTCATCCCCACCACCAAAAAGAAAGATCATGATCACATCACTCTCATCCCCAGTACCCGAAGGAAAGAAAATTATCACACACTCACCTCCCCATTAAACAGAATCGGAACGACAATCTCACTCCGACTACTCGCATCACAAGAAATATGGCCAGGGAACTTCTCGACGTCGGGCACGAGCAGTGTCTCGCGGTTCTGCGCCGCGGTGCCGCACACGCCGCGTCCGAAGCGGATTTCTTGGCAGGCGGGACGGCCTTGGAAGGGGCCGAGGAGGAGGTTGGGTTTGCTGGCGCTGTCGGTGCTGGATGTGCTGGATGTGGTGGTGGTGGTGGTGCTGGGACGGGGGAACTTGTCCTGGCGGATGTAGAAGCCAGCCCAGTTTACGGAGGCGGAGGGCGCGGGGAGGGAGGCGTAGGCGTGCCAGAGGAGGGAGGCGATGTTGGAGAAGTTGCTTTTGTTTAATTATGATGGGTAAATGTATCAGAGAGGTGGGGGGAGGGGGGGAGGGGGCGATGTACCTGACCTGTTGATGAGGGATGGGGGAGTTAGCTACTATCTATCTATCTATCTAGCTAGCATGGGGAATGAAAGGGAGGAAATACCCAGTTCCGCTGTCCATAGCACAAGCCCTGAGCTTGTTCAATCAGCTGGGTATAGACTTCTGCTTTATCGCCATTGGCGGAGGCGAAGTAGGAGGAGTCTGCGTGAGGCTTTTTTTTTTTCGCGGTTAGTGTGGAGTTCGGAATGCGCTCGGCTGACTGCAGAGGGGAGAGGTTTGAAAGTGGGGGGAGATAAGGGAATCGCGGTACCATGGTGAGAATGCGCTGTTGCTCAGCTGGGCTGGGGTGAAGCAATTGATGTGGTGGAGGGGAGGAAACCGACAGGGGAGAGTGGTGGTGGTGGGAGATGATGCTGGCGATGACGCGAAGGCGCGAAGCGATGGGATAAAAAAAAGTGGGGGTTGCGGGGAAGCGGAACCAATGATTATCATCTGTGTATACGGTATGGCTTGTCAGGGTCCATTACTTTCATTACCTATCTACTGATGGCATGATATCTATACCTATCTTTGTCTATCAATTTTGACGATAATGGGTGACTACTTACTACTACTCACTCGTTGTCTGGCGGTGGGGTGCATCGCATGCAACTACTCTTTAGGGCAAGCCGATAAGCAGAGGCAGCCTGAGGTTGACGGCCGGCTAAGGTTAGCAGCAAACTATCTCCCCGGACAATGAATCCTCTCCCTCTTCCTTCCTCTCCCTCTCTCTCCAGGCACGCGTCCTCGTCTTGACTGTCGGCTCAGCTCACCATGCATTCCCTCATTCTCACCCTGTCTCTCTTCCTCCTCTCCGCTCTAGCCAGGGACATCGTCTTCCCTCCCATCGCAGCAATCCCCAATCCCTCAACCCAGTACCCTCTGGGCCATGAAAGCACTATTGACATCACTACCGGCAGCCAATTCTCCGGCCTGACCACCTTTGCGAACCTCCCCTACGTTAATTGCTTCATTGAAGATGACTCCCCGTTGAACAGCTACGACATTGCCTTCATCGGTGCTCCTTTTGACACAGTATACCCCCTTCCCCTCGTCCCCTCAGCCTATATACCATGCCCCTAACAAAGACAGGCCGTCACCGGACGTCCCGGCGCGCGCTTCGGCCCCAAAGGCATCCGCCTCGGCTCGCGGCGTCTGGGCGGATGGAGCGTCTACACGGGCGAGAATGTGCTGGCCAGCTGGGCCAAGGTGATCGACTGCGGCGATGCACCGCTCACCTGGCTGGACAACACTGTTGCGTTGAAGCAGCTGGATCTAGCTCACAAGGTATGTCTCTCGCTCAGCTACATCAGCGCAGACAAGACTAAGCGTAAAAGGTCGTCTCCTCCCGTCGAGCCAACGCCACCGATCGAGGCCAGTTCCCGCGCATCATTACTCTCGGCGGAGACCATACCACGACTTTGTCGGCGTTGAGGTCGACGTATGAGAAATGGGGGCCCGTTTCGGTGATTCATTTTGATAGTCATATTGGTATTTTCTCACGCTAAAGGTTGAGGATATGGAAAGAGCGCTAATCAGGGGACTCGCAGATACATGGGATCCAGAAGTGCTCGGTACGTACACCCTTCTTTCACACACATCCATCCACTACACCCAACACCTCCTTCGAGATAATAACTAACACAACGCAGGCGGCGGAATCTCGCACTACGCGTACGCCTCTCCCCATCCATCCCATCCCCACCCCAAACAAACAAAACCAACTCACAAACCAACCCATTAACCAACCCAGCGGCGTCAACCACGGCACATTCCTCCATCTCGCCCACGAAGAAGTATCTCTCCTCCCACCACCCCCTCCTTCTCTTCCCAACCTACAAACTAACCCAAAACAACAGGGCCTAATCCACAACACCTCCATCCACGTCGGCATCCGCGCCCCCTGGAGCGCGCAAAAGGCGACATCCGCAACGACCTGCGCTGCGGATTCGAGATTATCACCGCCCGCGACATCGACCGCATCGGCATCTCCGGCATCATAGACCAGATCAAGGCCCGGGTGGGCGAGAGTAACGTCTATATTTCGATTGATATCGATGTCCTGGATCCGGCGTTTGCGCCTGGTACGTATCCTCTTCTCCTTTCCCACCCCACATTTATCCTCGTGCATTGTATTCTTCTTTTTTTCTCTTCCCTATTCAAACCAGAATAGACGGGGAGTGGGGACATGCTGTATCGTATATCCCGGACATGACATGATATTATGTCTGAGGAATTTATGGTGGGATGTTGAAGTTGAAGGTGACGTTTGCTAACCATGTGTTTTTTTAACATGAAAGCAACCGGCACCGCCGAACCAGGCGGCTTCTCGACGCGCGAGCTGCTGAGCATCGTGGATGGATTGAGAGGATTACCCGTCGTCGGGGCCGACGTGGTCGAGGTGGCGCCTGTCTACGATAGCGTGGGGGAGACGACGACGCTGGCGGCGGCGGAAGTGGCGAATTCGTTGGTTGGGTTGATGGTTGCGAGGGCGGTGGGGGATGGTATCACTGAGTGAGTGAGTATTGAGTATGAGGATCTAGGGCTGAGTATGAGTATGAGGACTGAGTATTGACTATGAGTATTAGGACTAGGACTGGTGATGATCTGCAGGTGGATTTTATTAGTAGTATGGTAGATGGACGATAATACGGTGTGGTGTAGCTGGGATGCATGGATGGATGATATTATGATTTATGGTGGAACTTGTCAGTTGTCATGGACGGACGGATGGTGGTGTACGGATGGGGAGCAGCTAGATGGCGTTCTAAATGAGTGTACGAAGTATCAGATTAATGTGAAACAATAAAGTATCGATCATCATCATCATCATAAAGATAAGTAGCAGATCGTGCTTAGATTACGTTACCTTACCTATCTATATCTATCCCCTTTTCTCGATTAATCCCATCCCTCCCTTCTCCCCATTCCTATTCCCATATTCCTCCCCCTCCCCATCAACCCCCACAAACATCCCCTCACTCACACCGAAACACATCTTCCCACCCCCAGTAATATCCCCACCCCCGGGCCCCGTAAAATGCTTCCGACCCGTAACGACCCACGTCCCCAGACTAATCAGCCCGATAACGCCAATCGCAGCAGAGGTATAGTTCATGGAGTCTTTGGTGACGGGGTAGGTGCTGGGGAGGTTGAAGGTGATGGAGGCGAAGAGCAAGAACAGCAGGCCGAGGACGTTCAGCATGATGGATGTCCCCGGGGGGAGGGAGAATGAGCCCGTCAGGGTGCGGTGATGGTTCGTTATATATCCGAGGAGGCGGGAGGAGAGGGCCATTGCGTAGGAGAGGTCTGTGGGTTGGGGTGTTAGGTTGGTGGTGATGGAGGGGTGGTGATGGAGGGGTGGTGAGGGGGGTTTTGTGAGGGGGGAGGGGGTGTGGATAGGGGTATGGGTAGAGGTAGGGTCATGGGTAGGGGTAAAAAGGCTTGAAGAACGTACAGAATCCCTCGGTAGAGATGGCAATGACGGTCTCAAATCCAGTAGAAGTACCAAAGTCAATCGCGTCTAGGGCTAACTGGACGACCAAGGTGAGGATGATGGCGTTGACGGGAACCTGGCGTTTCTTGTCAACCTTCGCGAGGAACTGGCTGAAAGGGAGGCCGTTGTCGCGGGCGAAGGCATAAACGCAGCGGGACCCCTCCGCCAGGATGTTATTTCCAGCCACGATGACGATGACGGCGATCATGCTGGCGAGGATGCAGGCGGCGGCTTTGCTGCCGGTGGAGTCATAGAAGATCTGGATGACGGGGACACCGGTGGCGGAGTCGGCGGTGGCAGTGATGTCTCCGATGCAGAAGCAGAGCACGAGGAGGAAGGCAAAGCCGGTGATGGCGCCGAGGACGACGGAGAGGATGATGGCTTGAGGGGCTTGTTTGGAGGCAGATTTCATCTCCTCCGTCATGTGGGCCGGGGCGTCGTAGCAGCACATGCCAAAGCAGGCTTGCAGGATGCCGATGATGGCGGCCATGGCGCGGTCCCAGCCGGTGAAGTTCTGGAAGTCGACGAATACGAAGGACGCGGATTGTTTGTGGTCGTTTGTGGCGAGCAGCACGACGACGGTGATGAGGAAGGAGCCGATGTTCCAGATCAGGATGAACCGGGCGATGCGGTTCAGCAGGTGGGGGCCCCAGATATTGATGCCGGCGGCAAGGATAGCCACCAGGTAGGCGACGAGGACGGTTTGCCACCGTTGGATCTCGTAGGACGGGAAGACGAGGTTGGCCATTCCGAGCACGAATTGCGCGGCAATGGAGTTGTTGGTTGCGCCCATTGCGAGAAGACCTGGCTGCGTGAGTGGTGTGTGAGGGACATGGTGGAAGACCACAGCGCGAACAGGGGAACTCCCCGCCTGGTCTTCCGGGAAGATTACCGATAGTCAACAGGACCTACCGATTAACATGAACCAGCCTGTGATGTAGGATAGCTCGCGGGCGAAACGTGGGGGTGCCAGGGCCGCCACCCAGCTGTATTGGCCTCCGGCCACCGGGTACATGGAACACATTTCGGCCATGGGGATGGCCACGGCAAGGGTGAGGAGGCTGACGCCAATGAAGCTGAATACCATGACAGGTGGACCGCCGGAGGTGACTCCGACGGTGAAGACGCCCGCGAGAGCAGTCCACCTAGATAGGGTTAGCTGTGTGCTAATGTTGGAAGAGACGGACGAGACATACGATGTGACCACACTGAAGCTGAATCCAATCATACCCAGGAGACCGAAGGACCGTTTGAGCTCTGCAGGAGTCAGCGCGCTCTTTGGGGACAGTAGTTCACATACCCTGCTCATAGCCCAGATGTTCCAGCCGAACATCTTCGCCAGCCGTAGAGGGGCCGACGGGCTGAATCTCGTCTTCAGAGATCGTCATTATTGAAATGTAGGTGAGTAGATTGGAGACGAGTCACTTGACTCATTAAACCTGCCATGGGTATTTATTGGCATCAATGGCAGGTAACTTCCATAAGGGCTGTCGAGCCAAGGCGTTTGATATCAGGGCGATAAGATAAGTGAGTGAGGGTTGCCGGATCGAGAAGGTCTGCGCGATGGCCGGTGGAGCCCAGGAGACGAGCGAGGATCTTTGCCCGTCATGAAGATGTGTCATCGTGCCCTGGTTCAGTCGGGATGATAAGCTTATCAGGGTATCCGGATGGGAGTGCTGGTGAATAATCCCTTGGAGAGATGTGACTGTGGTGGTGGTTGTTCGGGAGAAAGAAGACCGGAGGAGAGGGAGAAAGAAAGAAGAAACCGGCCAGGGACCAGCCCCGCCATGTGACTTCGGCCCTCTCCCTCAGGCTCTCTTCAGGCTCTCTTCAGGCTCTTCTCTTGCTTCTCTTGATTGTTCCTCATCTCTTCGGTTGATAACTCTCACTCATCCGAGGGCCATGTCCCAAGCCCACCAGCCAGCGGGAACTTGAGGGTCACACATGGTCAGACCTGGAATTGGAAACTGAAACGTCTAGACAGATGACAGCCTGGATGTTAAGTGAGTTTGCAACCCATTATTCCAAGGTGATGAGAGAGTAATGAACCGTCCCACCCAGATTCTCGATCCGATGCCCGTCCCCGCAATATATATCTACCCATCCAGAAGATACACACCCCACCAAGCAGAAAAGAAACCACGACATCTTAACTACATACAACCCACTATATCCTCTAAGTCCAAACAAGCCTCCTCCGCCAAACATCCTCCATCGCTATACGCAATACGACAGACACCATGGAAATAACCACCCTCTCCCCTGAATCCGTCGTCCATCCCCACAATCCCCCTTAGCGGCCGTCCCGAATACGCAAATACGACGGCATCCGACTGGCCCAAAGTATACCCGGTGGATAGTGCCATAGTTTCATCCACAGGCACCCGCGAAGCGAACACTCGATACGAAGTATAGCTGCTGGATACGACGTCCTTAGACTACTGTTCTCGATTATGGCAACCGACATAGCCCATTATTTCCGCTATAAATGCAACCAACTCCCGGTCTAACCTGACCCCAACAACTATCATCACCCATTCATCCATCCATTCAATCGTCCAAACAACCATCTATTTATCCATCCATCCACTCAACTAAACAACAAAAACAACCACAACAAAACCAAGCATGCACTCCCCACCCACCAAAACATGCCTCATAACTGGCGGCGCCAGCGGCCTAGGCAAAGCCATCGCAACCCGATTCTTCACCGCAGGCATGAACGTAATCATCTGCGACATCAACGAATCACGGCTCCAACAGACCTCTCTCGACCTCGCCGGCCCCACCGGCAGTCCTCGCCTGAAGACCATCAAAACCGACATCACGGGCGCCAGCGAAGTACAGACCCTATTCGAGACGATCACCGCGGAGTTCCACCACCTCGACATCCTAGTCAACAACGCGGGGATCATGGACCGGTTCGACCCCGTCGGCGATCTCGACGAGGGCCTATGGGACAAAGTGCTGGCGGTGAACCTGACCGCGCCGTTTCTGCTAAGCAAACTCGCCGTGAAGAGCATGTTGGGCAGGGAGGTGGTCGACGGGTGCATTTTGAATATTGTATCCACGGCGGGGAAGGCGGGATTTCTTGCTGGTTTGCGTTCCTTTCCCTTTCCCTCCTCCCTTTCATATTTCTCTCCAGGATGACGTATAATATGTTATGTACACCCTGGTAATCGAGGACCGTAAACTGATGATTGATGTATACAGGCGCAGCCTACACAGCCAGCAAACACGGCCTGGTCGGCCTCACCAAGAACACGGCGTCGTTCTACGGCGCGAAAGGCATCCGGTGCAATGCGCTGATGATGGGCGGGATGATGACGAATATCACGGATGCGTTCACGGCGGATACCAACCTCGAGGGGCGGGACAAGATGATGCAGTTCCTGGGGGCCGCGAAGGCGCCACTGGTTGATGTCGACCAGGTGGCCGAGCTGTGTTTCTCCGTGGCGTGTGGGCCCGGGTCCAGGCTGCTGAATGGGACGTGTATTCCGGTTGATCATGGGTTGGCGGGGTTATTGGGGTGAGCGGTCCGGATTCCTGGCTTAATTAATATTTCGCTGTTGCTTTCGTTGTATATACTTCTGCCTTGGGCTTATAAGTGATGGATGGGTTGGATGTGACTGGTTTATATGATGGTGTAGTGTAGTATAGGATTGCCTCCAGTGCAGTACAGAATAGACATGTCACGGCAGTGCGGAGGTGAAGCACTACTTACTTACTTATTTATATATTACCTTGACATCAAGAAAATATATCCCCCCCCAACCCCTCCTCATTGGCGTGATGAAATGTAATCATTGTGCATTGTGCATTGTGCCTATCTACGTGTTCTACCTGTATATATATATATATAGCCCATTTCACCTGTGTACAGTAGCGACGTGTAGTATTCTACCCAAGCTATCTAGACCCGTTGAATTTTGATTCTGATATTCATGTTGATGTTGATGGACATAAGTACTACTAGTTCATAGTTTAGTAATAAGAAGTAGTATGACAAATGAACATTACGAGGTTCGATTTAGTTTATTGGTATTCTGTTTCTATTTCCATTTCTAGGTGGGTACTAGGAAGGGCAGAGGAGAAGAGATGAGATGAAATGATGTTGGAGATATCTATTTACTTATCTGCCTATCTGCCTACCTACCTACCTATTTAAAATTATATATAGGACGGCGAGGTAAGTGCCTTATCTATATCTATTCATTCTCGCCCCTGCGCTGTAGTCATGTAGTCAATATCCTTGCAGCCAGAATTAGCAGTCTATATCCACACTAGACAGGAATACTATTTCCTATCTCCTATCCCACGGCACAGCGCACATACAACACACATCCCTTCCAGCACACAGATATTTATCACACCTCTACAATACCGTGAGTGGGTGTGGGTGTTATTTCCACCGAACCATCCCGCACGTGCGTGCACAGGGTTACATACTGTTCAGGCGTGGCTGAGACAATCGTGGCTGAGACAATCAGACAAAAAAAAAACTGACTCACCTCCTCACCGTGTTGGACTCGACTTGCAGTGAGGGAAGTCAAGTCAAGTCGAGGCGAGACGAGCCGAGACGCCATTTCGCGGACGGGAAGTGGTTATTGAAATGAGACTTTGTGGCTGTCTGAAGCGGGATTGGCGGATTGATGTGGATATACCTAGGAATGAGTGTGGCCAGGTGTTGGTAGTCATTTATAGTCCCTAGGCTGGATGGAGCGTGGTGGTTGGAAGGGCAATGGACACCGCGGCCTGCGGGGTGGTGCGAGTGCGAGTCTCAATGGGCGTTCTGGAATCATCAATATATCACCAAGTATAGCTGGTGACAGCTACACCAACACCAACACCCAAAGCAAAAGAAAGACAAGTGATCGGCTTTAGCACGGTCCTGCGCTAGCCGGCTGCTCGAGCCTGCATCTATCCCACGCCACGCCGCACCGCATTCCTTGGCTTCGAGTCGACTCGGCTAGAACTGGACCGATTCCAAGCGCAGCCAGCGGCACACAGATGATTATGAGCGCCAGACGAATGATTGGCCGTAGATAGGTGGCCGAGGATACCCAAGAAGCAGGGCTCATGGCTGTTGAAAATATCACCTCCAGTCTAGATGCCATCTGATGCCGGTATATCACATTTAATCTACCGGACCCGAAATTTGGTGATGGAACGAAACGAGACTCATGCAGTGTCGATCCAGACTTGCCACGCACGGCCAGACCGATCCGATTGAGCCAGGCCAGTGAGGAATTTAGCCTATACGGATATCCACCATACTCCGCCTCCACGTTCCAGCCTCAAAATGACTCAAAATAGATGAGCGAGGTCCAGAGCCGGCCTGGGTGCACATTGCATTCCCGGCTGCACGCGCACAGACGCGGCCCTGGCAGCTCTGATGGCGGCTCCTGCAGCCACGGTTGGATGCCACTGTGCCGGTGCGTGGATGGGTGGTGGAGCGGTCTTTCCAACAGATGTATCCTGGGAGAGTTCAGTCACACGTCGCATCATTCGCGCAGGAGGGCTGGCCCGCGCGCGCGAATGTGCCGTAGCTGTAGGTAGCTGTAACCAGTCGTCGGGGTGCATTTCCGAGCCGTGGCAGGAACGAAACCGACTACGGCTGAATTGGCAGCGCGAAGTCTATATCGGAGGACAGATCCAGAGTACAGACAGGGTGGACGATGTAGCACGGGATCCGGTGTCTTGGATGCGATGCGCACACTGCCTGCATAGCCTCGCTCTAGTTAGCTGCTAAAATTCGGACAAGGCACCAGAGGGCCAGAGAGTGGGAGGGAGGTGTGACGGGGAGCGAGTGATGGTGGGAAGGGAAGCACACACCGAGTCGGTTTTGCAGGGGTTGTTCCAGTCACAGTGGGTGATGGCACTGATGGCGTTGGTGACGCGTGATTGATTTTGCGTCCGAGTCATCACCAGTCCATCCGTAAATGGGCTGCTCGTTCGAGGTCCGCCGGCTAATCAGCTCGAGTCGATCTCCCGGAGTCAACGTTGCATCTGACGAAGCCCCCCTCCCAGGCTGCGAGATGTCTTTCGTCAGGGTCATGTCCGATCTATCTATGCTGGTGCCTGCGCCTGCGCCTACGCCTGGCGGAGAGGCTTTATCCGCCCGGGCGGATCCAGCTTCCACGATCCGGCGTAACTGGGAGAGTGTTGGGTGGAAGATGGTCAGAGGCGACGGGGGAATTCCGAGGGCGCGTTTCATGGTTCCTGGTTCCCGTTTGCCCGTCCGGGATGGCAGATAACATCCCCGCATCCACCGACGTCGATGGCCTCATGTGGAATTGAGATCCCACCATGACGATTGGATAGCTGGAGGAGAATAGGAACGGGCCCAAGCAGGCGCCAGTAACCAGGGTGAGAGGGTGTGGGAGAGTGTGATGGAGGGGAGTCTAAGCATGTCGTCTGATCGCCCCTCGCCCGCTGGATGACGCTGCCACCCTCACCTTCCTGATACTGACTGGCACTATTTCTGAATTCGCCGACGTTGGACCGGGATAGCAGCCATCCCACCCTCCACGATGCCTTCCTCCCTCCTGGCCTGGATCGGTCGAAACTCTCCGCTGAAAGGATGAAGGATGCAAAAAAAAAAAAGGTCCAGCCCTAGTGCGCGCCTCTCCACACTGTTTCGCGATGGATGGTCAAGGCTCCGTATCACCGGCGGCGCTGCAGATCGACGGTGCGTACAGCGTCGGCGGGGTGTCGCGATGACTCGCAGCTGGCCTCCCCCACCACCAGCAGCTAGTGTTGCCTACCCCTCCTGCCGTCCATCCATCCACAGCCCATCGCCCAGAGGGCCCGGCGGGCAAGTCGCAGCGATCACCCGTGGCTTTGTCGGCTCCCTTCTCATTGTGTAGTCCGCCTGTTATTATTATTATTATTGTTATTGTTATTATTGTTATTGTTGTTGTTGATGATGGGATTGTTGCTCGCGAGGGTAACCGGGCAGGTCACGCGAGTTTCCCGCGTGTGGTTGCAACCAACAGGTTTCATCCATCGGCTGAACAGGGGCATCAGGCGGGAGTTCCTGGCCGGGAGAATATAAACTGTCCGTTGACCATCGGAGAGGGCGCAGGATTTCTTTGTTGCTTTGGACGTCGCACAAGAGCCCGGAGAATCCATCTGAGATCAGCACTTTACCTTTGCTGGTCATCATCCCTGCTTACCACCTCTGGGTTACTTCCACTACACCTAAATACGTCCTATACATACTTACATACTTACATACCTCGTACTCCCTCCTTGACGGAGACCTGCTGCACGGTGTCGTCGTGCCCTTCTCTCCCATCCAACTGATTGCCAAGATCGTCCCTCCCATCCACCCCCCGGCATCGTGGCGTGACCAGCGGTTTTGTTATCAATGCGACTCCCGCAATTCCTCACGACGCTTAGCATTCTTCCCCCCTCCATCAAGCCTTACTAGTATCATTCCTCTTCCTCCGTTCCGCCCACTTCCACCCGGTTATCTCTCTCCGACTCGACTCGTCCAGCCGCCTGATCCGAGGGAATAACATGCGTCATTGGACGCAAGCAGGGCTGGAAGACTACTAGCCGGATCACTCACTCCTAGTGCCCGTCGGTTCCTCAGGAACCAATCACTCTTTCCTTCCCACTGCGCGAACAGACCGTTGTCCGTGCGGACCCCAGAGGCTGGAGATAGCGGCTGTTGGAGCAGCGGTTGTATGTGAGTGGATGGATCTCTTTTCTTGCCTCTCTTTTGCGTTTGGACTATCGCCTCCGATCGGCCTGGGAGGTTCTATTCATGTTGTGTTCAGCCCCTGTGAAGACTGCCGACTGCAGACTGCAGACTGCAGAGCAGCGGAGTGGAGTGGAGCCGGCTGGCGGTATCCATACCGTACCGTACCCGCCGGCCCCTCCCCTCCTTCCCGGCTTCCCCTAATCCCTTGGTTCCCGCGCCTCCCGCCATGACGCCATGGGGTTCGTTTGTGACCGTTTTGGGTTTCCCCGCAAGCTGACGATCCAGTCTTGAACTTTCCCAGATTTGTTGACGTGGGCTGGAGACATCGTTTCAGGGGGGCCTGGTTTTCAGATCAGCAACGGCAGCAGAAAGCATAGAAATCAGAAACAAGAAACAAAAACAGAAACAGAAACACAAAAGTCACGGACAGACACCGATCACACGGAGCGGAAAGGAAAGGGGACCTTGTTGCATGACTGGGTCGTGTACCTGTCAGGGAAAAGTCATCCGGGGGTGCCTGAAATTGGAATCCCGTCGGCCCATCACCCTGATCCACTCAGACTAAACAACAGTAAAGGGTGAGTGACCGAGAAGAAAGATTATTTAACACAAAAAAAAAAAAAAGGGAAAATAAAAAGCAGCCCCTCATCCCGATGGCTGCCTCTCCGCCCTCACCCTCGCCTTCATCCTCGTCGTCGGCCTCACTTTCGTCGCCTTCCCTCTATCCCTCGTCGTACAGTTCATGTCATTCCCCGCCGTTGCTGAGCAGTAAGTCTGCCTCTTTCTTTCCCCAGCCAACCATCGTCCTCGCCCCGATGCATTCCTGCTGCCTCCCCCACTCCCGGCCGGCAGATCACCCTCTCTGATTGGCCCTGCCTGCATTTTCCCTACATTTCATCTTCGTTGGCTTCGTTGTTTCGGGCTCGGTTGCTGGCACTCGGCGGCGGCCTCGTCCTCCCCACCTGACACGTGTGGCACTGGACCCGGGCTCTGCGCATTCCCAATGATGCCTGCTGATCGCGTGTTCTCCCTAGCCAATCTCTCCTCCTCGTCGTGGTCTCCGTCCTATCAGCCCTCCAGCTTTTGTGCCCGAGACCAGTTGGAAAGTCTCATTGCCAGACACGGTCACCCCACCCGAGTCTCGCTGTCATCCCTCCAGGAATTGACGGCCACCTCGTCGGCATATAACCCTCCCTCCCCGCCCTCGCCGCTCTCCGACTCCACCGATTCTTTGGAAACCCTGACGCCCTCGCGACCGACCTCCTCTCGGCCGATCCCCATCCCCAAACCATCGCACATCTCCCCCGATAGAGACCTCCCTGTCACTCCGCTGACAGGACGTTTCGACAAGGGCTACTACTTCGCCCACCGGGACCAGACCCTGGAGAAACACCGAGACAAAGACAGACCGACTCACCGGCAGGGTGCTCGACACGGGCATCGCCCTCATCTTTCCTCCAGAATGCGTTCCGATAGCTCAACCTTTTACCCGCCCGTCGCCTCTCCCTCCATGTCTCCAGCTGGCCGTCCTGCGTCGCCCCAGCCGACTCGGGCTCGGCCTCAAAACAACAAACCCACCACCTTCCAGCTGGGGAGCCTGCCCCGGTTCCATCCGGCAGTCTACCAGTCTGGCGGCAGCTCTCCATCGCAACCCTCTTCCCCACGCCAGTCCCGACAGATCGGGTTCCGCCCGTCTAGTTCCCGCGACAATGCATGGCAGTATCGGGAGTTAGTGGAAGGGACCACCCTGTCGAAGACCCCCTCTGGTACCCTGTCCCCGAGTCCCTCCGCCCCGCGGCTTGATCCTCTCCTCAGCCCGGGACCGGTGACTCCCCTGATGCTCGAAGAGGCCGGTGGATACCTGGCCTCGGGCACCTCCAACTCGTCGGACTTTTCTCGAGACCTCTCCCACTCCGGGCCGGCCCCGGATCTGGTGGACTGCCTCATTGCTCGCGAAACCGAGCGAACCCGACAGACAACAAGGAAGGGTCTGAAGGGCTTTTAGTCCAGGGGTACAGATGCTGCATACTCAACACGAATGTGTGGAGTGCAGTCACCGAAGTCCGAGTGACTCACCACCTTACTTTCCACTCAGAACTGGCAGCGCCAGCTCTGTCGAGCAGCCCCTGGTCTGTAAGGCATCACAAGTCCATCATGACCAGGCTCCTCTGCGACATCTTGCTTCGCTTCTTTGTCTTCCTTCATCTTTTTCGAAAACCAGTCTACTATGTATTATGAAATCATGCAACTATACCCCACACCGCCAGATCCTGGCCTCACTCACCACTGTCCCTTATCCCTCGTGGTTGTGTTATTTGTCCATTCATCTCCCGGGTCTTTTTTCTTCCTTCTCTTCTCTTCCTCTCTGTTTTCACGGACATTTTTCCTCTTCGGTTCTGTTTTCATCGATGGATATTCTTCTCTCTTCGCGTCTTCCTAGACTGTGTTATGTTATTCCGGGCATCGGCATCCACCCGCCACGGCTTGAACAGAAACAGCCTGTCAGCCTGACGGTCGGACGAATGTGAAATACTGATATACTGATACTGATATACTTTGTGCGTGCACTGATTAAGCCGTCCAAGTGAGCCAGCCAGCCGTTAGAGAGTGACATACATATGGGCTCAGCTGGCTGGCTGGTGACTGGACTGGACTGGACTGGTTCGGGAACCAACCCGTCGCGTCGGAGTAGGAGTCTTGGTGAGCTTTCGGGTACGCTTACGGTTACAAGAACAGGAATAAATAAAAAGAACGTCGAGAGACGTGGTACATGACTAGATGACTGGTAGATATACTTAAGTATGCTTTATGCTTTGTGGTTGTCGGCGGAATCCGGATTATCCAGGCAGAGGCTAGATAGAGTCCACTGGGCCACTAGACTAGTAGCTTTAGTCCGTGAGTTGTGGCGTTCCCCAAAGGTAATTAACAAGCAATCCTTCCCCGGAGCTGGTCTGCCTCTCCCCGAACCGTCGGCTTTTGCGGGGCGGGATACTCACTCACTCTGCTTCTTCTTCTTCTTCTTCTTCTTCTTCTTCTTCTTCTTCTTCTTTCCCCATCTTTTTCATTCTCCACGCACTCCATCCCTGGAGCTTCAAATAACCATCTCTACCCCATTGGCGCTGGTTTTGTTATCATTATCCAACCCATGGCCCCCGCGCAACCAACTCTCCTCGCCAACCCCGTCCCCGTCCTCTGCATCTACCCTGTCCGATAGCGGACCGCTCGCCATCCTTATCACATCGCATCGCGAATTTTCATCCTCGGCTGCGTCGCGCCCACCCCATCGCCATCACCATCGCAGGAATCCAGCAATCAAGCCCTTCTCCACTACCTGGGTAAAGCAATCACCCTGCCGTCCGTTTTGAGGACCAGAGATCCGACACTACACACCACCATGTCAACGTCCCCACCTCCCGCGTCGACACCAGCGCAACACCCTTCTCACACCATGACACATACCCATACCACCACGAGTTCGCAGTCGCCGCCCCCGTCGACGAGCTCGAAACATGATTATAAGGGGTTCGTTGGGGGTGTGTTTTCGGGGATTGCGAAGTTGAGTGGTACGTACATCTTTTACTCAGCCCGGTTTAGTTCAGTGGTTTTGTCCTGCTTTGCTGGTGATGTTCTTGGTATTGTTACTGTTATTGTTATCATGTGCGAATGTTTTCTTTGCTGGCGTGAGGATTTAGAGATCCTATCCGAGTGTTATTCTTCTTCTGACGGTGCAAATGAAAATGAGAATGGCAATTACTAACTTGCTTTCTCGCGCACAGTCGGACATCCGTACGTGAACCTACGCTGCTTGCTCTACTCTAGCGCTGCGCCCTCCTGGGTTGCAAAACACACGTTAACCAGGCGTCGAACAGATTCGATACCGTGAAAGTGCGATTACAAACCAGTACGGAAAGCCACTTTCGCGGCCCATGGGATTGCGTTCTCCAGACTGTTCGCAAGGAAGGCATAACGGGGTTTTATAAAGGAGCTACGCCACCGCTGGTCGGTTGGATGGTTATGGATTCTGTGTGAGTTGCGCCCGTTCTATCGAGACATGCCACACACACACACAGAGAGAGAGAGGGGGGGGAAGTCTGTATGTGTGTGAGATATGACCACAGGGTGGGAGGAATCGCTGACGGCCGGACTTCACAGTATGTTGGGCTCCTTGACTCTGTATCGCCGATTGCTGCTGGAGAATGTGTTCTCGAAGCCGGATCTCCGCGCCCGCATCCCTTTCATTGGCCACCAGCCGGATCTGCACACTCTGCCGAGTTTCGGGCACGGCATTGCGGGTGTGATGGCTGGGATGACGGTTAGTTTTATTGCGGCCCCGGTGGAGCATATCAAGGCCAGGTTGCAGATTCAGTATGCGGCGGATAAGTCGAAAAGGTTGTATAGCGGGCCGATTGATTGTGTACGGAAGATTGTAAGGATACTTCCCTCTGAAGGTGTTGAGGTTGAGGTTGAGATTGGAGCTGACCCGAGTCTCTAGGTCGGCACCCACGGCATCGCGGGATTATACCGCGGGCTCTGCGCGACGATGATCTTCCGCTCGTGCTTCTTCTTCTGGTGGGGATCGTACGACATCTTCACGCGGATGCTGAAAGAGAAGACCAGCCTGTCGGCCCCCGCGATCAACTTCTGGGCGGGCGGCATCTCGGCCCAGGTCTTCTGGATCACGTCGTATCCGTCGGACGTGGTCAAGCAGCGGCTGATGACGGACCCGCTGGGCGGCGCGCTGGGCGACGGGCAGCGCAGGTTCCGCTGGTGGAAGGATGCCGCGGCGGCGGTGTATCGCGAGAGAGGCTGGAGGGGCTACTGGCGAGGCTTCATGCCGTGCTTCCTCCGAGCATTCCCGGCGAATGCGATGGCCTTGGTTGCATTTGAGGGTGTGATGCGGTGGCTGCCGTAGTGAGACACGGCCAGTCAAGCATGCATGCGGAGTCATCAGGATACATACTGGATGGATGGATGGATGGATGGATAGGATACTGCATAGACCGTGCGCTTGAACACGGGCGCAATGATATATAAAATGATGGATAGATAGATAGATAGATATTAATGAATACTATATACCATAACATCTTTCAGCAAAAAGACGTAAATAGTAGATGTGAAGAGTATAAGGGAGAGATGGCTGAAAACAGCGATTCCTCAGGCGCAACCGCATGCGGCGCCCCCGTTCCCAAAGCAGCGCCGGAATGGAGCAGTCCTTAAAACGACACCTCTAGCGCAAAAATAAAAAAAGAATGGCAAGAGTGGGGTTCGAACCCACGAATCTTACGATATTGCATCTTAAGGGCAACCTATTGGTCTGGTCAGTACTCTTATCCCTGAGAAATTCTGGCAGTCACTACTTACGCCTTAACCACTCGGCCATCTTGCCAGTGACAGATTTGAAAAATTAATCACTTAATAGCCTTCCACCGTGGAGGTTCTTATTCCGGCCGGTGCTGTTCCCGCCGATCCCCTTCTGCTTCTGCTTCTGCATTGCTTCTGCTCCTGCGTCCTCTCTTCCTCGTCTGCTACGACGCTGCCCGACTCGGGACATTGAGAACCAAGTGGTTGCAAGTCGCAAGCGGTCGGGTTGGAGCTGTCCCAGTCGGTCTCTCGGTCCGCGTGTTCCTTTCCTCGCCATCCCGTCATCCCGTCATCCTGCATCCTGTCCTCTTGTCCTCTCTTCCGCTCCACCACCTCCACCACCACCATCCTCTCTCTCGCTATGTCCCGGGCCCGGCTCATGACCACTCTGATCACTGGCTAAAGAGTATCGCGACTCCTCGCCGGGCCAGATCGAATCCCCCGTTCCCGATCCGATCCATCCAGCCCCGACCAGCTGCCGGCCAGCCAGCATCTCCTGCCGAACAACGACCTCCTCTCCTCTCCTCAGCCTCACTCAACACCCGCCCAATCCTACAATGGCCGTCGCACGCACCATGCGTCGCACAAGCCCCATAACGGTCTTCCTGGCCGCCCTGCTGGCCTTCGGTTTCCTCTGCTTCCTGCTCTCGCCCTCCACGCCCACCTCCCCCAATCCTCCTCCAGCGCCCCCATCACCGATGCCTCATCTCAACTCCGCCGCGAAGACGCCGCCGAACACCCTCTCTCCCCCCCGACGAAACCCTTCTTCAAATCCCAACCCGTGCGCGCGAACGGCCAATTCGCCCCCCACCAGTGAAACACTACAACCTGAACGAACTAACCAGCAGCAGCGAGTCGATCAAACAAGGCGAACGCATCCTCATCCTCACGCCCCTGGCCCGCTTCTACCAGGAGTTCTGGGACAATGTGGTGCAACTCAGCTACCCGCACGAGCTGATCAGCATCGGGTTCATCATCCCCTCGACAAAGGACGGCAACGCCGCCGTCGCGGCCCTGGAAGAAGCCATCAGCGCCACGCAATCCGGCCCCGTCGACAACCGGTTCGCCTCCATCAGCATCCTGCGCCAGGACTTCGAACCCCCCATCCAGTCGCAGGACGAAAAGGAGCGCCACAAAATGTCCAACCAGAAAGCGCGCCGTGAGTCCATGAGTCGCGCCCGCAACAGCCTCCTCTTCACCACCCTCGGCCCCAGCACCTCGTGGGTCCTCTGGCTCGACTCGGACATCATCGAAACCCCCGACTCCCTGATCCAGGACCTAACAGCCCACGACCGCCCCGTCATCGTCCCGAACTGCTTCCAGCGCTACTACAACAACGACAAGAAGGAAATGGACGTCCGGCCCTACGACTTCAACTCCTGGATCGATAGCTCCACCGCCCAGCAGCTCGGCGATACCATGGGTCCCGATGAGATTCTGCTAGAGGGCTACGCTGAACTCCCCACCTACCGCACCCTGATGGCCTACATGGCCGATACGAATAAGCCGCGACCCAGTCGCGAGATGGAGTTGGATGGCGTCGGCGGCACCGCCCTGATGGTCAAGGCCGATGTCCATCGTGATGGCGCCATGTTCCCCGCTTTTCCGTTTTATCATCTCGTTGAGACGGAGGGGTTCGCCAAGATGGTCAAGAGGTTGGGATATGCTGTTTATGGCTTGCCGGATTATTTTGTATGTTGCCCTTTCGCCTTGTTCTTATCTCTCTCTCTCTCTCTCTCCCTTCCTTTCCCCCTCCATTACTCTTGGCGTTTACATGGACTAACGGATGGGTTTGTAGGTATACCACTACAACGAGTAAGTGGATGGTCAAACGATGAGATGGGACGGGGGGAGAGGAGGCTGGGATGAACCTGGATATGATAGCTAGGATATGATAGCCAGGATACGTACGATAGCTAGGATAGGACGGATGCATGCATGCATGGATGACGGATCGATAGGATCGATAGGATCGATAAGGATGGGGATATACTAAGTTTCATGTTTCATGTTTTGCTTGTTTGAACTAGATCAGAGAATTATATATGATATAATATGATAGGACAGTAAAGGATATGATATCTATCCACTGTCGTACTAGTAAGAGAGGTGTGTCGTGAGGGTAGAGGGTTGGGTAATTGCTTTGTCTTGTGTTTTATTCATGGTGGACCGGCTGTTTGCTTGCTTGCTAGCTACTAATGGACAGCTAGCTAGGCAGGTAGATAGGTAGGTAGGTAGGTAGGTAGGTAGGTAGGTAGGTAGGTAGATAGATACGTAGTAGGTAGTAGGAAGTAGGAAGTAGGTAGGTACATAGATGCTAGGATGTGCAGGTTGGGGGTAGGCAGGTAGATAGGCAGGTAGGTAGGTGAGTAGGTAGGTGAGTATAGTAGGTGGGTATAACAGCGCGTGCATATTATGATACGACTTATTTACTCGTCATCTGTCTATCTATCTATCTATCTACCATCTACAACCTTATCTATATGTAGATGTAGGTAGGAGCCACTTTTCGGCACCCTCATTACACATCCTATACACTGGATCGTATCGTATCGTATCGTATCGAGGCAGACTCACCTAGTCCCAGGAGATACTGCAGAAATACACACACGTCACGTTAGCATGATAATCAAACCGGTAGATGTACAACCGAGAAACAAGTAGAGGTGGGAAATAGGGGAAGAAAAGGTGAAGAAAGAAAGAAATGGGAAAAAAGAAGAAGAAAAACGCACACAAGCATAATCCCCGCGCCCACCATAACAGCCAAGAACTGAACAATCGTCTTCTTGACCTCGACGCGCTTATCGGGCCCGGTCTCCAGCAACTCGGGAATCACCGACACCGTGCCAACATACAGGAACGTCCCCGCCGTGAACGGGAGCAGCATGTCGCCCCAGGTCAGACTCGTACCGAGCAGACCGGCCGACGCGGACTCCACGCCTGCAGCGGTACTGCCGTGCCCGCCGCCGAGTTCCTGGACCGCAATGCCGATGAACGTGCCGAGGAAGGCGCCGATGGCGGTGACGAACTGCGCGCCCATGGCTTTGCGCTTGGAGAAGCCGGACTGGATGAGCAGGGCGAAGTCGCCGACCTCGTGGGGGATTTCGTGGAAGAAGACGGCTACGGTGGTGGTTGCGCCGATGGTGGGCGAGGCGTAGAAGGAGGAGGACATCGCCAGGCCGTCGGTGATGTTGTGCGTGAAGTCGGCGATGAGGTTGAGGTATCCGCCTAGCTTGACGCTGGGGTTGATTTCTTTTTCTGTTTCCGGGGCGGGGGTGGCGGTGGCGGTAGTGATCGCAGTGGGTTTGCGCTGCTTGAGGGGGGTGCTGGGTTCGGGGGAGGTGCTGGTACCGCTGGTGGTGGCTGTGGGGTGGTCATCGTGGGAGTGGGCATGAGCATGGGAATGGTCGTGGCCCGCGCCGCCGGTGGCGATGCGGAGGGTCTTGTCCATTGCGACGAAGGTGAAGAAGCCGACCATGATTCCGAGGCCGAGCAGCAGGTTGCGGTTCGGCTCGACCATCACGAACCGCACGCTGTCGGGGGAGCCTTCGCCGAGGAAGATCTCCGGGAGGAGGTGGAAGAGCGTGTCGCCCAGGAGGCCGCCTACCGCGAAAGCGACCATGACGGACAGCGAGGAGGGGTCAATGTTCGGGGGGCAGAGAGCCAGGAGGAAGTCTGGGGACAGTCATGGTTATGATTGTGTGTTGTGGAACCGGGAGGGGGGGGGATGAGCGTACTGGGGGGACCGGAGATGTAGATGGTCGCCAGGATGGCGTTCACGGCAGGGCTGCCGGGAAAGAGCACGGAGAAGATCTTCGAGGTCAGGCTGGTGGTTTGGGGGCTGGTGAGGCGCTTGTGCTCGTTGAGAGATTCGACGAGGGGACAGTTCTGGACGCAGACGTCAGTTTGGATGTTCAATGGGAGAAGAGGTGTATGAGATGCATAGCAATGGCAACATGCATCTCCGTGAGGGTGAGGGTGAGGGTGAGGGTGAATACCTGCAATTCCTCCTCGATCTGACCCACCGACAGGTCTCCCACCGATAGGGCATCGTGGGCGGCAGCGAGAGCAGAGAAGAGAACAAGGCCAGCAGCAAGCGCCAGGCACATGCGCCGCGAGGGAGCAAGCAGAGAGGGGCCATGATAGCGATGGTTGGGGAATCAGGGAGGGAGTGGAGGAGAAAGAATAATATCATTGCGATGGTCCGTTGTCGGATGGCCTGTTATCGGCATTGCAAACAGTGCAAAGGCTGCAAACAGTGCCAACCTCGACTTTTCGGGATCGATAAGATCGACTCGTTTTCTTCGCCGCAATTTTTGAACCGCTCGACACCATTCCAGTTCCACCCTCCACATCCCATCCCATCCCTCACCATGACCAACGTCAGACAGAAGAGAAAGCAGAGATCCTCCCTCCCCAAGGCCAAGGCCAAGAGGACCGGTCTCCTCAAGAGCGGCAAGAAGAAGATCAATGTCTTGGGAAATGCCATCATCGCCGAAAACTGGTACGCTGCCGGCCTCTGCTGGGCCTCCGCAAATATCACCCACCCACTGGTGCTGTAATGCTAATGCTTCTTGACCAGGGACCGCAAGCTCACCCTCACACAAAACTACCGCCAGCTGGGCCTCGTTCACCGTTTGAACGCCCCCTCCGGTGGCTCCCAGAAGCGCGCCACTGCGGATGGTGTCGTTACCGGCGAACGCGAGGACTCGCTGTACATCAAGAGCAGCGCGCAAGCGGCGGCCAAGCAGGCCGCGACCGGCGAGATCCAGGTTGAGCGCGACCCCGAGACGGGCAAGATTCTGCGGGTGATCCGCGGCGACGACGAAGTGGAGGTGGCCGGGCGCAAGCACAAGCGCAACAATCCGCTCAACGACCCGCTGAACGACCTCGAGAGCCCCGCCCTCACCCTCCCGGAGCAGAAGAATGCGGCCACGACGGTTGTCCAGCAGCTCGAGCAGCAGGCGGACCGCGAGGGCGTGTCGGTCAAGGCCAAGAAGCCCCGGCACCAGAGCAAGCGCGAGGAGGAGTGGGTGCAGAGACTGGTCGAGAAGCACGGAGACAACTACATCGCCATGGCGCGCGACCGCAAACTCAACCCCATGCAGCAGAGCATAGGCGACCTGAAGCGGCGGATCAGCAAGTGCCGGTCATAATGGGTTGGTTTGGTTTGATGCATTTCTATTGGCGAGTACGGCGTTCGACAGGGTGATTTGGGGAAAAGTGCTTGCTGGGTTGGATCTTCTGTCCACTTATCCCTCTGAATATAGACCTCCATCTGCGCATGGCTGCAGATCCCAACTGTTAATACATGATCGTTACCATGTGTTTGTGTCTGGTAGATGTGGTTTCGTTGCGTCCCCACATCGGTGCCACAGGCTGAGTGTCGCGCTGAGAAACAGCAGGCTCATTCACTGCCAGCCCTGGACGCGCGAATGAATCTCTACGCGTCGGGCATCGTCTGGCGCGAGGTATATTGTCCAGAGCCCTACCTTCTGCTGTATTCTGTAGTTCCATCCGCTGCATCCCCCCCCCCCCCTTTTTCTGTCGCGTCATCCCATCAATCTCATCTCCCTCAAACTCAAACAAAGCTATCCAAAATGGCCACCCGTTTCTCTCTCATCCTCACAACCCTCCTCAATCTCCTCGTCGCCACCGCGGCCCAAATTGCCTAGTATGTACGCCCTTTAACACCCCTGGTCTCAAAAGCAAACTAATCATCGTGCGTCCCTCTCAGCAACCCGCAGACCAACTCAGTCCTCTGCTCCAAAACCGGCGGTAGCTACTGCGTCTATGGCTCCCTTGCGGGCTCCACCCTCGTCTCCTGTGTCTCCAAGGATACGGTAGAGATCCGTTCTTGCAATATTATGTATATTTCTCACTTCACCTCACCGACAAAGTAACAAACTGAGAAATTGAGAAATTGACACTGACAAACAATGCGTCCAGCCTGTCAAGCATCCTCCCTGAAGGCTATGAGCAGCATGCTACCTGTTCGTTCACCCTGTCTTTCTTTTGTACTATCCAGACATACACACACATACACACACACAGAGAGAGAGAGAGAGAGACCCTACCATCTAACAAACAAACCAACCAGGCTACGAACCCTCCCCGATGGCCGGCGACGCTCTCTGCGCCTTCAACGGCACCGGATACCCTCTGTCCGCAGACAGCAGCACCATTCTCTCCAAGGCCACAATCGCTATCCCGCAGTCCATCCTCTGCACCGAAGAAGACCTGTGGTTCTACTACCATCCCTTGTCCGCAGGAGGGGGGGATACTCAAGGACCAGACCAACAGCAGCAACCCCACACAGAGCCCAAACCAGCCACTCCTTCCCCTCCCCTGATTACCCTAACCCTCACCCTCACCTCCCGATCCGCGTACCCGTCTGCAGATATCCCAGTCTCGGTCTCAGTGTCAGTGTCAGTGTCAGTGTCAGTGTGCTCCTCCCACCCCCTCCTCCTCCACAGAAGACAGCCCGAGCAGACAAGAACCCACACACACATCCAGACGCGCATCTGCTCGAACCCATCCCCCGTCTCTCCGTCCCTGCAGTGGCTGTTTCCGACGCCGCTTGGGGGCGTGGATGTTCTTTCTTTGAGTACAGCTATGGGCACGGGTATCATGACTGAGGTTGTTACTGCTATGGCTACTGCTAGTGCCACTGCTAGTGCCACTGCTACTGCCACTGCTACAGCTGGAATCACTACTTTCACCGGCATAACCACCATAACTATCACCAGTAGCAGCAGCAGCACCGATAGTAGTAGCACTACGACTACCACTACTACCACTACCACCGGAATGACTACCCATACCAAACCCAGACCCCTCTCAACCTACACCTCAACCATCTACCTCAGTCGCACGCGGAGCTTCATCACCACCACCACCACCACCACCACCACCACCACCACCACCACCACCCCGACAACACCACCACCACCATCGCGCTAGCGATGACCCCAGCGCCGAATACCTCCTCCAGCGAGGAGTCGGAGTCGTGGGACGTGAGGGTCGGGGTGTCGGGGTGGAGTCTGGTGTGTGTGCTTTTGGGAATGGGCGTCTTTATTATCGGATAAATCGATTGTTCTTTTCTTTTCTTTTTTTTTGATGGTGTCAGTGTCAGCTGAGGTGGGATGGGTGGCTGGTTTTCTTTTCTTTTGTGGGTTGGGTTGGGTTTGTAGGAGGAGTATGATGGTATGTAAGTATCTGCGCTGGATGATGACTATCTATTTATCTATCTACCGACCCAGGTTGATTTTTGTTGGTGTCTATCTATCTACACTTACTGGTGATGCATTGTGAATAACGCAATTGATTTCATTTCCATTGAATCATGACTATCTCTTTCATTCTTTCATTCCGATCAATCATAACTGTATATCCCATACCCCCCCCTCCTCTCACCAACAATCCAACCATACCTCTCTCACTATATATCTCTCACAAACCCCTGCCTCACCACCCCCCCAGCATCCAGCATCACATAATAATCCGCATCCTTAATGGCCTCCAGTCGATGCGCAATCGTAATAACCGTCGACTCCCTCATCTCCTCCCTGAGCACCTGCTGGATCTCCAACGAGCTCTCGTGATCAATCGACGCCGTCGCCTCATCCAACACCACAATCGAGCTGCGCCGGAGCACGGCCCTCGACAGCCCGATGAGCTGACGCTCGCCCTGGCTCAGGTTCCGTCCACCGGCCTCGACCCGCGTCTCGAGGGTCCAGCCGTGTCGGCCGCAGATTCGTCGTAGGACGTCTGCGCACTCCGCGTCGGAGTATTCGGCTGTCGGGTCGAGGTTGAGCCGGATGCTGCCGGGGAAGAGGACGGGGTCTTGCGCGACGAAGGTTACGCGGGTGCGGAGGGCCTGGGTGTTGACCTGCGCGATGTCGAGGCCGTCGATGACGATCCGGCCCGAGTCTGGCCGGACGACGCTGAGGAGGGAGACGGCCAGGGTGGATTTCCCGCTGCCTGTCCGGCCGATGATGGCTGTTGTGGAGCCGCCGGGGATGCGCAGGGAGAGGTGTTTGAGGGAGGGATCGAGGTGGGGGGCGTAGCGGACCGTGACGTCTTCGAAGACGATGTCCTGTCCGAATTTCGGCCATGAGGCCGGCGGGGTGATCGTGCCGGGGGGTTCCTGTTCGACGTGGAGGAGCTCGTCGACGCGTTCGACCGACACGAAGTCCATTTGCAGCTGGCCGTATTGCTTGCAGAGGGCGTGGGTGGAGGCGACGAAGTTGTTGGCTGCGACGAGCACGAAGGCCGCCAGGCCCGGGGTGACGCTGGTGTACAGGGCCAGCACGGTGAGGCAGAAGGTCGAGAACGCGGAGAGGCTCTCGAAGCGGTACATCAGCCAGCTTTGCAGCGACCAGTAGAAGTGGTCCATTCCTTGGAATTTGTCGACCACGGCGATGACCCGGGCTTGGAAGCGCGACTCGGCGTGGAAGGCCCGCACCGTGGTGAGGCCGTGAAGCAGCTCGCCGAAGTTGGAGATCAGGGGGCTGAGCGAGACCATTTCTAGGCGGCGGAGGCTTTGGGAGGTGGGCAGGAAGTGCAGGAAGATGGCGATGAAGAAGGTGGTCAGCAGGAGGGAGAAGAGGAGGAAGCTGGGTGTTACGGAGGCGATCACGGCGATGGACGATAGCCAGGTGATGGCTTGGAAGGCGATGGTTTGGAATTGCTCGCTGATGTTGCCGTCGACTACGCCGATGTCTGAGGTGAGCCGGTTCATGAGCCGGCCGATGGGGGTGACGTCGAAGAAGCGGAAGGTCGCGTGGCTGACTCGCTCCATGACTTCCGAGAAGAGCGTTTTGCCCGCGCTGTACACCATGACTAGCATCACGAGTTGTGCGAGGAGAAGCATGATGGATTGGAAGGTGGTGATGGCGAAGAACGCGAGCAACCATGGACGGACGTCTTCGAGTGGGGCCGGGAATTCGTCCAGGGGGTTTGTCGGTTTCCAGTTGATCAGGTTCACCATTTCTGAGGGGGTTGTCAGTTCGCCCGTGAAGGATTTCGCCGTCGATGTTGAGTAGCCGAATAGGAGAAGTGTTTCGTTATAGGCTTCTCCCCACCCCTTCAGAAACCAGGACTGTCCCACGGAGGTCAATCGGTAGATTGTTAGCATGGCGATCAGGACAATCCACCACTGGTATTTGCTGGCTTTGATGTATTTCCAGTATACTTTGGCCTTGACGCCCCATTCGGCGCGGTGTTCCTCCTCAATGAACTTGGTGGGTACTGCAGCTGTGTCGTCTGCAAGTGCTTCGCTCTCGGGCTCGGGTTCAGTAACAGCGGAGACGTCTCCGTGGGGATCACCTGTGTTTAGTGAGGCATCCTGTTGGTCTTCGACCGTGGCGCGACCATCTTGGATAAGGATTATCTGGTTTGCAATGTGGTGAACCAGGTGGGTTCGATGGGTGACGAGAACAATCGTGCGGTCTTTCATCAAGGGCCCCGTAAAGCATTTTTGAGCCACCGTTTCGGCAGTGTTATGGTCCAGGGCTGACAAGGGGTCATCGAGGAACAAGATCCTGGAGGTGCTGTACATCGCCCGCGCGAGAGCTACCCGTGCCTTCTGTCCACCTGACAAACCGATGCCATTCTCTCCCACGAATGACAAATCGCCATGCTTGAAGTTGGAAAGATCGGGTATCAAGGCGCACGCGTCAAGAACCTGCTTGTAACGCTGCTCATCAAAGGGCGACGAGAAGAGTATGTTGTCACGGATGCTCATGCTCTGCAGCCATGGCGTTTGAGCACAGTATCCGATCATCTCGTTGGGCACGTACGAGACACCTTTGAGTCTGTCCAGTTCGCCCAGCAAGGCCTGGAGTAAAGCTGTTTTACCAGAGCCTACCTTGCCGAAAACAACGGTCAGTCCTTGGGGTATCTTCAGGTCGATGTCGTAAAGCACCGGTGTCGCTTTACCGGGCCACCCGAAGGAACAAGAGTCGAGATGGATTGGGGCCGATTCTGCGTCAGAGATGGCCTTCTTCTCCTTATCCGGCTCTGCCATGAAGTCCTCGATTCTTTCCATGGCAATAGACGCGTTGATCAATACGGTGATCAGGCTGGGGATGTCCCGCAAACGAGTTTCGAGCATCGTGAAGAGCTGCAGAGCCGGGAAGATGATATCGATACGTAACGGGTGGCCGGCCAGAAGAGTGTACGCATATAGCGCAACCACCGGGAACAGACCGCTGGCAAACGTGTTGATGAAACGAATGATGATGCCCCACAGCATGGTGATAATCCGGACATTTAGCTCGGATTGTCGCGCATCCATGACTTGCCGCAGCCAGTGATTCTGCCATCCGTACCAGCGCAGGTGACGCAGTGCCTCCACGAATTGAGAGGAGATCTGGAGTCGATTGTCCGTGGCCAGCCGACGGATCCGTTCTTTCTGGAGAAGAATGCGAGTGACGAAGATATTCAACACCTGCGCGATCAGAACGGCCACGATGCCCAGGAAGCATGACGGGCCAAGCAGCTTCCAGACGAGTACAACCGCAATGACAAGACCCAGAGGTTTGTCGATCAGTGCATCGATCTCCCAGAATCGCTGGGCTACCTCGTAGACATCGCCTCGTAATAGGTTGAATATCTTGCCCATGGAAGCAGTCTTCTTAGCTTCTGCCTTGCCGGCCGGCCGGGATTTCCAAAATTGCCACCATCTTTTACGTCCCTCATCGGAAGTTGTCTCCGTATCGTCTTCCTGTGAATTATTCTCGTCGGTATTTTCAATCACCTGCTGGTCGTATATGTTCTTCCGTGATAAAGCCTTTTCATAGACCATCATCATCATCTCCCCCCTGCTTCTCTCGTAACACCTTCTGCCATACCAAAGACTCAGTACCTGAGACTGCGCCGCCACCAGACGCAGAAGCAAGGACAGCAGAGCGTATGTTAGAGCAGCACGATTGGACGAACCACGATCCGTCATTGCCTGCAACAACTGTTGAAGGAGCACCGGTGTGGAAAAGTCTACAAGCCGTCAGCGTCATCCATCCCACGGACAATTGACAGACAAACCGCAAACCATCTGCACGATGGCAATGGTGGTGATGATCAGAACATCGATCCCGTTGGCCTGAAGTAGTCGGCTAATGACAGAGCCTTTCAACTTTCGGAACCGCTCATGTAGCCTGAGATGCTGAAATTCAAATCCCAGAAACCAAACATCGTCTTCCTGCAATTGCCTGGCCCTGCCTATAGACATCAACGGTGCCATCCATGACACGCTCAAAAACTGCCAGAGTCGCAGGTTGTCCTCAGGGCTGCGGTATTTGCTGGATGGCTGTTGGCCAACAGCCCCAATATCCATGCAAGGCAGCGACGGGCCTCGAAAAGGCATCATGAGGATAATGAGACCACCCACCAAAGCTGCACCCGCTGATATATAGTGAGGAATGAGTCTTGAACCGGCATAAGTGCCGTGGCTCGCAACGGTCGCAATCTCTACTACCAATGCACTAGCAAAAAAGACCAACAAAGAGACCGGGCATGACCTCGGACGTGCTATTGCGATTAGGCAGGTTGCAGCAGCCTGAAGATGGTCAGTCCACCATTTCCAGTAGGTGGGATTCAACCTACCCAGGCTACAAGAAGAGCAGCACTGGAGAACTGCCGGTCAAGAACTACTTTGATGAGTTCGGCGATGGACCCGATCAACGAGACGGCAAAGAGAGTGATCACCCAGCCAATCCGTTGTTTCGCTCCATCTAACGGCAGCTCCGAAGTCATCGGCTTCTCCATAATAAAGGGCCTCGTCCATCGTGGACGTTTAACCCCAGGTAGCCGACCCGTCGCATAACCCAGAATGACAATCAATGCCACAATAGCGGGGAGGGTAGATAGGTCTACCACACCGCATGGCGACATCCGCGCATTGCGGGAGTCCTGACATAGATATGTTAGCAGCCAGCACGATAATGTGTTTGTGACTGTGCGGTGAGCGTACCCATATCCAATCACACGAGAGTGCTCCATGTCCCTTTTCTCCCGGCATTGGAGGATGGCAATGGCTGTGTATCCTCGGCCACTGGTCGAGTCCAAGGGAGTCAAGCCAAGCACGCTGCTGCTGTCAGCACATCTTATCAATGACGGCGGATTATCGGCGCTGCTTCCGAGAGGGCCCTGTGGCCTGAGGCAGCGTGGCACGAATGCAGCGCTTCCCCACATTACGAGAATTACCAAACTTACTGGTTGGTATAGTTACACCAGGAAACAGGTCGTTGTTGCCTCCGGGCCGATGGAATCGATCTCGGGCAGGGATCGGATCTGGTCTGACTTCTCTCCACGAGAAAGCCAGCCTCCGTCCATTCTGCAATGCTCTGATGGCATATTTCCCAAGCGTTGTACGGAGTAGGACCACAACCATCACCGCTCAAAGTTTTTGGATCCTGCAGTGGTGTGGTCACCGTACAGTACAGGTGGGCCGGCTCCATCCAGGGTGGATGCTTGATCGGATCGGGTTAGCATGGGTCAGATCATACATGTCCACTTTCTCTCCAGTCTCAAGCCATTCCGGGTATGCAGGCTGTTCATCTGAATATCAGTAAAATTGGCCAGATGTGTCGGGAAGTCAGGAGGGACTTGGGGAGGGGCGAGGGGGGCGTCGGAGAAACACATGCAGCTGGGCTGGGCACCAGCCGGTTCTGCCCACTGGTTCCAGTCTCCAGTCGCAGTCCAAAGTCAAGCCTGGGAGCCGCGGGAGCTTATCACTTCGGTATTACGGTGTGTGGTCACGGTTGGTTAGGTTGGTGGCTGTGGTGGATATTTCTCAATACACCGGCCGGCTGCCACTGTCCCTGCGGCCAAAGTGATACGTATATCCCATACGCACAGTACAGACTAAGGTGGTACCGCCGTACCGATCGACACAGCGACACAGCTTAACGCTGCGAAAACAGCAGTGTTTGCGCTGTTTGCAGGGACAGGGCCCCGTTTTGTAGCAGCAAAAAGGAGCAGGGGGGCAGAACTTGTTTCGTGATACGTTAAGAGAGCCTTTGGGCTAGGAAATAATTGTTTACCACTCTTTGATCATCTTCCACTTTTCACTTCCTGGCAGGCCCTGAGGGGGTAGACTAACACACTTCCACTACACACACCTATACTCGCCTTCATCCATTCCCTCCTACCATCTGTCGCTGTATACTGCTTGGCTCTTTTCCGCTTACTCTGCTTCCATCCGTTGCTAAGGTATATGCGCCCGTAACTTTCTCTCCAACGCCAAGTCTGGCAGAACAGCCGTTGCCTCCCCCCCCCCCCCCCCCCCGGGCAGAGTTTCTCTGCAAACCGAAGTCCGTTCGGGGGGGTGTGGGTGTGTGTGTGGACGTTACTGCCCAAAAGGGGCTCTGGACTGCACTGGCAAAACGCCTTCTGTTGGTTTCCGATGGTCTAACTGCTTCGTCCCAGGTTCCTCGTCCCCATCCCGGAACAGAGATCGCTGTTCTTGATCCCCGCAATGGACCGGTAGCAACCATTGATGGGTCGCGCAACGGTGTTGATCAATGTTCAGCTCGGTTCGGATACTACGAAGCCGCTTACCCTGAACGCCGTTGCGATTGGGATCTCTCCCGGGATCTCTCGCTGATTTCACCCCCCCGATATCGTTACTCGTCTGTTGGTCGTCCGGAGCTTGTCTCGGTCGGAGTCCGAGGATGACGGAAAACCTGGCCTTCCAGCAGACTCCAGGAAAGGGGCAGTTGCGCAAGGTGCAGTCCAGATCATCCAGCCCATCTCGCACCGACGAGTCGGGCTCAGGAGGTAAGTCTCGAAATATGATCATGGGCGGAGTGATGAGCCTCGTGTCGGGGAATTTCCAGGCGAGGAGCTAACCTATACCCCCCGACTCAGCTGAAGGCCCCACGCGCAGACGATTGCAAAAACACGCCTCGACCCCATTCCTTTCAGACTCCTCCTCTCATTCTCCGAAAGTTGCTGCTGGCTCCCGGACAAGTGTGGTGACGAAAAGGAGGTTGTCTATTCGAGATCACAAGGCGCCACAGGGCCCGCGACCGCAAGATCCGCCACGGTCAAGGTAGTTATTTCTGTTTTCCTCCTGGTTTCTCGCTTCACCGTCTCGTCTTTTGGCGGAACCGCGCTCATCGGGGTGCGTCGCGCCAAATTTCATGGCGTTACCTTTTGTGTGGTGAATATGGTCTGACTTCCTGCGTTGTAGCAACATGCCCGTCTCGTTCCTCCACTCCGGTAACTCCTCAATTGATTCGACCACCGAATCGACACAGAGCAACAACTCCCGCATCAGTCTCCGATCTACGAGCGTCGGAAATTTCGCTAAACACAAATACCAAAACCAATCCCCTCCCGACAGCTCAGAGTTCCTCGCCCCTGTTAACTTCGATGACCTCCACAATAGCATTGTCCCGGAGCCCACCCTGAATCACTTTCCAATCCCAGGAAATCCTGCGTCCGGGTATGATCAGCAATGGATGGATAACACCAGTGACAATAGCAGTACTGCACGCGTGAGGAGCAACTCTATTCGGCGGAAGAGCATCGTCAACAGTTCCTCCGAGTCAATAGCGTCTCGGGCTCCAGCTTCTGCTACGGCTGCTCGAAGCCGTCGCCAGAGCCTTGTTCAACCTGCAACGACTACTACCACGACATCTCGCACCCCCCGTAAATCCATTGGTCCTGGCTCGCTCTCCACTACCGCTTCAGCACGACGGCAAAGTTTGTCGGCACGAAAAGCGAGTGAAACAGCGCGGGTCGACAACACCACCTTTCTCCGCCCACGAACGCAGCATTTCGAGCCTAGCCGACAGGATGGCACGAAGCTCCCCAGCAGTGCCCGAAGTCTCAAGGCCAAATCGCTGCAGCCGCCGTCGAGGGAAGCTCATGAGACCTACCTGACAGCGTCCGGCACAACGGAGCACTCTCGGTCGTCTTCCACGAACGCTGTTCGGACCCCGATCAAGAATGCCGCTGCAGCTTCAACTCCGTCTTCGTCGTCGAAGAGGGTTTCAGCGATGCCATCGCACGCTACTGGCCTCGGAGCTCGCACGATCAGTCCCACCGATGCGCGACGGATTAAGCGTATGTCAACGGTTCACCACCCGCCATTTACTCCTCCGACTCAGACGGAGCCAATGCCTGTTCGTCCCCACTCCACAACGCATTCGCCCTCGAACATCCCTCGGAAAAGTGTGACCCCTTCGTCGAATCGAACGACGCCGGATCCCAACCGAAAGTCATATAGTTCTGGCTTGTCTTTGTCGTCCAACACGACTTACAACTCAGCACGGAATTCCGCGGGCTCGTTGCAGACCAGACTATCCCATGCTGCGTCAACTTCACGACTTCCAACTCCGAAGCCTCGGATGGAACACGTAGGGGCTGATGAAGAGGTTCCCCCAGTTCCTGCTATTCCCAAAGCATACGAATCCCCCAAGGGCGATTTTGATCCACCGAATTATGTGACGCCCCGGAAGCCGAGTGCATACCCGGAAGCCGGGCATAAACCTAAAGTTGAGCAGGACTCGGACACAAGTCTCACAGCGAGTGCGACCGAAGAGGACGTTGTTCAGCCTAACCATGGGCGGGCCTTGAAGACGCCGGAAGCGAAACCCAAGCCATCCGCCGTCCTCGGCAAAAAGAGTTTACAGCCTTTGAAGTTGCCGCCATTGAATTTGTTGCCGCTCGGCACCCCAATGACGACAAAGATTGAGGCTTTGAAAGACCGGGAGGATGACGTCAAATCGTACACCCCGTCAGCCCAGACCATGTCTAAAACGCCCAGCACCCCGTTAACCGCCTCCAAAGCGAACTTTTTCTCTTCCCAAGATGATGATGACCCCCTGCCACTTCCCCAGGCAAGAAGCAGTACCTCCCATTTCGCGCTGAGCATTTCCTCGGGCGGTCCGGCTCTGAGGACGGCCAGCAGCTCTAGTGCTCTTGGACCCTTTGAGAATAGTCCGAGCAACACCGGAGCTGTGTCTCCTTACATTCCCTACAGCTTGCCGAAGAGCAACAGTGACTACAACACTCTAGCCCAGAAGCCCAGCGGAGACTATTCCCCCAAGGTGGCCCAGTCCCACAAGCCCACAGGTCCTCGCCCACAAACACAGTCTTCTGCCTTCTCTTCCAATGCTGAAACCGTCAGTCAGCTTTCTACGCCCTCGGAGCCTGATAACAACAGTGTTTCGGGCTCGTCTCTCCGGAGCAAGATCACATTCAATCGGAACCGCAGCAGCTCCAAGCCCCAACCAGGGCCCGAGGCAAATGGCGATCCTATGAAGCATGATCAGATGCTCCCGCCGAAGCTCCCAGCGTCTGCCACGTGGAATAATCTGACCACGGTGAAGGCCTCTAGCCCCACGCTCAAACCAACCTATCTCAAGACGCGACGGCAAGCATCCATGTCTACCGCTACTACCCAACCGACAAGGAACCCCAGCTTCAGCAGTGAGCAAAGCCTTGCGCTGGAGCCGAGTCCTTCTAATGAGTCGGGAGACAGTGATGTTGTCCCGCATCGCTCTGCGGCCTCAATCCTATCACCTGTGCATAAAATCATTCACTCAGCCAAGTCCAATGTGGCCGCCACTTCCACTCCCACGGAATCCAATGTGGACGCTGATACTCTTGTCGCTGACGAAGAGATGCGGAGACTGGGCAGCAAACGCAAGGATTTCGAAAGCGCTGCTAAGACCCTGGATGCCTTGCGTCGCAAAGCGAGCCCGAAGGATCGTGTCAGTCCAGCACAGGCTCTGAGGGTCGCAAATCTGAACATTTTCGAGCGCGGGGAGATCATTGATTTCAAGGATATCTACTTTTGCGGGACTCAGAATGCAAAGAAGCATGTTGGTGATTTGACTGCGCAGGCGAACTTCGGCTATGACGATGACCGTGGCGACTACAACATTGTGATTGGAGATCACCTGGCGTATCGGTACGAGGTCATTGATGTGCTGGGCAAGGGAAGTTTTGGCCAGGTCGTGCGGTGCATCGATCACAAGACAGGCGGCCTGGTTGCCGTCAAGATCATCCGTAACAAGAAACGGTTCCACCAGCAAGCACTAATCGAGGTCAATCTTCTTCAAAAGCTCAAGGAGTGGGATCCTCACCGTCAGCACAGTGTGGTGAATTTCACCCAGAGCTTCTACTTCCGAGGTCATCTCTGTATCTCAACCGAGTTGCTGGGGATCAATCTCTACGAATTCATTAAAGCTCACGACTTCAAGGGATTCTCCCTCAAGCTTATTCGTCGTTTCACGAAGCAGATGCTGAGTACCCTCGTGCTCTTGCAGAACAAGAAGGTCATCCATTGTGATCTCAAGCCCGAGAATATCCTACTCTGCCATCCGATGAGCTCTGAGATCCGAGTGATTGATTTTGGCTCGAGCTGCTTCGAGAACGAGAAGGTGTATACATACATCCAGAGTCGCTTCTACCGTTCCCCGGAGGTCATTCTCGGCATGTCTTACGGTATGCCTATCGACATGTGGAGTATTGGGTGCATTCTGGCGGAGCTCTTCACCGGGTATCCCATCTTCCCCGGAGAAAACGAGCAGGAACAGCTTGCTTGCATCATGGAGGTCTTCGGACCCCCCGAGAAGCATCTCATCGAGAAGAGTACCCGCAAGAAGCTGTTCTTTGACTCCCTAGGCAAGCCCAGACTCACGGTATCCTCGAAGGGTCGACGTCGCCGTCCCAGCTCCAAGGAGCTTCGGCAGGTCTTGAAATGCGACGATGAGGCATTCCTTGACTTTATCACACGCTGTCTTCGCTGGGATCCCACCCGCCGCATGAACCCACAGGATGCCCTCCGACACGAATTCCTCACGGGAGTCAAGCTGCCGACACGGCCCAGGACTTATACCCTGACGACGCACTCCCCCGCGAAGCGGGTAACCACCTTGTCGAACCCCTCGACGGGACGGCCTCTCCCCGAACCGCCGGTGAGCAGCATCAAGTCCAGCACGCTTTTCCGCAACCGGGATGCCTCGGGCACGTCTCCAGTCAAGCTCCCTGCAGGCAAGCGCCATTCGACCGTGAGTGGGCTACCGCCGTCGACACCCGCCAAGCGAGGCACCAGCATCAGCACCACGACTACACCCGGGTCTGCACTGCCTCGTGTGGCAGCCCGGAGTATCAGTGGCAAGCCCGACCTCGCGACGGCGGCGGCAGCGACCAGCCTGGTAAGTGGGAAGGATCCTGGCGAAAGGAGGAGAGCTGGTCATTGACTTGCGTATAGAGGACCAAATGAAGCAGGCCCTGTCATCTAGCCTCTCTTCCTCTCCCCTTCACTTCTTGCATATCTGTAATAATAATGCTTCGATTTTCCCCCCCTTTTTCTTTTCTTTGTCTCTGTTTCAAGGTTGCATAAACGGGTGGAAGCATCGGCGGTTCTGTCTCCCGTTGTCATGATTGATTTTGAACCGTTTGGGCTCCGAAAAGGTGGACGTCCCAAGGGGTTCGTGGTATACCCTTAATTGAGCATCTGCATGCTTCACTATGATTTGCTTTTCCCTTTCTAGAGCCGAGCCCCTTTCCGAGCATAATGTTCTCCGATCCGATAACTGTCATGACCCTGGGAGCTGTGTTGTCCCTCCCATCTTGCATCTTGTTTTGTTTTCCTTTTCCTTTTCCTTTGTCCCTCGTTCCATCCCATCCCATATTATACTACACCTTTTCCCTCTATCCCTCTCCCCCGTTCTCCCTCTTCTCTCTGTTCAGTGTTCCTGATGACCGGTGTTTTTTTCCGATTGTTTGACGGGGTCTGGGTGATTTCGATGTGTTGAGACCATATGGAATCTGTATAGTTATTCCCTTGTTGTTCTTTGAGCCGACCAGACCGGATCGTCTTAGACTTGGCTGGGTTTCGTTGAGGCGCCGTTGACCGTTGTGGCCGTTTGCATATATATTGTGCAGTTTTCAGTTGTTATGATGATGAGCTTCTAGATTGAGCTTTGTAGAACGATTCCATAGCGTATATATTACATGTTGAAGCCTACCAGCTGTGTGGAGTACTGTATATAGAGCTGCATGTCAGGTGACTGCTGTTCGCCAGATCCAGCATCCTTCAGTTAAAGTATCATGGCGAGGCAGCAGTACGGCTGGCAAGTGGATTGGCTCCCAACTTGAGCCATATGCACATAGTAGTCAAACATAAGTACGACGTCTAAGGATAAAGAGATATTTGGCGCAGTATCCAAGGGCTCCTCCCTGCAGTGCCTCTGCAATAAGGAGCGAATCAAACAGTCTGGCCATATATAGTACTTACTACCGATAAGGGCGGGCTGGGGGATCTTTTGCGGAGATGCCGCGTTTACTTCCGGCTACTTGGCCTTTTGACTGTTTGACTCTCTCTTTTCCCCCTCACTCCCTCTCTTCCACCTCCAACTGCTGTCCTCCGTCCCTCCTTTCTTTCCCCCCCATTCATGCCTTGATCTGTCGCTCTGTACACTCTCGCGACACGCCTTCGCCATGAATGGCTTCTCAGCGCACGGCCTCGACGAGGATGCGTTCAGCGAAAAGTCCGGGCTGCAGGGCGGCCTGAAGACCTTTGATGCTTTCCGTATGTGTCTATTCCCTCCCAAATTACAATGCCAAAAAGAAATATGGCCCCGTTGGATAGGAGGAGTTCCTGATCCAAACTACATCCATCCTCCCACCACATACTCGGATTCCAAACAAACAAACAAGTCAACCAAACCCATACTAACCCTCCCTTCTCCCCCCTCTAGCCAAAACCAAATCCTCCTACACAGCCCCCTCCACCCGCGGCGGACAATGGACCGTCCTGGTCCTCCTAATCTGCACCGCCTTCACCTTCACCGAATTCCGTACCTGGCTGCACGGCACCGAGAACCACCAATTCAGCGTCGAAAAGGGCGTCGGGCACGACCTGCAAATGAACCTGGACATGGTTGTGCACATGCCATGCGAGACCCTGCACGTCAACATCCAAGACGCCTCGGGCGACCGCATCCTTGCCGGCGAGCTGCTGCAGCTCGAACGCACCAGCTGGCAGCTGTGGATGGACAAGCGCAACGGCGAGAAATACGGCGGCGCGCACGAGTACCAGACACTCAGTCGGGAGGACACCGATCGCGTCGCCCAGCAGGAGGCCGACGCCCACGTGCACCATGTGCTGGGCGAGGTGCGCCGGAATCCGCGAAGGAAGTTCGCCAAGGGCCCCAAGTTGAGGAGACGGGATGCGGTCGACTCGTGTCGCATTTATGGCAGTCTCGAGGGGAATAAAGTCCAGGGAGACTTTCATATTACGGCCAAGGGTCATGGATATGGCATGTTCGGACAGCATTTGGATCATGAGGGTTTGTCTTTCCCTTTCCCTCCTCTCTTCCCCCGATCACTCTTTCTTTTCCACCTCGGACTCGGGAGAAGTCACGCAAGTGATGAATCAACAACTAACCAACTATAATAAATAAAACCAGCCTTCAACTTCACCCACATGGTCACAGAACTCTCCTTCGGCCCGCACTACCCCACACTCCTCAACCCCCTCGACAAAACCATCGCGACCACCGAATCCCACTACTACAAATACCAGTACTTCCTCTCCGTGGTGCCGACCATCTACTCGAAAGGCGCCAGCGCGCTCGACGCCTACACCTCCGCGCCTTCCTCTCTCGCGCCCTCCCAATTCTCCAACACCAACAAGAACCTCGTCTTCACCAACCAGTACGCCGCCACCAGCCAGGGCGGCAATCTCCCCGAGAGCCCGTTCTTCGTGCCCGGCATCTTCTTCAAGTACAATATCGAGCCGATCCTGCTTCTGGTCAGCGAGGAGAGGAGTAGTTTCCTCTCGTTGCTGATTCGCCTCGTGAATACCGTTTCGGGGGTCATGGTCACGGGCGGCTGGGTGTATCAGATTTCGGGGTGGTTGGGCGCGTTGCTCTTGAAGAGGAAGGGGAGGGGGAAGTCTGAGGGTGTGTTGACGGGGAAGCATGATGATTAGGCTGTTTTTCTCTCTCTTTCACACACACACACACACACACACTCTCTCTCTCTCTCTCTCTCTCTCGCTCAACGTGTGTGGTGTGTGGTCTGTGGTGGGGGATTCTTGGTACCTAGTATAAGTTACCTACCTACCTACCTACCTATTCTTTCTGGGCTGTATTGATGTATTAATTGGTTGATTGGTTGATTGGTTGATTGGTTGATTGGCCTCTACTTGGGTTTCAGGTGCTGTTGGTGTTTTACTTTAGAAAATATCTGTTGTGTTGTTTCTGACATCCCTCCTCTGTTTGATAGTGGCTGGCTGGCGGGCTGGTTGGTTTGTAGATTGCTGCTTACTATTCCTGTGATAGTTGATTCATGGCAGATGGCAGATGACAGATGACGGACTTGAATTGTTTGTTACTATTGTGTGCAACTCACTAACTATTTAGCTTCTAGCTGCCTGTCTCGCTGTCGCTGTCACTGGTAGTGCCACTGTCTGTTGCATCTAGGCTACCTACCTACCTACCTACCTATCAGTATCTAAATCTAGATAGAGGTTTAGTATTGTCCTGCAATGACTGACTGACTGACTGACTGACTCGGTCACTGGCATATCGGCACATCAAATGCAAAATCGGCTGCAGTCACGTCAATCCATCAATCAATCAATAATCAATAATGAAATCAATCAATAATCAAATCAATCAATAATCAATCAAAGCTTGGTATATCATGCCACCCAGGTATACCTATACCTATACCTAGTAAGTACTCCATCCCCCATCCTCCCATCAATCCAGCTAGTCTACTAACTAGTAGCTAGCCTGCTAGCTAACTCAGTAAGCCCTCATCATACAAACATACATACATACATACATACAAACAAACAATAAATTCAACCGAACCCCCACGGTATCATAACTACAAGGACAAAACGCAACGAACCAACCAACCATCCATCCCTCCATCCGTCATAGAGAGCGTAGAGAGAGTAGAGAGGGTAGAGAGGGCAGAGAGAGACCTGGGTATCAGTTATCAATCTAGAGACAGAGTTCTAAACCCCAAAAATCTCCCCCATGCCCACGCCCGCGCCCTCCGCGCCCGCCCTACTATCCACCAAATCCAACCTCCACCCATTCCAATCCCTCAGCTTGGTCTTAATCTCACGGACCCACTGCACGCGTTTCCGGGCCTCCTCCTCGGCCTGCGCGCGCGCAAACTCCGCCTCGTCGAACTCGTCCTCGAAGTTCTCCTCAGAGAGCAATTCCAGGCTGCCGCGGGCGGCAGGGACATGGTGCGTCTGGTTGGAGGCAGCGCGGCCACGGGTTACGGATCCACTGGTGCTGTTGTGGCTGTGGCTGTGGCTGGTGCTGTTGCCGCCGGTGAAGGCGGCGATGCCGCTGGAGAGGACGGTGGAGAAGGATGAGTGTTGGGTGGATCTGGCGTTGGAGTTGGCCATGGCCATGCTACGGCGGCGGGCGTGGTCGGGGGTGCCGCCGATGAGGTCGACGTCGTCGAAGGTGTTGGCGGCTGAGACGGAGGTGGTGGCGGGGTTTTCGGGGGAGTAGTGGGAGTAGTTTTGGTGCTGTTGGGTCTGGTGGTGGTCGAGTTCATCGCGACGTTCCTTCCAGACGCCGCGGCGGAGGTCGAAGACCTCGCCTTCGAGATCGCGGATGCGACGGTGCAGACGGGAGCGTTCCTCGTCCTCGAGGTCGTCGATGGCGTCGTCGTCGGCGCCGCCGTCGCCGGACTGGCGTTTACGGAGGGCTTCCAGCTCTTCCTTCAGACGGAGGTTATCGTTCTCGACGTCGGCGAGGCGTTTGCGCAGCACGGCGGCTTCCTTTTCGGTCTTCTCGGACTCGCGGAGACGGGTCTGGTGGCGGGTTTCCGACTCCTTGTGCAGGTTGCCCATGGCTTCGAGCTTCTTCTCGAGGGTGTCGGTCTTTTTGTCCGTCTCAGCTTTCTCGTGTTTGAGTTCGTCGAGTTCCCGTTGCAGGCTCTTGATGAGGGTCTCCGTCGAGGTCTTATCCACGCCCTCCCTGACGGCTTTCTCGGACGCGCGGGTCAGCGCGCCCTTCGTATCGGATAGCTCGCGCTGCGTCTTCTCCAGGGCGGACTCGCTCCCGGATAACTTCTCCTCCAGCGCGGCGATCTGGGTCTCGTGGGCGCTGCTCGAGGCCAGCTGCGCGCGAAGGTGCGAGATCTCTAGCTCCATCGCCTCGATCGTAGCCGATTTCGATTCCAGCTGCTGTACCAGATCCGCTGGCGGGGACTCCGAGGGCGCCGGCACCGAGACACTCGCTGTATTCCGGTGCGTGCGGGTTTGCAGATGCGAATTCTGTCGCTGCAGGGACGCGATCTCTGCTTTCTATATCCAACCAACCAAACCATCAGATTAGCCCATCCCTCACATTCGTACCTTCACTTCACACCTTCAGGGCAAACCCCAAAAAGAAAGAGTCAGACTTACCAACTCCTCCACAACCCCCCCTAACCCCTCCGCCTTGCTCAACCTTTCCTTCAACTCGGCAATATCCACACTCGCCTCCCTCAAATCCTCCAACTGCTCATCCGTCTTCTTCCACCTCCCCGTCGTCTCCTCCAGCTCCCTCTCAAGCCGCTTATTATCCCTCTCCAGCTCCTCAATCCGCGTCGACTGCTTGCGATACACCTCCTGCACGGCCTCGCCATCCGCACTCAACGGCGGCAGGGACGGCGACTTCAACGACGCAGACGGCGCCGGCGAAGCACTGCCCTGCGACACGGACCCCTTCCGAAACGACGACGACCGCATCTTCGACTGGATCGAGAGCGAGGGTTGGCGTCCATGTGTGGCGGACCGCTCAGGTTTCGTAGTTGTGATAGCGGGTTGGGCTTCGGTTTCGGGGCCCGGTGAAGTGGGCGCGGAGGGTATGGGTTCAGTGGGGGATGAGTCGCGTTGTTCTTGTTGTTGTTGTTGTTGTTCTTCTTCTTCCTGTTGTGGTTGTGCTTCGGCCTGTGTACTTTCCTCCACCGGAGCAGGAGCCGGTGACTCGGACTTGATCTCAGCCTCATCCTTCGCATTTCCACCCTCAACAGCAGCAGCTACATCCTCCTCCTTTTTCCCCTCTTCAACCGGCACCGGCGACGTCAGCGCATCCCCAGCATCCTTAAGCCCCGGTTCAGGCGTACTCGACGCCGACTCATTCACCTCTTTCGTAATATCCGTGCTCGCCGCTTTCTTGCTCGCTTTCTTCTTCTGTTTCTGGAGTTGGGCCACCTATCCCCACAACAAGAACATTCACATTAATGTTTTTCCCGTGATGCGCATTGAGGGTCTCTAATCCGGAAAGAGAGCATTTGTTGGAAGAGAGAGGGGGAGGGGGGGGGGTGTTGTCCGCGGAGGTAGGTAATCAATAATTACACGAACGGGGAACGTACCCTTTTCTTTGCGGCGGCTAGCTTCTCGGCTTTGATGCGCTCTTCGTCGTCGGTCATTGTGTGGTGTGGTGTGTGGGATGGGAGTGAGTGTGGGAGTAGGAGGAAGTATGGGGAGATAGATGGATGTTGATGCTAGCTGGATTATTGATCGTCGGGCATCTTCTGCACGGGCGGCCGGAGGTAGACGGACACTCACTTGGAGTGGACAGCTTGCCCGCTGCCCGCTGCCCGCCAACGCACGGACCAATCCAATTGGGTCTGTCTGTACGGAGTAAGTAAGTACATCCAACTCGAACTGCCTCTCAACTACCGAGTTCTTATGGGGAAAAATGAAGTGGAAAATTTATAATCATCAATTTGTAATAAATACAGTCAGGAAGGAAGGAACGGAACAATGACAACGCCTCCATGGAACCTGCCGTGAGCGTTGCGTTTCCACCACGCAACGCTTCGTCGTCATCGTCATCATCATTATAGCAGCCGCAGCAGTCGCAACAGTAGCAGCCGTTCAATTACAATTAGGGGCCTGAATTTCCTCCCCTGTGCCAGTTATAACGCCCCTAGCCTGTGCAAATGCAGGTTGAATGCAGGAGACATAACAAAACAGAACAGAACAGAATGAACACGAACACGATCGCGAGCGCGAACGCCTCACATGAGCGAGCGAGCGCACGCGGTCAACTAAAATGACAGCGCGGGTGAAGTGAAGCCAATCGAATAAGCGGGACATTGCGCGGAATGGGATAAAAGTCAGGGGAACAAGAAGAAAAAGAAGAGTGAGAAAAAGACAGAAAGTGGCAGCGCGGAGAGTCAATCAGACTTCCATCGAGTCAGCAATTTCCTCGCTCATCGCCCGAACGGTCCCTTTGCTACCGGATCGAGACCGGAACTCCTCGTCGCTGAGTAGGTAGTTGTCGTATTCGTCCACGACCGGATGCGCGGGTTGCGACCGATCCACGTCGTCGTCGCTTTCGCTCTCCAGTTCGACGCCCTCGCCCAGCCAGTAGCGAGCCCGCTTGCTCGAGCTGAGATCCGGTGTCATGTACCCGTCGTCGAACGTTCTCTTGGTTGTCGGCGTAGCGACTCCCTCGCTGGGCGTGTGACTCAGGATGGGGATCGCTCGCAGGTAAAGATAACAGACCCGTTTCCGCAGTCGGTTGAAGAAGAAGTAGTGGAGGCTCCAAATCGCTCCATCATCCGCGTCAGACGGGTCTTCGTCCGGCGAGTAAGAATACAGCGAGCATTCCTTGAGAGACATGTGCTCGTCGATAATCCTCCACATCCGTGGTCCCCAAGTCGAGGACGCGCCCGCATTATATGAACCGGAGATCGTTACGGGCGATGGCGGTGTCAGATCGATGGCTTCGCGGGGCCGGAGGTTGAACAGCGTCGAGTCAATCGTGTTCATCACCCGTTTGAGATTCCTTTCGCGGTGGAAGTCTGACGGGCGCAGGACATGTGAGAAGTCGTAGTCTGGATGGCTGGCGTTCAATGTCGCGATCAGATAGGCAAATGTTCTCCGGCTCGAATGGTCACTCAGGGGGCCAAATGGACTCGAGCGGGACAGATTGAGCGACGCGGCCGCGTCCGTGGCATTCGGGGGCGACAGAGAAGCCGACAGGCGAAGGACCGACTCATACTGCGCCTCTAGACTCTGTTCGATGTTCTTGTATAGTTTCCGATCGGCTCGAGCAGCCTTGGTCGTGTAAAGGTCGCAGCTCCCGGTGATGTGGCAATCAGCGGTGTCGAAGCTGAGCGAACTCGTCACGTCCTCGAATTCGGGCAAGGGGAGAAACTAAACAGGAGATCATAGGTAAGCATCAGGCCATTACACACAGGACGCAGCGGCGCAACGCAGGTACACACCTTCATCTTCGGCCAGAGTTGCGGTGAGTCGCTGGCGGAGATAAGGCGCGCGGTCAACAATAAGCTGGTCACGCAATGACCAGGAATGAAGAAGATGCTGGTTGCAACAGACAGAGCCTGAAGGTATGTCTGGTTTGGTGGGGGTTAAACACCGGGGGGTTCTTTGTCTCTGGAGACGTCACGAAACCGGGGCGATAAGGGAGGGAGTCAGTGAATGAGCTGGCGGGTGGGGACGTTGCTACGTTGGCGTTGGCAACAGAAGAGAGGGGGCGAATTAACAACAAGTGATGATGGCAAGGCCAGTCGCCATAGCAAACAAATGGGAGATGCAGAGGATGGAAAGAGGCTCAGGAGGGGACAGGGAGATGGACCAGCGACGAGGGGAGTGGCCTGGCCTGGGGGAGTTGCGCGCTGCGCCCCGAGGGGACCATCCGGTCACGTGCGGGGCCGCGATCGGCCAGTGATATCACGCTCCCACCTCACGGGTTGCCGGCTGAACCAAGGATGGGAAGTGGGAAGACCGGCGACTGAAACCCCCCTCCTCCTCCTCCTCCTCCCTCCTCACCCCAAGATTCCCTCCTTCGCTAAGTGGCCGAAGACTTCCTTGGATTCCTGATCATGGTCCTGAAGCACAGTCAAGGTGGTATTAATTAGTCTCTGCAACTGCAAAAGTGCGACAGTAGAACACAACGCCTATGTACGTCCAACGCCAATATAGCTGCCACGCTTGCCCAAGCACAGAACAAACGAACGAACATCCCAAACAGTATAAACAGAAACGTCCGCTGGCCGGAGCGGCGTCTACATGATCTTCGTAACAACATCTTCCTCAACCTGAGGCGGCATTAGCTTGCACCCACAGGCGGACGAGTCTGGCGGTGACACGATGGGATTGTAGGGGCAAATGGGATCAGAGGAAACAAGACGTGAGAAGTAGGGAAGTATGAGGGTATTCGGAGCGCGATGGCGGACATGTAGGTGGCTGGTAATCATGTGGAGGTCTCGGAGGGAAAGGGGCGGAGCGGAACAGGAAAAACAGGCAGGTAGTGCTTGGGATCCCGTGGACAGGGGGCAGCAGAAGCAGACTTGAAGAGATGTGATGCATCCAATGTCGCACCTCCGGCCCATCCCATCTCGGGTTGCTTCTAAAAAGGGGTTGAAGAAACAAATGTCGACTCACCTCCATATCTTCCAAGCTGTCCTGCTGGCTGATGCACCGAAGAACGTTCTTCTTGCTGCTTTCCTGCATCTCCCCAGCCAGGAGGAGCTCATCTAGGATGAAGTACGCCTTCTGGAAGTTGAAGATGATGTCCAGCTCGCACACATTGCCGTAGTACTTGTCCATCTGCTCGACATAGCGGTGGACGACCTCGAGGGTGATCAATTCGTTATCGGTGGAGGCGCATCCGGCGATGAAGAACAGCGAGGCATAGCGACGGTAGACGACCTTGGTGTCTGAGGAAGGAGGGAAGGGTCAGAATGAGTCCGGTCGGGGTCGGTCAGGAGCTGAGCTGCGGGGGTGTGTCCAAGTGAGGGGGGAATTGGCCGGGCGACGGACCTTTGTATTCGAGGAAATTGCACATGCGGGTGCGACGCGACAGAACCAGCTGGGTCACATCCTTGATGATCTTTGCCTTCTCCTTGGGGGAGAGAGTGGTGAACCATTTGGCGAGGCGCTGGAAATTTGCTCCATCAGTCAGTCGGCTTCCGGCCAGGTCAGACAGTTGGGTGGGCGACGAAACGAACCACTTTGCCCTGCCGCGACAGGAGGATCAGGTAGCTGGGAACAGAGGTTAGCGCATTTCCGGGCGATGCGGCGGCGGTTCCATCTCACTGGATTGCCATCGTGACGAGCTGAATTGATGGGGGTGAATGGGGAGGGTGAGGGAAAGGCCACGAGGGGGAGTTGTGGAAGGGAGAGCGAGAGTCGGCCGCGCGGGAGAAATTCTTTGCACGGGCCGCTTTGTTGCTGCCCCGCCAGCCGTTCTCTTTCCTCTCCTTCATCCAACCCCTCCAGTATAGTTATTCTGGGACAATAGAGGAGATCTTATATCTGATAATTCATCTTTACTCTGTATAGTACTTATTATCTTGCAGCCCGTCCATGATCGCCACGGAATGAAGTCACCTATTACATCAGTTCTCCATCACCACAGCATTCATCTCATGTGATTTCAGCTGACTCCGATCAATATCAGCCTCATCAAGAGCCTCACATCATACATATCAGGGGCTGTCAGTTCTGTCAGTTAAAAAGGCTTGTCTGTTTAGTCTGGTCTTCAGCAAACCATCTTGTTCTGGCTCTGGTTGAACACTACGAATGCCATACACTCATGATCTGCGGTTATCTTTCCGCTGAAGTCGTCAATATCCCAATCTCCCTATGAAGGAACCCTCAAGACCTTCAGCATATTACTATCTAATAACCATCATCTCCACAGCTATAAAGTCGACATAATACACATCCCAACCTCATTGAATTCCAGATCTCCTGCCAACTCCATACGTAGTTCTCCAAACCGCTCTACACCTCCCTCCCTCTTCTCCGTTAGATCCCCCCCTATTAATATTACTCCGTCCCAACTCACAACCCTCCCCAGGACAAGAAGAGACAAAGGAAGAAACCTCCGACCACGGAGAAAGGGCAAACCCCAACCCCGTGCCCCTTCGTACCAGCTCCGTAGGTCACACAAAAACGAACAACGTACGTAGGTATCTAGATAGTTCCTCCCTTCGGCCCGATCCATCCCATCCCATCCCTCGAGACAGCTGTCATCCCAACCTCAATCCCAACCCCATTCCTCCGGTCATTCACCTTCTCATCACCACCAAACAGCCCCTCTTTATCCCAATTCTCCTCCACTCCCCTCCCCTCCCCCAAGACCACCTAGATAACCTTCAATCCAAAATCCCCTCATGCACGAGAGAACCCCCCTCCCCCCTCCCCAAGACAGACAGACCAGTAAACTACATAGTAAGTGATCCAGGCCGGCCATCCCGGCCCCGCATAAACCCCAACCCAATCAACATGGAGATGACACGTCCCAACCGCATCCTATCCTCACCTTCAGGCTCGACATAACAGGGGACATCCAGGCACGAACCGCATCCAGGTCTCTCATGAACATGAACCTTCTTCTCCCCGGGCGTCAGTCACGACACGACAATCCGTTACTGAACGGGGTGTCCGTCAGATAGATAGATCCTGCGTGTCAGCCCAGGATCTGGAAATCTGGATGGATCAGTAGCTAGCTAGCTAGTTAGCTACGTACGTGTCTGGCTACCTAGGTCGCTGGCCTTAAAAACAAGGATAATAATAATAATAATAATAATAATCCACTCAATCCCCTCGCTTACTGTGATTTCTGCTGTGTGATCAATCACAAACCTGCTAGTGGATGGGTGAAACTGAAGTGTGAAATGTGAACTGCTAACTGGGTTATCCCATCTTATCAGACCTGCAGCTGACGATATCACGAGGAAGGGGATTTTTCTATTTTCTTGATGAACGGACGGATGGGGGGGTGGGCATACGGGCTGTGCAGACTCGACTGCAGACTGCAGGATGCAGACTGCATCAGTTCGCAGGTGTCACAACTTAAATGTGCGGGTTCTTGGGTTGGGTTGGCGCTCTTTCCCATCCAGCTACTACCACTTACTTACTTACTTACTTACTTGCCTCCTACCTGTCTACCTACCTATTTGCCCAGTACCTTGCTGGCTGATTGGCGGCTGGCTGGCTGGCTAGAAAGACACACCTAACATCTCACTCACTCACTTTCCTCCATCCGGACACACAAAATCCCGGTAAGTATTGGCATGGAGTGCAAGACAGTACCTAGGTAGGTAGGTAGATACGCACGAAGCATTGACTTACAAGGAAACTTAAAGTATGTATGCAATCCGTATGTGTATGCACATCCATAGTTACCCCAAAACTCATATACCTTACTAAGAGGTACTCCATACACACTAATCTCCAATAAAGTATAATATCATCACCATCATCACCACCCGTCCTTCCCTTCCCTTCCCTTCCCACCTACATAATCATCATAACCAGGCACAGCAGACCAGGACTCCGTACAGTGTATCCGGATACAAGTGGAGCAGAGCAGAGAACCACCCCCCAACAGACTGTACTTGGAACCAGACCAGACCAAACCAAGGGAAACCTCCGATTCCTCAATATCCTTACATACGGTACGTACGTATGTATAGGTACCTGAGCCCGCACTCAACCAGGGCATCCAGTATCTATCTAGTCAGTGTCTGTTGATCGGTGATGGCGCGGAGTCCCGTCGGTAGGGAACTTCCCAGTTCCCAGCAATGCGGACGGGGCCCGATCCGATCGGCCCTAACCTAGTACTTAGTTACACACTACAACAATCATACCTAATAATGGTACTTCTTAGGTCTTCACACCTAACTAGATGGATAGATATGTCCTAGGCTAATAGTGCAAGTTCAGCTCAGTCCAGTGCAGTCCAGTCCAGTCCAGTCTACACACCAAATACACAGAGATAAATATTAATAATAATAATACTAATACTAAGTGTACGGACCTCCGTACGGAGTATAGTACTACTTAAATATATATCCACCGTACCATGCAAGGACACACAGTCCACAGTCCACAGTCCACAGTCCACAGTCCACAGTCCACAGTCCACAGTCCACAGTCTCCATTTCACATTTCCCACCGATACAGCCTCAGCACGAGTGAGTGAGTGAGTGAGTGGGTGGGGTGGGGAGGGTAAGTCGATAGAGTTGAGCTGAGTTGAGTTAAATCAATTGTCCCCACGGGGCCCACACACCCTCTCGACAAAAGTACAGTACGTAGATACGTACGTACGTGCCCTTCTATCCGTAGACCTAGACTACTCCGTATGGATGGAGTACCTCGAACTATCTAGAAATTGAGCTCAATGGCCCCATCCATAATATAAGTAGTAATCGAAATGATCCGCCCACCTCAGCCGCTCGCTCGCTCAGGTACTCGTCGGGTAGATACGCAAGACAGGGCGATGCAATGTTGCAGATAGATAGATAGATTACTCCCGGGCTGACGAAAACCGGGAAGTGCTGCGCCCTCTCTGATTCTGAAGGAGCGGCGGGGCGGATAAATGAATGGATGAATCACTGATGGGCGAGCGAGACTTTTAGCGATCCGATCTTCTTCCGAGAAATGCAGGTGGCAGGGATCCTACCCCACGGTTTGGCCTGAGCTTGTAAGTTAGCGGACGGGATCGGATCCTGTGGACGGACTGACCGTATCTATCTAGTCTAACTAGTGGGTGGGCTTACAGCGCGTGGTTCAACTTTACTACCTAGGAATATAGGCAAGGTACTTTGTGCTACACTACGTATGTACTGTGGTAGTGGTACTCGGTCTCGCTGGGTTGGTTACTCTCTTTTACTGCCTACCACCCAACACTCGGCACTCACTTTTATTTACCCATTTGAGGCCTTTTGTGGGCCGTTGTTCGGGTAGCGCAGTGGCGGTGGATCGAGCTGGGATTTGGAATCCAGCCCCGTGGTCTACTGTCTACTGTCTAGACCGGGATTCAAATTCGAGGCGTTGGCCAAGAGTTTCCAGTCTTCGGGTTTCCAGGCTTCCAGGCTTCCAGCTGGTAAGCAGATGTGGCTACTCAGAAACTTGGAACTCAAAACATGCAATTCAAGTAGAAGACTCAATTTAGATGTTGCTAACTCTGTCGCATCTCATCCTCGTAAGCACCTTATCATCACTATCACAATCATAGTCATCGCACATAAACCCGTCACCATCCGATGTCACGCATGAACATCACGCATAACCGCAGAAATACAACCGTAGCACTCAGCACGACGCCCCCAGCCACAACAAAGACAAAGAAAAGGAACGTCTCGAACGGGCCCATGCCCAGGGCCCTGGACAGCGTGGAACAAAGATGGCCCTTGACGGCCGCGAGATCATCGGCATAGTATGCTTCTTTTCCGGTCCGTTTACCTGTCTGCGGAACATATTTGAACTCAAATCGAGTGCGAGACTTTCTCTGCACGATGCCGCCGTACATCAGGGCTCGGAAAGTCTGTATAAATGTTAGGTATGCATGGGGTCAGAGATAGTTAGGGTCCAACATACTCGGATAAGCAAATCGTCCAAGACAGGGAGTATCCATTGGAGCCACGCGATGACCGTGACTAGTATGCAGTGGCCAGAGAATGACAAATAAGCCAGGGCCCCTGGCTTGCCAAGCTCGAGCTCATCACAGAGCTCGTCGCCGTTGATCCACCGGCTGCCGGCTTCAATGAAAGCCTTCGAGATCTGGAACGGCGTTGGCAAGTTTGTGACACACTCCACGAAGTTGAATGCCACGGTGCGCGAGGTATCGGTGGTGCGGAGCTCATGCACTAGTAGGCTTTCCATCGTACGCTTCCCTTTCTCGACGGTTTCGAAGTAGGACGTTGGGGTTCCGAGAAGAAAGGCCAGGTATCGGAACAAGGCAATATAATCCCTGACTTCATCGGGCGTGGGTTGGATGCCAAACCTGGGCAGTTGGAGCCACATGGGGTTGCAGCAGAACGTGCTGATTGAATGAACCGAGTCCAGGATATTGACGGGTACCCCGAACCGCTCCGTGTCAAAGTATTCCGGCCTGGTTTGACAGAGTTGGAGGATGCGCTGGCGTACAGAGGCGTGAAGTAACCTCACCCGGACGCTCGCGATATGCCCTTCCCCACCGGGTCGGATGGAATCAATGCAATGTGTAACTTGTATCAGCCATTGGAAAGTCTCCAACAAGCGCCCAAGAAGCATACGGGTGGAGAAGCCCCCGGTTCGAACGAGGACCTCAATTACCCCTGGTGCCGCCTATTGAACGCCATTAGAACTTCTCGCACCAAGGACGAGAACAAAGAACATACCGAGTTTTCTGCCACAAATCCTTGCAATGCAAACCCCACCATGTTAGCAATTGCGTAGCGATAGAAAAACCGTTGGCCTCGTGCAAGTTGTTCCCAGTCCACCCAGGCAGGCACTGTATTGACTTCGGTCCAAAACTCGGTCAAGACATCGTCATCCCCACGGTGGTCCCGTAGTAGAACATAGAGGTCATTGGGCGGGGGACTAGTTCCCTTTGCCTTGCTCTCTTCCACCAAGGCAATTCTTATAGCCTGTAGCCTCTGAAGCGCGGTAGCCGCGGTGGTATCATACTGCTGACGCAGCGGCTCAATCTCCTCCTTGGACAGATGGTCGCTGGTCCAAGTGAAGGAGTATCCCCAGCTGCTGACTTTCTCGCCAATTCTCGGGAAGCAGGACGAGAAGCTGGCCATGGTGATATCCAAACGAGTAACGATTTAGGGAGTTGGAAGGGAGCGTCGAATACTGAGAACAAAGCCAAGTCGCTGATGGTCGGCCCATCGGCGCCTGAGCTAGGGTTTATATCCAATCCATACTGCCGTGTCAGGCCGGATACCCATAGCCAACAGCGCAAAGAACCTCATCATTGCTATTAAAAAGCAATGACGTTCTGACCACCCCTCAAGTTCACCCGTCCTTTTGGTACGTGATACTCCGTAGTAAATGCCACTAAGGATGCATCATGCTGCGGGAGCTCAATCCCGTGGCTGCGAGGCGAGACACCTCGTGGGACCCGCTACGCCCTCCGACAGGCACCCAATAAGAGGACAGCGATCCGATGTAATCTTTTCCCACCATGATTTTAGACTGGCGATCCTGACTATGGGCCGGGAAGGAATCCGAGCATAGTGAAAAAAGTAGCAAGTGGGACGGGACAACCCTTAGGGCGATGCCCAATCGTACTGTGTACTACCCGGTTCAGCCATTCCTCCGGGACAGCTTTCCAAGAATACAATGCTGAGACCGTACTTAGGCCCGGGAACCATGGTCTCCGTTTTGATGAGGACACTCTGCCCTGAAGAAGCAACACGTTAGCTTTTGAGCGTCAATCCGATAACGGAGAAGCATAGGTACCAAGGCGTCTCCTGTACGTACTAATATAGACTGAACCCGATAAAATCGTCCACCACAGAGGCATATCAGGTTTACCCGGCGCGAGACCTTGATCCTGTTATTGTACCGGATCTTATCGAACACTGTCGAGACTGCAATAGCAAGACGGGAAAATACTTAGAAATGGAACAGATTGGTCTGTCGAATTTCCAGATTTCTTGCTTCATCTTTCTTAAACGGAAACAACCGTTCCATCATACCCCCGGGCCGATCAAACGCCACGGTCTTGAGGTTGCGTCCAAATGGCTCCAGGTGCATCCACGCAGGGATCCCCGAACTCATGCTGCGGATAACTAGTCAGTCTGCGGGCCAATGCTTTGCGACGGCCGTCAGCCCCAGCAGCGACGGAGGGCCTTCGCGCATTAACTGGCTTGCTGGTCAAGGCCAACCTTGCAAGTGTAGTTGATGTATAACAAGTGCAGCCTTGTTGTTAACCGACCGGTTTGTAGGTTACCAACGGAAAGTTTAATTGGTTTTTCTTGTCGGATTGATTTTTTGGACTACGGATGAATGTCACAAACATAGGCGATCGCATGGGCCCAATGGATCACCAAAGTCCCATCATCCTATTACCTGTTGCATAATAGTTTTGTTCTTTAGTATAGTCGAAGCAGAGGTATGACACAAGTACTTTGTGGTACTTGCCTATATATAGGTAACATGCAGCCGTTCCAGTCAGTGTACCAACATTCAATTATCTTGACGGCATACTTTTCTTCTCATCTCTCCCCTTACCTGAGTCTTGAAGTCCTCATAGTCAGTGGTAATTCAACATGGCGCTCACTCAGGTTCAGCAAAGCCTGTTCCCACCCCAGGTCAAAGCATTTCAGCAGGACAATTCTCTTACTATACGCCTGCCTGAGATGTTTGTCTTGTTCTTATCTGGCGAACCAACAGTAAACCCCCACTATGAGAGCGTCAGGAAGGTGTCAGAGGAATGGCTAGTCAGGTAAGTGTGTCATGGCGTATGTAGTATGTCTCTAACCCAAGTGCCCTACTGCAGGGAATGCTCATTCAACGAGAAAGCCCAAAGGAGACTGCACAAGACCGACTTTGCCTATTTCTGCGCCATAGCTGTTCCAGACGCCGAGCCTGAGGAGCTTCGGACAGTCTTTGATTGGGGAAACTGGGTTCGTTTCATCCATATGCAGGTATCTTATGATCGGTAGAAGAGTCCGCTAATGAGTATGTTTCAGGTGTTTCCATTTGACGACCGTAGGTGCCGCCCCGAGTATCGTGTGGGCCTTTTGAAAGGCTAAATCTCCGTTCTAGTCTTTGACAATGGGTGTCTCAAAGATGATCCACATCGGGCCGAAGCACTAATTGATAGTTTGAAGGCTGGTATGGTTGATCAAGGTGAATATATGCCTGTTTCTGCAGATCATCCCTTGGTTCAGATACACAATTCAGTGTGGCATCGCATTGCCAAGGTAAGTTTTCACTGTGTCGTTCAAAAGCGCGTTCTGATACTGAATGATGATTACAGGCTAGCTCTGTCGGTATGTACCTTTTAAAGATATCAATTTGAATGCCAATTAATGCTGTATTGCAGGCATCCGTCGGAGGTTTGCAACTACCATGCGCGATTATTGCACTGGATGTATTGCTCAAGTGCGCAAATGCTCCGAAGGGAAACTTCCGTCGCTTGAGGAAATGCTGTCTTTGCGCAGGCAGTCAGCAGGCGTGTCACCGCTGTTTTCCTTGGTAGAGTATGCTATCAGTTGCGTGTTGGTGATTTATGTATGCTAATATTATTATTTCGCAGGTATGCCCATAAATTAGAGCTACCAGACTGTGTGTTCGAGTGCAAAAGCATCCGGGAAATCGAGAGGATAGGCATCGATCTTGTCTTAATGTAGGCCGCCCTAAGCCACAACCTGGGACCTGCTAATGGGTCTTAGACAAAACGATATCCTTTCCTACTGCAAGGAAGAGGTGAGTAATTTCCAGGACCACATTCAAGATGCCAACAAGATCATTTGCTGATTCACTCACAGAAAGAAGGTGTACGCCATAACATGGTCGCCATCTGCCGGCATAACGGCATGCCCGCGCAGATGGCATTCAACCATATTGGCAGCATGCTCGCTGAGCGTTACCGAGACTGGTATCTTGCATTGGCAGCCCTTCCAACCTGGGGCGAGCCGGTCGATGCCGACGTCCAGAAATACATCCGAGGCGTGCAGAATGTCGTCCGCGCCAATCTTCACTGGAGGTATGTGAGGCCAGGCAATTGCTTCGTAAATCCACTAACTGTAAACAGCTTCCGATCAGGGAGGTATTTTGGACCAGCAAACGACAAAGTGCGAAGGACGGGACAGGTGACGGTGCGAGGACAAAGTGCTGATTTCAAGCTGTCATTCATGTGAGAATGGTCGCGACCTTTGGACTATCGGAGTTTGGGTGACAACAGGCGTTTTCCTTCCTATTTTCCTCCTCGTTTGCCTCTTGGGATCCGGCTTTCAATTGTGGATGACCCTTCGCTGTTAATATTTGAGGTTCACACGATGCACTCATTGCCCTGGGATAGCCAATCTCGTAATAATAATGAGATGCCCGTGTTTGATGGACAGTGTTGCACCGAGTAATGATTGGGGTGGGTTGGACCGAATTGGCTTGACCTTGAAAGCAAAGAAGATGGCTGATGTGTGTTGAGAAGTAGATGGGGAGGAAGAGAAAGAAGAGGAAGAAGCGGCGGGGATTCGAGGAAGTCACGTTGCAAGAGAAGGCCTGCCCAAAGGGGAAGCCACAACAACCTCCGGCCTCTTCGCTCTTCTCAACCCCGCATCACTCACTCACTCTCCATCCCCAACCAACATCCCCGGCACTATTCCCAGGTGCTCCTCGTTCAAACCATCTCTACTACTGCGATCTATCTACTCGGTCGACATCGCGTCCATCTTCCGAGAGATCCGCAGGCTAACAGATGTGAAATGCTGATAAGGTTCATGGTTTCATAATCTAGTGCTCATAGATACATAAATCGATCTTCGCCCCTCTGCCCTCCTAGCTCAGCTAGTTAATATGGGCGCTTCACCAGTGAAGCAAGAAGACCAAAGCCAAAACGCTAGACAGTTATGATTCTTTACAAGGCCGCAAACGCAGGGAAATACCACCGATCCGAAAAGAAATGTACAGGGCCTGACCCAGCCAAGGCCAACCAGGTTGTGTTTAAGCGCACTCCCAGCTGGTTGCACTCGTGACCTCGCCACCGGTATACCGTGCCTTTTTCGGGAATGGGCATACGGGACGCTGGATTTCCACTCCTTGCGACACGGTGTCATCCTTGTACTTCGTCGCAATGAGGTAATCCGGGGCCTCGTCGTTTTCCGTCCACGCAACCAGAGCAAGAACACTGTCATGGTACCGGTCCTCGTAGCCGGGTACACTGGTACTGTTATCGTTCAAGTACTGTGTGGGCCCGGCGATGTACCACGGCGCATACTCGGATGAGCTACAGTGGCCCATACCGGGGATATAGAAGAAGCGGTAGAAGTCGTCCAAATCCACATCCGACTGCGCAAAAGCCTGATCAACCTGTTCATAGAAGTACCGGCTCTCTTCAGTCGGCACAATCTGGTCTGCGTGTCCGTGGTAATGGAGGAGCTTGCCGCCCCGTTGTTGAAATTCGGACATGTTATATTGATTGGGCACATTGCCGCCCGGATTGATGGAGTCTGCCAATTGGACAACGTCGTAGTAGTTCAGGGTTTTCCAGTCGATACTTTCGGTCTGGTTGAGGATCCAGTATTGGATCCAGTCTGTACCAAGGGTATTTGGTGAGGCACCTGATGCCATATGCAGGGCAGCACCAAGTGAAAATGTTGGGAATACCCAGGTCGCGTTCACGTCGACCCAGGGACTGATCAAACGCCTGGCGGTCTCCATCTGCGCCGGATTGAGACATGAACTGGAGTTACTCGACGAGTTGCAAAGTATACCTTCTAGACGGAAGTCGCAGCCTCGAGGGTCCATGATGATTTGGTCGGTGACCCCATCTTGAGGGTCGCACTGTCGGAAGACCTCTGCCCTCACAGCTGCTAAGTGGCTTTGTTCTAGATGATGAGAGGAGTTTATCGGCAAATTCTGCGCTCCAAACCAGGCGATAAACGGTGCTAAATGAGTCATCCACCACGCAGGTGATCCAATGAGCACCCCATCAAAGTCTTCTGGAAACTCTTGGATCTCTTTCAGTCCTTGTCTTCCTCCTGTGGAACAGCCCGTATAGTACGAATACTGCGCTGTCTGTCCGTAGTATGATGCTGTGAGGTCCTTCCCTATGACGACACTGCCATGGAGTGCTCGCCAGGCCCAGTCTATGATGGACTCAGGATGGTTGTACGCCCATTTACCATCTTCCTGTCCAGAGAAATGGCCTGTATCTGTTGAAATGACAGCAAATCCATAATGGGCCAATCGACCCATGTCGTGCCAGGCCGTGAAGCCACCATACCCACCATTACCCGTGGCCATGAAGCGCGTGTTCCACGAGGATGGCAGGTACATGGCAATGTTATAGTGAGAGACATTGGAGCTTTGTACCTGCACGCCAACGGCACATCCTTCTGGCAGAGACGTGGCATTGGTATCTGCCCATCTGTCACCAAACGTGCCGTTTTCAGGGACATGGGTCACATAGTTCAAAGTCGCGTTGGATGGGATGAGAGAAGAAAAGAATGAGCTCGAACAAGTAAGGTTGTTGGCGGTAGCACTGACACCCCAGGCCAGCATGGGCAGGAAACTTCGAAGTTGCATTGCGAAAAGACTCGATGCTGGAAAAGCTAATGACTGACGTATTCATAAAGTAGATGTGCAGCACCCCACGGGTCTTCATCGAATTTATATCGCGCCATACCGGTAACAGGGGGCTCAACGACCGCCTCGACAAACCGTACCAGCGACACGTATCCAAAAGATACCCTATGCTGGCAGCACAAGTCATCTTGGCCCCGATGATCATCAACCCCTATTGGAGACCAATCCTGCACCAATGACTTGATCTACCTGATTTTGACCGCGTAGGTACATAACCTTATCTCGTTAGAAAGCTGGGTCATCCACCGGGACATTCAGGTCCATGTTCCCCAGGCCAGTAAGCACGCCCGCCACTCCATACGCCCTGAATGATCAAGGCCACGGGGGATGCTCCACCTTAACCATGAACCTCCCCAACGGTCACCAGAACCGGGACTCGTCATTGGGCAAGATGGGATGCCGAAAAATCAGGGCTGGCCAAGCTATGGTTCATGTCCCCGCCTACCCCAAATCCCCATCATTTCCCCAAAGCCTCAAAGATCTCTCGGACGATAGGGAGTAATCAACCGTCATGGTGGGTTTGGATTCTGCCGCGGCAGTTGCTTCGCAGATGTCTGAGTATCTTTTCTATAACGATATAGCCTTGCTAGATCTCTTTTCATCAGGATTTCGGGCTACATCTACTATCTTCCGGTTCGCAGCTTTCCTTGCAGCAACAAATCTCAATACAGGAAGCCAGAAGACGCGGCATACTGCGTGAATCGATAGCCGGACTGCCCACGATAGTTGACACACATCGTTGTGGCGGCGAAGAGAGCCGATCAGGGCGCGTACCATGGTACATGGTCTTGCCATAACCTTCGACCGAGCTTCGAGAAAGTGCGTCATGGGGAGGGATCCTCAAAAAGGGGGAAATAATTGGAAAAAGAGTGAATGAGTAAATGCGGGGTTCGCTACGAATTACGCGGCTTAAATATGAATACTGTGTCTAGCGGCAACTGTATTGAAGTCCTCGCAGGAACATGATTTAGCCGCTATGAGAGATTCCGTTATGTGCTGGCGGCATGGACGATCAATTGATTGTCATCCGCTTATGCATGCCAGTAGTTACACCGCGACATCTACATCATATGACAAACCACCAGTATATGCAAAAATGTGCTCCCTCAATGCGTCTGGGTGGAAGTGGGCATCCACGAGAAACAATGCAATGAATACATACACTGTTCCTAACAGAACCACATGTTGGAGTACAGTTGACCCGGGTGGCACCAGACATGGCTCTTCCGGGGATACTGCTGAAAGATACTAGTCGTGGGCTAAGAAGAGGACCTCATCTGTCGGTATTTGGGGTTTCGTTTTTCCACGCCAATCAGGCCAAGGCATCCACCCATATCAAATTGGCCACCACTCCTGTGTCTTTGTGAGGACTGTTCCCTGGTAGACCCTACCATAGCAGAGCCCTGGCTACCAGTTTGCATGTGCCCACTCGTCATGAATTGGCCACCCTACTTGCCACTTCATCCTGGGACAGAGAATCGGCCGAGTCGACCATTTCACATGCAAGTGAGCCAAAGGATCCATTGCCAGCTTTCCCTTGGGAGGAAGATCTCCCAGCCATTTTCACCGGAGCGCAAGCTGCTTCCTGGGAACCCTGATGGTGCCGGTCGTCTGTGAGTCCGTGATCGCCGGAAACGGAAGTCATGACCATCTGACCTGGCATACTGACATAAGCCGATTACGCAAGTTGCATCCATCTTGGAGTCAGATACCTTGATCACGTTCATGGGGTAAAATGTAGGTGAGGACATTGGATTTTAGTATATTTGACATACTACAGTCCGGATACTAGAGCTTGGTACTTATATCCACACAAGCTCAGGAATGTTAGCCAGACACCCAAACTAGCAAGCACATGATTCTTATGTTGTCGGAAATGTGCCGCACAGATCGAATGCCATTCAGATGTGGGCAAAGGGGTGGCCATCCCAAGCTGTCAGATGTCGGTGGATGTCGGTTAGTATTCGGGGCGTTCAAGGCTTTCGGCCTCGTCCAAAAACAATCCGAAGATAGATTCTATAACATGCTCGCGTCGCAATTAAACTAGTCTTGTTATGTGCCGTCACCTGAACATGCTGCTCGCTGTGATCGGACTCATCCTATGACGAACCAAAGCTGGTGATCCATAAGTACGTCCTGTCAACACTTGTCGCCGAGCCATCTCCTTAGATCTACCTCAGATACTGCATACATGGACGGCATCACCACCCACACTCTGCAAGTATGTGGACCATAACTATCAACCTCTGAAGGCTTCCAACCCCCCGGGAAATGCAATCAACCCCTAAGATATCTCTACCTAATTAAGCAGGAAATCCTTCGGAAGAGACTGTCAAGTATACTACTAACGAGTCGGCACGGGATGTGGTCATTGCGTGTGACCCAAACCCAATCAATGCTCGGTTGAATTATTGCTGGAATCGGGGGAAAGAAGATGGATATACCTCGAGCGGTTGAGCAGATAGCCTTTTCTTATTGCCGCGCAGAGCATTGGATAGGTCACGTTTTTCTTTTTCTGGTATGTTCATCGCTCCATCCATATATAGTTCTTTACGGAAAGTTAGTTTGCATAATATAATATAACATAACCCGTCTCCCCTCCCCTCTCACTCACTCACTAACACCCGCAACCGAAAGAAAAAAGCAGAAGCAGAAGCAGAAGCAGAAGCAGAAGCAGCTCGATTCAATATTACATACTATCAAGTACAGGGCAGAACCAACCAACACCAATACCAGTACCAAGTACCAAACTCCCCAACCGAACCTATTACCCACACTCCTCCCTCAGTATCCAACCCCCGATAATTATTATAGTTATATAAAATTAACATAGAACGCCCCCTTTCCCATTTCCCCTTTTTCCCTCCCATCATATAATCCAGAAATCATCAGGATGAGTCGATCGATCAATCGATCAATCAATCAATCAATCCGATATCAATCCCCGTAACCAACGCAACGCAACGCAACGCAACGCAACGCAACCACCATCGCGCATTTCCTTTTGATTATAATAATAATAATAATAAGTGCCGCAAGATCCCAGTCATTCGTACAACCATCACATTCCCTCCCTTCAATTAAAATCGCGGTGCAGTCGCAGTCCAACCCAACCCAACCGAGGCCAGTTCGATCGTTGGCAACCAACAAACCCAAATCAAACCTGGGATCGGATCGGAATGGATCGGATGGGCTAGATAGCATGACGACCACAACCGTAACCGGGTGCACCACAGATAGATGAAATAGTAGGTAGGCTTAGACCTGAGCCATACTAGGCCGGGTAACGCCCCGCGCCGGACCGGTGCGTCCACGCAGGTTGACGCCCGTCTGCCTGGACAGGATGATCGAGAGGACCATGGAGGCGGTATATCCGGCCCAGGCGAACCAGAGGAAGGCCGTGGAGGCCTGGGCCTCCCGGCAGCGCTTCTGGCGGTTATAGGCGCCGTTGGTGATTTCGTTGTGGAGGGTGTAGAGCTGCGGCTGTTAGCTTGGTCTTTTCTTTTCTCTTCTTTTTTTTCCCCTTTTTATTTGTCTATATTGTTCATTGTGTATTGTGTATTGAATATTGCATAAATCTCCACTTCTGCTTCTTTTCTCCATATTTCGATAATTGATAAATCCTCCGGGCGCAGGGGAGAATGCAGAGCAGGAGGTAGATGGATAGATAGCGCAGTCACAAGCGAGAGGGTAGGGATAGTGATGGGGATGGGGATGGGGATGGGGATGGGGATGCAGGGGATGTGGTGGTTGACGTACCGAATTCCCACAACTATGACTCTCCAGCTTCGCGGCGAGGGCGATACCGGCGGTGAGGAAGAAGATGGCGTTGAGGGTGTCGATGACGACGACGAAGATGGGGTGGATGGCCCAGTCGGGGTTGATGGAGGCCGGGACCAGGTAGAAGAGCGTGAACATGGAGAAGGCCGAGACGAACATGGCGTAGTTCACCGTTGAGGGGTTGCCGGCGAAGGCGTCGGCGATCATGTTGCCGATGAGGGCCATGACGAGGAGGGTGAAGAGGAACTATAGATACAGATACAGATGCAGTGGTATGAGGTTAGTGAGGGTGGGTTGATATGTGGGATGTGAATGTGAATATCGAGGGATGGATGGATCATGTCAAGAGAGGGATAATGTGTGTGAGAGAGAGAGAGAGAGAGAGACATACCTCCCAGATCCGCAGACCGATCTGAATTCCCCGAGCGGCCATTTTGAAGATGATAGAAGATGGGTTGGATGTGTTGGGAGTGGAGGGAATGTGTCGGGTTGGTTGGTTGGTGATGGATGGATGGATGAAGCGATCACGATCTTAACCACCAACACAAGATTCAAGAGCTGCTGTCTGTCTGACTGACTGACTTCTGTCGATCTGATTCAGTGGACTTCGGACCCGATCACTAACTAACTGGCTCAGTCGCAGCTCCAGGCTGAGGGGTCGATTTTAAGAAAGCGCGGGAGGATCGGGAGACTCGCGACCGATGACGATATGCCAATCCTACGTCATGCGCTGGCCCGACTCATGAAATCATCACACCAAGGGAAAAGTAGAAAAGGTAAAAAAAAAAAAAACAGTCAGAATATGAGAATGGACCTGCGTTGCAGAGATTATTATTTCATCAGCGGTATCTTATATCCTGGTACTGAGAGACTTACTCTGTGCCCGAAGTAGTTGTTTGTCAGGATGTGCCAGTTGGGCGCGCTTTGGGCAGGTTACTAACTTACTGACTATAACTACTTAGTTATCATCTGAGAATCTCCATCCCTTCCGACCTCATCCGGCATGAACTACTGATGCCGTCACCTCCATCACGCCGGCCATCCAGTGGGTCGGGCAAACCTTGAGCGTCGCAGCCCAAGGTCTTCTCCTCCCTTCTCGACCACATCACCAACCAGTCTGCTGAAGAATAGCTGAAGATGGATGCCAGTGCCAGCGGTACGACCACCACCATTACCACCACCACCACTATCCAAGGAGACTTGGGTCCAGGCTGATCTTCAATCCAGCTGTGTGGGTGAGTGTGTGTTCTGTTTGTGCAGTGTCTCTGCCTCGGCACTCGCTTCCGTTTCCATGCAGTCGAGGTGGTGTGTATACTGCTGCTAATTCACGGTTTATTATGCATTTGCTAGATGATCCTGATAGACTGACTGGTTGTCAACCGTTCCTGATAGACTGATATATCTCGAGTATACCGATTCTCTATAGTATCAGTAAGCCTTGCGAAGAATGGAAGATTGCCTTACAAAACTAGACCCTATATCACCACTACATCTCCGATCATCTACTTAAGGATCCAAGGCAGTTTGTTCCGTATACAAGAACCTATATCTATCAACTTATTTTACACATATATCAACCCTAACCCCAGCAACTAGTAATCATCCCCATCATCACCACCAACCACCCAACCAAGCACACCACGTTGCCTTGTACACCACACCACACCACACCACACCATACGGCTTACAAAAAAAGGGATTGGCCCGGAAATCTCAGGCTACACAGTAATCTACTATACAGCGAAGCTCAAACTCAGAGTTAGCGATCAACGTTCTGTTCCTGATGATCCTCGCAGCCAAGAAAACCAAGAACGAGAGGTTCGGCAGCACGTGCGTGAGCCTTATGGATGGATGGATGGGATGGATGGGGACTCTTTCATAATCCAGTCAGGTTATTCTAGTTTACAAGGTAACGGTAGATATGCAAGATCTGGCTTACCAAAGGTACGAGGTTGGAAATGAAATGAAAGGAAATGAAATGGGGTTGGTTTGAGGATGAGAATGAGAATGAGCATAGTTGAGAGAGAGAACAGACACAGAGACAGAGACGGCGAAGTTAGTTAATCTTCCATATTTCAAAGAATCTCTCTCTCTCTTATCTATCGCCTTAGACATCGAGAGGTATACCAAATAAAATGCAATAAAAATAATAATAATAATAATAATAACCACATATAGAACAATTATCCTAGGCAGGTTATTCCCCCCACCTCACCTCACCTCACCTCAGCCTGAATCTGAATCTGAATCTGAATCTGAGAGAGAGCCTAAACCCAAACCTTACCTACTTAACTTACCATCCACCACAAAATTAGTAGATAGGATCTCCCAATTCAAACCTCGGGATGATCGGATCCCCCCTCCCGATCTACCCGGGCAGAGTAAGTAGTTAAAGGATTTGCAAGAGTCGAGTAGTACTGTGTAGAGTCGAGTCATCAGTCAGAAAAACCAGCAAACCAGCGTGTAACCGCAGCCAAGTGGATCCCGAGGCAAGTTGAACCACGGTCGACGCCGAAATATGTATGTCTCAGGTCTCCGAGAGTCTCAGAGCAGCGGATGGTTTCGCGACCGACCGGCCGACTGGTCATGATGTCATGGCCGTTCGTTTGGACCACCGGGAGGGAAGGAGGATCGCCATGATTTACTAGGTAGGAAGGAAGGAGTCAAAAGTTTATCTATCTATCGATCTATCTACTTGATGGGGTTGATTATCAGCAGATGAATTGGTTGGATTGGTTGATTGTTTCATTGTGATTGGTATGATTGTTAATATTGTTCTTGTTATTCGCTTTTCTTTGATTGATGATTGATGATTGATGATTGATGATTGATTGATGTCTACCATCCAAGACATCCCAGAAAAGAGTCACCAGTATCGACCAAAAAATGCCAGTAATCCCATCCATACAAGCCACCCCGTTCAACACCGACATCCGGGACCGACACCTCCTCTACGACTATGACGCGAGGAACGCGAACGGCGAGCCCGAGAAATGGCGGTACGAGATGTGGTTCTATAACGAGGACCGGATCGTATATGCCATCCATGGCGGGCCGATGGCCGGGCGCAAGAACTTCCAGACGGCCACCTATCAATGCATTCGGCCGGGGGAGCTGTGGCAGTGCAATTGGCTCGAGGAGACGGGCACCATCTGCTCGTTGGTGTACGATATTCCGCGGAAGCGCATCACGACTTTGCTGGGGTTCTCCAAGGGGCATTGGGAGGACAATGAGGCAGCGCACGGCGATAAGCGCAACCCAGACGATCTGGCGAGGTGGAGAGGGTTGGCTGGCATCGGGAGGCAGGTGGATAGGACGCTTCTGAGCGAGCAGGCGGATATCGTCGAGGATTTTCGGGGTCCCGGGGATTTGGAGCCGATTGATATGAGTTGGCCAACGTTGTAGGTGGCAGATAATGTGGAAGTTGCTATGTCACACAGAGGGCAAGACAGGCTTCGCGTGCTAGGCATTGAGGTTTCAATCCATGTCGTGCTAGATTGTACGGTGGCCTATATCCACCATGTCGAGTTCATCATATGATATCCCCAGTGTTGTCATGCAATACTCGCTTCAGTCTCGTCCTTGTCGGCAGAGACCCTTGTGAGATGGGTTCAGAGCGTGAGCGTGCGATCGCTTTGAGACGGGGTGCAAGACGTTGTAACGGCACGATCAGCCACTTCATTCCATGCTGGTTCGCTTGGTTCAGCATCACGATGAGTTGGCTTCCGGCAGCATGGAGCATTCTCGTGTCCAGTTGCGGCATCACGGCACAGCTTTCGTGCCCTAATCGTCTGCTCGCATTATCAGGCTATTCGGCCCAGACTGCTACAGAAACTGGATGCGATCGGAGCCAGGGGTCTCAACCAAGCTGTGGGCGGGATTCGATCCACGTGGAGAAGTGCGCGATCAACTGCATAACCCAAGTTGTTCTCGTGAAAATCACGACTTGATGCGATCAGGAACCCTGGCTAGACGAGGAACCCCCACTGGACGGCGCTTGGGTGCAGATAAGTTCTACTTGTATATCATCCTCGGTGTCCGGCGGCAGTCCGTTGTACGAAGGGGCCCGGCTGAGGAAAGCAACCGCGACCTGTTCTGCTTGTTCGTTGGCAGTGACATTGTCGATGAACCATGTCTTCCACGGGTCGTCGCTGGTTCCGGCAGTCTGGATCGTTGCGGTCAGATCGGTATCAGTTTCTTGAGCGAACGCTTTGGTGGGTCAGCAGTGCTACAACAAGTCAGGATACACAACGTAGACTACATACCGGTAGAAGGAATGGCTGCGACGTCGAAAAGCGGTGGCGGGCAATTGGACAGATAGGGCTTGTTGATCAGCATCTCACTCAGCACGGTGTCCAAGGGATAGTTGTAGTACGCCCCGCTGGTCGTAACTCCATACAAGGCCTGCTTCAACATTGCCTTCAGATCGGCTGAGCACTGTGCACCCCAGACACCGTCGCAGCCATTGTTGTGACCAGAGGGCGTTCCGGTTAGGTTGCCTATCCGCATGGCGATCTCCGAGGTGCGGTTCGCGTCGATGACAGAGTTGTTGATCACGGCTCCATAGCCAAGCCAATAGCTGACCTTCGTCATGGGCTCCTGGCCCTTTCCGTGAGAGGTGGCATCGAAGCCATAGTAGAGGGTAAGGCTGCCCTCGAACAGAGGAGGGAAGCCAAAGGTAACGGCAGTTTGAGCGAGAGCGTCGAGACAACTGCCACTCCAGAAGGAACAAACTTGGGCGGTACCAGGCTGTATAAGGGCGGCCAGTAACAGTAGGAGACTCAGACAGGGTCGCATGATCCACCCCATTCCAGTGAAGGCGGCCATTTGGTACCACAGACGGTCGGACGTCTTGCCGGGGAAGGACAGTCAATGTCTCACAAGCACAGCGATGATGTAAAGATGGCAGTCGACCGGGCAACTCGCATGCTCATAACCGTGTTTCGTTTCGAAAGAAGTGTAAGACCACGCTCGATCGGTGGGCGGTTGTTGGGAATCGTCCAAGTCCAGCAAGGGATCCCTAGATTAAACCAGATATGGCTCGCTCGTCACAAGAAACACGGGACGATGTCGTCGCAGGGAAAGAACACCGGCACTGCTTTCGAGCCGGGCGAGAGCGCTTTTATTTATCGAACTCCCTTTCGATTGACGGTGATCTTGGGGGGTCTTGTTCGGGGTAGCGTCGACTAGGCCGGAAGACACGCGATGGGATCGAAGGCAGCCGTATTTCCGTCAGGGTGGTCCAGGAGACGAGAACGAGAAGGAGGGGCTCGTTTGGTGGTGGAAGGAGCTGGAGGTTGCCAGATCAATCAATGGTGGAAGAACAGACCGAGTCGGAGTGCTCCGGCGGTTGGAAAACAGGAGTGAGTTCCCTGGCGCCAGGGCCTCGCTGGCTGCGGCACCGAGCGAGAGGAGAGAGACGGGAGGTGGTGTGGACGGGAGAGCAGCAGGGGTCGGGGGTCGAGGTTGACGGTCAGAGTTGCGGAGAAAGGGTCAGGAGGGAGGAGGCGGTTAGTAGATATTGGTTATTTAGTAGTCAACCGGAGTAAGCGTAAGGTAATCAGGTCGGGGTGTGATAAATAATAATGGTGATGGTGGTGGTGTCAGACTCCTGGCCGAGTATTTCCCAGGGCGAGTTGGTTGGGTGTCTTGACTCTTGACCGTGAAACAAGGCGGGTGTGGGCCCCGGGATTGGCCCAAGGTGCCTGGCTTTCGGTCGCTCCCTGGCTTCCCAGTCACCAGTGGTATTCTTGGCACTGCTGGGTCGGAGACGCTAATCAGCAGCCCCCGCATAACTCTGGCCGGATGCGGTAATTCCGGAGGGAAATCCCGTCCAGGGTCACCGCAGGGAGCCAGTCACAGGGCCGAATGGGCGCATATTTCGGGACTGGCGCCGCACCGCGAGACCTTCTCAGGGGCCAATCAGCCCCCTGGGCTGCCAGCCACCGCTGCACTAGCGGAGGTGGGAGCTCCCCAAGCGGTTAGGCGGTAACGTTGCCTGACGGTACCAAAACCGTCTTACTGCTCCCGGCTGGTCACGGTTCGCTTTTATGGATCCTGGTTCCTAACTAGGCGCTGGGCAGGGTCCAAGGAGTCCAAAGAGATCGAACTGGCTGCCCGGATGTGGTAAGGGCCAAGGGTCTACTGCAAGTAGTCAACTCATTAGTACGGCGCAGATAATAAAATGATATGAGAAAACCTCCGAAGTTGTCTCGCGGCCAAACACCCACAAGCCCAACACCTGACCGAGGCTGCGGCATTTCGTCCATACCAAAACCCCGTATGTAATTCGACCAGCGTTTGGAACTGCTGGACTATCGCTCGGTGACACAACGATCTTCCGGTTTCAGGGTCCCCATTTCTCATCTAATAATATAGACTAGATCAGCTGGGCTTAGCGGCCGGCCACGGGCCCGAGTCACTCCATTATTGCAATTTTTCGGCACTACGGAACAGCATTTTGCCCTGGAGAGGGAGAGGGATGCTCGATTTCTTCAAGCCCCACGAAGTCCTTGCACTGATTCCCTCCGGCATACCTGCCATGTGTCGCATGGTACTCCCTCCGTACATTGTATAGTACGTATGGTATCAAGGTGCAGGCGCAGGCATGTCCGTCACTCAGACTATCAGTTCAAGCGCTATCTTCGTACTTTGGTAGCGATCCTTCCTATCGACTAGTCCTACTCGCATCCACAACATCCCAACCGCGAGACAGCGCAGAGGACGACCTATCTGTGACGCCGTTGGACCGTTCCCACTAACCCGGTTCAGACTTGTCACCCGTGGATGTTTCCGGATTTGTACCCATGGATCCTCCCTCCCTGGCGAATGCCATCAATGTCTGTAGAACTACATTTGACCATTCCATTATTCCATCATGGTCGTATGAACTGCCGTCTTGATGGCATCTTAATATATTGGCAAACTTGGCTCCATCCCCCATCGGCCTGGAAAAGCCACAGTCTCACCTAACAACAATCGTGCTGGAACAACTCCGAAGCTAACAGAAACCACGATTTTTACGAAGGACAGACCCCTCGATATTGTGGCTTGATAAAACGCATCGTAAGTACCTTTAGCAAGCTGTCATCAGGCAGATGATACCAGTCACACGTGGCCAGCTTATCGGGAAACTGGAATGATCTCTGCGCTGTGGGAGAGAACCTTATGACACAGAGGCAGGGTTTCGGCTCGAGCAACCGTGGTGGAAAAAAACACGGTACGGGCACTGGGAAGTGGGAAGATGAGTGGGTGGTTGTTGGGAAACGCCTTGAGGCCCTTGTATCAGCTATACACAGGCCCGAGCCTTGCGCCCTTGACTAATGCTTTAGCTTCAGCACTTGAGCAGCATCCTTGTCCTGGTGTGGCAAATGTACACACTGTCTACCCTCCCTGCCCTGCGGGAGCCCGGGAATCTCGCACCGATGGCATGTATGGACAGTTTAGCTGCCTCTTTCTCCGACTTGCTTCGCAAAGTGGATGCAGCCATGGATAAACCCAGGAGCTTAGCTGTGGGAAGTAAGATTCGGAGATATTGCGTGGAAGGCGGCATGGCTCGTGTTTGGCCTCTAAACGGGCGTGGCCTGTGGTAGTTGGATGGAAGAAAAGGTCTCAATGAGTATGTAGTTCTATGGTAGTTAAGTCCCGAGTAACAGGTCTAACAGAAGGTAATAGCAAGTTTCCAACACACGTACGAAAGGTGCAGCATCAGTCAAGGAACCAGAAACCCGGTCTCCGTATCTGGTTATGCATCCTCCTGAACAACATCCGTCCGACCTTGAAGCAATTCATTTCCATTTCCATAGTTGAGAGAACAGAACCCAGCCAGACGTCGGCCGTAGGGCCAGCCGCGGCCATTATTATTGGCGACGACCCACCAAGCAATCCACCAATCCACCACCATCAGCCGGTCCCTGGATATGATACACCACGGTATACCGCTAGTAGTAAGGCGCCTGGCGCACACTCCGTACGGAGTCGCTAGTCGGTCCCTGATTTTCGTGCTATCTATGGAATCAATAGATATGGATAGTATTCCGGCCAACTTGAGTGTTGCTTAACCCGGTGCGGCTAGCGTCGCGTCGCCGGTTACCACAGTGTATTCCGTTTGTGCCAGACTGCCAGTAGAATATTGATTACAGCATTGTCGCTAGTCTAAGAGGAGATAGATAGCTAGTCAGTCAGTCAGTCAATCCCTCGCTAGAACCCGAGATTAAAGGCCGCCCCTTCTTTTAGGTACATGCTCGGTCGGCCCATCATAGTAGACCGTTTCCACGCTAGCTCTTCAGACGCCGGATTCAATTACCTACTATAGTATATTGCTGTTATTGCCACCTGTTGAAGTTTTTTCCCTTTTGCTTCACAGGAAGGGAAATAAGTCTCTGTCGCGTTGCATCAATTAATCAATTAGGTACTTACCTACCTACATATTATTCCTCTCTGCCTTGTTTCTGTTCTGTTTTGTTTTTTTTGTTTTTTTTCTGTCGCGTAGAATGTGACAAGTCGCCCACCTGTACCTAAAACAGGGACTAGAAGTCGGGGTTCCAAACTTGAACCACTCGCAAACTACCCTCCTACCTTACCTAGTTACATTACCTATCTAAGCCTACCATAAACAGTATCTACATATTTTTTTTTCCCTTTTCTTCCACCCACGGCTCCATCCGCCATCCAAGTTTTCCAAAGCTTGAATGGGGTTTCACCAAACCAAAAAGGCCGGTGGCGCGCTTTTTCGCTCGCATTGTCGAGCGGCAGAACCGAGTCGGACTTTCAACGGCGTCGACGCTAGGCCCGTTCGGCGCCGTGCTAACTTGCTTAGCTGGGTAATTCTGCTGCTAATTTTGTTTTCTGGATTGATAGCCGAGGGTCTGAGCGGCGAGCGGCGGACATCTATCCCCTCAGTCAGTCCGTCCTTGTTAGTCGGTTCACCACCTGAGCACGGAGTACTATGGAGTACTGTGAACTCAATGCTTTGAAGCATTGGGATGATGGTGGATGGTGCTGCTGGTATCCCATCTCCTCCCTCATGGACACCAGGGAACAATCCTAGGTAGAGTAAGAAGGGGAAGACAGAAGTGAAGATCGTCATTGTTGTTGTTGTTTTTTACCCTCGCGATTATCCATGCCTAAGGGATGAATGAATGGATGGGTGGGTGGATGGAAAGATCGGCTGCAAAATGACGTCTACGGCATCCCCTGATAAATAAGCGACATCCCAGCATTCCACACTCGGGACGTAGGTAGTAGTCACCATGTGCAACAATTGATCGGGGGGATCGGGCTGTCTGAGGGGGAAAGGATATTGGGTCGAGCCATTGTTAATTAATTATGTATGTAAATCATTGACCTGAAACCCTTGAAGGGGGAGACATGGTTGGATGCTTTACATACCGTGACTGGGCATCTCCTAGCCAGTATGGCAGGTGCCTACACAGGAAGTATGGAAGTATGGAAGTATGGAAAGGAGATGATCCCGGGGAGGGGGGGAGAGACGAAGATGTGCCTGCAATCAGCGATGAAGTCATCTGCCGCGCTAACTACTCCGTAACTACTTACTACTAATTTGGCTTTTGTTTTGGCTTTGCCTTCCTTTCTTCGGTGCATCACTCAACAATAATGCTAACAAGCACCATCACCACCACCAACTAGATATTCCCTTCACTATTCCTGATCCTGCTCCTGCTCCTGTTCCTGTTCCTGTTCCTGTTCCTGCTCCTTCTCCCGGGACTACGCTAAGAATGTAGATACCCAGTACCCAGCATCCAGTCCAGTAGCAGACTGACTGCTGCCTAAAGCTGCACCAACAAAGCCACAATTACACTCCGGGCTCCGAACAAAAATATTCCCCCATCCGTTCATTCCTGGCCAAATCCGGAGTAGGCAGCCGTCCCAATCGAACCCGGATTCTCTTTCTTTTCCTTTTCCGGGTGGAATAGAATACTTTGCCGAGGAGGCCTGGATCCAATCATGGCGCTTTGGGGCGATATTGGGTCCTTTGGATGGCCGTGGTTGTCATTGGGTAAGTCTCACTGTTAATAGATGAGGTATGGAAGTATCTACCGAGTACTATGAGGTTAAGATAGGTAGACATGGGGGTTTTGCTTTTATTAAACACTACTATAGACTGTTCAGCTGGCGATATTAATGCGTATATTGCCGGCCTCCCACCTAGCTAGGTATGACTATTGACCATCGCTTCGCTTCGTAAGACATATTCGGGGTATGTGGTAGTTAGTCAATATTACAATCGAGAAGATACTCTGTACTCCGTAAAGAGGTATGAGAACAGAGTCGAGAAAGAAAGACAGGTACTCCCTGGTCCTCGTCGCTGCAAATCCGTTCCTGCTGGGAGTGGGATCACCCCTCCCCTTGGCCTGCCTACCTTCCCACTCGTCTTTGTCTTCGCTCCCTCACATCACATCCATTCCTCAACGTGGCTGCAACCGCCCTGCCAGCATCATCCCATCACGACCTCTCCAACGCATCCGCGCGAGCCTTCAAGATCGACATAGACTGATTAATCGACCTAGTCAGCCGGTGAATCTTCTCCATCTCGCGATTCCTATTTCTCTCCGCGATAGTCACCAGCCTGCGCACCGTTTCCACCTCCGCGACCTCCATATCCGTCAGTCCGCGCGTGTGAGCCCCCCCAGCATTCTCGAGCTGCTCCCCGATGTTCGAGATCTTCGTCACAGCCTTGACAAGCGGCAACATGTATGTCATGTTCGACGTCAGCCACGACGCATTCTCGGCTGTCGCGCCCTGATGCCCAAAGACCACATCCATCGCCGCTGCCCGCTTCGTAAACCGCTTCCGGCTCTGCGCGCCCTGCGGCACGGACGCGACGTTCTTTTCCCAATTGAAGATGGGGAGTTTCATCGTTACATTGGGTGAGTGTCCAGGCTGGGCATGGGCAGGGCTGTTGGTTGCCGTAGCCGTAGCCGTAGCCGTAGCTGTAGCTGGAGTGGTTGTCGTTGGGGCTGAGGTCGAGGTAGTAGCTGTGGCTGTGGCTGTGGTCGTGGACGTAGTCGTGGTGATTCTCTTCCACGCCTCGTACTGCTCCAGTTCAACCGGGGTCAGCAGCGCCTTAGCCACGCTCTCCGGGTCTCGCGGTTTCGTCTGCGGCACGAGCTGCAGTCCCGTAAACAGCGCGAGACTATTTCCCTGCTGAACCACGTTCGCCAGCTTAGCCAGCTTCGTCGACGTTACTTCGAGATCATCGCCCACTGTCGGCGCAGGCAGGATGTGGAAGCTCTCTCTCAGGCTGATGAGGTCCAGGTGACTCATTGTCGGAGCGCGTCCCTCACTCGAGTGCTCGCTCTGCTCTTCGTCTGGCGTGGAACCCCGGTTACTGTGAGGTAGGGCCCCGCGCGTGGGTAATCGCTGTTCCATGTCCTCTGTCTGGATATCTCTCTATCCGTCCCTTGGGGAAGCGGGGTTGGGGGGGGGGGGGGATTCTGGACCGGGAAAAACACCAAAGGAACACCTCTTGGCTTGTTGGGCGGGGATTTATTTACATGATTGGATATGGCAAGCTTGAGGTCGGACGGAGGTCACGTGGTGTGGTGTGGTGTGGCTCTGCAGAGGGTTGAGGACTTCACTATCTCGGGTTTTGTCTTGGAGGTTCAGGGGATATGTTTGTCTGGTTTGGAAGCATGTGTTGGATTTTGGATGGAGGGAAATGTTCATGGAATGCTGAGAAATAACTAGTTGCCACCTGGTTTACTGGTAAAAGGTGCGCCTGGGTGCGATGTGTGTACTAGATGAATATATGATAGTACCCTTTTTTTCCAAGTACGAGGACCTCTTAACGCCGAACCAATGAAGGCCATCTTAGCGGATACACTGAGGTGGATTTGACTGGCCAAACACGTTGTACGCTGTTTTTTGTACCCCAGATGTCGCTGCTGATCTACTTCAATGGAGATATATTCTTAGCCCAATGAACTTCTTCGGCCGTGTGCCTGCTGATCTGAGTAGGGTGGTTGTGCACGGTGACTTATATAGGAATTTAAAGATGAGATGTGGATGATCCCAGGCCATAAGAAGAAGATTCAACAGGAGATCTGTAAACAATACCAAGAACCAGAGGCTGGTGATGATAGAGACTTGATCAATATTTGTTTTGAAATTAACAAATTGTGTTCCCAATGCCTGCAAGTAAGTAGAAAGTGCTTGGGAGATGCGTAAATATTGTACAATGGGTACCACTGCGTTCGGCACAAACGTCCAGTCAGTGGCTAACCGTTTTCTAGTATACACATGTTGTTTCGGGACATTTCTCATCGAATACATGGGTGTGAGAATATCATGTTTTGCATTGCAAGCAAAAGAATGATGCCGATTGTGATGGTGATGGTGATGGTGATGGTGCAAGAGATCGAAGATGATGAAAGTGACGATGAAAGTGTTGTTGGAAATAGGAGAGGTTCCGTGAAAATGCCCGTCGAAAAAAAAAATGAATCAGTCCAGAAACGCCAAAGCTCCACGCTTGAATGTCCGTGTATATATCCCATTCCTCGAGTTGATCGCCAGTTAGTTGGTTAGTTAAAAATCCCGAAATCAGTGGTCGTCGTCTGCATGGCCGTTTCCGCCGAGTCAGGCACGCTTCCAGGGACCCCCCTCGGGTCCGAGGATGGCCTCACGATCTCGATGCATCCCCTCAAGAACAGCCACGATGCCACCATTGCGCAAACGCTCCAGGACCACATTCATCCCCTGCTTGCTCTTCAGCACGGCATCGCGGGTCCGGTTCAGCCCGATCAGCTCGATGGTGCGCTGGATGCCCGCGGTGGACAACGAGCTGAACAGTCCTCGCTTGGGAGCCTCCTCCTCGTGATGCTCGCCCGTGTGGTCGCCCGCTGGCCCCGCCTTCTTCCTGCCCAGCAGCTTGCCTTGTCCGAACCGGGACTGGAATGTGACTGTCGTCCGCACCGTGGTCTGCTCGTTGCGCTTCTCGTCGAGGGAAAGCCCTTCCAGGGTCGCGAGGCCGCCCTCGATCGGCTGCCGCTGGTAGTGTTGCTTCTCGATGACACTCAGAATCCCAGTCCATTCCATATTGCGCGACTCGGTCTTCATCCAGCCCTCCTTCGCGTCGACAATGGTCGTCTCGAGGATGTAGCTCTGGCCGGAATTGTCCGATCCGCCAATGCCCTTCGGAAGCAGCTTGAGGATCCCCGACGGCACCTTGGATTTCTTCAGGTGGAGACGCGTCGTATGCAGCCGCTGCGTATCGGGATCGACATAGCGGTCAATGACATCGGTGGTCAGGACATGGCGCGAATAAGGGTTGGGGTAGCGCAGGAAGTAGGCCAGCGACACCGCAGGGAAGGAGTAGTCGTAGGTGAAGACATTTTCGAAGAATTTCATAATTGCTGATGAGGCATACAGGACGGACGGATGGATGGATAGATGGATGGATGGATGGATTGATGGATGAAGACAGTGGAGCAATGGCGGTGGATGAAGCGGAAAGGAGGGAGAGAAAGCTGCGGTGGTGGCGTAGGGGTCGGAGGGTCGAGGAATTGCTCGGTTTGTTTTAACTTGGCTGCTCGTCTGCGCATTCGCCTTTCCCAGTGGCCGGGGAGTTCTGCCCGAGGCTCCGACTGGAAGAATTTCTGTCAGCTTCTGGCCGGTCCGCGCTAGTCTGGATTCGTAATGCGGGGGTCGCGGATGGCCCGCTGCGATCATCTGATTCCCACCCCCTCCGCCAATCATCGACGCCGCGCTGTCATACAACGAGATCATCAAGCACTGCTGCTGTCCTTCCTGCTTTGACGCTGTCTCCTGGTACTTTGTCTGGCGGCCTGGCCACAGGCGCAATGGCTGCCAGACTGCAGATCGCTCGTATGATTGAGAGTGCGCCTGACGTCAAGATTATGGAATGCGTGGTTTTGTCTCATGCATATACTACTACACCACCACTGACAGTTTTGTATATCTGTTACGGAAATGGAGCATGTGATGTTTTTGATGCACGATATAATTGGCCAAATAAGCTTCATACCCTCTGCTTTGACTAGCTGGATCATATGGTTACCCTGCAGATTGCACCCAGGCCGACGTTCAACCATCACCATGGCGTTTGTCCAAAACAAGTTACAAGTCAGTCCTTCTTGGCCCAGGTAATAGCACAATAATCAAACACGAGACAATGTTGACTTGGTATGTAAACAGAGAATAATAATGGACTATTTACGTATGTATAAGGGTATGGGGTTTCTCTGGAAAGAATGTTTAAACCTTCATGAATTCACAGCCTAGTTCCATCAAACACAAATTGTTAGTCTAAGAACTGATACTGTTTCTTAGAAGCCCCGCAGTAATAGCACCTGGTTTTTTTTGAGATGGGAAACAGAAACTCATAGAGATTCAATTACTGAGTGCTTTTTCTTCGTGATTCTGCCAGGTGGTAGGTGTTGAATTGTTTGACTGATATGAGAATTGATAATTGAACTGGACACGTAGTGATGTGACTGAACAGAAACTTCTATGGTTCTTGGTTCCTGCTTAGCATGGAAAGCGACAGAGTAATTTGATCCATTTACCCGCAAATTTGAAGAGGAAGGAGGTAAAACAGGACGATTACTGGAATCTTGACCGGATGAGGCAATGGAAGGCTTCGCGACGAAGTACGATGACCGCAAGAATTGGGTGGCTTAGCCAGTCATGAAATGGCTTTTTAGACACTGTTCAGTACCTAGATTATTGCTAGAAGTCTCTAAAACAATGCACTCAGTCAGTTGACTAAGTGGTCTACTTAACCATGTCGAATGAGGGGCAAAAATAGGGGAAGGGGGGCGGGGTGATGGCAAGGTTCACGGTTTTTACGATATCAGGTCTTAAGTTCTGGCCTTAACCACTTGGTCACCTTGCCAAACCTCAGGTTTGGAAGTCTGTATATATACGGTCAGGTTCGAGAGACGCCCCCTTGGCCTAGAAGAGCTTTGCAAGCGTTTCTGATCTTGGATAGGAAGAGCCGAGGTTGCACCCCATGGTTCAACCAAGCCAATATAATTCCGCAGACTTTCCTTCATGGCCGACGGGGAAACGACGCATGTTACACGGTCGAGGTCAGGGGAACCTCGAGGTTACAGATCTCGAGGTATTGTCTTCAACCTCATATATCCTTCAAGATGGATGGAGCTAGGTGTGTGCGTCTCAGGATCGCTCCAGTACGATTTTACCGCGAATGAATCCCCTCACGCCATTGCTGAGCCAGCACTCCTCGCCATCAACTAGATCGGCAGCAGCTACAACCTGCTCAGTGCAAAACCCCTGAGCTAGAGCATAATGTCTTGTTGTGCCTGCATTGCCGCCACATGAAAGCGGCGGCGTGACCCATTGCGCTCCAGCTCCGTCGCCTCCACCCGTAGTGTTCCTTCGCCGGAAATATACGGTTGTGATGCTTCCCTCCATGATTTCGCCGGCCGGGTTTACAAGCAGCACTTCCGCCTGCTCCAGCGGAGAAGCGATGCCCGATCGAAGCCGTGCCGCATTGTAGAAGTCGCGAGCTGTGGTCTTGTGCGTCGTGAGTGCGGATGGGGCCAATCGTTCGGGGTCGACATAGACACGCCAGGTATTGGACGGAGAAGAGTTCGATTCGGAGGGAATAAGGAGGTTTAGCGGATCCATTGACGTTGTCAGGCTGACTTCGACATCGCAAGTCCCAGTGCTATCAATCACAATACGCAGGCGCCATGGTTTTGTATTGTCGGGAATGAAAGAGTCGAGGAATCGGACGAATTGACTCAGGTCTTGTTTCAGAAAGGTTACAGCACTGTCCCAGCCGAAACATGTCGCTGCATTGCGGAGACGTTCCTGGTGATAAGGAAGGAGGTAGTAGGGTGTTTTCAAAGGATCGGGGTAAAAATCTGCGGCTCGTTGAGCGAGGACGGCCGGGAGCGTAGGGTCATAACGTAGGGAGGATATGATCTTGAAGTCCGGGGGGAGTGTATCGGAGGCCATTGTAGCCTGGTGTTAGTTTAATTTTGTAGTATTTTTCACGGGTGCAGGATTGCGACCGAACGTATGATGTAGTAGTAAGCACAGAGCACCTTCGTCACTTCGGCAGGTGGTGGGAGAGAGGTGGAGGAGGATGGATAGCTGGAAAGGCACAGGTCGGACGAGGAATTGGATCAAAACAATCCATTGCAGTCCGGAACAAGTTCCCTGGCGATCGCTAACCAGCAGCGAGCCATGCGCAGTGCCATTGAAGAGGCGATGATGATGATGATGTTGTGGTCCGAGCAATCCAAGGAGCTGACGGAGAATCCCCTTGCGCCGAGTGTGATTGGCCGGCAACAGCTCGGAAAGCCCGCTGCTTCGCCGGAACATCGCAACGCATAACTTTTCAAGCCGCATCTCTCCTCGCTCTCTTCATACCCCCCAAGAACAGCTGTCGTCGACAAGCTCTTGTGCCGCACCCAGGACCGTCAGTGACCCTCCCACCTCCCACCTCCCAATTTGCCTCGAGCGGTCTCGGGGTGCTGACTTTTCTCGGTGTAGATTTATAGGACAACGCTAGGAAACCGGGTTCCTTTGTCGGGTCATCATGTCGAGCCAAACGCCATTGCCCCATCCTACCCAGAACGTGGTTCTGGACACCGCTTCTCTGCCTGCCTCCTCAACAGCTTCGGTATGGGATCGCATCTCGAAATGGGCGTCCGAGAACAAGGCTCTGGTCTACACCATTGCCGGTGTTGCTGTCGTCGTGACTAGCGCGGGCGTCGTCTACTACCTCTCCGATTCCGGTCGCCCTGGCCAAGCTTCCACTCCCACAGAGAAGAAGAAGAGCAAGAACCAGAGGCGGAAGGAGAAGAAGAAGGCGGAGGAGGAAAAGAAGGCTAAGACCGCCTCTGTTCAAGATGGTATGTCGGTCAGAATGACACTTCGCGTCTCCGGTCGGTACGCATCGAGTTTCGGGCTGATAATCCCCTAGAGCCTGCGGCGAAGAAGGCCGAAGAGCCCTCCGAAGAGCTCCCGGAAGTTGATGAGGAAACTGTTGGCGAGCTGTCAGAAGAGGTAGGTCATTGCCCTTGGTGATGGGGATGGAACGGCCGCGAGGTGCTAATGTTGGCTGGCTTTAGACGAAGAAGGCTTATGCAGCCAAGCTCAAGGCTGCCGGAAACAAGGCCTACGGCTCCAAGGATTACAACAAGGCCATTGAGCTTTACGGAAAGGCCATCATCTGCAAGCCCGACCCCGTGTTTTACTCCAACCGTGCCGCCTGCTACAACGTTCTGTCGGAGTGGGAGAAGGTCGTCGAGGACACCAGTGCTGCTCTTGCCATGGACAGCGAGTATGTCAAGGCCCTGAACCGGAGAGCCATCGCATATGAGCATCTGGAGAAGTTCAGCGAAGCCCTCCTTGACTTCACCGCCAGCTGCATCATTGACGGTTTCTCCAACGAGATCAGCCGTGTTGCTCTCGAGAGACTGCTGAAGAAGGTTGCGGAAAAGAAAGGAAAGGAAATCATGGAGGCCAAGGGCAAGAAGCTTCCTAGCCCGACTTTTGTTTCCAACTACCTCCAGAGCTTCCGCCCCCAGGCACTCCCGGAGGGCCTCGAGGACTCCGCCGATTTGAGTGAGGAGTCTGGCAAGGGTCAGCTGCGCAAGGGTCTAATTGCCATGGCCCTGAAGACCGGTGAGGGCTACGAGGAGGCTGCCGCGTCCTTCGAGAAGGCTCTCGAAATTGGCGAGCTGGCCGAGTTCGAAGCCCTTGCTCTTAATCTGAGGGCCACCTTCACCTACCTTGAGGGTAACGCTCAGGCTGCCCTGCTGGATCTCAACAAGAGCGTTGAACTGCAGCCGTCCCTGGTCCAGAGCTACATCAAGCGTGCTAGTCTGCACCTGGAACTCGGTATGTTGACTATATTTCTTTTTTGCACGCCTTTCTGACAGACCAAAAGGAAACAAGGACGCCGCTGCCGATGACTTCGAAGTCGCTATCACCCACAACAAGGATGACCCCGACATCTACTACCATCGTGCCCAGCTCCACTTCATCCTCGGAGAGTTTGCCGAGGCTGCCAAGGATTACCAGAAGTCGATCGACCTCGACCGTACTTTCATCTACTCGCACATCCAGCTGGGTGTGACGCAGTACAAGATGGGCTCTGTGGCGTCTGCCATGGCCACTTTCAGAAGATCCGTGAAGAACTTCGAGGAGGTGCCGGATGTCTACAACTACTACGGTGAACTTCTCCTTGACCAGCAGAACTTCTCCGAGGCCATTGAGAAGTTCGACAAGGCCGTGGAGATGGAGACGCAGAGCAAGCCCATGGGAATCAACGTCCTGCCCCTGATCAACAAGGCTCTTGCGTTGTTCCAGTGGAAGCACGACTTCTCCGAGGCCGAGGCGCTCTGCCAGAAGGCCCTGATCAGTAAGTCACATTGTTCTTGTTGGCTGTAACTTTGCGATATGTTGCTAACTCATTCCAGTTGACCCCGAGTGCGATATTGCCGTGGGCACGATGGCACAGCTTCTGCTGCAGCAGGGCAAGGTCTCCGAGGCTCTCAAGTACTTCCAGCGCGCCGCGGAACTGGCTCGCACGGAGGCGGAGATCATCAACGCCATCTCCTATGCGGAGGCCACCCGCACTCAGCTGGAGGTGCAGGAGAAGTACCCCCAGCTTGCTGCTCGTCTGCAAAGCATGGGTGCCGGCTTCGGCGGCCCCCCGGCCATGTAAGGCTGAGTCTTGTTATGTTTTCCACCAGTCCAGACACCAAGAGACGTGTGTGACTTAATCTCTCTCTATTTTCTCTCCTCTTTGGGTTTCGACGGTTGAAGAGTTCCAGGCGGTATCTCATGCCTGGTTTCTTCTTCCTTTCCGCCTGGTCTCCTCTGGCATGTGCAGGGCGCCTCAGCCATTCATCTCCGAGTGTATTTACTATAAGGATTTTTCTTTTTTTGTTTGATATACTGTCCATGTCCGACTTGCACGTGTGTTTCCTTTTTTTTTAAAGTGATGTTCATTTTGCTGTGTGATCTTCATCTGCCTCGATGTGTAGTTTTTTTTTCTTTTTTCTTTTTTTTTACTTTCCCTTTTTTTTACATTTTTACATTTTGGGGAAGAGTGGTTCTTGAGGGAATTGCGAGACTGATAAGGATGAGGACATACGTAGTTGTTGTGGGATATTCAAGTCGGATGGGAGGCCTGTGAAGGAGGAACCGAGAAGGCGCAATGTACCATAGTATTATAACTAGGTGAATATGTTGTAAAATGGAGACAAGTCATCTATACCGCCCTGCCCTGCCCAATTAGGCAGTCCCGCTTCCCGGGGCCAGCAGCCAGCAGCCAGCACTAGCCGGTCCACCTGACGGCCCCCTCCCTCCCCACCCGCCCGCATCGGCGTCATTACTACTCTGCCTGGATCTATCTACTCCGAACGGTGATCTATCTCCCTCTCTCTATCGTCGCCCCAAACTCTTCTCAAACAGTGAATACCTTGCGAGATAGCGTGATCGATCAGATCCAACTTTCTTCTTCCCTGGTATCTCCTGTGTATTCCCTTCTCCTCCAGACTTCAGCTCTCGGCTCTTGGAATCGGACCCCGAAGACCCCTCCTCTCCTCTCCCCCTTCCTCCTGCTTATCGGAGACCCTCCAGCCTACAACCTACCCACCCACGGATCAACATTACTGCTTGATTGTCACGGAGCCTTCCTGGGGCCTGTTTTATTTGGATTTCTAGGCTACAGGTGCAGACTCGAGCTTTCACTGCGGTGTGTCTCGGACCGGTGACTTTCGCTGGACTCTGGGTGCCTGACAGCGACCGCCTGTTGCCCTCAGGCTGATTCGATCGGGTTGGTTGTCCCAGGCTCCTGCCCCTCCCGAGCTCCCTTGGGTCCTCCGTTGTCCATCTCGTCAGCCTTGTCTCAACCACTCTCTCCATCATCTGCCAGCTCCTCCTGCTTCTTTCTCCATCCACCACTGACGGATACAGTCGGGTCTGTAGTCCGTCTGTCTCTCCATTTGACTCAACCACTCCTTTTTAGTAGGTGAGTAGTGGCTGTGAACCCCTCGGTCCTGATCGATCTCCGCCCCCATGTCATCTCGTGAGGGACTGAAGACTGAACCTATGCTGATCTATATCGAGGATTCTATTCTTCCTTTCTGCGTTCCAACACGGTCACCATGCCTGTCTCTCAGGGTAAGTCTTACTTCCTTGCAGTGCAGTCAACCGTGTCAAGCCAGTATCACAGCTAACGCCTCGTGACTCTTAGCTGTAGTGAACCTCCGTCCTCTCGGGCTGCAAGACGACCCCCCCTACCGCTGCCTCAAGTTCACCCCCGAAAAACCTCATACAAACATCGGTCGGGCTTCTAAGCGGGAGTCGAAAGGCCTCGTCCCCAACAAGGCAAATGGGTTGTTCGATTCTAGGGTGATGTCACGTCATCATGCTAGACTGGGGGTGTGCTTTGACAAGAAGGTATGTCATATATGTGCCTTGCAGCTGTCTATGTCATCTGAGCCTCAGGCTAATGCTCGTCGATTTTCGCTTAGGTGGTCTACATTCGAGACGGTGACTCCATGCACGGAACACGTGTGAATGACAAGAAGATCCCGACAGAGGAAGATACCGTCATCCAGGATGGCGATGTGGTTACCTTCGGGTCGACCGTAATTCGCGGCGCTGGTAGGCTTACCTCCCTCCCTTGTCTTGTTCTTATAAGTTGCAGATGGCTCATCGACATGTAGACACGTTCCCTCCCCTCCAAGTCCGTTGTGAGATTGAGTGGCCCCTCCCTGCGTATGTTCCACGTGAACGAAGCAGCTTGAGTTTCGTTAATACCATAGACAGGCCCAGACCTATGCCAGCGACCAATACCTTCTGCGTCCCCGATGATTACGAAAGCGACGTAAAACAGGATGCCTTGCCTGTGTCATGTGGCACTGATAGTGTCTCGGAGAACGGCAACTCTATACTCTGCTCAGACTCCGATGGCCATTCTGTCATGGAGGTCTCTTCGCCCTTGACATCCCCAATTAACAGGGACGATACAAAGAGCCAAATGATCACCCTAGATCTAACTGCTGGTGAAGAATCTCCTGATTTGAATGGATCCAAGGAAAGCCCGATTAACCTCGACACTGAGAACCCTGAGCAGCCGCTAGTAACTCCACGAATGACCCCACCATCGGCTATGGATATCCTTGAAGGTCCAAACGACACGATCCATTACCACGCCCCGGAAGAGGATGCTGTTTCTGTCTTGGATTCTTCTGATGAGGAGGATTCCAACTGGGAAGAAGAAAACGACCAGGCCGGTTCCGAAGAGGACTGGGATTCTCAGTCTTCTTTTAGTTCTGATGCTGAACAGTCGTTTGAAGGGGATGATTCAGGGGCATCTAATAGCCCGCGTGTCTTAGGAATCCGCGACTTGCTAGTGTCGGACGCAAGTCTTGCACTGGGAGAAACAGACAGTCGCTTGGATTCTGACAACGAAGCATCTCACTCTGACGGCGAAGACCGATACGACAGCCTCGGGCAGAACCTGAAATATGGTGATGATTTGCCGGCCCTGAGAAACATATCACCTGTGCTGAACCCCCAGGCCGCACGTCATGGGATGGCATCGATTGCAGCTCCACTGTTATTAAACCCCCTACGGCCAATTCTCTCGCTCCAGAATAGGGGAGACTTGGATCATTCAGTTTCCCACAACACTTTCATAACACCCATGGAGTGGTGGAATCCGCGAACTGCCGCAAATGCAGCATACCCTATGCCTCTACACACCCCTCCTAGCCCCCAGGTGCCTTACAACGATGGACCTTTCGTCAACGGTGGGCCGCTGCTGCTAGATGAATCCGCAAATTTCTTCAGAGTTAACCCCGACTTAACCGCTGCAGGCAATATTGCGGCTGGAGAGAAGCGCAACGACACCCCATTGAACAGTGAAGATAGCGCTCAGAAGGAAGCAGCCATTACACCGGAACAGCAAAGCTTCCCTTCATTGTCTCTAGCACAGGAACTCAGACCAGAGTGTGACCCAGTTGCCGTAAAAGAAAACCGACCGCCCAAACGAAAGGCAGGGGAATTGGACAGTCTGCTTTCAGAGCCTATTACAGCTGCCCGGACCGCACTCCCGTCTGGAGAGTCTTCCTATGAAGAGACCTGCTTTCCAGATGCCCAGCCAGACGTGCCAATGGACAAACTAGAGTCTCCATCCCAGCTGACCGAAATGGGTGCTGCGGATGAACACATGGAGGTTGACAGCCCATCTCTGGATGCTGGCGACACCGAACGCCAATCGAAGCGCGCGAAGACATCCTCTGCCGGAAACTTCGCCAGCCATGCTGCTACAGCTGCTTTGGGGGTCGCCATCGGTGCTTTCGGCACGATTGCTGCTCTGGCGTCGCTCCCTCCTGATTACTTCCAGTGAAGGACAAGGGGGCGTATCTAGGATGAATGGATTGGTCTTTTGCTTTTGGGGAATAATGCACTGCTGCTAATGAATTATGGTTCCGGACCACCCCGTGAGTGGCGCAGTTGGCGTTCGCATACCATTAATGAAACGTTTTCCTTTTTTTTCTTTTTGACGGGTAATTTCTCTCCTCTACTGCCTGGTATTTGGGAATGTCTCACAATGTCCTTCTGTGCTTCGCTTGTCCCTTTGCCCTGCGCTCTACCTGTTCCCATGGTACTTCTTCAGCATCACGGCGCCGCTATCTCCGGCCAGCTGGATGTAATTAGTGATCTAGCAGATAATACGACCAGGCACTTGGGCGGCGTCTCCTGGCCCCCTCCCAGGGGGGATTAGACCGATGTAACCTTCCCTCCCTTCTAACCAGGATCGTGCCCCTGCGACTCCTACGATTTCCATGGACCGCCTTTCATTTCGAACCGCTCTCCTGGGAGTTCGCACGTGAACGGAGCCTATTGGCGGACTGGGACGCGTCGAGATTTGCTTTTGCGAAGGCATCCTGTCACTTCCTCCTGGGAGCTCGACAAGACCGGTTGGTCGGTCGGTCGGTCAGTCGCTGCCTCGCCTCGGTCAGGCAGGCAGGCAGGCAGGCTTGCCAGGAAAGCGCCTGGGTCAGCTGATCGGGCGAAGTTCGAGAGTCGCGCCCGCTTCTTCCCTCTTCCCTCTTCCCTGTATGTATCACCGACCCTCGAGGTCACATCCGACTCCCCTCCCTGAGTCGCACTCAACCTGACGCTTCTCCTCTGTTTCTCTGTCTCAAGCGAACACTTTTACCTCGAGTCGGCCAGGTTAGCAACACTGGCAACGGCAATGGCAACGTGACGGATGCACTGACCAAATCCAGACCCCAGTCGCGCGCGTGATGCTCATCGGATACGTGCAGGTCGCCGGCCATTGATCGCACCGGGACACGACTGTTGCCATCGTCGATGCCTGCCTCATCTGCAAGCCACCTCATCCTGGACCTGCTCTTTGTAGCCTGGGCGGTCCTGTGCCTGTACCTGTGCCGTGGATTGTCAATCCTGCTCCATGGCACACACTGTATGTGCAATCGCCATGTAACCTGGAGCGCAGAACCCTAGCCTAGAACGATGGGGATCGATCAGTGATCGTGACCAGACCCCCAAATTGCCTTCAGGCCTTCCGACTCCTCCCTTTATTCCTTTCATTCCTCTAACCCGGGCTTTCTCATGACCCTCGGGCCCCTTTACCCCTCCCTCTCCTTGGTGCCTGGATCGGCAGACAATGCTTACTACCCCCCACTATATCCCAGGGTGTAGTTGTGTACCTGCTGCAGGAGCGCAGGAGTCGATGGAGCTCATCACCTGGGACTGCGTCATACCGTTCCTTTCGCAACATGGTTCGGTTCCATATTATGGGCAGGGGTTGATATAACATGTGACCAATCCGCAGACGCAGCCGCTTTTGGCACCGTGCTATAGCTCGATGATTGGCCCAGGCCAGGGAAATTCGTCTTCTCTGACGCGCACGGCACAAGATCAATGACTGAACGGAACATGGGGCATTTACCGAGATACAGTTGCAATGGTTCCTCTCTCCCATGAGAACCGGATACGTGCATGGCAGGCTCCACCTCTCAATGCGAGGCGCGGAAATTACAGTCGGAGGAGACAACTATCAAGTCAACCGGTGATTTGCTCCCACTTTCATCTTTTCCGGGTGGCTTTCGGTTCCTATAGCTCTTGTCAGCTAGCCCTCGCGGTTCGTCCTATAGGTCTGTCACACTGTACCATTGTTCAGAGGCTTAGATGGATGCCCCTCCCTGGATCCTGTCTCCAATCATGTTACTCCTCGCTTTGAGAATCCACTCTCCCTTGCCGCAAGCGACATTGGCACTCATGCTAGATGTTTGCCATTCAGCTGCCGCCCAACTGCTGTTCGATTGCTTGCGGGCATCTCGCCAGGCTTGAAGAAAGGGGGGATCGAGGATAAGCAGGAACTTAGCCCTGAGGGGCCATCAAGGCCATGAGCTTGGCCGCAAATGTCAAGTCTATCCGGCATCGCTCAAAGTGACTGCCGTGATTGGGTAGCAAAGCGGCAGAGATGCAGTCTCATGCATGAAACACACAGATCTATTCCTAGATAGACGGCGCGGCGAGAGCCGACGCAGGTTTTACTGATCAATGTTGATACCCTCGGATGGTACCTCATCCAGTGTCACGCAATCGTCTAGAATAACTCTAGAACAGCCCTCTGTGTTATCTACCGAGGGTACAGGCGACGAGATCACACTCGCATGTCGCGCTGTGCGTATCCGTTGTCGGTACGGAGAGAAAGGCTTAACAAGTCCACCTTTCCTGGTAAGCATCGATCTGATGCCTGCCGACCTTGCCGACTATTGTTAGTCAATTGTGTCACACAAGTCTCCGTGGCTGCCATGCGGCTGGTAGTGTTTCCCGCCAGATGCTATCTGGCCGGCTTTGTCACCGATGCCCAGGGCCTTATTCACCATTTTTAACTAACCGCAACATGCACCCGTAATCACCTGCCCTCTCCCCGAGCCATGATAATCGAGATCCCAGCATTGTCCGATACGCTTGTGCAAGCCTTGCATATAGGCACCTGGTCTGGTTGGCAATGGCGCAACGAGCATAACCCGGACCCGGCCCTATGGATCGAGGGGGTCGCAAGGCTTCCACTAAACCGGAGGCTTTCTTGAACGACTGCAAGATGTTGACACGTCCGACAGGCACGCTTGCATCTTTTCTGGTAGACTGGGGCTGATTCTGCGGCCATTTTTGTGATCCCTGGACCATGCTGCACCTTTGGACCGCACGCCATTGGTGCGGCATCCCAAAAAAAAAAATAGCTCGATGTGACCGAGTATATGCACTTGGGAGTTCCCTCCGGAGGGGAACGCCGGTCGATGATTCGGCACGCGATACGAGATCCCTCAAGTTGACTCGAAGCCTGGTAACACAATCTATAGCCGAATGGGTCTTAACAGTTTCCGTCCACAAAGAGGCGAGCATTAGCACTAAGCAGGGAGCGGCCTAGTTTGGCTGCAGACCCGACGGCCTTGCTTTTTCTTACACTTCCTTCCTATCGGAGTTCACCTTGAGGTTCCATGGCTGATAGACAACTAATAAAGCAGGCTGCCCCTCGCGAGGAGCACGTCTGACTACATATAATAGTATTGTCAAGTGAAATTGCTCCGAGCACTTAAGCAGATCCGCTCTCACATCTACCGGGCTAGGAAGATATACACTGCACACATACCGATCACTGGACGCTACAGTGTATACTGTTTGATTCTGACACCATGCCCCAAGTCAGAACCCTGTCTCACGCCGAGACCCTCTACGACATGGACCCCGAACACACCTCTTGTATCGGAGGGCAGACGGTTCTGACATGCCGTGATTGTGCGGGCAACGCCCCACGGTGAGTGCCTCGTACCTGTCCAACCGGTTTCAGTCCTGTACCGATACTGACCTGGGATAGAGGCTCCACTTGTAGCTGCTGCAGTGGCCGTGGTTTCAACATCTTCATCTGCCCTCACTGTCACCCGGCGGCTGCGGCTGCGGCTGCAGGGAGCCCGACGACCTCGCCCGAATCCTCTGCTCCTGCTTCCCCGGCATCTCTGAGCCGGAGCTCGTCCACAGTGTCCTCGCGCCACGGTTCAAACCAAATGGCGACCTGGAAGCGGTTTGGGGATGGCAACGGGGGCTCAGGCGGCGGGAGTCTTGGCTCCAAAGCCAGCTCGTCCCGAGGCCTATGATGGACTCTATACTGGACGGGACCGGATGAAGCAGGGGTGCTGGTCGCCTCTGCATCAGTGGCTCTCCATTTTGTATTTGTGCACAATGTCCCAGGTTGGGCCGGGGCTTCGGATTGCGAGGTGGGTGGGGTTTGGCGAACTGGCGTCACTGAAATTGTATAGCGGGGTAACCCTCCCACCATGGGAGCTCTTGGATATCTCTCTATCGTGGAAGAATGGATTCTGCTTCTCTTGATCGTTTCTTTTTTCCTCCTCACTTAACCGAGATTGGTGGCGGCTGCGCTGGTTGTTGTCGCATGGCCGAGGTCACGCGGGGCCCCATCTTGACGTCAGTACTTACGGCGGTTGTTCCATCGCTGGCCGATCAACCTGCTCACAAGATTACTTTCGACCTCGGATGAGCACCTGAGAGTCCCAAGGATTGTCCGGATGTTCCGACGTCCATGTTCCACGGCATATCCGACATCGGGAAGTTGAGGAGCGCAGATCAATGACGATCCTCCACCGGATTATATTATGTGTAGCTCCGGGGGATTGCCTCCCCACAGTCCCTCTTCGCACGGCAGTCATAAACTGCTTCGATTCTCCCCACTTGTACTTGTACGGACAATTCATCTCCTACTTTACACTTTCTCACACCCTTTCACATCATGGCACTGTCCTTCAGCAATGAGCCCCCGAAGGCGAGGGTTCCCTATGCGATCCCTCAGCTGGAGGGAGAGCGCCTCACCATCCCCGGCAGCAAGGGGGCCTTTCGCATTCTTGCTTCATCTATCCAGACCAATGGCCTAATGGCGGTGTTCCAGAGCGGCGCCGTCCTGTCCGACGCCCCCGGATTCCACTACCACAACCACGCCCACGACGTCTTCCTGGTAACAAAAGGGTTCCTGAAGCTGTGGAATGGCGACAAGTGTCGGATAATGGGTCCGGGGGACTTTGCTTACGTGCCTCCAGTAGGTCCAGTCGTCTCCATGGTTACAGACACAGTAGTGTCTACCCCAGAAACTAACCGTGACTAGAAAGTGATCCACAACCCGGAACTGCTCGGGCCACATACCGAGACCTACGGTGTGGTCACCCCGGGGGACTGGGTCGATTTCTTCCGCTACGTGTCCGAGCGCTACGAGGGGATTCTCGTGCCGGAGAACGACGACCGCGACCTCAAGTCGCTCCTAATCCCCAAGGTGATGGCCGCGAAGCAGGACTTCGATGTGGTCTTCCAGCGGGACTACCAGCCGCCTGAGGTGGGCGAGTGGACCACAGACGAGCAAGAGCTCCCCTCGTCCCCGCAGCCGTTTTTCCTTCGCGCCAACACGGGCCCCAAGTGGCTGCTCGGGGGGTCATGTCGCGGCCCTTCATCACCACCACGCAGAGCAGTGGCGTCTGTGCCATCTCCAGCATCGAGTCATCCAGCGCGTACGGCGAAACCTTGCTGTCGCGATACATGACCTTCCAGAAGGTCGACCACTGTCTGTGTGTAGTGGAGGGCACGTTGACCGTGCGCCTGAAGGGCTCCCCCGAGGCTACGTTCCGCGAGGGCGATACCGTGGTGATCCCCGCGGGGCAGGCCTTCGCGTTGGGTTTCGACAGTCGGTATGTAAGGGTTTGGTCGTTCACGGATGGCGATGGCATCGAGACCCTCATTCATCGGTTGGGGAAGCGCTATGACGGTGCTGTCTTGCCCGACCAGCCGCCACAATGGGACACGGACGGCGTGGAGGAGGTGGCGGCGACGCTGAACGTCGACATCGAATTGCAAGGGTCGATAGGAAGGCAGGGGGTTGGCGCTTACCTGGGGTTGAATTGGTTAAAGGGTTGATTTTGTGGGGGGGGGGGGGCACACGTGGATCGTGTTAATTAAAAACCTGGAGAAACAGGAGTCCCTCCCATGACTAGTTCGCAGGAGAGAGTTTGTAGCCTCGTTCGAAGTGGGGATCTTAGAGTCTCCTACTAGTCACTACTCAGTCTTGCTGCTTCCCCCGCGGGGAACCCCGCAGTCCGCCCACGTGACGCCGGTCGGAAAACCCGGCTGTTGTTGACTTCAACTCTCTCTCTCTCTCTCTCTCTGCGCTGACACCGCCCAGCTTCGCAATCATCATCCACCATCCACCATCTACCAACAACCCGGTCTATATCATATGCCGGTCGCTGTGCCTTTCCCCCCTCGCCCTCCCCACCCCATGCAGTTGCCCACCTAAATGGATGATGCACCCTCAGTCGCGACCATCGCCCCCAATTCAATCCGCCGGAGATGACTCTCTCCCTCCGCCCCGCGCAAAGCGTCCCCGCGCCGCGCAGGCATGCGACCGGTGCCGAGCCAAGAAATACAAATGCGACGAGCAGTACCCCTGCTCGCACTGCAAGAGTCAGTTGCAGCCCCCGCCCAAGCGTTTCTGTCTGCAGTCCTGTTAATTCCCGTAGAAAGCGACCTCGGCTGCGTATACCAAGGAAGCTATCGGCAGCGGGAAAGCAGCCGGTCTGCAAGGTATGTACATAGCGACGCTACCAACGACGTGACTGTGACAGGTGGGATGGGATTCCGCTCATGCACGCAGCAGATACGTCGCCGATCTCGAGCGCAAGGTCGATGAGATGACGGCCAAGCTGCGAATGGCTGAATCGGAGATTGTCTCGCAGCAGTCACCGCCGCCTCGGAAAGTGCATGCGACTGCGACTGCTACCACGACCAAACCGACCGTGCTTCAAGCCAGCATCGATGCGACGCCACTGTCTATGCCCCGGACGGGTTCCACGCCGAGGGAAGAGGCGCCGTCGATCTACGACAACCCCCACGACGAAGCGGGGGAGTCGGTGGAGGACGAGATCAGCGAACTGAACCACCACACCAACAATATCGAGTTCCACGGCAGCACATCCTCCGCGGCCTTTATCGGCCATCTGCAGAAAGCCCGCGAACCGCAGCGACCCCTGGAACGACGGGATCCTCGCGCAGAGGACCTGGGGTATTCGATTGTCTCGACGCTGCACAACTCGAGCTTTTCGCCCGCGTGCACGGCGGGCTCGGCGCAGCCCATGACGCTGCGCGAGCAGAATTACTACTTCGAACAGGCGCACGCGTTCATTAATGGGTATTTCGAGAATATCCATTTCATTCATCCGCTGATTGATAAGGAGGACTTCTTGCTGCGGTCACATAATCTGTGGTTTAATCGCAGTCTACAGCCTGAGCCCAGCTTCGTCGCGCTGTATTTGAGCATTCTGTCGTTTGGGGCCCTGGTTCGGGTCTGGGATGAGGAGAGGCTCGGGGGGCTGACGAGGTTCGAGTGGAGTCGGAAGTTGTTCGGGGAGGCCCAGATGTATTTGAACTATCTGCAGTTCTCGAATACGCTGGATACGGTGCAGTGTTTGTATTTGATGGTATGTGTGGTGGTTAGGTGCTGTTGGGACCGTGCTGATACTGATATCGTCTAGGCGAAGATCTGCCAGAACGAACTGAATCCGAACTGTGGGTGTTCGTGCTACGGCTTTGGACGTGACTAATGCATGACAGTGGCGTATATGTACTTAGGACTTGCAATCCGCACCTGTCTAGCTGCGGGATTCAATCGAGAGGTGCGCAGCGCGACCGAGCAACGGTCAGGATGGATATCCAAGACATGGTGGTGAGTATTCGTTGCATCCCTGTTTGAAACCGATAATTCTAACCGCCTACCGCAGGGGTCTATTCTCTCTAGAAATGTAAGCTTATCGCCACACCACACACCCCGTTCGTGACCTAACAGTCCCAGCGAGATGAGCTTCTCTGTCGGCCGCCCCGACACCCTCGGCATGGACGAGTATCACAACCGCGCGCTCCCGGAACGAGACGACTCCGAGTACGGCATCATCCCGTGGATGGTCGACTTCGCGTACATCATCCGCAGGGTCTCGGTGCAGATATACCACTCCCGCATCACGCTGCAGGAGAAACTGCATCTCGCGCTGCAGATCGAAGCCGAGCTGGACCGGTGGATGGCGCGTCTGCCGGACAGAATCAAGCCTGATAGTCTCCAGCGAACGGCGCCGGGAGGGGCACTTCGAGACCCTAAATGGGCGAGGAGGCAGCGGTTGGTGCTTGGGATTCGTAAGTTATCCTGTCCTGTCGTTGAAAAGGAAGTCTCGTAGCCTGATGCTCCATTACCTGACGCCCCATAATCTTACTGATGCATCCAAGGCTACCACAACGTCAAAATGCTCCTCTTCCGGCCTTTCCTCAGCCACTTCACCCGGAAACTCCGACACACCCCCATGGAACTCGAAGAAACTATCGCCAAGTGCCTCGGCGCAGCGATGAAGACTATTGAGGTTATTTATGATATCTATCGCATTCATACTTTCTTTCGCTGCTGGTGAGTCCCCCTCCCCTTCTTTCCATTAAACATCTTCGCGCCCCCAACCCTTATTAAACCCTTCTCTCAACCTTAACACGTACCCAAAACAGGTGGTACAACACAACCTACGTCATGTTCGCCACATCCACCCTCCTCCTCCCCATGTCCAAACTCGGTATGTGCGCCGAAACCATCCCCTTGCGCCGCTCCGTCGAGATGGCGGTGGAGATCCTCGAAGCGATGGATGAGTCTGTGGTGGCGCGCAAGTCCGTCGAGATTATCAAGCACTATCTGAAAGAGTTCCGGCCTGTGGAGGGGCAGGCGGGCGGTTCGGAGAGCAGTGCCGGTGCTGGTGCCGGTGCTGGAGCTGGAGCTGGAGGTGTTGGGGCTGGGGTTGGCGGGAAGATGTCGGCGGCGGCGGCGGCGTTTGCGGATCCGGGGACGACGGGGCAGGGGGGGTTTGATATTCCGGTATGTTTTTTCAGCCCTCAGCACCCAGCACATCACTTTTGATTCTCGTTGGTTTGAGGATCATGGTATTTGCGTGGTGATAGATCACTAATATTTGTTTGTGGTGAATAGGAATGGGCCTACGGATTCGGATTCCCGGATTGCTCGTTCGAGGGGATTGCGAGGCTGTTTGATGATCTGGAGGGGTTGCCGATGCTGGATGGGTAGATTAATTGTATTATAGGGGTTGGTTTAGGAATTGGAGTTGGCGTTTGCTGGACTGGACTGGGGTGTACAGGAAGAGAGGGTGACGATTCAGATATCTATCTTATTTAATTTATTTCGCGATGGATTGATCACTGGTTGGTTGGTCTTTCAATTAGATTTTTAGTGGTGGCCTGAGAGGCCAGAGGCCTGAGGTGGTTGTTCTCTCGCTGATGTACTAGATTATTTATTACTACTATATCTCTAGAGCCATCTATGCATCTACACGAGTGCATGCTACTGCTACTGCTACTGCTACTGCTACTGCCCATTATCCATACCACAACACATACACATATACACACAATAAACCAAACAAACAATAATAAATTACTACAACCTCGCCCCCTCCCCCTCCCCCTCTCCCTTGCCCTTGCCCTTACCGTTCTCCCTCCCGTTCTCCCTCCCGTTCTCCCTCCCAGACAGCAAAGAATCCCCCTGCACCACATTCTCCACCTCCCTGATGGCGTCGTAGCCGTATAGCCATGGTTGGACTTCGGGGCAGGTCCTGCGTGATGTACGTTATAGGGTTAGTTACTGGGTATATTGTGTGTGTGTGTTAAATAGGACGAGGATGTGGGATGTATGGATGCGAGGGCGGGAAGAAAGAGGGTGGGAGATGGAGAATAGGCCATGGGAGATGGATAATGAAGGATAGGAAAGGAAAGGACAGGAAAGGAAAGGAAAGAACCAACCACCGACTCGGAAACGCTCCCCTCAGCTCACCCCCCAACTGCGCCAAAAACACGCGATCTCGCTTCTCTTGCTCCGGGCCGTCGGGGAGATGGAAGTCGTTTCTCTATATTTTATATCCCTCTCTCTCTCTGTATCAGCATTGTCCAATGTCCAAGCAACTGGCAACAACTGGCCTAGCCCTCTCTCTACCCCAACCCTCACAGCCAAAATCAAATGAAAAAGGAGAAAAAAAGAGAGACAGAAAAAAAAAAAAAAAAAAAAAAAAAAAGGTACAAATGATAAATACTTATGTGGGTATGGATGGATTGAAAAAGTGAAATGGGATAATAACAAACCTGCTTAAACGTCTCCCTCACAATGGCCTCCCCCCTCGCCTTGCGCATCTTCTCATACAGACGGAGGATATGCGGGAGGTCGGATTTGCGCTGGAGATGGCCGAGCAGGCTGCCTAGGACGGCACCGTCTTCGAGGGAGGAGTTGGCGCCTTGGGCGAGGTAGGGGAGCATGGGGTGGCAGGCGTCGCCGCTTTATGAAGGGGGTGGGTGGTTAGTGGGATGGATTTTGGGGGGGGATAGATAGGGGTTTACATGAAGACGAGGTTGGATTTGTCGTTGATCCAGGATTGCATTTCGGGGTCTATATCAATATCAATATCAATATCAATATCAATATCATTCATGGATGGGTTGGGGTTAGTGGGGGTGTTTTCTGAGGGGAGGTAGATTCATGGATTGATCGAGGGAGGAATGGGGCAGACGTACGGTGCATCAAGCGCCATTTATCGACGCGATTGACGTAGCTGAGGAATTTGGTGAGGCTGTATCCATCTTGTCAGTCTGTCGCATCCACAAAACGAAGCGAGAGTAAGAAAGAGAGAGAGAGAGAGAGAAGAAAACCATACACCGGATCCCAACCCACAAACAAACGCATCATCTCCTCCACGGAACCCGCCTGCTTCGACACCCCAGGAGGCAAATCATCCGGCACGAGCAAGACAATATTCAACATCTTGCCCCCCCTCAACGAATACCCCACCGCATGAGCCCCCGGGCCAACCCAAAAATGCACCGTGGGATTCTCGACCCACGCCCTCAACTGCGGATCCTCAATCTCCTCGGCCGTCAAAACGATCCTATACGCCAAATCCCCAGTAGGAAGAGGCACATCCCTCCTGCCCACGAAACACTCCCGACAGCGCGACCACAGCCCATCGGCCCCGACCACCAAATCGCCCCTCCACACCGTTCCCTTCAGCGTCCTCACGCTCGTCTCGTCAAAATCCATCCCCTCCACCCTCTCATCCATATGAAACTCCACCCCCAGCTCCTTCGCCCGGGCATACAGCGCCTGCTGCAGATCCACCCGGTGCAGGTCGAGGAACGGCGCGGCGTACTTGGCGCGCATGTGCGCGTTGAAGGACCCCTCGTGCGCCAGGATCTCCCCCGTGTAGCGGTGCACCGTGAGCGAGGTGGGTTCCGCGGCGTCGTCCCAGATCTTTTGCGGGAGTTGCCAGTGCGTGAAGAGTCGGGACGCGTTCGGGGTGATTTGCAGCCCGGCGCCAACTTCCGCGAGAGATTGGGCTTGCTCGAGGACGGTTACCCGGTGGCCCGACATGGAGCAGGAGATGGCCGTTGCGAGACCGCTGAGGCCCGCGCCGACGATGATGATGTCTAGGGGGGTGGTGGGTGAGGTTGGCTGTCGCGGGGGGCGGGTTAGTTTGGGTTGCTTTGCTTGGGTGTTGAGATGGATAAGCTCACCATGGTTGTATCTGCTGTGGTTTTATCGGTAGTAGATCGCGAGATGACGCTGTTGAAGATGCCCATTGTGGGCTGAGCGGTAGATATACTATCGATTGATTCTTCTTGAGAGATGTGCGTTGCGTTGCGTTGCGTTGGGTTGCGGTGCAACAGTCAGTCAGAAGAAAGAGCAATTCCCACCCCCATACCACGCGCACGCTTTAAAAAGCCGACGAGATCGCAGCCCAGCCGCATCCTGTCACCTCAGCTTTCCCCAGATCAGCCCGCGCTGGCGATCGTCTCGCGGGCCCGGGATTCCCGGCTGTCGGGATATCCGGCATGACGCAAGGGGGAATCCGAGGCGATGTTCGGAATGGGAAGATCCGCAGGACGCAGGATGGGGTAGCAGAGTACTATAGAATGTGACACTGGGACCCACGGTTTGTATTGATGGTTTGTGCATGCAAGATGACTAGATAGTGCTCCACTTGGGCTGGTGTTGGGGGGGGGATTGAATGGAGGGTGATCTGGATATGGATGGGCTCGGAGTTTCCAGGCAGATGACCCAAGCCGGTTAACCTGTAGAACTGAAAACTGAACTTGAACTTTGTGGCTCGCTTCCACGCGACTTGACTTGACTTGACTTGACTCGTGCCATCGTGGCGCTTCTAGCTTCTCGGCCAGGACATGCCATCTCGTGGCTCGGGGCGAACAGTGTCCAGGTCAGGGAATGCTGCATTCTACGTACCTTTACGGAAGACCTGACTGGCTTGCTTGTATGCCGCGGTATCACACTCAACATTACTATCTAAGACAGAGAGAGCTATGTACTGTACTTTATCTCCTTTAACCATTACCTCCAGAGTTTAGATTTGTCCCTTCCCTCTCCCCCGATTCAATGCTCTGTTGAAAAAAAAATCAAGACAATGACAGATTGTTACTAGTGATGTATAATCCAGCTCGGGACATTTCCAACCGAGGGAACGACACCAAAAACATCCTCTCTTCTCCCCCAAACTACCCACCACATCACCTCTCTCCACGCACAACCCTTTCATAGTACATAACACACATACACATGACCAACCCAAGCTAACGCAATTCCCAGACCCCAAGGCTAGCGCATGGAGACAGACAGACAGACAGACAGACAGACAGACAGACAGACAGACACTAAAGCAGGTCCTTAAGCGGGGAAATACACAACCAGAACCACTCGCCACCATTTCCCCCCAAGTCCGTAACTACTTACAGCGTTCAGTCGGAATCATCCATCCATCCATCCAACCCCCTCCTCCCTCCCCACATCCATGATCCATCCATCCCATACCAAAACCCCGACAGTCCAAACGTGAACTTTAAACAAAGTACCTCCCTCCATACGAGCACGAGCATAGACCTCCCCTCCCCCCCCCATAGCCCATAAAATACCCAATCCCATCACCCACTAGTAGATCCTTCATCTAGACAGTACATAGCACATAATACATACCCCGTACCGCCATCCCCAGCCTAAGCCTAAGTAAGTAAGTAACCAGCCAGCCAATAAACCCACAGACAGACATCCACTCCACCTAACTCAACCCAACCAGTAAAACCCCCCCCATCTCCCAGACATATGAATATCTAGCTGGAAGGGCAAGTGATCCCGACCCCCTCCCCCTCGGGTTTACCGAGAGCCCACATCCCGCGCGGCGGTGGCGTTTCTTGACACCCCGTTGCCGTTGGATATGCCGGCTGCGTAACTCCATACTCCATAATAATAATAGTGGGTAGGCGAGTCATGGGTGAGGGAGGTGTGGGGTATGTGGAATCTGGGGTAAACCGGGTTTTACCTGGCTGTGTGGCACTAGGTAGGGTAGGGTAGGGTAGGGTAGGGTAGGTAGGGGGTGGAGGGCGGCATTTATCATATATCAAGGGAGGGGCATGGCATGGCATTGCATGATTGTCCCTTGGCTGCGTCGTATGATTCTGGAGTGTTGAAGAGCGAAGAACCGAATTGAGTTGGATTGATTGATTGATTACCTTGCAGTATGGCGGCGACTATGGATCCGAGGGTATGTGGTTACTTACCTTCTCTATCTACCCAATCTAGCTATCCACCAACCTACCTGGCTTTAAAGCCAGGTAACTCTCTCTCTCTCTCTCTCTCTCTCTCTCTTTCTCTCACTATGACTCCCATGGAGAAGCTGTGAGAGAGTATTCAAGAGTCCCAATAACCAACCAACTAACTAACAAATCCACTACCCATCAGCTCTACCCCCGACGAGTCCGCTATGCCGCCCTCCTCACCGTCAACGTCTTCGTCTTCATGGGGAATATGTACTCGGTATTCCACTTTCCCATCCACTTCCCCATCACTAACCATCCCCCTACTAACCAAAAACATGTCCAGTCCGGAATAGCAACCGGATTCGACAACCTCGCCGCAGACCTAGCCCTAAGCTACCAGCAACTGTCGAACCTGATCTCCTACTCCGTGCTCACCATGGGGCTAGCCAATCTCTTCTGGATGCCGCTGGCCCTGTGTTTCGGGAAACGGCCCGTCGTGTTGCTCTCCATGCTGATGTTTGTCACGGGCATTGTGTGGACGGTTGTGGCGAGGGATTTTCATAGTTTGTTGGGGGCGAGGGTTTTTGCGAGTTTTGGTGAGTGGTTTTGTCCATAAAAAAAAAAAAAAAAAAAAAAAAAGGGAGGGGTGGGTGGATAGGGTTCAGACTGAGACTGAGACTAATGTTTGGTGATGGTGATGGTGGCAGGTTATGGATCGATTGAGTCGTTGGGACCGAGTATTCTTGCTGGTTGGTAGCCTGTTTTCTCTCCTCTTCTCTTCTCTTCACCTTTCGTCTCTTCTCTTTTGTTGTTCTTTGTGGGGGAATGAAGTCGGTATAGGTTGGTTATAAACTATTGATTGACTGACCACAAACAGACATGTTCTACGAACGCAACTACTCCACCGCCATGGCCATGTACGCCCTCTTCCTGTCCGCCGGCTCGCAGATCGGCCCCCTGATAGCCGGGTATCTCGTCGAGGCGCGCGGCTGGCGCTGGTTCTTCATCCTGTGTCTGATCATCGCCGCCGTGAACCTGGTGACGACCTTCTTCCTCCTCCCGGAAACGCTCTACGAGGGCGACCTCGCTGACCCCTCGGAGGCCGACGATAAAGGCAAAGGAGATGCCTTCCAGAGCCATATCGAGGCAGTTCCGGAGGGCAGACAACAAGGCCAAGGGCTGTTCTCCTACGCGGAGTATTGGAGGAGTCTGTTCAAGGTGGGAGTGTCGGATGCGGCGAAGGAACAGGGTTGGTTTAGGTATATGGCGCGCATGGCGTGGTTGCCGTTGCCGATGTTGCTGGTGCCGGGGGTTTTGGTCGCGTCGATGATGTATGGGGTTGTGTTGGGGGCGTGAGTATCCCATTCCTCTTTCCCTTCTTGTTCGTTGTTTGTTGGGGATCTTGTGGATGATTGTGAGTGAGATTGTGTCTGAACTATCTGTCTGCAGCGTCGTCATGATCTCCACCCTCCTAGCCGACCTCCTATCCCCCCCTCCCTATGACTTCTCGTCCGCCGACCTCGGCCTCTTCAGCCTGGGCAGCTTCGTCGGCATCCTCGTAGTCTGGCCGATCGCCGGCCCTATGACCGACGCGCTCTCCAGCTATCTCCGCAGACGCAACAACGGGATCCACAAGCCCGAGCATCGCATTCCCGCTCTGATCGTCCCCTTCCTCATCGCGCCCGTCGGCCTGGTCGTCTTCGGATACACCATTTCCCGAAACATGCAGTACGTCGCGCCGGCCGCAGGCTCGGCAATGTCCGCGGCAAGCCTGACGCTTGTCCCGTCGGTGATGCTGTCATACGTGGTCGATTCGTATCCGCATGCGAGCGGCGAGGCACTGGTGCTGGTGAATACGTGCAAGAATGTCGTTGCATTCGGGTTGACAAAGGGGTCGGTGAGCTGGATGGATAGCCAGGGCGTCGCGAAGATGTTCTATGAGTTTGCGGGCATTCAGTGGGCGGTGCTGGCGCTGGGGTTGCCGCTTTACTTTGCCGGGCCGTGGATTAGGAAGAGGACTTCAAAGTATTTTTAGGGTATATATGATGATGATGATGATGATCGGGCTCCGGGTGTAGTTAATGTTAAGGCTGCACTAAAAATATGTGGAATGTATGTTGCGGTTAATGATATTGACGAGCCAGGTTGGCGAATTGTTGGATTGTTTCCGCCATCTGCTGAGATACGCTCCAGCGGGATGTGATTGTCTTGAGACTGATCTGGAGGAAGTTCATCTCGTTGAGCAGATGCGCCCTGATGCCAGTTGCTGTCTCGTGGATATACTGCTCGATATTCGGACCCGAGTCAGACGAACGCGTAGCCCAGATCTCCTGCCAGGGGATATCTTCCCGGACATGCAGCTCGTCCTCCCGCGCTAGACACCATCCGCCCATGACAACTGCCGATGCAAAGATAGCAGCCGGGATATGTGGAGCATGGGCCTGCCTGAACGGGATCTGGTTGACAATTCGATTGATGGCCAGGGCATGGAGAACCGCTCGCATGGCATTGGCGCTGCTTGCCCATCGGCTGAGGTCAAATGGCAGGCCGTCCTCCTTGGTGGCCATTCCGCCAAGATGTTTTGGAAGACCGTAGGCGTGGCATATCCTTCTGCAGAGAGACGCGGAGGGAACGGCGAGTTCAAGACAAACGGTGTGCCAGCGAAGCATGAGCTGGAAGCCATCATGGTGGACGGCTGGTCGCCGAGAGAGATCCGTCTCGTAAATATTAAGTAGGGCCCGGATGATCTGCGTTTCTGACACCGCCCCAAAAACCTGTCCGCTGGTTTCGTGGAGATCTGATATCAGAGACTGCAGGCCCTCGATGATGATGAAGGTCGAGAAGCCCGAGAGCGACAGAGGAGAGGTTGCATATGTGGGCGAGAACACGGAGACGAAGACCTCGCTGATGGGTATCTGAGCTGCGGTCGACTTTTCCATCTCCACGATCCAGTCATCGGCGGTTTTGGCGAGAAACGCAGCATCCGAGTAGGCCGTTTTGATGGAGTTGATGAGGTGGCGTGCGCTGGCCGGAGACCCCGACGCCTGCGATATTAGGCCGTCAAGGATGTAGTGGCTCAGTATCGCTCGTCGTTGGGCTTCGGCCGTCGCCCACTTCAGCCACGCCAGGTGCTTGGTGGAATCAGGAGCTTCCCGTCCAGGAATCTGATCTGCCTTCATATCTTCAACAGCGTACATACCGGACGTCCGGGCCCAGTAAAAGCCAAGACCGCGCCACACGAACGCCGTGGTCCGGATGCTTTCGTTACTTGAGAGCAGCGCGAAGAGCTGGCCTAAAAGCGCCGTCAGAACCAGCTGCACCCCATCACATGCATCTCGAGGCCCTCGGAGGCTGATCAGCGTCTGCCAGGAAGTCGCCACAGCTGTATGGCCCAGTCGCCAAAGCATCTCTCCCTTTGAAATCGAGTCCGGCAGGCACACGAACAACGACCCCAGTGCGACCATGTTCAACAAGAGGGGAGGAATTGTCTCGCGCGAGGAAAAGGATGGCTCATGAATAACCGGAAAGCAGGGCGACAGCCGCTCGAAGAATTCCTGCAAACACGCATTGAGGAAGGTCGACGTGATTCCCGAATCATGCAGCTCGGAGTTCAGACGTTTGGAAAGATCCTCAATCAGCCTATAGCTCTGCTGCCTTGCTATTTTGCCAGGCTCTTGCTGGGACGCCCCGTTGTCCTCGCTCGAAAGAATGTTTGGTCCATTCGATACCTGCAGCTGCGGCGGGTTTGGCAGCTCTGTCAGGAGCAGTGGGAAAGCCGATGGAGCCCAGAAGTCCGGCATAAACCAGTCCATCAGATTGTCCGTGTCCAGCAGCTCCTGGTTCTCGGGCAGTGAGGACTGCTCGAAAGGAGTCGGGCCTAGGAGACCCTGCGCGGGTTGACTGGGACTCGGCAGATGGCTCTCTGTCACAGCTTCTGCTGGCTGGGGGGTGTCCGAGACAGCTGTTGTCTGGGAACGCTCATGGAGCCGTTTGTGTCGGCCAAGGACGTCCGCGCGCCCAAAGCTCCTGCCGCAGTCATCGCATCGGAATGGCCTAGTGTTAGAGTCTAGAGGGTGTGAACGGACACGCAGTCACAAACGGCGTCGGGACACCTACGGGTTCGTTCATGTCTCTGTGATGGTCAAGATGTGGATGTGAGTCGGGACGGGTGTTGACATACTGTGAGGTGCTCGAGTTTCGTGTACGATTTACTGCATTGCTGGCACTTGAACCTCTTGGACCGATCCATCTATCTGAAGTGCGAAGAGCATGCTCGACACGGTGGGCAGATGCGCGGTGTTGCGGGGAAGAAAGAGTGACGGGCGGCAATGCGGATATGCGGAGACTAAATCCCGGGGCGACCGCCTTCCGGGGATCGGATCCTACGGACAAAGAAACTCCACTACACTTGTGCCATCGCTGTACACCTTCATTAAGACACCAAAGAAGAAACGCTGAATGCTAGCCACCACATGCTCCAAGAACCCCCCTAGAACGCCTTTTGATCAATAAACACCCAGGCTAGCTAGCAACAGCCAGCTGAGCCACCAGATCCGACGCCACGTCGAGGAACGGATAAGGGCTAGTGACCTCCTTCTCCTTGTTCCGGAACCGTTTGCTGATGGGATGCCAGTCGCCATCGCTGTGCCCGCGAATCACGTTCTGATACCCATCGCATTTGAAGTCAACCATGTAGTTGTTCTCCTCCAACTGGTACAGCTGGATGTCGACGAAGACCCACACGCCGTAGGTGATGCGCGTGATGGACTGGTGTTGCGTGGCAGAAGAAGGGCCCGAGACGCTCGCGTGCTCCGGTGTAAGGTTCCTGTCGTCCAAGGAGGCTGGTGCGCTGGAAAGGATGAAACGGCGACGAAGTTCTTCCAGGTCACTCTTGCTACTATGCACGCTAGCCGAGAGGCCGGGAGCTCGAACGCCTTCCTTCAAAAGGCGAGCTCGTATAAACCAGGGATCTTTGGGGATGTAGTAGTCCGATGGTAGGTCGGGATACTTGCTTTGCAGCGGGGCGGGCTGATCTGGATCAGGGTCGTCGACTCCGATCTGCAGGCTGTCTGGAATAACACATTAGTCTTTGAGCCTTCGAGGTGCGGACAAAAGCTTACCTGCACCGGTGGGTTGAATCTCCCAGATCCCACCTTGCGCCTCAATGGCTTTATAGAGATAGAGCATTGCCTCGTAGGGCTGATTGCGCGATCGAATGCCAAACTGCCACTTGCGGGATCTTTTGGGCTGATGCGGGGCGCTACGGCTTTCGGGTGGCTCCAAACGCAGCTTGTCGAGATCTATAATGCTGCGTGAATGGGGCTTCAAAGCTCTTGCGGTCGCCTCTCGTTCCTCCATATGACCCTCGTACTGGGCGCGAGGGTCCCTTTCGGACTCTGCGCCACCCTGTGTCTGCATTCGACCCGCGGCTCGCGTTCTTCGGTCCCGCTCACGCTGTTCCATGAGCTGGTCATGGACATAAGGTATGCTGGTTGGTAGTATTCTGACATGGCTCACGCGCGGCACCGTCAGGTCGTCCGCGTCACTCTGCGGCGGCACTTGGAAGTTTTGGCGCTGCGAGCCACTCCGCGCCCGAGTAGAAGGACCAGGGGGGGTTCCCGGAGCAGGAGCAGGAGTTGGTCGTCCGGCCGCTGTCGGGGGCTTTTGAGTTCGTTCGGGGGGTGGAGGGGAGGGTGTTACGGGAGGGCCCATCATGTTATCATCTGTTGGTGCTAGTTGAGGTTAGCACGATTTATAATAGTGCGATGAAATTGAAAAGGCCTCTGGTACTCACAATTCGTATGCATCATCTCGTTCTCCACGATGATAAAGAAAGCGTCTTTGATGGCGCTAGGTTCGGGATTCTTGAGGGCATCTTCGATGTCGTCGCGGGCATATCCCATGCTCCTTTCCAGCTTCGCAATAGCCACCTGGTGGATCTTGTGCTGCACCGACAGGGGCTTCCCTGGAACGAGCTTCCGGGGGTCGATAGCCTTGTTCGGATCTGCCCCGGTAACGATGTAGTCTTCTGGCGGCAGTTGTAGATACGAGGGTAGATCTTGAAGAAACCAAGGATCTTGGCGAATCTCGGGGATCGTAAGACGGTGAACAGGGTGTACCTGCAGCATGGACCTAATTAACCGAGCGGCTCCGGAGGATATGTAGGCGGGCATATGGAAGTTGCCCGCGGCGATTTTCTTGAAAAGGGCCGGTATATAATCGTCGTCAAACGGCAGCCTTCCCACCAACAGCACGTAGAGAATGACACCACAGCTCCACACATCTACCTCCGGCCCCGCGTACAGCTTTCCGGAGATGACCTCCGGTGCCGCATAGTTGGGGCTACCACAGCTGGTCTTGAGGAAATTGCCATCCGTCATGATATTGCTTAGACCGAAATCGGCGATTTTGACGTTCTTCTCGCTGTCGATGAGGAGGTTCTCGGGCTTCAGGTCACGATGTACGATTTTATGGCGATGGCAGTATTCCACCGCACAGATGATCTGCTGAAAGAACTTGCGGGCCTCGGTATCATTGCATCGACCCCTTTTGACCAAATAATCGAACAATTCTCGTTCGGCGTATTCCAGGACCATGATTATGTCGGATTTCGTGGCGATGACAGTGTACCTGCGGAGAAGTCAGTTTCAGTCAGCCATTGTCGAGTTTCTGGATCGAGATCGCAGGCTCATCGCGGCGAGGGACAGGGTACCGTACAGCTTGATGATATGAGGGTGTCGGAGCAGTTGGAGGTATTGGATCTCTCGTTCGACACGGCCCACCATGTCCCTAGACAGCAGCTTGCGGCGGGAGATGATCTTGAGGGCGACCTGGCGACCGCTGGGCTGGTGGATGGCCAGCTTGACCTTGCCAAACGACCCCTCCCCGAGAATCTTCACGGTCTGGTACTGATCGAGGCGCTGCATGTCTCTGGTGGTCGCGGGGGACTGCATGGGAGGCTCGCCGCCTTTTCCGATCGGGCGGGATGGCGGAGGCATGGCCATGGCGGGGATGTTGGAGTTGGAATTGGGAGGAGGGGGGTTCGTCCCGGTGGGACGGTCACGATGACGATCGGGGTGGACTGGAGGGAGCGAAACGGAGAGGTCCTCGTCGTCAAAGGCAGCGGCCATCCTGACGGAAAGGTTGACGGCCGACGTCGGGTTCGGGAGGGACGGGGAGGAGGACAACGTGACGTGATGGATTTTGGGTCGGAGGGGGTGGTCGGTCTGGTCTGGTCGGTCCCGCGCAAGATTCCCGACCGTCCGTTTTTTTTTTTTCTTTCTCTCCCCTCTCCCCTTTTCCCGATGACGGACTGAGTCGTGGGCTGGGGGGGGGTCGACGCCTCACTTCAGAGTACTAGCTCGCGTGCGACAAGGCCAATGAGATCCCGAACAGATGGCAGCGTTGGATGATCGGTTTCCCCCACAACCGGGCAGGATGGTCTCAAGTGGAGCGAGCGCCTGGAGAGTTCAGTTGGTCGACACCGACAGTATCAACACCAGCAGCTGGCGGGGCGGACGGAGGGGCGGAGAGGTTGGAGGAATGCGGGAGGGGTTGGGTAACCGTGGTTGGGAGTTGACCGGCTGGAACTGGAACTGGAACTGGGACTGGGACTGGGACTTAAGGTCGGGGGAGAATAATAATAGCCTTCTGCTGATGGGGAGCGAACTGGAGTAGCGGGAAAATCCAAGAGATGAACGTCCCAGAAGAGCGATTATAAGAAAAGCCACGATGATGGGGAAGGGGCAGGAGGATGGGGAGGGAAAACGGGGCAGGAAGATGCTAGAGCCAGTCTCCGTGCTTTAGCTGCGACTAATCGATTTAGCAATTGGCACAGACGCCGTCAGTGTGTCTCGATTCGGCCGGGGAATTTGCCAGGCTATACAAAGTAAATAGGTTATTAGATACTAGCATCAACCAGCTCCATAGGCCCATTTAGCTGGGTTTACGCAAATCCCTTCTTCGGAATGTGGTCATTTCCCTCCAATAATCTCCATCCTGCCAGTCCCTGGTGGTGGTCGAGAATCATGGCATGTCGGTTAGTTGGGTACTGATTCGGTTAAATTGTCACCAACGAGATATCTATGGCCCGTTAAAATGACCATAATGATCCTGTCGCAGACGCGGTATTCCTAATTTACTTTGATTGAGGCCCCCTCATTCTGCTTGGTTCCAGATTACCCCTGTTTCACACCACCTTGTGGCCCGAGTACACCGTCCAGTGGGCTACCACAAAGGTTAATTTCTATGTAGTCTGCAACAGAGCTTTCCCGAAGGCTATCTGTCTACCTATTGACTGTCTTTTTATGGCTGCCATGGCTGGGAGGCAAACTTCAAATGGGTTTCAATTCCCACAATGTTCATGGGGGGGGGGGGGATATATATTCCATTCAGGAACACACTAGTACTTGCCAGGCAATAAAAGGCAGACAGAATGCTCAAAGCATGTGTCGGGTCTGCCAGAGTGACATGTACAAAGCCAACAGCCAGAACACCCATGGGACGAATACCTGGAAGAACAATAATGTATTGATATAGACTGTAATGGGAGTGACGCAAGCCCAAGACCGAGGCCCGTTTGTTGCCTGCAGGCCGGAAGTCGGGCTTGGCAGCCGCTTGTCATGTGGTGGGGAAGCTGTCCCGATCATCGATTAAACAGCGTCCACCAGCGACTCGGTCCCGGCCTGTATAGTGTATAGCTCTTGCGCTGCTGCTCTCACTAGGCTGTACCATATTCCTGCTCTATTGAGTTCCTTTATCGTCTCCCGGCGCATCCCCCCCCCCCCCCCCCCCGACCCGGCTTAACGAATCACGCGCGGATGCTTCGACATGACCTCCGAACCGACAGAGGAAGCTATCGCGAACTTCGTGAGCTTCACCAGCTCATCGCGCGAAAAGGCAATAAGCTTTCTCAAGGTCGGCTCCGATTGATCCCAAGCAATAAGATATAAAGACTGACCGGGGTGTGGGTGCAGGCCAACAACCTCAACTCCAATCAAGCCATTAACGCCTATTTCGAAGATCCCACGGGCCCTCAGACGCAGGTGATGTCTTGAGATTGCGCTTCAGTTATCGGCGCTCCAACTGACTGTCGGGCATGTCGTGATATAGCCAGTTAGCTATCAGAATGATCCCAACGTGTCTTGTATGGCCATACCTCCTGCCTTTGTTGAGGGAGAAGCTGGTTCTTTCATACTGACGACATATACCTCACAGCGTTCCAGATCGAGCACTCCGATCCAGCCCCAGACCCTTCCCTTACAGCCCCGTCACGCCCACCGTCTACGCTCAACCTAAACGAACAAACATCTGGCGCCGAGTACACACACAACACTCCTGCGCCTTCACAAAACACTACTGGTGAGGGGAACCTGGGGGGAACATGTTTCTTGGCTTCTGCTCACTGGGCTAATCCCATCGGCAGATACCGGCAAAGGCTTGTCTCTGGCCGAGCAAGAGGAGCGTGAGCTGCAGCAAGCTGTGGCTATGTCGTTGAACCAGAATCTTGGACAGCAGGAGACGGGGGTCACAAGCACGAAAGACTCGAAGTTTAGTCGGGCCACGCGCGACCACTACGAGGAAGGCGCCTGGGCGATGACGCTTTTCAACTCCAGCTCTCGCGAGATTATCATCAGCCCCGATCCGACCGATCGCAAAAGGCGCGATGGTGAACCGCCTTTCATTCGGCCGTCTGAAGACAACGTATACCTCAGTGGGTTTTTGACAATCCTCCATTCGATTCCCCTGGCGAGGGAGGCCCTGATGCTACGGACCCGACTTCTTTCAAACTACGGCCACGACCCCCAATGGTGGAATGGACAACCCATCAACCTCCCCAAGATTGTTACTGTCCATGACGCGCAGGACGGCGACACTGAATGGGACGATATAATCTACGAAACACAAAGAATAATGGCCTTTTTGGATGGCACCAGTCGCGCTTTTGGTAGTAGCGATGCGCTTGCCAGTCTGAAGAGCATGAGCAGTTATGACCGGGAAGGCAGTGTTGGCCAGTTTTTGGAATCCTGGCAAGAAGCTGCCATCCGAGCAGACCAGGGAAATCAGTTGGCAACCATCTTCTCCTCGACTGCCTATAAACGACCGCTTTCTGTCTTTGACACCCCGATCGATAAGGAATTTTCCACGCTTACTCCGTTCGTGGAACGCGAGCACGGTCAATCGCTCTATGATGTACTCGATCACACCATGTGGTCCGATAGAGCGGGCGAAGAACTCGATGATGTATGGCTGGAGCATGTCGCAGAGGTTTTCACCATCAAGATGGACGGTACCGACAAACCCCTTGAAGTGAACATTCCCGCGGTATTCTATCCCGATCGATATCTCTCCGCCAGCCGGGATCTTTCTCGTGAATTCCGTGCGCAGAGACTCCGGGTTTACGAGGAGATATTCCGGCTAGAAAACTTGATCAACCGCTTCACGCGATCCAAGACGTCCATATATAAAGGACTTACTTCCATGGAGACCCTGGAGAAGGCCGCGGATGTCATCACCACCACGCTCCCGAAGAGCCTGTCCAAGTCAGATGCGTTTACGCCTGAAACAGCAAATGCAGAGGCACAGAGATTGGCGGATGAACTGAGAGCCATATCCGGTAAAATAGAAACGAAGCTTAAGGGTAGGGCTTCTCATATTGTCTTCATTGAGTTTTATTGCGCTGACTGAGCATTGAACAGAACTGGAGATCAAGAAAGGCCAGGCCCTGGAAAGTCTTCGAGGCTACTCCAAAATCCTCACCGAAACTTCCTCCTCCAGCGAACAGCCGCATCACCAGTATACCCTGCGAGGCGTGTGCACCGAACCACATGTGACCTACGTTAAGCGCCATGTGCCGGACGCCTCCGCGAATGGGTCCGAAGCAACCACGTCCAACGAATCCCAATGGTGGCGCATCAGCTTCTCTACGGACGATGCAAAGTCCCGCCAGACAGAGTCAGGCCAGGCTAACAATGCCAACTTCGATAACGCAGAGGTTATTGGATACACTGCACGCAAGGTCGGAGAGGACGAAGTACTTCAAGCGGCCCGCGAGGAGTCTAAATCCGTTCTACTTGTGTACGCCAACAGCAATGCAATGAACCAGACGGAGGAGCCGGCTCCCCCCCAACTCCAGGTAAGGTAACACTCGGCTGGCGACAGACTCTGTAAACTGACCGTGGAATAGAATTTCGTGCACGCCGACAATCAAGCATTCGAGGCTGAGTGCCAGGAAGCGGAAAGTGCGAGAAATCCGGCCAGCCACGAGAACCCTGCATCGGGCGCATCTGTCAGTCACTCAAGGAATGGGCGAAGACTCAGGGTCCATTTCTGCTAACACATCCATGCAACAGGAACCGCCGACCAACCCGGCACAGAACGTGAACGTGAACGTGAACGTGTTTGACTACCAGGTGCCGTCCTTCGACGAGTCACAGGGTCCGGGGCAGGAGATGGAAGAAAGAGGTGGACGACCTTTGCTCGGTAGAAGTAGAAGTAGTACAGCTGGCCCTGTGCAACCTTCCCAGGATGTCGACGCGATGTGGGAGGACGCGGACGAAGAGAAGGCGGCGTGAACTTTGGTACACCACCAGTATCTAGATTGTCGATACTAGCCAGGAACCCCCATTTTAGATACCATCTTTTGCTATAGGGTTTGGCCTAGAGCGCTCGAAATGAGACCTCGATAATGAGCAGTCTAGCCACACTGGGAATCTAAGTTAGCAACCGTACATACGTAGAATGAGGATCAACAGGGTCTCGTTTGACCATTGTTTGGGGTTTGCAAGCTCCCTCCCCACGTGCCAGCTGCCCCTTGTGTATGTCATGTTTGCACCATCCCTCCACTCTGACCGACCAGACCAGACCAGCCCGCGGAACCGTGGCATCAGCAAACAAACAACATTACCACCTCCATCCCCACCTAGCCTATCTACACAATGGCTCTCGAAAACGACGCGGTCGCCAGCGCCACGATCGAGCTCCTGGAGAGCCGTCTTCGCCGCCTGACCTACCTGCTGACCGGCGACGCAAATTGGACCGGCAATCCCACGCCGCCCGCAAAGCCCGCCTCTCTGGACGAGGGCGTCTCGCGCCGCCTGCTCCGCCTAGAAAGAGACCTGGACCGACTGAGTCGAAACAACCCCGCCGTCAGGGACGTTCTTGGACTTCGTACGATCCCCTCTCCCCCTCACAATCAAACAACCCATCAATCAATGCATAGACAAAAGAATAATAGAAACAAACTAACACCCCCCCCCCCCAGACGACCGCTTCCCAGACCTCTTCCTCCCCACGCCCGCCAAATCCCTCCCGGAGAACCTAACGACGCAAAACCTAGCCTCCATCGTCCTCTCCTACGCGTCCGCCTTCCCCGAAACCGCATCCCGACTCACCTCGCTGAACGACCTGCCTATCCCGGACGCCGAGATATCTGCGTCGCTCATCCAGCTCCAGCCGCGCTTGGACCAGTTGGCGCGCACGCAGGAGGACCAGGCGGCGCAGATCTCTGAGCTGCGTGTGCGGTCCGCGAGAGTCTTGCAGAGGTGGTATGAGGTTGCGCTCGTTGGGGCGGCGAGTGTTGGGCTGAGTGGGAGGGAGATTGGAGGATGTGGAGAGGGAGGTTAGGAGGAGGAGGTGGTGAGGGAGAGGAGGGCGGAGATTAGGGATGAAGGTAGGAGGGAGGTGAGGATGGAGTTGGGTGGTGGTTGGATTGGCATATGGGTGCTGCTTTTTTTATTGTTTCTGTTCCGTCTTAGCGTGAGTGTGATTTGTATGATACCTCTTTTTTTTTTCCAACTACCTATATACCAATATGTACAGAGTACATATCTCAGTATGGCCCGCGTGGAATCAGTCCGACTTCCATACCCACGCGCACTGGATTATATTGGACTGGACTGGACTGGACTGGACTGGACTGGACTGAATCATGAGAAAGGCAAGGATGCGCGCAGCACGACCTCTTGAATCTTTTCTTGATACGGAGTAGATAGCAAAGTCTATCTGTAGCTCCTCCAATTCCAAAAAAGGAAAGGTTCTACCATGAAACAACCCGATCTTTCTTTCGGGGTTCAATCATCCATCAATGATGAGCGTGAGCGAGAGCGGCATTATTATTTGAGCGCCATATCCCGAACCGATGCAAAATGCATGGAGGGAGAGAGATCTGGACCTGGACCTGGACCCTCAAGGCCGGAACCGATCGTCGTGGGTCTCCGCTCTGGAGGATAACACCATAGCTTTGTGTAGATTAGAGATTGGCACGACATGCTGTGTGGGTATGTGTATTGTGTATTGTGTGTGTATGTAAGTATGTGTGTGGATGATACTCATTTCAAGGATGGGAAAGCAAATCAAGAGACCCACGGGGAAGCTGGGCCGGACCGGGGGGGGGACCTTTTGGCCCTTGGAATTGGGCCTTGAGTCTGACTTTTGGCCCTTGCTTCGGAGTTGAGAGTTGATGTCCGTGAGGTTTATGTGCATACCTACTTACTTACTACTTACTTGCCAATGCACTTACAGCGAGTGCTGCGTAGTGCGTACAGGGTAGACTTGGATAATGTGGTGATTGGGAACTGGAGTCGTCAAATGATTCCCCGTCCCCGGTTTCGGATTAAAATCCATTCCCATACGAACTGAAGTCCGAAGTATATACCTACATACATACATACCCCCCGTCAGGACAATATAACCCAACTACCTACCTACATAATGGATAGGGTGTACATACATACATATACATAATAAAGCTTACCAGAGACCCATGTCCGGCACCGTGACACGAGGGGAGTGAGTACCAGTGTCTAGTGTTGGGCCCGTGGTCTTACTCGAGGGCTGGGCTAGAGGGTGAGGGTGAGTCAAGAAGGCAGAAGAAGTAAGTCCAACAATTGCCCCATTCGGGATGCGCCAGTGTGCCAGTGTCTTACCTGGGACCAGCAGCAGGCGGATTTGACTTTGAAGTGCGAGAGGATTATGAATCCCCTCCCCCCCCTCCCCTTCCCCCCTGCAACTCTGTGACACACTAATCGGGCCACCGTCTGCAGGTCCAGCCTTGCAGCGTGTGCAGCCTGCGCTGCGCTGCTCTGCTCCAACTTCCGGGATTGGTTTGCTTTGATTTGCTTTGCTTTGCTTCCTACCTACCTACCGGACCGGAGGATCTCTTTGCCTGGATTGCATTGCACTGCACTGCTGGACTGAATTGGACTGGATGGATGGTTGGTTCTTCCTTTGATGCAGCCTGGGTTGGGGTGTCGTGGCTTGGCTTGGCTTGGCTTGGTTTGGCTTGGTTATGCTTGAATTACAATTGTGTAGTGCAGGTGCAGGTGCAGGTCGGAATTGGAGTCGGGTGTTGGTGCTGATGCTGGTGCTGGTACCTTGTCTCATGTGGTCTGGGTGTGCGTGCGGTGCAAGCATTGGAAGTACTCCGTAGAGTGGTGCGGATGAGCTGGGAGGGTATTTTGGCCTGTACACCGTCGGCCGGGAGAGACTGGTTGGTTACTGAGGTGGGATGAGTCCGGGTGGTGGCAGCAGTAGCAGCAGGATAGGTAGGGCTTATGCCTTATACATACTATAGACGCTCGAGACATGGAACGGGACTATCTAGAAGGGAGTTAACTATATCCTCCACCTCCCAGGATCCCGGGAGAACAGACGTTGTACGGAGTACACAGAGCCAATAATGCCTTCTTCTTTCTGCCTTCTCCCATGGCGATCACACCTGGCTGACCACCACCACCACCACAACGACAACAACAAAACACACACACACACACACACACACGCCAACGACCGCCACAGACGGCCTCACCTCAGCCTCAGCGTTGAACCAACTTGCCAAAAAAGCCCAGGGGCCAGAATCCCCGAATAATTCGCAGCGACTCCACTTCGGCGACGCGGACTTCGTGGGCAAGGTAGTGGACACGCTGGGCCGGTAGACCAATCAAAAGCCAGAAGACGGCGTTGCGTGTCGTCCCGGACCCAAAGCGGACTAGAACGGACCCGGTTTTTGGTGAGAGAATTGCAACGATCTCATTTAACCTTGAAGGAAGGGAGAGGGCCCGTGGAATTAATTCTGACGGGATTTTCGATTTTGACATGCTGGGATGCTCGGTGTCATTTCCATTTTCCTATTTCCCATTTCCCACTTCCCATTTCCCTCCCAGTCCAGTCCAGTCCAGTCCAGTCCCGGTCGGTCTCCCCTCATCTCCATGTCCCCGGCATTAACTTGTGATGTACTGATAGGGCTAGCGATCAGAACGTGTATGGGGGGCTTTGGTTGAGTCTGAGTGGTCCCCCGTGTAAATAGTAAATGACGATGGCCCGGGGCTTGTGGACTGGACTGTGGTCCATGAGGCGTGAAGGTTAATATTATTATTCTTTTCTTGTCTTTTCTTGTCTTATAGAAAGATAAAATGGAATAATAATAGAATGAAAAAAAAAATGCTGGTACGGTAAATAACTCCCTCCAGAACCATGGCTACCACAGTGGTGGCTGCTATCTAGTCAATCGTATTCTCAACCCTACCAGAAACCCCACTAAACTGCTTCGCAACTAACCACGCTATCCTCCTCGTCAGCACCAGAATAGAGTCTCTTGAGTCTTGAGTATTATCTACTATCTATACTCTACTCTTTACTTAGACTAGATAGACACACAGTTAGTCTACTCCGTAGTCTAAGAATAATCCCACTAACCAATCCCCCCCCGGGCCACACCAGGGGGGGGGGGGCCTCTTTGCGGTTCTCGCGAAGGCCCACCGGGGCCAGGCACCGCCGCTCTGAAACTCGATCCCATTTGTTTTCCAATTCCCATTCCCTCCCCCTCGCCCGTCCATCCAGAATCATCATCTCCTTTTCCCGCTCGAGACCTGTCCTGTCCCGACCTGGACCACCACCACCACCACAACTCCAGCTCCGTCGTTCTGTCGTGTCTGGGCGTGCGTTGCCTCTCTCCATCTCCATTTCCATCTCCATCTCTGTCCCTCCTCTTCCTCTCCCATCCCCATTATTCCCATCCCATCGATCGTTCCCCCCCCCCAATTCGGTCGCCCATCGGCATTTCACTCGTTTGTTTGCCTTCTTGTTCCCAACCCGTCTTTCTTTCTTTCTTCTTCCTCTCCCTCTCTCTCCACCTCTCTCCCTCTTGTCTACCCCCCCTCTTCGGCTTCTTCTATTCTATTATATTCTTTCTTTCTTACCTTCATTTCTTCTCCCTCTTCTTCCACCCTCCCCATTCCACACTAACGTTTCATACTTTGCCGTTCGTCTCCAGCCTGGTGCTGCTGTTTCTCTTCGTGCCTCTGCAAGGGGGAATCTGTCGGCGCTTTTTTGAACATCCACCAGCCTCCCCAAGCCCTCGTTCCTCGATCCATTCTTATATTGCTCCGCCTGTTTGAGACGATCGGTGCCACTCTGCTGCTTCTCCCCTTCGCCAGCCTCACCATCCCGCAGCCATTCATTTGACCCGACTTGTCTCAGAAGTATGTACTGCATCGACCCTGATGCTGGACCTTTTTAATTTCCATCTCCCTTCCCTTTTCGTTTTCTTATTTTGTTTTCGGCCCTTCCCTGCATGAGGCTCCGTGGGCGTTCGTGTTGTCGTTCCTCACGATGTTCTCCGTGCGCCGCCGATCGACTGGCACGCTCCTTGGCCATTCATTCACGTTCGCCCATCTTGCAATCTAGCTGACTGCGTGGTAGTCGGATATCTTTTCCCTCTGGTCGAGTAAAAACAGTCATTGCCCCGGTCCACGATTCTCAATCTCCGGTTCGTTGTCGAATTCGTCGCCGCGTCACCAAATAAAGTACCGGACACCGCCCCCCTCGTTGTTATACAGTACACCGCCGGGACATTGAGGTCATCGTCGCATTGCGCCTTACAACAAACCATTATCCGAACGTCTCTATATAACCGCTCGCGACCTGGCCTGAACCACATTCATGGTGGCTTACTCTTCCCGTTCACCCTCTTTCCAAAAACCATACACATACCCCGACCCCCCACGGAAAATGGCCCGCTTCAGAGCCAGCAATATCCTCGGCGACCCGTTTGCGCTCGCGACAGTTTCCATCTCGATCGTATGTGCCCCAGGCCCTTCCGTCTGTTGTGGCACCGTGACTTGCGGCTAATCCTCCCTCTTCTCTGTTTAGCTCGCATGGCTGATCGCTTTCATCTCGTCCATCATCACCGGCATCCATGGCGGCTATCCCACCTATTCGTGGTGGGCCGTCGCCTACTCGTTTTGCTGCATTGTGGGCATGATGATCGTCTTTGGGACCGACACTGGCACTGTCTATAACATCGCGGTAGGGTCTTCTGGCTGCCTCGGCCCATGTCCATCAGGCTGATCAGTAGCAGATTGTGGGGTATCTTTCCGCCGGTCTGGTCATTACCACTATCTCGATCAACTCGTTAGTATATTCGAATAATGCGGCCAACCAAGCCGCCGGAGCTGGGTTTATTCTCCTGGCTATGGTTATTGTGAGTGACGACGACTATGGTCCAACTGACGGGAGAATACGTGGCTGACCGCTCGAGCAGATTATCTGGATCTTTTACTTCGGCTCGAGCCCTCAGGCAACTCACCGCGGCTTTATCGATTCGTTTGCCCTCCAGAAGGAAGGCGCTGGCTCGTACGGGAATAGCAGGCCTATGTCGACCGCGTTCGGTAACCGCCCTGAAACGACCTCCAGCCAGCCACCGCAGATGTACACGTCCGCCCAACTCAATGGCTTCGAGACTTCGTCGCCCGTGTCGGGCTATCCCGGAGGAGCCGCTGGCTCCGAGCACCGCAGCTCGCAGCCGCGCTTTGCCAACCAGTCGGCCACCAACCTGGCCCCTGGCACGACGGCTCCTCCGCCGGACGAGGTACCCCAGCCGACCGAGTACCCGTACCGCGCCAAGGCCATCTACTCCTACGAGGCCAACCCCGAAGACGCCAACGAAATCAGCTTCGCCAAGCACGAAATCCTAGAGGTATCAGATGTGAGCGGAAGATGGTGGCAGGCCAGGAAACCCAGCGGAGAAACCGGTATTGCTCCATCCAACTACCTGATCCTGTTGTGATCAGAGCGCGGAACAAGACACGGTGTCACGTCCCTTTCCTTTTTTGTTTCTGTCTGTCTTTTCTGGTCTGTCTTGGATCTCGCCCCCGTTTGCGGGCGAGAGAAAAATCAGTTTTTGATACCCTTCGAGTAGTATCACTCGGCGCGATTCTGGTTTACAAAGTCCCGTTACGTCTTGATGGCCTTCTTTTCTTCTTTTTTTTTTCTTGCTGCTGTTGTTTTGATGCTCTATTTGTATGTCGCTCAGTCGAGGCAATCATTCTCTTGTTTGTTTGTTTGCTTTTTTCTTTTCTTTATCATCTGTGCGTGTTGGCATATTGATTCATTTGTCGACCGTCTTGTCGGCCGGACTACTATCTTATCGTATCTGCGTGCTGTGCTGATCTGATTCGCTATGGCCCTGAACTCTCTGTACATGTCATGTCTCCCAGCACCTCACCTCACCTCGTCTCAGACGCTTCCAAGTCTCCTTTATCTATCTATCTATCTATCTCTCTATCTCTCTCTATACTGGAAACGAGTACGTGTTGAAATTCCATGCTCTTTATTACTTGCCCGTAAAGAGAGTAAGGTGGTTAGCTGGACTTTATGCCACCTAGATAGACTGTAGACGTATTGCCATATTGTCTCGAGTGAGAGAGCCAGGGGCAGTCGACCTGACGAGGAATCCGGAGATCTACAGAATCTACCTAGATGGTCAACGAGGCGTTTTGTGATATGACTGACAGACAAGCCTTGACAGGGCTAGATGGATAGTCGACGTTGACCGTTTCCCGGTTTCCCGATTCCCGCCCGCTGCCACGTGCGCCGAGTCCCCGGCCACGACTATCACTGGAGCTGTCAGAACTCTGACCTGGAACTCTGAATGCTTCCCTGTAGGTGAACAGTGGAAGATAGTCTGACCCCTATCTATCCATTCACATCTGATATATCAGGCATATACCAGGAAAGGGAGGGTTATTCTCGTCTTTGAAGATATTGGACAGTCATTCAGTCAGCCAGTCTGTCAGCCAGTCAGTCAGTCAGCCAGTCAGTCTGTCAGCCAGTCAGTCAGTCAGCCAGTCAGTCAGTCAGTCAGTCAGTCAGTCAGTCAGTCAGTCACGGGTAACGCGTTCATTGATCTGGATAAGAAAAGAAGTTGAAGAAGACTCGGTGAGTTTGAATAGAAGGTCTGGCCGCGGAGCGGACCTGTCGGAGGTTGCTTCGGTATGGTTGGTTGTTTGTTGATGTTGCGCTCCCGCTATCTGGTACTCAGATCAGAGGATATAGTAATATCAGTGATATTGTTGGGGGGTAATGCGTCTGGAATGAACCGTCCCAGACTGAGACAGCCAGAATGGAGCTCCAGTGGAGATATAGATAAATAACCATGCAGGACGGATAAACACTACCAAGAGGAATGGATGCCTGGGTCTGAAACGCAGGAATCCGGAGGTCCATGCATGGGTTGGAAGAGGTGGTGGTGGTGAAATGGGGAGGGCCAAGGGATCTAGTTCGCCCGCAGCGTTGCTGGAATATACAACCGATGGGACACTAGTCATGCACAGCACCGGACAACAAACCGCGTCTGCATGTTGTCTGTCTCTTGTCTCTCTGTCTGTCAGTGTCTCTGCCCCCCCCCCCTCCCCTCTCAGGCTCTCAATCAATCAGTCAGTCAGTCAGTAAAGTAGTAGTAGTAGTAGTCTCGTGGACCGACGGATGAGGTGGATCGATGTATATCTGGAGCAATTGCTCCTCCCGTGCCCACTTCTCTCCTCCGGACGATTGATTATTGATCTGGACTCTTTCTCTCCAGCCCGGAGCTCGATCGGGTCCAAGCGTGGATGGCTTTTTTTGGGAATTTTCCCCTGAGGCCCTGAACTTGTCTGCCCGATAGGAAGATGATTGAATTTATTTATTATTCTGGGCTAGATATTTGGACGATAAAGTTGGACTGTCATCACCCCAAACTTATCGATCCATCTCTCCCCTCCCAGTGAGATTTGAACCCATTGTTCTAGATCATCCATCCATCCATCCATCCCAACCAGCTACCTAACTAATCCGGTAATTGCTTAGAGCACAGCTTCCTCCCCTGCTCGTGCTTTCCCTTCGCGTGTCTCCCACCTCTCCTCTCCTCTCTTCCTCTCTTCCTCTCTTGTTTCTTTTCCTTTCTTTCCTCCTCTCTTTACTTTACCTCACCCCCTCTCCGTCTGACAGCCCCCCCCCCTGTTGTTGACGAGGGCGTCTCTTCCCCCCACCCCATTGTGGTTTGTTGCTGCCAACCTCTCCCCTCCTTCTGTTCCGTTCAAGCCATGCCGAGTGGCCCATCGCCTGCTGATCCTTCCCATCGTCCTTCCTTTATGCTTGGATGCCATCTGGACCGGCGGAGGGCTCGGTGACCTCCCTGTGTCTGTCGTTCATTTGACCCTCTTTTTTGATATCAGTTTATTCACTCTCTTTTTTCTTTTCTGGTTTTGCTTTTTTTTTTCTCACTCTCTGTGATTTGACTATTAGTCTCTCTCTCTTCCTCTTTCTTTTATTCTGCTGTTTTTTCTTTACTTATTTTTTTTTTTTCTGTCGGACTCTCTGCAATAAGATATCATTTATTCTTTCCCCCCCTTGCATGTTGCCTGCGATCACCAATCTATGCCATTGCAACCCCTCCTCCATTGCGTATCACTTGCATCATGCCAGACCGTCGATGGATCAGGCTGAAGGCGAAGCTGTTGCGGCGATCGTCGTCCTCATCCGCTCCCGCCGCCACCACCACCACCCCCCCCGTCAACGCCGCCATCAACAGCGACACGACGACTCCCGGTGATGACAAGTCTCATAATAATATTAATCCCCCGCCAACACCACCCCCAGCAGCGGAAAATGAAACAACCGTGGTGACGGGCAGCGACAGCCGCCGGGTACCGGCTGCACCGGAGCAGGAAGAGGAGGAGGAGGACGGTCGGCGACGGGCACGATCGCAATCACGGCGACGATCGGAGTCTCCCGAGCTCTGCGATCCTCTGTCCCGGCCGGCCGTGATTGGTGCAGGACGAGGGCGGTACTACGGCCCTTTTGAGGACGGCGCCGCCGCGAAATCCTGTCCAGAAGAGCCTGTCGCTGTCGCTATCACCACTGCCGAACAACGAGAAGGTCGATTGCGACACTCGGCCGTTCATCAGGGTGCCGGTGCCGGTTCCAGTGCAACCCGCCAGCGACAGCAGGACGCGACCTTGGATCGTGTCCGTCCCGTTCCCAACCGGCGTCACAGTCACAGTCCCTTCTCCGAGCAGCTCAACGTCAATTCCCCACCCCCGACGACTCTATCGCCCGATCCGCTACCCTCGCCAACCCCAACCCCCCCTCTCACCTCGTCCGATCGCTTTGGCGCCTCGTCGCTTCAGCTTGGCTACTCGCAAGGCCTCGATCGCTTGGGCTCTGCCGCAGGGGAGCCTCAGCTGCCGCCTGTGTTGGACGTCGTTGCGGAGAACCCTGCCGGCGAGCTAGCTTATCCGTCCTTTGTCCCAACAGTCCAGACAGTCCAGACACCTCCTGCCTCCTTTTCCAAGCGTCCCAGCCTGGGATCTCGTCGCCAGTCGCTCCTGGCCCCGTCTCATCAGTACCTTATCAACAGCTTGTTGGAGCCCGGGCTCACATCCGAACCCGACAATCCGGGCCACGGTCGCCTTGCCACCTACAATCCAGGCATGCCACGCAAGATCTGGGTCAAACGGCCAGGCGGGTCGGCCACTCTGGTCCCCGTCTCGGATGATTATCTGGTGGACGAACTGCGCGACCAGGTGATTGTGAAGTATTCGAATTCTCTGGGCAAGACCTTCGACGCTCCTGATATCGTCATCCGGATTACCCCGCGCGATGGCTCGAACAGACAGCAAACCCCCGATCGCATGTTGAGCCCCGAAGAGTCGTTGCCTGCTGTGGTGGACACATATTATCCGGGGGGGCAAGCCATTGAGGAGGCGTTGATTATAGACATCCCCCAGCGTCGCACGCCGAAGCCTTCCCCGCGTCATTCGGTCTACTATAACCACCATTCGGAGCCGGGTGAGCATGGCGACTACTTCCCCCTCATGCCCGCAAACCCCAATGTCCCGACGCCACCGACTCATCCATCGAACTCAACTGCAAGCGTGAACGCCCATGCCGCCCCGTCGATATCCATCTTGACTACGGGCTCATTGCCACCTGTGCCCTCTCCCGGGAGTCGTGGGAGTCGACACCCACGCCGGCCGCCCCTCACTCGACATGCCACTAACTCGCCTACGATTCTGAACCAGACGCCGGTCGTAAAAGGTCTGACATCCTTTGTCCAAATTTTTGATACTTCCTTGACCAGTGTGGATGATTGCTAACCTCCAAAAGAACCCGGGGTGACTTCCAGTCCCATGCCTCCTCAGCCGGCCCCAGCAATGCCTACTCCGCCAGGGCCAGCACCAGAGTCCCCCCAGGCAAAGTCCCTTACCCCTCCAGCACGTGGCAGCTCGCCACGCCCCCGCCCGGCCGCGAAGCAGAAGAAACCGAGTGCGACGCAGTCATTGAGTGGGGTCTTTGGAGGCCTCATTGAGGGCACTGTGCCGCCTATCAACGTGTTGATTGTTGAGGACAATAATATCAACCAACGGCTATTGGAAGCTTTCATGAAGCGTCTGAGCGTCCGCTGGAAGTGTGCGGCTGACGGTGAGGAGGCCGTGAAGAAATGGCGCCAAGGTGGTTTCCATCTGGTACTCATGGACATTCAGCTGCCTGTGATGAACGGTCTGGATGCGACGAAGGAAATCCGCAGGCTGGAGCGCCTGAACGGGATCGGTGTATTCCCCAAGACCGCCGACGGGCGGGCGAGTGCCGCCAATGCTACCGTGACAACCCCACCGGCGGTGACCGGCAATAGCGACCCCTTGGCCGCGGAAGACACGTTACATGATCTGTCCCTGTTCAAGAGTCCCGTCATTATTGTGGCCTTGACGGCCAGCAGTTTGCAAAGTGACCGTCATGAGGCACTGGCGGCGGGCTGCAACGACTTCCTGACCAAGGTAGGTGTCTGCTTTTGAACCTGCCCAGTTCTATCCATGATTGCAATGTACTGACGAACGTTCCAGCCCGTGCGATTTGAATGGCTCGAACAGAAAGTGACAGAGTGGGGGTGCATGCAGGCCTTGATCGATTTCGAGGGTTGGCGCAAGTGGCGAGGATATGCAGATGAAGCGCTATCGCCTATCATCTCCGACGGCCATACGAGCCCCATGCAAATAGGCGGTGATGGAGTTTCGCGGAAGCCCTCACCCACCATCTCACCCTCACCGTCCTCCACCGCCAGTCAGGGAGGATTCGGCGCGAAGAAGGAGCGCAAATCGCTCAGCTTTCTCAGGCCCATTGACGTGACGCCGGAAGACTCCTCGGGCAGCGGAGAGGGAGGACTGGACTCGCCAGCCAGTCCCGTGACATCGGCTCCCACCGACATTCCTACCGAACCCTGATGGGATCCCAAACCAGCTGGTATCCTCGATGTTGTTTGCAGCCGATGGCCTCCTGGCTGGTTGGCGTGTGTTGTTTGCATGTTTTTTTCTCAAAAAGGTTTCCCGCTATTTTGCGTCTTCCTATGGATACCCAGCATAGCCATCGTCGCTGTTCTTCCTTCTTTCCGTCTGCTACCCTCGTTGCGCTCTCTTTTGTTACTTGATTCTGGTTGAATTGGCGTTTTGTCGGGGCTCGTGTTAATTAGTTGGTTACCGGTGCACCCGTGGGGGACATACTCAGGCATACGAACGAGATGTCATCGTTTCGTTTCTTTTTTCTCTTTCTTTTCTTTACACACACACTCATAAGGTACATACATAAACCGACACACATGCTCCCTTTCTCTTCCCGTTGATTCTTTATCTTAAGCACATATCATTTTGTTGTGGGGAAGGAAAAACACACCAACAAACAAACAGGTCTGTCTATGCGTAGATGCATGCATGCATGCATGTCTGCCTGCCTGTCTGGTTGGTTTGGTCTTTTATTCGTAGATAGATTTCTTCTCCTTCTCCTTCTCCTTCTCCCTTCTCCGTGTCGTATGTACGTACGTGTACGTATGTATATATATACGTACATAGATCGGTACAGACAATGAAGGGTCTCTGTATCGATCGATCTTCTATTACCTCTGTCATAGCAATTGAAAGCGGGAACTATGGTAAATACCTCCCTCGGGTTGAGGTTTTGAAAAAATTACAATATCCTTGTATGCATGCATGCATGCATGCATACATGTATTTTTTTTTGACTTGATAGAGCAGTGTTATTTTTTTTTCGTATTGTTTGGAATGGAGAGTAAGGGATGTAGAGAAGATATTATGCAGGTATTATAATTGGGTGTGTGTATTTATTGGTTGATTGGTTGATTGGTTGATTGTGATTGAAGTAGGTAGGTAGATAGGTAGATAGGTAGATAGGTAGATAGGTAGATAGGTAGATATGTAGATATGTAGGTAGGTAGGTAGGTAGATAGGTAGATAGGTAGATAGGTAGATAGGTAGGTAGGTAGGTAGGATGGACACTCCGTAGATAGATAGATGCCCATAGTCAATAGTCAATAGACACGAGAAAAGACCAGACAAGACAAGAAAGGCTATAGATACAATGGCTCAAAAATAAAGGTCCTGTCAGAAAAAGAAAAAAAAAAAAAAAATCCGGGATTGAGTATAATGGTACAAATCAAACAACCCAGGCAACCCAGGCAACCCAGGCAACCCAGACAGGCAAGGCAGGCAAGGCATAGGTAGCGTAGCATACAAATACATCCATCGTCTATCCGCACTGCGTGACAGACGGGCCATTCAATAGAATAGGGAAGAAAGACAGCGAAGCTAGCCTTCTATCAATCTATGTCGATAGTAGAAGATTGCTGTCCCCCCAGGGAATAAATAATAAGATGAAGAAAGGAGGAAGGAGGATGGAGAAGGAGGGAGATTAGACGACCACGCGGGTGGGGATCTTGACCTCGCCCTTCTTGCGGTCGTTGGCGGGAACACCGTAGCGGCGACCGGGGGCGGCGGCACCGCGACCGTTCTTACCGGTGGTTTCTCTGCTGACGACGACGTCCTGGATGCGGAACTCGAAGCGCGAGTCCTCGGGCTGGACGCGGAGCATGCGCTTCGCGCGGCGCTCCTCGGCCTTGAGCCTGCGATCTTCCTGGGCCTTTTCTTCGGCGCGCAGACGCTCGTTGTAGACCTTGCGGTTCGCGTAGGTTTCCTCCGGGTGGTTGAGTGAGTCGCGCTCTTTGGCGACCAAGTGCGGGTGCGGGATACGCGTGTCCGCGGGCTGGAGGACCTGGTGCTCCTCGTCACCTTTGCCGACCATTTCAATGGCGCTAGGCTTGTGCGTAACACGAGTTACGGCCGCGTAGGGATCGACGGCGTTACGGGCCACCTCTTCGTGTTCTAGGGCGGGGGCACCAGAGAAGACACGACCGGCATCAACGCGGTTGAATTGGCGGGACTCGGAGACGGGGTAGAAGATTTGAGGGTGAGTGAGACGGTGGGAGGGAAGGTCGTTGATGTTCTCATGAGAACGCGAGGCGCCCACCCCGTGTTCATACTCCGTCTTTTCAAGCATTTCGTGGATGGCCCGGCCATAGGGTAGAGCTAGAGATTTACCCTGATTGGGAATGTTAGTTGTGTTCGACGACAAACGAGACCAAAAAAAAGCATCCATTAAGATCAAAAGAAAAAGACAAGCTCGGTGCATATCAGCAAAAAAAAGGCGTTGTAACCATTCCCAGCTTGACTGGGTCATAAAGACTAATCGAATTTTTATATTTTTCTCATCATTGCACCGAGCATACTTGTCACTGACGAAGGGGGGATGGGGATGGGGATAGGGGGAAGAAAAGAAAAAAAGTAGACCTACCTCATCTGTCATCTTCTTCTGCAGCTCCATCAGGCGAACAACAGCAGCCACTCTCCTCATGTCGACGTCAAGTTCAACACTGACAGCCCGCACACTCTTCTTGTGCTTCACCACGCGGTCGTAAATCTCATTCTGCAAGTCCACGCTCAGAATAGGTTCGCTCCGGTATTGTTGATTATCGATGAACGGCCTGCTTGTTCGTAGCAGCTTCCCATCAGGAGTCTTGCGCGCTGTAAGATAGTTCGTCTCTCCAGGGACATGATTCTTGAATCGAGCTCCGGGACCGCTGAGCCACTGGAACATCTCTCTGCGCTGTCTGGTTTGAGGGGCTACTGATGATGAAAAGGACCGGCATGAGGACCGGGGGCTATATGCGAGGGCTTGTGAGGAGGATGTAGAGAGTCTGGGAAGACATGTGGAGGTGGAAGAGGAGGAAAGGTAGGGGAGGAGGGTGTTGGAAACGACCTGGTTCTGTATTCGGGGAGCCATGGTGGATGGGAAAACGGGGAAAGGAAGGGGAATGTGTGGAAGGCGAGAGTTCTGGATGACAATGAACTGATCTGGGAGAAGATACAGCCCAATTGACGCGTGGGGGGTGGATGAGGGGGAGGGAGGTTGGATTGTCAACAGGTGGAAGGGAAGAAGTGCTCGGCAGGAATCGAAAAGGAAGAAACTTTTCGGCGCTGGCTGCTGGCACGTGACCCGGAGCTCCCGGTCGCCGGGGCTCGCGCTTACCCGAATAGGCAGCTGGGGACCAAATAGTTGAATACCGCGCAATACGGAATACAGTAAGGTACAGAGTACGGAGTATCGACGTCTACTCTTGGAGGCTTCCTGGATCTCGAGCCGTACAATCCCATTGTTTGAACAAGTACATGAGCAACAATTTCCCGTAGAATCACAAGGTAAGAATAATAGAATAGAATGAGAATACGCGACACGCCTCTTCTCCTATATTCCGCTCGGCCTATTGGAGCATGAACAGCAAAAAAAGCAAAAAAAAAGAAAGAAAAACAGAGAAGAAAGACAGCAATCAGGCACAAGCCCTCCAATTACTCCCATGCAGCCAAGTAATGGGTGAAAACAGATAAAAAAAAGATCAACAGCGCTGCAAACATGATGCGAAGAATTGATGGAGCAATGTGCTAGTCCCAGCCGGCCGACACCAGCCGGAATGCCTCTCCCCCGACGACCAGGAGAGAGATGACTTCCCAGAAATGCATCTCAAATGTATACCCAGGTAAACGCCCGCACAATGATCGGTTGCTTCCAGGTGAATGCTGCAAACACTGTACCGCCACACGGGAAGACGGTTCTAGGAGTCCGAATCCAGAGCTATGACTCTTTGTATTCCCCTTCTTTTCTGGCTTCGGGCTCGGGTGACACACCCCCTCTCCCATCCCACATGGATGTCTGGGTGGGGACAAAGAGAAGAAGCCAACAGATGAAGCAAAGACAACAGCAAGTTCCCACCAGTAGGAAAACACACAAAGAATGAGAGAGAACCGCAAGGACAAAAGACACAGAACAAACTCCCTCCATGACGGGAGAATTCTCACAGAGCAAATATTAGGTGAACACCTGAACACAGAACACAACACAGGGTATGAAGGTGGTGCAAAACGTGATGACAGGGCAAGCGAAACAGGCAAACTTGACAATGGAAATCCTCATGGGCTCCTGGAGGTATTAAAGAGAAAACCCACGCGCACGCAAATGCAATATCTCCCACCCAAAAAGCAAACACGACGTGTATAATATCAGCGCCCCTGATCCCATGCTATCGGAGTGCAGAGAAAACGAATGGAATACAATCATGAAAAGGAAGCCGAAGAAGCCAGAGAGTCCCGTAGTCCTTACTCCCAGGAGGAAGGCGAGCCTCCAAATGCTGATCTAGCTCATGAAAACAATTAACAATCCCTAATGCGCCAGGTAGCCCAGTAATCATCAAGCATGTCGGACATTATCTCCACGGAAACGTTGCGTCCTCCTACCGACCCATCATGTAATCGGGGTAGTAGGAATTGTAGCCTCCCATATTGGGCCCGGAAGCTCCACCGGTCAGCGGAGGCGGCGGGGACATCATGGGGTTCATCGGGTTCGTCCGAATCCCGAGTCCGGAGTTTGCATTGAAGGTGGTGGCACTGTTGGGTATGGGCGCGTTTGGACTTCCCGATGATGGATGCATGGGTCCGTTGTTTCGGATGGTCAAGGGGGGAGGCAGGCCTGGGGGTGCCGACAATCCCGGGGGCGGTCCGCTGACGGCCGAAAACATATGGTTGTGGATCCCGCCGAGACTGCTGCCGCCAGGTACGCCGCCACCTTGAGAGGCCATGGAATTCGACGCGCTCATAGACCCGGGTTGGCCGGAACGGACCCCCAGAGGGTTCTTGGAGAAGCTCAGGCGGATGCCCGTCTTAATACTGTTGGACAGTTTGATGCCATACAGCTCGTTCAGCGTCTTGCCTGCGGTGCCAACATCATCAAATTCCACGAAGCACATAGGGCCGTTCTGCTTGTTCCGGAAGCACAGACGCTTATATCCACGTTGTTTGGAGAACAAAGCCTTCAGCTCCTCTTCCGAGGTGTCCGGGGGAAGATTACCCACGTACAGCGTATTGCACGGGGGGTTCATGTCATTCGGGTTGGCAGCCGGGAGACTGTGGCGAGGCACATGCGGGTTTCCGTATGGGAACCCATGGCCCGCTCCGATGTTGTTGGTATTGTTGTTCATCGCCTGTGGAAATGCGGACGGTGGGGTCGGGGCTCCCATGTGTGCTGACCCCCCAGGGGTATAATTCTGCAACGGCGGGGAAGCCAAGTTCGTGGCCAAGGACATGTTGGCAAACTGGTTGCTCAGAATCTGAGGGTTGGTAGAGCGACGGGGAATGGAGACAGAAGCCGAATGTCCGTTCTCGGCGTAGCCCACGGGATCCTTGAGCAACTCGCCCGTGTCTTCATCAATATCTTGGTCGATCATCGATTTGCCGCTGACGCGCGGGAGTTCGGGGACACTGTTTCCAATCGGCGACTGCGGGGAGAAGAGGCTGTGGAGCCGGGCGCCAGGTTCGGAAGACTGAGGTAGAGTATCGCCGGTCGAAGGGCCTGTGCTTGCGTTCAACTTCTCCAGGGTTTGGAAGGTCCCGTTGAAGCGCGACGACTGCCGTGGCAAACCTCCATTCACATGTCCTAGCAGGCCTCGCGTCGCGGTATGGTCGATCGTGTTTCGCCTGGGAGGCGCCAAAGAGGATCCAACCGAGCCGTAGAACATGTCGACGATCATGGTGGCATCGTTCTTAGAATTGGGCTTGCCATCAAGTAACGCCCGCGCCTCTTCCGCTGCGGCTAGCGTGCCGAAGTGCGCGACCGCGCACAGGTATCCACTATCCTCCGGAGCATCGGAAGGAATGAAGTCGGCATCCACCAGGTCTTTGGCAAAGAGCAACATGCTGCGCAGAGCGTCGCGACTTGTATTGCGTGGGAGTTTGCGCATCAGGATCGCCCCGCCACTGACTCCATTGACCGGTCGGATGAAGCCATTCAGGCCCTGCGCCGACCGATCGGAGTCGCCCAAACGCATGGTGGTCGATGAAACGTTATCAAAGGTCGGAGACGGGCCGATAGGGGAGAAAGGATAGGCGAACGTCGGGCCTAGTGAAGTTGGAGCCTGCGATGCGGGCGTATTGTACACGTCGGTCGACATCGCATTCTGAGCCGTCGAGGACGTCTGGGACGACGAGAGCGACTGGTTTGTAGGCGACGCGCCCGAAGAGACCGAGGGCGTGCGCTGAGCAGTACTATAAGAGCCTGGACTCGTACGGGTGGACTGGTTCGAACTGGCACTCATGCCTCGCGGACCGTAAGATCTAAGGCGTCGAGTCGCGATCGATGAACAACCCCACGAGCGAACGACGGGAGCACGGGCTCCTCGAGAAGGCAAGGGAGCGGGAGGCGAACGGGTGACAGGTGGGAGAGGCTGGAGCAGTCCAGTCGGAGGCGATTAGTAAGGCGACGCGAATAATGTAATAATGATCCGTATTAAACAGATAAATGCGATCCGGTACGCTGATGCAATCTCGTTGAGGAACACGATGGATTGAATCACGCGCGAGTTGGGGATCGCGGAAATTCGAGTTAAGGAGGTAATGATGCGACGGACCGAGGGCCCGAGGGAGAGACACGAAGTAGAACGGCGAGATCGCACGAAATGGAAGGGGGAATCGAATGCGAAATGCGAAAAGGAATGATTATGTGGGTTTAGAGGAAGAGGGCAGGGTAGTCGAAGGAGGAAAGGATTAGGGGAGGATGGAGAGGGTGGAAGAGGAGGAGGCGGGTGATGGTGAAGGAGAGAGAGGGAGGAGGGTAGGGTAGTGGTAGGTGAGGAAGAGGAAGAGGGAGGAGGACGGCCGACAGAGAGACAGACAAGACAGGCGGACGGAGAAGACAGGACCAGACAGGACAGGACGGGGGAAGGATAAAGTTAGATTGGGTCGGGTTTTTGGGGGGGGGGGGGGGGGAATGAGTGGGTGTGGGAAGGAGAGGGAGGGGAAGCACGTTAAGTAAGTTAAGTAAGTTAAATCAGTCCCGTAGGCAGTCGTGGTTGTAGGCGTGGTAATTTGGTTGTTGTAATCGGCCAGAGCAAGCTGAGATACTTCGGCTTGGAGAGTCCCAGGTGGACAAATAATGACGCGGGAGCCCGACGCGATCAATGAAAGAGAGATGAAGAAGAAAAAGAGGAAGATAGGCGATGGATGATGGATGCCGTGCAACCCGTGCAGGGAAGTGTATGTATTGTACGGGCGAGGAGGATCCGGCGTAATGAGTGAGTGAGTGAGTAAATGAACGTCGAGTCCGGGGCGGCGGTCCTTTGGTGACTGAGGACTGAGGATCTAGTTAGTTGGACTGGCCGGTCCTTTTGGATTTTAGGGGGGGAGAGGGGGAGGGGGAGAAGCAGTTCATCTCGACCACTGCTGAGGGCGGCCGACCGTCTCGTCTGGTCCACGGATCGAGTCTGGTTCCGTTCCAGGAGCAATGGCCAGTCGGGAGGCCCTGGAAGCCTGTCGACGGTCTACTAGTAATGCCCGAGCTAGACGATTCGAAGACTTGACTAAGATGCGCCGGCCAACGAGCGGACGTGCAGCTGAAGCGCGACCCGGCAGTTTAAGATGACACGACGCGCTATCGATGGAGAGCCGATCCCGTGCTGGGATTGGAATTGGATACTTCGTCTCCTGCGGCGTGTGCCTGGAAATCTATCCTATCTACATTACTACTCCGGACAAGAGTACAGGATGAAGGTACCTGGGTAGGTAGGTTCTTGATTCTTCGCAGCCAGTATAGAGTCAGATAGCCAGATGGGCACTCTTCTCACCAGTCCTCTTGACGATTGCGGCGATCTCACGCAAACAGCCGAAACAACGAGAGACAGAAACAGAAACAGAAACAGAAGCGCCCGAATGCGACGGGTGCAGTACCTGAGGTGCAGGTGCACCAGGTGCGTGTGCCGAAATCGGCCGGGGCGTGGCGAATGCGCCAGGCCTGGGAGGTTCGCTCTGATCCGGGCCCGTGATTGGACCGTGGAGCAATTCGATTACCGTCCCTGTAAAATACAATACCGTCTGCTCAATTTATGGATGGAATTGATAAGAGCCAAACCTGGACATTCAGCCCTCCAACTACCAGTACCTACCTTAACAACGCTGCAACGCGGGCATCATATTGAGATGTATCGACGTATCGACCCTCCTCCTCCAAATCTCTCCCAAATCCAATGGGTCGGGGTTGATCATCTAGCCGCGGATGGCATTCCAGGAACAACCCTCCAAGCCCGGCCATGACTCAGACCCTGAGGCTACAATCAACAGGACGAAGCTCAGCTGCCCAAGGGGGTGTATTCTTGACGGTGCTACCTGTGTACGTTCTTTCGCCTCTGCGCAGTTCTCACGTCTCGACTCGTATAGTATGACGAAGATGTATCCCGTGCGATAAAGGCAAAAATCCCCCCAACCATGTCAGGGAGAACCCTATCCATCCCCCCCCCAGTTGATCACGGGAGTTGTGTTCTCTGTAGGACAAAAAGCCACCCCGCGGTCCATACCCATGGAAACCAGCAAACCATCTTGCCTAGGCACTGCCCGAGGGGTTAAGGTGGTAGGTAGCGCAGGTTAGAACAAATACCGAGTCGGCGCCCAGGCGCGGCCAGCAGACCACACATATGGTTCTCATGTCAACCTGGCCCTGATCTGACGTATGTAGAATCGCCGGTCCGTTGGTAGTAGCAGCGCACATGATGCTCATCCTCCCTCCGTCCGCTTGCTCGAGGCTGGTACGGAGGGAAAACGCGTCGGCGACACAAACTGGAATGACTCAGATATCGAAGTCTATAGCGCAACCGCCTGTGGTTTCCCGCTCTCGTGGGATGGATGAGTGACCTCATATGATGCGCGAAGGGGAGAGCCACAAAACGCAGCAACCCGAGCAGAATCTTGATGTGGTCGTGGTGTTTCTAGACGCAACCCAACCGGATCATATCTCCTTCCTTCCAGTGCCTGCACGCAGCTAGCATGGCGCGATAAGCCCATACCCTGCCCGTTGAATCCTCAGACCGAGACCAAGACCAGGATGTCATTCCTGGATCTGCTGGGCCCGAATAGTCCAGCCAACCAACCCAGACGTGTAGCACCGCAAGGCCAGACGCTTACCCTCCCGCCGCCGTGGGCGCGATGTACGAGACCTGTGCGTGCATGGAGGGGTATTGGTAAGCCTAGATGAAAATAGGTACCATTATTATTAGTATGTACGCCCGTAGGGATGACTGCGAGAGGCGTCGGTCCTGGGGAGGTGTGGCTGCCATGAATCCATGGGAATGGTCAAACTCTGCCGCTGATCTTCTACCTGAAATTCCCTGCGACCGCCAATCATCATGACCCGTCAGGCGTCTGGCCTCCAGACTGGTTCGTTCTGTGCCTTGTGCGCAAAACCGGATTGGTCCGTGTCTGACCCTCGATGCGCGGCGGTTGGAACAATGAGAGAGGGGGGATTTGGGGGGAGGGGGGGGGGGGAATCCTTCCAGCGGGCTTGGAGCTAGAGCCAAAGGAGAACTAGGCGAGGTCATGCCCATCCATGGCGCATGCAGAGTCTCATGTACGGCGCGTCCAGGGCTGCCGGGAAAGCAGCCAGGCTGTGGTGGTACTTATGTACATATGTAGTATCGCCGGACTTTACAGGCAGCAGCTGCGCGCGCGACTTAAATACCCACACCGATGCCTATGCCTATGCCTATATGCATGTTAGGTAACTCGGACATCAGAATAGAACCGCTGGACCGCTGCCTTGCGTGGTGGTGAGTGGTGACCGTTCTTCCAAGCCTTTGCAAGCCACGGGGCATGCCGGCGTCATATTGACCCTAGCATCCTACACGTCGGGGCTGGGGGAGGTAGCAGTGACACAGGGGCACCGGTCGAGTTTCGCACCGGACAAAAGAAAGGAATGAATGCATTCCAACTGCCGGACCGGAATCGAAGGCATGCGTCAAGCACAAACCGGACGTCTTTCGGGGCAGATGTGGTGGAATCGCATTGGGTGATTTGGGTGCTTCATGACACTGCCGATCTAACGGAAAGCCAAGTGGTGATTCCTGCATGGTCACCTGCCAGAGGTTTCCAGGCTAGGAATGCAAGGGAGGAACACGTCCAAAGTACGCAGGGCGTCGGAGCTTTTAATCCCTTTCTTCTTGTTGTGGTGGTGGTGGAGGATCAAATTAGGAAGAAGTACGGAGAACAGGATCTTGGCCCGAGATCACCACCACCCTGGTCTGCTGCCGAGCTCGCCATCGGTACTTGCTCTGCTGGCCCCAACTGCTGCATACAGCACAGGGGATTGCTTGTTTTTCGTTTCTTTTTTTCTTTCTTTTTTTTTTCTTTCCAGAAGGACCCCCTGCCTGACTTCCGTAGGTGGCTTTGGCACTATCTCGGTAGACTCATGGAATGCATGCCTCGTGCAGCGCGGTAGTCTCACTCACCCTGCCAGTCAAACCTCCATACCTCACACGAGCGACACGACCAGGAGTCCTCTCAAGCCGGGTAAATCAATCGAAAGAAAGAGAGAAAGAGAGAGAAAAAAAAAAGCAGGGAAGCTCGGAGACGTGTTTTCATCTATCGCAAGCACAGATGCAGCACGTAATCAACTCACATAATGTACATAAATCTCAACCCATATATTCCAAGGGTGCAGCTCTCAAGAAACGCCATAAGAAAATGCCAATATCACGATATTCAATATTCAAGGACGCTTTCCGCCCCGGAAAAGCGGCCGTCGTCCGCCTCAATGGCAAGCAGGCAGCTCATTCCCATCCGAAATTTCACTGTTCGGACCTCCCCATATGCTCCATGCGATCATACAGCTATCGAATGTGTCGGACACCCATCTCTTACTCCTTCAGCGTCTCCTGCGCCGTCTCCGTTTCCTGTGCCGTCTCCTGCGCCGTCTCCGTTTCCTGTGCCGTCTCCTGTGAAGCCACCGGAGTCTTCTTGACAAGGCCAGCCTAACAACAATGCGTTAGCCGGGTGGTTATTATTTCGCAGTCGTCGTCCGTCACAGTCGTGGATATCGATAGACGCCTTCGCAGCAGAGGCAAACGTACCAGAGTCATCAACTTCCAAACGGAGTCGCTGGGCTGCGCGCCCACACCGAGCCAGTACCTAGCTCGAGACCGGTCGAGCGAGATCTCCTTGTATGCTTTTGCGCGGCGGGCTTCCTGCTCGGACAGGTTTGTCGGACGCTGGGGGATAGGGTTGAAGGTGCCGATGACTTCCAAGGGTTTCGAGTCGCGAGCCGACCTAAGCATCAATCACACAACACGTCAGCATGTAGTCAAAAACCTCGTGCGTAAACAAGAGGATCACGGAGACATCTTGATATTGATATGTCGACGCCGGGGGGGGGGGACCCATAAAAAATCTAAATCGACCTACCGTGCCTGGGCGACCACAATATTGTAGAACGGCTGGTGCCTGTTCCCGAAGCGGGACAGACGGATGCGAACGACCATCTTGACGACTGACTTCTGCAATTGGGGAATGGGCGGGGAGGAGGAGCGACGGCGCAAAGGAAGAACAACTTGAAGCTGAAGCAGACTCACTCCGACTCCGCGGCAGTTTCCAGCGTGCTCGGATGATCGGTTGATCCGGGATGGCTGATTCGGGACTAGCGCGGTCTGGTGGGGAGGGCCGATAGCAATGATGCAATCAATCCACCGCATATATCAGGTTGTCGACTCGACGAGACACCTCCAGGCTCTCGATCTGTCTTCTATCTACCATATCTACTCCTTCGTGGTGTATATATCTATCGCATTAAGCCCACCTACTGATCCGAATTTTTCTCGCATCCAGAGTTGCATGCTCTATACCGCAGTCCTCAAACGGAATCCCTTCCCCGCAGCATTGCGATACTATAGTAGATCCGCAAAGATGTCGTTGAAGGTGCGCAGCAACCTCGCCTATTAAACCACCCCAACCTCTCCTAGCTCACAAAAAACCACTACAGGCCATATCATCCAAGGATGCTGCCTCCCTCGACAAGGATCTCATGGAAATAGGCGGATGGTCCCTGGACCAATTGATGGAACTAGCCGGACTATCCGTCTCTCAAGCCGGTAAGACGCAATGCAATGGCTCCTTCTTCTTTCTTCTCCTTCCTCTCCTTTTTAGCAATAACCCCCCCCCCCCTCCCAAATCATTAACCTAACAACATACTCCCCCGCACAGTCTACCGCATCCACCCCCCCAGCAAAGGCAAGAACGTCCTCGTGGTCTGCGGACCCGGCAATAACGGTAAGCCTACCCCCAAGACCAGTATATAGAAAAACTAACCAACTTCCCCCCCCCCCCCCCCAGGCGGCGACGGACTCGTCGCAGCCCGTCATCTCGCGCAATACGGCTACACGCCCTCAATCTACTACCCGAAGCCGGGCAAAAACGAGCTCTACCAGCGCCTAACAACCCAACTAAAATCCCACTCCGTTCCCTTCATCACGGACCTGCCCATCGCCATAAAAACCTCCGACCTCCTCATCGACGCGATCTTCGGGTTCTCCTTCGGGGGTCCTCTCCGTGAGCCCTTTCCAACCATCATATCGCAGATCGAGACGGCCTCGATCCCCGTGCTCAGCGTCGACGCGCCCAGCTCATGGGACATCGAGAAGGGACCGCCCGAGAAGGGGCCCGGGTCGAAGTTCATGCCGGAGGCGTTGATCAGTCTGACGGCGCCGAAGCCGTGCGTGAAGTTTTACAGGGGGAGGCATTTTCTCGGGGGCAGGTTTTTGACGAAGGATATTGTGGAGAAGTATGGGTTGGGGTTGCCGGTTTATCCCGGCGTGGAGCAGATTGTGGAGGTGGGGGTTGATGTGGATGTGGAGGGGGAGGGGGAGGGGAGGCTTTGAGTTGGATTTGAGGGCGGGGGCTGGTATATGGTATAAGTATCGGTATGTGTGGAAGGGTGAAGTTGTGGCTGGTCTACTGATTACAAAATATGTACGGGAAAGTGATGATCTAATGAGGTGTAGAAATCCATGCAGTGTAGTGTGCATCGCTATCGTAAACTAAGGGTGTAAACGTGCTATAGATAGCAGCAGTATGGAAGCAGAACACGAATGCTTCATGAGATTAAAGGTGTCGGGAACCAGACCTAAACCACCAATCCTCATGACAAGGACTCCGTTATCTCAACGATGATGCCCTTGGTTCTTGGTTCCTTCCCAAGACCAGAGGACGAAATGTTCTTTAGCACATCACCGACATCGTAGACCTCCTTGGCAGCAGACCTCACTTCTTCACCAAGCCCCTTGACTAGCGTTCCCAGCGCGACAAGACCACGGTACACTGCCTCGGAGTCCTTCTCGCCCTGGATCATCGTGGCCAGCTCGCCAAGGAGCACCAGACCCCGTTCTGACGACTCGGGCACAGACTCCCTGCCCTCGGATGTCAGGTAAACAGCGAGGTTGATGTAGAGAGTTGTGACTGCAATGGTGAGATTCCGGTTCGGTGTCGCTCCGCTGTTGGACAAGGCGGATTTGACACCATGCAGAACCTGGTCGAACCGGCTACTGACAAGTTCGCGACCAGCACTCGTTTCGAACAGATTGGCGAGCATGCGGATCGTCAACATAGCATTGTTGACATTGAGGGGGGAATCGAACACTCCACTGGATTGGAGCCCGGTGATCAGATCATTTCCGTCGTAGTCTGCAGTAGCAATCGCGGGAGTCGCAGCTGCGAACAAACGAAGGAGGTCCAGGCCGGGTAGTCTGCTTGCGACGGGCCAGACTGTTGCGGCCTTGTATAACAGGACCACGCCAGACTCCAATTCTGTGGACTGGTCAAGACGAGAAGACTCCAGATCACCGCACAAAGTTGCCACCGTCTCCAATTCAGAGGGATTTAGCGACAGGTCTTTCGACCCAGAAGACACCACTTGCGCGTTGAGCTCCTGTAGCTTCTTGGCGATCACTTTGAGATTGGCTGACTTGATGGAGAGATATGACTTCTGCGGAAGGACCTTCGGGCGGGCATCGGGGGCGGGGGGCGACTGCGACTGCGATTGCGATTGCGTCTCGCCAGGACGGTAACGTCTCTCTTGGCCCCAGGGATCAGCACCTGCGGGTGTTTGCTCCTGTGAAGGCTGACCAAGAGTCGCGCCTTGTGTGTTCTGAACAATAAATTGCGCCACCTGGTCAAGGTAGGTCATCGGCAGTTCGTTGTCCTGGATAAATTTCGTTGCAGCTTCGTAAGGGTTCTGGGAGACGTTAAATGGCAATTTGAGAGGAGGTTTGCCGTCCTCCACATCAACATCGAACACGTAGTCGTAATCTTGGCCGAGGTACTCGATCTTCCTCCCGCTGCTCGCCGCGGAATCAACAACTGTGCCAACTGCGATCCATTCCTGTGACGCCGCCGACCAGGTGTGGGCCGTAACACTCCCATCCGTCTCACGAATCATCTGCACCTGACCATCCTTGACGCCGGACTTCTGCCTGAGAAACTCGGGGCCGGGAAGTTTATCTTTGTTAATATTCCCGACTTGCTGCTCTGGGATGGACGATTCCTTCACAGCCGTCTCGAACCGCTGCACTACTTCAGCACTTGCGATTCTCTCCTGGTTTCTGCTAAAGACGCGCGTGACCCGATCACTAGCGCCCGTGACTATATCGCCGTTATCGCTACAAGCCGCAACACTCCAGACCGAGATCGCCGGGTGCGTAATCGTCTGTACGCACTGTGTGCCGTTCCACACCCTCACCGTCCGGTCTTCTCCGGAACTGACCAACTCACCCGAAGGCAAGGCAGCCAGAGAGTAGATAAAGCTTTCATGGCCATGGACCTCCCCTAGGAGTTGGCCTTGTATAGTGAAGAGTCGAATCACACCGTCGTTGCTGGCAGAAGCGAAATGAGCGCCAGTGGGACTTGATGCGGGAACCTTGCAGAGGGCTCTGACAACGTCCTGAGAATCTTTGATACTCCGGAGCAGCTTGCCAGACGTGTTGAATATACGGATCACCTTATCTGCGCAGCCTGAACGAGGGTTAACATTTACAGACATGCCATGCGATATGAGAAGAGAGATAAAACTTACCCGTGATGACTGTATCCTTGTCATAAGCAAGTACCGTCCACACGCTTCCCTGATGACCCTCCAGAACAACGTCACACTCCCATTTCCCGACCCTCCATAGTCTGGCTGTGGAATCCCAGCTTCCGCTCACCACCCATCCACCTTCATGTGACACATCCAGTGCACAGACATTATGAGTGTGGCCTAAGAGCATGGCATCCGCGTTATCATCGGCAGCCTTGCCTGGTTGTCTAGCTTCGATGATGGTGTCTTGTCCGCCGGAGAGGACGAGGCCATCGGGGAATTCGGGGGTTGGCGGGTAGTAGGCCAGGGCGTTGATAAAGGCCTGGCCGTGAGAGGTGATGTTGTAGTCATAGGCGGGAGGCGGGGTTGACACTAGCTTCCAGAGTCGGACGGTCGCATCTCGAGAGGCTGAGAATATGGCATTGGGGTTGGGAAAGGCCACGGCGCGAACCTGGATGTGAGGGGATAACGGGTCAGTTTGGTGGACGATCGAAGGGTTTGGTTGGGGGGGGGGGGGGGGGCTGAGGGGTGGCCAGCGTCAACAGCCGGGACGTTCTTACATCATCGCCATGGCCCTCCAGAGAAGCGGAGATCTTGAACTCAGGCATACATGTACCGGGGCAGTGGACTGAGAAGGGAGAAGAGGGGTGGGCAGGGAGTTGAGGGAGGGAGTGGCGGGCGCCAACGGGGCGATGGAGATGGAGGGCACAGGAGAGTTGACAAGCTCCAGCACACCTTGAGGGGTTCCTGGTAGAGTTGAGCCAGACGGAGTACCTGAGCGGCGGCTGCTAGGGAAAGGGAAGGGGGGGCCATGGGACCATCCGGGGCAATCACGTGGGCGGTGGGCAGGGCTGCTTGTCCGCAGCAGAAGTTGCTAGAACCTGGAAACTATCGACGGAGTACGGAGTACTGGCCCGGTTGATAAGCACGCCTTAGTCACTGGATATCCCGATACCCCCCATTCAATCCAACTCCTAAAGACGACAACTGTCTAGTCGAAGATACACCATGTATGTATGTGACTGTAGACCCAAACAGCGATTCGGAATTGGTATCTACATATGATCCTCTTTGGTTGGAGTTGAGAAACCACCTACTCTGGACCAGAATGTACATAGATCCCATACCCACCCCTTCTTGAGTGTACTTATATGAATGAGGATGAATGATGTTGTTGTCGCCCTCCACGTGGGTGTTGCAACTATACCCCTCACGTGCCGCCGCACCAGACCCCGAACGGGCTAGCGGGGCGAGCCGGGGTCTGGGCGTGGGCGCCGACGATTCGAGCGAATATCAAAAAGAAAGCCCCGACTGCATCATCAATCCCATCAACCTCTCTCCTCCCTCTCTCGTTGCCCCGGGCTCGTGTCCCTTCCCACCTGTCGTCTCTAGAAGCGCCGGTGGCCCGTTTCCCCTCTCCGTCCCCTGTCTCTCAGTGGGAGATCTTGTATAGTGCCGCAGATTCCCTCCTCTACCTTTCCTTCGTTCCTCCTCGATCATTTTTAGAACGACCCCGCCGTGCCCCCCTCCGCACTGATTGATGACTTGACGAGATTGACGAATTTCCTTGTGTACTACTACTACGCTGTCTTCCTCTCTCGTGCCTTCTGCCTCTTGTCTCCATCTGCGCGCCCTCTCCGACGGCTCTGGGACGGTTCTTTTCAGCTGTCCACCCTGAACCTCCAACCATTGCATCGCATGATTAAACGGCCGCTCAATTTGCACGCGACTTCTCTCTCAACCATCCGGACCTTGTATATTTCCCAACGCGACGTGTGAAATGGCTTCAGGTGGGATTGACGCGCGGACGCTCTCCCCCGAAGCAATTGACCGCTGACTTGGCGCAGACATCCCCAAGGTCGTGCCGTTGACCTGCCATGGACACTCTCGTCCCGTGCCGCATATCGACTTCTCCTCCACCGTCGAGGATGACCAGTACTACCTGATCTCCGCCTGCAAGGGTACACCTCTCCGCCACGCCACCAATGCCCCGTCCTCGCTAACTCTCCCCAGACAACAATCCTATGCTGCGCGATGGCATCACAGGTGACTGGTTCGTGTTCCCCGCATCGCTTACTCCGCACACAGCACACAGCACACAGCATAAACTGACCCTCGCCCTCATCCAGGATCGGAACCTTCCTCGGTCACAAGGGAGCAGTATGGCAAGCCCGGCTCTCCACCGACGCAAGCATAGCAGCCACCGCCGCGGCCGACTTCTCCGCGTGAGTCCCTCCCTCCAACCCACCACCCCCCAACCGTCCTCTCACAAACACACAAATACACACACACTAACAAACCCCGTCTCCCGCAACAGCAAAGTCTGGGACACCCACACCGGCGAATGCCTCCACACGCTCCAGCACTCGCACATCTGCCGCGCGGTAGCCTTCCCGATCCAGCACTCGCCGCAAGTGCTCGCGACGGGCGGATTCGAGAAGAAGCTGCGCATCTTCGACCTGACCCGCAGCGGCGGAAACAGCAACAGCTCGTCGCCCACAAGCTCCACGCAGGGGGGCATCGACACCACACCGTCGGCGGTCACAAGCTACGAGATCGGCCCGGGCGTCCACGGCGGCACCATCAAATCCATCGTCTGGAACCAGGACTACAACATCCTGACGACCGCGGCCGAAGACCGCAAGATCCGCTGGTGGGATCTCCGCTCGCGTCACCCCGTCGTCGAATACGCCGTCGAAGGCTCCATCGGCAGCTGCGAACTGAACGCCCTCGCCGTCAGACCCAATGACTCGGGCATCCTCACCGTCGCCGCCGGCAAATCCGTTTACCTCTTCGACGGCCTCGCCCCCGGCCGCCTCCTCAAGAAAATGGACTTCCGCTACGAGGTCGCCAGCGCCGCCGTCAACAATGAAACGAGCAAATTGGTCACCGGTAGTGCGGAAGATACTTGGGCGAGAGTGTATGATGTTCGCACTGATGAAGAACTCGGTATGCACCCTACCCTACCCTACCCCCTACCCCCTACCACCCCTCCCCTTCTCTCCATTCCTTCCCTTCCCCTCCCCGCAAACAGCAAACAGCAAATCCAACAAAACTAATACCCCCCGCAGAAGTCCAAAAAGGCCACCACGGCCCAATCTGGTCCGTCAGTTTCTCCCCCGACGGCAAGCTCTACGGAACAGGCAGCGAAGACGGAACCATCAAATTGTGGAAAGCCTGCAGGGAGCCGTACGGTCTCTGGCGCTAAACCCCCGTTGCCATCCCAATCAAATTCAACCCAAACCACACACAAGTCAAAACAAAAAGCCCAAAAAAAAATGAAGAGAAAGAAAAAAAAAAGTCAGAAAAGATACACATAGAAGGAAAAGAGCGTGGATGGTGAGATGGGATGTGCGGTGCGTTGCGGTGCGAAGAAGGGAGATGAGATGAGATGATCTATCCATGCGCAAATACATACATATCACAAACATACATACCTACATACCATACATACCTACATGCACACATACATACACCCGAGAGAGAAGGGGAGGAAAAGAAGAAGAGACCAGAGAAAAGGAGAGCGGGTGAGAGAAAGAGGGTGCCGATTACTACTTACTACTTACTATTACTTACTACTTACATACTCCTTATTTCTTACTTATTTCTTACTACCTACCCTACTATACCTCCTACGTAGCAGTCAGAATCACAACCACGACCACATACATACTAGATAATAGGTATGTAGGTAGGTAGGTAAGTAGCTACGTAGTAAAGAATCTACACCTACAACTACAACTACACCTACACCTACCGTCCTTATCGTATCACACTACAACAACATATCCAAAAAAAGAAAAGAAAAGAAAAGACAAGAAAAGATGGAAGAAAGAGGGGAGATTATAGTGAAATCAGCATCATGCGACGAGACCGCTATCGCTATGCCTTCCCAGTCTGATTTTGAAGAAAGATTTTCTGTTTTTGCTTTCCAATCCAAGCCAGCCAAGCCAAGCCAAGCCAAGCCAAGTCAATAGTAGTTACAATTAAGGAACGCGGGAGACAGCAGCTAGCTAGCCAGCCAGCATCACCGGTCGTTCCAGAGAGAGGGAGACACACACACACACACGCAATTGCGTAGTTCACTCAATCATGTCGATGTCGTCATCGCCAGCCGGGGCCGCGGCAGGCGCAGGGGCAGTCTGCTGTGGCTCAGGAACAGACTCCTTCTCAGCGGCGCCGGCACCGGTATTTCCAGAACCCCAGTAGTCGTCCATCTCCTGGTCCAGCTCCTCCTGTGTCTTTCTGGGGCGGCCATTGACCGTGCGACGGCCGTCACCGCCTCTGTTCTCGGGCTGTCGGCGTCCGTTGGCGGGTCTGCGGGTGGGCGAGCGCTGGCCTGGCACGTATCTGTCGATGTGTTCGGGGGCGGGCTTGGACACGTCGCTGCGTCGGTAGCTGCTAGAGCTGGCACCGGCCCCGGCACCGCCGCGACGACCGCCGCCGCGACGACGACGTCCACCATCGGGGCTGATGCTTCTGCTATCAGGGCTCAGACTCCGAGCGTTGCGGTCCCGGGGTCTCTCGACACGATCAAACAGGCTTCCTTTCGGGCGTTCCACGTTGTCGAATGGGTTGCGGTCTCGTCTTGCGGCACCGGTAGAGATGAGTGTCAAACGGATGGGCTGGCCCTTGGCGTTGGCGCCGTCGAATTCGCTAATAGCTGCGCGGGCATCACTGACACGGCCGTAGGTGACAAAGGCGACGCCTTCGGAGCGTCCGGCGCGGTCGTAGACGAGGGAAACGTTCTTGATGGGTCCGATGCGGGCAAACAGATCCTTCCAGATAGCGGCGGTTAGACACACGGTATAAAACCCACAACCAGACCCAGACGACATACCTCTAGATCAGTCTCTGTGATATCGTAATGGATGTTCTCGACGCGAAGCTTAGCTCCCGTAGGCGCGCTGCTATGTCCACTAAACCCAGGTCAAAAATGTCGCCACCAGCGGGAAACGACAAAACATACTGCTCTGCTTCTGGGGAGTAACGGTCACCACCGCGCGGACGTCGAGGCGCACGAGAAGGGCGTGCTAGAAAACGAGACACGTTAGCTAACCCACTAGATAAATCCCGCAGCACATTGGACTCAAACGCACCATCTCTGTCATCTTCGTACTTATCATGAACCCAGTCCCTGCAAAGCAGCCCAAAGCGTCAGCGAAACCCAACCCAATAGCAAACCCCCAAGTGTGTGTAAGAGAGAGTGGGTAATTACAGGTCCAAATCCGGACGGTCGTCTCTGTTGTAAGGCTGTTGCGATCGAAATCGAGACAAGGTCAGCTGTCAGTCAAAGTAGGTAATCATGTAAGCAGCTCCATGATTGCGCGGGCAGATCGTGGCCGGCCGCCGTCTGGAAGTGCAAGAGACGATGCTACGAGGCCAGCGAGAGTTGCTTATCACGATGCGCGAGCAGAGCTGGAAAGGAGACAAGGAGGGAGGACCTGTGTGATTGAACGAAGACCTGGGTTAGTATATGAAGCAAAAGTGACAAAAAACGCAAGCTGGGTGGGTGGATGCGGATGGGATCATGCATGGATCATACCTTTCTTACGCCATCTTGGCGACGACCTTGAGGGGCACGGCTTTGGCCTTGGCCTTGAGGGGGACGACGGCCACGGTTTTGCTTCTGCTACACAGCCTTTCTGTCAGCGCACATGCAGGGAAATGAGGAGCAAGCTCGAAACTTGTCGTCCCCGGAAGTGAGTGGTAGCAGGGGCCTGGCCTTACAGGACGCTCCGCAATGATCTCGTCCAAGCTGCGGTCCATGTTGGACAGTTCGGACAATAGTCGCGTCGGAGGTGGAAATGAGTAGGTAACTGGCCTAGCGATACCAAGGCCCGGACAGCAGACAAATAAGAGGTTTGGGTCAATGGAGAGGAATGCGTGGAAAGTAAAAGGTTGGAGAGGATCGGGATCTGGGGAATCCAGACCGAAACGCGCCCTCCAGACCGCCCGGCCCTGGCACTCACGTGATCCGCGGATTGCCTGCCAGTACGGAGGACGGAGGACGAGTTGTTCTACCTCAAGAGCATGAGGTGAGTTACAAGTAGAGCTTAATAGAATCACTTTAGTGAATGTATCCATAATTTTATTGGGATCTCATCTCTGTCAACTACTCCCGCTTTCGTAGGATGGTGTACATGTTCCGTCGGAATGACAACAGACCCTGGTCCAGGAAGGGAAACAGAAAAGAAAATCACAGGAATGATGCAGAAAAAGAAGAGAAAGAGAGAGAGAAATGACGCCTCGGCAATAGTCCTGTATGCATGGTCGAAATGGTCACCGAAGACACAACCCTCCCTTTTAGCTCCAGAGAACACCAATCGCAACCTCCAAGGGGAATGTCCAGAAGGGAGACAAGGAAAACGGAAAAGAGGAACCAGAAACCCGAATCAGCAGAGATAACACCGGCAGTGCAATGCAAAAGACATCCATTTCAACTACCCCCGTTGCTCTGTTCTTTGTTGTGCTCTATCATCTTCTCCATGAAGCTGATGTAGTCGTACTTGGGGAGATCTCGGTCCTCTTGGAGATCCGGCCCATTGTGTGCTGGCATGGTCTGGACCAGATGATCGATAACCTCATCGGGGATCAGAGAGTGCCGAAGATCGAGCTCCGTGACATATGGCTGCGAAGAGTCAGAAGATCAACTGAAACAAAGAGTCGGATAACATAACATACCTTCCCATCCGCAACTTCGCGGAAACTCTGGTACACTTGCTCGGCGGTATTCTGGTCTTCGGTCACACTGACCATGAATCGGATAAATTGCTCGAAGCTCACGCCGGCATTCTGCGCGAGGCGAGCGGGACCACATGTCTCAACAAAGACGTCGTGCATCTCCTCCTCGTCATACACGAGACCAAGACTGGCCAGAGCTGCCGAAAATTCGAGTTCATGGAGGGTATTGGAAGCGTCACGGTCGAAGTGCCGGAAAACAGACTCGAATTCCTCCAGCTGGATCGGGGTCAGGTTGGTCATGTTCCGCGCCACAAGCTGGTTGTCGAGGAAAGCGAGCTTCTTGGAGATGCTGGACTTGACCAAGCTCAGCTCGTAGGAGAGTTCATCTAAGGTATATGTGGTGTAGTCATTCTCTTCAATATTCGCCTCCGCGCATTGCTCGTCCAGCGCCGCAATGGTGTCTAAGAATGCATCGAGAGGAGGGAGGTTGTCATTGAGTCGCTTGACATGCGCTAGTTGGTCTTCTACATCGCCGTCGAGACCAGAGATTGCCAGAGAAAGCGTCTTCAGCGTGAGTGCGAAATCGTTGGCCTTATCGGCGAAGGAGCGGCGAAGAGCATTCTTGATATCTCGGATGGTCTCGTTGATCAGCTGACTACGTTCATGCTCGTCGCGCGTCAAGCCCTCCCATTGCTCATCGCAAACTTCCAGGCTGAGTTCCGTCGGGGGCTCGTAAGGGCGCAGGCGGTATGTGCTGAGCTTGGTCTTGATATTGCCCAGCAGCGCAGCGAGGTCCGACTTCTCTGCAACCCACTGCCGCTTTTGGTTCCGTTTGTACAGGGAGAACTGGCGGGCCTGCTCCTTGGCGTCCTTGTAGGTGCCTTCAAACGAGGAACCCTTCCACTCGTCACGCTGGGCCTGGATCACACGGAGAAGCTCCCTCATCCTCTGTTCATACGAGTTCTGCATCTCCCACGCGCCGTGCATGTTGTTGATGAATTTCTCCACCCGACGCCCGGCATTCTCGACTCGCTCCAGCTGAGAGAAGGCGTGGAACCAATAGGCAATGTACGTCATGAGAGACTTCTCATCCGGCTTCGCCACATCACAGACATCGTCGACATCGAGCAGGTCGGGGATACCGATTTCGTTGGCGGCGATATCGAACGCCAGTTTCATGTTTCCGCGGTGGTCCTTCTTATCCAGGGCATCGAAGTCGATCAAGTCCGGTCGATGGATATCCAAGAGAGCACAAAACGCGAGGCCGTCGTTCCAGCTGGTGTGAAAGTCGCGAACCTCCACCCCCTCATAGCAAGCCGTCTTTCGTTGACACCACAGGAGCAGACCCGCCTTCGCAGTCATACCCTCCGCGTTGATGTCGCTGATCGTGAATCGCAGAATGAGCGTCCATATCAGGCCGAGAATGATCTTCCGATTCCCATCCACCACGTCCTCCGCGCCAATGTTGGTCATCGGGATCCTCCTCCCCTTAATGAAGTCGAGACTTTTATTGACATTTTCGAATTTCTGCACACGCAGTTTCGGTTTCGAGGCATATCGACCGAGGGACTCTCCGCCGAGGATTTCGAGTAAATGGATCAGGATTACCTAAAGACTCGCGCATGGGGTTAGTGGCTGTGGTTGGTTTCTTTCATCCATTCATCCCACCGCGGCGCCGTGCGGATACCCGCCCGCATTGACTGAAAGAAATGAGACTCACCCCGTCGGAAAGGTCGACCACCAGATCGCCAATAAAGATCTTGCGCACTTTCACCTTATCGTTCAGCCTGGAGAGTGCATGTCTGTCAGCGAATGCGGCCTCGAAGTATGGACGGGGCAGTAAAGCAAAGATTTCACCTGGGAGGGCGAGGGGAGAGGGGGAAACTTGGGCTTCACAGCCAGCGGGGGGACAGGCAAACTGAAAGGACCGGCAAGGCGAGGGGGGGGACTGACCATTTCGTGAAAGTCTTCTGTTGCACATTGATCCACTGCTTCTCAACCGTCAACATGATGAATGCTGGGTGTGGTCGAACACATTCAGGGCGGGCGGGGATAGTTGAGACGATTGAAGCACGGACTGAAGGAGCGTTGGTGTCTGACGGAGTGAGGCTGGTGGTGGTTATCGCACGATGGAGCCGTCGACAGTAGACTTGAATGGAAAAGGCAGGATCTTCAGGACGGACAGGCTAGAACGAGTGGCAGGGGGGCATGCGATTCGTTGGTTTCACAGGGCAGTAGGTGCAGGAGTAGCACTAAGCTGATAGTGTGGGTGGTGACAATAGGCAGCGAGAAAAGTAACCAGGGGGGGGGGAAGAGAAGAGAAGAGAAGAAGAAGGACAATTATTAAAGAAGAACAATGAAAGAGTCGAGTTGAGTCGAGTAGTCGGCAGGTCTCGACCTACAGCGGGGAGTTTAACTACAGCCAGCCCGACTTAAGGGGCACTCGCGGTCTTCTTGTCGCCGGCCCCCTCAACTTCCTGTCAACAAACTCTCCCCCCCCCCCCACAGCAACCGCCGTCCGTGGTTATCCTCCGGTCGGCTGCTGCCGGTCGAACCACCATTCACACATTCTTCGGTCTCTCCGCGGATTGGCACGATGGCAAGGCAGATAGATGGGCAGATTGACCGATTTAATCAATGCCAGACGGCTGATAGATTCCCAGTTCATCGTCCATCAGTCCTTCGGGCCCGGCAGTTCGCTCTCTGCATGCTGATCCTGTTCTGTTTATAGCACAAGGGGGGGGCGCGTATCGCCCGCCAGGAATGGCGGGATGACGCTGGTGTGAATCAATTTCCATTCCCCCCTTCCATTCTTTCCAGACTATCTAACGCCCCGATGCACAATCGAGAGGGTTGGATCGGCAAGATCGTGTGTGGCTTGGGTCGGTCCATTGATGCGCATCTGCTTGGGCCTCGACTTGAATTCCGACATGAGTCGTGGATACACATATCCAGGCGAGACAAGATACGGACGGAGTACAACTGTGGAGGACTTCCAGGAGGTTCCATTGTTCGCTTCTCCGAGAGACGCAGATCAAATTCCTCGGTGACCCACACCAGCCTCAATCAATGGCGGAGGAGAGGGGGCTTCACCTCTCGCGCAAAAAAGGCGTGATTTCTGGCTACCATGGACAAAAGTACCAGATAGAATAAATGGCGGTGGCTACCTCTGCTACCCAAGGCATCCAGTCCATGTATTGCCAGCTGTACATACCACGCAAGTTAGGTAGTACGTAGTAATTCCTGATAAGTGCTTCGGGCGGCAAGGCGATAATAATACATAGTAGGTACTCGCCACTACACCACCGGCCTGTCTAGATCTAGTGCCAGTTAACAACATCTCTGTGTCAGCATTGAACATGTACCCCTAAATGACTGCATCTGTCCGGACCAAAGGCTGGCTTGGTGATCGGATATGCATACGACAAGGTACCGTGGTCAAGTCGCCCATTTGACTTTCCGCATGCAATGCCGGCGAGTCGCATGAAGATGATCCTGCATTTGGGGCTAAACGGTGGGGAGGGGTGCCGACTGTATATTTGTCCGAGAGGGGTAGACTAGACCTCAGAGAGACAGACGATGATATTATCTGGCTGTAGTGCTTTGTACAATCCCAATGAGAAGGGAAGAGGTGGAGGCAAAAGCCGTTCGGGCCCTGGCGCTCAGCGGTGGACTGATGATATCATGGGGGGCGGGACGAGAGCGGAAACGCCATCTGAGTCAATCCGCTTTTCTGCTCTCGCGTCATTGTCGTTATTCTGCCCCTCACGAAAAACGCCTTCACCCACGTTTGTTGCTCACCTTCGTCGCCCCTGGTCTCTCTCTATCCTCATATTGTTGTCTACCCCGTTACCTGTTCATCTTAGCAATGCCGGCCAAATACACCTTCACGGACCTTCTGTCGCTCCCCAATTCCACCGTCAAGATACCCCGCCTCGGATTCGGCGTCTACCGTTCACCTGCCACCCAATGCGTCAAGTCATGCCTCAGTGCCTTTGAGACTGGATACAGGCACATTGACACTGCCCAGTTCTACGCAAACGAGACCGAGGTTGGCGATGCCATCCGCTCGTCTGGTCTGCCCCGCAGCGAAATTTTCGTGACCACCAAGATCCTCAGCCCGGCGGGCTCCCCCGAAGCGACCTACGAGAGGCTGGTGGCTAGTGTCGACAAGATTGGCGGCAAGGATGGATACGTTGACCTGTTCCTGATTCACAGCTCCAAGTCCGGCTCGTCCGGTCGCAAGGAACTGTGGCAGGCCCTGGAGAGGCTGCTGGAGGAGGGCAGGACTAAGAGCATCGGTGTTAGCAACTTCGGGGTGAAACACATTGAGGAGATGAAGGCATATGCGAAGGTCTGGCCGCCGCATGTCAACCAGATTGAGGTCAGTACATGGAACTTATCCGAACCCCGCAGCTGGAAAGGAAGCCTGGCTAACAATTGAGTCCATACAGCTCCATCCCTGGTGCCAGCAGCGCGTGATCGATGCATACTGCAAGAAGAACGGCATCATTGTTGAGTCCTATGCCCCGATTGTGCGAAACTATAAAGCAAACGACCCTACGCTCGTCGACCTGGCGAAGAAGTATAACAAGGCGACTCAGCAAGTCCTGATACGCTACGCGCTGCAGAAGGGATGGGTTCCGCTTCCTAAGACGGACAATCCGGACCGGATTGCCGCCAACGCCGATGTGTTTGATTTTGATATTAGCGAGGAGGATATGGCGGTGCTCAACGCTTTGGATCAGGGGAGCAGCGGCGCCATTGTCGAGGCTGTGGATAATGAGTAATTCGTTACGACTGTTTGATAGATGTAATTAATTGAGTTCGAAGGTCTATGGCAAGCGCATGATCAGTAATCTGGCCGTTGCATGAGGAACGCATTGACGGATTGCAGCGTAGACCGCGAGGGGTTTATATCATGTTTGGACGAGGTGATCCAGGCGAGTCGCTGGCGAATGAATTGCTTGCCGATCGACCGATTGGCGGAGGCAGCGGTGAACTCGCCTAGGAACAATCAGCATTGTAAGACTTGAGGGTGTGGTCTGTTAGACACGGTTCGCTCACCTTCCTCGGTGTAGAACAGACACAATATCGCAAGTAAGGCGCCAGCAGACAGGTCCTTCCCGGTCTCACATGTCACAAGCAAGGATTGGGATGGATCTGAGCCCAAACGCGACTTTACAAAGTCTTGAACCTGGTCCAGTTTATTCCGTAAGTCGCGACTTCCCAGTTTTGAGGATCCGCATCCGAGGTTCAAACGCTTTGCGTTACCTTCCGCTGCCTCTGCGCTTCCATTGCAATCTATAACAAGATCGTAATGGTTGCTGCTGTTCAGCTGCGGATGTGTCTGGCTAATATAGAGGTTTCGGGTCGGCGTGATACGAGTGGCTCTCTGGTCAGTGTCCTGCTTACGGTGCTCCTCTACCAGCTGTTCGATTACGGCTGGTAGATCTTCGTCCGACTGCTGGAAGAGTGTCGATTTGCTAGCCCAAAATACCGGAGGAGTCAGGCCATAGGCCCAGCTCTCACTATCGTCCCCTGCTCCTTGGATGTAGCCGCCCTCGGACATTTCTGCCCCATGGACCCTTTTAGATGCGGAGCACAGGACAAAAAGGTGATAGGCATCCCCTTTGTGTAGGTCAGTCGGGTGAAAGTATGATCGATTGGCCCATGCTATCCGGATGGGCTTCCCCAGCTGCTGCTTGAGCTCGCCCAGGTCAAGCTTAAGGTCCTAGCAACCGATCAGTCTCCAGGGGTGGGCAAACAATTATCGTTGACAGGGAAGAAATACCTCAAGCGACTTGACGAAGCCATCGATCCGGCGCTCGATCTGTGACTCCTCGGAGGCGCCGAGAAAATTTGGCGGGAATTCCACGGCATGGAATGCAGTGTCGGACGGAAACAACGCTCGGTTGATAACGGCGCACCAGATCGGGATGGTTTTCGACAAGGCATCAGGCATCACTGGAACCCTGTCAGGAAGAGGAACAATGGCGGGAATAAGTCGGTGGGACTTACATTTACCCCGGCGTGTCGAGTCGACGATGATGCAACTGTATCAACGAATGACAGGCCGTTAGCTCGGAAGTAAAAATCAATCAGCAGGGATGGTGAATGACAGGCTCACTCACCCGCCATGCTCCCTTGCGATGGGTAGAATCTGCAGGTTGAGTCGGCGAAAACTAAAGTCCCACTGGCCCGTGTGGCCGTCTGTACTCTTGAAATATGCACTGCCCGATTTGACATCAGGCGGGATATACCAGCTCCCACACCGTTCGTTGGCGACGAGAGGAAGGCCGTAATGGTCCGCGGTCTCACGGACAAAGGCCGCATCGGCCTCGATGGAACGCAGGCGGTTGGTGACCGTGAGCGCCGATCGGCGCAACGCAGACAGCGTTTGGGAAATGGACTGCTGCTCTGCGGAGGGGAAGTGAAGGGACGAAACGGACACGGGGTAGGGATCGGATGTCCCCATGTTTGCCAGCGTGATGCGGATTGGCTCGAGAGTGAGGGCAGCAGGCGGGTTGGAAAGAGACGCGGGGGAAGACTAAGTGGGTGCGCGCGAGACAGGTTACGACATAGTGGTGCGGGACAGAGAGAGTAACAATATCACCATAGACTTTTGGTGTTCCTTCCTACCGGACCATATAGATAGTTGGCATGGATGCGAGAAAATGAGGGGCTCTAAGCCTCTAAAATGCAAGTCCTGTCGGATTTTCCTCGCCAGCCCGTGATTGGCCCACTTTTTAAGGCCGGGCGGCGCCGACATACTACCCCATAACCCACATACAGGTACCTATATGTACAGGTAGCGATGTACAGTCTTAGGATCCCCCAAACGGAACTGGAAGATCCGATATAGATGCCAAATAGTCTGATCATCCGCTGCAAATGCAGGATGCATGGCACGGTCCTGCCTCCAGACATTGACAATGGTATCGGTATTCGGTAGCTTTCCGGTGGGTGGGTGGTGTGGAGCTCGATGGTACTATGCATGGCATCAATCCGGATAATCTAGGAGAGCAACAGCTCCTCCATTGCCATGGAACGGTGACTATAAAACCATGTGCTATTGCTTTGCGCCGGTGTAGGTACTGCTTTGGCATCCCCAATGCAGCCTACTAATGCGTGGCCACATTCTTGGCGATGAACTACTGCCACCTTCAGGCAGATGATAGGAACGCTAGACAATGGAATACTGTGCTCCGAGCATCAGCGACGGCGATTCAACATTTCCCGGTGGAAGCTGCACCCGATTATAGCCCCTCGCATGAGCACACCGGCTGACTGGGCGCCAGCCCATGATGCCTAGGTAGGTAAACTTTGTCCGTTTAGTGGCTTCAGCCTCATTTCGGTAGGTCTGAGAGTAGTCAGTACTGGTTCCGAGACAGCCAACCAAGAAGGGGTCCACATTTCCTTCCATTTCAAGCCCGCAGAATCGGATGGAATGTCGATTGGATTTGTGGCTCAGCCTTGGATCTGGAGGCGCCGCGCAGAAGGGTTGAGGGGAGCCGGAGAATGAAGCAGCCAGATTGCCTGGGCGGGCTAGAAGGACGAAGGAGGGGCCCCCCGACCGTTACCCGAACAAGGAATGGCAGCGGGGCCTGCCTGGCCAGGCCTAGCACCGCAACACTCAGCACGCTGACTGGCCCTTTCCCGCCTGGCAACGTCATAGGCGGCCGTTACAGCCCGGGTGTTTTTCTGTACAGTCGGAGGGCTTCTCAGGTACACACAATCTCGCAGGTCCTGGCTTAGTACCCTTTCGGCCGGTTTCCTGTACTGGTCTCAGGTACTTAAGCACCGTGAATGCCTTGGTCTTTCTCCGTCCTTTCTTTGTCCACCTCAGGTCCCAGACTTTCCACGCTTCCACCGTTTCCCCCGCTTCCCCCTAATCTCTCGCGCCACTTCTTTCTTCCCTGCCGCGTCCTTCTCTCGTACCGCATTCCTATTTACTACTACGTGCCTTGACGCAACAGATTTGTGCTCCACAGCCATCATGCCTAAGGTAAGTCACTGGACCTGATTGTCCTGACAGCACCAATCCCTTCGCGCGCTCACATGGCTGTCCCTGCAGATCACCGAGATTTTCTTCGATTGTGACAACACCCTTGTCCTTTCGGAGGAGCTGGCCTTCGAGGCATGCGCCGATCTCGCCAATGAGATTCTGGAATCGCACGACATCTCTGACCGCTATACCGGTGACCAGCTCATCCAGGACTTTGTCGGCCAGAACTTCCGCGGAATGATGGTCTCGCTACAAGCCAAGTACAAGTTCGAGCTGTCCCAGGACGAGCTTGAGGGATACGTCAAGAAGGAGGAAGACAAGGTCATTGCCAAGTTGGAAGAAAAAGCCCAGCCTTGCGTCGGAGTCACTGAGGAACTGGAGAAGCTTTTCGAGTCCAAGAAGTACGGTCTCGCAGTGGTTTCCTCGTCTGCTCTGCGCCGTGTCCGTGCCTCCATCAAGAAGGTCGGACAGGACAAGTATTTTGACCCCGAAAATGTGTTCAGTGCCGCCACTTCGCTTCCCAAGCCGACCTCGAAGCCCGACCCAGCCATCTACCTGCACGCTCTTGAGGTCCGCAACAAGAAGCCCGAAGAGGTGGTCGCCGTTGAGGACAGCAAGTCTGGTGCACTGAGCGCCATCCGCGCTGGCATCCCGGTCATTGCCTACGTTGGAAGCTACCCCGGCAGCGACAAGCAACTGGAGATGGCCCAGGTCCTTGAAGGACTCGGTGCCAAGGTCGTTATGAAGGACTGGAGTGAATTCGAGCAGTGTCTCGCCGAGATCGAGGCAGCCTGAGTGGATTGCAGATGATGCCGTTCTGTTTTCCTTTCCATGAGCATGAAACACGATGTTACGATAGCGAGCGCGTTGGCAGTTGTGGAGCCTGGGTCACTTCCTGCATTTTAATAACCGTCCTGATGTCTGAGATTTCGACTGTCCTGTCCTGTTGCAAAGAGTTTACTTTTCATTGACTGAGGCTCGTCGGTTTACTCAAGATGACATCCGTTGAATTTCTTTTACTATTTGCGATACATGCATCATCACTCGATTTTCTACTAGACAGGTCAATATGGACTGCACGCTTCAGTGGGGGTCCGTAGCCTGCAGGAATTACAATAGAGATCCTTTCCTGTTTCCCACTATTGTATACGAACAGCCTTTTAGACTATCTCGATATACATCCATCCAGTCATTGGGTTATGTACAGAACAGACACAGGGGGCTTGAAGCAAGGAGGCCTCTTTGACTCTGAGTATTTTAATCTGCTATTCGCTCAACCCAATTCCCTCTTTACCACCAGCAAACCACCCACTACTACTGCTATCTACACCATATTTCACCCGAGTCAACTTGCCCAAATACCTCCTCGATATAACCAGTCTCCCCCTCCCAGTGATCAGAGATAACCCCACCACCCACCTACCTACCACCTAACTATTCTCAATACTCAATACCCAACACAATCCTGCACCACTCACCACTTATCACCCACCTCATACCGGTAATCCATAGCCAAACGATCAGTCACGCGGCCATCAGTTGCACAAAATGGTATTCATCGTTTCAGTCTCAGCCTGAAATAACCTGTAACGATCATCCCTGCCTCGTTTCGGGCGGCGATGAAGGTAAGGGTCGCACTGGTCGCACTTGTGTTCAATAGAGAGATGGTCGGTCTAGACCGTTGATTATGGTTCTGGGCTTAGGTTTGTACGATGCTGGGGGTTTTGTTTATGTTTTCTTTTTTTCTTTTCTTTTTTTTTTTTTTCTGTCGGAGAGAGTTGATGGGGTTGGACTTTCTCGCTATTGGTGTTACAACTGGATTTATTTCGGTTGTTCTGGGATTATAAGAAAGCTTTCGTTCGGAGCGGTGGGATATGATATTTCCATCTGCGCTGCAAAAACTTCAATGCTCATGGACTGGAACGGGGGCGGCCTGATGTTCACGTTAGTCCGTCTGAGTCGGAGATCGGACTTCGCAGCGAAGTACAGACCTCCAAGAACCCACCTCCAAGAGAAAAGAGTCATTGAAACCATGAAAATACCCCAAGAATGATCCGCCCCGAGCATCTCCAGTCCCCACCCGGGGAGCAGCAGCACAACTCCGGCGCGGTGGGCCTGATCGACACCACGCTGACAGGGGTGCGTCTGGACTCTCTTCTCTCCCAGTCTCGTCTCACCACTCCCACTCCCACCACCACTTTCTGCATTCAGACTCGGAGAGTCTATCCACTTCGGACTACGCTGCGAGACTCGCAAGCTACTTGAGTCCACGGCGAAGCTTCCGGGTCATCGCCCCTAATATCTCGACGCTGATTGGAGCTACCGCCATGCAATTTGCTTCCTTAAGGTCGTTGCGGAGTAGATATCTGCCCGCTGCCTTTTCTTTTATTTTCCCGTCCAATGAAGATCTTCGACGAGAAGTCGAGCCTCGCGCTTGCTTTCCGCTTACTGGCTAGATCTGATGTGGACCAGGGTACATCCTGTGTCGGTTTCGGACTTCAGAGCGAGATCGAACTGACTCCCCCTGATGTTGGATCGCAAACAGGCGTTGAGGCCTGGGACTCGGGTATATAAGCTGGCATGTAGCCTGCTTGTTCAATCATTCAACAACCTTTCATCTCTACTCCCCTGAACGCCGACCATGATCACGTCTGCTTCTCGAGCGCAGGCCTCCAAGGCTCTGGCCTTCGGCCAAAGAGTGCCGTTCAAGAGCCACGCATCTGCGTTCGTATACCACCTAACTGCCACGTGAGCATGAAGCTAACCCATACCATAGGCGTCTTCTGTCGTCCACCACCACCCGCTACGCCGATGAGCAGCTCAACAAAGTCTCCTCCAAGATCACACAGCCCAAGTCCCAGGGTGCCTCCCAGGCGATGCTATACGCGACCGGGTTAACGGAAAAGGACATGTCGAAGCCCCAGGTGGGCATTTCATCGGTGTGGTTCGAGGGTAACCCCTGCAACATGCACCTGATGGACCTGTCTGCGCTGGTTCGCGACTCCGTGTCCAAGGCGGGCCTGGTGCCCATGCGCTTCAACTCCATCGGCGCGTCGGACGGAATCAGCATGGGCACATCGGGCATGCGCTACAGTCTGCAAAGCCGCGAGATCATCGCCGATGGCATCGAAACCGTCATGAACGCCCAGTGGTACGACGCCAATATCTCGTTGCCCGGTTGCGACAAGAACATGCCCGGCACGCTGATGGCCATGGGCCGTGTCAACCGCCCGAGTATCATGGTCTACGGCGGCAGTATCAAGCCCGGTTGCAGTGCGGGCGGAAAGCCGCTTGATTTGGTCAGTGCCTTCCAGGCGTACGGCCAGTACCTCACCGGCGAGATCGACGAGAAGCAGAGATTCGACATCATCCGGAACGCTTGTCCCGGCGCCGGCGCCTGCGGCGGTATGTATACGGCAAACACCCTGGCCACGGCGATCGAGACCCTCGGTATGACTGTTCCGGGGAGCAGCAGTACCCCGGCAGAGGACCCCCGGAAGCAGGCGGAGTGCACGGAAATCGGACAGACGGTCCGGAACTTGCTGAAGGAAGATATCCGACCCCGGGACGTCATGACGCGACAAGCATTCGAGAATGCCATGGTCGTCGTGAACATCCTCGGAGGCAGCACCAACGCGGTGCTGCATCTGATTGCCATTGCCGACTCCGTCGGCATCAAGCTGACCATCGACGACTTCCAAGCCGTCTCGGACAAGACACCCTTCCTAGCGGACCTGAAGCCCTCCGGAAAGTACGTCATGCACGATATGTACAAGATCGGAGGCACACCCGCGCTGTTGAAGTTCCTCCTCAAGGAGGGCCTGATCGACGGCTCCGGCATCACGATCACCGGCAAGACCATGAAGGAGAACGTGGCCTCGTGGCCGGACTTCTCGCCTGAGCAGCCTATCATCCGACCCCTCAACAACCCCATCAAACCAACCGGTCACTTGCAGATTCTCCGCGGCTCGTTGGCCCCGGGCGGATCGGTCGGCAAGATCACCGGCAAAGAAGGCCTGCGGTTCGAAGGCACAGCCAAGTGCTACGACTACGAAGATGGGTTCATTGAGGCCCTCGAGCGCGGCGAGATTAAGAAAGGCGAAAAGACCGTCGTCATCATCCGGTATGAGGGCCCCAAAGGCGGCCCCGGTATGCCCGAGATGCTCAAGCCCAGCTCGGCCATCATGGGTGCCGGACTGGGACAGGATGTCGCGTTGCTCACGGACGGGCGCTTCTCTGGTGGAAGTCACGGTTTCTTGATCGGTCATATTGTGCCGGAGGCGATGGAGGGTGGTCCTATTGCGCTGGCTAAGGATGGGGATCGCATTGTGATTGATGCGGAGCAGAGAGTCGTCGATCTTGAGATCCCAGCGGATGAGATGGAGATGAGGAGGAAGGCGTGGAAGGCGCCCGAATCGAGGGCGAAGAAGGGCACACTGAGCAAGTATGCCAAGCTGGTTAGCGATGCCAGCCACGGCTGTGTCACGGATGGTCCTATCTGAAGGGGATGATCTGTCCAAACGCCTCCATGGTCTCCGGCCCCGAGTACAACGCTACTTGGAGTGTCTCGCCAATTGATTGGAAGCTGTGTCTGTTTGGAACTTGACACTTGATCAGTGGAGGCCGCGGTTCCATGCAGAAGGAGAAAAGGAGAACCCAGCGACACACAAGTGTTGGCTCTCCGAGTAGACGAGCAAAAAGCGACTTGTCACCGGATTAATCCGAGGATTCTGATCTGGAACAACATCACCAGCTTCTGCAGCTCAGCGGGAAGAGGCAGTTCAAGTCCCAACCGCACCTCCGATACATAATTGTCATGCAGATGGCATATCCAGCTGCCGCTCTAGTCGATCAGTTGAATCAAAAATTGCGCTAATTTAACCAAATGATCATCAAAAACATTATACTTTTCCCTCCAATGTAAAAGATAACAAGACAGTAGTTCAGCGTAGCAGAATCATATAGAAGAATATCCAGTCCATATCCCCTTACACCACCTATTCCAAGCCCCTTCACACCACCCCCCCAATCCCACACTCAGCTACCACACACACAAAGCCATACATACATACAATCCACCTTCCCAAATCCTGAACAAGAGCCCCATCTACATACTACATAGTATAGTACCCAACACAGCCCCTAACCCCCCGATCAAGATAAGATAAGGGCTAACCCTCTAACCCAAAGCGGCAATCTCCCCTCTCTACTCCCCCGCTCCGCAGCGCTACGTCAGACAAACCCAAGAAACTCAACTCAACCACCTCCCAGAAGTGTAGTTAGTGTTTACACTTTACACAGTAAACTCCACAATCCATACACCATACATACACCATATACGCTATACACTATACACTATACAGCATAAAAACTACCCAAAATGTCCGACCCCAAATACGCTCAATCGAAATTCCTCTCTAGGGGTCCATTGGTATGTCATGTCCCATGTCCCATGTCCGCTCTTCTTCCGCTCGCTCTTCGGGTTTGTTTTCGTGGTGGGGGAGATGAGATGGGCTGCCTATACTTTTCTCTTTTATATACCAATTGATTGAATGAATGAATGATTGACTGACCGACTGGCTGTATGTATGTACTTATGTATATACATAGGACCCCAAAGACGCCAAATGGACGAAACTAGTCCTATCGACATACACCGACCCCAACGGGGTGGAGAGGACATGGGAGTCTGCGGAAAGACAGGTAACCCCCTTCCCTTTCCTTCCCTTCCCTTTCCTTTCCTTCCCCTCCATTTCCTTCAGACTTTTTTTTTTATTAAAAAAAGAAATTAGCTTAATTGCCCTGTTCAATCCCATCCCCCATCTCCCATCCCCGCACAACCCCCCCAAAAAAGTACAAAAATGGTATACTAATAACCCCCCAGACCCGCCCCGCCAACTGCCCCATCGACGGCGTCGGCATCGTGACGATCCTCAACAAAGAAACGGGCCCCGAACTGCTCCTCCAGAAACAATACCGGCCGCCCATCGACAAAGTCGTCATCGAGGTTCCGGCCGGGCTGATCGACCCCAACGAGACGGTGGAGGAGTGCGCGGTGCGCGAGCTCAAGGAGGAGACGGGCTACGTGGGCGTCGCGGAGCAGACGAGTTGTGTTATGTTTAATGGTGCGTTACTTTCCTTCCTTCCATCCGTCCATCCATCCACGGTATCTTTCGCTCTCCTTTTCTTTTTCTTGGTATGTGTCTGTGTATATTTGCTAACGAGAACGGAACGTACTATAAAATGGGATCCAGACCCCGGCTTCTGCAACACGAACCTCAACATGGTGCACGTGCGGGTGGACATGAGCCTGGCCGAGAACCAGAACCCGAAGCCGGAGCTGGAGGAGAACGAGTTCATTGAGTGCTTTAGTGTGCCGCTGGCGGGGCTGTTTGGGGAAATGAAGAGGCTGGAGCAGGAGGGGTATGCGATTGATGCGAGGGTGGGGACGATAGCGGAGGGGATTGAGCTGGCGAAGAGGTTTAAGCTTTGAGGTTGTTTTGTGGGATGGATGGATGGATATATGGGGTGGGGTTCTCTGATGAGATGAGGCGTGTATAGAGTCGATATATAGAACCGACGCAATACATTAGAGGGATATGGGATCTCATCGTCGCATTAACTTCCTTCCGCTTCATCGCGCAGTCTACAGTCTACTCTATACCGGGGCCGGCAACCGCAAACCGCTACAATTTCCCCTCATCCCTCAACCCGCGATACAGCGCCCACGCGGCAAGCGTCTTCCCATCCCTCAACCCCTCCCTCCACAAATCCTTCAACGGTACCACCTTCAACGTGATCTTCTCCCCATGCTGCCTCAACCCCGACAACCTGCCCTGCAGGGCCTCAATATCCTTGCGTGCCATCCGCTTCTGACACAAAAACAGGGGAATGAACTCATCACTCCCCCCCGCCGAGGGATACACGGCCCTCTGCAGCGCCTCGCCGTCGTCAGCCTCCGTCCCCGACTGCAGCGCCAACGAGGTCATATCGATCAGCTCGTCCTGGGGTATGGTCAGGCCCGTCTCCTCTTGGATCTCCTTCGCGGCACCGCCCGCAAACGACCCGCTGTCGTCTAGCATTCCAGCCGGGATTTCGGCAAACGCGAGCGATCCCGCAGGGATGCGGGGCTGGATGGTCAGGATGGCGCGTTTTTCGGATTCCGCGGTGGGGGACACGTCGTCTGGTTGGAGGATGAGCTGTGAAGTGAAAGGAAGATGGTGTTAGTATCTATGGTCGGTTCGGACTTTTCCAAGCGAGAGAGATCCCCAGGTCAAGTGAGGGAGGGAGGGAGGGAGGGAGGGAGGGAGGGGAAGGGCAAAACCAACCAACATCCCCACGCTCCCACCGCGCAGAAACACACTCCCGGGGAGCGTCTCCCCATTCCCGTTCGATACCTCGGCCTTGAATTTCAGGAACCCCAAGCGTCCGCCCCCGAAGTAGTCCGCCGCCTGGATCTCGATCTTGCGGAGGACGTACGGGTCGCTGGCGAATTCATGGGAGGGGTGCTGTTGGCGACTCAGGGAGCGGTGCAGGGTGGACAGCCAGATCCGGAAGGCTGGGAAGCGGAGGAGATCGTCTCGGGATAGTTGTTGCGCTGCGCTTGAGACGGGAAGTGAGTCGGTGTCGGCGACGTCGCGGTCGAGAGTGCGGGGGATGGTGAAGTTGGAGATGGACATTTTGGCGACGGAGGGAAGAAGAATGCGGCGAGTTATTGCTGGTCGTGGTCGTGGTGGTTGCAGTTGCCGCACGGACAGCCGCCAGGGCGTCATGGGTTAGGGGGGAATAGGAGGAGGAGGAGGAGGAGGAAGGAAGAAATAATTAGTTGTCTTATTAAGAGGGTTAGCAGGTGTGTTGCATTTTGAATTGAAATTGTAAATTGAGAGGTCTGTCCTGTCGACGTCCCTGAAGCCGACGGGGCGATGACGTCGTCGGGAAGCCACACGAGCCGAGCTCTGTGTCCCGGAGTATTTATATAGGAGTAGTTAACTAACTTATGCTTGACAACATCAGCTTCGAGCATCCCCATCGCAAATGACCGCACAAAAAACAGCGTGCGACCACTATCCCCGTCCCTTGCAGGACAGACGGTAGCTCTGATCCCCTGAGCTTGTCCTCCGCGGCTGTTTGATATTGGAAACGAAGCCACTCTAAAAAGGTGTCCCGACACCTCGATAGGTATGATAGTGCTAGTTCTGATATTTGATGGCCAGCCCACTGGATCGCGGCGATTGTTGCGCCTGCTTAGGCCTCCACGCGCTACTCCCAGCTGGACTTCTTCCCTTTGATACCATCTCTAGGCTGTCTCTAGTATCTTCAACGACGTCTCATTTCCCGACCATTCGCATTGCTCGGCTCCCGCTCCTCGATGACCCCAAGGTTTTGATGGGTCTTTCTTTGGTTAAATACACCTCAACGATCAGGACTCTAGAGCTCGGACCCTGTTGCTCGACTGCTCTCCATCCGTTTCATTCACTCACCTGCTAAGAACCTCTTGGAGTCCTCTGGAACCCCGCGGGAAGACGGTCCACCGGACGGGCCATGACCGCGAGCAGCCGGGCTCGATTCTAGCCGACGCCTTAGCTGGGGATTGAGCTGGATTGAGCTAGATTCGTCCTCGGAAGGGAATTCATGATCCCGTCTCTATCCCGTCCCCAGCTTCGTGAATATATCAGAAGTGGGCCAGAGGCCAATGGAGACCAACGGAAGGGCCTGTATACAGTGTCATGTTCTATCACTATGCGGGTTGGTCATGGTAGCAAACCATGCTTGGATGGCTGGTAAACCTCTGGGCCTGCTTGAATATCAAACATGCTAGCAGTCACTCCGATCTGAGACTGCATATCCGTTCTTTGCGGAAGGCTATGCATCAGTTCCCTGGAAGCACTTCTTATTCCCAGTAGCAAGAACAATAGTTCTCCGTGAATACATCAATCCAGCCAGAGAGTTGGCGTTGTCACTGCTTCTATAGCGTCCGCCTATTGAATGAATGGACGGCCCAAGCCTGTTAGTCTGGACTACCAGCTTGATATCATTGTCTATCCTACCTTCACGGACAGACTTCACAGTGTTTCCAGAGTTCATCACCAATACTCACTCTCTGCCAGTGAAGTGGCTCTATTGGTTGGCTGCCTAGCAGACTGACCGACCTATATATACCCTCCTCCCCCTCCTTCCTCTTCCTGCATCTTCCCACATTTCAGACTCTTTCATCTGCCTCAGAAGCACATTCAGACATCAAACGTTCACACTTTGAACCATACTGTTCGTGCAACTCTGCCTACCATGGATAGGAGCCCGTCTCTGTTGGAGGGCGACGGTTTCTTTGACCACGGCGATTTGGACAGGAGGCTTTCAAGACTTGGGATGCGTGAGGGCGAAGGGGACGGACGTGACAACCATGGACAGGAAGGACCAGACACCACCAACAGAGTGCCTACTGAATGGGCGCCTGGGGTCAATTTGGACCAGCTCTGGAGGCTTCAACGATCTGGTTCGAACAGCCCGGCAGATACTGCAATGTCGGAGGCCCCGCAGCCAGCCTATCTCATTCAAGGTCAGTGAGCTCTTGTGATAACATGTGCTGGTGTACTAACGATTTGCTTCCAGGGTCTGCGGTGGTTACCCCTACTACTCCTGCAATGTTGTTGAACACTATGCAGGGCCAGGGCCACAGCCAGGAACACAGCCGGGTGCAGGGAGAGGGACAGAGACAGGGGCAGGAACAGAATCAGGGACGGCCACGGTCGAATTCTCCCCCCCGCACCTCACAGCCCCCAGCCCAGCCAGTGTTTTACACGAACAACGGTGGACTCACATTGCCTCGTTTCAGTCCAAACCAGTACTTCGGCGACAGACAGGCGATCGATCCGCACTTGAATTACATCTTCTCGGGAGGGCAGGGCAATCCAGCTCAACCCCCCCAGACTCCCCTCGTCCCGCAGAGACAGCGAAACTTCCGTGAACCGGCACCGAGGTCCAGCCATGCTCAACAGGCTCAACGCTCCAGGAACACCCAGCCACCTCTGTCTGCGAGAGCAGAGCCCCCATACCCGACCACGGTTGCGCCCACTAGTGCTCCAGCCCCAACGAGCGACACCCAGCCGTCGCGGTCAGCGAGAGCCCAGACCCCATACCAAACCACAGCTGCTGCCACAAACGCCCAAGTCCCACTGAGCAACCCTCGTGCAACTCAAGACCATGGCGCGGTTGCAAATGCGAACGCAGCAGCACTCTCCCAAGCATTTGGGCCCGATGGGGATGGCCGTTCTCCGTCTCCTCCGCCTCCTCCGGTCCCTCGGCATCGCGAACTTGCACGTCCCCAACGCCCGAACTCGGAGAGGGACACTGCCCTCCGGTACGCTGAATACCTGCACCGACTGAGATACAATCCTCACCAGGCTGAGGTTCCTCACTTGGCCCACACTCGAGCCCACACTCGAGGCGCACGGGCGCCGCCTGTTCAGGCTGGGTACACTCCCCACCCGGCCACCGTGCGATCATCTGGTCCGGCGAACGCAGAGCATGAGAGACGCGCACGCGACCTTGGACAAATCTTGCAGGAAACTCAACGAGCTCATTGGCAGCGGGTCATGAACGAAGCCGTTGCTCAAATAATCATGGACGATGCTCGGCCGATCCCGCAGCCCGGCGACCTGCGCGGCACTCTGGACGATAGAAGCAACGGTCGTCCGGAAGCGAAAGAGCCCCATGAACTGCAAGCGAACCTCGAGTGCAAGATCTGCTTTTCCCAGATCGTTGATACGGTCTTGCTTCCCTGCGGCCATGCCAGTATGTGTCAGTGGTGTGCGGACGTCCAGTATCCGGGTCGTCGCTATGATCCCAGCAGACCAATCGAGCCGGCCCACTGCATCATCTGCCGCGCTGACGTTAAGATGAAGGTACGTCTTCATAGCTCGGGGAAACCGATTGCTCCATGCTAACTAGTGCAGATGCGTATCTACCTCAACTAGGGTGAACAATCTCTCCACACGCCTATACATCTCTCCACTTCCCATTGCATTGTGACATGTGCAACGACGGCGTCCCTGGTAAAACAGCACATACTCTTTCGCATCCGACATCTGAGACTACGAACGATTGGACATGCTGCGCTGGATGCTTTGATACCCGTTCCAATCGATCTCATTTTTCTAATACTGCTTCTATCTCAACTCTTTGCCGACTTTCATGACTTCTGGTCTGGTTTCTTTCGGGTTTTAATTGGTATTGATTTATTCTATCTGTTTCGCTGTGGTTCATGGGTTTCATTTTTTCTCTTCGAATATCAACATTACCTTGCTGGGCAGGTCCCCGGTTGTTCATATCTTTCCTTACTGTGGGTCATGCACATTGTTTATCTCCTATCGATTAATACAAAACCCCAACTCGGTTGGTTACCTTGCATGTTTGGGCAGGTTCCTGGTTGGTATACCTGATCGTCATGTACCTAGCTATCAAAAAAAAAAAAAGAAAAGAAATTCCAAAAAATTGTCCTCCTTAGTATTCTTTCTCGCTCTACCGCGGCTGATGAAAGGTATATATCTACTCATCAATCACCATCCACCCATCCACCCATCCACCCATCCCACAAAGACAACACCCCAACACAATCCCTCCACTCACTCACTCACTCACTCACTTCCTTCCCCGCTTCTAATCATCCACATCACCCACTTACGTTCCCCTTCCCCCATCAAGGTAGAAAGATAGATAGATAATACATATCCTCCCCCCAAATCATCTCACTCAATCACACACATATTTTGCTCCAGCTTCAATCTGACCGTTCACATTCTATCTAAGTAGTAGGTATGCATCCGACTTGCATACGGAGTAACCGTGTCTGCTTCACGTGGGCAAGGCTGCTTATTCGCTACCTATCGAATCGAAGCGAAATAATAAAAGCTCGGCCTGATCAGGCCATGTCTACTGGTTTTGCTTTGGTTTGTTTTTACAGCTCTCTCTCTGGTTTCTGATACGTTGGTGTTCTTTTCTAGGTATGTATGTATGTATGTATGTATGTAGGTATGGATGGATGTATGTACTCGCCTTGTCGCGTCTGATACACGTGTTCGGGACTGCTTATTGGCTATTTTTAGTGTCTATGGTCTGGTGGGTAAGGCATGGATGGTTCTGCTTTTGCTTTTGCTTTTGCTTTTGCTTTTGCTTTTGCTCTTCTCCTTTCGCTGCAATTTTGGGTTATCGTGGATATGGTATGGTGTGGTGTGGTGTCTTCCTGTTTCTTTTTGCATCCGGTATGTGTTGAGCTCGATATCGATCTCGATCTGTGAGTCTGACCTCTGACCTTTTTCCTCTACCGGTCCGGTTGGAACAGAGACAGCAGACAGCAGAAACGGATCCTCAGTCCTCCGGCTTCCGGGCCATATCGGCAAGTCAGTAGCAATCTGCGCAAGCTGCGCAAGCTGCGCAAGCTAACCAGTCATGTCGATCTAGCTATCCAAGTACGTAAGTAGCTAGAGGATGTGCGTTCGTATCTGCAGCGGAAACGAGTTAATGCATGGTTGTTTGAATGGGGTGGTGCGGTGGACAGGTAGGTAGGTAAGTAGGTAGGTAGATAGGTGATAGGTACAGTAGGGAGATGGATGGAGGATGTGTGTTCGAGGCGATGAGTCTCATCCATCTATCTATTCGTCCCAGCCATCTCATTTCATGCTATCCTATGCGTATTGTCCTCACCTCCATACCTACCTACCTACCTACCTACCTACCTACCTACCTATTGACCGACCTGTCGACAGCAGTGTCATCTATATCCATGATCTGTCGTAGTCCAGTCTAGTCCAGTCCAGTCCAGTCCAGCCCCATCCAACCATATCACCACATTACCACTGAATACTAGACAGTAGACAGTAGACAGTAGACAGTAGATAGTAGACACCAGCCGCAAATCCCCGGCCCGTAAGCATGCCACGTATCGGAAAATTCCCCCCTCCTACCCTACCACCGGCACTGTACATGCTACATAGGTAAGCACTTTCCACACCGATAGTTAGTTATTCCATCCATCCTTCGATGCATCGCACCCGCGCTCCCGATCCCGGATGTCGATGCGCGGGGATGGCGAGGGTTGGGGTTTTCCGATTAGCCAATCGGGGGGGGAGATCGGAATCGATCTGCTTATCTATATCTATAGGATGGAGGTGGGTATGGATGGGAGTGTGTTGGTGGTAGTCTTGGTGTTTGGTATTAGTGGAGGGGAGGGGGGGGGGGGGGTATTCTTCATTGTCGCGATGGGGGATGGTGGTGGTGGTGAATAGTAGGTAGATGGGTAGATGGGATAGAATGGGATGGGATAGAATGAGGAGATGATCTTAGCTACTTGGATAGATACCCAGGCACCGTACTTACTAGTATAAGTAGTACTATACTTAGCTACCTAAGCTAGTTAAGGATCAGTGCTTACCTAGTACTTATACTAGATACCCCAGCCAGCTAACTAGGTAAGTACTATAAGTAGCAGAAATGCGGACCACAGCGGACTACCTATAGTTACTTACTACCTTACCAGTCCTTGTATTTTTGCCAGTCGGTCTGGATAGTTATACTTTCCCCTCGGCTAAATTTCCTGCTACTGCGTAAATCTCTAGGATGTATCTCATCTCATCTTTCTCTCTACAGAGTGCCTACCTACCTACCTACCTACCTACCTCCCTATATGCTTTCTTTTGTTTTAATGCGACTGCTACAGTACTTATTTATGTATGTGCTCAATTGCTGATGCTAATACATGTTTTACCTGACCTGACCTGACCTGACCTACTAAGCTAACCTACTGGTCTACTGATCTACTGACCTTCTAATTACCAAAGTAGGCATATGTATGTAGCTACGTGCATACATACATACAGCAGACCGCACGAGACGGCTTTACGGGTGCAGTAGCTGCAGGAAGATTCGGCTGACTGCATTGGAATATAATACACTGGCACTTGGGTAGGTATTCATTCTACTTTTACTCCGTATATCCATATGTATACAATGTATACAATGTATACATAATGGTCTATCTCTATCTATCTATCTATCCCTGAACCATTAAACTTCTGTCTTTCCTCCAAGTACAATATAATATAACTGAGTGCTCCGTAAGTAGATATCACATCGACAGATACTAGCCAACCAACTCAACTCAATCAATTATTATAAAAATATATCTAATAACAAATAGTATGTCTGATCAAGTATTGGGGAAATGGCACCAACCATATTAATAGATGGATTATCATGGCAGGTTTAGCTATTAGGTAGGTAGGTAGGTAGGTAGGTAGTTCGAGTGCTCCGTGAACCATAAATAAGTATCCTACTCCGTAGAACTCTGTACGTAAGCGAGGTAGGTTCTATCTATCTATCTATCTACTATCTATCTGGGATGATATTTGGAATCTTGGGTCTGTATTGAGCCGGGAGGGGAAATCCATCATCCATGTCGCCGCTAGCGCTGGAGGAGCTAGAGGGGTCGTGGCTTACTCACTCACTCACTCACTCACTCACCTAGTACTTGCCAGGGCTATGAGGGGAATACATACTTATAATCAAGTATTCACTTCCCCATATATTCAAACACATACCCCTACACCCATACCCAAGTCAGCAAGGTAAATAAGTAAACAGAACCTCTTTCTTACTACCTGCTCCATCCAACAATAGTTAATCACCAATCTGTATCTCGGCTGTCGGCGGCGGCGCCAAGAAGGGGCTATCCACGGCAACGTGCATGGTGTCGCATGGGGAAAAGGCAAGGCAACCATGGGGAAAAGGCAACCACTAGGGTGACTGACTAGCTTGGGTAGGTGTGGGTAGGTACTTTACTTTGCTTTGCCTTGGGGACTAGGGAGGGCTGCATAGCGTACTCCGTTCCGGTACAGGTCCGGACGGGTACATCCTTGCGAGGGGATGGACTAGCTGGTTGGTGTTTGCTCACTGGTTTGTGTGTGTGTGTGTGTGTGTGTGTTTGTGGGTATGCTGTATGCGAGGCGTATGTATGTATGTAGGTATATGTGTGTGTATGTATGGACGGTTTGGGTGGAGGGGAAGTGGTGTATGTGTATCTCTTGATGCGGCTGGGAGGTGGATTGGTATTGGGATGTCGATATGGTGGCAACATCCTGTGTCGCGGGAATATCGGTAGATTGGACTGGAATCGGATATTGGAGGTGCTTAGGGTCTGGCCGTCTGAGATATGGATGCTCCGGTCTGTCATCGATATGTGTTCGGTATTGCAGGATTCTCTGCATCGAATCATACGTAGCAGATAAGTATAGCTGGGAGGGGATATGCGGATACTATCCAGATTGAAAGTATCATGTTATCCAAAGTGTCAGGTACTAAAGTATACTCTATAGCTGTGTAGCATGACCGGTTATCGGGTGGCGAGAAACCCACCATCGGTTTGTCTTCAGCCCCAGAGATCGGATCGGATATCAGACGGCTTGAAAGAACCAGCAACGATACTGCAATACCATGGTGGCCAATAAGTCTGCTTTGACCTACCAGATTGGAAGCTTCCGATCATATCAGAACACACCTATATGCAAGTCATCGTCCTCCACATTTCAAGATCTACACTGGAAACCGGGCAGACCCTATGGGGGATCGGTATGAAGACTCGGTGCGCCTCATCGTCAGGTTTCCTGCATTCAAAAACGATCTTCATACCAAGACATGGCCCGGACGAGCAGGACAGTCGGAGATTTATGTGAGTCTGAAACCATCTTATTGGAGACTTTCTTTGCCACTGGGCGTGAAACTGACCATCGCCTCTCGGAAATGGATTCCGCTGGGCGAGTACTGGGGAAGAGGCAGTTAGGTCCTAGGATTGCTGATATTGCCGGAATCTGCACGCGAAATCGGTACACTTCATTCGGACAGCTCCCAAGACTTCCGTCTTGCGCCCATGTCGTACAGTCGATCTGCGTTCTTCAGGACACCGTTGTGGTGACATGTCATCAGTACTATAGATAGGTTCTGCACCCATGACATGACCCCCATGGTTACCCGATATGGCATGTGATCTCAGAAAGCCGGATAGACCTGATGAACTGACCCTCTGCACGGCCCCCTACTTGAACCCAATATCGGTCAGGCAGACAAGCCATCCCTACCGGTACACCCACGATCATGACATAGCTCGCTCAAGGAACTGCGCGACTGCAGCTGACTCGATGCGCGGTTGTCTTATGTCAGACATATACCATGGTGAGCTATAATACGAGACAATGGGTGCCCTTCCGGGCGAGCCGGAGCTCTAGATATGACATTCGGATCGCAGGTCATTGTCCCAGCCAGGACATGTTGGCAGATGCCCACTGTACGCTGTAGACGGAGGAAAAGGCACCGTCCCACTGTTATACGACTGACCCACGCGACTAGCTGATAATCTACCAGCCTCACTGGGGCGGAGGCCGATCAGACCCTGAACCACGCTGGTAACCTTAAGCCTCGGACGTTGAACGTGGCGTGCTGATCACGATTCGTCCCCACACGCGAGAACCTACCATTGCCATGCCGTAGGAAGGAAGGTATGGCCAGAGCCAGATGGTAAGTCTTGCTCGTGCACCGGCCTGATATTGACCGACCAAGGCTCTGGTTACGTCGATTCTATACACAGGCGCGACTTGCGCTTTACGGACTGTCACCAACCGAAGAAACCCAACCCTGAACCGAAGAAGCGGTGTCCATGCAAGGGCAGTCCCGATTATTTGGTCTGCCCGGTGCGTACCCGATGGGAAGGAATCCAGAAACCGGCCTGTGCAGTGAGTCGCCTCCCAAGTCCCCGTGAGACAGAGAACAAAATGGGGCCAAGTCACTAGCCCAGGTGGCTTCGGCTGGCGAGGGCAGCGCAATGCGGACGGCCTCTCAATGGTGTTGCCAGGCTGCGACCCGGGCATTTTCCCAATAGGGAGGGGGCTTGACGCTGTCAACGCCGCAACGGCAGCCTTATGTACCGGCGATCAAACATTCCAAACATGTCGGAGGTTAACTAAGCGCCGTCGGCCACCCGGTTGCGGTGGTGTATCCCAGTGGGATGATGGTCCGCATGGCGCTGGTTCGAGAAACAGTGGGTTCGAGGGGCGTGCACCTTATCACGCAAGGGCGCCAACGTCCTCATTCCAGGATGTAAGCTTGTTGGATAGAGTGGTGGTGATGATCGAGTCAGGTAGGGTAGGTATGGCTGCGGGCTGCTGCATGCAAGGAGCTCCGGTAAGTGTGGTTCTTCCCAAATCGTCGGGTCCCAGCATCAAACGTCCCTGAATAACGGATAACTGCATGGCTGCCGGGGTTGCTAGAGGGGATGGGACAGGACTATTGAAATAGAAGGGGAGGAGGGTTCTGACGCTAAGTACGGCACAGCCTCGTGGCTGCTGTGATGAGCATGAACTTGGGGGGGGGGGGAAGATAAGAGAGGAGGGGAGACATGGATGTTTGTATGTGGTTGTAAGGTTGATGTTCAGTTCCCACCGAGGAAGGAAGTAGCATTCATTCCTGGAAGACCTGACCTGGCGTTCGGAGAGTCGGTCGCATAGTGTCTAGAACGTCGATGGGTGATCTGGCGGCATGTGGCGAACGAGGAGCTCGAACAGTATATGTAGGTATAGGGATATGTATAGCGTAGATATCAGGCCCGCCACGGTTCTATTCGGAGTTGTAGAATGGAGCAGATGTGCAGACAGACTGATCGGGATCTACCAGGTTGGTTGATCCTTTCAAGGATTGAGTGGCAGGCGACAAGGCAACTGGGACGAATCGTCAGGCTACCCGGGCTGGGTTTAGAATACCGTACCGTCCAATTACCCCGGCAGCACGGCGGCGGGTCCACAATAATACCGGAAGATTACCAGATGATTATTACTGCTGCTGCTGCTGCTGCTTCTTCTCCGCCTTCCACCTCATCGGTTCTCCTCTCCTCCTCTCCTCTCCTCTCCCTCTCCTCACCTCTCCTCTGCTCTGGGTCGTTGCTCCGGATTCCCCTGCTGGATCTATCCATTCTTCAGCCACTATCACGCCGCAGTGGGTTTGGACTATCAATCCCGCCTTGGTGTGTTCGTGCGCAATTTTCCTAACCGGTTTGCTCACTCGCTCGCTCCTTTCCCTAGGCAGAGATGAGTTTAGTTGCCTAAAGAACCTAAATGTCATCTTACTTATAAATAATCCCTCCGTGCTTTCCAACGTGTCCAGGTAGGTAGGTACTTATTACAATCTCCCCCGCCGTCTCTCTTTTCTTTCATAGTCCCGACTTCTATCTACTACCTCCCCTCCCCTCCCCTCTATCATGGGTCTTGATGCCATGCAGTGGTAGTAGTGCCTCGTGTATCTTACCGAACGGTCATACTGCTGCCACCACTCCCACCACTCCCACTCCCACTCGGGAGCTCTACTAGCCCTCCATACCCTGCATACCATCCACGTTCATAGGCCGTCTTTTGTTTTGTTTTGTTTTGTTTTTTTATTTTGTCATTTAGTGTCAGGTCTTTGCCTCAAGTCTACCTTTAATTTCTTGATTCACTTCATCCTCCTGTCACTTGACCCTGTGTTTGTCTTCCACTTCTGTCACCTTCCCGCCCTCTGAGTGAATAAGAGAAGAACGACCCCTGGCTAAACCCTCTGGCCTGACCTGTCCCAACTTGTCACCCGCATCATCTCCATCGTCTACAACCCTCGCCCGGCTGATCGTCTTATCAATCCGTTGCTGGCCGGATCGCTGATACAGGTCAGATGACGTGTTACATAAACCTGCAGCTGCCAGTACAATGAGTGACGGACGTGGTCGGGACCCTCTACCCTATCGGCACCGGGACGCGGAGGATGGCGCAGAGCCTCATCCCATTCCCAAGTCCCCTGATGCCAAATCCCATTCTGTTTCCCACAAGTGAGTAGCCCCCGTCTCGGACCATCGGCTTCTTGAGTAGTCTTCTGACCTCTTCCAGGCCGCCTTCACCCATAGTGTCAGGTTCCAGTTCTCCGGTGGGATCCTCGGCTACCAACCGAGCACTGCACTCGGCCAGCGCCTCGTCCTCACACAGGAGAGGCGATTCAAACGGGGTCGTGCCCGATGACTTGGTCTCGGATGATGTGAGTGGGCAAGCCAATGAGCGTGTCCCGTCAAGCGCATCGAAGACCCGTCGCCGAACATGGCAAGAGCAAAAGAGGCGGCCTGGCACCCCCTCAACTCGACCATCGAATCGAGCGGCCCCGATGGGGAAAGCTAGCCCAACTCACAGCAACTCTCGCCTTCCTCGACCCTCAGCTCTTGCGGATGACGACCGGGCAAATGGTACGAATGGTTGCCCATCACCGCGCCATTCCCAATCTCCCCTCTCCAGCCCCACCTCGGATGACGGCCCACTCCCTCTAGAACCCAGCGTCAGCGATATGGCCTCCTTGTCCAGATTATCTGCCACGTCCGCAGAGGGTTTGAGCTACGGCCAGGAGTGCGCAAGAAACTGTACCGTTCTTCTAAGCTCCACCACCGGCAGGCTCATTGGGACAGAAGGAGGTATAGAATCACACGGAACCTTAGTGCGACATATGGAAGCTTATCCTATTGTAACAGAAGAGCAATTGATCAACGATGTCCGAGCGATCTATGGCGGCATAGTAATGGTGGAGCAGAGGCTCTCGGAGCAAGACGGCTTGATGGCGGCCGAGCCTATACCGGCCCCTTATGACAAGTACCAGGCCACCGCCTACGCCCATCACATCATCATTCGGGAGCACTCGGATTTCTTTTTGGCCTCCCGACATCCAATCGCGAGCCCTCCCATACAATCCCTGGCGGAGAACTACTTAATGCCGGCGCGAATGTGGCACTACGGGATCCATGCACTCCTGGAACTATTCCGCAACCGGCTTCCTGACTCTTTGGAGCACATGGTGACCTTCATCCACTTTGCATATTCCATGTTGACTCTCATGATTGAAACAGCGGCAACATTCGAAGACACCTGGTTCGAGTGTCTGGGGGATCTCTCGCGATACCGCATGGCCATTGAACAAAGCGACCTTCGCGAATGTGATCTGTGGTCGGGCATTTCGAGATACTGGTACACCAAAGCTGCGGACAGAAACCCAAATGTCGGCCGAATCCAACATCATCTGGCGATCTTGGCTCGGCCGGATGTCATCCAGCAACTCTTCTATTACACGAAATCCGTCATCAGTATTCACCCGTTTGCGGGCACCCGGGAAAGTATCTTCCTTCTGTTTAACCCATTCCTGAACGGGCCCAGACCCATCCACCGTCTCCCGCTGGTCAGCGCGTTTGTGGCTGCGCACGGCTGTCTTTACACCGGCGATTCTGGAGATCGTTTCGTTGAGGCGGTCGACACCTTCTCGACGCTCCTGAGTCAGTCGATCGGCCGGATAGGCCCAGCCTTCAGGATGCAGGGCTTCTACATCTGTGCTTCCAACGCTGCAGCGATGCTCGAATATGGCAATGCAAACGCCCACCTGCCCCCGGAGTTTGACGAGTCGAATGCATCGCCATCTGAATCTCTTGAAGAGGTTTATGCCTCGGCTGCCAGGAACTGGACTCCCACCGACGACCTTCAGGCGGTGCGGGCCGCGTTTCTAGCGTTCCGAGACTCCAAGAGCCCGTCACCTCAGCTTTTCTACGGGTCTCTGCTGAGTTATCACTGCCTGTCGATGTTCCTCGAGCAGACTGGTGATAGAAACATCTATGCCGCATGCCATGTCGCTTTGGCTTTCCTGTGGTGCCTATCGCTTACCCCACGCGGCATGAACCGTGTGGAGGCCACCGTGCCTTGGAGGAAACTTACCATCTTCCTCAACTCCTTATTCCGCAGCTACATCAAACCCGATATCGCCGAGAATGACAAATTTCCCATCTCCGAAGAAACCACCTGGGTAGCCGAGGACTTCCTTATCCGTGGCCTAGCCTGGAGCCGACGGCTCTATCCTGCGTCGTTCTTCGACGATTCACCCTCTGCCGACGAAGGACGAGAGATCGAGCCGCCGTCTCGAGATGTTGCCAGGATGTACAGGTGCATATGGCTGGGGATCCGGCTTGCCAAGGTAAGCGTTGTCGAGAGGGTTATCGGCGAATAGTACTGACGGTCGATAGTTTCAACGTTGGATGACGTATGATTTTGAGGCGCGGGAATTTTCTGCAACCCCATTTGCCTTGGAATTGGAGAAGATTGCCGAGGAATACAGCCCGTTTGCGAAACCCGATGACATGAGGCCGGTTCAGCCGAACGTGAACGCGCACGAAACCTGAATGACCAGTGATCTGTCCCAAGAGGTGCGACAGGAACGTTGCTGGAGACTTATCATGGACCCTCCAATTGGAGCTATTGATATGGATGACCCGATCTAAGACCGCAATATCCTCGAGATGGTTCAATATACCTGGAAGATCTGTGAGAAGGTGATCTAACGATCCGATGTCGAACCATGAATAACATGGGCCTGTCGACGCACAGACCATAGCTGTCATGCGTGCGTAACACCCCATGAGGCCGTGAGCCACCCTATGGAGGAATGAGAGCAACTTGGAAGTTGAAGCCCTGGCTTGGCTCAGCTCTTCAGCACAGCGTTTCTTTGCCTGCGCCCGATTTCCGGCGATGCCTTAGATTTTTATCATCCCGGGGAAGTGCGTGGGTGGCGGTATGTATATATGCCAGCATTGGCCATGCAATTGGAGCGGAAGCCACGGATACATATGCAATTGAGAAAAGCAATAAAAAGTCTAATAAGCCACGATTGCCCTGTGATGTGGCATACGTACCCCGAACCGGATGTAGATTGTACCATAGTAGGCTGTTCTGCACGGGAGGGCCTCCGCTGTGGTCCCCGTCATTTAAAGTGCATACGTAAGTGCGGATACAGTTCGCAGTTCGATCGACGGGCTGCGCATCCAGTGATCCACGGGGCTGCTGTAACATGAATGGGACTGCAGGGCGAGGGCAGTGGAAAAGGACAAGCTGGCGACAGCAGACTCAGGGAGTATCTTTAGTAGAAAGAGCGTCGCACGGAGATAGACTGTGGGCGCCGACGCGTCGGGGATCCGTAGCTTGTCTTAGCTGGGTATTTTGGTCCGCTCGCCGCTCTCACCACGTTTCCTTCCCCCCTCTCCTCTCCCTCGCCATGGCCATTATCGCATCGCTGCCCCCTCCATGTTAGCTGATCCTCCTGACAGGCTCCGTGTCGCATGGCTGGCCAACTACGGATCGTCTTCATCCCATTGAGCACTTGAGCACTTGAGCTCTCCCTCCCTCCCTCTCTCCCACTCCCCCCATCCCAGCTTCTCCGCTATAATCTTCACCCGCTGCGACGAGCTCCCCTCGTCCGACATCGATTGTCTTCACCATGGTCGAAGATGCGTGGTCCGACATCTGCGTCAGTTGCGCGGAGCTGTTGGCCAGCGTCCCGATCTCCGTCCTACTTGTGACCCTCGTTGCAACGCTCTCCGGGCTGTTTGTGCTGGTACGTTTGTTGCCGGGCTCGCGCTGCCCAGCCCATCCGTGATGCTGCTTGGACGACACCGCTAATTTTTTTTTTCTTTTGCTCAATCGCTCTACAGTTCTACACCACCCTCTACCTCGTCGCTCCGATCCCGCGGAAACCCTTTCCTGGCGAAAAGAAGTACCGGACGGTCTTGCAGGACGGGACAATCACGGACCCGCAACAACTCCCTTGCTGGCAAGATGTCCTGGATGCTCAGAAACAGAAAGGGTCTGGTCCGCTCGTCGACCGTCCGTCCGTGGAGGAACCCGATCTGTTCGTGTCGGTGGTGGTGCCGGCCTACAATGAAGAGGACCGTCTCGGAGGCATGCTGGAAGAGGCTGTGAACTACCTGGAACGGATGTATGGGACGACTGCCATCGTTGACGGTGCCACGGCCGAGAAGGAAGTCCGGCAGCGGAAACAGGCTAACGGCCAGGTGAACGGCTCCGCGACGCATCGCCCGGTGCACGATAACAAGGGCTGGGAGATCATTCTGGTCTCGGACGGATCGAAGGACCGGACCGAGGAAACGGCGTTCTCGTTCGCTCGCGATCACCAGCTCTCCATGCATCCCAAGGGCCACGCCGGTCCGTGGACCCCGGAGACCCACGAGGGCGCCCATATCCCCTCCGGAACCATCAGGGTCGTCACTCTGACCGAGAACCGCGGTAAGGGCGGCGCCGTCACCCACGGCATGAGACACGTCCGCGGCCAGTACGTGGTGTTTGCAGATGCCGACGGCGCCAGCAAATTCGAGGATCTCGGGAAGCTCATCACCGCGTGTCAGAAGACCGCGGACTCGCAGGGCCGTGGTGTGGCCGTGGGCTCTCGGGCGCATATGGTTGGAAGCGAGGCTGTCGTCAAGGTATGTTTGCCTTGACTTCCTAGAATTCCCCCATGCGCATTGCCAAGGCAAATCACTAACCACCGATATGTGTGTGTGTACACAGCGATCCAAACTGCGCAACTTCCTCATGCATTCCTTCCACCTCATCCTCTGGCTGATGACGCCGTCCAAGACGGCCACCATCAAAGACACCCAGTGCGGATTCAAGCTGTTTTCGCGGGCCGCCCTGCCCGACATCATCCCCTATATGCACTCGGAGGGCTGGATCTTCGACGTCGAGATGCTCATGCTGGCGGAGTTTTCGGGCATCCCTGTCGCCGAAGTCCCCGTCGGCTGGCGAGAGGTCACAGGGAGTAAGTTGAATGTGCTCCGCGATAGTATTGGGATGGCCTGGGGACTGGCTGTTTTGCGGGCGGCGTGGTTACTTGGGGTTTATAGGCGGAGTTGACTGTTATTTTATTTTTATTTTTATTGTTTTTATTCTTATTTCAAGTAGTTATATCGGCCCACATACCTACTACCTACTTACCTACCTACTTACTTACCTACTTACCTACTTACCTACCTACCTACTTACTTACCTACTTACCTACATAAAGCCAGACTCAGACAAACAAACAAACAAAACAATCTACCCCACCCATTAATATCTCAACTGATTGACCAAACCCAATATTTCCCTATATCCATAATGGTACTCCGGACTCGTAATACGAATCTCCCCAATCCATCATGATCATTTTTTTTTGTCGCCGTCGGCAGCAGTATCCGGCACGGCACCTCTCCGAGCCTCCGTCGAGCCTGGCAGTAAGTAAGTAGGTGTAGGTGTAAGTGTAGGTGTAGGTTCTACAGTACAGTTTCGATTCGATTCGATTCGATGGATGGTGATGGTGATGATAATGATGATGGTCGGTGGCGAATCCCAAACCGGGCCCGTTCGCAGTACAAACTACCAAGTAACAGAGCCCATCATTATTGCATCAGAGGCTCGCTCAGAGCAGAGGCGGTCGGACCCTGATGAGCAAGCGGAATGGAATATCAGCATCATGCAGGATTGGATTAGACTAGACTAGACTAGACTAGACTAGATCAGACTTGTGCATGGATGGATGGATGGATGGTACTATGCTGGGTGTTTGAGGGGGTTTGGTGGGTGGGTATGTGGTAGAGGAGGAGGGTAGGAGGTGGGAGGTGGGAGGGTAGTATACTGGTTGGTTGGTTGGTTGGTTGATTGGTAGGGAGGAGGGAAGGAGGGTAATATGAACAACTGGTCTCGCTAGAGAGATGATGGAGATGGTTATTGGGGTTGAATTGGGTAGTAAAATTCGGAGTCACATACTTTTACTACTACTTACTATACATAGTTACTGTGTAGATAGCAAACGTGTGTACGTATAGTACGTACGTACCTTAGGAGGGAAGGTACAAACAGCCCAGATAGACAGACCACCCGGAACAGCCATCTCCACCTCCACCTCCACCCCATACAATTCCAATTACATAGTACTCACTCCACTCCGTACAATGAATGGTCTAACTAGATAGATACTTTGTACAGACCAGCCCATCCGGAACCACAAACGGGAGCACCCGAAACCCTCCTCCCCTCTCTTTCTGGGATCTTGGAATCCCTGAATAAACTTTCCATCAACCAAAGGATCTTGTGTAAAAAAAAAAAAAAAAAAAAAAAATAGAATTCGGGCCTTGGCTGGACTCACTCGGTCCGAACAGAAATTTTTTTTGCGATGGGCAGGCAGGCAGGCAGGCACATGTGTTGTGTTTTCAACGGGAGGTTTTTGGGGGATATTTGCCGGTTTGAGGTGATCTTTCCTTCCACTTACTTACTTACTTACCACTTATACATACTTCTTTACTTACTACGTACTACGTACTACTACTGTGTTGTTGTCTGTCTGTCTGTCTGTCTGTCTGCTGAGGGGGGTGGTCTGATATTCATTTATCCTGGTCGCAAACCCAAACACCGGCAACTTTATCCTTCTCCTCTCTCCTTCTTCTTCTTCTTCTCCTCTTCGTCCCCCCCCCTCCCCTTTTTTTTAGGTACATACTGTACTTACCCTCCGTTTTTCGGTTACACTACTACTACCTATCTACTATCTACCACACCAACCACTCGTTATTACCTACTGTCTACTGGCTTGCTGCTTACACATGCAGACAGACCAGCACATTCCTCATTCGGTTGCTGTTGCTGATATAGCACCCTCCACTGTCTCATTCACGACCTACTGACTTCCCGATGAGATAATATAGTTGGATGGGTGATCTGATCTGACTGACTGACCCCTTACCTAACCTGACCTAATCTGACCTGATACATACTGGGTGTCGTTGCAGGATCTGTGTGTTGCCTGTCTGGGTGGTGGCTGACGTCGACTCCGAGGGCTTATATATCGCGGAGAACGGCCGATCTTCGTCTTGCGGGACTTAGCATTGCTGCTACTGCTGCTACTGCTGCTATTGCTGCTGCTACTGTACTGCTACTACTGCTACTGCTACTGTTCGGACCTTATTTGCTGTCTGCTATCTATCTGCTATCTGCCGTTGACTTATTACCTCGTACTATGAGGTGTTGTTGGTGTTGATTGATATTGATCTGAGTGGATCGCTGCTGCTCTTTTTGTCTACGACGACTACGACTAGTGACCTAGCGTGGGGGGGGGTTCGGTCTGTCTGTCTATCTATCTGTCCATCGATCATTATCTGCTGGAGTTATCGATATTTGATCGGGTGCAATTGCAATGGGGATCCCTCAGGCGATGCATCAGGATAAGACAACGGCGATGGCGACAGCGACAGCGACCGACTACTCGCCTTTCCTCAAGCTACCGCTCGAGCTGCGTCTCATGATCTATGAATACGCCGTGGACATCCCGAACGAATTCATGGACCGCCCGTTGATCGTGGTCAACGACCGGGGCAACGTCTTCACCGCGCGCGGCCGATACCGAGCCCTAGCCATGTGTCCCAGCTGGGTGGGCGAGAACGGCCGAGTGCGCAGCCTGCTCTCCGTGAACCGCCAAATCCACGACGAGGTCGAGGACCTGGTGTACTCGCGGAACACGCTGTTCTTCCTGAACTCATTCAACCTCGACCGCCTGGGCGTGTTCCTGGACACGCTGAGCGCGACGGCGCGCAACCGCATCCGCAGCGTCGGCTTCGAGATCTTCTTCTTCGTGCACTCGCAGACCGGCGTGCCGAAGCGCACCCTGCGCGAGTACAAGGCCGCCGCCCGCATGCTGATGGAGAAGCTGCCCAACTGGACCAGCGTCATTTTCTATCTCGATCCGCGCTTCTATTTCCCGTCCTCCGCTGTCGGGGGCCTGGAGTCGGCCGCCCGCGGCATCTGGTATCTGGCAACCATCTTTGGGGCCGTGGGCAAAGACCTGCATTTCTTTCCTCTGCCCTCTATGCATCGCTATGTGATGGACGACGCGAAGAAGATGCTTCAGGCTGGCACGCGGGCGTCGCCGGCGAAGCTCTCTGTCGCGTAGGGGGCGGGCGCCCGGGTCTCTTTTTTCCTATGGTTTCGTCTGGTTCGCGGCATCTCGTCATTAGTAATATCCCCTCTTCTTGTTGATCGTTTTATTTTTTATTTTTTTTTTTTGCTTTTATTTTCTCCGACTGGCCGTACACCTCTCAGACACCCACCGAGACTATCATGCAGGATGACGTTGAGGGGAGATCGGGGTGAGGAGAGTTCATCGTGGAGACTCCCTTAGTCTCGGGGCTCCACTTAAAAAATGCCAATCACCTCGGAATGTCATGTTGGAGTTGGGGTGGGGGGTGCAGCGCAAGGAGGATGGATGGATGGAGTTTTTGTTCATGGGGTTGGGAAGTTGGTTTGCACTTCAAGGTGTTCTGCTTGGGAACCCGGATATCCTTATTGTTGGTAGAGGCGTTCTTGATCATGGGCATTACACAGCATATCATTATTCCACTTTTCCGTCGGCTCCTCGAAGAATCCTCGTAGATAGTCATAGATAACTACTAGTCATAGTCATTTGTAGCTGCAGGTCTGACTGACAGCACGCGCACCGTTGCCGCTCCTTCGGCTAGTGCTGCTGTTAGCTTCAGATCGGTCCGTCTGGTGGACGTACCAGATGATGGGACGGAGGGCTCCGCATGAATCATGAAATCATCCTGCCTGGGGAGGGTCGTAAGGGGACTCCATACGGAGGACTACTTACTTACTATTAATGCAAAGGAAGAGTTGACAGAGAAACGCGAGGGAAAAAGAAAAGGCGGGCATCACGTCATGGCCGGCTCGTGATCGTCGGCCTCAGGCTGCAGGCTGCCTTTCTCGTCGAACTTGAAGAAGAAGCGCCGACGCTCTCGTCCAAAGCATCTGCTTTCATCCCATCGATCCGTCTTTTCCTTTTCCCTCTGCTCTGCTGCTGGCCAACTGTCGACATCGGTTAGTCCCCGTTGCCTCGGTACGTGCCTGATAATCTGGTAGAGACCATCGCTTAGTATCAACTGCTATACTACTGCTATACTACTACTATACTACTGCTATACTTCTTCTTTCCCCCCCACCCCCCGCATTCGGGTGGATCGTCCATCCTTTCATCGACCACCATTCGGTCTGAGGTTGACATAATAATCCAGCCCCTCGGTCGCTGTCCATACCATACCATAGGCCCGTCCGATAAATGCTGTGAACCCTTCGCTGCAGTTTGCAGTTGCAGTCGCATCGTCCACTTGGCCATCCTCCTGTGGCCGCCTCCAGCAACGAAACGTCCTTGGTCCACGAAGCTCAAAGCACCTCGCCTCGCCTTGCGTTTCGAAACTCTGCTTCAGGCACCGACCCAAACGTGCGCCTTCCGGGCTTTATCTATGCTCCATTGACCACTCCCCATACAAACAACTGGCCCCCCCCCCCGCGCTGGCCCCCTCATTCGCCCCCTCTGGTAGGTCGCCCCTTGTTTTGCAGTCCCCTGGTTGTCAGTCGTTTTGCTGGGGTTGCTCCACGCGCCAGAATCACGGTGATGCTGCTGTGGTTTCTGCAGCTGACGCTTGTCTAGCACCCGACTAAAAGTACCCACGGTGGTGATTTCCCCCCCCCATCCCTTCGCCCTACACTGTCGCCCCTCTCTCGCCATCCCTTTATGAGGGGAAGCAGCCCTCGATAAAGTGCAACACGCCCCTTGGAGTTGTCTCAGTAGCACAACCCATCCCACCACCCCCTCAAAATGAAATCCGCTACCGCCACGAAATCCCCCAATGGCCACGGCAGCCTCTACAAGGAGGTGCGCTTTTCGCCAACCCCGACCCCCGTTCGTCGTTCACAGTCGGTGCCGGACACCTACTTCGACGCGAACCCCAGTCATATGCGAGGCCTTGGTAACTCCGGGACCGCGTACTCCGTCGTCAGTGCGGAGTATCTCAGCCAAGTACGGTCGCTCCTCGATCGCCAACGCTCGAATTTTGAAAACGAGAGGAAGCTCTTCCACGAGGAGCGCCAATTATGGGTGAATGAGCGAGCGCTGTTGACTCAGAGGATCTCGGAGCTAGAGTCGTTGCTACGGGGAAGGGGGTCCACAGGGGCCGCCGCCACTAGTACAGCCGCGACCGGGGCTTTTGCGTCTAATCCGTTCTCTGCATTTCACAACCAGTTCGGTCGCTCGCTGTCAACAGAGCTTCCTGATCATTCGCACCCGACGAGCACACAGGTGTGGGAAGGTTCCAGCCCCGGAAGCAGGCCCACAAGGGTGTTCCCCGACGCAGAGAAGACGGACCACCGGGGCCTCACGTCGATCCCGGAGCAAGGAGGGAACCTATCGTCCGCACCGTCCTTGGACGCGGCCCTCTTCTCGCCCCAGTCTCACGCGGCTGATCCGTCCGCGAGCGCGTGCGTTCCGGTACCGATTGAGCGACTTGACAGCAAGCTCGACGGGATCACACTCAAGTCATCTGCCTTGCCCCCGGAGGTTCTGGCCCGCGTGATCACGCCGCCGTCGCCGCCGTCGCTGGAGGACTCTCCCTCGCTGCCTTGCCGGCCATCCGTCGAGCAGCGCAACAGCCTCAAGCTGAAGCTGTCCCAACTTGGCCCCCCGAGTTCAACCTGACCAGGAACGCTGGTCACACGCCCATGGTTCGAATCGATCGCGACGTCGACACGGAGCAACCGTCTCCCCAGGAGACGCCAATCGAGGACGACGAGCCCCTTGCTCCGGAGGCGCCTCGGCAACCCGCAGAAAGCTCCGACTCCTACTTTGCGAATGTTGCGGACTTGCCCGACGATCCAGCCCTGAAGGGGCCTCTCTCCCTGTTGAACGAGGCGGAGCACGACAGTGGCTTCCTGAAGGAGCTGGATCAGAAGCTTCTGGACCAGGTCAGGCAAGCCCTTGGGTATCCCCAAGACCGCGAGAATCAGAAACAGACGGAGATCGAGCCCCCCAGCCAGGGCGAGCCCGAACTGAAGTTCAAGAACACGACCAACTTCGGCACGGCGTTTGGGAATTCGGACTGCCGGAAGGTGTAGATCGGGGGTGTGGTCATATTATTATTATTATTACCTTCCTAGCACATGTTTAGGCGACGGAACTTGTTGATGTCATGATGGAATTTGGGGGTTTACGGGACGGAGGGATGCATGTCATGATTGATGAAATATGACGATGCTGTTTTTTTTTTTATTTTTTCTTTGCATATGCATCGGCAACCATGTGTAACTATTAAAGCAACGGAGGTTTTTTTTTTTTTTTTTTTTTTTTTTTTTTTTGTCAGCCTGTCTTACTGTTGTTACTTTCTATTGTACTCGCGGAACTCGAAGTAACCATATAGTAACAATGGCTTCCTTGTCTCCTTGCATCCGCCCCAGGTCCGGATGATCATGTCCCATCCCTCCCTATCTTATCATCGATGCCTCCGATGAGACTGCTCTGACGTTGCGAAGGGGTGTCTCCGTCTCCTGCAGAGTGGCTAGATCTGATCAGATCGGCTCGGTTCCATGAGGACGAGGCCACAGCGTGGATGAGATTCGATAGGGACGACTGACTGTCTCGTGGGCCTTGCATGGCCCTGTCTGTCCCTGGCCCTGGTCCTGACCCTTTGGACGACGATGTCATGGATACGGATGGCCCTAGAAAGGGTCTGGTCCTGGTCTTGGTCCCTGTATTCGGCTCGATGGTGATGGTTGGCGAGAGTATAAGAAGTCCAGCGTGTCTACTGGTACTGACTTTCAGTTCTTCAGAGCATTCATCCGCTGCGAGTCTCAGCATTCAGTCGTTCAATCATCCAGTCATTCGTTCGTTCATTCGTTCTCTGTCTGTCATTTGGATTACTCGCTTCTTGAACGAGAGTGTCAAACGAGGTGTTATATTCCTTCCATATACACTACACCACATACAACATACATACATACATACAAAATGTACAACCCAAAGAATCTCCCAGCTCTGCTATGCCTCCTGCTAGCTGCCGCTCCCACCGCAGTGCTCGCAGCACCTGTTCCTGTTCCTGCTCAGGTACCTTACCTCCTCTCCTCTCCTCTACTCTGTATATATACCTAACACAAGACACCACGACACAGAACCAAACCCTCACCCCCCGACAACACCACTTCACCTCCAACTCCCAAGCAGCCGACGCCTCCGACTTCTCGCTCTCCGACGGCCCCTCCTACAGAAACGGCCAATCCACCCAGTCTCACTACGGTGAGCATGGCGGGGATGGTAACAATAACGATCACGATGTCCCCTCCAGTGACAACGCCAGCACGGATGCCGAGGAATCGTATGATATTGGCATCCCGGATGGGCCGAGCTTCAATCTGGGCGAGTTTTATCATCATGATTATGAGGAGAGTGAGCCGGAGCCGGAGACTGAGTCGACTACTTCTTCTACTACGGTGATGACGCCGAAGACGACCACGGCAGCGCCCCCGCCTCCCCGCCGCCGCCGCCGCCGCCGCCGCCGCAGAGGCCCGTTGTGGTTGTTGGCACGAATGAACCCGTGCCGGCTGTTCCTTTGACTACTACTACTACTACTACTATTACTACTGCTCCTACCGCTCCGGCTGTTGTCTTTTCTCCGTCGTCTTCGTCGGAGCCGGTGCCTCCTGCGCCAACTCTTCCTGCGCCGGCTCCTCCTGCTCCTCCTGCTCCTCCTGCACCGGCTCCTCCTGCTTCGGCTCCTCCTGCTTCGGCTCCTCCTGCTCCTGCTCCTCCTGCTCCTCCTGCTCCTGCTCCTGCTCCTCCTGCTCCTGCTCCTCCTGCACCGGCTTCTCCTGCACAGGCTCCTCCTGCACCGGCTCCCCCAGTCGAAGCACCAGAGGCCACTGCGACTCTTGAGACCCCCGAGGAACCCGAGGAGCCGGTCGAAGAATGCCCTGCTCCTGAGCCGGAGACTGAGTCTGAGCCCACCGAGCCAGAATCTGCACCCGAACACGAACCTGAGTCTGAGCCCGAAGCCAGCCCTGAACCCCCGGTCACTGAGCCCCAAACCAACCCTAAGTCTGAGCCTGCACCTGCACCTGCACCGGAACAGGAACAGGAACAGGAACACGAGCCCGAGACTCAGCCCAAGATTGGCTCTGGATCTGGACCTGACGCGAGCCCTGAGGATCAGTCCACCTCTGGATCTGGACCTAGACCTGAAGGCAGCTCTGATCAGTCCAACATTGGACCTCAACCCCAAACCATCCCTGAATCCCAAGTCCAAGTCCAAGTCAACCCTCAGCCTGGGTCTCAGGAGCCCTCTCCTGTCCCTGTCCCTGCTCCTGCTCCTGCTCCTGTCCCTGCTCCTGAAGCCATACCAGCACATACCTGCCAATGCCCTGCCTAATTGCAGTCCTGATATCTATCAAGAAGGATTCACAAATACACTTCCCCCCCCCCTTCCCCATCCCCAACCCATTTCCTTTATCATATCCTTCTTCCCTTCCTTCCATCATCCATCTATCCTTTTTCTTTCCCTTTTTCTCTTTTTCCTTTTGTCTTTCTTAATTCCTTATTTCTTTCTTCCCTTCTCATATACAAATTTCCCCCCCTCGCCCCACCCACCCCGCACAATCCACAGTCATTTCTTCCTTCATCATGATTCAGGCTTGGGGCTGAGTTTATTTACTTATTATTATTATTATTATTACTACTTAGTGGGCGTTGTTTTCTTGGGTTCTTTCTTTCCTTTCTTTCTTTCTTTTTAACTCTTTCACTTTGACTTTCATTTTCATTTTCATTTCCATATGTATTATTACTGGCTGGTCTGTATTTTACTAATTCCTATATGTTATTCATTTGTGATGATAGGTTTTTGGTTAGGGTTTGTGTTGGTCGTGTAGTAGTAGTAGTAGTAGTAGTAGTAGTAGTAGTAGTAGTAGTAGTAGTAGTAGTAGTAGTAGTAGTAGTAGTAGTAGTAGTAGTAGTAGTAGTAGTAGGTGGTAATGTTGAGTTGAGTTGAATGTTATTTATTATTATTTCTCTATCAAGTGGATTACTTACATCACATACAGAAACGGTAAATGTTTGATAATATTAGATAGTAGGTATTGATTGGTCTTTATAGAATAGAATAGCATAGCATAACAGAGCAGAGCAGAGCAGAGCAGAGCAAAGCAGGGCAAAGCAGGGCAGAGCAGAGCAGAGCATCGGATCAAGCAAGCAAGAGAGTAAAGGAGAAAGTGCACCAGAGAAAAGTTCTTCGGGTCTCGTGATAACATGATAATGATATGCTCCCCTGCACGTGCGCCAGTCATAGGTTAAGGTAATCAATCAATCATAGGTAGCAAGCAAGCAAGCAAGCAAACAAGAACGAACATAAGCAGGCAACTTGAGGAGACTAAGACGAAGAAGAAGGAATAGGTGGAAGGTGGTGGGTGGGAAGGGAAGTAATCTCCTTCACTTACTTACTTACTCACTCACTCATCCAGTCACTCACCCATTCACTCACCCATTCACCCAGTCATCAACTCAACGCCAGAAGATTCCCGAAAAGAAAGAGAAAGAAAAAAAAAAAGAACACCCATAGCAAAACCAACAACAACAACAACAGCAGCAGCAACAAAACAAAACAAAATCCATAACGAGAAGAATAATTAGAAGAATAATTAGAAGAAGAAGGGGGAAAAAATTAAACCCCCATTGTAAAATCATGCTCGATCCCCGGCGTCACACTCGCAATAAACTTCAAAAACACGACCAGATACTGATCCACGCGAATAGCCACCTGCTCCTCCTCCTGCTCATGCTGCAACATCTCCCACTCATCACCACCCGCATGTTCCCCAACAGACAACCCCCTCACATCATCCACCAAGCCCTCCAGCCCCTTCGTTTCCTGCTGCTGCTGCTGCTGCTGCTCCCCCGCCTTCGCCGCTGCCTTCAGCTTCTCGCGCCGGATCTTCAGCGCGGCGTCCGCGCGATCCAGCAGGGTCTTCATGACGGAGGCGTGGCGGCAGGGGTGCACGGTGGCCATTTTCACGCCCCCTTCGAACCAGGGGAAGTCTTCTAGCGTCACGGTCTTGTCTTTGTAGTCGCCCACGATGTCTTCCATCATTAGGGGGGGTGGGAGGGGGAGGGAGGCGCTGAGATAGCCGGATAGGTAGAGGCGGGGGGTTCGGTAGAAGTTCGCGTAGGTTATGTAGAGGTTGTAGGTTCGGGTTGGTCTGGATGTTATTCATTAGTGTGTGTTGGATGTTGGGGGGAGAGGGGGGGGGGGGGGGGTATAAAGTAGAAGGTAGAAGGCAGTAGGGGGTAAGTGGTGTGAAGGTAATGTAGACAGATAGTGGATAGGTATGGAGATGGAGATGGAGAAAAGAGAAAGACATACTGCATCGTTCCTCCCCCGACAGGCTCCCTTATAATGGCCTCCTCATCATCATCCTCATCCTCCATATCAGGAATCTCCTCGTCCTCATCCTCGGCCTCATCCTCCTCCCGTTCGCGCATATTCCCCGCCTCATCCACCGTCCTCACATCACCGATCCTCGCTCCCGCCCCCGTCTCTGCCTGTTCCCTCCCACCCCCCGAAGCATTATTCCCCGCTGCCCCCGTCCTCAACCACCCCTCATCATCATCATCGCCATCGCCATCGCCATCGCCATCCCCCGCTAACATATCCCTGACAACCTCATCCTCGATCCCCGCATCGCCCGCAAAGTTGTCATTCAGCCGCCGATGGCACGGCACGCCGCGCGTCACCAGGAACTGTTTGCCGGGCGGCAGGTACGAGACGCGCTTTGCGGGCGTGGAGGCGTCCGCCCACGACCATGACGGGAACTTGTAGACTAGGTAGTCGCCCGCCAGCACGAACTCTTCGGGCGTTATTTGTCCCGTGCTGCGGAAGGTGGACGTGCGGGAGATCGGGGCCAGGCGGTCGCGCCAGGTGGAGAGGGTGGAGTGGAGGATGTTCATCTTTTGGGGGTGTGGTCTTTAGTTGGTTGTGGTTGTGGTGGTGTTTTGGAAGAAAGGGGGTTATTTGAGTAGAGTAGGTGGGTGAAGTGAGGGGAGTTGGGGTGGGTGGATCTGACGTTTATCTTAAACTAGTGAGGGAGTCTAGATAGCCGGTGACGGTCCGTGGCGGTGACGGCATTCGATTTCGAGGTCCGATTTTATTACTACTACTCAGAGCACGCGGGGCCCATCAGGTGACAGAGGCTCAGTCACAGCCCAACGCACATGTTTCTTCCTGATCATGCCTTTACGATGAAGAGGGTCTTTTCACGGGGCTGCTTCATCGGGTTCATATTGCTGGTCCTATGTCCGGACCTTCGGTCGCTATCTCAGCTGAAGTATATATCCTGACTGGTACGGGTGTCGGGTCCGCGGTTCGCCCAAAAGGGGTTCGTCCGCATCATCATGAAGGGCTTTGCCTGGAGGGAGGGGCCTGAAGATGATTAATCTCGCCCACTCTTCTCTTTCTCCTGGAGGTCAAAGCGGCGGGGATGTGTCCATGGCCCAGACCAAACCAGACAGACACGGAACAGACGTGCTGTCTACTATCCAAGTCTTATGTCGCCAGTGAAGCACCTGGCGCTCTATGCCGAATCTTGTATCACTACGCAAGTTGTCACCCCTCACTCGCCCTCCTGCATCATCCTTCTCCGTTCCATCTCCCCATCCAGCTCGTCCGCCGTCATCGGCACCCCGCGGCCCTTCCACTTCTCCACCTCCGCCCGCGCAAACCCCTCCATACTCCCCATGCCCACCACCAGAAACCCCAGATCCTCCCGATCGACATCGAAAACCTCCCACCAGTCGCTATCAACAAGCTTCACGCCCACCTCCCGCGCCGAAAGATAGATCGCCGCCACGGCGAGTGCGTTCGGCTGGTGCGTCGCGTACAGCAGCTGCGGCGACAACAGTGCGGAGTTCAGATGCTCGAACACCCTCTTCGCCACCGCGGACGACGACACTCCCATCGTCTGGAGGTAGGTCAGGGCGATGGTATGCGGGAGGGCCACGTGGGTGTTGAAGCCCAGGGTACGCAGGATGATCGACTCCGTGCGCAGCAGGACCTGTCGCTGCGCCTGGTAGCCCCCTTCCGTGAGGTGGTAGGTCTCTGGCGTAGGCTTGTCGGGCGATCCGTTGGGGTTCACGAACCACAGCGGCGAGGCTTCCTTCGATAGCAGGAAGGTGTAGACGTTGAGCACGGAGCGGGGGGAGGTGGGCTGGAAGGATAGCTTGGCGGTCATGTAGAGCGCCGCGGCCGAGACATCCTGTAGATGAGTCGTTGGTCAGTATTGGTGTTTCTCCTCTCCTCTCTGTGCCACTCCGGAGGAAGGGCAGTTAATTACCTTCACCGAGTGTATGCGGAGGCTGCCTCCTTCCGAGCCGATCCAGAACCGCGTGAATGTCACAATGGCTTGCGCGATGATGTCTTGCGACAATCGGAGGAGAATCCCCGCTGTCTGTGTGAGTTGGGCGCCGGCAAAACGGATGGAGGCTTCGAGGTCGGGGGATACGCCGTCGATGGCGGACGAGGAGTTCGAGAGCTGCTCGGCTGTTGCGAGCGCATTGGACAGGTACTTCAGCCCGCTGGTGGCCGGGGTTGCCATGCTGTAAGGGGTGGGGGGGGTGTTCGAGAAGTAGCGTTAAGGCAGGTTAAGATGGTGGAAGAAGATTCTCATTGGGAGTATGGCGGGGACTGTTTATTCATTTGTCGTGAATATCTTTCCCGCGATGATGTTGCAGGCAGAATACAGGCTGTTGCCAGACGGCTTCACCGCCCGGACCGGGTGCTGTCCGAGTCACGTGTGTAGGTAATGATGAGTTGGGGTTCTCCAGATTGATGACTTCATCATTGTAGCAGGTGGGAGGATCTGATAGGACTGATCTTGGTGATATCACAGCGCGGGACCACGATATCTCCAGTGAGGGGCAGTATCACTGTCTGTGCTGGGTAAGCCGTAGTGGAGTATTAGTTTATGTAGTCAGGTAGTTCAGGTGTTGAAATACAAGGCCAGCTTGAGTATTTCTGGGGATTGAGAGCATGATTGTGTCCTCAGGCATGAATGAGTGCAACTGGACTGCTGGAACTGTACTATGCAACTGCCCAGCCGTTCCGCTGGTCCCTTTAATGTCCCGTTGTTCCACCCAACGGCTGGCATCTCCATCCCGCGGCCCAGCCAGCCGGTTCAAACAACATCGAGTCTGGCATCTACATATCTCCGGCCCGTATTCTGTATGTACATTCTTAATCTTGATGACTGGAATACTCCGTACAGACTGGCATCTCCAGCCTGTCATGTGCCCCTGATCTGTCCTCCGCAAACGATGCGCAACCCCGAGATTGCTTAATCTCGCGGAGGGGGATCGTCCACGGGCTACGTCAATCCCATGAAACGGCCCCCCAAGAGCGCTCTAGACACCACTCCACCAGAAGGATGAAACCTGGACAGGCGAGAAAGGGGCCTCGCCGTTTTGGTCACTGCGTCGGACGTGGCGTCAATCGTCACTGAGACGATTTACTGATGCCAGTCTCTGCCAGTGCGAAAGATGACGTCGTGGGGGTGGAGGTCTTCCTGGGGCAGCCCAAAAGCTGAAAGAAGCTGGAGAGCGAATCGAATCCATGTCTTCCATGTCTAAGAAAAGATCATGGTGACAGTTGACTCCCAACCACTCATCTGGGGCCGGGGCCTCGTGGTGGTGGAGCACCGAAGCCGTTCAGCCACCGTATTTTTCTACTCAGCTGCTAAGAATACATCCCCAACCTCGCGATATTTCCTTGGTGCGCGCCCTAAAAGAATCCGGCCGGATTCCTCGTCAGATTCTGTCCACATATCGAAGATTCCGAACGCATCCTACGGAGCAAAGTGCCAGCCTAAGAGACTAGAGAGATCGGTCTAGATATATCCACGTCTAAATCAGCCAGTCAATCGTGCATGATCGCAACTCGTTGCTGACAGGGGCACGTGCGGGTACTCCGTCTGATCGCTAGTTATCACTTGGCGGTCGAGCTCATCAACCTGAAGAACATCTGCTACAATCGCGTCCTTCTCCCTTAGTTTCCCTCACGCATACGCCGTCGACACCACTGGCCCGCTGCCGTCCAGTTCGCCCTTCATCCTCCTCGACTGCTCCTTATCGCCCCGCCCTCCGCCCGAAAGGAGACCAGAGCAGCTGCGGGAGCTCCTCATTTCCGTCCCCCTTTTGCTTCCCAACTGAAGCTGACCACGGACGGCGGCATACGTGACCGTGCATCGAGCGGACAACGTATCGACGTGGCATTCCAGTCCGTGTCCAAGTGGTGCGACCGACCACATCCCTTCGCCATTCCAGGCCCCATCCCTTCCACCCGACGCCCAGTCATACTCCCCTTCGGCCGCGACAATGCTCCGCGACCCTGACCACCCGTCAACTACAGCCACGCCTGCTGGTGACAGCCTGCAACTGTCCTCGACAACGCCAGCGACAGCGACAGCGACAGCCCAGGAGGATTGTCAGCCTTACGATGCCAATCAGCCCGCCCACCAGCCTACCCCTGTAACTTTATTAGCACAGAGCTCGGATACATTATCCCCACTCCCGGCGAAACCGCACCCTTCGCACCCCTCCCACCGTCGGGCGAACACCGAGATTATCCCCCGGCAGGCCCCTCCGTCCAGGAAGCTCTTCGCCGACCAGCCCAAAACCTTCGAAGACCTGGACAGTAGCACCGACTCCTCGAACCCCACCGCCGAAAACACCGCCCGCAGGAGACTTGAAGAAGGAGCGAAACGCTTGTCGGGCTGGTTCCAAGGAAAATCGGAACCCGTTAACCTAGGCGTGGTATACCAGACAGAAGAGGACGCCGAGACAATGAACACCACGATGGAGAGACGAGGCTCTCGTGATTACTACGGGTCGCCCAGTTCCCCCGTCATGTCGAGCCGGGCGCAGAAGCGGATGACTGCGCCGTCGCCGCTGAAGCAGGTCACGTCGTCGAACCCCTTCTCGTTCTTCGGACTGAAGCGTCAGGGGGAGAGCCGACTGGAGCTCCCCGAACCCGCCCAGGACGAGTTCTTGAACTTCGACGTCAACGCTGCTCTGTTCCCCCCTGGCTTCAGCCAGCTGGAAGGGCGGGACGCGTTCGATGCCCTGCGGAGCAATGCAGACACCATGCTCCGACGGCTGCAGGCTGCATACAAGCAGCGGACGTTCGCCTTGCATGAAGCCTTGGCAGAGAAGAACGAAAAGCAAGAGGAGCTCGAGGTGACCCGGAATCGCATCGGGAACCTGAAGGTCCAACTAGATGGCATGGCCGAGAAGGTCATCGAGCAAGAAAAGGCCGTGAAAGCTATGGCAGAAGAGCTGGAGCACGAGCGGGAGGTGCGCCGCCGAGAGGACGAGGCTCGCATGCGCAGCGTGCTGCTCGTCCGGACCAGCGACGACGAGAGCACATCCGACCTGGGAGTGGAGCTTCAGACGCCCAAACGGAGCATGAAACGTGCCAGCAATGGTACGTTCACGAGCGACTCCGGCTTCGACTCGGGAGACGAGAGTGTGTCCGAAAGTGTGTTCTCACGTCGCGAAGTGCTCGAGTCGCCGGCCTCGACTGTCGCGCCATCCCCGAACATCTCCCAGATTACCCTGTCCACTCCCACCTCTGCCCCCGTGCAACCCCCGAAGGAGCTCAAACCTACACCTGCACCTGCACCTGTCCCCAAACCCAAACCCACCCGGGCGCCGGCCTCGACGCCAGCTCCCAAACAATCCACCTACGACCGCGTTTTGAAAGGACTCACCCCGAAGAGCATTGCCAGCTCCTGGACCGGCTCCAAATGCAACATCTGCCATGGGGTTCCGTCGTCCGAAGCGTGGAGCGTGCTGGGGATATTGAAAGAGGAAAACAAGGGGCTGAAGGAGCGGCTGGGGGAGCTGGAGAACACGATCGACGAGTGTCTGTGGCTGGTTGGGCCGTGAGACGGTGTGTTACTTGGTGTAGGAGACATGGATGCCAGCTTACGAAGGAAGATTTGTCTATTGCGAGGTCGATGTGCCTGGATTGGGGAACGATGAACCATTGTTATACTGTGATACCTAAGATACCTAGACGCGATATAGCGCTGAGGATTGCATGTTGTTGAATATTGAATTAAATAATACCCCATTGCGAGATTGATCGATGTACGGTGATCTAAGATCTAGCATGTAATATGTAATATGGCCAACTGTTACGCCGTCAAGCTGTTTGTAGAGTTGCTCCGTAGACGGAGATCCAGTGCGGAGTGGCTGTTTGGGCGGAAGCGACCAAGTGGCCTCAACCGGTTAGCGCGACGGGAAAGTGGCCAGCGAGGCGACTTGAGTCTCTGCCTCATCGCTGCCGCTCCCGAACCTCATCGTCCCCGTTCTCCCTTTCCTCTTCTCCATCCTTCTCTTCGTCTCTGCTTCGTCTTTCTTCCCCCCCCCTCCCCTTTGTAATTCCCTCCATTCCTTCAGCTGGTCTTCGCCTCCAGCTTATTTCTTTTCTTCCTTCTCTTCCCCCCTTACCCCAGCACCTCTGGGAGGTCGACCGTCACCATGAGCGGACGTGAGTCTCCACGCGATCGCTGCTCTCGCGCCACAGCGTTCTCATCCAGCTTCAATGGATCATCCAATGCTGATCCTCACTTCTAGTCCGGTTTCTCGATCTGATCAAGCCCTTCACGCCCCTCCTGCCGGAGGTGGCCGCCCCGGAAACGAAGGTGCCCTTCAACCAGAAGTTGATGTGGACGGGTGTACGTGATATTTGTCGGAGCGCGAAAGAGCCGTTGAGCTGATCAATTCCCCTGCAGTTGACCCTGTTGATCTTCCTGGTCATGAGCCAAATGCCTCTGTACGGTATTGTCTCCTCTGACACCTCGGATCCCCTCTACTGGCTCCGTATGATGCTGGCCAGTAACCGAGGAACCCTGATGGAACTGGGTATCACCCCCATCATCTCCTCCGGCATGGTTTTCCAGGTATGTAGCACGCGCAGCTTCGCTGGTGCGGACACTCACTAACAGTCGATTCCGTGAAGCTCCTCGCTGGTACCCACCTCATCGATGTCAACCTTGACCTCAAGACCGACCGTGAGCTGTACCAGACTGCTCAGAAGCTCTTCGCTATCATCCTGTCCTTCGGCCAGGCCTGCGTCTACGTCCTCACCGGTCTCTACGGCCAGCCCAGCGACCTCGGTGCCGGTATCTGTGTTCTCCTGATCGTGCAGCTGGTCGTCGCTGGTCTGGTGGTCATCCTCCTGGATGAGCTGCTCCAGAAGGGCTACGGTCTGGGCAGCGGTATCTCCCTGTTCATTGCCACCAACATCTGCGAGTCCATCGTCTGGAAGGCGTTCTCCCCCACGACCATCAACACCGGCCGTGGCCCCGAGTTCGAGGGTGCCATCATTGCCCTCTTCCACCTTCTCCTGACCTGGGGCGACAAGCAGCGTGCTCTGCGCGAGGCCTTCTACCGCCAGAACCTGCCCAACATCATGAACCTGCTGGCCACTCTCCTCATCTTCGCCGCTGTCATCTACCTCCAGGGCTTCCGTGTTGAGATCCCCGTCAAGTCCTCCCGCCAGCGTGGAATGCGTGGATCCTACCCCGTCCGTCTCTTCTACACCTCCAACATGCCCATCATGCTGCAGTCCGCTCTGTGCTCCAACATCTTCCTGATCAGCCAGATGCTGTACTCTCGCTTCTCCGACAACATCCTTGTCAAGCTCCTCGGAGTCTGGGAGCCCCGTGAGGGATCCGCCCAGCTCCACGCTGCCTCCGGCATTGCCTACTACATGTCCCCCCCTCTCAACTTCACCGAGGCCCTCCTGGACCCCATCCACACCGCGGTCTACATCACCTTCATGCTCGTCGCCTGCGCCCTCTTCTCCAAGACCTGGATCGAGGTGTCCGGCTCCGCCCCCCGTGACGTCGCCAAGCAGCTCAAGGACCAGGGTCTCGTGATGGCCGGTCACCGTGAGCAGAGCATGTACAAGGAGCTCAAGCGGGTCATCCCCACTGCTGCTGCTTTCGGTGGTGCCTGCATTGGTGCTCTGTCTGTCGCCTCCGACCTTCTCGGTGCCCTCGGCAGCGGTACTGGTATTCTCCTTGCCGTGACGTAAGTTTCCCCACGTCTTCTTTCTCGCCAATCTTTTTCTTGCCCAGTCACTTACCATTTTTTTAGGATTATATACGGATACTTCGAGATCGCCGCCCGCGAGGGCGACATTGGCTCCGGCCTCAAGGGTCTCGTCCCGGGCAACTAAATAGCCCCATCCCCTTTTTTTTTTTTTGATGAAAGCATGAGAAGGGGGTTGCGGGCTTATGTTTGTTCTTCATATTATTTTTTCCGTTCTTTGAGGGTAGGGTGCTGCTGTGGCTGGGATCTGGGATCTGGATCTGCATAGGTTGTTCGGCTGGGTTGGGTTGGGTTGGGTTTGGCTTGTATGGATAGGGTAGTAGTTTGCAATTTGCTGTGTGCTATTTGCAGAGGGAGTCGAGTCGAGGTCCAGCTGTACATAGCTTAGCGCCCGCCTGTTGTAACCATATTATAAAAGATCTACCTAAAATTGCATCTAATTGGCTTGTCTTTCTTAAGTACTTATCTTGAGTGTTGTATCATGGTTGGTGGTCTTGGGTGATTGTTTTGGTTTTAGTGGGCGAATTGATGTTTACTAGTAGTTGTGAACTGAATACTGGGGTTCTGGAGTCCTGGAGTGCTCGTTGATTGATATGATATGATATGATAGTAGCTCTATGTAATTGCGGGTATACCGAAAATATACTGCGAACCTAAAAAATAGTAATAATAAACCGCCATCCATCTCTCACAAGCCCCTCACTGCCTGCCCTCTCTCTCTTATCCCCCATACCCCATACCTAGCTATGTAACTGAGTACTAAATCCCTAAGTCCGATAATCGCCATTAATAGTCACATACTCATGACTGAAATCACAGAACCAATAAACGGCCTCCTCGGCGCCCTCCTGACCGCCCAAATCAACCACGATCTCCAGATCCTCCTCCTGGAGAATCACACTGGCGCGCGCCTCATCGACCTGCTCGGGCTCGCCGTTGACCAACAGCTTCAGCTCGGCGCTGCCGTCCACCGGCCGGAAACTAACACTGGTGCGCTCGGGAACCACAACCCCCTCCTTCACGCCCTGGGTGTAGCCGATGGCGCAGAGGATGCGGCCCCAGTTTGCGTCGCGGCCGTACAGAGCGGTCTTGACGAGCGGGGAGCGCGCGATGGTCGATGCGATCAGTCGGGCGGAGTCATAGTCCGGGCTGTTTTGCACGCGGACGGTCACGAATTTCGTGGCGCCTTCGCCGTCGCGGACGACGAGTTGGGAGAGGGATTGTGCGAAAGTGGTCAGGACGGTTTGCATGGCGGCGTAGTCCGGGGAGGTGGCGGAGGTGATGGGGACGCCGCCGGCGGCGCCGTTGGCGAGGATGGCGATCGTGTCGTTGGTGCTGGTGTCGCCGTCGACGGAGATCGAGTTGAAGGAGCGGGACACGGCGTGGAGGAGGAGCGGCCGGAGGATGGATGGCGCGATGGGCGCGTCGGTGCACAAGACTCCTAGCAGGGTCGCCATGTTCGGGTGGATCATCCCCGCGCCTTTGGTCATGCCTGCCAGGCTGTAGGTGTGGCCGGGAGAGGAGGGGAGGGTGAATGTTTGGGAGAGCAGCTTGGGGAATGTGTCCGTTGTACAGATTGCCCGGGCCGTGGTCAGCCAGGAGTTGTGGTTGGAGTTCAGGGTCGAGTGCGCCGTGGGGATCTTGGAGAGGATCTTGGTGATTGGGAGGCTGTAGGGGAGGGGGTTAGTTTGAGGGTGAGGATGAGGGGGGAGGGGAGGAGGGGGGGGGGGGGGTGTACCGTTGGCCGATGACACCGGTGCTCATCACCAGCGTGCTGGGGTCGGTGAGTCCGTTGCACTCGTCTACCTTCGTGCCCATGCTCACGGCATCCTCGAGCCCGCCTTTACCGGTCACGGCGTTGGCGCAGCCCGAGTTGATCACTACGGACCGGATACCCTCGCCCTGTCGCGACTGCAGCGTGCTGCGGCTCACTTGCACCGGGGCGGCCTGGAACTTGTTGGTCGTGAAGACGGCGGCCGCGGAGCAGGGTGTCTCGGAGGAGATCAGGGCCAGATCCGGGAACTTGGTGTTGGAGGCTTTCACGCCCACGTGCGTGCCAGACACCGAGAAGCCCTTGGGGTAGGTGCCGGACGAGGGAATGTACTTCTGCTTGGAGGCCGGGATGGCCATGTCCAGCGGCGCGGAGTAGTGGCGCACCTGGCCCTTGACCATGCGGGCGAAGGAAGCCATGGTGGTGGATGAGGAGGACATGGGAGGCTGTGAGGAGGAAGATGAGTTAGTAGGTGACTTCCTGGTCGGGGGTTTATATGTGGTGGTCCAATGGTTGCAGATACGTCCCTGGCCTGCAGAGATGTCTGTCCTTGGGTATGTATACCTGCAGTAGGACTAGGACTATAAATGACTCACGGACAGGAAGACTCACTCGCTAACTTGTTCGCTTGTCGGGTCGGAGTTTATTGGGGCAAGATGGACGCGCAGACCACCGCCAGACGACAGACGAGTCTTCTCGGGAGAACAGAGGACAGGTCGCACCACCGGTGAGAGAAGTCCAGCCAAGACTCTCGACATGATGCGATTCGCGGCGAGGAAATGCCGCTCCGATATCGCGGAGCCGGAGAAACCCTCGGCCCAGCCGCGTTCCAGACGCGCCCATCAATTCAGGCAGTCAATATTGTTGCTGCCGGTCTCCATCGGCATCAGCATTCCCTTCAATTCCACGCAGCTCCCACTTCGATTTCCCCCCCCCCCCCCCCCTTGCGTCTCGGTTCGTCGTCGGACGGACTCTTCTGCCCGGATGGTATTTGCTCTCCCCCGATCCTGCTCAGCAGTCCCGGACATCTGACTAAAATGAAACGCAAGCATCCAGCTTCCGATGACCATTTCCCCATCTCGACGCCCAAGAGGCAGCGGACCACGGCTGCCAATGGCGCCGTGAATGGGCATGCGGAAGGGGAGCGATCCCCTGACGCGACCCCCTCGAAGCGAGTGAAGTCGACACCTCAAAAACCCACCGCCGAGACGCCTGCGACCCTGAAGGCGTCGGGACTCAAGACCCCGACACACAAGTCAAGAGCAAAGGCTCTCTTTTCGACTCCTACGAAACCAGCGGCCGTTCCATCGCCCTCGAAAGCCCGCGCGGACCGATCCGCCAAGAAGAAGAGCGCCCGCCTTCTGCTCGAACAGGATGACGACGATATCTGGGACGGGGCCGACCGTCTGGCGGAGGAGATCCTGGAAGACGACGAGGTCCCTGGAAAGGCCGCGGACACGAACGGCGTCGTCAAGTCCGTCGAGGACGCCGCAGAGCCAGCGGGCGATACAGCACCCACGCCTAAACGTCGCGCAGGCCGACCGAAAGGCGCAAAGAACAAGCGCTCGCCCACTCCCGAGGGCGAGCTCCCGGCCCATGAGCGATACTTCTTCCAGAACCGCGCCGGACCGCCTCGTACATCGAACCACAATCTCAACAAAATGACCCTGTTGACGCACGAGGAGTATTTCGATAAGATGGCACAATACGTGGACCCATACAAACAGGAGAAATCATTCCTGCTGGATCTGCATTACCGGTCCTTCCCCCAGTGGAACTTCGAATTCGACCAGGGCTTCAACATCTGCCTCTACGGCTACGGCTCCAAGCGGCGTCTGATGCAGGGGTTCGCGGACTGGATGTACCACCAGCATGGCTCTGCATCGCCGTCCGTGGTGGTGGTCAACGGCCACACGCCCAACATCTCGATCCGGTCCATCTTCGCGACGATTGTCACCGCCGTCTTGGGGGCCGATATCCCATCCAAGATGGGCTCCCAGCCGCAAGAAGTCCTGGAACTGCTGCAATCCGTCCTGAAGTCCCGGGCGTCGCAAACACCCATCACCGTCCTGATCAACTCGATCGATGCCCCGGCTCTCCGCCGCGCCACCAGCCAAGCCCTTCTCGCCCGCCTGGCCGCAACCCCCAGGATCCACCTCCTCGCGACAGCAGACACCCCGAACGTCCTGCTGATGTGGGATCTGAGCCTGCGCGACCAATTCAACTTCGTCTTCCACGACTGCACGACGTTCGCGCCCTTCGACACCGAGCTCGACGTTGTCGAAGACGTCAACTCCCTTCTCGGCCGCAAGGGCCAGCGCGTCGGCGGCAAGGAGGGCGTCGAATTCGTCCTGAAGAGTCTCCCCGAGAACGCGCAGAACCTATACCGGCTGCTCCTGACCGAGCTGTCGTCCATGGCGAACGAAGACCACATGTCTGACGACGACATGGACGGCGGCGGCGGCGGTGGTGGCAACGAGGGCAACCGGGAGGAAGCGGGCATCGAGTTCCGGCTGCTGTACCAGCGGGCAGCGGAGCAGTTCATCGCGTCGTCGGAGATGACGTTCCGAACGCTGCTGAAGGAGTTCCACGACCACCAGATGATCACGTCGCGGATGCATACCAGCGGGATGGAGATCCTGGGCGTGCCGTTGTCGCGCGAGGAGATGGATGGTCTTTTGGAAGATCTGGTGCTGAGCTGATGCCGATTCAAGACTGGTCGGTTGCATGAATGATACCCTATAATTGTACAACAAGATAATGGCACATGGCATACTTTGATCCTGTTCTTTTACTTTCTATCTACACGTAGCTGTCACACACCCAGACCTACACCCACCCATTTCAGCATCTCCAGCAAATATTACAGCCCACACAACACAACATACGACAACCAGATTGTGCGTATGCGTATGCGTATGCGTATGCGTATATACTATATCTAGAACTGCGCAAACGCAGCCAACCCCATCGTCACCCCGAAACTGATCTTAAATGGAACCCGATGCGACACGGCCTTCTGCACATCCACCCCCTTCACGTACTTCTGGACCTTGTCCAGCGGAAGCAGGTTATACCCTTTTGATGCGGCCCACTGTATACACGTTAGCTTGATTTTGATCTTGATCTTGATCCTCATCCTCCTCATCCCATCCCATCCCCGATGTCCAGTCCAGTCCAGTCCAACCCAACCCCAACTCAACCTCCCCCCTCACACACAAACCCAGCTCCCACAGAGACAAAAAACGAGAAAGAAAGAAACCCTACCTCAACAACCACAATCCCCAAGCCCAGCAAAACGACCAACGTTCTCGAAAAAGCCCTCAGCCCAACACCAACCACCAAGCCTAATACGCTTCCCAGACTTATCTGCTGCATGTTGGAGGCTGTGAGGAGCCCGGAGCTGGTGGTGCTGGTGCGGGTGCCTTGTTTCCGAAGGATCGGGTCCGAGGAGGTTGGCGAGCCGTTCACCGTCCAGGTTGGGTCGGGGGGGCCGGCGGAGTATTGGCATTGGAGGGGGGATCTGAGTTTGGGGGTGAGGGTGAGGGTTGTGAGGCCGAGGCCGAGGCCCAGGCCTAGGGTGCTGGCCGTGAGGATGGTTCGAGGGGCGAGCATTGTTGTGGGTTATGGTGGTGGTGGTATGAGTGAGGTTTAAAATGGTTGTATGGCTGTATGGATGGGTTGATTGAGAGGGGTTAGGAGCTGGTGGTCAGTGTGGTGAGATTTGAGATGAAGGTGGTTGTGGTTGTGGTTGTGGTTGTAGGGAGGGGAGTTGGAGGAGTTGGAGTTGGAGATGGAGATGGAGGTTCATGGTTGTGGTATGCGGGTGTGACGTCACTGAGGTGGTGGGGTGCTGGAGGGGGTGGGGTTGGGGTGGTATATAAGAGGGGTAGTGATGGATTATACGATATGAAGATGGAGTTGAGAGATGTCTTGGTCGAATGATAGGTTGTAACGCCCAGGATAGTGTATGAGCAGAGAGGTTGTGTTAGCTTTTCAGTACCTAAGGTAGTAGTTATGCCGAGGAAGTGATGACTCTACCTTACCTTAGTAGCCTGTATAGTACAGAGTACTAAGGTACGGTAAGTAAGCAGACCAGACGTGACCATACACAGCGTGACCATACAGCAGCACCCCCATACCGGACCCGTACAGGTCGTACACGTTCCTGAAGTCCGCGGAAAATTCGCCGCGGCGAGGAGCCTCACGTGACCGCTCGCGGCGGACGGGGGAGGGACGGCCCCACTCTGATTGGGCGAGGGCTCCGCCTTGCGGACGACAGGGTAAAAACAGGGAGTTCGGCGGCGGGGCAAAACGAGGGGAACTCGTGCAGGGCGGGGCCGTGGTTGGCTGATGGCGCAGGCCGTCCGCAGTTGCGCTGGGGCGAGTTGTCTTATCGGCGCTGGTTCGAGGTTGACTCACGCCGCTTCTAGGCGACCACGAACTTAGTCCAGTCCTGCATCTCACTTTTCTGCGTTTCCTTTCTCTTCCGACTCAAACTTTCCTATCGGTCAAGTCTTTCCTTCCCTCTCCTTTCGTCTTCGTCTTCTCTTCTCGTACATACTATTCTTGGTTCTTATAGAATCTTCTCGCATACACAATGGCTTCTCAGAACGGTACCAATGGCTCTGCTGCCAACAGCTTCACCGTCAAGGCCGGTCTGGCTCAGATGCTGAAGGGTGGCGTGATCATGGACGTTGTCAACGCGGAGCAGGTATGTCTTGCCTCAATCGATCTCACACATTATATCTCCCTCGCTAATGTAGATCGTATAGGCTCGCATCGCGGAAGAGGCCGGTGCTGCCGCCGTCATGGCCCTCGAGCGCGTCCCCGCCGATATCAGAGTGGAGGGTGGCGTGGCCCGCATGTCGGACCCCGCCATGATCAAGGAAATCATGGAGGCCGTCACCATCCCCGTCATGGCCAAGGCCCGTATCGGACACTTTGTTGAATGCCAGGTAAGCTGTCTCGCGGAGCACGCTCTCAGCACGCCACTGACGTCCGTGCTAGATCCTTGAAGCCATCGGCATCGACTACATCGACGAGTCCGAAGTCCTGACCCCCGCCGACGACGTCTACCACGTCACCAAGCACCACTACAAGGTTCCCTTCGTGTGCGGCTGCCGCAACCTGGGCGAGGCCCTGCGCCGCATCTCCGAGGGAGCCGCCATGATCCGCACCAAGGGCGAGGCCGGCACCGGCGATGTCGTGGAAGCCGTCAAGCACATGCGCCAGGTCAACGCGGACATTGCGCGCGCCCGCGCCATCCTGCAGTCTTCTCCGGACTACGAGCCCGAGCTGCGCGCGCTGGCGCGTCAGCTGGAGGTGCCCTACGAGCTGCTCCGCGAGACGGCCGAGAAGGGCCGTCTGCCCGTGGTGAACTTCGCGGCCGGTGGCGTGGCCACACCCGCCGATGCGGCGCTCATGATGCAGCTGGGCTGCGATGGCGTGTTCGTCGGGTCCGGCATCTTCAAGTCGGGCGATGCGAAGAAGCGCGCCAAGGCGATCGTGCAGGCCGTCACCCACTTCAAGGACCCCAAGGTGCTGGCCCAGGTCAGCGAGGGTCTGGGTGAGGCGATGGTCGGGATCAACGTGTCGCAGATGTCCGAGGCTGACCGGCTGGCTAAGCGGGGGTGGTAGATTGAGTGGTAGATGTTGTTCTGTTGTTTGCAGCGTTTAAAAGTTGGACAAGACTTGTGTATGCCTAGAGCGGTGTATGTATGTACAGTGGATATCATGAGCCATGATGATTTGGATTCGTACAAGGAATATTCCGTGTAGAAGCGTTTCTGAAAAGGAAAAGTAGTGATAGTGTTCCTTCACATCTAAGTAAAATTCCTCCTCGTAATCAAGTGTGGTAAATCCAGAATAAACTTTCGCGCCGTCGGGGTCATAAGACTGGCAGCCCACGGGCGACAAAGCATTGTCGAGTCCGGTAGATATCTAGTACGGAGTACTCGCCACAATGCGTCCAAGTTCACATTCTCGAAGTCCTTGCCTATGACCGCCCTGCGATTAAACTCAACCCTCCAACCAGGATGGTGATACTACTTCGTACAACCCAGATATACGTAATGCCCATTTACACCCTGGTGACTACATATGTACTATGATTGTATACCGCATACCGCATACCCCTCCCTGTCGATCAAACTAGCGGCCCGGCGTTGGCACGGCGGCACTCGGCTCGCCGCCGATCGGGCGATATCGCAGCTGCTAGCGGGAAACGGGGACAGGTAGTTAGCAATCTATTGCTGAGGGAATGAGTAATCGCAGAATCAGAACCAAATTAGAGCACGACAGAGAAGGGCAGAACAGAGAAGAATAGAACTAAGGCCAGAGCTGCCATAGGGGGGGGAAGAATAACCTTTCCGACGGCGGATTCAATTCCCAGTGAACTGCGTTGTGATGTATTGGTATAACATACAATACAAGAGAAGTGTATGGTAGAAACCATACCATACCGGCTTATTGATGCTCCCTGGCACAACTGCAATAGCATAACCGGTAGTGGATTGGTGAAGCTCCGTCCTCCGTCCTCCGTCCTCCGTGTATCTAGCGTACTCCGTAGCTAACAGTAGCTACGGTACGGAGTAGCTTAAGGTAGCTTCCCTAGAGCTTCTGAGCTTCTTAGCTTCTTAGCTTCTTTGCTCCGACTATTACCTGCATATCACTACCCATCCACCAACCACACCCACGTCCTTCCCCCCTCCCCTATCGATAAAACCAAGATCAACCTCGAACCCATCTCCATACAACACTATTTATTCGCAACAAACCAAAAAAAATGCCCGCCCCAACTCCCCCCCAGAACGCAGCGACACCCCAACCGACCCGATGATCCCCTCGCAGTTCGCATCCGATGAACCACAACCACAACCTCACCAGCACCAGCACCAGCACCAGCACGAGCAAGAATCCTCACCCTCACCCTCACCCCCACCCCCACCCCCACCCCACTCCAACCTCTCACGCTCATTCCTCAAACCGTCCGACCAGGAGTACTACCTCCCTCTGAAGCAGCAGCTGTACCAACAGCAATTCCAAGACCTCTTCGCGCCGACGCCCGAGCCCTCGCCGAATCGCGGACCGGACAGACTAAAGGAACAGGCAAGGTTGTTTAAGCAGCCGCCGCTGAGGCCGAGGGGGTATCCGGGGGGTGAGGACGGGGATGGGGATGGGTATGATGGACAGCAGGAGGTGTATAAAGGACATGAATACGAATCGACGTCTTCGTCCGATATCCCGACCCATCCACACCACTCCCCCTACCACCACCACCACCAACACCACCAGCAAAGCTACACCGAAGAACAACAACAACAACAACAACAGCAGCAGCAGCAGCAACAACCACCCCTCCCCTCCCTCCTACACACCCTCCTCACCTACCTACAATCCCTCGACACCCTCAAAAACAAATCCCTCCAACCATACCTCGACTCCCTCCACCCGCACATCCAAACCCTCCAAGCCCAAGCAAAGCGAGTGATAACCACCCATCCCACCATCACCACCTTTCTGCTCGCCCAGCTCCTCTTCTCGGGTATCCCGGTGGGGCTGTTCTTGTTGGGCGCCGGGGTCTCGGCCATGCTGGCGGTCGCGGTGTTTGGGTTTTTCGCGGTGGTGGTGTTGGGCCCGTTTTGGTGGTTACGACGGTGTTGGGGGTGGGGGTTTGGGGGTCGGGTGGGGGTATATTGGGTTTATTTGGGGAGGGTGGGGAGGGGGAGGGGGAGGAGTGATTAGGATGGGGTGAGGGGGTTGATGTTGATGTTGAGTGGGGCGTGGAGGGGTGGAGGTCGGGATGGGGAGGTACTTAGGTAGGGAGGTAGGGAGGATTGCTCTTTCTGGGATGAAATGGGACTGGGACTGGGACTGGGATGGGTGGTTGGTTGGTTATCTTGATATCGGTATATGGAGTATGGAGTATGTGTATGTGTATGTGTATGTGTATGTGTATATGTATGAGTATGAGTATGAGTATGAGTATGAGTATGAAGAATGAGTACGTATACGAGCACAAATAACCGAGTGATTCTTCTCGATGAAACCAGACAGTTAGTTACATATCAACAACTTTCTATTCTATTCTATCTATACACCACCCCACACTTTACTACTCTACTCTACTCTACTCTAGTCTTTCCCAACAATCCACCAATCTAATCCCCCAAAACCGGACTGTCCGACTCCGCCCACCTCACCCACCGTCTAATACAATCATCCACCCGCTTCAGCGCCGCCTTGTCCGCCTCAATCTCAAACCACTCCTTATGCTCCTTGCCGCAATCCGGACACTTGCCCAAATCCCTGATCCGGACGTCCGCCAACTCCAGATGAATCAGCCTCTCCACCCGATGCACATGCGGCATTTTGCGTCCGGGCATGAGCGGGGTGTTGTCGTGTCCTGCTCCTGCTCCTGCTCCTGCTCCTGCTGCTGTTTTCCCCCCGCTGCGCCGCGCAGGCGATGGCGACGGCGATGGCGATGGTGTCGACGGCGTCCACGGATAATACCGGATGAGGGTGAGGTGGTGACTACACTGCCTGGTCCACTCGTTCATCCGGCGGGTGACGTTGCTTGTTCGGCCGATTTTCAGCCGGATGGTGCCTGGGGAAGTGCCGCTTGGGGCGGTGGTTAGGGCGTTGAGATCGCGGGCGGTGAGGAGGGCATCGCTGACGGTTCTGTCGCGGCTGGGGCCGTGGGGGGATGAGGCCGGAGGGAGAAGCGAAGACGCGACGTGGGAGGGCGGCGGTCCCCGTGTCGAGGTCCCGTCGTCCGGCGTCACCCAGAACATGTAGATGTAGCCCGGTTCGTCGGCGTCGGAGATGGGTTTTGTGATTTCGCTGGTCAGGATGGAGGTTGTTTCTGGGGTGAGGTTGGGGGGGATCCATGATTGGGGGCCGGAGGGGTAGGAGCTGGAGGAGGGTCGTTGTTGTTGTTGTTGTTGCTGTGGAGCAGCGACGGGGCGAGACGGCGGCTGGATGTCCTCTTCTTCGATGACTTCGAAGCAGCAGCACACGGTGCGCTTTGTTTTCTTTTTTTGTTTGTGACGACGAGACGGGGCGGCGGCGTTGATGTCGAGCACGCCGAGTTTCTCCATGAGGGTGTCGATGCTCCCGCGCGGTGGGAGTTGGGAGTGTGATTGTGGGTATGTGGGCGTGGGTGTGTTGGTTGAGGTTGGGATGGAGTCGGCTTGGTCGCGGTGTTGCCAGCAGAACATCGCTGCTGCGTCGAGTTGCGATTGTTTGGCCGGTCCAGCTGGCGAAGCCAGAGGCCGGCGACAGGGCTTCCCGTTATTCGTGACGCCGCGACATGTCGTAGCTGGGTCGAGCGAATCCGTGCGCGTCACGAGGGCGGCTTCCGGCGTATTGGCGAAGTGAGGCATTGGATTGGGGTGCAATATCGAATCGAACCTAGTCCAGTAGCATTGAGGTTATAGCCCAGATGTGTGAGGGAAAGAAAGCAGACAGACAGACAGACATGAGAAAGGAGTGGCGGCGCGTCATGTTTAAAAGAGCGGAGAAGCAGCAGCAGCAGCAGCAGCAAAGCAGGCAGATTTGCCCGACAGCCAAGAGAAAGCCGATGGGCCCTGCCCCACTGCATTCACAGCGATCCGCCCGATTTAGCACTCCTTTTGAGAGGCGCCCGAGATCTGAAACAGACTGAACTGCTGCTGGCTTCGTGTTGCACGGTTAGGGCCGCTTGGCCGCACCGCCCGGTGGCTGGTGGCGGTGCCCAACTGGTTGCTCTCTCACGGTCGGTCGCTCTCCACTCGGGACAGGCTTAGGGAGGGAGTATACTGGTCATCTTGTTTGAGTACGATGTATGGCACGGTTGTTGAGCAGGGTGATGTTGTCACCGACCTATGAACGTCTCACACATATCTCACCTCACCTCACCTCATACCGGACATGCGGTGTCAGTGTCGGTCGGTGCGTTGGTGTTACAGCCTCACTTGGGTCTTGACTTGACTTGGGATGGATTTACTCGGAGGATACTCGGAGGAGAAAGGAACAAGGTCAGTTCACTGTAGTATTTTCTGGTTCTGGTCATAGCACATCCATCTGATGAGATCTGTCAACGACATGATCAACAACATCTACCCAACGTAATCGAAGCTGACACCGCGGCACTTGATCCAGAAGTCGCGCGACAGCTGGTTGGTGGGCGCGCGGGCTCCCCTTGCAGCCAGCAGCGACGCCACGAACCGCTGTCGCTCCTCGGGGGTCGGGGTGTTGGCGCCTTGCTGGGGACTCGAGTGGTCACGATGGAGATCGCCCAGAGCGGCAGACAGGTGGATGCGCGCGGCCCCTTGCTGCTTGAAGATCACCTTGCGCAGCACTTCGTTCAGGTGCTCGAGATCCGACCGTGCACAGCGCCCGGCGATCTGGGTCATCAGCGCCCCGCACAGCGCAGGCAGACACTGCATGATGGCGTTGTGGATCTCCGGCCGGTCCGTCGGGAGGTTCAGCACGCCGACCCAGAACTGGGATGCGGACCGCAGAGGGAGGGGCTCCGGGCCCTGCAGCGACTGGAGAGTGAAGTTCAGCACTGCGTTGAGGACAGACGGTCTATCGGATGCGGCTCCCGGGGGCGCCTCGGTGAGCTCGAACAGGAACGGGTGGTATTTGCGGAGCGAGCGCGTGAGAAAGTCGATGCCGCTGTTGGCTACCTCGGGGTCGTAGCATTCGGGCTTCTCGATCATCCAGCAGAAGGTGTCGTAGACGTGCACGATCAGCCGGGTGGCTTCGGTGCGGATCAGGTGCGGATGGGCGCTGTGCGAGGCGAGGAAGGCCGATGCCGTCGCCATCACCGTGTCGGTCCCGCGCTGCCCAGCGGGCGCGACTTGACGAAGTCGACCGTGATGCTGGGCTGGAAGACGAAGGGCCCGCTGCGCTCCGTGAAGCCCGCCTTCAGGATGTCGCACGCGGCTTCGGTCATGCACACGTCCACGGGGAAATCGGCCATCAGCAGCTGGATGCAGCTCATGATCATGTGCTGCGATAGACAGCCCGTGGTGTTCCAGAACGTCGGCGGATAGGGGTTGTTGTCCTCGTCGTTCGCGTCCAGGTTGACTTCCCCCTCGGTGCGCAGGCCCTTGCCAATGCTGGCCACGCATCGCAGCACCAGATGGCCGCGACCCTGCGACGCCTCCAACAGCCCGTTGCCGGCATCCTCGCGAGCAGTCTCCGCCTGCACGACAAAGAACTTCAGGATCCCCTCGAGCGCCTGCGCCTTCGCTTCGTCCGTCGGCAAGGTCTGTATGATGGCGGCGATGCCCTCCAGCACCCGCTCCATCGCTTGGACGGTGGCGGTGGGCTTGTAGCGGAATTGCTCGAACTGGTGAAGGAACACCGGCAGCTCCGCGGTGAGCGCATGGCGGCAGGAGTTGCAGAGATGGGCGATGGACCGAGATGCCATGGGCGCGCAATGGAATTTCTCGAGCGACAGGAAGAGGAACGTGAGAACGCGTGGGAGCAGAGCGTGCGTGCGTTCGAAGTACGACTGGTATTTGCCCAGCATGTCCACCAGCGTCTGGCGGGGCTTGTCCGGGATGGCCACGCCGTTCTCTCCACACAGGCGCTCGAACTCGGACGAGAAGAAGATCGAGTTCAGACACTCGTCCGCGTGCTGGTTCTCGTCGACGGCCTCCGAGAGCTGCGCGAGGCAGAAGATCGCGGCCTCGAACGTGCGCCACTCCTGCTGCGTCAGCGACAGTGTCGCCCGCTCCTGGAAGACTTGCACCAGCTCCACTCCGAGGATCGGGTAGATGGCCAGGAGAAAGTCGCATGCGTCGCGTCGGAAAGAGCCGAACTCAGCACGATCGTCTTCGCCCCAGCTGGACAGCTCTTCCGAGCTCGGATACTTGAGTTTCTCGAAGCAGTCCAGCGCGGCCTGGGCCAGGTTCTGTTTGGCAGGCTGGAACTGCGTGCGATCTTCGGAATCCATATATGTCTCCTGGATGTCATCGGCCACTTCCGTCCACCATTCGAGGGCCAGCGACGCCACTGGGTCGTCCACGCCGGCGTATCCAGGCGCTTTGAACAGAGTGTGAAGGAGAGTGAGCATCTTCGCGTGCGGTGGGTCCAGGGGGGTTTTCGTCAGCTCTCGTTGCTCCATGCTCCCATACGCCAGGAGGAGCTCCAAGAAAGCCATATGGTCGTCATCGAAATCGCCCTCCATGAGCGCCGCGACGCGTCCAGTGCCGTAATCATTCACAATATATTCCATAATCGACTGGAGATGCTCCTTGGTCAGTATGCTATCACGCCAGTCGACCAGCTCTATCACGACCTGCGTCGCGGCCTTGGACAGACTGGGGATCTTCATGGAGAAGATGACGTGGGCAGTAATGAAAATGAGATCTCCGGTGGTGACTAGAACGCGCATCGGGATGGCACCCCGTACCGCCAGCCAGGCCTAGAATCGGATAATGAGAAACATTGTCGGTAGCATCGGCAGAGTCGAGGAACAAACTCACCTGATACGCGCTTATGGCTTCCGTTCCAAGAGCCTCTTCGGGCAGGGCCATGTCCGCGCTGTGTTGCCGCACGATGTGACAGAGGACCCAATCAACGAGCTCGAAGGCATCCTGGACGTTTGGCGAGAAGTCACGCTCCTCCTTGACGCGCCGTGGCTCCGCGCTCCACCGGTTGATGTCCTCGGCGAGAGTGTTGACAAAGTAGAGCAGGCAGGTCAGTTGCCGCTCGGACAACGCAGGCAGCACATCGGTCCGCAGGCTGAGGGGGTTGCTCTGTTCCTCGGGAACATGCTTCCCGTTTGCCAGGGATGCAGTCAGATTGCTGACCGCTCGAGTCCAGGGCGCGTTGGGCTTCAAAAAAATCGTCGCCAGACTTGAGGCCAGCTTGCGAATGACGAACGGTCGTTCACCCGCGTTGACCAAGAAGACAAAATGATCGATGAGCCGACCCAGGAGCTCCTGGCCGTCCTCGGGACTCAAGTTCTGCCTAAGGGGGGGGTGGGGAGTTCAGTCCACAGTGGCTTGCAGAGTTTAGGGCAGGGTCTTAACAAACCAGTCATTATTGATCTTGACGGTAAAGGTCAAGGCTCCGAAGAACCTCAAGTCTGTGTTGGCATCGGTCAGAAGGTCATTGGCGATCTGCCAGGCCTGGGGACTTTTCTGGAGACTCTGCAGCTGTTCCTGGATGACCTTGATCTTGGCGGGGTTGCCAGTATTGGCCGGATCATACAGCTGGTACACAAGCTAGAAGAGTGGTTTAGTGGGGGGGATCTTTTTGTTTCATTCTGTGCCGGAGACGAAGCAACACGGAACGCGACACACAAACAACATACCGACTTGGCCTCACTAACGAGGAGCTGCACGTCTGAGGCCGGGCCTGGGATGTCCACAGACATGGCCGAAACAGTGAAAGCCTTTGGGGCTGAGAGAATCGGTTAGATATAGTTATAGTCTTGGTTGGCGGGCCAAGGGGAAAAGGGATCACGTGTGGAATGGGCTATCACCAAGAGGGAAGGCGGTGAGGGAGTTGAAGGTGGGATGGAGGGGATGGAGGGGACGATGACTTTGTCGGGGTAGATAGTGAGGGAACACCGGGCAGTGACAGTGACAGTGAATGAATGGCACACAGAGAGCATCGGCAGGCATCAGATCGGGTTAGCAGGTTAGCACCAGCAAGACAGGCCATTCACTTATATCCCACCCATCCTGCCTGGACCCGTCAAGAAGGTCAGCAATGGCCGGTGGGCATGTATGTATAGTCATCCCACAACGAAGGGAGGTCCCTGGTCACGAGTTGCAATCCCAGCCCTTCAGAAATACTACAGTAGTAACTAGATAGAGTCGATAGTCGGACCGTAAGATTCATGACACTCGAACGCTCGTGGCAATACCCACTCGGCGTCGGCTAAATCAGACCCGTCCGACCCGTACGAGGCATACCGCCTGCCCTCTCCAGGCTCCACTCCCGCCCGGAGCTCCCACGGAGCACAGCTGCTCCGGTGGTATACCGTCCCTGTTACCCACTCACAACACCACTATCTTACTCACCACCTCATCCTTTCTTGCGCACACGACCTCCCCTCGAAATTCCAGCTATAACTAGCTCCCCTCCCACCCCCACCTCCCCTCTCTTCTCCCCCAGCCCTTGCTTGCTCTGTGCAACCTCGAGAGCTGTGTCTGGGAGTCCTTGGGTCCAAGACACCTTCAGCTCGGACACCTGCAGCCATCGATCGCCAGTCGATGCTCTTTTCGCGCCCGCCAATTCGCCTTTCGTGCCTTTCGTGGACATCGCCCTTCCGGTCGGCTCATAAGTTACCCCTCCCCCGTTCCAGGCTCTTCTCGAGCTCCGCCCCGCGGTTCCTCCAAGACATGGAGACCGTCGACACCTCCCATCGTCTGGCCCGGCTGCGGCAGTTGATGCAGGAGCACAAGGTCGACGTATACAGTATGACATCACTTCACCCTGGCCCATGAATGATCCCGGCCCCAATCGCATTCTCACCGTGCCTCCAGTTGTCCCTTCGGAAGATGCCCACCAGTCGGAATACATCGCCCCATGCGACGGCCGCCGAGGTTAGAATCGCCCTCCCTGCCTATGCGCTTGGCGTCGACCGTTTGCAAGCTCACAATATATCCTCCGTTAGAGTTCATTTCGGGTTTCTCTGGATCGGCCGGAACCGCCATTGTCTCCCTGACGAAGGCCGCTCTGTCGACAGATGGCCGGTACTTCAACCAGGCTGCCAAGCAGCTCGACAGCAACTGGGCGCTATTGAAGCAGGGCGTCGAGGGCTTCCCGACCTGGCAGGAATGGTATGAGGCCTATCGGAGACACGTGGAGCTCGATGCTGAACAGGACTAGGACAAATGAACAAGCCGAAGGCGGTAGGGTCGTCGGAGTCGACCCTTCGTTGATCACACCTTGTGAGTGAGCACGATTCCACGCACACTTGGCCCTAAGCTAAGACTATCCAGCTGGCGCCCGTAGCCTTTCAGAGACCCTCAAGAAGAACGGGTCGTCGCTCGTCGGCATCCAGCAGAACCTGGTTGACCTGGTGTGGGGGAATGACAGGCCCGCTCCTCCCAGGGAGGCGGTCAGAGTTCACCCCGCGAAGTATGCGGGCAAGAGCTTCCAGGACAAGGTCGCTGATCTGCGCAAGGAGTTGGAGACCAAGAAGGCGGCTGGTTTTGTGATCTGTAAGCTATGATATTCGCCTCTGCGGAGCTTGCGGCTAACGGACGGCAGCGATGCTCGACGAGATTGCCTGGCTGTTCAACCTGAGAGGTTCCGAGTAAGTCAAGCTCCCAGTCTACCGCTCACCTCTCTAACCACTTCCAGCATCCCCTACAACCCCGTGTTCTTCTCATATGCCATCATCACGCCCACTACCGTCGAGCTTTATATCGACGATGACAAGCTGACGTCGGAGGTGAAGGCTCACCTCGGTGACGATGTCACTGTGAAGCCATACCACTCTATCTTCTCGGACGCCAAGGCTCTGGGCGAAGCCCGCAAGCAGGAAGCCGCTGGCGCGACCTCCAAGTCCAAGTTCCTCCTGTCGAACAAGGCTTCCTGGGCTCTCAGCCTTAACCTGGGCGGCGAAGAGCAGGTTGAGGAGGTCCGCAGTCCCATTGGTGACGCCAAGGCGGTCAAGAACGACGTGGAGCTGGCGGGCATGCGCGCCTGTCACATTCGCGATGGTGCGGCTCTGATCGAGTACTTCGCCTGGCTCGAGAACGAGCTGGTCAACAAGAAGACCACCCTGGATGAGGTGGATGCGGCGGATAAGCTGGAACAGCTCAGATCCAAGCAGGAGCACTACGCCGGTCTCTCTTTCGACACCATTTCTTCCACGGGCCCCAACGGCGCCGTCATCCATTACAAGCCCGAGAAAGGCAGCTGCGCCATCATTGACCCCGCGGCCATCTACCTCTGTGACTCTGGTGGCCAGTACCTGGACGGCACCACTGATGTGACCAGGACGTTCCACTTTGGAAAGCCTACCGCCTTCGAGAAGAAGGCCTTCACACTGGTGCTCAAGGGTGTCATCTCGATCGACACTGCCGTGTTCCCCAAGGGCACGAGTGGATTTGCGCTCGATTCCCTGGCCCGCCAGTTCTTGTGGAAGGAGGGTCTCGACTACCTCCACGGAACCGGCCACGGAGTTGGTTCTTACCTGGTGAGTGAAAGCCTTGAAGCTCATCATTTCTCCACTAATCCTTGATAGAACGTGCACGAGGGCCCCATGGGCATTGGCACCCGTGTCCAGTACACTGAAGTCCCCATTGCTGCCGGCAACGTTCTCTCTGACGGTATGATCCACTGACACACTTTTTTCATGACATTTCTGACAGCAGCAGAGCCTGGATACTACGAGGACGGCAAATTCGGCATCCGCATTGAGAGTAGGTTCCCCGCCTCGACCTCGATTTTCTTCTTGTAGCAGTAACTGACAGGATCTAGACGTGGTCGTGGCGCGCGAGGTGCAGACCAACCACAAATTTGGCGAACGGCCCTGGTTGGGCTTCGAACATGTCACCATGGCCCCGGTGGGCCGCAACTTGATCGAGCCCTCCCTTCTCAGCGACGAGGAACTCAAGTGGGTGAACGACTACCACCAGGAGATCTACGACAAGACTCACCACTTCTTCGAGAACGACAAGTTTACGCTCGACTGGCTGAAGCGCGAGACCCAGCCGATCTCCAAATAGCCGAGCTAAGTGGTGTTACCATGGATAGCGTCTACTAGTACGGCATCAGCGAGATGCACGATTGCTGGAGGCCCAAGATGGACGTGGATAGACCAGGCCCTCTTATGTATCTAAGCCACGGAACCAGTGGACATAGAACCAGTACATATACAATGAAATAAAACAATCGTAACCTGCAGTTAGTTCATCTGCACGAGAAGGCCCAACTGGCATGATCAGCTCGGCCCCTCCAAGGCGGACCGCCCTCACGGCTACCCCAATTAAGTACTGCCGCCCCGAGCTGTCGCAAGCTGCCAGCCAAACTCACCCACTCACTCAACTAACTCCGCCCGACCCCTTCCCCCTCCAACACTCTCCTTCAACGCATTCGCGCTCGTCTCGCCACGATCATGCTGGTTTTATCCCTCATCTAATCCATCGCCAACCTCATCAACCCCCCGATCTTACCTCACCCCAAACCCACCTCCATCGATACCGATCCGGGCACACCACCCACCCATTCGTTCACCTCCCTCGCCCTCACAACCTCTACTCCAATTCCCCCCCGCACGCACCCGCCCAACGCGTTGGTATGAGTGGCCGAAACCCCTACGCAAACGGATACGGATACTCCGACTCCAGCCGCTACGATGGAGGCTACGGCGCCAGCAGTAACAACAACAACAACGCCAGCAGCGGCATGAACGGGTACGGTGCGGCGAGCGGCGGAGGAGCGACACGAGAGCGCCGCCCCGGCGGATACGGTGGCTTCTTCGAGCCGCCCTCGCAGCCATCCTCCTCGTCCCTGTCACCCGGGCAGTCGCCTGAGCGACGACGCGAGAGACGTGATCGCGATGATCACTCGTCGTCAAGGTCACGGACAAGGGACGGCGATGCGGAGAGGAATATGAATGTGCCTGGCTCGCGGGATGGTCGGTCGAGGGATACGAGCTGGCTGGGGAGTAATAGTAGTCATGAGAGAGAGGGGGATGGGTTTGCTGCCAGTGGTGGTGGTGGTGGTGGTGGTGGGCAAAGGCATGGGCATGGGCATGCGGCGGGGCCGCAGGCTATTGAAGGTTCGTTTTGTTTGTTTGTTTGGGGGGAGGGGTGGTTTTCTTACACTGGTGTGGGATGGGGTGTTGGGTTGAAAGGGATGATTGCTAATGTTTTTGGTGGCTGTGATAGATGTGCTGCAGATGGTCCAGCGCGAATGGGACTTTGTGGCGGATGAGAACTGCATCCCCGTGCAGGTGGCTTTGCAGTTGATGGATACAAGTACCCTTGGGAAGGCGGATCGGGAACCGGATTTCATTCGCATTAATGATACGGTGCAGAGGACGTTGAAGTCGGTTGTTAATGGTGAGTTGTTGTGTCTGTTCTTGTTCTTGCTTCTATAAGTGGGTGATTGGGGATGAGTTGAGTGGGTTGAGGAAGGCTAATAGGTGGGATCGATCAGAACATCATCAGGGCTTCAACAGTTCCATCGGTACCTACCACAAAATACAGACGAGTATCCAGAGCTCTCAGAGCCGCGTTCGAACATTGAAGGTCTCGCTGGAAGAGGCGAAAGCGGGACTGCTCTCGACCAAGCCGGAGCTGAATGGCCTCGCGACGTCTTCGCAGAAGTACGACGACATCATCCAGCTGTTTAGCCAGATCCAGGAAATCCAGTCCCTGCCGGAGAAGCTCGAGTCACGGATATCGGACAAGCGGTTTTTGGCGGCTGTCGAGGAACTTCATAATGCCTTGCGGCTGCTGCGGCGCTCTGAGTTGGAGAATATCGGGGCCCTCGCGGATATTCGCGCCTACTTCGGAAATCAGGAGTCGTTCCTGACGGATATTCTGATCGAGGAGCTGCATGATCATCTGTACCTCAAGTCGCCCTATTGCTCCGGGCGGTGGAAGCCGCCGACGGCGGACGGAGAAGGCAATGGGACGAACCCGTCCAGCTGGGCTGGCTCGGGGTCTTGGGAGAGACCGGTTTATGCGTTTCTTGGGAAGCTGGATGCGTCGGCGCCGATGGTTGAGGATGCTTCGCGGAACCCGGAGGCCGACACGTTTTACTATATTCAGCTGCTGATAGAGGCGCTGAATAAGATGGGGAATCTGGATATTGCGGTCGACAGGATAGAGCAGCGTCTCCCGGTCGAGCTGTTTGCCGTTGTGGACAAGACGAACGCTGAGGTCGATGCCAGGCATCCGAACTTGACTCGTGGGTTTGCGTCGCAGGACAGCAAGACGAACCTCCCGACGGAAATCATTGAGAAGCGCGGACATGTGCTGTCTGAGTTTCTATGGACTCTGTATGCCAAGTTTGAGGCTATCGCTGAGAGTCATCGGGTCGTTCATGATGTGATTGCTGGCATTGTTGATCGCGAGGGGATCCCGAAGGGCAATTCGCTTGCGGGTGGCTTTAAGGAGCTGTGGAAGCTTTATCAGAGTGAGGTTAGTTATGGGACTGAGCTTATTGTTCTCGTGTTTCTGACAGATATAGATACGGTCCCTTATGCATGACTATCTGGCTACCGATGGAGAGTCGTCATTCCGCCCGAGGCTCGAAGAGGCGGAGGCGAAACGCCAAATGTTCACAGGCCAGAGAGACAAGAACAAGGTGCGTGTGCTAGTGGTTGTTGCTAGGCTGTTACTGACCGTCATAGAAAATGTTCAAACTGTCCGAGACGGACCACACCAGCGAAATCCAGGCCGAACAAAGCGAACTGGACGAGATCCTCCGGTCTTCTGTGCCTGGGTTGGTGACCAAAGCCAGCCAGAAGTCTGCTGTCATCGACACATCCGGGTCCGGCCTCGGAAACTCAGGAACGGGCCATAAGATCCTGATCGAGCCCAGTGTGTTCAACATGAGTCTGCTTCTGCCGCCTTCGCTCTCCTTCATCCAGCGACTGAAGGAAATCGTGCCCGTGGGCTCGGACATTGCAATGACCACGTTGACCTCCTTCCTGGACGACTTTTTGGTCAACGTTTTCCTTCCTCAGCTGGATGAGACTGTCACAGATCTCTGCACTCTCAGCTTCATCTCCACGGACGCATTTACGGAGGATCCTCAGTGGTCTGTGGTCTCGCCTCGACCGGTCTTTAAGGTATTTTCTTCCATTCAAGTCTTGGGGTTTTATTAATTCTGGTTTAGGGTACGGTCAAATTCATGTCTATCATAAGGGAATTCAGCAAAATGCTGTCCAGCATCCCTCACGACCAAGCGTTTACCCAGCTTGTCCTTTCTCAGATCGTGACGTACTACGATAAGTGCTGTGGATGGTATAAGGGTGAGACTACCAATGAACAGAATACTGGTTCGTGTCTAACATCTGTCCAGCCATCGTGACCAAAATATCGCCCCAAGACAAGGGGGAAGTGCGTCTCAAGGCTGCCGCGCGTTATGCCGAATCCGGCGACATCCATGACATTATTGCTGAACTATGGAATGGAGTAGATGGAAGCAGACGGGAGCTTATAGACAGGGTATGCCATGCATTGAAAACGAATGTTGGACTTGTGTTGACTGTGTCAGGAAACCGACCTGCTCCTTAAACTTACAGACGAGGTGCCTCTGGAGCCATACGATATCATATCCGATCCGAAGACAGTTGCGTCTCTGTCTCTCCTTTTCAACAGCATGGTAAGTTAAGCCCAGCGAAACTACAGAATAAAAGCTGATGGATACAGCAATGGTTTGCGAGCCACCTTGCACAGCTGCGCCAAATCACACAGCCACCCCCCGATTCACGGCAGCCTACAACCGGGCCGCCTACTCGACGGTGGACTTTGATCGGTGCTATGAAGCCCAAGTACGATGGCATCAGTCAGCCGGTATATCTCCCCCTGAACCAGGAATCCGCAGAAGTGTTCGATACCACGGTCCAATCGCTACGCGAGCTTGCCTCGACTGCTCTCTTCGCCCTCCACGTCGACATCCGCTGCGGCATCGTCCACATGCTAAAGCGGACGATGGCGGGTCCCAAGCCTCGGAATACCCGGCAATTGGAGCCCACGACGCCGGCGCCAAATGCAATCAACAATTGGTGGCACATTCTGTTGAACCAACCGACGGCAGCGTCCCCCACGGTCCTCGAGCTCAACAACGACCTGATCGCCTTCGACACCAACATCTCGTCCTACCTCGGACCGGCCGAGCGGTGGTTCATTACCAGCGGGCTGGCTCGATTCATCGACCGCACCTTCGTCACCAACACCTCCCTCATTGGCGCGATGAACGAGAACGGCGCGCTACGGCTCCAGCTGGACGTGCTCGTGTTGCAGCAAAACCTGAAGAACATCATCATCGACCCGACGGAGGACGCTCAAGACGCCGATGCGGAAAACGGCGAGCAACCCGAGGTGGTTGCCCTCCCCCGTAGTGCCAAGTTCCTGGACTGGTTCCTGGAAGGAGCGGAGAAGGCGCTGGACTACGCAAAGGACGAAAAAGAGTCGTTTGCCGCCCACGGAGACCAAGCGCTGGCCGCGGGCAACGGCGAGCCCTTCACGTACGACGAACTCAAGGACCTCATCGACCTGTGCTTCTCGGACGTTCTGCTGGGACCCCGCGGCGCAGAGAACCGGGAGGACTTTATGGCGGCGAAGAAGGCCAGCGCCGAGGCGCTGCTGCGGTTGAACGAGGTGATGTGGGATGCCAAATGAGTCCGGATGCATATGACGGACGGGTAAGAGTTTTGGGGCCTGGTGCCTGGACACGGGCCGCTCATTCGTTCGTCGACTTTTCCCTGAATAGACAGACAGACCAGCCGCAAAGCAATCATAATAATCGCAACGGAGATTATTCCTTATTCCATCCCATGACGTGAAGGCCCTGTTCCCGGACCCACCCTGGCGGAACGGACGGAGCCCCGTTCCCAGTAAACATACGATGGTTCCTGTCGGCGTTCGCTCCCTGATCTCATTTCATCTCATCTCATCTCGCCAAGTCGCCAGAGTCACCTCCTTTTTACCCACTGGTTCTCTGGGCAGTGGGAGAACGAGCGATGCAGGGGCAGCCCAAGCCCCCGACTTATATAGCCTCCGTTCTTTTGGGGCCGTTGAACGGTTGGGCATCTCCGTGGAGTGGGTCCAGCCCATGTAGTTTAATTACTCCAATATCGGAACCCAGGGATTCGGCCAACAGCAACGGGCTGCGGAGAACCACAGGACCCAGAGGTCACGCTTGCACACAGAGGCGGTTAAGATCTTGCGCTGCGTTCTGTCTCTCTTCCTCTTCGGTTGCGCGCCGGTTCCGTTCCTGAACGGGCTCATCGCTGGTTCCTGGCTGATCCACGACCGGCGTTTCAGATTGCGATCTCATTTCGCCAACGCGCAAACCAAATGGCTGCTGCCTTCGCGCCGGGCTTATGTGTCATTAAAGTTATGCCGCTAGGTCTGCGGCATCCCTGTGATTGTTCATTTCCTGATATTGATGGGCGCTGGGGCAATTTGAGCTGATTGGCGATGGATCACACCGTCCGGCTCACGGGGCCAACGCCTGTCGCAGGCTCAGCAGCCCTGCTTTTCCCTCTTATTGTCGGCGTCGGGCCCTTTTCTCTCTCTCTCTCTCTCTCTCTCTCTCTCTCTCTTCTTTCTGTCTGTCTCTCCGTCTCCTGCACCTTTCTGTCTGGAACAGCAGATCTGTAGTCCTGGGATTTGACATCCAGGCGTCCATTCTTTCAATCCTCCCCTGCCCGTGTTGATCTGATCTGATCTGATCGGCACATCCTGTCTTTACTGCAGTTCCAGCGCGAAGAGAAAGTCCTTCTTTCGTTCGATCTTTCTTTCTTGATTCCTGCCTTGTGCCCTTTGTCTGAGACAACTTTCCTGTAACTCGCCTCAACATGAAGTACCAGCGCCTCGCCTCGTTCGGCTTCGCTGCCCTCAGCGCCGCTGCTGTGTCGGCCAACCCTCTCGTCCAGCGCGAAGAGACTCAATGTCCCTCGGGATACACCGCCAGCGTCGTCTACAAGACCATCACCCTGCACCCCAGCTCGGCCCCGGGTGTTCAGGCTACCTCGACTCCGGTTGCCGAGCCTTCGGGCGTTGCTGCCATCGCGACCACCTCCACTCTCGCTGTCGAGACGACCTCTGCCGCCGTTGAGACCTCCGGCGTTGCGGCCGTCGCCACTGGCTCCTCCCCTGCTGTCGAGTCCTCTGCTTCTCCCGCCGTCGAGACCTCCGTCGCCACGACGGTCGTGACCAGCTCGACTGTCGCCATCGAGACCACTGCCTCCCCTGCAGCCGAGACCTCCGGCGTCGCTGCTGTCGCTACCGGCCCGTCCTCCGCTGTCGAGACCACTGCCTCAGCAATCACCGTCGACACCTCCGCCCCCGCGGTCGTGCCCACCTCCACTTCCCCAGTGGTTCAGTTCACCACCCTCCCCTCTCTGCCCTCGGGCTCCCCCGGCCTCGTGCCCATGGGCGAGGGCCAATGTCCTCCCGGATACACCGCCAGCGTCTACTACAAGACCATCACCCTCCAGCCAACCTCCACCCCCGTGGCTGAGCCCACCACTCCCGCAGTCGAGTCCACCTCTACCCCTGTTGCAGTAGTTGAGACCTCTTCCTCCGCTGTCGAGACTACCTCCACCTCCACTTTCACCCCCGTGGTTGTGTCCACGTCCTCTTCCTCTTCCGTTGAGCAGATCACCACTCTGCACATGTCTTCTACCACCACCGTGACCACCGTCGTCACTGCTACCCCGGCCGCCGCTGCTACTACTTCTGTCGAGAGCGTTGCCCCCGTGGCTACCACCTCGTCCGTTGCAGCTGTCGCTGCCGTCGACGGTAACAGCAGTGCTGCTGAGCCTGCTTCTACTTCCTCTTCGGTCTCCACACCCGTGGTTGAGATCACCACCGCCGATGATGTCCAGGCTGCTACTACCACTGTTGTTGCTCAGGCTACCACTGAGGTGGCTCCTGCTGTGACTACCGAGGCTGCTCCCGTGACTACTGAGGCTGCCCCTGTGACTACCGAGGCTGCTGCTGTGACCACTGCTGAGGCTGCCGTTTCCACCGCTGAGGCCGCCGTTACCACCGTCGTCGAGATTGCCAACCCGCCCAGCGAGGCCGCTGCCACCACCGAAGCAGCCCAAACCACCGTCGAGGCTGCTCCCACGACCTCTTCTGCTGCCGCCACCACCGAAGCGGCCACGACCGTTGAGGCCGCCATCCAGTCCGCCACCGAGGCCGCCTCCACCAGCAGCACCAGCACTACCGCCGCCGCGGCCGCCACGACCTCCGCGTCCAGCACCACCAGCACCAGCAGCTCCACCGACGTGCTCGGCTCCGAGATCTCGGGCGAGGCGACCTTCTACGGCGGCAACGTGTCCGGCGGAACGTGCTCTTTCGCCGACTACACCCTTCCCTCGGGACTCTTCGGCACCGCGCTCTCCATTGATCGCTGGTCCAACGCCGCTGAATGTGGTGCTTGTGTCGAGGTCACTGGTCCTACGGGAACGAAGATTAAGGCGATGGTGCGTTATCCCCTTTCCCCTTCCCCTTCCCCCACCCTCAAACCACACCAATAATCATAGTATAATACTAACAAAAACAAACAACAGATCGTCGACGAATGCCCCTCCTGCTCCTCCAACCACCTGGACCTCTTCGAAGACGCCTTCGGCGAGCTTGCCGCCATCTCGGAAGGCGTGATCTCCATCGACTGGGAATACGTCACCTGCGGAATCACGACGCCCATCGAGCTGAACAACAAGAGCGGCACCTCCGCCTACTGGTTCGCCATGCAGGTCGTCAACGCCAATGAGCCCGTCACCTCCCTGGAGGTCAGTACCGATGGCGGCTCCACCTGGCAGTCCACCACCCGCTCCTACTACAACTACTTTGAGAACCAGAGTGGGTTCGGCACGGATACCGTTGACGTGCGGGTTACGGGCGAGAGCGGGAAGACGATTACCGTTAATGATGTTAGTGTGGCGAGTGGGACCAGCGTTACTGCTTCTTCTAACTTTTAAACACGTTTGTGTGTGTGAGAGAGAGGAAGGGGTGGGGTTGTGGTTGTGGTTGTGTCTGTTTGAGGTTTGAGTGAGTGAGTGAGTGGGTGTAATAAAAACATGTGTGGTTGGATGAGTGTGGATGTGGTGTGGTGTATATTCTTTCTCTTCTCGTGGACATTACTTTAATTTCTTCTGCTTGGGACTATCATTGTTCATGGAATGATAGTCCCAATCACCCTTTGGTATTAGCGCTGGGTTTGGTTTGGTTTGGTTTGATTACTTACAGAGAACTACTAACCGTCCGTGGGGTCGGTCGAACAGATATACTACTAAGTAGATACATGTGATGTGATGTTATGCCTTTGTTTTTGTTGTATATATTTCTTATTTCTATTTTATATTCCTGATACTAAGATTGGGATTCTATCCCTCTAGGATTATTTCTGAGATTGAGATTGAGATTGACATTCATTCTTCAAAGATAGATAGATAGTGTAGTGTAGTGTAGTGTACTATAGTAGTAATGTATTGACCTATCGATCTAGCAATCTCCCTATAGTATCATGATCTACCTATCAAATATCCACTCCGGGAGATCGTTAAATTCAGTACTCCTGTTATTACATTCAGTACTCCCATTACTATAAGCTGGACTATAAGCTGAAAAAAAAAACACACACACGGCGGGTATTGGGGGTAGAGAGGAAGAGAGAGAGACTCATTAACAAGTCAATTTCACAGATTATATACAACACATACTACTACTTCGGTACTTCGGACTCGCGTTGGGTTGGGTTGGGTTGCGTTCATAAGAGATTCATAACCCCCCCCCTTCCCTCCCTCCCCTGGGAGATGACAATGACAGAGAACAAGATAACATCTAACAATACTTAGACACGATATCAAATATCCAACACCCAACAGCCAACACTCAACACACACTCAGACTTAGTACTATTCCCATCCCATTCTATCCCATTTCATCCCACAACGAAAAGTTACAACCCAGTTTCCAATCTACTTCAACTTTATTTACACCTACAACTTACACTTACACCTGCACTTACACTTACACTACACTACACCACACTAAACCACACTACACTACACTACACTCCACCCCAAATATGATACTAACAATACAAACCAGACTTAAGCTTGCATTCATTCCATAACACGCCACGGCCGTGGCATCCACAGGAGTCCCGTCCAGGCAGGGCCCCTGAACAAACCACTCCCAGCCATAGTTTCGCCGACCCATCCGGATTGATAAATAACATACATAAAGTTAAAAGAAAGGTGACAAAACAAAGCAAAAATAACGGGGACGAAAAGAGCACACATACAACAGAGACGGAACAGGAAACAAACCCCACCCTAGGCTAAACAATTAAGAGATAAGAATCAATCAATCAATCAATCGATCAATCAGTCAATCAGGCAGTCAATCAATCAGAATGACGTCTCCGACAGAAAAAAAAAAAAAACAGAGAACTGTACCCTGCGAAATGAGTTGACATGAATGGATAAACAAAGAAAAAAAAGAGGAAAGTGGGGAGAAAAAGGGGGGAACTGGGAGATCGGGCGATGTCTGTCTGTTCAGGGTTCAGGAAAGGAGAGAGAGAGAGAGAGAGAGAAAGCAGCGCAGCTCGGCCTCCAGAAACAAGTCGTAGCACATATGACGATGTCAGTCAAATCAAACCTGGCCCTGGTCAATGTCCAGATTTTCCAGGTCCTTGGCATCCTCGAAGTCGTCGAACTCGAGGCCCGCATCGCGGCAGCGTTGCAGCCATTTCAGTGCCACATCGCCCCGGCGGTTGACCTCGACCTTAAGCTTGGAGTTCTGCGCACTGATTTCGCTGATCGCGTGGCTCGTCGTCATGTTGTTTTGCTCCCACCGCTCGCTCATAGTCTTCTTGTCCTCGTGTAGCTGGCAGATGTACTCGATCGCGCGCTGCAGGATGGCCCCCTTGTTCTTGTCGCAGTTCGGGACCAGACGGGCGATCTGGTTGATGCCCTCGTTGATGGCCTCACGGCGGCGGCGTTCCACTGGGCCCGGGTCAGTATGATCTGGTACAACCCTATACAATCCTGTACAGAGGACGAACTCACCCTCCTTGTGATTGTTTTTGCGGATCTGGTGCCACTCGGGCGAACCCACGGAAGGCTTCTGGTTCATGCTCTGTGCTTCACGCGCGGCGTAGACCGCAGCCGCAGTCGAATTATGTCCATGTGCAGAGGTAATCGGCCCGCCCATATCATCGCCGAAATTTAAGTTGTGCCCCAAGTTGCTGTCGAACGCGTTCTCGGGAGGCGGCGGGTACTTGTTCTGGGGGGTGTGGGCAGCCAGGGCGGCCTTGGCTGTGAGCGCGTTGTCGTCGGAGATACCGTTCTGCGGGCCGACGTGTTGTAGGATCTGCTGGTCGATGTTGAGCTCCGTGGAGCCGGGGAGGCCGTGGGTGTCGTAGGCGCCCAGAGAGCTGTGGCCGAAGTTCTGGGACTCGGGGCCTGGGAGACTGCCATTGCTCCCGTTGGAGGAGCGGTTCAGGCGCTGAGCGTCCGGGCCGGTGCTGTCGGTGCTGTCGCGCTTTCTCTTGGCCGCGACATTGCCATCGGATGCGCCCAATGACGGATCAGACATCATGAGATCTGAGAGTACCTGCGCTGGACGGTTAGGGGCGGTTCATCGACCAATGCGGAAGCACTGACCTATAGGTAGAATCTGGACAAGCAGCCTTCGGTGTGCCTCCAGCGATGGTCCTAATCGAAACGATCAGGAGTTCGCGTCTAGAAGTTCGGTTAGATCATGCCACCGGCATTCAAAGATTACGAATCAGGATGCAGGCACGCGAGTGAGACCCAGACAGGAGAGCAGAATGCAAAACAGTAGATTGATTGAATTGCAGGGAGATAGTCTGGTCAGGGAGTGAATGCTACTGTTGCTGTGCGCCGTCGGGGAGTTCTGGGCTGATGTGATGGTGAGCCGAGACGCGTTGGCTGACGCGCCCATCTCCGCATCTCGCATCAACAACCCCTGGCAGTGCAGCAGCAGACAGACAGCGACCCAGCAACCCAGCGACCAGGAATACATCTACACGGGAAACACAGCTGCAATGAAGCAGTTCCGGTCGCGGGGAGAGAGACGACAGGCAGGGGGGAGGGGGCAGCAGGGCAGCAGGCGGCGGGCGCGTCATGACGACAGCGCTGCGACCGAGCGACCGTGAAAAAACAACCTCAACATCGTGGTCAGCCATGGGCCGAACGGGCCACGGCGAAGACGGAGAGGAGGGGGGGAGGCATGGGGCTCTTGGAGCCGCGATGCGCGGATGGAGGGAAGGCGATGGAGGCAGGGGCAGGGGCGAGGGCGAAGGCGAAGGCGAAGGGGAGGGAGGAAGATGATTACCTTGAGATGGGCTGGGTGTCTATCACCTGACAGCAAGTCACCTGCCACGGGCAACAACAAGAGCGAAGGTAGGCTCCGGTTCGTTCACAAAAGCAGGCAAACGACTTTGTTCGCGAAGGATTCGGGGTGGATGGCACCGTCGTCGCACTGGACAGCGGACGGATCGGATTTGAAAACGAGCAAAAAGCTGTGGAGGATTTCACAATGGAAAAAAGGGATACTTGGAGGAGTAGAGGAGAGTCGAAGTAGAGAGGGACTGAGGGATGCTCACGTGGCGGGCGACGGAGAGGGAGAGAGCTGCGGCTTGGGGCGGACCACGCAGACCAACTGTGCACTCTGTCACCTGATCAGCGCAGTACCACTCAGTACTCGCTACGGAGTACTCCCTACCCTCCACTACACACCTCCATCTCATCACACCACCACCACCACCCCCTTCTTATCATTATCAGGTTTTTCTCCTCTCGTCTCCCACATGTCATGTGCTGCAATCCCGTGCCCCCCCTCCTCACCCTCCCTTATCCCTCCTCTTTCTCCTCATTCACCACCACCGCCATCCCCCGCCCTGATTGGCCACCCGGCTAGCCGGAGGAGGGGTTCCCCCGAGATCACGTGTCGGCCGGCAACCCTCCCCGCCCGAAACGGGTAAAAGGGGGCCTGGCTGCCTCCCCCAGCCATCCAGGCTGATTGGTGTCCAGCAAAGGAGTGGCGGCCGTCGTTGTCTCCAAGGTTTCGACTGCACCATCGCTGCGGAATGGTCCAGTGCAGTGCCAGTGTCTGTCTTCCCAATCCTGCAGAATGGTGCTGCGCCATGGAGGGTTGCCGGCTCATCCCCGGTCGGGCCGTTCCTTCTACGTACTATTTCGTAGGAGATACGGAGTAGATGAGTGGTGAATGGTGGTTGCAGACCAGTCGTGGTCATCCCCGTAAGTTCAAGTCACTATCATAGTCTGTTTCTGATTTACTCCCGCCTAGCTGCCGATCCCTGGCCTGGCTGAAGTCTGAACACTGCCTGTCTGTCTTTTCCCTCAAGCCTCATCGTCTATCTGCCTACCCGTCCGTCTGTCTGGGTCATGGATGGATGCCCTTATCCTCCCCTCAGCCCGCGCACGCAGCACACCCCCAGGAGGGAGGTCCACTTCGTCCCCTCATTGGCGCGTCCCGACCAGCATCGATCTATATACACCCCGTCCGACTGCTGGTTGCTGGTCGCTCGGGAGTCCCTCTCTCCCACCCGGGTCAATTCTTAATCCCTCCAGGTCTGTCCGCTGACTCCAGCCCGTCACATGTATGCGCGACACGGCCTATCAGAAGCCCGCGCGGGCTCTAGTTGCTTCGCACCAGTAGCGATGGGCCCCAGCCCTGAAGATACCACTGTCGCCGTCGCCCGTCGCCTTGCCTATGGTCCCGTATCTATCAAGGTTGCGAAGGTTGCATGCACAGATGGGTCCCCAAGGCGAGTGAGTCCGTTCCGACTTCCCTTCCCAAGGCCCGCGGTTTACAGTGCGGAAAAAGAGGGTCCATCTGATGGGGCGGCTGCTGATCATCCCTCGGTCATGAGATAAGATGCTGGTGTGGATCCTCCACCAGCCGGTATCTAGTGGTACTTTGGACGGCGGGAACCCTCATCACCCACCCGGATTACCTTCCGCAATGGAGGTGCGTCTGGCGGGTATTTTCCGGGCAGGAGGGGGGTCTAGATCCCCACAGCGCGCGCTCTTGGCTCGCGAGAGTCGGGCGGTCGATGACGATATCGCCCCCCGTCACATGGATACGCGCGAGAATGATTGGGGGCCAGGGAATGTCTCACATGATAGTTCATGGCTGATTGTGGCGAGCCGGACGGACGCAGTCGGCCACGACACCGCGTCGAAGAGGTCCAAAGGCTGTCGGCATGTCGTAGCTGTAGACGGTAGTAGAGAGAGAAGAAACGCAAGGGCTGGACAGGCAGATAAGGAGAATTGGAGCGCGGGTTGCCATCCATCGCGCGAGACAGACCGGGTTGAGGTCGAGGTCGCTGTCGCTGCTCCCTTCTTCTCTGGCTTTCCAAAAGAATCAAGTATACGATCTATTAAATTTACAAAACGCCGCGCCGCGTCACGACGCGAATCACGTAGGCAGACGGTCTCCGCAACCCACCATCTCCGAGGTGGCTTAATTCTCATGTCCAGTCGGATTTATTGTGCAGCTTTGACCAATCCAAAGACCATGCTGGGAGTGTCTGCAGTGTCGGCGAAACAAATACCTTCCGTTGTCGCGCCCATCATGTCCCAACAAAGTATCTTTACATCGAATGCCCCCTTCGTGTCATCGGAGTCCTCACTGTCACTTCCAGGGACAGCTTCGGCAGCGGGTTTCTGCGTGATCGCCAGGATGGTGCTCGTCCCCGCGTATCGAGCCGGATTCGCTCCTTCGGTGCCTGGTTCCTCACCAGCTCGGTTGGCGAACACCACAACGATCTTCTTGCCGCGACTGGCGTCGTCGCCGTCGAAGTTGGCGTCGTGGCGCATGGTCTTCCGGATCAGTGGCAAGAACCGTTGAATCCAGTAGTTGAAGGTGTCCATATCAGGCTCGCCCGCGAGCGCGGCCAGCTCCTCGCGGTCCCTCAGCGTTAACCAGGCCATGGAGAGGATGACCAGCTGGGACTGGGAGTCCAGCACGCGATTGGCGAACTCCCACGCGGTGAATGGGGCCTCGAACTTGTACGGGTTGATGTCCATACAGATGCCAAAGGACGTGGCGACCTGTGACTCCAGTGCATTTTGGTCCGAGCTGTGGAAGGTGAGTCGGTGGAAGCCGCGCTCCGTGCTGCCCTCTGCGGCCCACGTCTCATCGGTGTAGTAGAGAAACGACTTGCGGTAGTTCAGGATGATGTCACCATTAGCATCGACCACGAGAAGAGAGTTATAGCATGTTTCCCGGCCGTTACTCAGGCCGTCCGCTGGAACTTTGTCGTCTGTCTCAATCTCCGGGTACCCGACGCAGACTTTGCACTGCAGGCGCGCGGCCGTTTGTCGAGCCCAGTCCGCGGAAGGGCCTTTGCCGACCGGTTCGAGGAACGGCTTGATAGCCTGCAGCGAGGGGAAATTGTATCCTGGTCGTGTTAATGACTATCCTGCTAGATGCTCGGTCCAGCGAAGACCTCTGGCTAAGACGAGTCGCGCCCGCCACCACGCACAAACATCCCGAAGCTCATGCATCGTGTGACGCAGCATGGAGGACAGAGTAACACTCACCCGTCAAGGCCAACTCGGGCAAGATCAAAACATCCGGCTTCAGGAGATCTAGTGCCACCCGGACGCCCGCTCCTTGCACGACCTTGCCGTCCTGGAGCAATGCATTGGCCCTCCGGATGTTTCCTTGGAGGTCGCCCAGCCGGGGGGCGAACTGCAGAGTGGCTATTCTCATTCCCCTGCACTGGGAGGAGGATGGGCACCGAAGGGGGGCACAAGGGGGGGTTCGGCGGGTGCTTGCAATACTAAAGGCAATAGTGTTGCAGATGACGGGCGACGGCCCAGTCAGACCTAGGGGGAGGCGGTGGAGGAGCCCGATCTTGATGGATCCAGCGAGATGCTGGAGATGGTGGATGGGGGGAGGGAGGATGGGCGTCTCAGCCGGTGATCGGGAGGGGAAGGGGGGAAGGAGTCAAAGTATAGATTTGTAGAAGTTTTAACTAATGTTTCAATGGAGTAGTCAAGAGTGGTGAAAGAGGACGGTCTGCTGCTGATTGGCGGAGGGGAGCCGACTCACGTGAGATCTATGCCTGAGACCCCGGGCACCGATGACGTCACCTGACACGCCAGGCGCCAGCTCTGCGGGCTAAACCCAGAGCGGCGGACTGTTTTGCTTCTTAGTCGTGCTCCCATGTCATAACACTCTAGTTCAGACTGCTGCCATGGTCGATGGCTGATGATCCCTTCATAGTCTGTTCCTCGCCGAGCGTCTCGAAATTGGACCGCTGCCAGGGACGCCAATCATACCTCAGCATTTGCGGCCTGCCCGCCCTGATTTGCCGAGCATCTGAGGCTCGCGGTGCACATAATTTGGGATATTTTTAACTTCTTTGTCGGAGGAGCCTTGCTTGGGCATCGGCTGGGCTATTGGTTTTCCGGTGGATATGGGCTGGACATGGCTGGACGGCCATTCGGCTGCAATCATAAGAGCCACGGCCGTCCACTCGTCCATCCAACTAGATTCGTTCCTTGGATTGTCTTTTTTCTGTTTTGCTTTGTACTATATCTACTCCGTACGGTGTGTGCATATCCTGCACCTGCTGTGTACGATCTCCATCCGTCAGATCGCTCCCCCTATTGGCCCGTCCCCGCCGTCAGTTGTGTCAGTTCGCAAGCTGCGACAGACACAGTGGATCACCACCATTTCCTCCGCACTTCAACGCTCTTTTCATTCTTTCCGGCATCTAGATCCAGATAGATCTAGCATAAACCCATTGCCTGCATAGCTACTAGATATCTGTCGACCACAGCGTTGAATGTCGAGCTCAGATCATCGCCTGTCCCTTGCCGCGCCCCTTTTCGATCCTCGCCCGCCAATCACAGCCGCCGCCGGCACTCGATTCTTATTCTTATTCTTGGGCCATCGACATCATTTCAATTTCCTCCTACCACCACCACCACCTCCTCCTCCTCCTCCACCACGCCTCCATCTCTCTCCCCCCCTGCTGCCCGCGAGTCCATCACGGCTCCCCCGCCCCCTCCGCCGGCCTCTCTGCGCGCCTGGTCGTCGTCGTTCCCCAACACCACGACGCCTTTCTCCCCGCCATCGGTCCTTCCGCTATCATCGCCCGCGGCTGAAGACGAAGAAGAGGGGGCCGCTCCTCATTCCCCCGGAGGCCACCGCGTCCGCCGCCGTTCCTTCGAGTCCCATCACCGCGCCGCACCCTCGTCGTCCGACCGGGCCCCCGCAGAATCCTTCCAGTCTCGCTTCTCCTATCCGCGGAAGAGTGGCTGGATCCAGTCCTCGATCTTGCGACCGCCCTCGGTTCGACTCGCCAACCCCGTCAACTACGTCCCTCGCATCACCCCGGTGACCGTCCCCCAGTTCCAGTCGTCCGACGACAGCCTCCCGCTCGACGGCCACCGCGACGCATACCCTCTCCTGACCATCCCCGAACGCCGTCGCAGCCGCCCGACGCCGTCGCCGAACAGTCTGGTGGTGGAGCGCAGCCAGGGGGAAACGGAGAGCGGACGCTCCAGCATCGCACTGCCGCGAGGCCAGAGGCGCAGCGGGACATTTGACAAACACCCGCTGTCGGAAGAGATGCCCGACTCGGCATCGCATGGCGCTCAGGAGGCAAAGGACCCCCGCCCCCCGGAGCAGGCGCATTTGGGCCTGGAGTTCATGCCCGACGGCCCAGGGCCCCTTCACGGGGACCGCCCGCGGCACATCCAGTCGCAGTCCTCCCTGCGGTCCCAGTCGCACATCGCGTCCGTCCCGTCCAATCCGGGCCATCCCAACGGCGGGGAAGCCGACGTGGCGGAGGAGTTGGCATGGGGGCCCGCGCACCCGTGCTATCCGCACATCAACCCACACGTCTCGATCGGATCGGAGGAGTACTTGACGACCCGCGTAATTCGCATCCGACGCGACTGGATGATCAAGGGCGACCTTGCTCCGACGTTTTCCAACCTGTACCCCGAGATCCTGGACCCGCTGCTCCCGGAACAAGAGTTCCGGAAGGTGATCGCGATGGTGAACGACGAGCTCGCCAAGGCGTTCGACCCGTTCAGCTTCCGCAACATCCTCGACAGCGCGCTGAGCCTGTTGACAGGGTGGATCTGGGAGGACATCGGCGCGCCGGGGATCAAAGGGCACCTGGCGCGGGTGGAAGCCTGGCTAGAGAGATGGAACCGCGAGGTCGGGGCCAAGGACGGGGTACGCATATGGAGCCTCCGACGGACGGCGTACATGTCGATCGACATCCAGATCCCCGATCCCAAGGTCGGGATCATCCGCAGCGAGGGGGGGCCATCCCTTCCCGGCACGCGACCCAGCAGCGGTGTCTGAACCATTCATTGTCTGCGTCTTTTTCCTTCTTGTGTTTACTTTTCTACATCTTTTAATCGCCTCCTGGATGCCCGACTTTCTGTCTACGGTCCCGGGTTCCTTATGATATCCACGCCTGGTGATACCGTCGAGCCACCTCGGATGATGGTTCTCTGTCGATATTTTGTTTCTTGTGTCTATACCCTTCAGGCCTGCGTGTTTATATGGTCTGTTCGTTGTATCTGAGCCTGACTGATACTGGAAGTAGATTTACTATCAAGTATGCGTGTCAAAGTTACCCCCTTAGTCAACATAATTAAAATCTATCATTCTGAAGTCAACATAGTCAAAATTATTATTCTCAAGTCAACACGATTCCAGAATCTATTACTCTTCAGCCAACATAGTGATAGTCATATCACGTCTTCACCGCATACTCGCGCTCAAACTTCTCATTCACCCGACTGAGGTAATACGTCCCCTTCTCCAGATCCTCCGTCGAGGTAAACGGGACATAGTCCGGCGTGTTATACGCGAGCTCGCGCAGCTGGCACATCTGTATCCAAGACAGCAGCCAGCAGTCAGCATTCCCATCACAACAGCAGCAACACCACCAACAACAACAACCCAAGAAACAGAACCCCCTCCCCTCCCCAACACAACACATCACAACAAGCAAAAAAAAAAAAAAAAAAAAAACCAAACAACGAACCTTTTCATAAACCTCCCCCCCGACAACCCTCCTCCCCCCAACCTCCCCTCCAAACCAATCTTCTCCCTCAAATCGGCCAAATCGCCCACAATCCTCAGACTAAACATCGAACTGATCAACCCGCTGCCATACGAGAACAAGCCCACCCTCTTCGGCACGCCATCCCACCCGACATTCGACACCAGGCTGACCAGACACGCGTACAGACTGGCGGTATACATGTTCCCGCACTGGGTGGCGACGTCCAGCGAGGGGAGCACGCGTGCCTTGAAGCGGGATTCCGAGAGGGAGGAGAAGACGCGCATGAGGTGCTTGTCGGTCAGCGAGGACTCGTAGTCCATGGAGAGGAAGTGCGGGGGGACGTTGGCGAAGAGCGGGTGGGTCGGGTGGGCGAGGTAGTCGTTGTAGAGGAGGCGGGCGTAGCCTTTCTGGGCGGTTTTGCAGGTTGGCGCGTGCAGAAGGTGTAGTTGAATCGGTCGATGGGGAG